ACGCATTGTACTGACCTGTAGACATCGTCAGTCAGTAAACATAACAGCATGCTCGCAATTATGCGTGAGTAGGTGCGAGCCTGTGCAGAGATACTGTATAAGATGCAATCAGACAACAGTTTTGCGTGCGCTCACTTTTCGCTGGGCTGCGATAAGTACGACACAGACGCTTGCTTGAATGACATCAGCGCTCGCTGGGGACTCACTTATCTTTGATCACTGCTTGCACTCATGTACAGTCACTTTTTACATGTCGATGATCAATGGTGCTCAGACGGCATTGCACGCTGGAATCCGGAGGACTCGGGTTGCCGTACAGCTGGGCGCTACCAACTGGGGATCCTGGCGGAACGGATGACGTACTGTAAGTACATGGTGAAATTGGTCCCGTGGTAGACTCGCACAAACACTGCTTTGAGGAAGGCAGAGCAACTGCCAATCTTTCTGAAAGCATCGAGCTAATAAGGTGAGGAATAAGCCACAAGACAAAAGGACTGTCGTGAAGGACAAGATGGCGGAAATGGTCAGTACAGGAGCGTACACAACGACAGAGCGTTCTCGGCGCTGCGCCAGTGCGATCGCGGATGCCGGGTTGCCGGTGGCAAACGCCGCACAAGTTATAACGACCGATATGAATGACTCTGTAAGCGTGGGACATCGCAGCATTTCGGAGCTTGAAAGAAGAACCCCGGAGCTTATCTGCCAAGCGGTTCGGCGCATGATAGACTTTAGGCGGCAGGGTTGGCGCGAGTTACTTAATGCGGGGCAGAGCGCCGGCCTCCCTCTCCCTACCACCACGCCCGTCGAATGTTACCGACCACAACTCGCCTCCATCTGCAGCGACTCCTCCTCCCTGCTCTCTCCGCCGCATTGCAGCATGTGCCCTTCTTTCGCAGCGACCCCCACGGCACTCACCAGCTCGCCAAGCGCGACAGCCTCTCTACTGGCCAGAAGGCCGCCTATGGCGTTCTCATCCCCGTGCTCGTCATCTTGTCTGGCATATTTGCCGGGCTAACCCTCGGCTACATGTCGCTCGACGAGACCCAGCTGAACGTGCTTAGTATCAGTGGCACTGCGTGAGCCCATTGTCTCATCCGCGTAGCCACCGCTGACCGCCGCCGCAGAAAGCAGAAGGAGTATGCCAACAGGATCAAGCCGATCCGCAAGAACGGGCACCTGCTCCTCGTCACGCTCCTCCTCGCGAACATGATCACGAACGAGACCCTGCCTGTTATTGCGGACCCCGTCCTCGGCGGTGGCGTCCAGGCCGTCGTCGTCAGTACCGCGCTCGTCGTGATGTGAGTGCCACGTCTCGCCTCGTCTGGTCTTTTCCTCCGTTCCCAGCCGCTATTCGTCACTGTCCCATTCATTCGCGTTCACGGGTCCATGTTCGGGGCCGCCCAGACGCGTCACTGCACACGCGCTGAGCCACGTGATACGTGTCTCCGCGATCGGCTGCGCGTCTCATGGTGCCTGTAAGCATCGTGAAGGCTAGCGTTATGACCAAACTCGGTTGTACAGCGAGACGCGCAACGGGAAGGAGCCTCACTGATTGGAGGCACAGTGTGGCCTATCTTCACCTTGGTCCTGAACAGGCGTCATATTTACTTTGCGACTTCGACTGAATTATGATACTGACCATCGTTATCGATTACAGCTTCTCTGAGATTATCCCGCAGTCGCTGTGTACGCGTTACGGATTGTTCTTTGGCGCCAAAATGGCGGGCGTAGTGCAGATATTGATCTATGCCTTTGTGAGTGCTCTCTTCGGTGAGCTATCAATGTCGCACACTAAAAGATCGCAATGGCAGGCCATCGTCGCTTGGCCCGTCGCGAAGCTCCTCGAGTTCGCGCTCGGCCCCCACCATGGTATTATCTACCGGCGCGCGGAGCTGAAGGAGCTCATCGCAATGCACTCTGATGTGGGTGAGCTCGGCGGAGACCTAAGGAAGGACACCGTCACGATTATCGGAGGCGCGCTCGATCTGCAGGAAAAGGTCGTAAAGCAGGCAATGACGTCGATTGAGAATGTGTTCATGCTAAGCATCGACGCGAAGCTTGACTACGAGACGCTGCGGAAGATCTGCCAGACGGGCCACTCGCGTGTGCCGGTGTATGAGGAGGTAGACATCCCCGCCCCGACGGCGGTCGCCGGGACGCCTGTTGTGAGAGAGGCGGGCAAGGCGGGCGCCAAGGACCCCGCTGAGGCTCTGACGAGCGCGGGGGGCGCCTCGCCGAGCGCGAAGACGATCAAGGCAAAGAAGATCATTGGGATCTTGCTGGTGAAGCAGTGTGTGTTGCTAGATCCCGCGGATGCCACGCCCGTGCGCAAGATCCCGCTGAACAAGGTGCCGATCGTGCCGCACAACGAGCCGCTGCTCGGGCTCCTCGACAAGTTCCAGGAGGGCCGCTCCCACATCGCGATCGTGTCGCGCTTCAGTGTCGAGCGCGCGCAGAGCGTCAAGAAGGCCGTCAAGCAGGGCCTCACGCAGCGCCTGCGGTCCGCGATCCGCGACACGGACAGCGAGGACGAGTCCAGCAGCGATGATGAGGCCGCGGCGCCGCCTAAGCGCTGGAACTTGCGCCGCAAGAAGAGCGATGAGAGCAAGAGCAGTAGCACCGGCAGCGCAAATGCTACGACTCTTCGCGAGTCCAGCCACGGTGACGGCAGCGAGGAGGAGGGTGCTATACCGCGCCCGAAAAAGATGCGCGCATTCGGGGGTCGGGGCAGGAGAAAGCACAAGGCCGCGAAACCGGAGGACGTCGACTTGGAATTGGGTGCCGTGAGTACCTCAGATGGCAAGGACGAGAAGAAGGAGGACAGCAAGAGCAAGAGCAGGCTGCCGGGCTTGTCTGTTCCGCCGGGCCGCGGCTTCTGGGGTCGGGAACAAGATATGCCCGCTGATGCTGTGCTGTCGACTGAGAATGCGGAAGAGTTCTTGCAGAGCGTGGACCCGGCGGTCATGCCCTTCGGCATCATCACACTCGAAGATGTCCTTGAAGGTATGAGGCCACGCCTCCTCTCTGATTGCGTATATCCTGACGTCGTCTGATTTCACAGAGCTGATTGGTGAGGAGATTTACGACGAGTTTGATCCTCAGGGACATCCGGAGTTGGCCTACGCCGGCGAGTCCAAGCCCAAGGCGCAGAAGCTCAAGATGCCGGGAGGCGCGGTGATTCGTCGCAGGCGCTCTGCTCCTCAGCTAGTAGCTTCTGCGGACGCTGACAATGCGGTGATTGCGCCCGTTGTCGTTGTGTCCTCACCACCCTCGTCTGCCGCGGAGACCGTCAGCGTTCCCGGCCAACCTTACAAGTTTCCGCCGCCGTCCATCGTGAAACCGTCGGCGTTGCGCGGCCTGAACCCGCTGAACTTGATGGCCCTCGGGAAGATATCCCGCTCTCGGAGTGCCCCACCGACACCTAGAGACAAGACCGCTGCTCGTCCCAAGGACGGAGACAGCACGCCTGCTCCGGTCCCGGAGGGCGAGGTTGTCGAGTCTCCTGAACCCACGCGTATTGACCTTGGCCCCGGCATACTGGTAGAGCAGGTGAATAACGACCCTCCGCCCGACGCCTCCGATGCCTTTGTTAAGGCGGACAGTATTGCTGTTCCTGCGGCCGTGCCGGAGATCGTCCACCTCGAGTCTCGCGCGCGCTCTCGGCTTTCCCCACCCAGCTCTCCCCGTCTTGGACCGTCGGGGTCTACCAGTCTCGCGCCTCCCTTGCTCGCCGCGTCGAGCAAGCCGGCCTCGCGGAGCACGTCCCCGTCGCCTTCGTTGGAGCACGCGATTATGCTCGAACGGAAGCGGCGTGCAGCGTCTGCCGGCGCTGGGTCGATGACTGCGCCCAAGGGCCTCAGGTTCAAGAGCAGTCCGCTGACGGGCGAGCGCACGGGCCTCATCGTCGCGGAGCACATCAAGCGAGAACGGAGCATGGGCGAGGAGGTCGAATCAATACCAGGGCCTGAGAAGGACAAGGAAGGACCGGATATAGAGGGCCCGGACGCGGGTAGTGACGAGTGACGGGGGTGCGCACGAGCTCGGCGTGGTCTTGTGGATGGATTAATGTGTTTCTTGTACATGAGTTATGTCGCATGATTGAGGATTGGCCTTTACCCTTCCATGACAACTAGACGTTCTGCGCTTTGCATTGAAGTTCCGGTTATGTTGTGTCTTATACTCTGGTGGCGATGTGTACGATGTATACCTGTAGTAGAGTGCTCGTGTCGGAGTCGAAGTCGACAGAACTGCTGTAATTCTTCTGGACTGCACGTATCATGCAACCGATCTCACGGACCACCGGGTCCTGCAAGCCCGCATTTGGCTGAAGGCGTCGGTATTGGGAAGTTGCACGAAATACTTTTAGAAGCGAAATGAAGTACGACAGTGTGGTAGTTCAGCTGACGAGGGCTGCCTCAAACATCGCCATCGCTTTGTCGCGATCTGCTATGGCCGAAGTCTCCTTCGCCCAAGAGAACAGCTCTTTCATCCGCTCCACCACTTGCTGAAGATCGCGCTCAGGATCCCTCACGCCTTCGTCTCCTGTCGAAGGCAGCATATTGAACTCCTCCGTCAGGCCGCACTCTCGCGACCGCTCGACGACCCATTGAGTGAGCGGCCTGCGAACCTCGTCATAGGCCCGCAGTGCGTAGGCCAAGGTCTTGGCTGTCGCAGTGGGGTGCACTAGCAAGCTGGCAAGTACGAAAGCATCCTGGGTATAGAACGACGCGATTGGCACCAATATGCTCGTGAGACAAGAACGGCTTACCTCTACAGCCTGCCCGGCTCCCGCGCCCAAGTGGGTGGTCATGGCATGGGCCTGTCTCAAACGACCTCATCAGCAACGCGTCGCTGAACGAGTGGCTGCAGCGTACCGCATCGCCGACCAGGGCTATGCCGTCGCCGACGTATGTAGGCAGATTGGGCACGACATTGATGGCCCAGAGGTCGGTCCTCTCCATCGCCTGCAACCGGTAAGAGGTGATAGACCGAGTAGGTGCGTCGACTTACTTTCAGCGTCGCAGTGACCATGGGTTCCCAGCCGTGATACTCGGACAGGACGTCTTCCTTGCCGGCTTCTCGTATCCAGCTCGCCGCGTACTGCGTTCCTTCTAGCTTCTGTCTTGACACTAGGGCGACGACGTTGACAAACTTTCCTTGGGCGATCGGATAGAGGATGATGTGCTGGATTCAGCGTCAGACCTGCGGGGCAGTAGAGCATTTTCGGCTGGGAATGGATGAGTACCTTGTCCTTTCCTAGCAACTGTTGCATCACGTCTCAGTACCCGAGATTCTTTCATCTAAGAGAAAGACCAACAAAGACACCGCCCGCGAATGCAGGGTGGTTTGGGACGGCTTCCTCGAGTACCGCTCGTGGTGCCAGGCCACGATAGGCTATATTCCCACTCCAAACAGGGTCCGCCTTGGATGCATACTCCGATGCTTTCGGCTGTTCACCGGCCCTCTCTGCTTGCTCAGCAAGAGAACGATAGAGGAGCGCACGGACAGTCGATCTGACGCCATCGCATCCAACGACGAGGTCATGGGTCGCCTGGGTGCCGTCCTTGAAGGCCAGCCTAAAGTCACCTGTAGGCAGCTTTGTGTATGATTCCAACCGCTTGTCGAAGTAAATGTGGCACGAATCGGGGATATGCTTTCTGAGACATCCCAGGAGATGCGAACGGTGGAAGGACGTTCCGCCTAGTAATGAGAGGCGTTCAACGGACATGTGTCGCCGGAAAGGACCATACGCACCGGACTGCTCCATGTGCGCAAACGGAATGTCTTCTTTTTCGTCCGACTTTCGTATGTGCATGGTGTGGCCTACGAGAGCATGCTCTGAGTGAATCCTAGGATCACACATTGTCAATCAGCTCACTGCCGTCTTTGACGTGACCAGAAGCGACAGCGGCCAGGTCGTCAGATAAACCAAGAGCCTGCATGATCTCCCAGCTTCGAGGCCATAGTATGATGCCAGCGCCAATATCCGGGAATGAAGGTGCGGCCTCGTAAATGTCGACAGTGCCAATATTCGGGTTGAGCTTGTGCAAAGCTATGGCTAGCGTGAGGCCTCCGATTCCCGCGCCGCTGTTTCCACAGGGTTGTTGTGTTTAGTGAACGTCCTCTCCAGCGCGTATAAGCCCGTCACTCACATAATCGCCACTCTGAGTCGAGGGTCCATTGTTATAGAGATGACGAGAGTCCTAGGAGCTAGTGACAGCTACTGGTAGGGTGATGATACGTGGGTGCTGATGCTGTACGGGAAGTATATACTTATCGACGACTTGTGGACAAGTTCTGCACGACACGCGAAGCGGTTGAAACATGATGGACCGTTGAAACGACCCAGCGAGGGGCACATCCCGAAGTGAGGTCATGATTACAACTATCGGGATTCAAACGTTCACCGCGTACCAGCCTGGTTGGCGCTGTCGTAAGTGTGAAGTATCTGCAAGACTCGGAGTACCATTAACACATGTCTCGGAGAGAGAACACTACCGACTTACCATGACTGCGCAGTAGAGATCATATTCAAGAATGCGCGCTGAGTCTCTTTGACAGTGCAACGCGTCCCGAGACACAAGGTCTACGGCAAGCAATCCGGGTCTCTCACTCCGCCGAGAATGACACGCACCACACATAACTTCGCATCGCGGATGAGGTGGCAACGGCGACACCATAACGACCAAATATCCCTAGCGAATTGCGCACACGGGACATAAGTAGCGTATACGAGAACAGTACAAGTTAGGCCCGCGCCACTGGAGAAGCGGCAAGTTGCAGAATCGACGCCGCGCGCTTGAGGCAAGTACTGTACTGCCAAATCCGGCACTGGCGCGCGCCACAACGCCCCCGTAGTAGGCTCGGACCTTGCTCGGACCTTTCGTACCTGCTTCTTCAATGTCATCAGCCTGTAGGTTGAGTCTATGCAGAGCTGTAGCTTCATCGTGTCTGCTAGATGGCTGAACTCTTCAAAATCACGTAGCGATCAATCCTTTCGGCATAATACTTAATCTGGAGCAGCCTCAGTCTAAGGCTGGGAGACAACGAAGTGCAATTAAGTATGTTGCTCGCTGAACCCACGGCAGCCCTCAAGGCCTCATGTATTGCACCTTTATGCTTCAGAATTTTCGTCAGGCTACGGCATGTCACGAGTCTCGAATTGCACACACATACAGTTGGAAATGTGAAACCATAATCGCAGCTCGCGATACAAAATAACTTACTCAACCTTCCCTCATCTATGTAGACTCCACCGTGAGAGCGGCATCCAACGCTTGCAAGGCGCGATCCCTGTCACCCATAATCGACGTCTGGTTCGTCCACAACATCAGCTGTTGCGCCAGTGCACTCCTCCTAGCAAGGTCATCCGCCGCCGAGTCCCCCGCCACGCCCACCGCGTCGCCGCCAGCCTCGGACGGCGAGAGGAGGAAGTCGTAGAGCATCCCGGACGTGCGCGAGCGCTGCACGATGTCTTGAGAGAAAGGGCGGCGGATGGCGTCGTACGCCTGGAGCACGTGCGGGAGCGTCTCGCGGGTCGCGCGCGGGTCTGCGAGGAGGCTAGCGAGGACGAAGCCGTCCTGAGTGGATGTTAGAGGCGGGCCTCGTGCATTGGGAGAATAGTGAGAATAGAGCGGGCTTACCTCGATTGCTTGGCCCGCTCCAGAAGCCTGATGAGGGGTCATCGCATGTGCCTGTCATTGGTAGGAGAGTCAGATGTTGATTCGGTTTGACGGGGTTTCATGACTAAGGCGTGCACTTACCGCGTCGCCGACTAGTGCAACGCGTTCCCCGACGTACGTTGGTAGGTGAGGGATGGTGTTGATTGCCCACAGCGTGACCTTTTCTGCGCACTGTACGGTAAAGCCATCAGCGTCAGCTCGAATAGTCTCACGATCAGCGTAGACTCACGTTGAGTAATTGTGTCATCATCGGCTCCCAGCCGGCATACGCGTCGAGTAACTCCAGCTTCGGTACCTCCTTGACCCATGCACCGTCGTACTTAGTTCCCTCCCGCTCTGGCTGCGAGACTAAGCCGACGATGTTGATGAGCGTGCCCTGGGCCATCGGGAAGCCAGTCATGTGCTACGCAGGTCAGATCCACTGAATGTAAGTTCGCGTGTACGCAGAGAACGTCGCCGCACTTTGTTCTGTCCACAAAACTAGACGGCACGTACGGTCTCAGCCGCTGACTCTCAAGAATGGCGAAGGGGGATAGACTGACCAAGACGACCTGTGACAAACACGGATGCTCCGGATTGACTTTCTCGAGCACAGCACGCGGGATGAGGCTGCGGTACGCCACCGTCCCGCTCCAGACCGGCTCGGAGTCCGCGGGGTAAGCCAGCGTGCGGTCACGATAGAGCACACCGCGGACAACGGACTTGATACCATCACACCCTACGACGAGGTCACACACAGCCTGAGAGCCGTCGGTAAAGGTGAGCTCGATGGGTGCCGACCCGGCGGACGGGACCGTGTAGGACGCGAGACGCTTGTGGAAGTGCGCTGTGTAGGAGGGGTCTGCGGGAAAATGCGCGGCAAGGACCGCCTGAAACCGTGCGCGATGGAAGGGTCGGACACCACCTGCATGTGTCAGCTCTTGCGTAAGTCGTGCGAGCGATGCGTAACAACATCTCGGGACTCTGCGCCACGTACCGATTTGCGAGTAGGCACCCCTTGGAACCTCAGAGGGTGATCCCCCATCCACGGTGTAGTCAGACTTTCGTATTTCGATTGACTGTCCTGTATTAATGTGTTAGCAGATCCTGACACTACCTGTGGAAGTGTCACCAGAGATGTGTACCTGCATCCCCGGCATCGCTACTAGAGATGGCGGCGAGGTCAGCGGAAAGGCCGAGTGTCTCCATAATCTCCCAGACCCTCGGCCAGAGACCGATGCCTGCGCCGATTTCGGTGAATGTCTGTGCAGCCTCGTAGATGTCGACCTCGACGCGGGATCCACAGAGCTTGTGCAGGGATACGGCCAATGTCAGCCCGCCAATCCCGCCGCCTCTGGAAGGAAGCTGTGAGCAAATCCGAGGCATGACGGGAACAGAGATGTACATTACGGCGATCCTGAGCTTGGGTTCGTTGGTCATCGGAGCTCTGAGCGATACGAAGTAGTGCAAGTGGACCACTGAGTCGTAGCATGATATCGACTGTATTTATGTGAGGCAGGGAACCGGGATTGACAGAACTATAGCTGCGGATCACATGTGCACTCGGCATCTATGACTTTGTACGTTTCGCCAATACTTTGAGGGAGTGTCTCAACTTTCCCCATCAATTTAAACGAGACTCTGAAAGGAATTCAAGCTGCTGGAAGCGAGCTCGTTAGCCCGTGTTCTCTGCTTCCCCGCCGAGTTAGCTGCACTTCAAGGCGAGCGAGTACCCACCGAGTCTGAAAATCCCTCCCCAAGCTCCCGAAACGCTCCGTGGATGCGCGCGGCGCGGCGATTGATTATTGATCGTGGAGCTTGCGTATGCATCCTGGTGATGGCCAGCCAAACGCGTCAATGCTACTGCATCGGGCCCTGCCAGTGCGTGCGACTACTACGCTGCAGGTTGGTGCACTGGCACTAACTGACTCGGATTCAAGTGGTGGCTAAATGAACACGTACCTTCATTTCTGAGTGGGACACGGGTCCCGCAGGCCTATTCATAGGCTGGATAGCGCTGGCCCCTGCGGTGAATGTCCTCGTGGTGGAGGATCTACAACAGCGAGCAATTAGACTGCAATTAGGCCGTTCAGGCGGTTACAGCAAGAATCTGACTGTTACTAGAAGCATACATCACTGAGTTGGTGAGTGTGGGAATTCGCTATGAATCGTCGTTCACTCACGTCCTGCTTCGACCGAGACCACCATCCACAGCATCTACACCGCCTGAGATGTCTTGGAGCACTTCATTCATCAACTCATTTGCTGTCGAAACATCAATATCTTGAATTCTCTTAGTCTGCACGTACAAATGAGGTCTAAGCTCGAGCAGCGCCTTGGAGACGGCCCATCCAACGATCGCGCGTTTCTGTCATGAATGCACCCGACCCCAGGCCAGACATCGGTTGGTAAGTTTCACCTGGCGCTCTTTTGCTGCATGTGCAGCCAAGCGGTGTATTCGTCTCGATGGTGTAAGTAGCAGGACAGAACGGCAAAAGACAAGTGTTGCTTGGCGTTCCTCATTGCTCTCGTACGCATGATCCTCGTCCGCCCATTCCCCTCGTTGTCGCTTCGAGCCTTCCAGCTTCCCGGCACAAGACTCTCATCACCGTCTGGGCCGTGGACGTGCAGGGTGCCGTATACGTACGGGCGTCGCAGGACGGACTCCGATCGCCGCGTTGGTCCCTGCGTTTCAGCTCGGCCTTGCGCCTCCGTGCTGCTGCTTTTGCGTTCTGCAGGTGTCCGAATCGGACGATGATGGCCGTTCGGTCAGCTGGCCTAGGCTCGCAACGCATACCGCTCCCAGGCAGCACCGACCACCGCAGGACCACCGTGCTGCAGGCTTACGGACTCGTGTCGAGGAAGTCACAGCTGCATATGGTCCTCGGCGTTCATGCCCGTTCTCGTGACACGCCTAAAAGATGCCAAGTTACTCGTTCCGCCTCGCAGGTATAAAGGTGCACGTCGCCCTCGTCTCTTCTCCAGTTCGTCGTCTCTCAACTCGACTTGAACCGCATCCGACTTCGCACATCTTCTCATTCTCGACGTTTCTTACGCCCGCCATCATGCGTTTCACCTCCGCTCTCGCCGCCGTCGCCCTCCTCTTCGCGCCTGCCGCGCTCGCCCAGAGCTCCGTCACGGTCGCGTACGACGAGAACTACGACAACGCCAGCCAGTCGCTCTCCACCGTCTCGTGCTCCGACGGCACCTACGGGCTCGAGTCCAAGGGCTACACCACGTTCGGCTCGCTCCCCGACTTCCCCTACATCGGCGCGGCCGCCGCGGTCAGCGGCTGGGGCTCCGCGGAGTGCGGCACCTGCTGGGAGCTCGAGTACAACGGCGCCACGATCAACGTGCTCGCGATCGACCACGCCGGCGATGGCTTCAACATCGCGCTGGAGGCTCTGAACGCGCTTACGAACGGCCAGGGATCCAGCGTGGGTCGCATCACCGCGACCGCTACCCAGGTCGACGCCTCTGTCTGCGGCATCCCCTAAGCGTGTTCATATGTGGTATGTTGTTACGGTCCGCTCCGTCGGGCGTTGTTATTGATTGTATACTGGACAGGACAAACGTTACGATGGAATGACTTGATTTCGATGACAATGGACGATGCTACGGACTCTCGCAAAGACTGCTTAGCCTAGCTCACGCATTCCGGACTTTACTGCAGTGTTTCAGATTTGGGTTGATGTTCACGAATGGACTATTGCTTTGGCTTTCTGCGTTGCGTGCGTTACCTGATGAACGGCCACATCCAGTCTTCAGATGTTTTCTGCTACAGGTACGTGCACGACGGAACAGTGACTTCAATGGAGAGCGGTGGCTTTATCGGTTAAAGTGATTCGTTGGTGAGTCCAGATGGTTGAGCCGCATCGATGATGATTATATGAAGGATATAGTACACTGTTTACAGGACACAATAGCACTTCGTGTTAACCCTCGTGGCAAAGAGCCCTCTGGCGTCACTGCGTTTGCTAGCTTCGTGGCGTCTACTGGTTCAACGCGGAGACGATCAACAACGGCGGTATTACCAAACAACCGGCCACACTCACCGAGAGCTAGTGCGGCTGAGGATTATGCTCGTAGGGGCATCCCGGTCTGCACGGCCTGTCAACGTATACGATCTCATCCGTATATCCCAGCTGCGCCGTGCTTGTGATCTTCCCCGCCGTCGCCCAGGACGCCTTCTTGAAGGGCATTTCCTTGATGACCGTGTCTCCCGGTAGGCACTCGCCGCATGTGTGTAGCAGCTGATACTGCACTTTGATGCACCGGTTGAGGTCCAGCCCGTCAACTTGCTCGGTCTCCTGTGAAGTTGACATGATGATGGGGAGGGGGTGGCGGGCGATGCGTGCGTCTGGTGTGGGGCGGGTGCGGGGTCAGGGGGAAGGCTGTGTGAGTGTCCAAAGAAGCCCGCCTGCGGTCTTTTTATAGACCTTCGTCAAGGTGGTATGTGGCTTTGACAGAGGCGACATTTTACCATAAGCGATGGACAGGGGTGGCTCCGGTGGCCATTGTACCTAGGTTGAAACACGACGTGGTCACTGGAGCCCTTGTCAAGCCAGTGGTGGCCACGGCAGCAAAGGGAACAAAGAGACATGGTTGGGACTGTGTAGCTATGTAAGTGGCGACGTGTTACGGGATGCTTATGAGACAAAGCGGGTGCCATAATGCTCGCGCCGCGATCTGTGCAGTGGGCTGAAGCCGCAACTTGGAAGGCAAAAAAGCGTCAGAGGGGTTTTCAGGCTCGTTTCGTAGTGACTATCATACCACACGCAATAAAGAGGATGTGCCAATTGACGCTATCCGAGCAGGCGTTACGCAATGAGCAACCAGCTGTAGATATTGTTCTTACTCACCTTCCATATTGAGTCACTCACTCCCATCAACCGGTTGATAGACTGCATCGGACGCAACGGGCGGCCACTCTGAGCGTTTCGCATTGACTCCGAATCAAAATCCTTGATCATGGCTATTCACCACAGTGGTATTCGACCAGTGACACTGATCCGACCGTGCCCGCCGACAACACAGACGCTTCATCCACTTGCCGTACAAGCTCGCTGACTCCCCGTCTCGTTCTTCCGAGTCGCCGTCCAGGAGTCGACATGCCGTCTCTTCGAGTTTTGTCGACAGTATTGGACCTACCTGGCCGACTCCAGCAGCGACGCAATGCCTCTGTAGAGTCATCGTCACCAGCATGGCAGGAGCGTGCTCAAGAGGACGTCTCGAACTCCGTGCGCGCAGACCAGGAGACGCAGCCTACACCGGCGCAAGCTCGGGCCAACGATGAGTTCAAGCTCCCGAAGATGACTTCGTTGGTGATTGTCCTGCTGGCTAGCGCCCTGTTGCAGGTACGTTGGCAGGTCGCAACATGCGTGCTTTGCTTGACACGCGCGAGATATAGGTGTCGTTCTTCATCGTGGTCTCCTCTTCGGACGAGTACGCAGAGTACTTGGGCGGTACAGCGACGTTCTCCGGTCTCGTCATCGGTATTCCTACCGTGTTCTCCGGACTGGCTTTGGTGCCTCTCACGAAGCTAGACAAAGGTGTGTCCTACGCATACATGCAGCCTGTGGCCCTGTCTCAGTCCGTCCGATCTACTGCAGGTGGCTACAAGCGACCTCTGCACTTCGCATGTGCGTCGGCGCTCCTCGGTAACATCCTCTACAGCCTGGCCTACCGCGCGAACTTCCTCTATCTCATCCTCATTGGTCGTATTGTCTCCGGCTTTGGATTCACCTTCTGGATGTACTCTAAGCGGTACTGCTCCGATCCAAGAATTGTCGGCGTACGGCGAAGGACCATGCTTGCCGGTTGGCTAGTTCTGGGGCAAGGTGTGGGGTTCAGCGCGGGCCCGTTCCTAGGCGGTCTTTTGTGAGTCATTCAGCAGTGGTGGCTCTGGTGGCCTACTGAGCGTGAATATATGCGTTCCAGTTACAAGGTTGGCTTTCCAACTCAGTGTTCAACGGGTACACGAGCCCAACTTGGATCCTTGCTGGGATCTGGGCTGTCTTCTGGGCTATCGCTGCGGCCGTCTACGAAGACGCACCCGAGCCCGCGCCCTTGGCCGCAGAAATCGAGCTACAATCGATGCCGATACAAGAGCAGGTCGTGATGAATGAAGTGAAGGACAAATCTACCGCCTCTGTCGCAGGTCCAAGTTCCAGTGCAGCGCCAGCGTTCCTTGTGTCGGACGTGCCAGCGGAGCCTCCTTTCCGGATGACTTGGGCGCAGATTGGCGTCACCGCGACAATGTGCTGGTTCGCCATGACATGTTTCTTTATCCTCGGCGCCTGGGAAGCGAACATCCCCGTCTTCACTGGATCGAACTCTACGCTGAACCCCTTCCACTTCAACCCGTCGGCTGCCGGCGACCTCATCGCGCTTGGCGGCGTCTGCACCATCCCGTTCCTGCTCGTAAACCTCCTCGTCGCGCGGCACGTGCAGGACCGGCACACGCTCGCGGTCGGCTCCGGGCTCGGACTCGTCGGACTGCTCATCGCCATCTCCATCCTGCACGCGGATCAGGTGAACTACGGCAGCCTGTGGGCCTGCTGGTTCCTCGTCGCGCTCGGCTTCAATCTCGCGAGCACGGTGACGCTCAGCCTGCTCTCGAAACAGCTCCCGGGCGCGTGGAACGGCCGTATCAGCATGTTGATCCAGTATAGCAACTATACGGGGCGCGTGACCGGCGCGGTGTGGGGCGGCGCGGGCGTGAAGATCGGTATGCTGAGCTTCGTCGGCATGCAGATCGCGCTTGTCGGGATTGGCGCGGTGATGTTCTCGACGCTTTGGAGACAGCTCAAGGCGAAGACAGGTTAAGTGGTCGATGGGGTATACTCTAGGTATACTTCTCGACGTTTACTAGCGCAGGGCAACGCGAGCCCTCGATATATATCTACCTCGTCGTACTCCTAATGCTTGACGGTGTCACACCTGGAGGACGGTCTTCATCATCTGACGACGGCTCGCCACTTACGTCTGTCGAGGTGTTTGCACACCACCACCGGTTCGACGAATGTGCAACTTCCTTCGCCACACACGGGGTCGACGTCGATCTGGGGTCAGCATATGGGAATGTCATCATATCACAACTGCAGTGAGGATCCCTACGTACCCCGGAGTGAGATAGGATACCGCGATTCGCAACGTTGTTCGCGACGGGACTGGATTGGACGAACATTGCTAACGACAGTAATCCGATATGTCCTTTACGTTGGGAAGTTTGCAGCACACTTTCCACCTCAAATCCGCGGTCTGCAACATCGCTACGTATCACAGCATGTGGCCATGCGGAAAGTGAGTCTGTACAACGGCAGAAGCGACTCCGACGACCATGTAGAGACCGGGTGATCGATACTACGGAGTGAGCATCGTTGCGGGCAAGCGGTGCACTACTGGTAAGTATAATACCCATGCTCATTAAGTGGTACATCTGATCATGTCTCGGACATTCGGCGACTCCTTTCACCGTTTGCGAAGGAAGCTGTTTCGTTTCAACGCCTCGCCTACGAGCGCTGGCTTTTTGATCGGGTGCGCACACTGTGCCCAACATGTCGCCAGAAGGGCTCGCCATACGTTGCTGCAAGTGAGCAATAGTCCGGCCGGAGTCGTGGGGGCGCGAATGGAGGCGTTGAGGTGAAACGACGAGCTCGCAACTATCTGCGATGATCTGACAGGTCATCCAATACACACCTGTAGTGAGTGTACACATGTAGTTGTTGATCGAGCTAACACAGCCTTTCAGTCGGCCTCGTACGAAGTTACATCCAAAAGCACAGCCTTCAATGTACGACGTACACGATATCACCGAGATCAGGTTCTCGGACGGGCAGTATGCACCGTGCTGTAGTGCTTCTCCCCGGGAGGGTTCACTGTTTCTCGGCAGGAGGTACATGCCCCCGGATGCACTTCGCCGCGAGTCACGTTTTCGATCACTGCAAGTATAAGTACAGGTCAGCAGGGCCATTTGTTCTCCATCGCCAACGATCTATCACAGCTTCACCTCGACCAAAGCCCTTTTTTCCAACCTTCCAAACTTTCAAGACTTTGGTCAACATGTTCGCATTCATTGCTCTCTCTGTCGCCCTCGCGCTGGCTCCCTCGCCATGCCCGCCGCTCTTTCGGCCCGTCAGGACGCCTGCACTGCTCTCGGTGCCGGTGCTTCCAACTCTTTGACCTACAATTCCAGCTGGAGGTTGTCAACCCCTCTGCGGCGGACGACGCGACTGGCGCTGTGCTCGCTCTCGTCGGGTGACCAGAACGGTAATGGTGGCTCAGGTCCGTCTATAATCTACACTGTTACAATCAGTAAATGCTCATCGTTGCTCGTTGCTCTAGGAGATTCACCAGAACTACACTGGCGAATTCTCTGGCTGGACGCTCAGCGGAGGCGCGCTCACACCGATCGCCAGCTCGACGAACAGCGGCGTCGTCGGAAGCGACTTGTCCGTTGCGACGGGTCGATCGTCGAGTTTGCAGTGACCAACAACGGCTCCGGCAACGCTGCGGCGGGCCAGACGCCCTACTGCGCTGTGGTAAGTCTCTCTTATTAACAGACAACTTGGAGGCTGAATTGATCGGGAATCTTAGAGCGATGCGGGTGGCCATGCGACGCTCGCGGTCAACGGTGACGCGAACTCGTTCGCGGTGTGCCAGAGCGGCACCGCCAGTGTCCTGGTGTACAGTGCCGTCGCCGACAACGGCGGTGCATACACCTTCGACAGTTGCAACGTGCAGACCGTGCACCTCGTCCAGGCCTAAGCGTAGCCTCGGAGTTCTGAACCCCGAACATCACACACTCCTGCAATCTTTGCCTGCATGATTCTCGGACTTCACCATATACTCTACCTTCCCCTCGCGTACTTGCGCTTTAATTTGTCTGGTTGCTGTGTACGCAGCGTCGCTCTTTGTTTACAATGCTAATTATCGTCGAATTGCTCTGATACCTCGCCGCTTATGCAGTGCTCTGAGCTTTCACTCGAAGTCTGTGAGTCCGAGTCGTAAGTGTCATTGCCTGAGGGCAACAGCGCGACATGTCACAAATCACATGATGGACAGGCGGCCACTGTAGCGCGACTCTGAGTCTGTGACTCGAGTGACCACCGCGGCGGCGGTCGTTGCCTCCTCTCCGTCTCTTTAGACCGCTGAATAGCTGCTCTACCACAAGCTGCCTTGCTCTCGCAACATATATTTTGACTTGAAGACAAGGTAGCAGAAGGACAATCGTCTAGGCTAGTGGAGAGCCGTCAGTGATGAGCTTGTAATGCCAGGCCCTTTAGGCCTTTCAATAGGCTTTGCGGTCATCGAGTTCCACCCAGGTATACTCAAGTCCTTACCTTGCTACCGAGTCTCTTCTAAATTCTCGCCATAGGTGTCGTCTCGACCCTGCTGCCCAAACAAGTGTACGAAGTCGGAAGTCACTGAATCCTAGACGCTTGTCGGCTCTTGTAGTCTGCAACGGAGACTAACTACATCCTACGACGCTGAACCTTGGGCGACACCTCAAACCACACATATATGCCTTGTGCCGCATATACCAATCCGGCGGAGACGAAACTGTGGAGGACAAGGATGCGGTAGGAGAGCGGTTCGCAAGCCAGCTGGGCAACGATGCTTGCGCTTCTCATGCCCTCCTCGCTTCCGACGAGGACTGTTGAGAGCTGAAAGCAGCAACAGCAGAGAGGATATTGCCTGTGGTATGTCGTATTCAGCTAGCCTCTTTGTTCTGATCAGACAATATGTGAAGTGACGAGTCCTGCGACGGGTGCTCGCTTCACCCACTTCGATGCCAATGCTATTGACCGAAGAGTCAAAAGCAGAGTTATATCAATTTACAAGACACTTTGACCCTGTGTCAAGTGTTGTATGTGATCCCAGGATGGTACGGTGCTAGAAGGTCATGACAGGCAACGGCTAGATCGTCCATGGACATACACGCACTGTGCGTCCGATCTAGTAGCCCACACGTCGGTGATCATCTCCGTTGTACATGAACCACTGCAGTGCTCGTCAGTGCGACCAATGATTCATCGAAGACAGTGGTCAGTGCTGTCGAGGGCATGTTCGTACTTCTGAATCGCTTGCAGGCCGGAACAGACCGACTCGCGTCACGACCAGGCTATGCATGACCGCTGTACGCATCAATATTACGGCTCAGCGCTCACGGGGGTGCGCGCCGTCGGTGCGTCTTGTGTGATTGTCTCACTGGACGGTCTCAACACGGCGATGGGTCTGCGGCCTCTGCAGCCCGGGCGTCGTAGCCTTCGTCATACGTCCGAGTATAAAGGCCAGCATGCTTGGACGGGGTCTGCCCCATCCCCCTCTTTTGCTTCAGCAACTCCAAAGTTCCTCTTCGCACTCTTGCCTTCGCAATTCCTCGAGCTTTGGCCGATATGTTCGCGTTCTCAATCCTCCCCGTCGTTCTCGCAGCTAGCACCTTTGCTATGCCTGCCGCTTTGACTGCCCGTCAGGACCCCTGCAGCGCCCTGGGCGAGGGCGCGACCGGCTCGCTCGCGTACGACTTCAGGCTCGCCGCGGTCGGCGTGTCGGGTGAAGGTGTTTGGAGCACGACCAAGCTTGCTCTCCTGCAGGGCGCGGATGACAATTGGATGTTGCGGGTTGGTGATGGACCTATAATGCAGTTGAATACTACCGCTGACCTCACACCCTGCAGGAGACCTGGGAGAACAACACAGGAATCTTCCCGTCCTGGAAGCTGCAGCATGGCGAGCTCATCCCGAACACGGGCCCTGGTAGCGACGGGCTGGTAGGCACTGACTTTGCGGTGTCACCTGCGTCCATTGTCGAGTTCGGCGTGACGAACAACGGTTCTGGCAACGCCAATGGTGGGCATACGCCTTATTGCGTTCTGGTAAGGATGATTCTGCAATGACATTATACGAAGTGATGCTGATGTTCCCGAATGACAGCCTGACGCGTCAGGAAACACGACCCTCGCCGCCAACAACAACACGCAGGGCTTCTCCATCTGCGAGACTCCGGACCTTGAATGGGTCGTGGTGTACGAGCCGTCGTCCGACAACAATGGTGCTTACGACGTCACCACGTGCAGCTCTCAGCAAGTGCAGCTCATCGCACCGTGAGCTTGCCTGCCAGTGGGCTAGTGCGAGGAAGACTTCGCGATCATGGACATTCTTATCAGACTACGTTGGACATTCTCATCTACCTCACTTAATTACCGGCGCGTTAGGCTTTTTTACCGCTTAGTACACGCGCGACACCGCTCTTTATACCTTGACTCTAATTAACATCAGTTGTCGGTGCCTTGAATTCCTCGTCAAGGCTGAGCGCTGCATGGTCATATACGCCGAGTGTGTTGTATATTGTATCGGACCGGGATCTCGGTCGGTCACCCTGGTCGGCCACTCATGCATTGTTCAACAACGGCTGCACCATTTGGATGGAAGCCCCAGAATCGTATTCGCCTAAGTCGTAGCTATCGACTCGTGCCCTCACTATGAGACATGGCTAAGAAGTTCACCTTTGACTAACCGAGCACTCTGACCCGTCCGACTGATAACCTGCCGGTCACAGTATATATCTTCGTTCTGAAAAGGACATTGTGCTCGAGAACTAAGATTCTGCTGTTGGAAGCCAATGTATCCAAGATTGCTGCTATTTTCAATGGCGCTACATCAGGGATACCCGACTACCTACTTCCGTACCTTCCGGAGGTACCGGCAACTCGCCATTTCTGTCTGACACGAAGGTACGATAGCTTTTCATGTTTGTCAGTCACATGGGTACAGACTACTCGTGCAAGGGGAAACACGCACATGCGACTTAATCGTTCGTGCTCCTCATGGGGCACGGAAGGACGTGTTATCAGCAAAACGCGACGGAGATGCGCGTCAGTGATCTCGTATGTCTGCATGGGGTATCGCTCAGTACGACGATGTGTAGAGCATCCGAGCTTTCGTACTGGTTTGTCCTGTGCGGTGGCATAGCTTTGGTCATCTTGTTGGGTACGTGGCTCGTGTAGAATCCTTTGGAGCTGCATCAAGTAAAGCAATGAGTCACCTTGAGACCTGAACACGGAAGTGCAAACTCACACGTCGTTGAAACGCTGCCTCTTCCGCTCTTGACAGCACCTGCTGAGACTCAGGTGATGACTCCCCAAGTTGGCTGTATTTGATATCATCTTCATGCACTCCGTCGCTGGCATCATCGACGACCGATTTCGCAGTGCTGGACGGGCCAGGAAGAGCTTCGTGTATGACCTCCAGATGTGCGTTGTACACCAGTGCCTGCAGATCTGCGCCAGAAAATCCGGCCGTCTCACCAGCAATAGCTTGGATATTTGCGGACGGAGCAACCTTGACTTTACGACTAAGTGCTTCTAGAATCTAGACGTTGTGGTCGTCAATGGCTTCTCTGAACCGATAAGTATGAACTCGACCCACTTCTCTGCGCTCGTCAATAGTGGGCATGTCGCAGAGCAAGGACTTATCCAGTCGACCTGGACGCAGAAGGGCTGAGTCAATGAGGTCAGGCCGACTAGAACGGCGTGAGTTGCTGTGATAGAAGCAGACCGAGTTTTGATATTCACCTTGTGGCAGCTAATACGTAAACGCCATCGAGCCCCTCAGCACCATCCATCTGAGTCAGCATCTGATTCACAACTCTGTCGGTCACACCGGTGCTATCATGCCCTCTGTGTCGAGTAAGGTTATCAATCAGTATGCCTCAATCTACTATGCGAGAGTTGAACTGACCGCTTGGGGGCTATGGAATCGAACTCGTCGAAGAAAAGGACACATGGTTTGGCAGCACTCGCCCGTTCGAAGAGGTCTCGAACCTGCAAGATACGTGTCAGCGCCCATTGGACACGCGACATAGGGACCTACAGATTTCTCGCTTGCTCCGATGTACTTGTTCAGTAACTCAGGCCCCTTGATGCTGATGAAGTTCAACCCACACTCCTTCGCCACTGCCGAAGCCAGCAAAGTCTTGCCGCAGCCAGGATAGCCATACAGTAGGAGTCTAGGGCCCGTCAGTGATACTGCTTCACAAAGAGGAAGCCAGGACTCACCCAGAACGCAGGCGCAAGGGGGACTGAGCGAATATAGGTCCATACTTCGTCGGCCACTCGAGAGTCTCTCGGAGAATCCGTTTGGTCTCGTTGAGCCCTGTCGGGCTTCAATGACTAAACTCCTGAAACGTGTACACTAGACTTACCACCGATATCCGCCCATTCTACTTCAGATTTCTGCAGCTTCACGTCACGCAGGGAGTGAGGGACGAAGTCGACCTGAGCCGTGGCAAAGTCTTCCGGAACAAGTGTAGTCTGCATAATGATCAGTAATCATACCTGCTAGGTCAACGATTAATGTACATACCACCCCTTCTCCACCATCGCCATCCCCTCTACTACGAATCGCGGCTTGATGCACTGCTCTGGCAACGAAGTCTTTGAGGTCGGTCACGGAGTATCCCTCAGTCTGCGTTGCGAGAGCAGTGAAGTTGACAGATTTGGACACGTCTTCGGTGATATCTGACGTATCCATAAGCTCCCGAACAAGCTGGCTGATGATCTGGCCAACTCGTCAGTCGTAGCTCGTTGTACGCGGATGAACGGGCGCACATCTCGTCGAGCATCCTTTGCAGGAGGTTTCAAAGAAACGACCTCTTGAAACAGGTGCGATGAGTTCAGCGATGGATGCAGTGCTACCTGAGACTCAGCAGCCGCGAGGAGGACTATGCCGTTGGCGTTGGGAGCCGCAGTACGCGATGACGGGCCAAACGTAGATAGGAACAGCTCAGTGATGTGACGGCTACGGAACGAGTCGGCATGCTAGCACGAAGCAGTAGTCAACACAAGACTAACGGGAGGACGATAGAAAGAAGGTTACTCACTTCGAGCTCGGCACTCATCAGTTTGTCGATATTGTCCATGACAAGGACGCAGGGCCGATGCCATGTCGCCTTGGCTATCCAGTATCGAAGCAGATCGCGCGTCTTGCCTACCGGAGTCTCGGCGTGTTTTGACACGTCCACATGGAGTACATCTGGCGGATGCGTTGAGAGCTCGAGCAATGTGCAACTACGTCCCACGTACATGCAAAAATTGTGGGGTCTTCCTGCATCGATTGCGCGATCGCATGTAGGAGGGATGTCTTCCCCGCTCCAGACCGACCGGTCACCAGAAGCCCCGGAACTAGGTCGTGTCAGCACTTCGCTGTTGCGAAACAATAGCATATACTCACCTCCGCGGACCCTGCTCCCGAATGCATGGACTAGAAAGTTGGTCTGACAGAACTTGACGGCTTTGCCGAGGATGTCGTCGACGCCGGCTAGGCCATGATTTCTCGGCTCCAATGTTCGCATGGTGTCACTCAACATATGCGAGTTTGGCTCCGCAAAGTGTCCCAGCTCGGGCAGAGACGCAGCCTCCGGCGCGACAAAAGATACTCTGAGCCTGAGGTGAGTGTGGGTCAAACCAACAAACAGCCCGTACGTACCGTACCATGTCCCATCTTCCACGCATTCTATTTGGCCACACGGTACAATATGACCTTCCGGGACAGGCACGCCCTGCGACCAGATCAGCACCACCTCGTCACGCACTTTCTCGGGCGGCTGCGACAGTGCCTTTGTATTCGATGCTTCTCCGTTAGGGATAAGTACGCGGGGAGCAGGCGGCGCCGTTGGTGCTCCAGATGCCTGCTCTTGCGATGGATCGCTCGGTGGCGACAGCCTCCTGACACGAGCACGCCAAGGCAGCGGGTCGGACGAGGAGCCCGAAGGTTCGTTCTGAGCACCCAGCGTGGCTTTCGAAACGTACGCCACAATCACGTCCGACTCCTGCGAGGAATTGACCAGCATCGATGGCAGTGAGACCAGTCGCTGGGGAAGCACGCGCATCATGCGCGCGGGCGAGCGTATAACTTCATCGGCTGGTGTTGGCCCTGCGTGGCCTTCTGCTGGACCGCTGATGCCGTCGACCTTACCGTTGGCACTGCGATGTTTCTTCTGCTTGGTCTTGCCATTGACGACAGCGCCATTTTGTCGAGCGTGCAGCTTCGGAGCTATACTCACTTCGGTGCTCGTCGTGAGCAGGAGTGCCTTGCCTGATGTCGAGGGCTCTAGTGACACTGAATTACGTGTCAGCTGAGCTATACAACTACTCAACGGACCAGGCTGAAGTGCTTGCATGGCACTCGACATCGCAAGAGCAACGTCTTTTGCCAGGTGTTCGGAAACAACATTAGAAAGGAGGCCTAACATTGAAAGGCATGTCTCTGATTGGCTGCCTTTCATGTTAGGTCTCTGGCATGCGTCGTGCCCGAAATTTCCAGACCAAATTAATGTAATGCCTGAGTAAGCACTCCGTACAAGGTGTTTTGTCCGTAGTTCCAGCTAAATCCACACCGTTGGGCCCAACGCAAAAATTACGGAGGACGCCAGATTCTGAGTTTCTAGTAATCCGTCCACTGCGCCGTTCAGCTCGGGCCACCGTAGCCAAGATCGCGACTGCTGGCTCAGTCCGGCCGTCGAAGTACCCTGTGTTCGGCGTGATCCAGCCAGAGTCCGCTCATGTGCGTTTGAAAGATACAGGGCCAAACGAAATAGTTTCAGCTGTCAATTTAATGGAGACTACGTACCCACTCTAAGACGAACTCTAGTGCGCCCAAGCACCCAGATATCGATCTCTTGTCCCACGGCAGCCACTCTCACCTGCGAGAGGAGGGTCGACTCGACGTGAGATGCATGGAGTTCCTGAAGGGAATGAGCAACAGCCATTCGAAACATGCCTACACTTACAATATTTCCCAGTCGTCGGAGGTGACTGGTTCAGTAGCGACTGTTTTGGCGTATGCGAGGTCGTGCAACAACCCAATCTCTACCTTCAGACACGTGACCGAAAGCAAAAATGCCACGTCGATCCCAACGACTTACGACGTCGCCGGACAACAGTCCAAGTCCTTGCGCGAACTGTGGATCCATCTCAATGGTTTCAAGGCCTTTGTCGGTACTGCCTGCGCTGTTGAAGTGCGCCAGCGACGAGGCAGACGCCATGCCTGTCCAGCCGACATATGCCTCGAGCTTTCGCTTCGGGGCATCTGCGCCATCTGCGTGAACCCAAGTTAGATGGACGGCGAGTCCTTGAGGTCGCTACATCCTATGCGTTCGGATGAGTAGATGACGGGCAAGTATTGAGTTCACTCACTACGCCGCGTTCGAGCAGTGGTCCATATAGTGAATTGGGAGATTTGCCAGCGATGAATGAAGGGATACAAAGTGAATGCGTGCTCTTCGCGGCATGAGTCGGACTGGGTCTTAGGCAGGACGTGGTGGCGAGTGTCGCGCGACGAATACGACACCTTCCTAAAACAGACAGGCCGTATTTTCACGTGTTTGCAGTCAACCGGGGAGTTTGTGCGGGGCCCCGCATCCGGCTCTTTGAGGTACAGAACTAGAATATGGTGAATAGTGAATAGTATGCTGTCCCTCCGCTGCTTGTCCTGTGTGGAGATTTCGCATCAATTGCACTGCACATATCCATAATGGCCACTAAGAAGCGTCTGATTCCGTAGCCGCACCGAGCGAGAGACCAAGCTTAACAATTCGTGGGCAAATGGAGGACGGTCTCATAGTCAGCGAACATGGTAAGATCGAATCAGTACTATGGCAACATGGTCGCCCTTTCACTTCACGGAACAGACGGGATTCCAGATTCTCCTCTATGCCCGATCATTCCAATGACCGCTCGAGCACACGTGCGAATGCAAGGTTACGGCAACTTCGGGAACCTCCCCCAGGCGGCGTCGATCTGGCGTCGACGGCTCTTTCAACCTCGTCCCCACGGAGTCGTCTTCAGGCTATCTGACCCTGGACTAAGTTCATCTATGTCGCAGATTTTAGTGATTCTTCAAAGCTTTGCGAAGCGATACTTCTACCGTTGCTGAATCTCTGCCGTTCATGGCGGTGAGCTCGTGTAATGCAGAAGCGGCAATCGAGCAACGCTTACTTGGATGTCGAGAACCTTGAGGATCTTCTCCGACGGGCCGTTGGGCGGGCGCAAGTTGGTGCCTATATATTTTGACTTCCGCCAGTCCAAGATGGTAATGTCGTGCAGCTTCCCTCCTCGTCAAACTGACGACGATGTGCATTTCCGATCTCATGACGCTGATTGGAGACGTCGTTGCTGAAACGACAAGTGCAGCGTTGTTTGCTCTTTCATTCACAAATGCGAGTATCTTAGGTTTGAGAAAGCAACAAAGCCGTCTGAGAGATAGCAAAACAGTATTCAAAACAGCAGATACGAGCACAAGACATACATAACAAAACAATGAATCAAACGTCACGTCTTCGCCTTCGCCTTCCGGCCCGCTTAGCAGGCGTCTTCACCACTGGCTCCTGAGCGTCGTCGTCTTTGATGGTCCCCCTACTCATCGCAGCCTCTAAAAGCCCCTCGTCATGCATACACATGATGAACTGAGTGATGAACGGCTCATAGTCGAAAGTTCGCTTGATGTGGTCCGTCTAACCCAGTTCAGTATGAGACTCGCATGAAGATCAGGTGAAGAGGCTCACCTGTGTCTCGCGCGCTTTAGCGATCTCTTCCTCGACAACGACCTTTGCGGCCAATGCAGCTTCGACGCACGCGTTCCAGGCTTCTGGCAGCTTCCGGACGGCCATGTCCAAGATCTCCAAATCCCTGTCCATCTTGCGCGCGCCGAAGTCAGCGGCGAACGGTAGGCCCTCTGTAGATGGCCTCAGGCTGGTCGTGAATGCCTCTGCAGCACTCGCCAGCAGCACATCGCTGACCTGGCTCCACACGTCAGCCCTCTCGGTCAAGGCGACGGGAGCGTAGACGATACCTTGTCTGCCCAACCCTCGGGATACGCCTCCTGTAACCTCCGCTCGAGCGCCTGCCGCTCACGCTTCCGCATCTCCAGCTCGTCGCTCGCACATAGATACTTCTCATCCACGATCGCGAGAAGGTTGTACCGCACGTGGTCGCTCTCGCTCGCCATATATACGTGCATCTTCATCCGCAGCGCAGGCCGCACGACGTTCATCCATCCCTTCGTACTCGGACCCGAGCCCGGCTCGGAGTCAAGCTCGCCAACCTCGATAGCTGTGTGCTGAAGCCCGTCGAGTTCCCACACCTTGCCATGAGCGGGGACGTATCCGATGAAGTGGTACTGTTCTTGCAGGTGGTCGTCGTTATCGGCTTTTGAAGGGCTTGCGGTAGTCTTGCGCTTTTTGGCTGGGGGCCCTTTGCGGCTTTGGCTCGCGCCTTATCTGCTCGAGGGTAGTGTGGGCAATGGCTTGCAATGACCCACGAATGTCGGCAGGTCTTATCGAGTTCAGTGCGAGGCCTTGGTTTAATGGCGATAGACACACCTGGCGAGGGAGTTGTGCGCATCCCGGATGAAACGCGAGCCAGACACCCCCAATCCTCTCATCTACGCGTCGCGTCACTAGGCACCCCATATATTGTCTTACCCGAACAAAGACGAAGCTAACTCAATTCGACGTACCACAGGTGACATCTCCGCTGTCGCTACTTGCAGCTCTCGAAGCTCCTCGCCAAGATCAACGTGAGGGCAGTTCAGGAGGACATTAAGGAGCGCATGGGAAGCGCAGGCATCGTCGCTCAGCTGGTTTGCGAACCACACTCTTTCCGCGTCCTCGTCCTCAATCTCGCCCGTGTTCGTCTCCTCCGTGTTGGAGCACATGTAGCAAAAAATCAACCCGTGTGGGTTGAGATGATCTGTCGCCCAAGGTTCAATGTCGTAGATCTCAGTAACTTCCAGACCTCGTACGCCAAGCTTGTGCAGCAGCGTCGTGAAGACACCTACAGCGCCGTTAGACTGCAGACTTGGTGGCATGGTAAAGATTTGACAGAACCTGGATCGGATTCGATGACCGCAAAAGGCCCGCCTACAAGCTCATCAGCGCTGTCCGCCGACCTCGAGGATTGTCTTATGTCCATGTCGGCTTGCCGACTGAGTACAACCTCTCCGTTACGCAGCCGCAATCTGGACCGAGGTCAACTTCAATCCCGTGACTGGAAGTAATACGAGTACGCCTTGGTGTAGTTCCGTTTTTGTGCCCTGGGGAAGCGGGATCTGGCTCAGAATAGACAGCTTTACGACCAAGGTTGTGCAGTGATAGGTGACGTCCTAAGTACTTGAGCTGAACTGAGAAGACCTCGAGAGTCGACATTCATAACATAAGTTACCCGCCAAGCATCATGTGATTTGTGACATGTCGCGTTGGGGAGGGACTGTCACACACCGCATTTATCCGACTTGTCGCGACTCTCTCCAAACCTCCATCGTCAACATTTTCCTGCTGGGCCTGTGGAAGCAATGTCTCTCCGTGTATCAGAACGACATCTTATTGCAGCTAAGCCGTCGCCGAGTTCTGCCCTGGCAGGCGATCCGTACGCATGTATGTCACGACTGGAATTACAGCACTGAACAGCTACGGAGACACTGGCACGACTCCCTACGTCACGGTAATGTCCAGACATCCTTGTCACAGTAGCTTTCCTGCGCAAATCAGCCTGGATTAAAGACATAGGTGACATTCATGCCAAACGTACTCTGCATGTAACAACACTTACCCAATATCTGTAGTGCTGCTCTATTTGTGCTCAATGGCAGGGCTTCTGAGTGTCTAAGCCTTTCAACGTACGTGTGAGGTAACAAATGGATAATGAGACGTGCGTGCTCACATGTCCTCACATGTCAACATACTCCGTTCCTCTAGGTTCTGCTGAAGGAAGACAAACGTCTGCTTCCGGTGTTCTAGATCGGACACGGATAGCTATGACCTCAAAAGTGACATACCGCTCCAAGTTGTATCTGATCAGGGCTCAGCTGGACTTGCCGACGATGTAGGTGATAGCATGTAAGGCCGTCGTAAGTTGCAACGCAGGCCAGTGGAGCGCTGGACGTCCAGCGCGATGTGGCTATATTAATTGCAGCCGCCTCAAGCCCTACGACAACGAGACGACTCGCGGGGAAAGAAGGCTCCATTCAATACTACGTGCACGATAAGTGGCCACCCACACGGCTGGGTCATACACTCCGTAGTCATTAGTGGCATAGATCCACACATGCGGTAGGATATCGCCAATGCAATTGATCCGACTTTGCTGCCTTGAATACAGTCTACCCACGCGGGATCGAGTCGACCCGGATGCGAGACTCAGTTGTCATTAATTCATTGTCTACTGACGCAGGATATATATCTACGGTCTCTGCACACGCCGCTATCGCTTGCAATCGTGACCCCCCCTGTTTGAGGCCCCTGCCATGCCCGCCAAGTTGAGGGTAGCAATTATGTGAGTAGGAGATTCCGGCTCGACTTGCTCATCTGTAACGTTCACCAGCGGCGCCGGGATCGGTGGCCTCACCTTCGCAGTCGCTCTGCAGAAGCTGTGCAAGGACGTTGAGGTCGTCATATATGAGGCAGCGTCACACCTCGCTGAAATCGGCGCTGGAGTGGGTCTCTGGCAGAGGCCCTGGAAAGTCATCGAGGAACTCGGGCTGGCAGACTCGCTCTTGCCCCTCGTGAACGGTAATCCAATGGATGGGTGTAAGCATCGAATCGCTGTCTCCGCTATACTGAAAGCTCACCGCCGACTACAGGGCAGAGCCTTGAGTACCGTAAGTGCGATCAACCGCAAGGCGTCTCCTTCTGTGAGGGTATACCGAAAGGTAAGGTTCGCTTACTCTTCACGTCCTTCTGAGTTGAACTGACTGTAAGTGTATTAGCGGGCTTTGCCAGCCTCCACAGGGCGAAATTTCAGCAGTTCCTCTTCGAACGCGTGTCGCAATACCATACAGTCATATTCTCCAAGCGACTGACTTCGTATACCGAGCTGCAGTCCAAGGACATCCTCCTTAACTTTCGCGATGGGTCATCTGCAACGTGCGACTTACTGGTTGGGTGCGATGGCATCAAGTCGACAGTCCGCAGCGTCCTATACCGTTCCTTGGCCGGGGAAGCGAGCGCTGGCGGTGATGAAGCGGAAGCGGCTGAACTTCGGAAGCACGTAGAGCCGGTATGGAGCGGTACGGTGGCCTACCGTGCTCTCATCCCAATGGACGCACTGGAGCTGGTGCATCCAAACCACCCCGCAACTCAGCGAGCCATGCTTGTGCGTCTATACCTCGCTTCTCATACATCATTTTGATCACTGTCTTGACAGTGCTTTGGCAAGAATAAGGTGTGTGCGTAGTTCACTGCTGCGAAGTCAAGTGTGCTTTAACTTGTAGCGATCTCGAACCAGCACCTCGTGCTCTACCCCCTCACGCGTGTAAACGCGATCAATGTAGTCGCCTTTGTCTCTCAGCCTGAGCTCGAGGAGACGATCTACGAGGGCCCATGGGTTCGATCGGCCTCAAGGGAAGAAGTCACCTCGCACTATGCGAACTGGGAGCCTGAAGTCAGGAGCATGTTGAACGTCAGTCTTACCGCCATTCTCATAGACGAAGCGTTATTGACACTGTAGAATCTGTACAGTGCATCAACGAAGTGTCTCTGTGGGCCATTAGCACGGTGCCCTCTCTGCCGACTTATTTCAGTAACGGTGTTTGTCTCTTGGGCGATGCGGCGAGTCACTTCGGCGAGCATCGAATTAGGAGCTGCATACTGACAAAGTCTGGTATAAGGCCCACGCAATGACGCCTCACCAAGGCTCCGGCGCAGGTCAAGCTATCGAGGTCAGCGTGCATTCAAAATGGGACTCGCTTTCATCACTGATAGGACGCGGTAGGATGGGTTTATCCTCGCAACCCTCCTTACGCAACCCGGTGTCACTCGCGACACCCTGCCTGTCGCACTCCAAGTCTACGACGCTCTTCGGCGCCCGTTCTCCCAAAACGTAGTACAGCTCTCGCGCAGCTCCGGCATGAGCTACCGCCTCAACTGCCCTGGCTTCGAGGCGCTGACGGAAGAGCAGAGCTACACTGGGACAATCTCCCCTGCGCAGCTAGACGAGGTGGGAAAGACGGTAATAGAGTTGACCAGTTGGAACAGGGATACGTCCATCATGACTGATCGTGATAGGGCACTGGAGTCGCTCGCTGCAGCTCTCAGAGTGGTATAACATATTGCCCCATTCGCCTGCCAGTGGCAGTGTATACTGCCGGTTCTCAGTGCGCACAACAGGATGCAGTAGTAATTCAGGCTGTACAGGCAAACATCAATATTGTAGTACTTAGCAACGACGTGATAATCCACACAACATGATCTCCAATATGAGCGACCTACGACCGCCACGAAAGTCGAGCGTAATTACGCAGGTACGTGGCACAGCGGACAAATCACCTTGTGCGCAGTCCTAACATTGTGACTTACACGGTAAAAGCGTGTAGATTATCTAGATAACCGAAAATAATGTATGTTACTGTCCCGAACATTGAAAGCTAGCCAATCAGAAGCCACGCCTTTCAATGTTCCGCTGCCTAACATATGCTATTTCCGATAACCTAAATAATATACACGCTCTTACGGCGTAAGTTACAATGTAACGACTCCGAGCAAGCCGGTTTGTCCGCTGTGTGGTCCGAGGCGTATCATGGCGGATGGGCATGGTAAATCAGTCTAATGTCGAGGCTGACGTAAACGTCGCGACAGCGCCTGCAACGATCGACAGCACATGTCCAATCGGTGGGCGTTCACGAGAATTCGACCGCCAACAGTTCTCCATGAGTTCCCAGACGGGATCGGACAAGCCCAGTGAAAGTGCATGAGAGGGGCGGAGAGGCCTTTTCCCTTGTAGCACCTGGTTATGTACTTGACCGATGTGCCGTAAGTTACTATACGGAGGTCGTCCTGCGAAGACCTGTCGCACATCGTTAACAATGCGAAGGCATGTATAGAAACTGTCGAAACAAACCTCCCACATCATGATTGCCAAAGCGTAAATGTCGCCTTCCAATGAGGCGTGTGCGTGACTAAGATCAAAACTCTCCGGATCCATTATCTCAGGCGCCATGTATTGCAGAGTACCTTGCCCGCCATTGCTCTGCGTTGCAGGATCTATCGTGTCCATATTATGAATGAGGGTTGTCAGGCCGAAATCACACAGACACGCGTGTCGTGTGCTGTCGATGAGGATGTTGCTCTGAGTAGTGAAGAGAGGTATGCGCATCTTGTTATCGCACACTGTTATGAATCTTGACAGAGAAGCGACTCACGCTCTTCAGATCGCCATGTGTCACAGTTTCCGAATGCAAATATTGCAGACCTTCACAAACATCCAGGAGCTGAATGTCCAATGTTATGGCTATGAGGCTATATCACCGACAATGCCAATGGTGAACACATACCAATTGCAGTCGATTCTCGGCCGGATACTTCTTGAGGAACTCGGTTATAGTGCCGTTGTCGACCCATTTGCTGACAATACACAATGGGAAGAGCTTCGTGTCAACGCCTAACATCGGCGTTATCCTCGGATGGCGGAGGCGTCGCCACATCACGACCTCCTGACACACATTCTAAGCGGACATGAGTTAACACCATGATCCACGGTACTCCATCAATTTAAGGTGTCCAACTGACTGGGTATACGCGCGATGCATTCTTGGCATTTATACGGATTGCTTTCAACGCCACACTGATCGGACCAGTGGGCAGACTGTATTGTCCGCGCCATACATCCGCATGTCCTCCGTGCTCCAAAGCATAGTCATCGCTCTTGCGCAATGAACTCGAACAAATAATATATGCTGGAGGAATGATACTGTAGTTTCGGCAAAGGCATCGAAGCACCTGGAAAATCTTCCTCAGAGGCCCCGTGGCTATTGGATAAGACGCATGACTATCAAGGGTCTGCACCGAAGTTACAATTCAGAGACCACTCATCACGTAGACTGACCACACAAACCTCAGAGAGAATCTTGACGGCAGCATGTGATGTTTTGAAATCGCTGCTTACAGCAGGATCGGTAGCCGCTAGACCACGATGCATCGTGTTCCCTCGCGGGTCCGTATTGGTAGAGTAGAAGTTGGCCCTCTGCGTTGCCAGTGCAAGTCCCGAAGGTCTGGTAAAAGGTTGGTAACCTTCTGAGGTAGCCAACGGGAGCCTTCGTTGCACACCTATGTCGTGAATGGCGACACTTTAGTCCCATTCATGCTACACAAGACAATGTGAGAGACACCCTATCGCGTTCGCGTCGTAGACGATTTGTCTCCGTCGTCTGCGGGGGTGCAGCTCGCGTGGAAGCGTGCTGTGCCCGGATCATACTATTCTCGTTTCCTTGACCATTCGCTCCACCTATATTGTGAGATGCAACCGATCAGCCCCTTCATGCCACACAAGACTACTATGCGGCATATTACCGCGTTCGCGTCGTTGATGATATTCCTCCGCATTTTGCAGACGTGCGACTGGCGTGGTCCCGCGGTGCGCCAACGTGGTGCCACCAATGTTGTCTGATCCACGATTTGAGCTGGATTGCCTTCGACGTCTGGTCACATTCCTATCGTCAGGAGTTCCGGCGGATGGCTGGGGTCTGGGGCATCTGTAGACTCCGGAGAGGTACTCACTGTAACTCAGCGGGAGGATTTAACTCTGTACGGTGTCTGTTCAAGTTACGACTATCAGCGCTTCCGAGTCTCTCGTCCACCCCCCGGTATCTCCTCGATGCAGCTGGTGCATGGTCACTGTGTTCAACTGAATTCCAGTTCGTATTTATGTGAGTTGATGGTGGTTCCCAAAGTTGCTGCGTATCGCGTCTGTCTTCTGGCCTACTTTCGTTCATTGATGTGACATCGCCTCACCTCAGGCTCACTAATAGTAGGGCTTGGCAACTCAGGCAACCAACCGTGTTCATCCTCAGCCATGTCGTCCCAAAAAAACGAGGGCATATCTGGCGGCGAATGGCAATTAGGATGATAGGGTATAGCAGTCATCGAAAGAAAGGTCTTACATCCTCCCGAACTGCCTCTCGTTATGGAACTGCCATTCGATGTGAACGACATTCTCGCTGTCGCAGGCACGTTTCTCACTACGAGTGGTGGCATCAACCTGCTCGGCGTCCTACCTCTTGATCCTTGTTCGTAGGCGGCAGCTTGCATGCCGTCGCAGCTGAGTAGGCTTTGATTAACCTGGAACGATACGTAGGCAGACCTTTCGGCCCCATCAGCATTGTTTCCTACGAGACACGAGCTGAGGCGACATTACCTCCAAACTATTCCTTAGATGCACAACTTGGAGGGTACGACGCAGGCGTCCAGTCGACTCATGGGTCTGCCTGAGGGCAAGATGCAGCTGAGAGGTGGTTGTGATCAGTGAGAGCCGCACATACATACTGACTTGCACTCGACGAGGCGGCCTCATGTTCGCCTCATGAGTAAGTTGGACGAGAAGCCGAGCCACATGCCCCCTGAGAACGAGCAAGGCGTCAGTTTCTGAGGGCAGAAGCACAGAGGAACCTGAGTTAGGTACTGATATAATACCGGTGACTCGGAGAGCGCGTTACAGACGTGGCATCTAATCCGCCGTATCAGCGCAACCTCTGTCAGCGTCGTCCTCAACACGATGTATATTGGCGATTCCAACGACTGAGAGGCTTCCTGCGTCACCGGTCATATGTAGACTTGATATAGACGATGCCTCGAAAGCCTCGTTCGAAATCATATGGCCATAGCCAGCAGACTGAATTTGCAACCCGATGCCGATGTTTCATTGAATGACCGGCTTTTGGTAGGCGATTAGCCGACTCATAACGTGAGAGCCGTAATAGAACAAAAATACACCGAAGGAAGCGCGATAGGCATGTCATCTCCGCCTCCTGGAGATCGCCTGCTACATACTGGAACTTGACTGGAACTTTGATGTCTCCCGCAATCGCCTGCGAATCGCCAATCCGTCAGCGAGCACACCAGACAACGCAAAGCCACAACCACGCACCGACTCGCGCGCTCGCGCTCAATCTCCCTCCTCTCGACCTCCTCCGCCGTCAACACCTCGAAGCGCGTCCTAAACTCCTCCGCCTCTTGCCAATCCCGCCACACGCTCCGGAGCGGCTTCGGCCCGCGCCCGTCCTTCGGCGCCCGTCCCCACGACAGCCCCAACCCCGTCTTGTCCTTGAGCAGGCTGAACCCGCTCCGGTCGCGCGGTCGGTCCTCGTCCGCGCCGTGCTGCTGCTCGAGCCCGAGCACGCCCCACTCCCACGCGTCGCGCTTGTGCTTGATGAGCTCCTCGTGCACGGCGTGCGCGACGAGCGGGACGGCCTCGCCTGAGAGCCCGAGCTCCGCGCAGAGCGTGCTCGCGAACTGTTCCGGGGTGAGAGAGGAGAGGAGGTCCCACTCGATGTGGTCGGAGAGGTGGTGGTTCGCGATTTGAACGTCAATCTGGGGTGTGGCACGTCAGCGAGCTTGATCGAACGGTACGGGCAAATATCGGACGCACGCTGAGGACGACACGACACTCGGGTACCTCGTCGCCCTCCATCAACTCGTCATCGTCATCCGTCTCGACCTCGAGATCCAGTTCTGCGACACCTGCATGCTCTTCCAACTGTGCGCGGATCTGAGCTGCAGCGGTATCCGCCCAGGGGTTCGTCGGGATGTCCAGGTCGGCGCAGAACGTGCGTGCAAACACCGCCGCGGGCTTGATCAGGTCTTCGTGTAGGTTCCATACGAAGCACCGAGTCTTGTATTCGATACATGTCGGTCTCAAACTCGACTCTAATAGGCATCAGCGCTGTGGACTTTCTCGCCTGATACTCTAGGAGTTCGGAGGAACTGCAGTATATGTGTGAGATGTCGTAAAGCACCCACAGAGACAGGACGTACAAGTAAGCGTGTTTTGTGGGTGCTATTGGGTTCGCGGAGATGAATCTCGAAGGCGGGACCATGCCCAAGTAGCTTTGGTCCAGCTCGTTTCTTTGCGGTTGCTGCGGGGGTGCGGGCTGCACAGTAACTTATATTAATGGTGGGCGTCGACACACCAGCGCGAAATACCGATGCGCCAACACGTGCTTTCAAGTTAGTCGCGCAGCGCGCACCGCGGCACAACAAACGCGACATGGTATCTGAGCATGGGATATGGTACGGGATATCCAAAAATATATTTTGAATATCCCGTTCGGGGATATTGTGATCGGAGATATGGAAAGTCTGGATGCTCAAAGTATCCCGAGATGGAATACTTTGAATTTCCCCACATAGTATCGCAGGCCGGGATATGGTGAGGGATGTTTAGAATATCTCTGGCCACTGTGACAATGATGTCCATTTCCGTCTACCCATCGTCCTAACCACGTTGCTTGTTTTCTATTGTCCAGTGTCATGCGCGGTCACGGACATGTCACGCCGCAGGCCCGAGCTGCTACTTACCGTAAAAGGTAACTTTGGCTCCCTGCCGCCGCGGCGAGTCGCGGTACGGTGTCGCGTCGCGGTGTGGTGTGTCGCGTCGCGTCGCGGTACAGTGTGTCGCGTCGTGTCATGGCATGGCATGGCGCGTCATGTCATGGTACGGCGCGTCATGTCATGTCATGGCACGGTACGGTGTGGCGTGGCATGTCACGATACGGCGTGTCATGGCATGGCATGGCATGGCATGGCGCCGGCGCGGCGTGTCATGGCATGGTACGGTACGGTATGGCACGGTACGGCGTGTCATGGCACGGTACGGCGCGTCGTGTCATGGCACGGTACGGTGCGTCATGGCATGGCACGGCGCGTCGTGTCACGGTATGGCACGGCACGGCGCGTCGTGTCACGGTATGGCACAGTACGGCGTGTCATGGCACGGTACGGCGCGTCGTGTCATGGCACGGTACGGCGCGTCGTGTCATGGCACGGTACGGTGCGTCATGGCATGGCACGGCGCGTCGTGTCACGGTATGGCACGGCACGGCGCGTCATGTCACGGTATGGCATGGGCCGCATGGCATGGCACGGCGCGGTACGGTACGGCGTGCCGTGTCATGGCATGATGGTATGGATAATGGTACATATACTTCGCTCATGTCGCTTTATTACAATCAAATTATTCTTGCATTGTACTGTGACAGCCTGAGTTGAACAGGTATTGTATTGGCGTTAGGTACAGCCTGAGCCTCAATAATGTATGTAGGGTACAATTTACTTCAGTGGCATGACATAAGCACCATGCTCGCACTGTGCCATGACACGGCACGCCGTACCGTACCGCGCCGTGCCATGCCATGCGGCCCATGCCATACCGTGACATGACGCGCCGTGCCGTGCCATACCGTGACACGACGCGCCGTGCCATGCCATGACGCACCGTACCGTGCCATGACACGACGCGCCGTACCGTGCCATGACACGCCGTACTGTGCCATACCGTGACACGACGCGCCGTGCCATGCCATGACGCACCGTACCGTGCCATGACACGACGCGCCGTACCGTGCCATGACACGCCGTACCGTGCCATACCGTACCGTACCATGCCATGACACGCCGCGCCGGCGCCATGCCATGCCATGACACGCCGTACCGTGACATGCCACGCCACACCGTACCGTGCCATGACATGACATGACGCGCCGTACCGTGACATGACGCGCCATGCCATGCCATGACACGACGCGACACACTGTACCGCGACGCGACGCGACACACCACACCGCGACGCGACACCGTACCGCGACTCGCCGCGGCGGCAGGGAGCCAAAGTTACCTTTTACGGTAAGTAGCAGCTCGGGCCTGCGGCGTGACATGTCCGTGACCGCGCATGACACTGGACAATAGAAAACAAGCAACGTGGTTAGGACGATGGGTAGACGGAAATGGACATCATTGTCACAGTGGCCAGAGATATTCTAAACATCCCTCACCATATCCCGGCCTGCGATACTATGTGGGGAAATTCAAAGTATTCCATCTCGGGATACTTTGAGCATCCAGACTTTCCATATCTCCGATCACAATATCCCCGAACGGGATATTCAAAATATATTTTTGGATATCCCGTACCATATCCCGTGTTCAGATACCATGTCAGGTTTGTTGTGCGGTGCGTGTCCCTCCGCTTGCCACGAAGTCCGAACCATGCGAGCCTATCAGCGCTGTCACACATCGAAAACGCCGAGGCGTCTAGATGTCGTGACTAAATGGAATACCCTCCTCCTCCTCCTCCTCTCCTGCGTGCGGAAACTCAAAGCGGCAAGAACTCAGTACGTACTTAACCATATACCAGTCTTCCACACCTTCTAGTTGGCCACACGGTACTATATGATCTTCTGGATCCAACAGGAACGTCCTGTGACCAGATCAGCACCACCTCGTCGCGCGCTTTTTCGGGCGGCTGCGACAGTGCCTTCGTATTCAACGCTTCTGAATTGGGGACAAGCACGCGGGGAGCAGGCGGCGTCCTTGGTGCTCCCGATGGCTGCTCTTGCGATGGATCGCTCGGCGGCGACAGCCTTCGAACACGAGCACGCCAGGGCAGCGGGTCGAACGAGGAGCACTCTGAGCACGGAGCGTGGCTTTCGAAACGTACGCCACGATTACGTCCGACTCTTGCGAAGGGTTGACTCGACGTGAGATGCATGCGGTTCCTGGAGGTGAATGAGTAACAGCCAGTTCGGAACATAACTTACACTTACAATGATTTCCCAGTCGTCGGAAGTGGCTGCCACCCACAGCCAAACCTACAACCATCATCACGCCCCCTCACGTTTTCACTCATGGCCACGTTCCCATGTGCAATGCATGCCTTTATCGACGCAGTGCCAAGCCCTCATAGGCGACTGTGGCAGCGACAAGGTACATCGCGACAACAATCGAGGAGCGAGTATGCGTACCAGTGGTCTGCAAGTCGCTTACGCCAGTCCCCGCGCTCTTGCATGCGTACGACACTGTACGCGTGCTCAAGCTAAATGTTTGCACCTCGCCATGCGCGTGGCCTTGAACAGTAACAAAGAGGTGATCGCAAGTGGAGATGAAAGAGGAGGAGCCGGGCTCGGGCAGCCAAAGTGGACGTGAAGGCTCGGAATCAAAAGGTGAGCCTTTTGCTAAGTATACCTAGTCTCCCCTAGGCAGACCCTAAAGAAGACCTGTTTGAGTGGGGGAGAGGACGGTCTTCTAAGGAAGTACAGTATACCAATGCTCACCGCTTCTGCTGCCAGTGCCCACGCAACTTGGAGCAGACATGTCAACGAACAAACCGTTGACCCCGTCTGCTTACTTGTTCATCCTCCCACGCAGACGCGGTCCGCGGAGCATTTCCAGTCATCAACGATACTCGCCTCGCGTAGCCGACGGGGTTCGTCGCTGCCCAATGCACAGCGCGAACATACCATGTAGTATACTACGGCAAAGGGGCCATTCAGCTGACTCCCGGAGGGAGGCGGCTGAGTGGCCTCCTGGGTTAGTATTGCTACCAAATGATTTGGACACGGATAGTTACATTCGTGTTGTATACAAGATGAATAAGACACGCGAGCGCATATTGAACTTCCGTAGCGTAGCACGGGCTTCGGCTAGTAAGCCATACAACACGACCTCCGAATTCTATGGCGCCGAAGATGCTACGTTCGACACAAACCCCTCACGTGCGCCGTATGGAGGGTCTTGGTGTGCGACTACCGAATATGTGGGGGTATCCAAGTCGAGGATAGGTGATATAGAGCGTGTCGATTGCCAGTGTCCAGGCTTCGATGTCGCGAGAGCGTATGTGAGGACCGGTAGCACTTGCCCAATCGGCGGGCGTTCACCAGGGTCCGACCGCCAACATCTCTCCATGAGGTCCCAGACAGAATTGGACAAGCCCAGTGACTCGGAAAGAGCATCGACAACACGAGATGGCCTCGTCCCCCGTAGAATCTCGCGTTGGATTCGACCAACGTGCCACGAGCCATATGGGGGCCGTCCTGCGAAGACCTAGTATTCGAGTCCAGGCAATATCAATGCGGGGCCAGTATGTGCATATGAATCATTGAGACAAACCTCCCACATGACGATTGCCAAAGTGTAAATATCGCCTTCTAGCGAGGCATGCGCATGTCGAAGCCCGAATGACTCCGGGTCCATGATTTCGGGTGCCATGTATTGCACAGTACCTTGCCCGCCATTACTCCGCGTGGCAGGATCTATCGTGTTGATACTGTGAATCAGGGTTGTCAGCCCGAAGTCGCACAGACGTGCATGTAGTGTGCTATCGATGAGGATGTTGCTCTGAGCAGATAGGGAACCATGAGCGTGCTGTCATTGGACGTTGTTATGGATGTGGTCGGTAGACCAGCGACTCACGCTCTTCAGATCGCCATGTGCGACGGTTTCTGAGTGTAAGTATTGCAGTCCTTCAGCAACATCCACGAGCTACGTGTGTGTTATTATGGTGATGAGATTGTGTCATGACGACGATGTCGACAAAAACGAACATACTAATTTCAGTCGATTCGCGGCCGGAGTCCGTTTGAGAAAAGCAGTGATAGTGCCATGTTCTGCCCATTCGCTGACAATACACACGGGGAAGAGCTCCGTGTCGACGCCTAGCATTGGGATGATCCTCGGATGGCGGAGGCGTCGCCACATGATGACCTCCTGACATACACTCTGAGTGAACCCCCAAAAGCAAGGTCAGTCACGGTTCACGGTTATATGACGATTCGAAAGATCAAACAGACCGAACGTATGCGAGACGCAGATCCCGCGTTGATACGAATTGCTTTGAGCGCCACGCTCACCCAGCCAGTGCCAGACACGAGATATTCTCCGCGCCATACATCTGCATGTCCTCCAAATTCCAACGCGTGCTCGCCGATCTTGCGCAATGAGCCAGAGCGTATGTTATATGCTGGAGGAATGATACTATAACTCCGGCAGAGGCACCGAAGCACCTGGAACATCCTTCTCAGAGGCCCAGAGGCTATTGTTGTATACGCAAGACTGTCAAGGACCTGTACCAACGCTCCCAATCAAGATTTCCTCAACACATATACAACTGACTGCCCGAACCTGTGCAAGCACTGCAGCGGCAGCATATGCAGTGTCGTATTCACTGCTTGTATCTTGCTTCTGAGAATCTTCACTATTGTGTCCATTAACTATAGTTGATGCCGATTGGCAACACCCGAACAAACATAACTTAGATATGTTTTATGGGATACGATAGAGACTCACAACGTAGCACGACCTGCTGATCGTGAGCGCTCTGAGCACTATTATAGCCTTCAAAGCATCACCAATCACCCTCGAGCTCACATCCATTGAGCTTTCAAGTGACTCCAGCTTCCGTGCCGGCCACAGGCTAACGATGCGCTTGGATGACTGCGAGGCCGAAAGCTATTACATCAATGTACACCATATAGGGCTACGGAGCTTATTACCTTCTGGCTATCGTCTGCGTGGATGTTTCGTGGAATTGACCCGAATTTGTCAGGCCGGAGGCGAGTCGAAATGGCTCCCTGAGAGTGGAGTGAATCTCAGCGATGGCTGTGCGGTGAGGACGTTCGCTAGCGGGGGATGCGCAATGGGTGGCCTTATAGCTTGCTTAGACGCTGCCACAGCCTGCCAGAGGTACATGTCCCGTGCGCCCATCCACTTTACTGTGAAGGCGCCAGGGCCGAGGACTGTGCAGACGCCAGTAGCACGGCAGACTCTGCAGTTGGGTTAGTACGTACCTGACATCGTGCTAGTGAGAATGCGTTGTGAACATGTCATCTGAAACATATCAGCGTGTCCATTGCCCTGCATTCACTGTCAACGTTGCCCTCAGCACGAGGCATTGAATAGATGGAAAACCACGTTCCTACTTTGGGATGCAGTGCCAAGTTCAATTCGCAGTCCGCTGTCGACGTGTCGCTAAACATTCGGCTCCAGTCATGCCTGGACGATTAACTGATCATTATAGTAGAAGTCATACAACAAAGTCAGATCAGAGGAAGCGCGACAAGTTCGTCACCGCCGTCTCCTGGAAATCGCCTGCGACTGGAACTTTGATGTCTCCCGCCGCAACCGCCTGCGAAGCGCCAACCCGTCAGCGAGCACACCAGACAACGCAAAGCCACAACCACGCACCGACTCGCGCGCTCGCGCTCAATCTCCCTCCTCTCGACCTCCTCCGCCGTCAACACCTCGAAGCGCGTCCTAAACTCCTCCGCCTCTTGCCAATCCCGCCACACGCTCCGGAGCGGCTTCGGCCCGCGCCCGTCCTTCGGCGCCCGTCCCCACGACAGCCCCAACCCCGTCTTGTCCTTGAGCAGGCTGAACCCGCTCCGGTCGCGCGGCCGGTCCTCGTCTGCGCCGTGCTGCTGCTCGAGCCCGAGCACGCCCCACTCCCACGCGTCGCGCTTGTGCTTGATGAGTTCCTCGTGCACGGCGTGCGCGACGAGCGGGACGGCCTCGCCCGAGAGCCCGAGCTCCGCGCAGAGCGTGCTCGCGAACTGTTCCGGGGTGAGAGAGGAGAGGAGGTCCCACTCGATGTGGTCGGAGAGATGGTGATTTGCGATTTGGACGTCAATCTGGGGTGCAGCACGTCAGCGAGCTTGATCGAACGGTACGGGCAAATATCGGACGCACGCTGAGGACGACACGACACTCGGGTACCTCGTCGCCCTCCATCAACTCGTCATCGTCATCCGTCTCGACCTCGAGATCCAGTGCTGCGACACCTTCATGCTCTTCCAACTGTGCGCGGATCTGAGCTGCAACTGTCTCCGCCCATGGTTCCGTTGGAATATCCAGGTCGGCGCAGAACGTGCGCGCAAACGCCTCGGGCTTGACCAAGTCTTCATGTAGATTCCACACGAAGCAATCTCGTATTCGATGCGTACCGGTCTCAAATTCGACTCGAATAGGCACCAGCGCTGTAGGCTTCCTCGCCTGATACTCCAGAAGCTCGGGAGAACTACAGTATACGCGTGAGAAGGCGTGAAGTAACTACAGAGCCAGGACTTACAAGTAATCGTGTTTTGTGGGTGCTATTGGTTTTGCGGAGATGAATCTCGATGGCGGGACCATGCCCAAGTAGCTTTGGTCCAGCTCGTTTCTTTGCGGTTGCTGCGGGGGCGCGGGTTGCACAGTAATGGTGGGCGTCGACGCACCGGCGCGAAACACCGATGCGCCAACAGGTGCTTTGCTCGACAGTCGCGCAGCACGCACTGCGGTGCGTGTCCCTCCGCTTGCCACGAAGTCCGAATCATCCGAATCAATCTCTCCTGCGTCTGGGAACTCGTCGCCCGACCCTGGCTCTGTGTAGTTCACGGCGCCTCCACGACGTGAGGACCGAGTGTTGATCGCAGCCTGTGTTGAGGTCCCTGCGCTGTTGAGGATCGGTTGCATGAGAAGCGTGGTCCCGGTGCGCAGTCTCGATGCATATGTCGAATGGAGTGCTTGTGGGCGCGCCGGGATGGCGGTGGTTGGCTGAGAGCCATAGGCAGTAGGGTCGGCGGGGGGTATGGTGGATGGTGCACGAGTAGGGAGGGATGTTTGGTAGGCGGAAGGACTGCCGGGGGTCTGAGCGGTCGCGAGTGTGCTGCCTCGGGCAGCGCGCGCGCGCGCGCGAGTAGGATTGCTCCTGCCATTCGCCGGCGGAGGTGTCAAAGAGTTGGACCAATGCCGAATGTTGTTATAGTAGGCTAAACATCGTGAGCTGACGTATGCCGGAAGTGAAAGTGTACCGTACCTGGATGTGGAACAGCTGGCTGAGGCGCGACCATCGCGGACGATTGTGCGGGTCGCGGCTGTATGGCGGGCAGAGCTCGTCCTTGCGCGTCGGTCATAGGACACAGCCACCAATAGTGCAGTCACCAATGCTGACGTCGAGGTTTTGTCTTTCCTGGACGTCTTCGAGCCCAGTGTGCGTGATGACAACTGCAAGCCCGGCAGTACGATCGGCTTTGAACTTTTATTCTCCTTCGAATTTGCTTGAATAATCCACCAAGCAGACAAGCAGTGCCAAGAGGCCACTTGATTGATACAGTTCAGTCAATTCTGAGCTTGCAAAAGGCGAAGAGAAGATTGGTCAAAGATGCAGGCGAGTTCGCGGTCGCGGCCGTTCAAGTTGCGCGAAGACGAGCGACGCGTTCGTCACACGTGACATGCGTGTGACAGACGCGTCGGATCATTTGGTAATTTAGTTATACAGAAAGTACTTATAAATATAGTTGTTTTCTACAAGCCTTCCTGATCAGAGGACAATGGCCTCCATTATAAGTTGGTGAGAGACCTTTCTGGTCTCCTGCATCAAGGAGACCCTGGATGTATTTTCAAGCTTCCAAATTTTCCGGCAAAGAACAAGTATCATAGGCACTCGGGCTATCTACTTCAGTTTAGCATGACAGCCAGGTTAATTTATCTTACTAATCTTGGAGCTTTCCTCCTATATATTATGCCCCTAATTCGCTACTACCGCTTCCGCACAACTTCATCTTGAACCGCTACCTGGAAGCAAGCAAACTGTATTGCTACATGTTCTGCGTGCCTCGTTATGCATGCATTTCTCCAAAACTTACCAGCAGTTGCTGCTCACGCTCCCGCCAGAGCTGAGGGATAGCGCCATCGAGTACCGCAAGCTCAAGAAGTTGATTAACCAGGTTGTGACGGAGCTTACATCGCTCGGTGGGTGCATTTGATCCAAGGCACCACGACGAAGTGCTCACAGGACTTTAGGACTTGCCCCAGAGGTTCTGCACGATGTCTTGCAGCCAGGAGGCGCCGAGTTCACCGCACCCCGGACAATCAAAGTCAACGAGCAGGAAGTCGAAGTGAGTGTCGGCTCATCAAGCAGGCCTCGCGCGTTATTTACGTCCCGCCGTTTCGTCTAGGTGATTTATGAACTGAGGCGTGTCGAGGACCACATTGAACCTCGCCTCCGCCTACGCATCGAGTCACACGACCAACCCGTCGACGGTTCCCCCGCCGGTACAGCCGGTATAAGTGCTCCAGGTGACGGCCTTGAAGTCGGTGACGATCGCATAACGTCAACTATGGAATTTGGCGTTGGTCCGGATGGCGTGGAATACACAGACGAATCCATTCTCATATCACCTGGAGTAGCGGAGGCGGCATCGTCGGCGAACTCCCCGTAAGTCGTGCCTTTACTCTCTTTTGGCATTTCCTCATGGTACACAGACCCGACGCCCACGAAGTCGTCATACCGCTCGCCTCCGACTCGGCCTTCTACCAGCTGCTCACGCAGGCGCTCCAAATCCTCAGCTCTCGCCTGACGGCCGTCCGGCTCGACTTCGAGTCCAAGCTACATGCCCTCTCCCGTAGCATCTCGTTCGCCGCACGCCCCATGTCCGCCACGCAGTCCTTCCGGGCCCACTCCGCGCACGCGACGCACCCCTCCGCCATCGAAGTGCAGACGCCGTCGCACATCCCCTTCGCGGCAAGCAAGTCCGACCTGTACGCCTGGCGGGAGATCTTCCAGCTGTACATGGACACGGAGATCTTTGAGAGCCACGCAGAGGCCAGCCGCGGCGAGCGCACGATCGAAGAAGCCGAGGCGCGCATGGCGCGGTTCCTCGAGCAGCTCGAGTCCCGCGGGCTGGCGAGCGGGCGGCGGTTCACGGTGAGGGAGAGCAGGGACGCGCTGCAGATGTTCCTCAGCCTGAACGCGTTCATCCTCGACCTGCGCAAGTTCCAGCACGCGACGGCGGAGGCGACGCGGAAGATTCTGAAGAAGCACGCGAAGCGGACGGCGCTGCCGCTCCCGCCCGCGCTCGCGTCGCCGTTCATGGTCCCGGATGGCGCGAACCCGCGCACGTTCTCGATCGTGCTCCCGCCGGCGGGCGGGCCGTCTGCGCTCGTGCCCCGTTCGACGGTGTCGCTGTCGCACCTGCTCGGACAGGCGCTGGGCGAGACCATCCTGCCGATTATACCGCACATTGACGACTATGCGTGTCTCATCTGCACGAACATCGCTTTCAAGCCTATCCGGCTCTCTTGCGGGCACCTATTCTGTGTACGGTAGGTGGCTCCGCCGCATGTTTGTTGAGGTTGCGCTGACCGTGTGGCCCCAGGTGTCTGGTGAAGATGCAGAAGCGCGGGCAGGATCAATGTCCGATGTGTCGCGCGCTCACTGTCGTGTCTGCGAATCGATGTAAGTCACGTACCTCCCGCTCTGGTGTTATGTTCCTGACGTCTGTGGCAGCCAACGTCGACTGGGCGATGCTCAACTTCATGAAGGATTGGTTTCCGATCGAGTCGAAACAGAAACTACGACAGAACGAGAGGGAAGTGGCTGAGGAGGAACTGGAGGAACTGGGTATTGACAATCCCAATTGCATCGTAATGTAGTTCATGCATAGGACATTTTCTTGGGCTGTCGTAACTTATGATTCTTGGGATGTTGGTAATACTAAACTGGTTCATATTTCAGAAGCAAGTTGGTATCTCATGTCCAGTGGTGCTGAACCGGTAATGCAACAATACTGTTCTACACCCGCAACACGGAGGTTTTCCCTTCAACCTGCTAGACTTAGTTTCATACATTTTCAGCTTGAGGTGGCGTGTGGCAACATTATGCAAGTTTTCCCGTACGCGATTCGCTTTGCTGCACCAAAATCGCAGTACTTACCATTTCAGAGGTCTACGGATCGATCGTGAGAGGCATGACGACATCAAGAGAGAACTTCGCAGCAAGTCAACTACATACGTCACCACGCCACACTTCCCGATCGGGCAAGACACCTTCCTGTTTTGACACACCGTCGGCGGTCATTTTCCCTGTCACCCTTCCATTTCACAATGTGAAGGAAGCTGCTCGGGGAATACTTAAACTGCGTCCAGGGCAAGTGAATGCAGACGCCTTCTTGTCCTCAAACTCCCATCTTCCCACGCTGTCTCCTTAACACTGACGTATTATAATACTGAACACCCGCCCTTTGGATATTGTAGCATACATTCGCTAACAAAAAGAGGTCCGTGCATCCGCTACACTTTGCGTTATGCTACAAGAGATAGAGACTTCTGCTCAGGTTGTGCGAAGTCGTGCTGCAGTAGGCTGCAGTGCCTTGACTCATGACAGGCGTCTACTATGACCTTCGACCGAGCGTCGGATATCTGCATGATCACAGATGATCATCTACATATGATCATGCATCTATGATAGGACGCCTCGAGGCACTTTTGAGGCCTCCGAGCTCGACATAGCGCCGTACTTCGCGGGCAGGAAAGCAATTGCTTAACTTACCAGTACGGCACAGCGCATGGAAGTGAGTATAGGCCAGTCGCTCGTCAGCTCACTACGACGTGCCTCGTCCGTCCGCGACGCGTCCGTTCTGGTCGCAGATATTCGTATAAGCGAATAATGTCATTGAGGACGCCGCGGGAGCTGAAGTTTATTCGAATTGCCAAGCTGGGCGACCCTCCCAAAATCACGGATATTCCCGATATTCCTCGAAACGGATAATCCCCAATCGTTCGTGACTGCGGTGTCCTTCCTTATCCCCGCATATGCAGTCCTTCATTTGCTGATTCTCCCCAGCCCTCTAGAGGTTGTTTCTGCCACGGTCCTTTCTTGCTTTCGGCCTCTCGAGGCGTCCTCGTTCACTGGTATCAACGCGTGGTCGTCGCCGTCGCCTGGGTCCTGGGCGCCAACGCGGTACTCCAAGTCCTCCACCAATCCACACCTCCACACCTTCTCAGCCAATTTACGCTCCCTCTTGTCGCGCACAGTACACAATGCGCTCGATTCCACTACCCAGAACCCCGCGAGAGCGGCCTCAGCCCATCGAAAACCGCGGCTCGATGCTGAGAGCGTCAATCCTAGAGAGCGCCCTAGAGCTTGGCGTAGGTGGGAGCGGGAGTGCCGTTGCGAGGTGGATGTTCAGCCCTGTAGAGGAGGGCGACGAGGACGTCGATGCAGAGGTACGTGAATTCAGCGTGTCCCAATATCCGTCTCACCCGTCTGGTAGACGGAGGCATCTCCGAGCTTAACCTACGCATCGACTGCCACTTCCGATGATTCCTTTCTCTCCAACACTCTTTCTCCACGAATCCAGCCCGGCGCTGGTATACTACTCCAACAGGTGAAACCACCTAACCCGGCAGGTCTCGTCCCTCCTTCCTACTACGCATCCCGCGAAGGTCTTTCTCCTATCAATGAGGGTGTGCAACACATACAGTTCGACCTCAGCGCGTCGCCCGAGCCTCGAGTTGTTTCGCCAATACCACCGACTGGGTTGGGTAGCAGATTTCGCAAACTCCGGCTTAATGCTAACGGAGACGAAAGCGACGGAGGATACATCAGCGACGCAGGCAAAGGCAAGAAGGACAAGAAGAAAAAGAGCAAGAAAGAGAAGGGTGACGGGAATGGGACCGAGTACGAGAGCGACGGCGGCTATTTCTCAGAGGCGAGTCGGACGCAGCGCAAGAAGTTGAAGAAGGACAAGAAAGCTGCAAAGGAGAAGGCAGCTGAGTCGCCGACCACAGACTACGAGACGGACGGTGGTGGAGTCGGTCGCGCGAAGACCAAGAAGACGCGCAGCCGAAAGGCCTCAGTCATGTCTGCTGGCACTGGCGACGATAGCGACGGCGGGAACGTGTCAGAGTCGTCAGCGAAGAAGAAGGGCTTCTTCCGCCGATCGCGCAAGAAACGCGACGCGGACGACTCGCCCGCCCAGGAAGTCCCACCGGTACCCTCGCTGCCCGCTGACATGAAGCCTCTCCCTATCGCCGGCCGCTACCTGCGAAGCCCAACACCGAATATGTCGGAGCTGTCGCGCATCGTTTCCGACACGTCTCAGAGGTCGTCGGATATGTCGCGCACAACGACCGAAACGTCACGTACGATGTCAGAGTTTTCGCGCGCGACGTTCGAAACATCACGTACTGCCACTCCCGTGATCAACACTCCCGACGAGGCCAGTTTGATATCTTACGCGTCGACGGACCCTGACGCGGGATCGATCATCGCGCGCGAAGGACTCACAAAGGCATTCGGGGACGCGAAGTCCATACACAGGCCCAGTTACGACGTGCTTGCGACTTTCCGAAATCAGTCGCCAACGCCCAATCAGCCGGAGGACTCACATGGTGCATTGTCTCCGACGTCCCATCCCTTCGGGCGGGTGTTTAACTCACCTAACCAGTCGCCCAGTAACAGTCCCTCGAAGTCGAAGAACGCAAAACCTGTCATCTCCGCTCCCAACACCGCCATGCTGAATGCGAAACACGTCCCGGCACCCCTGGTGCTCAGCTCGCCAACGTCCGTCCGCTCACAAGTCGCTCAGCAATATACACCCGGATCGGACTACATCATGGTCACTCCGCAGGCCACATCCATGCCTAGTCAGACAGTGCAGCACCAAGAATCAGAAGCAGCGCGACCCGATTCCGATATCTTCCTCCCTTCGCCAAATCGGAGAGGATTCAATGACAACGGCCCGCCGAGTCCGACAACTAGCCAGTCTTCTCTGCGCCCGCAAGTGCTTGCGTACTACAACATCCCTCCACCGACCCCGCCGCCACAGGGTCCACTCCCAGACGTGCCCCCGGAGCCACCGAGGGCGTACTTCGCTGCGTCTACAGAGCTCTCACGCACCGTGTCTGCAGACGATGCGCGCGCACGCAGCCCATTTGCTCGATCACCTCTTTCCGCGAGCCGAGCGAATCCACCAACTCGCGCGCTCCCGCTCACGCCGGTGTCTGCGCCCATGCATTCTGCACGGTCAGCATCAGAGTCGGACGCACGGTCGCCGTCGCCCCCAGAGGGCACACTGTCCGTGCCAATCATCTCCGAACCGGTCCCTCGCGGCCAGCGCGGACGCACTTCACCGTTTCCTACGTCACCCGTGCTGCCTGCGCGGGCCCTGTCGCCCGTGTTCTCGCGCTCCGAGTCGCCTATGACACCGGTGAGTGCGGGCCCAGCCATGAGTTCTCGTGCAGAGCGAATGGGCCGCTTCATCGGGAACAAGCCTTCGTCTGCAGATGGGTACGCATCGTCGAGTGGCTGGCGCGATCCCGCACGCCTCGATGTGCAGTGGGCGCCGCGTTCGAATTCTGCACTTGAACAGCGGAGACCAGACGCGTTCGATGCGCCGCCGGTGAGAAAGAAGGTCTCCTTCGAGGACGAGAGGCCGTCCATGGACGAGCCCGAGGACGAGCTCGTGTACGCCGGGGAGCGCTCGGAGCTGCACATGGGCGACGAGTCGGACATGGAGGACGAAACGGAGCCAGTCGTGGACGACGACCGCTCGGTCTACCCAGAAGACGACGATCGCTCGCACTACGGGGACTCGCGCCCAGGCACGATGTACTCCGAGGGCGAGGGCGGCGACCGGTACAGCATGTGGAGCCAGTCGGACGGGCGGCGGAGCTTCTTCGACGAGGACAAGAGCGCGGCGACGCGTGACCGGTTCGTGAAGCAGGTCGAGAAGATGTACGGCGAGTACAAGGTCCCGCCCGTGCCCACGCTGAATACACGACAGCTGAAAGGCGGCGTCGTCGGGTGAGGATAGGATGACTGCCCTCTTGTGTGTGCTCTATTGGATCCTTGCTGTACCAGGACGGACTGGGCGCCCGGTAATCCTTTGTTCTGGCTAATCTGGTTGGTTTGGTATATATGTGGTTGTTGTCGTTCGCTTCGCTGTTCGTATGGCTTTCCATTTGCAGGTCACCCCCACCCCCCTCTCTCTCTCATTTCGGTGTAGATTGATTGCTTTCTACGTTCGTCTACCAGTGTCTCCCCTACTGTATGACTTCCGCTGTAGATCATTGTCATGGCCTAGCGTATAATATGTATGTGGTAGGCTACGGCTCTCGTATATCTTGGGCTTCGGATCAGAGATATCTGCCGATATGAAAGGCGGCGGATCAAGTTCAATATTGGAGGAAATTGAGAACTCGAAGTGGGGCCGTATGTGGAACGGTCGCATCGGCACCTGTTCGGTGCGCATTATACGAGTCCGATTCCATTATAATCCACGAACTACAGTACGATTAGAGCAGTAGTACAACGAAGTCCATGTGTATGCAGTCCGTATAGTTGAGTCCATGCATAGCAGAGTCCAGGTAAGTAACAGCACCGGCAACGGATCGATCACGCTTCATACGGAATGATGTTGACCTGGACGGGGTAACAAGTGCTATAGTCGTAATTGCTGTTGTTCGTGCTAGCTTCGTACACGAGGACGATGTTGCCCCACGAGGATGTCGCCTCGCACAGCGACAGACTGTCTGCGTCGTTGTTCACCGCGAGTTTCGCGTAGTCTGACTCATTGTCCGCCTGCAGGAAGTGATAGTCAGTTCCGCTCGGATCATATGGCTCGGCGGGACAGACGTACAGCGGCGCAGTAGATGAGAGCAGGCTCCGGATCCGACTCGTGCTCGGTGACGAAGAAGGCTACTTCCGCACCGGACGCGACCGTGAAGTCGTACGCGCCCAGGCCGTCCTCGTCGGGCCGGGGATGGGGTAGAGCGCACCACCCGAGAGAGTGAAGTACGGCCACTCGTTCGAGTGCCATGCCGCGTACGTCTAGAACAGGGACAGGGTGATCAGCCACGCATGCCTGACGGGTGTAAGAAACTGCTCACGGAAATGGCCCACTCGCTGGCCGCGGGGCTCGTCCCGGCGGGTCCCAACCGAGGACGAGCGGGGCGCCGGTGCTGTTGCTGTTGGGCGACGACGTGTTGTACGCCGCGAGGGTGAAGTTGTACGACGGAGAGTCGGTGGAGCCGTCCGCGAGGCCCGTGCACGATGCCCCGCTCTGGCGGACGCTCAGGTTCGGCATGGCCGACACCGATGCGGCGAGGAGTGCGAGGAGGCTGGCGAAGGCGAACATCGTTGGTGAAGTCAAGGGAGTGGTTGTAAGACTGGTCGGGAGGAGGAGAAGGAGGAGGTAAAGTTTTTAAAACGTCGGGGCGTTGTCGATCCTGCTCCGAGTCGCGCCCCTTTTATACAGCGGGAGCAACTTCAGCAGTGACGCACCTCGGAGACAGGAGACCGGGCGAAGGGGCCTTGGCAGGCCGTCCCGGCTGTGCTGGATGACCGACGGCGACGCCGGCCGCCCCAGCTGCAGCTCCATAGGGCCGCTCAGGCTGTTCTCGATGGCGCGGTCGACATCGACCACCGCGCCGACACTGACAGAAGCAGGACAGAAGAGTCGTCCTTGGCCGGCGCTTAGCACCGGCGCCTCTCCACCTTGTGTACCGTTGGTGCATGTTGGCAGCTCACTGACCGATATCGCATCCTGCAAAAGAAACCCCTTCTAGATCGCATGTCTGTGCCCTCTGCTTGAGGAACTGCGAGCCGTCCATGGGCTGTGCACTCAGGCCGGCGCCGGACGCTCGTCACCGACGTGGGATGGACACAATATGGACTCACATGATGGCAGCATGTGCACACTGTACCGCCCTATATAATTATTGATCATTGAACGCAAGAGTCAGCAAGACCGATGCAATCGTTGAGGTTCAACTGTGTCACACTCTGCGCCAAGCCTGAGGACCAACCGCCCTGAGGTCGTTTCTGATTGAAGGGTATGCTGATGCCTTTCTTGAGGGAATGGATCCGCCGTAAAGGTTACAAGAGTGAATGTGGGCTCGAATTAGATGGAGCACGATCACATACCCTGTACAGCTTCAATTGCAGTCTCAGACATAGCGAAACATGTCGTCTTCGCGGATCCTACAGCACTAGATCGCCACACGGCCTACCAAGACCGGTCCATTCGTCTCTTAGACTTTCAGTAATCACTGCTGGTAGCGACAGGTAGCGACGCGATCACCTCTCGGAAACCACAGGCACACCGCTGACGGCTGTCTGTGCACTCGTGAGTGCGTGCGATCACCGAGATGACACGGACTCCAGCAAGCAGTGGGATCAAAGCCATCCGGACGGTGAACGCGTCCGACATTGTGACTTTCATTATGTTGATATCTGTGTTACTTTTGGACAGTCCAAGCTCTCGGATACCGGATCCGTTTACCGCACAGCGAACTTGTCTCGGGCCTTTACGTTCCTTCGTACGTCTTCGTCACGTAGGCTTCGCTTCGAGGGCCTCAAATAGCGAACGCGCGTACTTCTCGCATCCTGTTATGGTTTGTCAGAGACCTGTTTGGAGGACGGTAGGAATGTCTTACAGCCATGTATGTCTTCAGCTGAGTCAGGACCACTTCGCCTGAGCCTGTGAGCCGCATGGCTTGCAAGCTAGGATGAGCTTTCAAGGGGAATGAGTAGACCAGAAAGAGCCGGATGGGGGTCGAGGCCTCCTCTGGCAATGTCGCATCCAGGAAGTGTAAGGATGGAAGCTACCAGGACGATCGCACATTGATTAAGCGTCTCCAAAGAATGGGATATATGCGCACCATGTTCAATGTCACGCATACGGGCCATCTATCTCTTCCATCCAGAACCTCGCCTCGTCCCAGTAGTCCGGGAGCTCAAAGTCTGCAGCGGCCCTCGCCATGTCGCGTGTGTCGAACCGCTCGTAATGACGGGCACTCCTTCCACCTCCATAGCGTCTGTACTCTTCAATGTATCTCCGAACTTGCGCGCTTGGTACTGTATAGGCCGCGTGCGGGGCACCTTCGTGTCCCACAGCGCTGCACGCGCCGCCATGAAGAGTGCGTCGACGACGTTGCCCGAGTCGGTGAGACGACGAGGTCGACACTAAGCATCCACGCCTTCTTGTTCGGCAGAATACCGAGGTTGTTAGGATGAGGGATGGGTGGGAGAGGGTTTGGTGCAGGATGGTGGTCAGATCGTATTGCAGCTCGTCGAGCGCGTTCGCGGATAGGTGTGGGTACGCGGATGGAGAACTATCTTTGAAAGATTCATCAATGTAGCGGACATGGCCCTGACGGGTGCGACGAGAGGCCAGTGGCCGCGACGAGGTATTGGACGAACCATGTTACTGAGCATGCAAGCCTGCCGCCGTCAACTCCGTCGCCCAATTCAACATCTTCAACCTCCAACTTCGTCGCGGCCAGTATCTCTGTGCCTCCGCCACCTTCTTGCGTAGCCTTTCCGATGTTCAGCTTCGCACTACCGTTCGCGAGAGGCGCGACGCCTGTCTCTAGCAGAACTGTCCGAAATCGAGCAAGGACCGACCATCGGCGCGTAATGGAGGGGTCGCCTTCAGGGAACTTTGGATGTATCCTCTCTCGGCCTTTGATATAGAGGAAGAAGTCATCAGTCTGCGAATAGCTTGGGCGAGCGAGATCGTATGTAGCACGAAGTAGTACAGAGAGGTACAGTGCCGAAAACATTGGCGCCTAGATTCGGGAATCGGTATCGGTGGCTGCGGTGCCTCCGCGCGGTACGAATCTTGAATCAATACTACGCCGACGCGTTGACCGAGTTCTCACTTGACTTTCTCTTCAAAGCTCAAGACTGAACTGCTCCATGTATCCAGGTAAGTATCCGCGTGTCAATGCTGATGCTCACGCTGAAACCGACCACGCTGGACAGCCCAGGCTCATGTCATCAAGACATTCAACAAGCTCATCGAGCTCCTACCACCCCCAGATCAGACCAAGGTACGTACTGTAACTTGTTTCTAGTAGAAATTCATCGACATGATCCACAGCCTCAAATCATACTCCTCGCAGGAGGGGTCACTCCTTTCAGGAACGACACAGACCGAGAGCTGAGCTTCCGGCAGGTCTGACCGATTTCCATGTTCTGCGTGGCCTCGCGTTCAAATGTCAGTAGGAATCCAACTTCTACTACCTCTCAGGATGCGCCGTTCCGTCGTCGTACCTCCTCCTGACCTTCCAGCACGGCACCTCGCTCGCAGAACGGCTCCTGGCGCAGCTCTTCATCCCGAAGATTGAGCTAGCCGACCTCATGTGGTCCGTGCCGCCACCGACGGCGGAGGAGGCATCCAAGCTTTACCAGGCAACTCCCGTCCAGTATCTAACGATCTTCCGAACGCGATCAAGGAGCAGATGAAAGCCTATCCGGGCGCGACCTTCCACGTCCTCCCCAAGGGCTCTCCGCTGTTCCCGATCTTGCCGGCTCAATACACCGCACTCATTCTCCCGCCGCATGCTCCCGCCACCGACGAATACCTACTCCCTGCGCTGCACCGTGCACGGCTCACGAAGGACGCGGGTGAGATCGAGGCGATTCGGAAGGCGAACGCGATCAGCTCTCGTGCGCATGAAGTCGTCATGCGTGTCCTCGGCCGGGGCGTGCGCGGAACTATCACACGAGGCAAGGGTGCCGGCGCTGACAGGCCATTGCTGCCCGGGGAGTGGCTGATCGAGAAAGAGGCCGAAGCGGAGGCACTCTTCGTCGCCTCTTGTCGGAGAGAAGGGTATGCGTGCACTAGTAGAGACTTCATAAATGCGACCTGACACAAAGCTGCTAGCTCTGTTCATCAGGCATACCTCCCCATCGTCGCGGCATCAACGCGCGCGTCCACTCTACACTACTGCTGCAATGATCGCGAGTTTGCCTGGGGGCCCGTTGGCGCGCACGACCACCAGAACGGCGACCATCTCGCTCACGGCGCAGATCGGCAGCTGAATCCTCAGGTACTCCTAATCGACGCCGGGTGCGAATGGGATTGCCATGCGTCTGACAGTGAGTGTCGATATGTTCGCGATATCATGTCAGAGCACTAACGAGGGTCAGTCACCCGCACAATGCCCGTCGGGAACGGCGGCAAGTTCACGCCCGAGGCGCGCGCGATCTACGAGCTCGTCCTCGAGATGCAACGGCTCTCCATGGAGGCGCTCAAGCCGGGCATCCACTGGGACGCCATCCAGCTGCTCTGCCACCGCACGCTCGTGCAGGGCTTCCAGCGGCTCGGGATCTTCAAGACGCCCAACTCGCCCGGCTCCGGCTCGTGGAACGCGGAGGAGGCGATCCTCGTGAGCGGCGTGAGCACGGCGTTCTTCCCGCACGGCGTTGGGCACTCGCTCGGGCTCGATGTGCACGACGTGCCGAGTGCGAGCAAGCCCGAGCGGAACGACACGATTGGCAAGGGCGTGGAGCTAGGTCACGAGTCGTTCTATGCGTACCTGCGGCTGAGGCTGCACCTCGAGGAGGGCATGGTGGTGGTGAGTGCTTGAGCGGCGTCTGGTCCCGCGGGACGGCTGAATGACGCTATTTGTAGACGGTCGAGCCGGGCATCTACTTCTCGCCTCATCTCCTCGCCCCTGTGCGCGACTCGAAGCATATCGACCATGAGGTCCTGAAGCGATACGAGGCCGTGGGCGGCGTCCGGATCGAAGACGTCGTGGTCGTCACCCAAGATGGCTACGAGAATCTGACAACCGTGCGGAGCGACACGGACTGGGTCGAAGGTGTGTGCTCTGGTGCGCTGTAAACATTAAATGTTCTTGTATTGTAGGAGCAGATGTGTAGCAAAGGCAACCTGCACACGTTTGTATAATCATTTGGGTTCGCTGACAGGGTGTATGCGCATGCATTATGGGTTGCCATCCCACCTCCTGGCAGTCAGAAGGCAGATACTCAACCTGACTCTCATATGTTGGGTGGATCCGCCACCTATGCAACCCGTCAGGCAAGATCGAGACGCAATGTTCTGAAAGAAGCTCTAAGTGCGCATCAAACCCGCTCAAAGCTTACTTGGGTACTAGGTTCGACACAAACCCCTCACGTGGAGTGTCTTTGTATGAGACTCACTTGGGTACAAATCAACCCCAGCATTGTGTGCTTCCTTCATCACAATGTACGTACAGATCTGCCATTGCGCTACTCATATCTCGCTGATCGTGCCTGGGCTCAGCCGCTACCGGCCCCAATCCCTGCTGCATAACTTAGTTGGAGAGCCTGGATTGGCGCGGTGGTCGATGACCGCGGCTTGTCGAGAATGGCTACTCTGTCATTACAAGGTAGAGCGTGCCAGCTTCGCCGTCACGATCGGATCATCGAGCAACTGCACAGCCTCGGACATCTGCCAAGGTCCCTCTGCAAGTCCCTCTGAGTCCGGTGTCTATTCTCCGAGGTACCTCTGCGGCATATAACCAGGCGCCACTCGGAGGAACAGCTCGACCTTCTCAGAAGTTTCACGAGCTCCTCCCTCACACAGTTCACACTCTCATGATGCTTGCCCTCGCCGGCCTGCTTACACTCTTCGTCACCTTCGTGTCGGCCACGCCGACAATGAGGGCCCGCCAGATTGGCGCTTCGTGCGCGGGCCTGGCTGATGGTTCCACTGACTCACCATCGTACAACTTCACTCTCGCAGCCTACAACCTGACGCTGCCCAATGCTAACAGCACCGGCGCTCCGCTCGTCCTCGGTTGGGGACGACCGGTCACAAGTCCTGAGGCTAGCGAATGGGCGATTTCGGTAAGTCGCCTGCCAGATGTCTGGCATGTCTAGGTGGCTAATTATAATTCTAGACGTACGCTGCATGGGGCTCGAACGAGTGGCCGTACTTCACCCTCTCGAACGGTGCGCTCTACCCCATCCCTGGGCCCGACGAGACCGGAATGGGCGCATACGACTTCGAGATCGCCTCTGGCGCCGAGGTAGCCTTCCTAGTCACCTACCATGAGTCGAATCCGCCGCTTGCCTTTATCTACTGCGCTGCTGTACGTTCGCTTCTCCAAAGTACTATGACCATTTGGAGCGGGGCTAACTGGTAGTTTGATTAGGCGGGCGATGACTCGGAGTACGCGAAGCTCGCGGTCAATAACGACGCAGACAACTTTTCGCTGTGCCAGGCGACGACCTTGTGGTCTAATGTTGTCCTCGCGTACGAGGCTAACACGAACAATACTTACTACGATTACAGTACTTGTTACCCTGTCCAGGTCAACATCATCCCGTATGAGGCATGATCTCCAATGACCTGGGCTGACTGAATGACACCGATTGAATGGACATATGTTGGACCCTCACTTCCGCGGATACTTATACATGATGAATAGGGCCTCGTATAATGAGCGTTGTCACATGGGTGCTGCGATGTCATGGTGCAGACACCTCGTCTTCAGGTTATATCTTATGCAGCGCTCCAGCCTGCCCTGTATTACTATTAGTACGTACAGGTTTTGATCTACCGTTCCCTGCGTCAGCTGATCATGTCTTGGACTTGAAGTCGCCATTCGCATCTGGGCTGCCGGATTCCATCAGATTTCACAGTTCAACGTCCAAGTGCGAAGCTTAAGATCTCCCCTACGAGCAAAGATCATTGGCACGACAGTCTGCTTTGGGTCTGCTACTAGCGAAAATTTGGATGGCGAGTATTATTTTCCGAAGAGACTTGAGATCGCCTCGTAGCAGAAGGGGAACCCCTCGCAGCCTTACGGACTGGGCGTCTTCGGCATCTCGATATCAATGATACCTGAGCGCAGTCATGTTGCGACGAGGTGAGCAATATGGTCAGGCACTCCAACTGTCTTTCATGTCATCTAGTGTCGACTCCATTCATACATTTAAAGCCCTCAAGGCTTTTAAATTTGTCCGCAGAGCTGCGCAACCCCATTCATGCTGCCCTTGGAGCGTACCCTTGGGCGTTATGAAGGCTCTCACACTGGAGACCCATCTCATTGGGTGCATACATTCAGGAGTCATTCGCAGAGGCATCACCGCCGCACTCGCGCAGTTTGTTCATTCTGTGTCTTACGCGTTTCACCTGTCTTCTCATGACACACGACGTTACTGAACGCCCGGCGAAGAGCCGCCGGCCTTGACCAGACTAAGTACAAGTATCCACCATACCCGCAGTGCAAGTGGACGGATACTCTCAATTCTCGGTCAAAATGAACTCATACTACAAGCGAAAAATCACCTTGACAAAGGGGCACTGTGATACAGACTACGAACGCGGACTCAGACCTTCCGGTGGCCACGCAGTCTGATGCTTCTTACGTACGTCTGAGCCCCATCGAACGTATGAACGCTGACAAAGTATGTCATCTTGACTAGTGGGCGTTGTGTTCGCACGTTGGTCGGCGACTTCAAAAACGCATCTGTCAAGCCGCATCCTTGTGGTCTGGCTCGTCAAAGGCATGCACATACGACCTCCGACAACGATCACCGAGTCCGAATTCGTACGTACTGGCGTTGAAGACAGGCCGTATGTCCGGAGGCCGTGATTACCACAGGCGCAAGTGGACTGCACCATTCAAGCTTACAGCTTCGTACCAGCCTGGTCGAATGTGCATGTTTGCAGCCACAAGCTCGCTGCGTCAGTGTATGTCCTCTATACCTGAAGGGACAATTGAGACCACGGTTGGCTGACTGTCCATAACCTGAAGTCCCACAGCTGTCCTGAAACCTGTGTCACTCAATGGGGCGGTAAATTTGTCTCGTACCAATTCGAAGACGGATCGCTTGCCTCAACCGCTCGGATGGCTGGCGGCCCTGCTACCTTGATCTGGCAACGCTTACAACGCGCTCACACGTCTACCCCTGGCCCTGGAACCCAGGCTGGGCGAACAGGTAGCCCTGAGCGGATGTACTTAGTACCAAGGCTGACTCCCAGGCGAGTATTGCGTTGCTGCGTCTTCATTCTCTGGAGGGCGCTATGCAGAGTATAAATGTCGCTGCGTCTCCTGCTGTGTCCGACAACGCAGCGTAGCCATTCCTCGACGCCCCGCCTTTCGACTTTCACCCTTCATCGTGATGTTCGCTCTCGGATGGACCGTTCCTTTCTTGGCTCTCTCTACGCCGATCATGGCCGCACTCCTCGGTCGTCAACCTGAGATTCCTGCATCGTGCGCCGGCTTGCCTCAAGGCTCGCTCGGCTCGCTGTCGTACAACTTCACGTTGTCTGCGTATAGCCCTAATGCGAACCCCACGGGTGTCCCGCTCGTACTTGCGTTGGGGCCGCCTGGTACGAGCGCTGCGGCGAGCGAATGGGTCATCGCGGTGAGCAGCACGCAGTAGTACGCATATAACCCAACCTTGACTAACGCGCCCCCGGGGATGCAGACCGCTGAAACCGCAGGGTCTGACAACTGGCCGTACTGGACCATGGTCAACGGCGTGCTGACTCCTCAGCCGGGCCCGAATGAGCAGGGTCTAGGTGCCTACGCTGTTGCAGTCGACCAGGGCGATGAAGTCATCTTCACTGTGACCACAGTTGAGTCAAATCCGAACCCAGCTGACATCTACTGTGGTGCGGTACGTACCTGAGATACCCAACTGCGAAGTGAACGTCACTGATGCTGCTTCGCACAGGATGATTCCGGTGAATACCTGGTGCTTTCTGTCAACAACAACCCCGACGGCTTCTCGCTATGCACGGCAACCGACGACTACAGCCAGAATGTAGTTGTCTACGAAGCCGAGCCGAGTAATTCTGCGTACACCTACGATACTTGCTACGCAGTTCACATTAGTATCGTCCCTTACACGGCTTAAGACAGATCATGGTACTCATCTACCAAGCCTCGCGCTGTGACGGACCCCAGCTGGATCGCTAAGTCGTTGCTATACAATACACCTTGCGTACCCCTCTTTCGATAGTAGACTCTTATTGGCGATAGCAGTACCGGCAGACTAGTAAGTACCTTTCTGTTGGGTAGAACGTGCTTGTTCGGAGTATACGAACATTGTCCTTCTTGTGATGGAGCTGTAATCTCAATATGTCTGCTTCGTCCATGACCACACAGCACTCTGAGTACGCTCTCAACGCTCCTTCCTTCCTTTCTCCCCGCGCACTTTCGAGACCCAACCAGGTGCGTCGCGTACCGCGTCCAACGGTCGCGTCTTGTAGGTCATGAGGTATCCTTGCAAGGCTGCCACGGATACCTCACGATCAGGGATGGCCTGGCGAAATTGCTTGGCCAATTCCTGTGCAACGCTTCGTGGCAATGTAGTACCGATGGGTGGTGCGTGACCAATACCCGGGCGCAATGAAGATGTCGATTCTTCGAGAAGAGGAGTGGTGTGTTCTGTATGGGGTTTATCGCTACCGTCGACATCTACAGCGAGAGGAGAGATGACTTTGTCTTCATCATGTGCAACTGAAGAACTGCGCGACGAATAGAATGCCTTGAAGAGCTCTTCCGCTTGAAACTTGCTCGCATTGTGAAACTCGATGTGTACGTCCATGCGACCGGGTCTGCAGATAGCAGGATCGAGTGCACCGTAGTCGTTCGTCGTGGCGAAGAGGAGGCGTCCTTCCTGAGCTGCAATGCCATCCAGTGCGTTCAGAAGACCACTGAGGCTGATGCCACCCACGGCGGCTGTAGTTGCTGCCGGAGAAGCTGGAGTTTGACTAATGGGATCTCCGGAATGGGCGTCGCTATTGCTGGATGAAGATCGTTGCGTGAGATCATGTCGAAAAGCGACATCGATGTCTTCCATGAGTGCGATACACCTCTCCGGTAATTTAGCGATGAGTGAGTATAAGGTGTTGTCGTTCAGTCCGGCCTTCGATAGCGTCACGATGTAAACATCCAAGCCGAGTTCGCTTGCCAGGCTGCGAATGACGGATGTTTTGCCGGAGCCTGGCGGTCCGTACTGAAGGCCGACATAAGTACTGAGATTTACAACATCTGAGTAAGCATTACCAGAAGATAGCCTCGGCGGAATGGAATGCCTGACAGGTTATACTATCAAGTCATGATCATGAAAGGCTGAACGTCGCACGCGTACCTCTATCGGCATACCATTGTCGACTTTGACAGAACTCAACTGCATCATTCAACAGCTCCTCTTTCACACCGTAATCGAGTATGATGGTGCTCAGTGGTCGTCTTCGCGGTGACGTGACGTGCACCCATTCGTCGTATCTTGTATGATGTTAATTGAGAGATGTCACAGATACGCATTGCCACCTACAAGTCCGCAGCGTACACAGATATGATGTCTTCCTTTGCTTCTTTATACAATTTCCTTGCTTCATCAAGTATCTTGTTCAAGATATGGTGGCTGAATGCAAAGATTCTGCAACGAACGTATCAGTGCCACGGAAGCCCACTAACCGAGAAACATACCGGAGTTTAAGGGTTTCGCTGGGACGACCCAATGACATCTCAGAGCTGCGTGTCCGAGATACACGAATGTAGTGGTATCGATACCACATGGTATGATTTTTGTCTAGACTGGGAATATAACTGACTGCCTGGTCTTCATCTTTTCCTTTTTCATCGCGAGAATGCCGATGCCGATGAAGAGAGGGCTTCAAACCATAATTACTGGTTGTGGCCTCAGCAGTTCGAGCGTTCCCTGTTCAATATCAGTGAGTAGAGAATTGAGTTGTTCTCTCCGAGGCGAGTTGATGAGAATTGTCAACGCACGCCAAGATGAGTGCTGGGATAACCAGTACAGGATCCAGCCTGGAGAACACGTCAGGAGGTCAAGTGGTGAAGAGGATTGAGGTTACACACTATAAGCAATGTCTTCACTATCAAACGTGATGGTGATCCACGGGACATCGAGCAAGGTTGACCACAGAGAATAGAACAGGCGACGACAAAGCTCTATGGCAGCCCCCAATAGGAATAGCTTGGCCCAATCTGGAACTGCGGCACTGGTGACGAGATTGAGAGTAAATTGCGTCCAGTCTCCAGGGAGCCATGAATCGTTTGAGACGATTGAGGCGTTAGTGGAATTGACATCGACGAAGGAGCCTGAGACAGCAAGTAGAGACTGAACGTACTCCATTCTCGGGAATCGTCAACAAGCAGTACCAATGCACGGATGAAGAGATCGACGAGAGCCTTGCATTTATACCAATAGGAGATAAATGTGTCTCAGTGTATGTCTTCCTGTAGGAAAGAATCATGCTGCAGCAATCCATAAGACGCTGTCATGCGGTTCACGCGAGAGCTTATCGATACGCCCACCTAGTATTTTGGAAGTGGCTTGCCCTGGTCTGTGTACTCAGCGCTGGAGTCGGAGTCCGTCACGGTGCACTCACCATGTTCTGACAGCTGCTAAGACGCAAGTAGTACACGAATGACCGAGAAGCGGTCCTCCCCAATATCATCAGGGGGCTCTGAACCACATCTGAACGTGATGAACGATGCACTGGCCACCTGTCCGCCTTGCGCATGACAGCATCAGTGAACGGTCCTCCGCAACGGTTTCGGCCATCATGCGTTGAGTAGGAGTTCTCGGGACGCATGTTTCTACTTGAGGCTCGTGTTCGTACAAATACACCAAACGACGTTGCACAGTGGTTCTCGAGCTCATCCGACTAGCACCTCTTTCTATCTTTGCCGCCCAGTTCTTGTTCCACCCATTCGGGCGCATCGTGGACAGCATCTTGTGGTCGAACCTTATACCTCATCAGGTAGCCCTGCAAACTGGCCATCGAGAACTCCCGATCAGGAATAATCTCCGAGAATCGCGCCGCAAGCTCTGCCACATTCTTCTCAGCATCGTCCACTGCTGATAGCGACCGAGACCGACTTCCATTCTGAAGCACCTTCTCCGAGGTCCAATGACCTGCAGGTACCTTTGCACCGCCAGCCGGCGCGTAGAAGCGTTTGAAGAGCTCCTGCGCCTGGTACTTGCTGGCGTGCGTGAACTCGATGTGCTCGTCCATGCGGCCTGCACGTCGCAACGCAGGATCGAGGGCAGAGAAGTTGTTCGTCGTGGCGAACACTATGCGGCCTTCTTGCGCACCGATCCCGTCGAGCGCATTGAGCAAGCCGCTCAAGGTTACGCCCCCGATAAACCGTTCGGGCTCTGCGGGCGGAGCGTGCTCGGGGTGGCGCCGTCCTTATCCTTCGGGACGTCGAGGTTCCGCGCGATTCCTTGTTTGAAGGCAGCGTCGATGTCTTCCATGAGCGCGATGCACCTCTTGGGTAACCCGCCGATGAGCTCGTAGAGGGAGTTGTCGTCCAGCCCTGTACGGGACAGGCTGACGATGTATACATCAAGCCCCAGTTCTCCTGCTATGCTTTGGATGGTGGAAGACTTCCCAGAGCCCGGAGCGCCATGCTATGTAATATATCAGCTTCGTACACCCACAGATTGTCTATCCCTACTCACAAGGAGATATCCTCGGCGGAAAGGAATACCTGTAACGCATGGGGTCAGTGATAACCTCGCTAGACCAATGCGGCGCACCGACCTCTTGCAGCATACCACGGCTGACTGTTCAAGAAGTCACGCGCGTCTTCCAATAGCCTTTCCTTCACTCCGGGATCCAAAATAACGGTATTTAGCGCGCGCTTGGGGTTAGCAGTAATGTTGATCCAGTGGTTCATGCTTCAGGCCAGATGTCAGCTTCATATTTCAAAGCGCAGGCAGCACTACCCACTTGTTCGACGCCCATACCGATATCACGTTCTCCTTAGCCGCTTTATACTCAGCTCGAGCTTCCTCCAACAGCTCACCCAGAATTCGATGGTTGAAGGCAAGGATCCTGCACCAGAAGTCAACGCGCAACGCTAGGAACTATGCCTAGGACGACATACCGTATTTGCAAGTACTCCGACTTATTAGACAACCCCGACGGCGATGCCGGACTGACTTGGCGGCTGACCAGCATGAACCGCCGCTTGTACCACATGTGGTACGTCTTGTCTAGTCGAGGAAGGTATGACATCGCCTTGCTGGTGTCTCGCTGGTCTTCCCTAGGAGGAAGCCAGGGGTGCGGGGAGTTGTTCGCTTCCAAACCATAGTGCCGGGTGGTCACTTCGATGTCCCTCGCCTGCCCTGTATACAGAGTGGAAAGCCCAAGTCATTTCGTTGCATCGTGCACGACAAAGTAACGTACGCCACACCGGCCGACAGGAAAGCCAGTGTAGTAGCCAGTCTGTACTCTCGTTAAACACTAGACAGACAGTGTTCGAGGGAAACCACCAACGCACTGTACACAGGATCTTCCTCAGCGAATGTTGCCGTAACGAAAACCCGATCCACGACCGACCTCGCCACGAACATCAACAGTCGGCGATACGCTTCAACGATTCCCCCCGTCAACAACAACCTCGTGCCCCGCTGCAAAGCAGATGAGGACGGAAGATGGGGATAAAGCAACGACATGCCGATCGGAGGGAGGCGCAAGGACACCCTGCCGTCGATGTTATCCAGCGCATTCGACGGGCTGCCATCACTGTCACACGAACCATCGTTGTCGCTCATGGTGAGGAATGGAGGAGTGGCCAGGAAGACGGCACACCGCAGGACGTTGGCCCCGGTCTGTTTATATAGGGTGCTGATGGACCACACCGACCTGATACGGAAGTACGACTGGATGCGTTTCACCACAGGTTCACCCTGTCAGAGTGCATGGCGTCGAGCGCCACAGCAGCCCTATCTATCCTCGACCGCATCTCGAGGTGATTGACAATGACACCGGCGTCGGTACCGCAGTGACACGTGTTCTGCCAATCCCAGATGGCAGAAACCCCGACCTGTGCGGTTAGTTGAGCTTCTCGGGCCCCAAATGGACCCTAGAACATAGCGCAGAACCACAGGGCAACCGCCCAGCATGGTCAGTCATCGCGTTCGAGATTCCGATGACATTGAGAGCTAGATTACAGCATGCTGGAACAGTGAGAGCAAGAATAGATGTGAATTGCCAGTGGAGATGAAAGTCGAGTCAGGAGTAAACGTTTAAACCTTGAGTCCATGTAGATTTGATGATGTGTCGTGATGATGAAGCAAGGAAGAGTGATGTCGCTTTCGTGTGGAAACCCGAGAACGACATGCGTAGGACGAGGAAGACTTTCAGTGGGAGCCACGAGCGTCGACCTGCTGCGTTGGCGGGTTGTATGGATGGTTTAGACAATCGTAGCACGTCGTACTGGCACTGCTCCAACAGTCGCGACAGGCGTGGTCCGTCAGGTGAGGCAGAACTCAAGTAATGGCACACGCACCTCATGGTATTCTCGTAGCAACAGTTGCGACAGACGATCCTTCCACATCCACGCAAAGCCGTTTCCTTTGGGGCCTTCTCGTGGTCCGACAACGAGCTTTGTTGTTCGTCTTCATCGGTGTCCCACTGGAGTGGCTTGCGGCGTTTTCCGGTCGTCGCGTGGTCAGACGCAGGGTTTAGCAGCGCGTTTGCTGTTCGCGAATTCGTACTCAACGCGAGCGCAGGACGTCGCGGTGATGGAAAAGGCGACGGGGACGGGGTAGACGAGCGAGTGAGAGCAGGCGTCGGGGGCAGAGACAGCGGCGGCGCGCTGCATGCCCGCGAGCAGACAAGACACGTTGTGGCCCGACATCTGCGGCGACAATCAGTAGCAACGATGTATGCAATGTAAATTGCTGACCTCGCACAGCGTACAATTTCGCTCACTCGTCTGGCGAAGCTTCTGTGGCAGGAAACGCAAACAGGAACGCCATCGCCGACCAGATCAAGGTGTTGCTCCGCCGGCGCCGTCAAAGTCGACGCGTCTTTCGCGCTGGATTGTGCTGAGACCAGCCTGCGTCGTTTGGGCAAAGGTCTGGCAATCCGCTCGACACCCATGTTCAAAAACATAAACAGAAGGTGATAGTCCTGGAAGAAGATGTGCGCGCTCTTGACTGCATAAGTTATGATTGGGCAAAGGTGTACTTAGAACATATGATTATCACATTTTGGCACTTATAAGTCAAATATCTCGCGTTGCTGCGTAATAAGTGATTAGCACAGTGTACAAACCACTCTGTGCGACGCGTCTACTGACAGAAGAGCAAGTATTGATTTAGCCGCAAAGTTAGAAGTCCTCACGTCGAAAGCAAAGAGACGGTGCATAGCGAAAGTATCCGAACATAGCAAGAACATAGATAGATACTACCATTTCGGACTTTCAAACACAGGGAATATTAACCCTTACAAGGCAAGTGCATTTCCTGGTGTGTTACTTAGCGCCCCTCACGCTGAGTCTTATAAACTCGCTCCTGGCGCCATGAAAACCTGCTCACAAGGTGATTTGTCCACTGTGTAGGTCAATAAATGAAAAAGAAGCTTGCGCTCCAATTCCACACTGATATACACTGTGCGGGAGTCGAACCCACGCCGCTTGCTTACGTAGTTATGATTACGTGACCGTGGAAGGCAAGCATGATACCGTTTCACCAACAGTGTTATACGTTGCACAAACATGGTTTATATATACATCTTTAAATACTCTGACAAACATAGACTTCTGTATCTTTGATCTCGAAAGGCGGACTTGCTACCCCCAGTGGCTGTTCGATCTTACCGTGACCGTCAGGACTCTCCCATCCCCTCACCCCCCTCCTACAAGGAGGCACACTAGCCCACCACGGCGCCCAAGATGAAGAACAAGAACAAAACCACCAAATTCCCGGTCGTACGTCCTCAGCGCACCGCATCCTACCCCTAATCATGACCGGCATCCATGCGCCTTCACGGACAATGCCTGACGTTCTGTCCTGCAGGCGCGGATCAAGCGCATCATGCAGAAGGACGAAGAGGTCGGAAAGGTCGCGCAGGCCACGCCCATAGTCATCTGTGAGTCGCGTCTCAAGCGTACAGGACGCCTTATTGAAGGGCTGCTCATCCTTGCACCCCGATCAGCGAAAGCACTCGAACTCTTCCTCGCCATGATCATCGAGGAGGCGAGCAAGGTCACTGCGGAGCGGGGGTCGAAGAGAGTAGAGGCGTATCATCTGTGAGTCCCGCCTTCAAGGCCTATACCGCCATCCTCGTTTGTGGCCGCTGAACACACGCGTCGGCTCCCAGAAAGCACGCCGTCGAGACTGTCGATATGCTCGACTTCCTCAAGGAGATCGTCGAGGGCGTCCCCGACCCCTCTGCTGGCGGGACCGTTGACCTCGACGTCGACGTGACCGAGTCCGGGAGGAAACGCCGCGGTGGGAAGGGGAAGCGCGCCGCTGGTGCGGATGGCGAGGAGGGTGCAGCCCCGCGGCGGCGGCGAAAGAAGGGCGAGGCCAAGGAGGAAGGAGAGGGCGGCCAAGTGAAGCGGCGCGCGAGGAAGAAGAAAGCGGTGAAGGAGAAGGAGATGGACGAGGACCGGGAGATGGAGGACGAAGAGGGCACGGGTGGTGAGGCGGGCCCCGCGCGCAGGGACGAGTACGACGATGACGATTGGGAGGGCTAGACGCGTGCGTAGGGTCAACGAAAGCGAGACGGAACTCTGCTCTGTATTTCTGTACTGTACAATGTGTGGGATTAGCATGGACTCTGTACATAATATTGACATTTGGTGGTATCGGTGGATCAACGCGTCGGAGAGTCTGAACGTCTGAACATAGCATGGATAGCGCGACACCCAACAGAGAGCGAACAACATGACGTGTAATCTGCCGTGGTACACGGATCATACCAATTCTACTTCCCCTCGCAAGAGTAACTGCTCTACGACGTAGAAGGGCGTCAAAGATATTCGCCCCTTCTCCATTGCAATCGATGTACCACTGTCGATGAACCACATGAGCGCCGGGGTACACAGATGAGCGATAACTAACATACTCTGGTAGTCGCACCGGGGGACATTCCTGGCGGGCGCGCACGAAGACAGGTCGGAGCTTGTCAGGTTCCGGAACTGAGGTACACACGGTCAACGGTCAGCACAGAGAGGAAATGAGAAGCAGCCAGCGCACTCATGGGTGGCATGAAAGCCATCTCGTCCTCCAGCGAACGCTGCTGTGGCGGAAGACTTTGCAAAACGGACTGGTTGAAGTGGTACTCCATCAATCGCGCGAATCTTCGAGGGGAAACGATTAACCAAATGCAGCGCGGTCAACTACGTCTCTCGTACCTCCTCGCATGGTCTAGCTCGGCCTTCGACAACTTCTCGTGCACTTCTGGAGTGGCGCTTATCCAGCGCGCGTACTTCTCAATCTACACTTCCACGCAAGGGTCAATGTTCAGCTTTGTCGCGGCAGCACGTCAAGAGGAAGGGCCCACCTTGTAGAGACGCGTCCGGATGTATGACCGCACGACAAACTTGACGCGCTCGATCTCCGTTTGGACTAACATGATGCGAAAGTGTTCGTCCTCGGAAGAGTCGGGATCCGCGCGGAGGAGCTGCACATCGTCGGACTAAAACTAGGTGTTGTCAGCTGGCCGTTCTTCGGGAAGCAGAGCGTAAATGCGTGGATCCGTAAGGGGACAGCGTTCGGAGCGTCGGCCCCCGCTCAGGTGCGACGGCAGAAGTCTCAGACCACTCGCTATCTGAAACGTGCGGACCACCCACAGTATGCGTTAGGGTGTGCCCTCAGCAGCGGTCACCTTCACGTGCTATGCGATGCGTAGCGGGACACTACGCGCAATGACCACACCACGTCGCGCGCACCACAATCGTACCACGTCCGCACCTCCACAGGCACATCAAAGTTCCCTTCCAGACGAGCGGTACAGAGATCTCTCACCTGTTTCCTAACATGATCCAATATCCTTCCGAGCAACATCTCCTGGCCGGGCAATATGTCAGGCGCCTGGCGTTCGTTCATCCAATGCCGGATGAGTTGCTGGAATGGCGTCTCTTCTTCCTCTTCCAGTCCGAGCAAGTTCGGATCTGGTCTCCCAAAGTTGTCAGGGATGGGGTAGTCGTCGTCATCTGGTGCGTGTCGCGCACGCTCGATGAAGGATGGTCCTGCGCGTGGCCCGTTGAGCGCGAGGTCGGGATCGTCTAGCCAATTGGCCATCGTGATAGGTGGTTGCGTTTCAGGTCGTTTTAGCGACAAGGAACCTGGAGATATCCAGCGATTTGTGAAGTCGCAGTGGAGTAAGTGTTGAGTAAGTGCGCGCGAAGTGAGACCGCGACGCTTGCGAAGGGCGGTGGCGCGTCTTGACCTGCCCTAAACAGTCGCGCCTGCGACAAGCGCTCGCGATCGTCCTCCGAGTGACTTCGTGTCCGGCAAGTGTCCGGTATCTCCTTGTCCTCGCCGTGCCAATGTCGCACTTAAATGATGCATGCGTATGCTACGGAACCTCCACTCATGCTCGAGGTAGAGTGTAAACCCACTCAGGCTAAGACACACGTACGTGAATCCACGATGCACAAGGCCCCGCGAGTCCTCACGCCATCTCCTGGGACATCCTCACATTGATCCATTCAGTATCAGACACACCATTGAATATCGTGGGTCTGCTGTGGAGGAGGTCAGACGGGCTGAATGTAACCATTCGGACAGTGCAGCCCTCGACATTCGCGACACGGTGGGTAATATTATTGCCCCTATATGTTTGGATGTCGGTCAACGGAGCATGCGGAGATGTTCATCTCCTGGGTCAACTACAAGCTCATCTACATGTCTCGTGCGTACGTATTACACCGTAGATCTGAACGCGAACACAGTACGACACCGAAACAGGCTGCACGGAACCGCACCCGAACTACGAATTGCCTCGCCAGGGACCCAACATCAATGGCAGACACTTGCAGGATGCGTACTTCTGTCGACGGAAATCTACCAAAGCAACTTCAATCTAAATCTATACTGCAGCGCGGAACGTGCAAATGGACATCAGCTCACCGATTTCAACGTTCAACACTGGATTTACGTACAGTGGTCAGTATAACAGTACGTGCAACGTCACGATCCACTTACATCGTCGTGAGCACACGAATCTGATCATCTCTCTTCCCATAAGGCAAGGCTGTTCGATTGCGCTTGCGCGCGATCTTTTTTTTTTTTTGAGTGGAGGGCCCGACAGCGGACTGCAACGAGACGGAGCCTCGTTTCCTCCCGGGGGAAAATGCATTTACGCACGAACTCTCGCGAGAGAGAACAGTGTGGGACTCAGGACCGTCATCGCACCAATGCATCATCGTCAAGTCTTGGTGGTGGTGGTGCTCTGGTCCGCTTGCCATACCCACTAAAAACCCCCGTGCCGTCGGTCGTCGGATCAGGACCTCCGACGGCGTCTGAAAACAGACGAGCGTAGTACGTGGGTGTCGGAGGGGAGTAGCGGTGAGAAGTATGAGTGATGGGTGACTGTATCTACGGCTTGAGGTTTGGCTTGGGTGTTCCTACGAAAAGGTCAGAGACGCTCTCTAATGATCACGACAATTACTTACGTTACACCTTCGCCAGGGACGTCGCTCATTTTAATTTTTTGTCTTTTGCAGCGACGCCCCTCTTCCTGGTACGTGCGTGCGCTAGCACGATGCAGTAGCCCGATGATGCGAGCGTCCACTGCCGGCAGGGACGTCCCCGTACCATGATGACGGGCTGGCCGACTGCAGGCAATCTGTCTGCCGTGCTGCCATCGGTGCTCCACGTCAACGGTACGGTGCCTCTGGCAGCCCGCCACATCGGCAGGCCACCTCGCGCCAGAGGCTGGACCCTTTCGCGCACAAACGACGTACCAGGGATGTCTTCCGCCCGTTTGGGGCAATCGAGGGTTTGTATCCGGATTCCGGAGATCTTTCGCTCGGGCAGTCCTGCGAGAAAAAAGGTCAGCGATCGTCTACCGCTGCTCCGCGACGAAGACTCACATTGCACCCTCGCCAGGAGCGCCGCTCCATGTCATTTGACGAGCGACGCCCCTCCTCCAGTACCGTCATGCGCTAGCCAGCAACGGTAGTCCGACGAAGCGGGCGTGCACCGGCGGCGAGGACGTCCCCGTACATGTTCGACATAGTGACCCGGCATAATCTCGTCGACAGTGAGCGCAATGCCCCGTCTCCGCTGATGCACGGCGTCGTCGGTACGGTGCCTCCGGAAGCCCGTGCCACAGCATGGACCACCTCACACCGGAGGCTGGACCCGTTCGCGCAAATACGACATACCAGGGTTGGTTTGTGCCCAATGGGCGGTAGAGGGTTTGAATGCGCTCGCCGTGGATCATTTCAATCCTCGACGTCGGGACGTGGCCTGCAACGAGAGTCAGCCAATGCCCGGAGCCGCGGTGACAGTGGAAGCTCACCTGAGCCACGTCGTCCCACCCGCACGCCACAACTGGCTAGCCTCGTGGTCTACCGACGACGCGTCGGGTCTCGGACCAGTCAACGGCGGAACGGTCCCCGTACAGAGTCCATGCACCGTGTCCCTGCGGAGGCGCGTATTCGCGACACTCCTGACCCTTGGTGCACGTCTGCAGTACAGCTGCTTCCGGCTACCGACGACGCGAGTAGCCGGGCCTACGTCGCCGCTATCGTGCGGACGACGGTAGACTGGACGGTCCCATCACCAATTGTGCAACGTACGGGTGTGCCCTTGCGGGACTTTGAGCCGTCGTCTGGCATAAATCGTTGAACCCGTGAGGGATTTGTTTTCGCATAGGTCGGTCATAAGTCGCATAGTCTTGAGGCACGCATATTGATCACAGGTCTTGAAGCACACAGTCTTGACGCACAATATCTGTCACTGCGGTCAGTCACGTCTACGTTATGAGCCTCGACGCCGACTTACTTTGTGGCTGACACCTAGGATGGCCACACACTGATGGTCGCACAAGTGTGGCGTCATGCGCATGGCAAATGGGAGGAGCTTAGGACGGTGCGGGGCATGTTGATAAGCTCGCCGACCACCTGCATTGACAACTGAACGTACTTAGGCTGCCGGTGCCTTGGACCCGACCCTCAACTGAAGGTGTGGCGCATCGTAGTCGGGGTCGACTCGGACCAGGATGGCCGCGAAAGCCGACCGGAGGATGGGAGCAGATAGCAGGCTAGGGCGCATCCAACATGGTGGTCGGAAGGCAAGGGGATGGGGGACGAAATGGCGTCCACCCCCGCTCCTTATACACCTCCGTGTGGGTCCATGTTTGGTCCTGACAAACAGTCAGCCGCACCTATTGTCCGCCATTTCGAGCTCAGCCCTTGTGCTTGATCTGGCCGCATCAGCTCGTGCATTCTGCGCTATCGATGATCAGAGCGCTGCGAGAAGCACGGACCACGCTGCGCGCGGTGCCCTTCATCAGCATGGGTTTCCCGGATAGCGCGACGCCGTTGTACTTCGGAGGCCAGAGCTGTTTCACGAGGCGACGAGGGTGAGGCTGACTCGCCTGGACATCCTTATCGTGAGGGGATTGCGCCATTTCTCGGTCTGAAATTGACAGCTGTTGCTCGCTGCTGGGCACGGGCCCGGGATGCTGCCCACAAACTCCTCCTATGCCTGCCATGTCGTCCCCCCGGCGGCGCAGGCTGCCTTACGACGATTAGTTCTTCTTCCCTGTACACTGGGAAATACTCGCGTTTGTAGGTCTTCTGTATTTACAGCACAGATTTGGCTAGGCGTAGCAGCAATCCTACATAGCCGTGCATGAAAATCCTGTTCCTTTGGCTGTTAGTGGGTGAGCGACGCCACAGGCGCAACTATGAACTACGTCTTAGTCAGGGCTTCAGACGCCAGCAAAGAGTTTCAATGCACTATTTTTTCCGTGGGTTGGAAGGACGCAATCGCGCTATCGATACAGTACACTGGCAGTACGCCATAGTTCCGGAATAGCTGTATGTTACTCATTATTATGCTCCGTTCCCTGACAGTCAACTCAGCTCAGGTTATCGAGTATACATACGCCTTCGACGCCTGAAATAGAGACACGAAACTCTCCTTTGACGTCAGAAGTCAGTGCCAGCCTTGGGGCATCATGTATATTGAGCACCCAGAACACGCTCACGTGCTCAATCGAATTTTAAGGTCACCGCGCGATCATGAACGCGTCCCGATCTTCCCCTAGTACATGTACCCTCTTCCTAGGCTCTAGCTCAGGTCGTCGGCTGAGGGACTACTCATGATCACTCTGAGGTCTACTCCCGCTACGGCACTCTCCGGTGGTTGTCAAAGAAGACCTGTACTCTTGACTGTATGCGCATGCAAACAGTACTAGTTGTAACACGCATACATGCGGCTATGCCGCGTATATGCATGTATAAATGGTTGTATATGGGTCAAATAATTGCTATCTTGCCGTGCGTGCGTTTTTATTGATACCTTCGTATCTACTAGATCCTCTGCCAGTGCGCTTCATATCACGCGTCCGAAACAAGGCCGTAATCAGACGTCGAAAGCCTCCGACTCGCCGGATGTCGCTTGCCACCGTCCTGCTTTCGTTGCGGAAATGACGTCTCAAATAGATGGTATAACAATAGGGATACCCTCCATCTATTACTTAGCTGATTATCTTCACGTTATCCACAGCTACACCATTCAACTTTTCCGTGCAGTTCCCCTCAACTTCATAACGTAGGTGTCATATTGGGATTGTGAGCTAGTAGGTGCATCTGATCAGATTTTTTGGCAAGTGAGAGTGTCACTAAAGTCCCAAGGCCCAAGGCAATGCAGACCCTCATCAGATCGAGAGCGGTTCGCAGCCTCCGAGTGCGGCGCTTCAGCATCACCGAAACTTCAAGCTGAAGATCGAAGTATTGACAACGAAGTGAATAAGCAGCTCTGATACGCTTGGTATACATGCACTTTTATCACTGAGCTCATACTATCGCTGATGATTGTCTTACGGGCTAACTTGAACACAACAACGGTGATGTTAGCCATTCCGGCGCTTGTTGTGTAAGTTCTAGCTGTGGCTGGTAATTTTTGGGGATAAGTACACGCTCGACCGCAGTACCAACGCATTTACGATATCCATGAAACCAGAGGTGAGGCGTATGCTTGTATAAGGCTGATGAACGATGATAACCTGCTCCTTTACAGTAGTACTTACTCGAGTAAGGCGTGGCGTCCAACGCGTGACGCCACGCGTCAGACAGAGAATACAGGGGTCACGGGATCGTTCACCTTTTGCATCAATACTTATCCGGGAATGTCGCTTGTCCCTAGCCCGGTGCTCGATGGGCCAGTCCTCTCTCCCTCCACCCCTGTTTGGCAGCATTTTTCTTTGCAGAATAAGTGCGAGCTGATCTGTGCTCTCGCGAGCAAATGTCGATTCCTCGACCATCGCCGGACTCACCTCTGGGTGAAACAGCACCAGAAGCGAGGCACGCAGCCGGAAATGACGCAGGATCACCGTTTGTTCACGACGGGTTGCGAATGGGCGCGTCTCCTGTAGCACGAGCCGGGTAAGAACCTCCCCCATACATAATCCTCATCTTTTTGCGTGATCAGCTGTTTGACTTCTTGTGGCAAGTCTATTACAGCCGAGAAGTTTTGTGTCGTCAAGCTCAAAGTCTTCCCGGCCTCGTAATGCGGGACTCCATACTCAGGACGCCATTCGAGACAGTACCATGCACATCTCCAGTATACCCCTCCGCACTACGAGCGCCACGCCTCACTCGGAAGATGCGTTCATATTCCCGGATGTCGACACCACACCGGGGGCGGTCTCTGCGGGGATACCGCCACAGACCGGTTCGGTGGTCTCTCTTGTCCCCTCCAACCAGTCCACCGACAGCTTTACAGATCTCACTGCATCCACCACGACGATCGACTCAACGCCATCTGGTGCTGCCACTCCCCGCGGACGCCAGGGCCCGTCAGGTCTATCACTACTGCTAGCTCGACAGACTCACGAGGAGTCACCTAGCGGCTCGTCGACACCGACACCGACCCTAGAACATCCTCACGGACGTCTGCGCACAGTACCCACAGATCCTGCTAGTGACGTACCTTTGGACCATCCCCCAACGAGATCTGCCTTGTCTCCTGTACTCTCCTTCGCCGACGCCGCACAGGCCGACAGATCTAACACGCTTTCTGAAACGACACCCCTGCTGGTAGACCTGGAGGCCGCCCACCCAGGCAACGGCCGAACCTACGTTCCCAAGGCCGAGGGCAAGGAACGTGCGAACCGGCTGCTGTCCCTACTATGCCGCCCACCTGCGTCGCACCTTACCCTACACGCGGCGAAGGACACTGCAGTGACAGCCGTGCAGTCGTTGCCGGCGGTGCTCCTGGGCACGTTGCTCAATATCCTCGACGGCGTCTCCTGTGCGTACGTATTTCACGATCACGTTGGCTCGCTCTGAGGCTTCCTTACGTCCAGATGGCATGATCATATTCCCAGCGGCGGGGGTCTTTGCGGGACTCGGCGGCACCGGGGTGTCGATGTTCTTCGTCTCGTGCGTACCCGCGTGTTCGCTGCTATGGGCGGGGATTGGCAGTCGTGTTGACGGGACATTTCAGGGCGATCATCGCGCAGTTGATTTACTCCGCCGGAGGGAGTGGCTTCGCGGGGGCGAATGGCAGTATGATGATTGAGGTCGTGGTGAGTCCAGTCCGGTGTCATGGACGCGTCACGGGCGAGCATGCTATGACCCATCCTACTCTCCACAGCCCTTCTTCCACATTCTCGCGAACAGCATCGCAGAAGACATTGGCGAGGGTCATCCTCGTGCGATCCTGGCGACGACTATTTTAGCGTTCGCGTTCTCGTCCATCCTGACAGGTCAGTTGCTTGGTTTGCTGAACACGGCTGAATGGCGACTTATACGGGGTGACTTCGCGCAGGGCTGACCTTCTTCCTCCTTGGCGCGCTCAGACTCGGTTCGCTGATCGGCTTCTTTCCACGACACATCCTGGTCGGGTAAGTCACACCTATGCTCTTGTTCTGGCACCCGCGTAGAATATATTATTCACGTCAACGCGGACAGCTGCATTGGCGGTGTCGGTGTCTTTCTGGTGATCACAGGGTGAGTCACGTGCGTTCTACCCTTGTGTCTTCGCTCATTTGATTGGTGTGGATGTCTAGGTTCACCGTATGCACGGGCATGCCGGAGGAAGACTTCGACTTCTCGCTGGAGGCACTGACGTATGTCTTCTTCACGGCCCGTAACGTCCTGCTGTGGGCGCCTGCGCTCGCGTTGGCGTTCGTCCTGCGGGTGATCACGCACAAGTATGAGCACCAGCTCATATTTCCGATGTGTGAGTTAGATGGTACGGCCAGGATTTTTCTCAAATAATCTGAATGGCTGCTTTGTCAGATTTCCTTGCGGTGCCGGTGATTTTCTACATTGTGGTCGCCGCTGCCCATTTGGATCTGGGTGTTCTCAGGGAGCATGGTTGGCTCTTCGACATGGGGACGTCGCATGAACCGTGGTACCACTTCTATACGTTGTTCGGTGCGTTACACTTCGGGATTAGAATGTTGAAATCAAACTGATCCCATCTTCGCAGACTTCAGAGCTATTCGTTGGGATGCCTTCTGGGCCACTCTGCCGACGCAACTCGCATTGTATGTGTTGTGTCGTAGACGTCTTTCGCACCTCTAACACTACGTTCGATCAGGCTTTTCTTCAACATTCTGCACCCGCCTCTCAACGTGCCTGCGCTTGGTTCGTAGCGATGTGTATTCACGGCAAACGCAGTATTGACGACTGCGTCATCTAGCTGTGTCACTGGATCACGACGTGGACACGAACAAGGAATTGGTTGCTCATGGTTACTCCAACCTCCTCGCGGGTGTGCTGGGCACTGTGTGTGTATCGCTCAACTGCCCTCACCTTTATGCGCGTGCTCACGTGCATATGGCAGTCCCAACTATCTGGTGTACGTGAACACACTATTGTGAGTCACCTTGAAGTACTGTGCTGTGCGGACTTCATGCTGACGATAGACAATAGATTCTATCGAGTGGGTGGTACGACGCGTATCTCCGGCTTCATGCTCGCCGCCGCTACGGCGGTCTTGCTCGTGATTGGAACTGGTCCCATCGCCTATATTCGTGCGTATCAGATGTCTCGTAACAAAGAGGTTGTGTGTAGCTGATTCGTGAATGAATGTAGCGGTGCTATTGGTCGGTGCCCTCATCTTCGTGTTGGGCATTGACTTGGTCAAGGAGGCGCTGTGGGATACTAGACATCGCGTTAGCCGGTGAGTATGCTCCTCCTCTACAAAAGGCCTTCAAGTGCTGAGCGACATATAGGATGGAGTATATCACGATCGCGAGTATCATGATCTGCATGACCGTGTGGGACTTCGTGATTGGCGTCATATTTGGTATCGTTGTCAGCTGTACGTTTGTTCCGACCAAGTAGACTTCGGCATGACGGGCTGACACTCACGTGCCGTTAGGTGTGTTCTTCGTGGTGCAGAGCTCGCAACGGAAGAGCATCCGGACGCTGCATACGGGCGAGACAGTTATGTCCACCGTACGACGACCAGGCGCACACCGAGCCTACATCCGCGAGGTTTCCAAGCAGACGACCATTGTTCGGTTGCAAGGTACCACACGTCTTCCTCCGTTCTCCGCTAACGCACTAACATCGCATTGCATCAGGTTTCCTATTCTTTGGCACGATCACGCACGTCGAGGAGACGATCCGGACGCTCGTCGAGGGCCCCACATGGCAGCGCAGCCCCATGCGGTTCCTCATTCTCGACCTGACGCTCGTCCCTGGTGTCGATATGTCCGCCGCCGAGGCGTTCGTTCGCATTCAGCGGCTGCTCGCTTCACGGCGCATCGTGCTCGTGCTCTGCGGGTTCTCACTCGACTCTAACGTCGGGCGGTCGTTGGGAAACGTGGACCTGCTGGAGATGGAGGGCGTCGAGTTGTTTGCGACGTTCAATGACGCGCTGGAGTGTGAGTGCTCAGTCCCCTGTGGTTGTTGGTCTGAAAATGTCTGATATACGGCTCGGTAGGGACGGAGAACGTCTATTTGAGGACGTGGTTCAGCAGCCAAAAGACAGAGACGCATGCAGTTGGTACGTCGTAGCTTGCACCGCAGCTATGCCGCTGTATTGATTATCTGTGCAGTGTTACCTGGTCGAGAAGCTTCAAGTCTTGCATTCGAGGAAGCTGTCGCAGCGACGCCGAGAAACATGCAGTTGATCGAAGCCGGATGGCGGACCATTGCTCGAGGTAGGTCCTTCAGACGACTTGTGCTCAGAATGCTTCCGGCTTATCTCTGATTTCAGATCACTCGCCACCAGAGGCAGAGGTGGCAGACGCACCAGAACCTTACAACACCCTCGTGAAGGTGTTTTCCTCATACGGGCGCGTCGACCGGGACGACTTCGCACCGCTGATCCGGTACCTCGAACGCGTCTGCCCAGCAGAAAGCACGGTGCTCTGGAGACAAGGAGACGATTCCGACGGGCTTTACATCGTTGAGTCCGGCGTGCTCAGAGCGACGTATCAGTTCGGGGAGCACACGCGTCCCACGGAGGAGTCCATGGTGCCTGGGACATTGGCCGGCGAGCTTTCGGCATTGACTGGCTTGTCTCGCAACGCGACTTGCGTTGTGGAACGGCAAGCGGTTCTCTGGAAGCTCAGTACCGAAGATCTGCATCGGCTGGGAGAGGAGCAGCCCAAGCTGGCGAGGGAGTTCACGAGACTGGTACTCAAAGGTACGTGCCTCCCCGTTTTCTCGACAGGCTACAATGTCTAAATATTCTCGTGCAGCCGCAAAACTCGACTACGATATCCTCATTGCTGCGCTCGCCACCCGGCAGTGAGCACGAAAAGCGCTATGAGATGTAACGACCTTACGCTTCATGTATCGATACCTATAGACTTGGAGTCTCGATTGACTCATTTGCCACCCATACGACCATGTACGACTCAACCATTGATGTGACACAGCCTGTAACACTAGTACCCTCTTAAGGACCATCATAGACACCACGACTTCGAGTCGGCTATATAGATGTCGTCGTTCCTGGACACTACACACGCACCTAGTCTATGAACTTATCTTACACACACCATGCACCCGTCTGCAAGAAATGGCTACTTTCTACTCCTGATATAACTGAAACACGACTTCGTGACAATCGTACGACCGTAGCAAGGCTTGCGCGGTCTCCCTGGAGGCGTGACACTGGGGAGGGGCAAGGCCTATAGCGCGCATGGCTGCTTAGTCAGCGACGCGCCACAGCAATCGTGGGCAGACATCGTTCTCCTCCTTCGATCGCGTCCTTGCCTTCTGAAAGCCTGTTACACCCCCCAATTATGATGCAAATATTAAGGTACTATTGTCTATAGGTGTGGACTAGTGTAATTGTATAATAGCTCACGATTTCATGTCAGATTCATTGTCGAAACCCCCGAATCTCGAGCTTGAGTTCCCTGGACCCCTACTGGATAGCTCGACAGCGTTGATTTGCGGTGCGTGCATCTGGCCACAGGCATCTGTAGTAATCGGATCTGATGCATCTGAATGCACGGCAGCCGACTGGTGATCTTGCGCTCGCTGGATCGCCTTGTTCACCTCGGACAATACTTTGTCTTCTTCGCCTTCGCCTTTCTCAGCGATGATAGCGATAGTCTTAGTACCGGATCGTCAAGTCGGTAAACCTGGAGCTGCTGCTCAAGCTCATCTCTCTTCAGCTTGCCTAGGTGTTCCGGATTGACGATCAGTTCGACAGCTCGGAGTTTATTGGTACGTGCTATGTTTGTCCTTCTTCTGTTGTTTTGCAGTAGCCTTGGTTACTTTCTGACGAGCGACTGTGATGTTGTGCTCTGCCTGATGCTTTCATTGTGCTGACTCATGTCCACTGTCGTCAAATGCGTGAGCTGCACACCACACATGCACATGGCAGTCGTCGTCGAACATCACATCCATGAACACGGACCTCAGGCTTGTACTCTTGCTGCTTCTTGTGCAGCTGATTTGTGCTTGCGCTTGGGCCTGTACAAGCTTTATAATATCCTTTGACAGCCATATGAGTCTCGAGGGCTGAAGAGAGCGCAGCACGTCAAAATTCGATGGTATACGGAGGGTAATGGCCTTCGGAAATTGTCCAGTGTCCAATTATATTATGTATTGGATCTCAAAAAAAACTTGGTCATTGCTGGAAACATATGAAGATATAAACAGACCACCCACAATGTCTTTATGAAGTGGTGCAGCGAGCAGAGGGCCATGGAGACGCGACAATGCGCACGGTGTGCTCGCTCACGTGATCGCCCAATCGCGTCTGTGGCGCGCGCTCAGCGCGTTTCGCCTCCCTTCGCTATATCATAAATGCAGACCGAAGCACGCACTTTTGTGGCTGCTTTCCTATGGCGAAAACATTTATAAATGCCATCAGCACGTCTTGGAAAGTTCAATTTGGCTCTAACTGGACGTTGAGTATTAGTTTCGGGTTGGTGTACCCTGATAAACATATGATTTCACGAAAAACAACTTTCAAAACCATTCTCGTACTTAAATACATGCTATTGATCACGTTTTTGTACCGGAGATAAGGATGTGGAAGCTAACGTTTGTAGTATTGTTTTCCCGACCACTCTCGGCCAGGCAGCCACTTTGGATAAACATAACCAAATAGATTCTAGCTTGCAGGCGTTGCCCCTCCCCAGTGACACCACTAATGGGGCGGCGAACTGACCCGCATCGGAGCGCGCGCTCGCAGCTCTGTCGCAGCACTCATACCGCTCGCTATCATGGCTTTTGACCTCGGTACCCCCGTGAACACTGCTCTGTTGTTGTACATCCTCTACGCCGTGCAGCGCATTCTGTTCCCGTCCAACTCTCTGCCAAAGAGCATCCCGCATGAGTTCAAAGGCGGCTACTCGTGGATGCCCAAGTCGCACCCTCCCACACTCTTGTTCAAGACATACACGCCGAAGACTCTCGAGCCATTCAACGGAGAGGAGGGAAAGCGCATTCTGCTCGCGATCAACGGCGTTGTGTACGATGTGACGGCTGGGCGTAACTTCTACGGGCCTCGTACGTTGTCCTTACGTTCAGCTGATGGCAGTGCACTCATCCTATGGCAGAGGGCATGTACGCCAACTTTGCAGGTCGCGACGCATCCCGTGGCATGGCGAAGCAGTCTTTTGACCTCGGTATGCATGGCTCTTATGCTCATGGCTGCTCTCGCTCACTAGAGTCTGCCGCAGACATGCTGACCCCGGTCGATCAACCACTGGACAAGCTGGATGATCTCACTCCCGAGGACCTGTACGTTGCTGTGACTGACTACTTGCGGAAGCACACTGACATATGATCGACCAACAGTGACAACATGCGAGGTGTGTCTATATCCGCATGTGTATGCAGCTACTCTGACAGACATCACAGGCTGGATGGACCACTTCGCCAACAAGTACATCATCTGTGGCAGCCTTGTTGAGAATGATACGGTCTAGGTCTCACGCCCATCAGTAGGTAACAGCTGAGACCATGTAAGAATATTTGACTGCTGGATGTCAAATGTTGTTATCTGTGCGTGCATAGCGGGCATGAAGTTCTGGCGACTTGCGCCCCGAAGGGCTCTGTCAGTCAGATAATCCGTGCTGTTGTCTACTCTGACGTACACCACAGGACAACAGTACGTTTCAGACTCCGAGTTTGACGTACCAAGGGTCGACCCCCAGATACATCAATATTCTCCTCCAACTCGTCATCGGATGCCTTAGCCCTGCACTTGGCGATAGTAGCCCACTGTAATCCCATGCTGTGGTACGTAGCGAGGCGATCCATTCAACAATATTCTAGATATACCGCCGGCCTAATACGCATTTTGAAGTCTTCTAGATTCGGAATCATTGTCGGTATCTGGCGAGTCTCCACAGATGATCCACTGATCAAAACGATGGTTAGCGCAAGGTATTAGATTGGAAGAATGGAGTGATCTTGATGTGCGTAGTACGAGGCATGGTAAGGGAAACGAGCTTTGGCCTTCCTGGCATGCACAGCTGCACTCGCTCACGGTGGTTCTCATGTCAGTGACGTTACGACTGCTAATGCCTCGTTCCCATTGCAGATGTTTTACATGAAGCACAGTGCAGTAACTGCCGTGCGTGTATCCCTACTGTGTGTCGCAGAGGGGTAACGGAACGGCTGGTGCGACAGGATCGAACGGCAAGGCGTTCAGCACTTGCACTCGGTAGGCTTGCACTGGCAACTTTAAGGATATAAGCACACAATACGTGATGAACGCAACGGTGAGACGTACGCTTCGCCGCAGCTGCAGCTGCTGAGGCCGCAGTTGGCCGCGTTGACGGGGACAGCGACGTTCTAGATATACCAAGGTGAGCGTTTCACTCAATGGGTCGGCGTGCTACGAGTGTTACTCACGGTGAACATTTTGAGAGTAGTGCTGTGAGGCGGTGATGTGCTTGTGAGGTGTGTTGGGTAGTCTGGGACTGGAGAGATACGGTCATTGAACGCCTCTTTTATATGTTTCTCGATTGTCCTGACACGTGCGGTCTGGCACGACCAACATAACCGCTTCCATAATGGGCCCGCTCTCAGATCGTCGACCTGGTTGCTCTGGTTGCCTGATTTGTGTTCTCTTGGATGCTATCAGAGGCGTGGATTTCGGAGGTTGCTCCAACATTGTATTGAAGCCGGTCTACCACCGCACCGCTCCTGCCTGACCCAGACCGTCGGTACCCAGGACTCTCCGCTAGCGTGCGATCCCCTGACGCTGCTGGATCAAAGTGAGGGTCGCTATCCACTGCTAAGTACTAGAAGACAGACACGACCAAAACTGCACGTTCTCGTACGGAATCCTCACTTTCGAGGTGACAATGTATCCGGTGGGTGGACACAACAATCAGGATCGTATGATCTCGAGGTGGCTCATAGACTGTCCTTCTATCGGAGCCTTCGGGTAATTGACCAACATGCAGGTACCTCCCGTGTTGAGGCATTTGGGCTGTGCGCATCAGTGCGTTGATTTGACCCTTATGGGATGCTCGCGGTAAACCAGTGTGAGTCCAGGCATTGTGTATCGTCCGGCCGACGGGTTGTGAGTTCACCGATATCATCCATGTCTTCGATTCTCATCCCTAGGCACAACTTCTCATGATAATGTATTCCTGTGTCTGCGGCACTGGGGCACATGTTTTTCATATATCCTGATGTGTTGCAGTCTGTAATCCAACAGCGTGGACTTGGCGCTGGGGTGGCCCGCTTCTCAGCTTCTCAAGTTCTTGAAGCTTCTTGAAGGCCCGAGTCGGGCATAGTCGTTCAGAAAATGCCTCAATGAACGATCTTCAGCACAAATGTCTCAGACTCATATCCCGCGCAGAGGCACAATTGACTCTGCCGCGTAGCGCACGGGTGGATCTCTCCGAATCCACAAGAACACCTTCGCACCGGTCGGGTGTTCGTCCACTCCTCCTGCTCAGCTGACAGCTTGGGACGATCTGGCTTGAGCTCTCTTCCGTCCGAGTCCTCTACGCCCTGTCACTTTCGGCTGACCGACGAAGACTCGCCCCATCCGCCAGCTACTCGCTTGGTGCTCGGAAGGGACGCACCTGACGTCCATCGCTGTCCATAGTACCACATTGCCGTGAGTTCTGCGGAGCTTGAAGGAACACCCAAGACGACGCGACGGGCTAATTGACCTCGGATGATTGATGCTCACTTGAAAGTGGGCATCCGCTGGAAACCCGTGGACCGCTCGTACGCCAGTACCGACCCGTTCCCGAGTCGTGCGTCTTCGAAAAGGGAGGGTATGTGCCTCACAACCCTTCTCCTCACACCACCATCGGATACTCACCCTCCTTTGCGACTACTACAGCTTCGCCCCTCACGACTCCATTCTCATCTCGACTGTTTTAAGTCGGATGCAGGGAGCTTGAACATCAAGCTCTTCGTGTGCCTGAACCATAGCCATGCGGCAGTAGAAACTCTCAATCAGGTATGCATTCACTTGCCAGTTTTCGTCTGCCCCATTTGCGGCACACTAATAGCGGGTCTGCGACTACAAGTGTTATCTTCACACTATGGATGTCAGGTTATGCCGTGTTTAGTGCCAGTAACGGATGAGGGCGGGAGCTGGTCTGGAAAGTGTGTGACAGCCTAACTTAGAGTCATGCGCTCAGTTCAGTAACGATGTGATCTTCAGCGCTTCGGCGCTCGTCGCCTCGGCGGGGTCCAGCCGTGTCGTCCATCGCTCAACCGCTCAACCGCTCATGCTCGACTTTCATCAAGTTACTGCATTGCCAGTGAGCCACGGAGACCACGATGGCGAACTGAAAGCACTCGGATCCCGATGGCTTCATGTGCCTCTCCTTCTCAAAGCTCCCGCTGACTTTCGCTCGTACTGAACGGCAATATGGTCTTGGTCACGGATCGACTCACGGTCACATCGCGTTCATTGTCTCTTGGTTCGCAGAGGGCGCCGCCTACTGGTACTCAGGCGTGAGGAGTGGAATACACCGAGGCGTGAATCAGGTGCGTCGTCATCGAACATCGCTTCGGGGGGCCCAGCTCTAGCCGCCGTTGTGTCTGGCATCGTATCCTCCGGTGTACTTATTCCCTGTCTGTCCATGTCCAATCTGTTCGGTTTCGAAGGGAACTTCTGTACGCGTTGGCGATGCAAATCGAGACTTCTTTGCTGTGTGCCTCGTGTGAACTTGGACTTGGAAATCCCGGTGACCTGCCAACTGCCAACAAGCGACCCACGCCAGAGGAGGGCCACTACTTACGCTGTCGCTCTGTTGAGATGGAGGGATCCTGATGAACGGACGTGATAAGTCTTTGATCACCGGAGGAAGAGAAGATGCACACTCGAGATGTGATCCGGCTTCGACAACCGCAAGTTACTTACCTATAAGCACGTCGACTCCCGAACCTTGGGGTTGAGTAGGATCGGACACTCAGTAGAAAGGCGTCGGACACCTCGAGGACACGCTTAGGTCTCGTAGAAGCAAATGTCATGATATGACAGGCATATCCACTCTGAGGAAACGGGTACAAGGCTCCTTCACTGTCCCACCCGCGAGCTGAACGCATGCTAGCTGGTGCACACCGTTGGGTGGAACAGTGGAACTTGACAGAACTTGAGGCAATGTCGTGCGTAAAGCCACTGAGACGTATCAAATCAGTATACCAGAAATCAGAATGTGAAATATATGGCCGAGCGAAGATATGTAGTCGCTCTTGTAACAGTTGAGAGATCCATAAACGACTCCGCAGTGAGAATTGTCCCTCCCGTGTATCCGTAACCTTCCGCACCTCAAGCTTCAAGCCTTGACAAGCCCAACCTTCATTGGCATCTCGGGTACGGGGCTCATGCCGACGGTCGGGTACTGGATACCAGCCACGTTCCAGAATATCTCCTTGCCAGACGGCGCGAAGGTGAAGTTCGCTAGGAGCACGGACAGGACGATCTCTGCGATAGGCGCGGCCGCGGTCAGTGTCCGGCGATCCACGTATCACAGCAAGCGCCAGAGACTCACTCATCTCCAGCTGCGAGAACTTGAACCCGATGCACGCGCGTCCGCCGCCCAAGAAGGTCATCCTGTCGCAGGACAATACATTCAGCTGACTCGCACATCACACGAGGGAGGGTCGCGCCGGCTCACAGGTGCGAGTACACGCCGGGGATGTGCGCCTCCTTCACGACCTCGGGCAGGGGGTTCAGCCAGCGCTCGGGCTTCCACTCCGCGGCGTCGGGGCCCCACAGTGCCGGGTTGCGGTTCGACGCGAGGATGCCGATGTGGACGACCGTGCCTTCGGGCACGGGAACCTCGTTGATAAGCGTACCGTCGACGCCGCGGATCGGTGCTGAGAGGGGCATCACGATGTCCTCGCGCGTCTTCCGGATCAAGTATGGGACGGGTGCGTATCTGCGGCAGGACATCAGCCTCATGCGCCCCCTATCGCAAAAGAGGCGCGACGCACAGACGGAGGGTTTCACGGCAGATGGCGTCCATGTAGGGCAGCTCGACGAGGACGTCGTACGGGATCTCGGGGCCGTGCTCGCGGACGGCCTCGAGGACTTCTTCACGGAGCTTGTTTTGGACGTCCGGGTGCTTGGAGAGAAGATCGAGTGTGCGTGCGAGCGCGTTCGAGGTCGTGTCCATGCCGGCGAAGATAAACGTGCTGCATGCAAGGTCAGTGCTCAGACAGCCGCCAGACACAAACAATGGGAAGACATACGCCATCTGCCCGAGCAGCTCGTCCTCAGGCAGCTTGTCTTCCTCCGAAGCACTCATGTTCGCTTGCACTGCAGCGAGCTGTCAGCGCGGTCGCGTCCGCGTACATGGGTGTCGTAGGTGCTCACTGAGTTTGCTCATGATGTCCTTGCCCTCACCGATCTGATGCGTGACGGCCTCGTCTCCCTCGCGCATCGCCCGCTTCTTCTCCTCGAAGATGATGCGCGAGTGGTTCTGGATCTCGTCAGATATCTGCTTCGCGCGTCTGAGCTTCGCGCTCGGGATGAGGTCAATCATTTTGCGCTGGAAGGCCGGGGAGCCAATCTTCGTAGCGAGAGGGAGGAGAGGACGGAAGAGACGGAGAGGGAAGGTAGTCGGGCTGCGAATTACACGAAAGATGAGCCAGAGTGAGACTTGGAAGCGCATGACCGGACGCACACAATAGCCTTGACGGCGGTGCCCAGATTGTGGTCCACCGTGTCCTTGACGAGTGGGTCAAAGGACCATCCTAGGCCAGCCTGACCGACGAGCTCAAGTGCGGTGCGGCCCATCCAGTCAAGGATGTCAATTTCGTCTTGGCCGGCCTTGACCCGCACGGTAATGGCTTCCTGGAGCTTGCTCGTTATGCTATAGAATATGGGGAGCATGTGTCGCATGTGCGCGATGGAGAACACGGGATTCAAGAGCCGACGTTGTTTGCGGTGACGTTCGCCAAGGGTAGCGAGCAGACCGTCGCCTAGCATGCAGTGCATCGAGCTGATAACGGACAGTGATGAGACCTCGTTTGTAGGATAAGAGGTGAGCGTACTTACGCAAGGAACTCGGGAGCCTCCTCATATATGTATTGATCCTTGACGATGATGCTAGAGAGAGCGGCAGGATCGAATACGAAGAGCTGCCTGGTCTTTGTTCAAGGTAAGAAATCCGCTCGCATAAATGGAAATCAGGCATGCCGTACCCCCAACGAGCCATATAGTTTCAAGACAGGCCCGTAGTTGAGGCCTATCTCATAGTTGAAGTCCCAACCAGCACGATTAAAGAGTTGCCCCAGGTTCCCTGTCATGATTCGGTGTAAAGGTCATCATTTGTTGGGATAGAACACATTCATAGGTACCATTGAGCCAATGGCCTGACGGGGGACCAGGGATGTTGTCGAGGGGCGAGCGGCCGAAGTAGTTCTTCAAAACATTGAAGAGCACGTATGCCGTACCAAGAAGCGCGACAACGCGCAGGACACTGAAAAGAAGACCCATTCTGTCAACTGGAAGTGAAGAAAAGAAAGAGAGACGGCAGTAGACCAGAACGAGGAGGTTGGTAGGGACTCGGAGCGTATGGGTCAGGTGGCGGTATATATACCTGGCCGGGGGGAGAGGGAATCACGGTCGGCGAGTCCATGTTGTATAGCCAATTTTGTACGATCACGGCTTGCTTGGTCTCCAGATTACCGTTGCTTCGGCACATCGGACGAACACATCATGCTGTCCAATCCCGGGGTGGCAGTCTGTCTGAGACCTCCTCCCGGCCTCCTCCATCCTGGGCATGGAACCGGTTTGTGCCATCAGAGTCGCCTCAGCGACATATCGCGTCAGTACGCACGATGCACGAGGGTCAACCATGGCACCTGCTGCTACGATATGGCCGCCAACGCCGTCAAGTCGCGTCCCGACTGGCAAGTAGGCTGACTGTAGAGGGATGACTGGAGATTGCAGGCGAGCCGATGAGATCGAACCGACACGCGTCGCGAACCAGCATGCCCGAGACACTCGGTCAGAACCGCGACGGTCGGGATATCACCTGTACCTGGCTACTACTTGGCTACTGAACTTTGAACCCGACGGCAAGGCAGCAAATAGCAAAGCCCAGCTGAAAATGTATGGCAGACATCAGGTGTGTTCTGTATGCATGCCAGCGACTGCCTAACGTGTGGTACGGTACGACAGAACGAGACATTCAACATCAGTAGAATTGTCCGGGATGTCGTTTCTGCCCATCGGGGCCAGAGGCACGTCGATGTGAGTGCAGAATCCTGCATGTCTACGCAGCTCCAACAACGCAGTCAATTCGCGAGAGTCATGCATGCAGCATCAGTACCCGGTGTTAAGTCGTGAGTCAACGTATACTGCCATTCTACGATGGAAATTAGTCTGACCATCTCGTCGGACAACGCGCAACCTAATATCCATTCCACTCGGCATTCCGAGTCTGTCACTCCCAATAGTCCTCAGTGCGAAGGACAGTGGCTGGTCATGCGGCCGGTCGAGAACACTCGAACCGTATCGTTACTCCGTCGCTCCGCTATTCAGTTCAGCTTCGGATTGGCCAACCTTCACATGTGCATCTGATGGGGTTTATCTCCCGCACGGCGATTCAGCTGCCCGAACCGTCGTGCTGTAGGTGAGCTCTGAGCCTCCCGATCTCGCCGGGCCTCGTGAAACGTGCTGAAATGTATAGTGCACCTCTGGGACATCGTGCATCGAGCGTCACAATATAGGTTAATCTCCATCTGCTTGCATAGCACCTCATAGCACTCGCCAGGTCTCATGAAGCGTAGTTCCCAGGCTTACTCAGGCTTTCTCCGAGATCTCGGACTCCAGAGATTCACAGGCAGGGACCGCATAGATTTGATCCGAGCCAGTCTGTCGTTGAGCTGCACATACAGCAAGTGCCATGTATACGTACGCCAGGGTAAGCCTCTGATCTGCACGCTTCCATCGCTCATAGCAGGTGTAACGCAAGTCGCATCGCCGGGTTGGGAGCCTGTCAGCGCCATGACCTTGCTCCCAACGGCGGAGAAGAATCCGTGACCCTGGCATTCGACATTATTAGCGAGTGCTGGGGAACGAAGCGGGCATAGCTCGGTGCAGGTGCCGCCTGACTGACGACGCTTTGGGCTGGCGATGTGATAACGAACTGCCCATTCCCTCGAGAAGCAAGGCTGCGGATCCTCCCCTATCCTCCCGCGCTCGGCGCTAATTTGAATCCTACGAAAAGAGCTGCCTCGCTGGTGCAGACGCACCGAACCCCCGCGCTGAAGTACATCTGAAGTGACAGCGCATCTGGTTTCCTCAGCGCTCTTTGTCTGTGCGTTGCGCTGTCGTCAACCTGTCTGTCCGCCTCTCTCTTTCCTGCCTTTCCTGCCTTTGCTATTCGTTGACGCTGGGTGTGTAATGTAGAACCGTCGTATGCCATGGTAGGTCTCTGTTCGAAATTATCAATACGCGTCACTCAAGGCTTCCTTAGATGCCTTTCGGAGAATGAGCTCTGTCAGCTCTTGGCGCAAGCAAAGAGGATGGTCAGCTCCTATAACTGGCTCGAGTCTGTTGGAAAGAGTCGGTGAGCACAGAGTAAGGCTGGTACGAGTCGATTGCACCGCGTGCGCAAGATCTTGGGTTGCATCGGTGCCTTCGGGACGTGATTTGGGTGACTCACTCCTCGTGCGACAGCTGGACGGCACGCAAACGTTCGGTTCGCAGAATGACGCAACACTAGTGAAGACATATCTCCATCGCTCATTCAACGGTTCGGGATGCTCGTGGGTCCGAAGAGGCAGCTCCAGCGTGACAACGCATTCCAGATGAATCGACGACGGAGGAAAATTACAGGGACTATGACTGAGATCCCCTACCCCGCTCCGTCCAATTTCACAGCGTCTCTACTAGGTGTCAATCGTGACGTCGGTCTCGTCGGTGGGTCTAACAAACTCTACGCGTACACTCGGCATATCTCGCTGTGATTTCGAATCTCGTTGCCGGAGCAAACGTAAAGAAGGGGTACTGCGCCGTGAGTAAGTAGTTCAGTCCCGAGCCTGAGTCATACAACGCACCTGCGGTCGCCTATAAACGAAGTTAGCGCTCCAGCGCTCAGATTACTCGAACTCGTACGAAAAGAGCCTACTCACTGGTGAGCATACATGACACCCCCCATATCCTCGTTGCATTCAGTCTTCGCTGACATCTTGTTTTGAGATTGCCCCGCCTTCGTGCTCCGTTGGATCATCTATCTCTACTTTGATCTTCTCTGGTTCAAACACTTCATTGGCATCGCCTGCAGTGATGGATGTCGCCCCTGCTGCTCTCCGGATGCAGCACATCGACGGAATATTACCGATAGCTTTAGTGAGTCAGATTTCGCCGGTTTTCTTCCCTTTGTCAATGACAGTCTACTTGCAGGTTCTCTCGATGTTGTAACAGGTGCACGCCGCTCATCCGTAATACAGTATATACCCTCTTCCGCAGTCTCGAGACTGTCAACGAGGAGCGGCTCTGCGAAGCTCTCCGACATCCCGAACCCACTGGTGGAGACCTTCGGTAGGTATTTCACAACGTTCCTGTGGACACTGATACAGCACCGGGACTTTGAGCGATGCACAATCGCTGTGAAACGGCAGCAGGCACGGGTCCGCTTGGGCTCAGAAGTATTTGTGTCGCTCGAGTGCTATGATGTCATGTCCCTCGATATTCTGATGATTGAACGTTTGAACCTGAACGTTGCCTGAACTCAGATGCCTAAACATCTACTCGATCTCGTGCTGCTGATCAAGCTGTCAATGCGTGCATGAAATCGAAATAATATCCCGCCTCGAAGTCAAGAGGAAGACACGAGAATAAATATCCCATAAATACGACCCCAAAGTACGACCACAGTACAAGCTCAGTGCGCGACCATGCAGAATACACATTCACAGTATACAAATCTAGATCCATGTCCCGAAGTCCGTGTCCGAGTATGCCGATATAGGACTCGCTATGCAAGACCGAGAAACCCAAAAGATGAGACAGATACCACGAATAGTAAAGAGTAGAGGAAACTAAGAAAGGGGAAGGGATTGCAAGCCAGACTCGCGGAATGCCCCTCCGCTCGCCTGACCCGCCCCGATGATCGACGAACCTCAGAACACGCGGGGGCATCGGTGCTCTGAGGCTCGCCGGCCAACGGATCCCAGTATAGTAGTGCAAGAAAGAACAGAAGGAACCCGGAGGAGAACCAAAACCCGAGGAGACTACCACGCTACATGAACCCTAGAGAAATATCGATACAGATAGATTGAGTGATGAAGAGCGATGCTGTATGCGGATGGTCAGATAGACGAGTGTAGCTGAGGGATGAAGGGACGTACCGGAGGCTCAGGCGCCCCGCTTCTTGCCCTTCGACTCTTCGAGGCCTTCTTCTGGCCACGGCCGCTCTGACGATGGCCGGAGGTGGACGCGCGCGCGTTGCGGCTCCAGGCGTGGGCAGGCTTCACGTCCGCCATCTCAGGCTTCAGATCCTAGGCTGCCGTCAGCATGCCGACCAGCAAGGGTACGGACAATGAAAACACACCTCGTCTGGCGAGCCCTCGACCATGGCGTACTTGGCTGCTGAGATAACAACTAGAGACTATCCGGCACGTCAGCGACGGAAGAGCAATAGGTGAATCGGGGAGACGTACCATCCACTTTCCGTCCTTCGTCGTGACAAAGATCTTCCCGTTCGAGTCCCACGGGATGGTCTGACCGTTGGCGATACTCGGGAAGAGTCGAGTGAAGCAGCGTCCGATGAATGGGAAGACTTGCGCTTCGACGACGTTGTGAGGGTCGTGAGCAATCATCGCGGCCAAGATATGGACCCCGATAATTAAAGAGAGGAGCATGACGGTACGAAGCATGTCCTCCGCAGACTTCGAGTTGGCGGGCCATTCGCGAATGAACTTGACACGGATGTCGCCGGCGGCGATGGTCGCGTGGTCGTCGTTCGTGGGCGAAGGTGCATCGCGAAGAGAGGAGCAGATGATGCAGGGGGCGAGGATGATGTCCGTAGTACCGGTGTATCCGCTTGGTGTCTTACGCGCCTCAGGTAGCGCTCCAGAGCCAGGCGACTTCCAGGGTCGATGTAACCGATGTCGATGTTGGTCGTACCGTTCACGAAGGAGAGGCCCGAGGACCAGTCTTCGTCGGAGGGGGCGAGTTGACCGCTGTACCACGAGCGGGGTTAACGGGCGGAACATTATTCTGAGAAACAGACACGTACCTTCGCCACGTCCTGGTGAAAGTACCGTCCCAACCCGTGTTGAGCGAACTGTCCTTGATGCTGAGCAACGTGTGTACGAATCTGCCGTAAACATTAATGTTAGTATACTTGGGTGCGATAGGGATGGACTGGACGTACCCGACAGGGTTGAAGAATGCGTCGGCAGTCTTTCCCCATACAGCGCAGGCCTTGTCGACGCCAAGGGGAGGCTTGAAGGGCGGGGGGGTCCCGTCTTCGGGGCAGTGACCGCTGAGGAGGGTGCCGACGCCGACAGAGACCTCTGCAAACAGCTTGAGGAAGCGCATGGCGAGAGAATAAGAGAGTGAGCTTGAGAAGAGTAAGAGGCTGAGCGAGAGGCGAGGTGCGAGGGACCGCTGGTGGGGGGAAGATAGGGTGGGGGCAGCTGTATTTATACGCCGCGGGGGGCGGCCGTATTTATACCGCCGCGCGGGGCGCGTTGTTTGCGTGTTATTTGTCGCATTCAACGCGATTAAGGTTTGCATTCAACAAAGTCACGTTAGTGAACAAGTGAAGAGTGAAGATAGAGTGGTTTCCTAATCGGGTGGATGGGGTCGTTCGTTTTGCGGGTTGTCTCCTCCCACCACCTTCCTCTGCACTCACAACGAGCAGTACATCATATATAGCACCTAGCTAGCACTTGCGACGCGCGTTGAATCTCTGGCAGTGAGAATTGGCTTGAACAGCGCATATATGCGCAGCCAAGAGCGGACTTCAGTTATGAAAATCGGGAACAGCGAAGACGGGACCCGTGTTCTAGCCAATAACCCGTACGGTTCATGTCCCTAAATGTAGAGACCATCAGCAAGCTTCGCGCACGACAGATGGAAAGATACTGACGGTACGTTCTTCGTTCTCTCAACCTCTGCCCACCAGTCTTAATTGTTCTTTTGCCAGTCGCATGCCGGAGCCGAGGCGCATTTCGTAGGACGCCCTCATGCAATGTTGGATTCATGTCACGAATCCGACCAACCTTTCACCGCAGAGTGGAGGAGGAGTCTATACAGTGAGTGACGGATGATGGCGGGAGCAAACTTGGTCTGGCAAAAGGCTCACGCGCCCAGTTCAGTAAAGATGTGATCTTCAGCGCTCGTTGCCTCGAGGCCGCCAGCGTCGTCCAGCGCTCATGCTCGACTGTCATCGCGGCCAACTTGCCGCGCAAGTTACTTATTGCATTGCCAGCGAAGCATGGTGACTACGATGACGGGCTGAAAACACTCGGATCCAACTCACTTCAGGTACCTCTCCTTCTCAGTGTTCTTGCCGGTCATCGCTCCGAGTCGTATTGAGCGACAAAATGGTCTTCAAGGTCACGGATCGGCTCACCACTGGTCTGCATCGCGTCCACGGTCTATTGATTTCGAGAGATCGCAACAGACGGGTAGGCATGAGGGAATGGATCTATGGGCGCAGGATGGATGAAGAATAAATCAGGTGCGTCGTCACGGAACTTATTTTCCGAGGACACACCTCCAGATGCTGCAGACGGTGCTATGACTGGCATCGTATGCCTGCTCTGTGCCTACCGAAGGACCACAGTACTCCCTGTCTGTACAAATCGCTAGGTTTTGGAGGGAACCTTTGCGTCGGCAATGCAAATTGAGCTTTCCCTGCGGAACTGCCATGGCCTTCTAGCCGGCAGTCGCCAACAGAGGAGCTGTCCATGTTCATACTCGAACACAGCTAATGTGGCTGTTTCGTGCATTTGGCTCATCTGTATATCCCAGCTTCGTGCGCTATAGCACCGAGTCAGGTGCAGTAGCTTTGCTACGGCGCGTGTCCCAAAACATGGCTACTCGAACGTCGTCGCGGCTCGTCGACATGTGTTGAACACGGTACAAGAGCGTGCTGGTTTGACGCTAGCTATATACACGATGAGTCTGATTTTGTCTTGCTGCTCGATGGCTTCATTCACCGACTGTGTACGCTACAGAGCATCTTCGCGTGCACGAGGCAATTATGAAGCGCCCTCTCTCACGCCGCCCAGAGAATGATTGCGGAGGAGGCAGTCTCAAATGGAACATCAATGCGACTGCTTCGCCCCCGCACTCGAGACGATGATCGGTTTCTTGTCCCCTGTAAACGCGCGGCCTTTTTCCGTCTCAAATCTTGGTTGGCAGCGGGTGGTTGCGCGCCTCCATTCGGTTGGTTCTCTTACATGTGCGGTCGGTCGATGCGGTCTAGTCTGTAGCTAATGAATTGGGATGCCGTTATGTGGTGTGCGTCTGTGGCGTGATGTTCCGATCTTCACTGTCTAGACTGACAGATGTGCGATGTTGCTCGAGGCAGTGCCGGTCAGAAGCAGAATCATCACATCTCTACGATATACGTGGACTGCACCTATATAGGCTTCACGCCATGCAGATTCCTGTATTGTGTCCCCTCACTGATCGGTCCCCGCGATCACCATGGAACGATCCCAGTACAAGACTGTTACGACCAAACGTGGTCTCAAATACAGCTACGCGTCCATTCCCGCTGAAGGCACCCCGAGGGACACCCTCCTCTTCGTACATGGCTTCCCCTCAACTTCGTACGACTGGCGGAACCAGGTCGACTCCTTCAAGAAGGCGGGCTTCGCACTGATCGTCCCCGATTTGCTGGGAACGGGCGAGACGGATAAGCCGACGGACGCTGCGCTGTTCAAGTTCAGTGCGATGGCGGCCGATGTCGTTGATATCCTTGACGCTGAGAACGTGGGCGAGGTCATTGTGATTGGTCACGACTGGTTCGCAGCTTCCGCCATCCATCTCATGACCCATACTGGTGAGCTGATGATGGGACTGCAGGGGTAGTGTTCTGGCGTCGCGCCTTGCGAGCTACTATCCGGAGCGCTTCAAGGCATACGCCTTCTTCGCTGTAGGGTACTCCCCAACGTCTGCCGATTTCGATTATGAGGCGGTTCTGGCGTTGATCAAACAGTTTATCGGATATGAGACGTACGGATACTGGCAGTGCGCATCGTTCAGACACCACTTCTGCTTGGTTATGGCTGACAAGGTTCAGGTTCTTCTGCGAGGATGGCGCCGACAAGGTCATCGAGGACCATGTAAGCCTGCGTTGTTATTGCGGCAATCAACCACTGATTGCGGGTCTTGGATAGTTGGAGTCGTTCGTCAGCCTGCTGTATCCGTCTGACCCTGCAATATGGAAGACGGACATGGGCCCCCGAGGGACAGCGAAGGCGTGGCTGCTGAGCGACAAGAAGACGCCTTTGCCGTCTTACCTCCGTGACGAGGTGAAGATACTCTGGTATCTCCCCGCCATATGTTGCTCACCCTTGTACCAGGACGTGAAGCACATCACCGATCTCATCAAGAAATATGGAATCCGCTCTTCCCTCAATTGGTACAAGAGCTACATCGATGGGATAGCTGAGGAAGACAAAGGTATGCTAATTTAGCAGGCTCATATTTCTGCGGGATCTGACTGTTTGCAGGTATACCAGCAGCGAATCAGACCATCACCAAACCGGTGTTGTACGGCGCCTGCCAGAAGGATTTTGTGTGCACCCCCGGGCTGTTTGTTCCTACGATGCAAAAGGTTTGCACCAACTTGACGATCAAAGAATACGACACCGGGCACTGGGTCCAGTTGGAGGCGACGGAGAAGGTCAACGCTGACCTCCTGGAGTGGATCGACGGATTCACGGAGAAAGTGTGAAACGAGCACAGCGGTTGACATCGCTCTTATCGTGGTCAAATTTCATTACGAACGAAGTAAGCTGTTATCAATGCAGTTGTCTGTAGCTTCGCCGCACAGTCAATCACGTCGAGCGGCCCCCGGCCTGCCCATTGTGGTGAGCGCGACTTCATCCCTGTGCTTACCTCTGCAGAGAACGCCTCGATGTTTGAAGGTCGATCGCAAGCAAGGTCTGACCCCCAGAGGAAACCGCGGAATCGCCCATTGCCCACTCCGTCGAGCTAGGTGTGCGATCCAAACACGAATACCAAGCTACTGAGAGATAGGCCATGCGGACCTGAACAGACAAGTACGCCAAGAGGGTCGAGCCTCGTTATTATCGCTCCGCGGAACTGCAGAGAACAAGGGCGTCGCAACCCATGATGATGGAGAGGACCGCCCACAGTGTGGTCCGTGCTTCGGTCGGTGTGCTGATCATCGATAAGGCAGAACGCACAAGGTGATGGCCCAATCAAGCACAAGGGCTGAGCTCGAAATGGCGGACAATAGGTGCGGCTGACTGTTTGTCAGGACCAAACATGGACCCACACGGAGGCGTACTATAAGGAGCGGGGTGGACGCGACTTCGTCCCCCATCGCTCTTGCCTTCCGACCACCATGTCGGACGCACCCTAGCCTGCTGTCTGCCGTCATCGTCCAGTCGGCTTTCGCGCCTATCCTGTCGATGGATGGTCGGCCCCGGCTACGATGCGCCACACCTTGAACTGAGGGCCGGGTCCGGAGCACCAGCAGCCTAGGTACGTTCAATTGTCGATGCATGTGGTTGATGAGTTTACCGACATGACCCGCACCGTTGTAAGTTCTTCCAGTTTGCCACCGCACGACGCCACACCTCTTTGTGCGACCATCAGTGTGTGGCCTTCCTAGGTGTCAGCCACAAAGTAAGTCGGCGTCGAAGCTCATGACGTAGTACACGCGACTGACCGCGGTGACAGATATTGTGCGTCAAGACTGTGTGCGTCAAGACCTGTGATCAACATGCGTGCCTCAAGACTATGCGACTTATGACCGACCTATGCAACAATAAATCCTTCACGGGTTCAACGAATTATGCCAGACGACGGCTCAAAGTCCCGCAAGGGCACACCCGTACGTTGCACATCTGGTGATGGGACCGTCCAGTCTACCGTCGTCCGCACAATAGCGGCGACGTAGGCCCAGCTACTCGCGTCGTCGGTAGCTGGAAGCAGCTGTACTGCAGACGTGCACCAAGGGTCAGGAGTGTCGCGAATACGCGCCTCCGCAGGGACACGGTGCACGGACTCTGTACGGGGACCGTTCCGCCGTTGACTGGTCCGAGACCCGACGCGTCGTCGGTAGACCACGAGGCTAGCCAGTTGTGGCGTGCGGGTGGGACGACGTGGCTCAGGTGAGCATCCACTGTCACCACGGCTCCAGGCATTGGCTGACCTTCATTGCAGGCCACGTCCCGACGTCGAGGATCCAATTGGTCCGCGGCGAGCGCATATCAAACCCTCTACCGCCCATTGGGCACTAACAACCCTGGTACGTCGTATTTGCGCGAACGGGTCCAGCCTCCGGTCTGAGGTGGTCCATGCTGTGGCATGGGCTTCCGGAGGCACCGTACCGACGACGCCGTGCATCAGCGGAGACGGGGCATTGCGCTCACTGTCGACGAGATTATGCCGGGTCACTATGTCGAACATGTACGGGGACGTCCTCGCCGCCGGTGCACGCCCGCTTCGTCGGACTACCGTTGCTGGCTAGCGCATGACGGTCATGGGGAGGGGCGCCGCTCGTGAAATGACATGAGCGGCGCTCCTGGCGAGGGTGCAATGTGAGTCTTCGTCGCGGAGCCGCGGTAGACTATCGCTGACCTTCTTTCTCGCAGGACCGCCCGAGCGAAACATCCCGGAAATTCGGATCCAAACCCTCGATTGCCCCAATCGGGCGAAGACATCCCTGGTACGTTGTTTGTGCGTGAAAGGGTCCAGCCTCTGGCGCGAGGTGGCCTGCCTGTGGTGGGCTGCTGGAGGCACCGTACCGCCGACGCAGAGCACCGACGGCAACACGGCAGACAAAATGCCTGCAGTCGGCCACCGTCATCATGGTACGGGGACGTCCCCGCCGGCAGTGGACGCTCGCATCGTCGGGCTCCTGCATCGTGCTAGCGCACATACGTACCAGGAAGAGGGGCGTCGCTGCAAAAGACAGAAAAATAAAACGAGCGGCGCCCCTGGCAAGGGTGCAACGTAAGTGCTCATCACGATCTTTGCAGAGCGTCTCTGACGTTTTCTTAGGAACACCCGAGCCAAACCTCAAGCCGTAGATACAGTCATTCATCACTCTTACTTCTCACCGCTATTCCCCCCCGACACTCGTGCCCCAAAGAGGTGATCACTCGAGCTCGCCGACGATGCGAGCGATCCGCCGTCGGAGGTTCCGGGTGCTCTTGGGCGTCCGGCGGCACGGGGTTTTAGTGGGTATTGCAAGCGGATCAGAGCACCGTCACCCCTCAATCGGCGACGACGACGAAGTGGTGCGATGACGGTCCTGAGTCCTACACTGTTCTCTCTCGCGAGAGTTCGTGCGTAAATGCATTTTCCCCCGGGAGGAAACGAGCCTCGTCTCGTTGTAGCCCGCAGTCGGGCCCTCCACTCAAAAAAAAAACAAAAAACGAATGCGCGAGCGCGCAGCTGTGCAATACACGGAAGATGAGTCCGGGTGTGTATCGTGACGCTGCCGTCCACTCACCGCCACCGCAGATGGCCTGCCATCACCCGTGGGCGAAGAGGGAGAGCGTGGAGTCGGTGACGTTGTTCCTTTTTTGCACAGTGAAGCCCCTTGACTCCGTTTCATTAGCGTTGCAGTTTGCTGGGTTGGTCGGTTTCTCAAAGATAGCGGCTCGTCGGAGGAGGATATACATACTGAGACCGGATGATGATGGCGGCGAGATAGGGCACCTGTTTTGTAGCGATGATTATAGCACGGATTCTAGAACCTGGGTTGTGAACTCTTCGCATGATGGTATTCACCGTAGAGTCCATGCTCTTCAAACCTGAATGGAAGGCAATCGTCTTCAAGTTGCCGCGGTGAGGGTGAAGGGATCATCAACGTTTCAACGTTGACACTCTGAGAGTGGCATGCCCTGCGGAATCTTGGTGTGTAGACGCGGTCACGGGACGAAACGCGCGCGTTTTCCCGAGCCGCGAGCGCTTCGCAAGCTCGCTCGCCACCGCGACAACCCGCCACCTTGCCGCCACCACTTCATGAAGACATCACACGGAGACAACGTTGTCGAATAGACCACCGACAGAGCAATGATGTCTTTGACTACATACCGCAACCTAGATTTCGTTGGTGCGATAGCAATGTTCATCGTGGCAACCCGGGCCTCGCTCGAACGCTCGGCTTAATCGTAAGGAATGCCCATATATTGCTTTCCGCATCTTAATTGACCTTTCCGTCATAGATGATTTGCACGCCGCATCGTTCTCGGAATGACGTGAGTCCGACTTGGCGTCCCCTCCTGTCAGTTTGACGGGTATCGCCAGACTAGGCAATACCCTCGATCATCACATCCGCTGGTCACGTATGTTCGACTAGCATGGGCCCGCTTTCCCCGACACTTGCGACCCCCCTCTGCACCCCGCCGCGTACGCGAAACCTATGCCATTAACCCGCACCCATCTTCGCAATAAATCTCGGTCGCCCGCGCCCAACGCTGCACAGTTCGCGTCTCCATCTAGGACGCCCGTCTTTCTCCCCCCTTCGCACTACGCTGCAGCTGCAGGTCTGGACTATGAAGCCATAACACACTCCCGCGCCGGGGATGTCTCGGCTGGACCGCCATCACAGGCCAGACAGTCTGCATTACAGCCTGGGTACAACCCCGCCTCGCCGCTCGCATACCCTACACAATCCAAGGTTATTGAGTCACCGGTTCACGCGAGTCCTGTTCATCACTCGGGTCTCAACGCGTGAGTCGCTTCATTGCTCGTAGTCCGAGCCTCGGAAAGGCGTCTGCCGCCCGGCGGGCGGTCAAGGCAGACGAGAGGGAGAAGGCGGAGGCTGCACAGAGGTCAAGTTGCATGATGGACCTGCCTCTCGTCGAGCTGCAGTTGATCCCGACGCTAAGGGACACTGTCGACAAGATGACCCACCCGGTGACGCCTACGGCTGTCCAAGACGAAGAAGTCGACGGGGCAATTGTGCATGCGAAGCCGCACGCGTATTCTGACACAGGCGGTGACCATTCCTCGGCGAGTTCGCAGGCCTCCTCGTGCTCCTCAACGGCGTCGCTCATGCGCCAGTCTTCAACAAGGACCGACTCCTTAAACAACTATTCTCTCCTCCAGCGCCCAAGGCGCACGGTCAACCAACTCCCCAAGGACGAACAAGAGGTTCGTTGCCTTCATCCGCTACCCGTGAAGTCTGCTCTCCGGTCGCCTGGACGTGCGGTAACTATTACCTCTTGCATCCCACTCATCGTCCTTGCTCACAATGTCCCATAGACAACTGGATCTGCTATCCCTGGCCCGAGCAAAATCCCAGGAGCATCTGCCATCCGTTCTCGTTTCCCCAGCAACCAAGCACCTACTGACACTCCGGCTCCAAGTCAGCTCCCACCCCCAGAGTGCGCACCAAGCCGACTTTTGGCTTTGGTTTCAAACCAAGCACGCCCCAGCCCCCACCGGTCTTGCGCCCCGGCTATCCCGCCTTCAAAACGCCCCAACCCGTGCAAAAACCCTTTTCCCAGCGTGCCGACAGCGGTTCCGCGTCGCGCGCGCGCTCGAACCTACCTCGCGCGACTCCAATCCGACGCAGGGACCACGACGATGACCGTAACCTCGACAGCGACAGCGAGCTTGAGCGGCGCGTGAACCTGGGACTAGGCAGGCTGGTCGTAACCAACGCGCAGATAGTCCCCAGCTCATCGGAGGAGAGCGCCAGGGGCAGGCAGGGGGTTTATCAGGCATTCGCGAGGAAGAACGCAACGCGGATGCCAAGTCCACAGCGGAAGCAGATGGTTCTTGAAAGAGACAGTGCGCCAGATACGGTGGACACCCGGTATAGGGATGTCCGACAGCGTGGCGAGCGCGTACAGGGAGGGCAAGCTATTGGCCTTGGTTTCCGGATGAGCCCAAGAGTGGACGTAGGCCAGCGATACCACACCGAAGACATCCGTGATGAAGAAGAGGAGAGCGTATATGATGACGAAGAACCGCACGAGGACGCGGTACCTTCGGATGCCAGCGACGCGGAGCAAGGCGGCGACTTCAACAGGGCGCGTTACGCGGACGAAGACAACGAAATCGAGGGGCCAGCTCAGTCGCTGAGAAACCGACACAGCTTCATTCGATACAGCGGGCGCGACTCCGAGGCCAGCTTTGACCGACGGAAACGTCTGAGTGGGATCGTCGACGGCCTTCAAGCGGCCTATGGGACTCTTCACTCGCCTGGGAAGAGCGTGCTCAGTCAGAGCGAGAGCGACGTGTACTACGAGCAGGGTCTGGCTATCGGCACGTCCAGCGACTTCCCTAACAGCAGCGCCGGCGACGTGTCGTTGGGTACGGGCAGCATCGCTCGCCTGCAAGGCGCCGGTGGAGACCGTGACGAAAGCTCTGACGAGGACGTAGATGATGAGGAGCAGTCGAATTACTCGGAGGAATCAGAAGAGAGCTTCTCAATTGTGATCGATGAGGACGAGGACGAGCAGGTGCAACCAGGAAGTCCGTGGTGGATGCGTGGACGGCGGTCGCCGAAGGCTTCAGACGGGTCAAGCGACGTGGCAACTCAAGCGGTGTCCCCGAAGCATCGTCGCCCCTCAGGGGCAGATGATTACACAACTCCGCGTTTGCAGGGCCGCTCAGATGAACGCACATCGTTCCCAGGTATTGGCGATGTCCTTTCTACGTGTGTATCAAGGACTGATACTTGCTACTCTTAGGCGTGCCGTCCAACGCGTATACCAGCCAAGTGAGGCCGTCAGCAAGTCCATCGACAACGTGCAGGACTCAGACGCGAGCATCAAAGAGTCCACGACCTGACACAGCTACACACGCCAGCTCATCCTCTAATGAATTGAAGTCACGACGCCGCACGACGATGTACGTGGCAGGCAAGCCTGCCAATGAGCACACACAGCAACTACGATCTACGCAACTATCCATGGGAAGCGCAGAGCCTTTCGCATCCCCTGAAGTACCGTCGAAGGACTCTAAACCGAAGCGGCAGACGAGGATGTCTTTCACAGAGCGTTTTGTTCGCCGCCCCAGCTCCCATCGAAACTCACCTGTCGAGGATGACACCGACAGGACTCCGCGCGTGTCCTGCCAGGATTCCTCATTCTTCGTTCCTCCGGAGCAAGACAACGAGGAAGCCGTCGCCTCGGACGACTGCGCCGAACGTGAGCGTCAGGCATTTGGCATTCCGCGTTCTCTGTCATTCGGAGCAGGCCACTCTGGCAGCGATTCCGAGCCTGCCACCTCTGGGGCGACAGATAGGCCAAGTGCGCTGCTTCGCAGCGAGAGCGACGAGTCCTTGTTGGGAGGACCATCAGACATGACTCGCGAATCCTCGTATATGGCTGCCGTCTGGCGCGACTCGGCTGGCAAGGACGTGCTGAGCAAGGGCGCCCATGAACTTTTTGAGGGTCTGGCCTGCCGATCTCGGGACGTAGGAGTTCTAGTGGTTGAGCCCCCGGAGGAGAGACCAGCATCGCGTCAGGATCGACGGCGTTCGCGGTCCAGACAGCGGGAAGAGCAACCGTTGGCAGAACAGGAACATCGAACATCAAATCCGTCAGATGAAGACCCAGGACACGCTTCACAAAGGAAGCCGCTGCGTCGCAAAGAGAGACGATCAGTGTCTCCTGATGCGCGCATGCGAGTGTTGAACGAACGAGATCCAAACCGCTCTCTGCCGCTAGCATTAGCTCCCGAACCGATGCGTCAGGCAGATCCGCCAAGTCCGCTGCTACCTCCACTGTCACAGGACAGTTGGCGTTCGACTCTCCATATTGACGCATACAACGCCCTTCTGGTACGGCATGGCCCCATGGAGATGCAGCGACAGGAGGTCATATACGACCTGCTCCAAACGGAGCGCCATTTCGTCCGGCGCCTGCGTGCTATGGTCGCGGCTTTCATCGTACCACTCAGGGTGCACGCGAGCAAGCTATGGCTGCCTGGAGTGCCTACGCCAATTTCAAGGCTGCTCGACTGGTTGGAAGATATCCTGAACCTTCACATGTCGCTTCTGCGGATCCTGAAGAACGTGTCGATAGCTTGGCAGGAAAGCGGGGTTGTAAACGAAGTGGCGAGTGGCCTTCTTTCCTTGATTCCCAGGCTCGAGGTACATCAGCCGTACCTTGTGAGGGTAGACGAGGTTAGGGGGTTGGTTGTCATGTGGGTTCAAGATCAACATTCGCAGTTCGGAGAGTATATCCGTCTCAGAGAAGACGAAGGACTCTGCGACGGTCGGAGCCTGGAACAGTGCCTCCAGCTTCCCGTGCAAAGGTTAAATGCTTACTTGGTGGTCTTCAAGGTAAGGCAGACACTCGTGCTCGCCGTTCGTAGCTGAACTTGCTCTGCGTAGAGACTCCTGGAGGCGACACACAGGCAACATCCTGACTATCTTGCGACTCAATCTTTGTTGCGGTCGGCGCATATGACAATACAAGTGATGGAAGAAGTGCGCATTCGTGAAGAAGAGTATGACTTTGTCAAGGACATCGCCACGCGTATCCTTGGACCCGACGTGGCTGCTCAACTCGCTACACGAGAACGAAGACTCCTACACCAGGGTCTCCTGCATCTGCTGACAACCGGGACAAACCTCAAAGCCGACCCTGGGCCCACAACGCCGACAGTCCAGGTCAATGGGCAACCCGTGCGCGATTCTGAAGATGACAAGCAAGATAAGGCGGGGCGAGGAAGGCGCTTGGCGTCTGCGATCCATGATTGGCATGTCAGACGGGTCAGGTCAGAATCCATCAGCTCATCTACCTCGTCTTCTTTTTCTCTGTGGTCTAATGAGAGTATGGCGTCGAACGTGACACCGAACACGCCGATGTCGGACATCTACCCACCGTCGCAAGACCCATCAAGCCCTGCGGCTGTGCAAGTCTTCGTTTTCACAGACGTGGTTCTCCTTGTCGTACCCACGCATGATGGCCAGAGCGGTGCGACACACTGGCAACTACTTGATGACGTGGGACTGGCACGTATTCTGGACGTAAGGATAGACAAGAACGACCGATGTGAGGATGCCAGCTTATCGAAAGAGAAATTCTCGAACTGATTGACCTTCAATAGCACCTGGTCGAACCCTTGTTCTCGACCTGATACCTCTGGACGTTCAAGATCTGTCACTATCGCTCCATTCACGCGCAGGCAACGTCGTAGAGTTGTCACTCCAGTTGTCTCAACAAGAGGATAACCATGAGCAAGATTGGCTTGTTGCGCTGCAGAGAAGTCGCGCTAACACGCTTCATTCTCTGTCCTTCCCTCCCCCGTCTCCGGAAGACGTTCTACAAGGACCCGTCGGTGATTACGAACAAGATACATACCATTGCGTCAAGTCTATCCTTGCTTCTGGCTTGCCTATGCCGAAGAGTCCATCAATGCAGCTCGACGCCGCCAGTGAAACTCAAGTAGACCAGGATGCAAACACAACCGAAGAAGAACGAGAGGAGCGAGGGTGGTGGTCTTTACGGTTTCACCAAGTTCTACGCGAGTTTCAGCGACAAGACGCGAACGCCGTACCTAGCACCATTACGTAGATAACATTACATTGCGCCCCGCCCCGTTCTGCGAACTGATCAAGAAACTCCTGCATTGTAAACAAGCTGTCTTCGCAGCGTCATCGATAGTCGCCCCATAGTTGTATCGCTAGCTTTCCATTGTATCCCTTCCGTATCTCATTGCGACATATATCCCTCGTCCTTATATCACACCGGTTGACGAGCGACAAACGTCTCATGAGCTCATCCCATATCACTACATAGTGACAAGACTCCCTTTAACAGAGGACTCTGACCACTCCAAGGAGGGGGACCACGAGACCGGCTGGTCTAAACGCCAGCAACATCCGCATGCCCGCTACAGACATACAATACACTACTTTTTGTATGAGGCCAAAGACGACGTGGGATTAGAAAGCAAGCGAGTGGTGATGAAGAACGTAAGTCACACACTGTCACCTCCGTAATGAGACCTTCGACCCAACCACGCGATCTGTGGAAGAGGACGTCAATGGGCAATCCCTATAACAAGGCAGAACATCAATTCATCTCACTGTTGTCAACGTTCAGTGTCTTCGCCCACGAGTGATGGTAGGTCGTCTGCGGTGGCGGTGAGCGGTCGACAGCGTCACGATACACACCACTCACCGCGTGCTTCGCACAACTGCGCGCTCGCGCATCTTTTTTTTTTTTTGAGTGGAGGGCCCGACTGCGGACTACAACGAGACGAGGCTCGTTTCCTCCCGGGGGAAAATGCATTTACGCACGAACTCTCGCAGGAGAGAACAGTGTAGGACTCAGGACCGTCATCGCACCACTTCGTCGTCGCCGATTGAGAGGTGACGGTGCTCTGATCCACTTGCAATACCCACTAAAAACCCCCGTGCCGCCGGACGCCCAGAGCACCCGGACTCCGACGCGGATCGCTCGCATCGTCGGCGAGCTCGATGATAGCCCGTTTGGGCACGAGTGTCGGAGAGGAATAGCGGTGAGACGTTTAGCTTTGCAGATTATCTACAGCTTGAGGTTTGGCTCGGGCGTTCCTACGAAAACGTCAGAGACGCTCGCAATGATCGTGATGAGCACTTACGTTGCACCCTTGCCAGGGGCGCCGCTCGTTTAATTTTTCTTTCTTTTGCAGCGACGCCCCTCTTCCTGGTACGTATGTGCGCTAGCCGATGCAGTAGCCCGACGATGCGAGCGTGCACTGACGGCGGGGACGTCCCCGTACCATGATGACGGGCGGCCGACTGCAGGCAATTATCTGCCGTGCTGTCGTCGGTGCTCTACGTCGGCGGTACGGTGCCTCCGGCAGCCCCCACATGGGCAGGCCACCTCGCGCCAGAGGCTGGACCCTTTCGCGCACAAACGACGTACCAGGGATGTCTTCGCCCGATTGGGGCGATTGAGGATTTGGGTCCGGATTTCCGGGATGTTTCGCTCGGGGATCCTGCGAGACCAAGGTCACGATCGTCGTCTACCGCTGCTCCGCGACGAAGACTCACATTGCACCCTCGCCAGGAGCGCCGCTCATGTCATTTGACGAGCGACGCCCCTCCCCCAGTATGGCGTGCGCTAGCCAGCAACGGTAGTCCGACGAAGCGGGCGTGCACCGGCGGCGAGGACGTCCCCGTACATGTTCGACATAGTGACCCGGCATAACCTCGTCGACAGTGAGCGCAATGCCCCGCTCCGCTGATGCGCGGCGTCGTCGGTACGGTGCCTCCGGAAGCCCGTGCCACAGCATGGACCACCTCAGACCGGAGGCGGACCCGTTCGCGCAATACGACGTACTAGGGTTGTTTGTGCCCATGGGCGGTAGAGGGTTTGTATGCGCTCGCCGCAGATCGTGTGATCCTCGACGTCGGGACGTGGCCTGCAATGAGAGTCAGCCAAAGCCTGGAACCGCGGTGCAATGGACCTCACATTAGCCACGTCATCCCACCCGTACGCCACAACTGGCTAGCCTCGTGGTCTACCGACGACGCGTCGGGTCTCGGACCAGTCAACGGCGGACGGTCCCCGCACAGAGTCCATGCACCGTGTCCCTGCGGAGGCGCGTATTCGCGACACTCCTGACCCTTGGTGCACGTCTGCAGTACAGCTGCTTCCAGCTACCGACGACGCGAGTAGCCGGGCCTACGTCGCCGCTATCATGCGGACGACGGTAGACTGGACGGTCCCATCACCAGATGTGCAACGTACGGGTGTGCCCTTGCGGGACTTTGAACCGTCGTCTGGCATAATTCGTTGAACCAGCAAGGGCGTTGTTTTTGCATAGGTCGGTCATAAATCGCATAGTCTTGAGGCACACATATTGATCGAGGTCTAGACGCACACAGATGCACTCGCCGTCTTGATGCACGCTGTCTATCACCACGGTCAGTCGTGATTACATGACAAGATTCAACACTGACTTACTTTGTTGTTGTCGACACCTAGGACGGCCACGCACCAAGAGACGTGTTCGCTCGTCTGAGGCAGTCGCACGGAGATGTGTGGCGTCGCGCAAATGGCAGGGGGAAAAGTCAGAGAGTGCAGAATACGTTAGTAAGTGCTTTGCGCACGATAATAAACGTACCTAGGCTGCCGGTGCTCTGGACTCGACCCCAAAGCCAGGGTGTGGCACATCGTAGTCAGGTCCACTTCCCCCATCCAGGGATGCGACTACGTGCGAAGGCCGAGTGGCGGGTGGTGGAAGACTGGAGGCGCGTCCGACATGGTGGTCGGAGGGCAAGAGGAATGGGGACGAAGTGGCGTTCACCTCGGGTCCTTATACGCCTCCGTGTGGGTCCATGTTTGGTCCTGACAAACAGTCAGCCGCACCTATTGTCCGCCTTTCGAGCTCAGCCTTGTGCTCGATTGGGGCAGCTGTTTGTTCCCGCTGTCTTATCGATAATCAAGCCTTGATAGAAGCACGCACCACGCTGTGGGCGGTGTCCTTCATCATCATGCGTTCTCCGAGCGTCGCAACAGCCTTGTTTTCTGCGACACGGGGCTTCGTTGGGAGATAATGGTGAGGCTGATCGACCTTGGCGTTCTTATCGCTCAACGTCTGCGCGATAACTCTTCACTGCGGGATATGCATCACTCCAGCGAGCCATTCTGGCCAACTCGAGCTGGGACCCGGATGACGCTACGCGAGGATCCCTGTAGTGAAACATCGGTGAGCTGGGTCGTAAAAGCAGTGGGGACAAACGATACTTCATCGCTAGTAAAGCAAAGTGTTTGAAGTGGTCATACGAGGCCAGCATCCGGATTGATATCGCTGATGTCGCACGCAGGCGAAGCCATCACTGGCATACTGCTGGCACGCAGGGCGACGGCTGCATCTCTGCGAGACTGCAGATGCAATGGGCCAATAACTCTAGCAGTCTTCTTGCCTCATCTTGCCAATTTTCCTTCTGGATTGATCGCTTCTGCCAGCGACCGATGGGTTTGGGATGTATCTAGGGTGAATTCGAGTCGGCGGTGGTGCGCCACAACCAAGCCACACTATTCCGCCACAAGCGCGTCCGTGACAGAACATCACGGTCATGCCGCGGGTGACACCTAACCCGTTTAGGAGTCACACATAATATCCATCTTCACTAAGTGTTTTCTCCTGAGTAGCAGCAACATTAACAGAGTCGTGCCTCCTTGTACGGCGAAAAGGCCCTTCGGTGTTTGGGCGTTTTACGAGAGCCAGTACCAAATGTGGAAGCTGTACTTGCCCTAACCATCGGGTCCAATGTCTGCCTGAATTTCGACCACCCTTACTAGCTTAACACTACAGCTTACCACAGGGCTTCACAGGGTAAGTACATTGTCAATTTTTTTAAAAGCTAATGGTATACTTTGTCATTGTTTGCAGTTGGATCGCAGTACTTACTTGAGGAGCGCACGGCTGACCAAGTACGCAGAACGGCCCAGATCGCATCCAAATCGGGTAATGTGCGCGCCACAACGCCCTCGAACGAAACCGGTTATGCTTCAGTGTTGTGGACTAGAGTACGCCTTAAGGGACCTAAAGGTAGCACACCCCACCGCGACCTTGTTCAAGCTATTTAAAAAATTAAACCTTGGTGACTGCATCGAGTGGCATCTCCACTGCCATGCGTGGCCGCCCGCTTTGAGTTATGAGTGACGCCAGAGGTATATTACTCAGCGCGGTGACGACGCTTCGCAGAGGCAATTCAGACGCATAGCACGCAACATCTCTCCCATTTGATCGGACGTTTCCAGTTCGAGAGAGTATCATCATGGTGATTTGTGCTCCGCGAACAGCGTGGCCGACCCGGAGACAGGCTTGCTCCGAACCTATCCTCAGCCATAGTATATAGGCCACATTCCAGAATGATTTGGAAGCGTTAGCATCAGACCCGAGATTCCAACCAATCACTGGCCATGGGGTTCTTCACTGAAGCGTACTACATGTCCGTGTTGACCAAGAGGACTTTCTTTCCGCGCAGAGATTTCAAGGCAGAGAGCGTACCTGATCTCAGCGCGCGTGTTATAATCGTGACTGGTGCGCCCTCATCTGTCGAGTCGCTCTTGCGTTTTGACCACAGGGGATTGACTCGTGCGATGCAGGAGGAAATGTCGGGATAGGAAGAGAGACGATCAAGGTAACCCTGCGCAAACCTGCTTGTGGTTGAGAACATGGAGGCTGAGTGAGGGCGTTCCCGTCATAACAGGTTCTACTCCAACGCAATGCAAAGGTCTACATGGCGTCGCGGAACAGGGACAAAGCCGAGGCGGCCATCAAGCGCCTCAAAGACGAGACAGGACAGGACGCCATCTTCCTCGAGCTGGACTTGAGCAGCCTGGCGTCAGTCCGGAAGGCAGCGAGCGAGTTCTTGAGGTATGGCAGCCCACACACATGGCCGGGGCGGGCTTGTTGCTCACACACATATGCTTCAGCAAGGAACCGGAGTTGCATGTCTTGTTCAACAATGCGTGCGTATTTCCCCCCGTACTCTATGCCTCTGCCTCACAGGGATGATTGTCAGCGGAGTGATGGGTCCGCCTATCGACGAACTCACCGCGGAAGGCTTCGACCTCCAATTCGGCACCAATGTTATCGGTACGTGCTCTCTTCCCCAGTTCTCCCATTCAGCACAGTTCATCACCCCTCCCTAGGTCACTTCCTCTTCACGGAGCTGCTCATGCCCGCGCTCCTCGCCGGTGCCCAGAGCTCGCCTGACCACCACGCGCGCGTCATCACGACCTCCTCCTCCACCGCGATGTACGGCAAGATTGACTTCGGCTCTGTCCGCGAGGGCTCGGCCCGGCGGCGGTACTCGCAGGACGCATTGTATGCTCAGAGCAAGCTGGTGAGCTTTCGCTTTCAGTGATAGGGCAAGCGAGGATGTGGGCTGAGAGGCGCGGGCTGGTAGGCGAACGCGATCGTGGCGCACCAGGCGGCGAAGCGGTATGGAGGGAAGGGGATCGTGTCGATATCTGTGGATCCAGGTACGTACCGTCCGTCGACCGTTCCTGTCTCGCCGGCAGGGTTTGAGGTCGTGCTGACACGCGTCGACGCTTGCTACAGGGTGCATCGCGACCGAGCTCCAGCGGTACTCCCTCAGCTTGCCCGGCCTTCGGGGCCCTAAACAAGGTCATCGTACGTCACCTTCTGCATCCTCTCTCAGTGAGTGGTCTCTGACCATGATCGATGATAACGGGACACAACAAATGGAACACGAATTGAACACATACGACGAATTCCTGGTGCAACATACGGCCACGCACTGGCAGGCAACACTGTTGCTCCGCCCTGCGCCCTTCGGCGCGCTCACCCAGCTCTGGGCGGGCACCACACCCGAGGCGATCGAGCACAACGGCAAGGTGCGTACGCGCACGCACACCCGGCCCCTTTCTTGAGGCACTGTGTGCTGACTGGCGCACGTACAGTACGCGATCCCGACGGCACGGATTGGCCCCTGCAGGGCGGAGGCGTACGACGACGAGCTGGGCCAGAAGATGTGGACCTTCCTGGAGAACAGTGTCAAGGAGGCATAGGAGAGCTGGATATTATACCAGACCGCGAACATTCTGGACTCTTCTGCGATAGCCCTGTCAGTTATGCATCTCTAGACATAACATCTGCGTGAGCCGTAAAGGGTAAAAGCTATGCACCTAGTGCGCGATCCTGCCCATGACTCTGCTATGCCCATGCCGCGCCCGCCGCTCAAGCATTTCAGGTTGCATAGGCGTAGCGTCCACCATCGGAATCCATAGCTGCGCCTGGCCATCTTCAGATGAAGCGAGACCAGGAACTGGAGTGGGGGACACGGGTACTGGGGCCAGCGGTGCTTCTCCGAGACCTGTGGGAAGCGGCGCGGTGATAGGCACGGAGCTTGGGGTGCTCATGGAGCTTTGCGTGGACTCCTGGGGGAGTGGATAGATGGGAGGCAAGGGCGCTGAGGGTACGTCATCCACGTTGTCCGAAGGCTCGGGTTCAAATGAGGTTGGAGGCGTGGATGGGGCTGGAGACGTCGATGAGGCTGGAGATATAGGTGATGTCGGGGGTGTGTACGAAGCCAGAGGGGCGGATGAAGCTGCAGGCATGGCAAAGGTACCGTTCGTCTCGTCCAGGCTCCTTGCGTCCACGAACGTCGCCAGCGAAGGACCCGGGATCTCGTACGGTGTGTCCGGGTCCGTGTACGCCTATCCCCGCACACCGAGTTAGCACTGCCACAAGGAGCGCGACAGGGGACACGCTGGGAACAGACTCACATCGACGAGGACCCCCGGGTCAGTCTCGTTATACGCCCCTGGGAACCGGACAGTACTGTTCGGCGCAGGTACCTCCGTCCCGTTCCCGAGTATTCGGAGCTGCGTGCAGGACGGGAAGAACTCGGCGCCGCCGGGCGACATCGCGTTTTGCAAGCCAATAAGCTGGGTCGTCGTGTACCGATGGATTAGCCAGCCGGTGCAGATCAGGTTACTTACTCTCGCATGCTCACCTCATTCCGCATGAGGTACGCCCCCTGCGTGAGACCCTCGGGGATCGTCACGTTGTAGCTGTCGCCCTCCACTATCCATCCAGTCAGTCATAGAGGCGTGAAGAACGAGGTGGAAGCGTACTGATGAGCTGCTGAACCCACGACGCGCCGTCCGCCCGCTTCGCGTCCTCCGTGATCTTGAACCACTCCGCGGCGGATGCGTTGAAGCCCGCGCAGGTGGTCACGTTCAGGCAGGAGGCCATGTACGTTAGGACCGGCCCGACTTCGTGGGGCCACTGAGGAAGGACGTCCGTGTGTAGAGACCATACGTCAGTATCGAGCGCCCATTGCGTGAATGACTGGGACACGCACGTTCCCGCCTCCTCCAGACACCCACGTAAAGTTCACCGCACTGCCCGGGTAGGCAGGGGCGTCGAGGGCAGCGTTGACCGCGCCGAGCCCGCAGGCGAGGTCAGGACTGGACACGTTTGTCACCGGGCTGTTGGACGATACCGTCCGGATCGGGCTGGCCACTACGAATATGCGTGTCAGAACACTCGCGGTGAGGAGAAGTGGGTACTGCACCTGTGTAGTGGCCTGGTGCGTTTCCGGGGTAGACCGTACCGTCGACGGTGACGTTGCTGACGTAGCCGTGGGCGTGGACGTGCGAGGCGAGACTGATGAAGGTAGTCACGTAGAGAGTTAGCAACATTAGAGAATGATACGCAATGTGCAAAATGGAGAAGATGATGGTTCGCGCAGCGACACCTGAGGGTACGTGCGACGCTGGATGTCCTTATAATGCCGGTTTTGCAGAAGTGTCTGGGGTTGCCTTATGTTTCAGACTGAGAAGACGTGATGTGACTGCACTCAAGCGCAAGCTCCCTTCGCGGGATCGTCGCTAGTCAAGAATCGAATGTGTTGTCAGTCCAGAGTCCAGTCTCGAATCCGACACCAAAACACTCACGTATGTGACCATCGCCGCCCCTTGACATCTGAGCACCATTCACCCAAGGACCCGCGCGCCAGATTGGAACGAAAGATGACCAGGCGTATACTTTTACGTTGGCTGTATGCTACAGTGCGAACGACGGGGTGGATGAATCATGACATGATGACAGCTAGGGCGAACAACATAGGACTCTCGACGACAGAATGGACATGCAAATCGACTTTCGACGGGCGACTACTGGTAGATGAAATTGTACCTAGAGAAGTCGAGAGCGTTCAGTTAGAAACGGCAGTCGAATAATCTGCTTCACCATACCGAGAGAGGAGATGCGGAATGGCAGAGAGTTGGGGCCCGTATCTAAGCAGGGACATTAACGGGAGGCGTTCATATAGGTGAAGATTGCACGTACCGAGCAGCGTTGTCGTACAACTCGAACAAGGGAATGGCCAACAACTTCATGTTCTTCGGCACGGCGAGTACCTCTGTAGGATCGAAGAAGCAGGCACCAGAAGGTGAAGAGTACACATATACGTCAGTGAGTCCATTCAAACGATTAGGTAAGGCGCTCAGAGGGTACGTACTGCGTTCGGGCATCTGCACGAGGAACAGCTTCTTGCATTCCTTCGGCTTAGTGATGTGCGCAGGGATGAAAGGATACTACACATTGAGAATCGCAGAGAATATGTACACGGTGACCATGAGAATCCTGCATCCCGCTCCGGCAAAGTAGCACAACGGGTGAAAACACGCACCATGAAGGTCTCGAAGTTGGGGCGCCACCACTGGGCGAGGCAATCACCGATCTCCCACTCGTTGTCGACGCCGTGCGAGGAGTTGAATTGCTTGGACTCGGCGGGCGGCGCAAGGCGGTCGTCCAGACGCTTCTTGAGCCCTTCGATCTCGTCTTCGCCAGGCTTCAGGTAGTCTCCGGGTCTGCGGCACACCATAATGAGCGCTTACAGCAAAAGGAAACGGTTCATATACAGACAGCTTGAAGAAGGCATTCGCGATCTGCAACATGAGTATATGCGGGTGCCCGTGGTCGTGTACGACTAGAATGCCTTCCACCGTCCTGCGCATGCCGAAGTCTTCGTAGTTGTTCTGCAGCCTCTGGAGCCGTGCAGAGACAGAAGGGTCTTCCTCTGGTTGCGCCTCTTTTGTGCTGTAAGGGGAAAGCTCCAGTAACAGAATGGTTACAGAGAGTAGGACGTACCTGAACGTGAAGTTCGAGAGTGGATACCTGGAGCAGCGAGTAGCATGAGCTCCGGAATTATCCTTGACAACAGTCGACAGAGTCTTACAATGCAATTGTATTGGACATCTTCTGTTCTAATAGACCAGGCGGCAGAAGGAGAGGAAAAAGGGAGTTGTGCGACTTGTATGGGATGAGTAGACGGGACAGTGAGAACGCCTGTCACGGTCTTGCGCGTGTCACATCCTGACACGTCGCGTCACAACGTCACACCTTGAGATCGCAACCGTGACCCAGTGCGGCTCTCTCGCTTTCATCCTTGCTCAACGACTGTGCCAGTGTGCGCAGAACACTGCATCGCGGCAGATATGCTATGGCTCTCGCCCGCGTCGCTCTGTATTGCCTTTTGCGCGTCAGGGGCTGCCCCGAAAGGTACACTGGCAACTAAGCTACCGATTTACTCCAGCACCAGTTTAGGAGGCTTGCCATCGTACGGACAAAAGTTCAGAGGCAATACTTGACCTTGGAATGGCCTACATTTATGTCGTTCTGTAGTCTGTGCTCTCACTGCCCAATACAGTTGCGCGAGAGGCTTCGTGTGGTATCCGGAGGCCTTGCGGGACCCTCCGCTTTCATCTCACTCGCTCTGGGTTCTACCTCACATCAAGCAATCTCGGTGACTCTGGCGTTCTCACAGGCCCCGCGATCTACCCGGAACACCACTGCCTAACGTAGACTACCACTTCTCGACGCTCTTGAAGCCCCCGCTCGCTCGCGCGGCCGCCTGCGAACCACGTCGCCTGACGTGCTCTCGCGCTCAAACACCTCCGCGCATATAGCCCGCTCCAAATGCGTCGGACAATCTTCCATCTGCGTCTGCTCCTGTGCACGCTGTTTCCGGTCTTGGTACGCCCCCCACGTCTGTTTTCCGACCCGTCTCCCCTTCGCGTGTCGTTCTTGCACGCAGTCCTTCGCATTCGCACACCCTCACGCGTTCTCCAGATCCGTCGCCCTCGCACGCTCCGTGATGACGACGCGCGTCGATATTCCATCACTCACCTCGCTGATTGATGCGATGTCGGTGACGACGTGGCTTAACTGCTCTGAAGACTCGTTCACGGTGTGACAAGCGCCAAACGGAGGAAAGGTACTCTCGGTCAGCTACTCTCTGGTGGAATGAACATCGCGAGGACCTGAAGGCTATGTCTCCCTGGGATGACTTCGCAAAACGCGTTCTCGAACGCTTCAAGCTTGCTGGCTGGCGTAACTCAAACCCCTGCATGGCTAGTGCTGTATCATGCCCCTACTAATGTGCCGGCCACGAAATGGTGAGTTCCTTGTGAATTGATGTGGATGAAATATGGTCGCTCATATATACGAAGCGAAGGGTTGGGTTGCCGGGCATTGTACTGTAGCCAGTAATGCAGCGAACCTGATAAAGCCGCGCAACAGTGACACGACCTGTTTAGCTTCGCGCCCTACTGCTACGTTCACTCAGTCTCCGCACGGCTGCCTACTCAGAAATATCTCTTTGCATGCTTCTCCTGAGACTACGCCACCCAGCGCGGTTCTAGTCCGGTGGCGATGCCTCCGCGTGCACTGTGCGGCCAGGGTCACAGCGAAAGCACGTACGTTACACAGGATCATGACACGAGGCTACCGGGAGGCAAAGGCACAGTCGAAGCACATGCTTGGAGGCCAAAGCGTCCGTCTCTCAACACGTTTTCTGGCGGAGCCGCCCCTCGTCGGATCAGGGTGTACTACAAAGATCGTCCGGGCCAATCTCGGCTTGTGCAACAGTGCTTCGCTTTGGGTTCGCTAGGAGTCCATACTCCTCGGTACTCTTGTAATGTGCTCTCTCGTTTCGCTTTATAGTAGCTGGCTGACGACTGGCTTATTGTTAGATTACGGTTGATAATCAACACAATAGAGCTTCTGACAATCGCCACTGCCTGTGGCTCCATTGAATACCTATAACGACGGTCGGTCGCGACTCAAGAGTCCTAGGACTTGGTAGAACAAGGAATAGTGTGTGGCACTGCGACCTACTTCTCCGCCGACAAGTACCGGTGTCGCCCTCCCCGAATGAGGCATGTGCGTACCATCGGTCAGAAGTACCAAGGCGTCGCTGCCGTGCGATGACGAGTGCTCCCTTCTCGGGGGGCACCGCCACTCGCTGAGCTCGCCGCTTGCTGGAGAACACGCGTTCTTTGTTGCTCGTTTTGGGCGCTTCGCCACTGGTCAAAGCGTAGGTGCCGCAGAGCCCGCATAAAAGGGCTGCACTTTGGAACTCGGTCCCTCCACTCCTGCATACCAGCAACCCTCTCCCGCCACTCGTCTCAGCATCAACTGTCTTCTTTGTAGCCATTGAAGATGCCGTCCAACACTGGCAATGGTAGCAACACTGGCGACCGCAACGCCACCAACAATAGCGGTACCAACACTAACAACAGCAACCCCGGTAACAATAACAATGGCGACGGTGGTACGCTCGCTACTGTCTACTGCTGTGGTTGCGTCGCGTTCTGACAATTGCACGGTGCGATCGCAGACAACAACGCTGGGTTCGGCATCAACTGGAACTCCATGCTACACCCCGGGCTCCGGGACTCCGTGCTCGGGTTCCTCCGGTACACCACCAATGCACCGGCGGCAGCGCAACGCGAAGCGGCGGCGGCGCTAGACCGCTTCACCGCCGCTCACAACCCGCAGCCTTCTGGCTCCCAGCACCCGGCCCCCCGTCGTCGATCCGAACCGCCACCGCCTTACTCGCCGCCACCACCATCGTACGCATCGATTTTCCCCAACCGCATGCCGCCGCGACCAAGTACGAGCCCTCCTTTGTCGTCTACGCCACAACACTGACTTTGATACTTGGCAGGGAGTGGCCCCAGCTCGGTCCCGATCCCAATAGTCCGACAGCCCGACGACTCTGCGTTGCGTCGTGAGTTCGCGTTCTACGGCGAGCGCGACTTGCAGCGTGCCTTGAGGCAGAATGCAGCGGAACCTTGTATGTACCTCCATACTCGCCACCTAGTCTGCTGCTGACTGTAGCCCGCAGACGTTCCCGCTCCTGGCCCAGCTCCCGCGTCGACTTATGCTCGACGAGCCTCGAGTGGTGCTGCGAGGCCCGCGCCAGTCCCCTCTGCAGGTCCTAGCAACGCACCGAGGCCCGCGCCGGTCCCTACTGCGGGTCCCAGCAACGCACCGAGGCCTGCCGCCGCACCTGCCGTGCCGTCCGCTGCTGCGCCTCCAGCACCACACCCACCAGCCGCCCCGCAACCCGACGCTCCCTACGACTACGCTGCGAACGCAGCGCGGGTGTTGTCTCACCCTGATGGGGTCACGGCGCTAGTGACGATGGGCGACGCTCGCACGCTCCTCCGCCGGCTCTTCGCGACACCGGGCGGCACACAGGCGATCTTCGACGTGCTCGACGCGCAGGGCCTCGCGAACCAGCTCATGTCCACCGAGGAGGGTCTCCGCGCCATCGCCGAGGTCGCCGAACAGCGCCGCAGGGAGGCGCACGAGCTCGAGGAGCGTCTGGGTCGCATCGTGCGCGGGGTGAGGAGGACCAGTGCGTGGCGACAGGACGAAGACTGGGAGGGCGGTGTCGTACGCCCGAGGCCTGAGGGCGAGCAGCCCGCAGAGGCTGGGCCTGCCGACATCAACGAGTTCGTTGACGATGCAGACATGGCGGGCGCGGCGGACGGGGACGATACCTCCGATTCGTCCGATGCATCCTGGACGCAAGGATCGTCGAGCTCACCAGGATCGTCGGAAGCATCAGGATCGTCTGAAGCATCCAGCTCGTCCTCGTCTTCATCGTCAAGTCGCGGTACCAAGCGCAGTCGGGAGGAAGACGACTTCCAGTCTGCGTCTGGTTGGTCGACAGAGAGCAGTAGGGCCGTGCGTCGCAGGCTCAGTGAGGATGCTGGCGAAGGCCATACGGCCGCTCCCTCCACCCGTCGCCCGTTCGTTAGGGCGCCCACTCCAGGAATAGGGCTGATACACTATCCGCCAACCGCAGACGACCTTGAGCTGCCGTCCTCGGGTGCGCCTACTCCTGACCTGGTGGAGGATACCCGATCCCCCTCGGTGACTCTCATAGAGTCGGATGACGAGGCGCCTGCTGAGCCTCCAAGACGACCGCGGCCGAAGAAGACCGGCCGCAAGCGCGGCTCTAAGGGCAAGTGAAATTGAACAGCTTTTGTGGATTGAAGTCAGAGTTACCATCGTTTATACCCGTGATACCCTAACTTATTACTCATTGGATCTCGCGCGGAACTTATCGCAGGAGTTCGCTGGACTTCATCAGAAGCTCCGGCGTGTATACCCATTATACCCTCACTGACTTTCAACTGGATCTTATCTAGAGTGGTTTGCTTGCGAAGCGTTCGTCATACTGGTGTACTTCTGGCTTTTGTATTGCTGTACCGAATTCTATCTTTCTTCAAGCGCTGTATCAGCATCGCAACACTTCAACATCTTTTTCCGGGCTAGTCTCTTTCGGTCAACATGGTCTTCAAGTTCTCCGAGTGCAGTACAGTATCGTACATTAAACTTCGCTACATCCACTACAATGGACAACGGTCAAGATCAGTGGACGAAGGTCTGACAGAATACTACGCCTTCCTTATCTGGCTTATCATTGCTACAGACATGACTCCGAGTCAAAGCGCTCGCTTTCATGCTCGAAGGGCCATGTCTTTCCAACTGACATAGACCAGACTACGGCTAAGACCATTTGTTGCGCTATAGACAATGGCGCTCTTGGTCGTGTCGGCCAAGGATGTCGCCAAGATCGCAACGACAGTCAATCCCCAGGAGTTGACTGATCTCATGGCACAGGTCTTCTATAGCTTGTCCAAAGCAGAGAAGTCCACTGGCGATGCCTCAGGAATGCACCAGCCTCATCGCATCTCCGTACCTGTTACCAACCACACTGCGCTGTTCATGCCTTCGCGCATCGAGCCCTTCGGCACCGCCATCAAGGTAGTATCCGTTCCTACCTCTACGGCGCCACAAGCGGTCAGAGAGGCTGGATTACCGGGGACAACGCTTGTCCTGGACGAGACATCTGGTGCAGTCAAGGCACTTGTCAATGCCAGACAACTGACAGCGCTCAGAAATGCAGCCGGTACGTTCATTTCGCATGGGATACGACGAGGAGTCACGACGTATTGATGTCTAGGATCACTGCTTGCTACTCGCTTGCTCCTCGTCCCCGATGCGCAGCCTCGCGAACTGGTGGCCTTCGGAGCAGGTGCTCAAATCGCTGCGCATATATCTCTCTTCCTGAAGCACTTCCCAACGATCACGTCATGCACGATCTTCAACCGCTCAGTCAATTCAAGGCTATCAAGCCTCGTCTCCACCTTGAAAGCTGAGGTCGAGGGAGTTGGCATTGGTGCAGGAATTCTGCCCAAGGACGCGCAGGACGTGGCCTTTCGCAGAGCGGTGCAAGGAGCCGATCTTATCATTACCGCCACGTCCTCGACTGCTCCGTTCTTCCCCTCCGAATACGTCAAGCCTGGGGCTCATCTGTGTCTGATTGGCTCCTACACACCGCAGATGTGAGTCAAACTCTACGTCTCATGCAGACCTGCGCACTCAGGCTAATACGTTCTTTTCTCCGCAGGCACGAAATCGATACTGATTTGGTCAAACGCGCCGGTAAGATCATAGTCGACTCTCGCGCAGCGTGTCTGGTATGCACCCTATGCAATGCTTGGTCGACGAGAACTCACGTTTATCACGTCTTCTCGTAGGTCGAAGCCGGTGAGTTGATCACAGCAGGAGTCGGGCCATCCGACTTAGTTGAAATCGGGGAACTGGTACAACCCGACGCCAGTGGCTCAGCGTGGATCGCTCAGGACGAGCTGGTGCGCGAGGTACGAGCGGCCGGAGACGTCACAATCTTCAAGTCCGTTGGTGTTGGTGTACAGGACGTCGCCATTGCATCTGCCGTCGCGAGCAGAGCGGAGCGAGAGAACATCGGGACGATTGTAGCAGACTACGATGGAATGTCCTGAATAGATGGTCATAATCGAGCATAGTCCAGTATCAACAGCAGTCTATCCACATCATCATGCACTAGAAAACTATTACGCACGGAAACCTAACAAAGCAGTAACAAGCGAACACAGCGGTATACAACGATGCAGCGGTCGCGAGAGACGAGAGACGAGACGAGACGAGACGTAGGACGAGAGGGAAGGAAAGTGTACGCTACAGTGAGACAGGCGGGGGAGAGATATAGACAGTAACAGTCAGACGTTGCCGTAGAGAGATTAGATGTCTGTGTAGTATAGCCCGATAGCCAGGGGATAGGCAAGGAAGTGGGGGAAGAAAAGCGGGGCGATCGATATAGATAGACGGAACTCTAGGTGTCGATATATAAACGGGTATTATGCGATGCTGAAGACGTCCAGACGGTCAACAGCGCGTAGCAGTCTCAGTTATGATGTACTCACGTATCACTTCGTTAGGGTCATGCCCATGAGGAGGCATTCCCTACGGAACTCCTCTTGCTGAGCTTTCATTTTGGCGAGCAAGTCCTCCGCACGGCGGTTCAGCGCTTCTTCGCATTTGCGGAGTTCCTGCTCCTTCTTCTGATTCTCCTCTGCCTGTCTGCGCAACTGCCTCTCCTTGTCGCGCAGCTCATCGGCCTTCGTCCGCGGCGCACCTGGCTTCCGCCTCTTGTCCTCCTCTTGCCATCGCGCTTCTTCCTCCTGCTGCTTCCGAGCGACCTCCTCTTCGCGCCGCCGGACCTCCTGTTCGCGACGTCGCAGCGCTTCCTCCATGGCGCCCAGTCTGGTTTCGCGATCCTTCGAGTCCTCTTCGGCGAACGTTACTGAGCGTTTCTTGATCTGGGGCTCGGACGCAGACTTCCTCGGAGGCTCCTTGGCGTCTCTGGCCACAGGAATGGGCGGTTTCGCTGTGTCTGAAGGAGTACGGCTGAAGCTGTCAGTCCGTTGGCGGCCCTCCAAACGACGTCTAGCTTCCTCCTGCTGCTTCATGAAGGCCTCGAGCTTCTCCTTGCCGATTCTTTCAGCAAGCGCGTCCGCCTCTCGCTTGCGCTTCTCCTCCTCCTCGAGCTCTCGCTGTCGCGCCGCCTCCACCCGCCTCGCCTCTTCAAGTGCGCGCTGCTTGTCCTCAGGCTTGCGAAGTTGCTCAGCCTTGTGCCGAGCGTCTTGCTGCTTCATGAAGGCTTCCAACTTCTCTTTCCCAATCCGTTCGGTCAGAGCGTCTGCCTCGCGCTTCCTCTGCGCCTCCTCCTTCCGCCGCTCTTCCTCAGCCCGCCGCGCCTCCTCAGCCCGTTGCTCCTCCTCCAGCCGTTTCTGCTCTTCCTCAAACCTACGAAGTGACTCGGCCTTCTTCTTCTCCTCTGCAGCTGCTGCTCGACGCGCCTGCGCACTGAGAGGCTTAGCCTTCACTGTCTCCGCTTCCTTCTTACGTTTGGCCTCTTCCTCCTTCCGCTTGGTCTCCTCTGCCCTGCGCCTGGCTTCCTCTTCCTTCCGCTTGGCTTCCTCCTCCTTGCGTTTGGCCTCCTCCGCCGCCCGCTTCGTTTCCTCTTCCTTCCGCTTGGCTTCCAGCTCCTTGCGCCGCGCCTCCTCCTTCTTCTTGCCCTTGCCGCCCTTTGCCTTCGTCTTGATCTCCTCAGGCTCCTCGGGTAGCGCTCGCGGAATAGGCGGATCGTCCACCGGGGGCTCTTCGGTGGGAGGCACAACGGACTCGAGTACCTCCGGAACGATGGTGGCGCTGTCACTACCGAAGTTGCTCATCTCGGCCTCGATCATCTGCTCGAGCTCGTCCTTGTCGAAGCCGGAGGCCTCCCAGTCACTGTCGCCTTCGTCGGACGCAATGACCACCATCTCGTCCGACCTCGGCGACTTCTGCTCGGCCTGATTCGAATCCGCGCGACTTCCGGCAGACTGCCACAACGACTGCAGAGAAGACTGGCTCGCGGATTGCGACGACGACTGGCTGCTCGTGGAGGTCTGGTTCGACATCGGGGGCGGTGGGCGGAAATCGGGCAGGTCGAACGCAGGCTGGTACGGGCTCTGGATGCTGCGCGTCTCGTCGTCCACGGTGAACGTCCGCGGATCGATAACCTGCATGCTGAAGGCCGTGGTGTTCGCCGCCGGTGGGGGTTGTGGCGTCGACGCGGCCGCGTGACTGGTGCTTTGCATGAACGCGAACAGGTAGCTGTCCGTGCGCGTGACCTCCGGCGCAGCGAGTGGCGTCTCAACCTCGTTGCTGAGCTTCGACGCCATGCGCGAGACCGGTCGCTGGATCGGCCGTGGTGTGACGGACTGTGCCCGATCGTAGAGGTGCGAAACGTGGGTGAACTGGACAGGGATCTGCGGCGTCTGCTGGACGTCATTGCCTATCGCCAGCTGTAACTCCGCACTGGCTAGGAAGGACCGCAGGTCGTCTGGACCCGACGCGTCGTGGTCGTTGGTAGCCGCAACCTGCTTACCAGCACGGCGTGGGGTCTCAGCGGGTTTCTCGAGGTCGCTGGGGATGTGCGCGCGACCGAGTTTGGATGGATTCTTCGGAAAATTGTGCGGTAGGCCGGTCGGCTCGTCCATCCGCGGAATCCACCGCTCTAGCGCCGACCGGAGAGGATCTGCGTCGTTGCGCGACTGTTCACCTGCTGACGAATGGGTCAGATGTCTGCTTCCGTTAATCTGAGGGGATGGTACCATCGCGCCGTGGTTGAGGCTGTGCCGGGTGCGCCCATCGCGGGTATCGGGTCGTATCGTCGAAGCCTCCGCTGACGGAGTCGTACCTCACGGAGGAAGGACCATCGCCAGCGGCGTATCCGTCGAGGCCAATGCGCGATGGTCCGGCGACGGCGTTGGCGCTTCCTCCAAAGGCAAGACGCGAGGACGCGCGATCTTGGCTCTTGTTTGCCTTGCGAGTTGCGTCCCAGAGGCTTTGCTGTTCGCGCAAGAGCGATTCGGACCATCCGTCGTCCGGTGGGGCGCCCGCAGCCAGACGACGCAGCTGTCGCTCGTACTGCATTTCGGCGTCGAACTGCTCTTGAGCCTTGCGTCGGATTCGGGTCATCTTGACTTCATAAGTGTGCTTGACGTTCTCATTGTTGGTGTGTTCGTAGTCGTTAGTGGGAGTGGTGACATAGTGCATCTCTTTTTCTTTCCTCGCTTCGTCGACGAGAGGCTGCAGCGCTTCGGAAATTCGCCTGCGGAGCTCCTTCTTCCATGCCAGGTCGGGTTCGTACGGCGCATCCTGGTAGTACGCGCCGTCGCGCTCGCTCGGGCCCTGCGCAACGGCGGCCATGGGTATCACAGAGGGGAGGAGAGGCGAAGGAGGGCGCGCTGCCCAGTGGGCACCCGCGACGATGATAGTAGTGGCACAGTGAAAGGAGTCAGTTGGCGCCGAGCGCTGAGCCTCATGGCATCCATGCCTCTCGGCCGAATGCGACTTCATTTGTCGCACGTTCAAACTCCTCCTCACACGGTCCTATACAGGTCCTAAACATATCTTCTTGAAAACAATCTGAAACCAGTGTCAATATGACTGTGACAGTGTCAGAGGGAGCGACAGCCCAACTGAACTGTTCAGTCACGATATCCTCGGCGCCAGAGCCCCCCTACAGTTGTCCAGAGTCTTGCAGAATCTTGCCCTCTGTAGCGTGAACAGCTGTATCGGACCGGGCTCTCAGCCACCCTTCCCGTCCAGACTCCAGAGCATTGCTCACCTTCCTCTGGCAGGTAAGTCGATCCCGTCACGCCTTTGACACACATAGACGGAGTTCAGCTGGTTTGATATGGGACTACCGAACGCAGCGGACATCGACGGCCAGGCAGCGGTGACCTTGGCTACGGTGGCCCAGGCAAAGCGGCACAGTACTAGTGTCCTGATTCACTGGATGCCAACATCCGACGACCTCCGCTCCTGTACGCGCTTTGTGTGGGTCCCAACGACGCGGAGTAAGCTGTGATATTTTTGGCAAAAATGAACACCGCTGCACTCCTGTGATTGGTGGCACACCTGCTAGTATTGTATTGTTATCTCAAAAATCACTGGCATGACCGTCATAAGCACTGACTAGCCTCATATCAAGGCCCTCGAGGCCTCCACACGGCGCACGCGAACCTATTCGACTGACAGAGTAACAGCGTGAGCTCAGAAAGGCTGCTGAGGAAGCGTACAGGCGGAATCTGAGCCCTTAACTGTTCGAACTGATATCATATGTTTTACTTGTCACAAGTCCCAGGGATGTACTCGGTTGATGCTCGGCTGCGTCACTCAGGCTGCGACGATACATCGCCAAAGCTCTTGATGAGAGAGGGAAGGGGGAATCGATGAAGACGAATCGGGTTTGAAGTCTGTTTAAATACTAAATCACGGATGCCATGGCATGTGAAGAGCTATCGTAGAAGCACACCAAAATCGGCCAAGGAGAGCGAACGTTGGACAGATTTGGAAGTTGTCTTGCTATGTATGGAAAGTGCTGGATGTCAAAGCCACGCATGACGCAAGGATGACGTCGTCCATAAGTACGGAAATGGACACCGAATACATCTTTCGAACTGCCACACGGAAAAGGCGATGATAGGATCGCTCAGGACCAGGAGCCAAAAAACGAGAATGAAATGGGTCAAAGGACACAGTGGAAATGAATTAAACGAAAAGGCAGATAGACTCGCCGGACAAGGAGCAAGCAAACGAACAATAGACGACCTGAAAACTGAGATACCTGCAACGCTGAAGCTCTCGGGAGCGAAATTAACAACACTCACCCAGAAGCTTGCATACAGAGGCATCCGGAAACAAACAATGCAAACCTATAAGCAAAGAAATAGGACGGTACTGAACATCGTCAAAATCATTGATTTCGCAGAGACGCACCATGATAGATCGATATCAGAGGCCCAAATCTGGACAGGAATACGAAACAAAGACCTAAGGAGAGAGATCAGGTATTTCCTATGGATGACTATACATGACGCCTACATGGTTGGATCGAACTGGCTACGACCCAGCTACTCGGAGGAGCTGCAAGCAAGACACGAATGTCAGATATGTGGAGTCGAAGAATCAATGCAACACATACTGACCGAATGCGACGCCCCGGGACAAAAGGAAATTTGGGAACTCACAGAAAAGCTATGGAAAATGAAAAACAAGAAATGGACAAAGCCATTGATAGGCGGGATCCTAGGATGTGCGAACGCGATGTTCAAGACAGAGAAAGGCAAGATATTGAAGAGAGACGCACGACTCTATAGGATCCTAGTATCGGAAGCGGCATACCTGATATGGAAGCTACGAAACGCCCGAGTCATCCAGTCTAACGGGGAACACCACTCATCGAAGAATGAAATAACAAACAAATGGCTCAACGCAATAAATGAAAGACTGACGATCGACTGCAAGATGACCAATAACAAAAAATATGGAAAGAAAGCGTTGAAACCAGCACTAGTAGAAAGCACATGGAAAGGGGTATTGAAGAACGAAAAATACCTACCTTATGATTGGACGACAGGAAAGGTTGGGGTTTTAGTGGGTATAGAGCCAGAACGGTCGCGTACAGGGGAGAGGCACATCGGAGATTAGTTGGCGCGATGATGATGTGCAAAGACGACGACCAAGCTCAATTATCGAGTCCCACACACAGTGCGTAAAAGCATTTCCTCAACGGTGAACAAACAGATATATAAACACATGCACAATATGCTACTATGCTACCATAAAACAACCGGGGTTCCAATCCCCCGATCTTTAGCGGGTACTCTGGGGTCGACTTGTCGACTGCCAGACCCAGCGCCCAAAGGCGCAACGCTCCACAAAAAAAAAAAAAAAAAAACTGCCACACGGATTATTGGCTTGGTTTATTCGTAAAATCCTCATGTACTTAAGTAGCTCTGATGTAGCTTCCCAAATGAATAAATGTGACGGGCTTTCGAGATCAGATACAGAGGAGGAGGAGTAACATGAGTGACTTGCGGGTAAGTATTGGTGGGTACCACAATTGGTATCAATGGTTTGAAAGTCCGCTTACCTGTCCATGACAGCGTATCGTCGCTTACCTCGCGGCCCTTGCGTTGCTCGTCCCCTACGCCCTGCAAAAATTTTGATTCATTCTAAGCGCACCCAGAGGGCTGGAGCTGCTGAGACGGTACGTTCTTACGTGTGCGAGCATGCATGCAGCGTCTTGCTCCTGGTAGTGATTGAATGCGGTCTCGTCCCCTCCAGTGAGTGCGTGTATATGTCGCGATACCCCGTTCTGCGTTGGTTCAATATAACTCATCGCCTTCGCTTTGGTCAACGATAGAACAAACAGCGGTGGGGCCCAACATGCGCGCGTATAGGGGTAAGATGACTGGGATGACTGGAGAGGTGGTGCTTCATACGTCCGCGACGGGGCAGTATGGCTGGCTTGACACTGGTACTCACACAATCCAGCCTAATTATTCAACTCTCCGTCAATCTTGCTGACACATGGAAATACAGTGCACCTTGACCACTATTTCGCGGACGGCGCGTTATCTTTAATCCATTTCGTAACATCGTCAGCCCATTCCTCGCCCTCTCCCGTGCCCAATGCCCAGTGGGGGCTGAGATGGTTATGATCCTTCATCTTGACAATCGGTATCTGTCTGCCCAACTTCGTCTTCAGCGTCTCCGTGAAGTCCTCACTGTTCTCGGTAAACCCATCCAGCTCCCTCTCACTCACGAACACGATGACCTCGGGAAAGCCTGCCAGTAGCTCCTGCGGTGCCTTTCGCAGGAGCGCTGCGGGCATGTTAGCCTCGACAGAGTCCCAGCTACCGTAGAGCTGGAGAACCGGGTCGTCGGGGCTCGTGCTCTCGTCGCGTTTGAAGGTGTACGCGCCACCTTGGAGGATGACGCCGTGGATCCGGGCGCGCACGTTCGGCGGAAGCAGAGTGGTGTGAAGGAGAAGGGTGGACGAAAGGGCTGAGCCAGCGGAGTGGCTCATGAGGAATACGTGGTCGAAGTCGGCCTGGATGCCGCTGTCGGCGAGCACCTCATCTGCGTTCGCGATGACCCAGCCTATGGCATCCCTCATGTCCTCGACGGGTTCAGGGAACTTGGCATAAGGTACGAGGCGGTAGTCAGAGATGACGGTCAGCATCCTAGGGGAATGCGATCGTGAACTTCTATGATGAAGAAGCATCCACAGGCGTTACTCACCCGCGTTTGGCGAAGTACGCACCAGTGTTGGAGTATACGAGGTCATACGGCGGCGCGAGCCTGCGATCGCCCTCGAAAAATCCGCCACCATAGAAGAAATAGAGCACCGGCACATTGCCAGTCGAAGGGATGGCGTCGGCCGGAGGATAATAGACATCTAGCTGATCGGTGTCGTTGACGTTAAGAGCTACAATGCGCTTTGCGAACCAATTGTGGTAACACACACCTTATGTCTGTCCGTGCTGCCATACTTGAACGTCCTTGACTTGACGCTCTCGATGTCCGAGCGATGTTTCTCCAGTTGTGGCGAGAACGCGTCTCGGACTGGATGCGACGTTAATCATGGCGATCCATATCGATGCAATGAAACACGATGTATGGTGAGGTACGTACTAGGTTGGTGAATGAATGGGATAGCTGTCACGTCCTTCAGGTTCTTGATGATGTCCATGATGGCTGCTCTCAGAGGTCGTGATGGCCGGGAGAGGAAGAGAACATCACGTTCGCATTTGTGGGCATGCGACTCGGGAACGCGTTGTGTTGCTCTCGTAATCCCACGAGGATTTGGGCCGGTGTCATATGTACATGTACACTGGCAGTGTCCGTTTCCCGTGTTTGATGAGAGTCTGACATATTGATACTCACTATATATTCAACACTTCACACTGGTGGTCTTTCGCGCTCCTCAGGCCTCAGGGGTTTGATCTATGTAAGTACCGCGACCTTCATTTCAAGTTTTCTGAAGGCGACATCAGCAGATCACGGAGATTCAAGATCGGGCGGGGATAGAAAGTTTTGATGGGATGTGGCTGAGTGTGGCGGTCACGATCAGCCTGAGAGTAGAGGGGCTCGGACACAAAGCATTCAATGTACTAGTACACTCTTACGCCCCTCTACCCCCGGCGAATGGGGAGGAGACTGCGTGACAGCCATTGCTGGCCCATGATTCACTGGAAGTACCGCCGACTTCGGATGTCACTGTTAGTAGTAGGCATTTGTCACGGTTGATCAGTGGGATCCGAGGAATGATTGGCCTGAGATGTTTGAGTTGGTGGCCCTTCTCAAATGCCACAGGTGAGTTATCAGTAGTATACCACGGCATTTACTCGAGCTAGACACATATTATGCTGACGCAATTTTGTCGTGAATCCATCCGGTAACCTCCTCCGCCCATTCTTCTCCTGCTCGCGGCCACTCCACAGCGCCCAATGCGGACTGATGTGGTTATGCCCCTTCATAAAGTTTAGCGGGATATCTCTTCCCAGCCTCGCCTCCAGTGCTTCCCTGACTCGCTCCTCATTGGTTACGAAGAACCCATCAGGTTCTTGCTCCCTTGCCAACATGATCACCTCTGGAAATCCTTTCAAGACCTCGTCAGATGCCTGGTTCAGTAAAGCGATCGGCATATTCGCCTCCACTTCGAACCAATTGCCGTACAGCTGGAGCAACGGATCCTCAAGGCCCATACGCTTGTCCCGCGGGAACCTGAACATCCCGCTCTTCAGAACGATACCGCGGATGTGTGAGCGCAGTTGAGGTGTCAACAGCGTGGGATGGAAAAGAAGGGTGGAGATGTAGATCGTTCCAGCAGAGTGTCCCAGCAGGAAGACGTGGTCGAAGTCCGCTTGAATACCGGTTTGACCTACGATCTCGTCCGCTCCATTGGCGATCACCCAACTGATGGTGTCCCTAACGTCCTCGATTGGCTGCGGATACTTCACATTGGGCACGAGACGGTAGTCGGCGATGACGGTGAGAATCCTAGATCGATGTACAGTATAGGTCGTTCACTCTGCGTTGCTAGTAGAATAGGTGCAGCCCACTCACCCTCGCTTTGCAAAGTAAGCTCCTGTGCTCGCATATCCTAGGTCGTATGGTGGGGGGAGCCTGCGGGAACCGCGCACGAAGCTGCCGCCATAAAAGAAATGGAGAACAGGTATCTTCCTCCCGCTTGTAGGACAAATATCCTCAGGTGGATAATACACGTCTAGCTGGGGAATACCACTTCAGCTGGGGACTCGAGCTTGTGCCTTGATATAGGTTGTATAATACATACCATATGCCTTTCTGCGGTACCGTACTTGAATGTCTTCACATGGACACCCTCTATCTCTGCCCTACGCTTCTCAAGGTGAGGCACGAAGGCGTTCATTGCTGCATGCCAGTGTTTAGGGATATCGACTGATTGGTTCTGTGAAGTAACCTACTTGACGTGTTGATCAAACGAATTGCCGTGACCTTCATGTTCGCTACGACATCCATGTTGAAGTGACGGTTGATGGACACAAGATGTCCTGACACAGTACCAAGTCAAATGAGATGGTCTGTGGCACCTGGTCGGATGCCTTGTGTGCGCAAGCGTTTCTGCTATAAATGTTATCGCGAAGTGTTGCCGCTACAGTTCCGATGTGAAATTCGCATCTAATAACTGAACTTGCACGCACGCACCGAAACTCACAAGGCCTGAATCCTGAGATGCTCTCTGGTCATGCTATCTGAGAAGCTGTACTAGCCCCATTGAGTGATTCTTCGCAGGCCGCCCCTGAACTGTATCTTAAATCGCTTTGATTGCCACGTCTGCAGTGCGTCCGAGTCCGCCGGTGTCACGGCATAGCGATCTCGCGTACCCCGTCGGTTTGCTGAGATGGAAGGATCCTCAAAGTATCCTGATGAACGGATCTGTATAGGTTTTTGATCGCCGGAGGGAGAGAAGGCGTACGGTCGCAATGTAGTTCAGCTTTCAAGGCCCACAAGTACAAGCACGTCGAGGACTCTCGAATCTTAGGACCGAGAAGAAACGAGTGCGGAGTGCGATCAATAGGCATAGTCACTCTGAGGGGACGTGTACCAGGTTCCTTCACTGTCCCAGCCACGAGTCAGGATACGCGCCCGTTAGCTGGTGCACACCGTTGGAGGAATATGTTGATAGCGCTTCAGGCGATGTCAGCCTCAAAGCTACTGAAACATATCAAATCAGTATATAAGAGGTCAAAATGTAAAATGTATGGCTAAGCGAATATCTGTCGTCGCTCCAGTACAAACGTCGATGAACGAGTCTGCAGCGAGAATCGTCCCTCCTGTGTATCTGTGACATTCCGCACCTCAAGCCTTGACGAACCCAAGCTTCATCGGCAGCTCGGGTACCAGGTTCATGCCAACAGTCGGGTACTGGATACCAGCCACATTCCAGCGTATCTCCTTGCCAGACGGAGCGAAGGTGAAGTTTGCCAGGAGCACGGACAGGACTACCTCTGCAACAGGCGCGATCGAGGTCAGTGCCCGGCAACCCATGTGTCACAACGCTAGAGACTTACTCATCTCAAGCTGAGAGAACTTGAACCCGATGCACGCGCGTCCGCCGCCCAAGAAGGTCATCCTGTCGCAAATTAATCTAGTCAGCTGACCCTTATATCGCACTAAGAAGCGTAGCGACTCACAGATGCGAGTACACGCCAGGGATGTGCGCGTCCTTGACGACGTCGGGCAGGGGGTTCAGCCAGCGCTCGGGCTTCCACTCCGCGGCATCGGGGCCCCACAATGCCGGGTTGCGATTCGACGCGAGGATGCCGATGTGGACGATCGTGCCCTCGGGTACGGGAATTTCGTTGATAAGTGTACCGTCGACGCCGCGGATCGGTGTTGAGAGGGGCATGACGATGTCCTGACGCGTCTTCCGGATTAAGTGTGGGACGGGAGCATACCTGCGGCAGGACCTCGGTCAGTATTTTGCGTCCCCTATCGCAAAGTAAGCGCGACGTACAGACGGAGGGTTTCACGGCAGACGGCGTCCAAGTAGGGCAGCTCGACGAGAACGTCGTACGGGATCTCGGGGCCGTGCTCGCGGACGGCCTCGAGTATTTCTTCACGGAGCTTGTTCTGGACGTCCGGGTGCTTGGAGAGAAGATCGAGTGTTCGTGCAAGCGCGTTCGAGGTCGTGTCCATGCCGGCGAAGATGAACGTACTGCATGCAGGGTCAGTGCTCAGATAGCTGCCGAGCACAAACAACGGGAAGACATACGCCATCTGTCCGAGCAGCTCGTCCTCGGGCAGCTTGTCCTCCTCAGAAGCATTCGTGTTCGCTTGCACTGTGGCGAATTGTCAGCGCTGTCGCGTTCACGGACATGGGTGTCGTAGATGCTTACTGAGCTTGCTCATGACGTCCTTGCCCTCACCGATCTGATGCGTGACGGCTTCATCTCCCTCGCGCATCGCCCGCTTCTTCTCCTCAAAGATCCTGCGCGAGTGGTTCTGAATCTCGTCGGATATCTGCTTCGCACGCTTCAACTGTACGTTGGGGATGAGGTCAATCAGTTTGCGCTGGAGAGCCGGGGGGCCAATCTTCGTAGCGAGGGGAAGGAGAGGTCGGACGAGACGGAGAGGGAAGAGAGTCGGGCTGCAAATTACACAAGAGATGAGCCGGAGTGAGACTTGGAAGCGCATGACTGGACGCACACGATAGCCTTGACGGCGGTACCCAGATTGTGATCCACCGTGTCCTTGACGAGTGGGTCAAAGGACCATCCTAGGCCGGCCTGACCGACGAGCTCAAGCGCGGTGCGGCCCATCCAGTCGAGGACGTCGACTTGTTCTTGGCCAGCTTTGATTCGCACAGCAATGGCTTCTTGGAGCTTGGCCGTTATGTTGTAGAAGATGGGAAGCATGTGTCGCATGTGCGCGACGGAGAAGACGGGATTCAAGAGCCGGCGTTGCTTGCGGTGACGTTCCCCAAGGGTAGCGAGCAGACCGTCGCCCAACATGCAGTGCATTGAGCTGATAATGGACAGTGATGAGACTGTGTTTGTAGGATCAGACGCGAGCGGACTTACGCAATGAACTCGGGCGCCTCCTCATATATGTATTGATCCTTTACGATGATGCTAGAGAGAGCGGTAGGATCGAATACGAAGAGCTGCCTGGTCTTTGTTCGAAGTAAGAGATCTGCTCGTAGCAATGAAACCCAGGCACGCCGTACCCCCAACATGCCATGTAATTTCAAGACAGGACCGTATTTGAGGCCTATTCCATGGTTGAAGTCCCAACCAGCACGATCGAAGAGTTGCCCCAGGTTCCCTATCGTAATGCGGTGTAAGGGTCATCATCTGTCGGGACAGAACGTGTTGATAAGCACCTTTGAACCAATGACCTGACGGGGGACCGGGGATGTTGTCCAGGGGCGAACGGCTGAAGTAATTCTTCAAGACATTGAAGAGCACGTATGCCGTACCAAGAAGCGCGACTACGCGCAGAACACTGAGAAGCAGGCCCATTATGTCAACTGTAAGTGAAGAAAAGAAAGAGAGACGGCAGTAGACAAAAACGAGGAGGTTGGTAGGGAGCGTATGGGTCAGATGGCAGTATATATACCTGGCCGGAGGGTGAGTGGGATCCAGAGGGAAACACGGTCGGCGCGTTCGTGTTGTATAGCCAATTTCATACGATCACGGCTTGCTTGGTCTCTAGATTACCATTGCTTCGGCACGGACGAACGCATCATGCTGCCCAATGGTAAGGCGGCAATCTGTGCGAGATTCGACGATCAGTGGGTATCGCTGGGTAAATTGCAGACTTCTGGAAGCTGTCGTGAAGTGACGCCCAGGCCCTTGAAAGGTCGGGCTCCTCCATCCTGGGCATGAACCCGGGTTTGTGCCATCCGAGTCGCCGCGCTTCAACGGAATGTGGCGCCAGCCCGCACACTGCACGGCCATGCTGCTGTTGTTGTTACGATGATTGTCGCAAACGCCGTCAAGTCGCGTTCCGACCGGTAAGTAGGCTGACTGTAGAGGATCACTTCAGGTTGCAGGCGAGCCGATGAGATCGAACCGACCCGCGTCAAACCCGCGTCGCGCGCAACTAGAGTCTAGCGTGCCCGAGAGACTCGGTCAGGACTGCGACCGGAACAGCCCGTCGGCAACACGCATCACCTGTACCTGGCTACTACATACCTGGCTTCAAAACTGAATACGCGAACTTTGAACAAAATAGCAAAGCGCAGTCGAAGACAAATTTGTATGGCAGACATAAGGTGTGTCTGTATGCATGCCAACTGCTTAACGTGTCATTGTCAAACACAGGAGAGAGGCGGCACAGTATGTCAGAACGAAGCTCATGCCAGCGCGCATTCAATACAAGTACTAGGATCCTCTACGATGTCATTTCCGCCCAGACCCCAGAAGCGCGCATACGTCGATGTGCTAATGCAGAACCCTGCCTACGCAGCTCCAACATCAAAGTCAAATCGCTACAGTCATACAGTATCAGTGTCCGATGCTAAGTCGTGAGTCAAAGCATGTTGTCATTCTACAAGGCCTCGTCATATTGATGTCCCATTCTTGCATCCGAGCTTGGTTCTGCCACTCATGGCCCTCATCGCGAAGCACAGTGTCTGGTCATGCGGCCAGCCGGGAACACGAGTACTACTAGCTAGTACCCAAACCCCATCGTCACGACATCACTCCACTATTCAGTTTGGTTTCGGATCGTCCGACCTTCACATGTGCATCTGATAGGGCTTGTCTCCCGCACGGTGATCCAGCTGCCCGAATCGTCGTGCTATAGGTGAGTTCTCAGCCTCCCGGTCTCGCTCTCGCCGGGCTTCGTGAAGCGAACGGATTACGTGCTGAATCAGTGTGTGGTACGTGACCTCCGACTCATCGGGCATCGCGGTATAGGTAAATCACTCGTCCAAGTCTGCATAGCTTTCGTCAGGTCTCATTGAGCGTAGTTCTCAGACATGCTTTCTCCGAGACCTCGGCCTTCAAAGGTCCATAGGCCGGGAGCGCATGGATTTGATCCGAGTCGGTCGATTGTGCCGCTGCACATACAGCAGGTACCATGTATACGTACGCCAGGGTAAGCCTCCGATTGGCACGGTTTCATCGCTCACAGCAGGTTTACCATACCGCAAGCCGCGTCGGCTGAGAGCCTGTCAGCACCATGACCTTCCTCCCCACGACGGAGAAGAATTCGAGACCCTGGCCTTCATTGTTGGCGATGCAGGAGAACGAGGCGGGCATAGCTCGGTGTAGGTGCTGGCAATATGATAATGAGCTCCCCGTTGCATCGAGAAGCATCGCGGATGCTCTAGCGCTCGGCGCTATCTCACTTCCTACGAAAAGAGCTGCCTCACTGGTGCAGACGCACCAAAGGTCCATCTGGTCTGACAGCCCGTTGTGACTGGTTCGTGCCGCGCTCGTTGTCTGTGCGTGATGTGACATTGCGCCATCACTCATCGACTTGTCTGTTTAGCTCTTCTCTGCCCTCGCTGCGCGTAATGCTCAGCCCGGCTCGCAAGCAGGTTGCACACTGACTCAATGCACATTACGGAACCGTCGTATACAGTGGTCAGTCTCTTGAATCGTCTATGTATGCGCGTTGCTCAAGGATCCCTTCGCAGTCTTTCCGAGAATGAGCTCTGTCGGCTCGTAAGAGGCTCGGCTCCTACAATTGCCTCGTGTGATTCTGAAGAGCCGGTGAACACGGAGAAAGGCTGGCACGAGTTGATTATATCGCGTTCGCAGGCCCTCAGGTCGCACCGGTGCCTGCGGGACATGATTTGGGCGACTCACTCCTCGTGTGACCGCTGGACGGCATGTCAACTTTCGGTTCGCAGAACGTCAACACTACTGACTAGAACATATTTCCACCGCTCATTCAACGATGCGGAATGCTCGTGGGTCCGAAGAGGCCCTAACTTCAACGTGACAATGCATTCTAGATGAATCAGAGACGGAGAAGTATAGGAAGTATAGGGTCTATGACTGCGATCTCCTTCCCTCCGTCCACACGGCGTCTTTAGATGTCAATCTTGACTTCGGTACTTAACCATCGGTGGCCCGGGTCAGGCCAACTGTACGCGTACATTCGGCGAATGCATATCTCGTCGCCGGAGCAAGCGTAAAGAAGGGGTACTACGTCGTGAGTAATTCAGTCCCAAGCCTGAGTCATGCGGTGCACCTGCGGTCGCGTAGCGATGTTAACGCTCCAGCGCTGAGGCTGCTCAAACCCATACGAAAAGAGCCTCCCCGCCGGTGAGCATACACAACGCCCCCGAAATCCTCGTCACATTTGATGTTTGCTGACGTTGATTTTTTTTTCCAGATTGCTCAGCCTTCATGCTCTCTTGGAGTCTAGTGAGTAGTTTAATACTGGATCTAAACTAACGCTTCCAAGTCGTTCTGTGATGCGGCCTATATACTATGGCTTAGGGTAGCTTCGGAGCAAGCCTGTCTCCGGGTCGGCCACCTTCGCGGAGCACTAATTACCATGATGATCCTCTCTCAAACTGAGATCTGCGAAAGATGTTGCGTACAGTGGCTCCGAATCGCATCTGCGGATCGCCGTAACCGCGCCGAATCACACACTTAATGGTGTTACTCAAAACTTCAACTTGAAGCGGATAGCCACGCACTGTGGAGACGCCACTCGATGTGGCCACCTAGGTTTGTGTTTTTCAATTTGAATTAGTTCACAGTAAGATGTGCTACCTCTGAGTTTCTTATGGCATGCGCTAGTCCACAACACTGAGGCAAGACCAGTTTCGTTCGAGGCGGCGGGGCGTTGTGGCGCGCATATTACTCGATTTGGATGGGCTCTCGTGCGCTCACTGTGAGTGATTACATACAAAGTATACCGTGGGCTTTAGGAGCAATCAACCAATATTGTACTTACCCTGTGAAGCCCGGTGGTAAGCTGCCAGTGTAGAATTAAGCTACGAAGGGCAGTCAAAGTTCAGTCAGTCATTGGGCCCGATGATTACGGTACGTCTTCCACGCTTGGCCATGGGGTCTCGGAAGGCCATTTTCGCGGCACTAGGAGGCCATGAGACTGTTGATATTGCCGCTACTCAGTCACTAGGTACTTAGTGCCATAGTGGAGGTGAATATGATGTGTGACTCCTAAACGGGTCAAACGTCACGGATGCATGATCGTGACGTTCTGTCACGGACGCGCTTGTGGCGGAATAGTGTGGCTTGGTCGTGGCGCACCACTGCCGACTCGATTTCACCCCAGATACATCCCAAATCCACGGACCGCTGGCAGAATCGTCAATTTCAAAAGGAAACAAAGGGCAAGAGGACTGTTAAAACCAGTGGCCTAGTGCATCTGCAGTATTGAGCGAAGATGCAGCCGTCGTCCCTACGTGGCTAGCGATAGCTTCGCCCCGCGTGCGACATCGGCGACATCAATCCAGATATGGCCTCGTATGACCACTTCAAACACTTTGCTTTACTAGCGATGAAGTATCGTTTGTCCCCCACTGCTTTTACGACCCAGCTCACCGATGTTTCACTACAGGGATCCTCGCGTAGCGTCATCCGTGTCCTAGCTCGAGTTGGTCCAGAATGGCTCGCTGGAGTGATGCATATCCCGCAGTGAAGAGTTATCGCGCAGATGTTGAGCGATAAGAACGCCAAGGTCGATCAGCCTCACCATTATCTCCCAACGAAGCCCCGTGTCGCAGAAAACAAGGCTGTTGCGACGCTCGGAGAACGCATGATGATGAAGGACACCGCCCACAGCGTGGTGCGTGCTTCTATCAAGGCTTTGATTATCGATAAGACAGCGGGAACACACAGCTGCCCCAATCGAGCACAAGGCTGAGCTCGAAAGGGCGGACAATAGGTGCGGCTGACTGTTTGTCAGGACCAAACATGGACCCACACGGAGGCGTATAAGGACCCGAGGTGAACGCCACTTCGTCCCCATTCCCTCTTGCCCTCCGACCACCATGTCGGACGCGCCTCCAGTCTTCCACCACCCGCCACTCGGCCATCGCACGTAGTCGCATCCCGTGGATGGGGGATGGTCCGAGTCTACACCAAATGCAATGCGCCACACCCTGAATTTGGGGCCGGGTCCAGAGCACCGACAGCCTAGGTACGTTCACGTATCGACGCGCAAGGCATATACTAACGTATTTTCACCCTCCTGGCCTTCTCTCATTTGCAATTTGCACGACGCCACATCTTCGTGCGACCACTTCTCAGACGAGCAAAAGCGTCTGTTGGTGCGTGGCCTTCCTAGATGTCGACAACAAAGTAAGTGAATGTTGAATCCTGTCATGTAACTACGACTGACCGCGGTGATACATAGTGTGCATCAAGACGGCGAGTGCCGCTGCGTGTGTCAAGACCTTCGATCAATATGTGTGCCTCAAGACTATGCATTACGACCAACCTATGCGAAAACAAATCCCTCACGGGTTCAACGAATTATGCCAGACGACGGCTCAAAGTCCCGTAAGGGCACACCCGTACGTTGCACAATTGGTGATGGGACCGTCCAGTCTACCGTCGTCCGCATGATAGCGGCGACGTAGGCCCGGCTACTCGAGTCGTCGGTAGCCGGAAGCAGCTGTACTGCAGACGTGCACCAAGGGTCAGGAGTGTCGCGAATACGCGCCTCCGCAGGGACACGGTGCACGGACTCTGTACGGGGACCGTTCCGCCGTTGACTGGTCCGAGACCCGACGCGTCGTCGGTAGACCACGAGGCTAGCCAGTTGTGGCGTGCGGGTGGGACGACGTGGCTAATGTGAGTGTCCACTGCCACCGCAGTTCCAGGCTTTGGCTGACCTTCATTGCAGGCCACGTCCCGACGTCGAGGATCCACACGATCTGCGGCGAGCGCATTCAAACCCTCTACCGCCCATCGGGCACAAACAACCCTGGTACGTCGTACTTGCGCGAACGGGTCCAGCCTCCGGTCTGAGGTGGTTCATGCTCTGGCATGGGCTTCCGGAGGCACCGTACCGACGACGCCGTGCATCAGCGGAGACGGGGCATTGCGCTCACTGTCGACGAGATTATGCCGGGTCACTATGTCGAACATGTACGGGGACGTCCTCGCCGCCGGTGCACGCCCGCTTCGTCGGACTACCGTTGCTGGCTAGCGCACGACCATACTGGGGGAGGGGCGTCGCTCGTCAAATGACATGAGCGGCGCTCCTGGCGAGGGTGCAATGTGAGTCTTCGTCACGGAGGAGCGGTAGACGATCGTTGACCTTGGTCTCGCAGGACCACCCGAGCGAAACATCCCGGAAATCCGGACCCAAATCCTCAATCGCCCCAATCGGGTGGAACTTGACATCCCTGGTACGTTGTTTGTGCGCGAAAGGGTCCAGCCTCTGGCGCGAGGTGGCCTGCCCATGTGGCGGGCTGCCGGAGGCACCGTACCGCCGACGTAGAGCACCGATGGCAGCACGGCAGATAGATTGCCTGCAGTCGGCTCGCCCGTCATCATGGTACGGGGACGTCCCTGCCGTCAGTGCACGCTCGCATCGTCGGGCTACTGCATCGTGCTAGCGCACCTACGTACCAGGAAGAGGGGCGTCGCTGCAAAAGACAGAAAAATTAAATGAGCGGCGCCCCTGGCAAGGGTGCAACGTAGGTGCTCATCACGATCATTGCAGAGCGTCTCTGACGTTTTCGTAGGAATGCCCGAGCCAAACCTCAAGCTGTAGATACATCTTGCATAAGCTAAACGTCTCACCGCTATTCCTCTCCGACACTCGTGCCTCAAACGGGCTATCACTCGAGCTCGCCGACGATGCGAGCGATCCGCCGTCGGAGGTTCCGGGTGCTCTTGGGCGTCCGGCGGCACGGGGGTTTTTAGTGGGTATTGCAAGCGGACCAGAGCACCACCAACAACGCATTGGTGCGATGACGGTCTCGAGTCCTACACTGTTCTCTCTTACGAGAGTTCGTGCGTAAATGCATTTTCCCCCGGGAGGAAACGAGCCTCGTCTCGTTGTAGTCCGCAGTCGGGCCCTCCACTCAAAAAAAAAAAAAAGAGCGCTAACGCGGGAGGTTCTCGACGGCGCGACAGGTGAGTTACCTTCTTCGTGTTACTGAGGACGAATGTTCATCATCCTATCCCGCTGATTGTAGACGGATCCAAGGACTTTTGAGCATCGGCTGCCGTGCGCCGGACTTCGTTCTTTCGTTCACGTGTCGCTTCAATGCTGACGTTCCTTTTTATAGATAGCAGCGTCTGTTCCGCCGCAAACCTGTCACCCTGTCCCGTTGCTGGCCTGTTGTGCGGAGTACGTTGCTAGAGAGTCCCTCTTGGTCCCGGTTGGTATTGAATCGATGACTCTCAATCGTCTCGGATAATGTGTGACAACTTCTGAGGCGAAGCCACATCGCCGATTGCTCCCGAATGCCCGGCGCTGAATCCCACCCGGTACGATCTCGAGCGCACTGCCGCTATCTTTCTGGGCCATCAAGTCACATTGCGTCGCCTCGAACAGCGTTTGTCGCCTACAGACCCCATTCTCCAGCTCATGAAGGGTAGGTGACTGCCGAGACCCCGCGTCCTGTCAGGATCGCGCACACAAACATACTGAAACGAAACGCACAGTGGCAGTCAGACGGGTAAGGCGGCGAGTCTGCCCAGTTCGTGTACGTGTAAGTGACGGTGTACGACTTGCCGTTGGCGTCGACCTGCGTCTCCGTCGTGGTCGCGAGTGGGTAGCTCACCAGCACGTCCGTGAATGTGGTCGTCTCGAAGGGCCCGGTCGTCGTGGGCGCGATGATGGAGAGCGTCTGGGTGAACGTCTCGGTGTAGACGACGGGACACGCGGGGTCCGTGGTGGTAGCCTGCGAGGTGTTAGCGGGGAGGGGTTGGCTGGGGATGGCGACTTACTCGAGGCTGGACAGCCTTCGGCACTGCGGAAACACCGAACACGGCGAGGCCAGTGAGCGCGGTTAGCTTGAGCACGAACATGTTGGAATCGAGCGCTGAATACGCTGCAACAAGCTTAGCGGAGCCATCCCCCACATTTGTACCTTCAATACGAGGTTCTTAGCGCCCCGGTATGTCCAGTCAGGCATGCGGGAAGGATGTCAGAGCTACTGAGACGGACTGGCAGCGGAGGCTACCTACTCCCGCTCTGACGGCACTGGGATGGGAGGCACAGTCCCGAAGTGGTCAACGGTCGCAGCGGGAGGCTGCCCGACTGTATGCTCTCTGCCTCAGATCAGAACACACTTGCATGCGTACCTCGGCGGATCCTCGTTCCTAGCGCGTCAAAGCCCCGGGATTTGCACAGCGCCAGCGCGTTCCTGATCATATCACAAGAGATGCGGGTTCGCGGGTGTCACTCTGTGTCACTGGGGGTCACTGCACTCCCAGGGACGACGACAAACCAGCCGGGCTGCCGTAAGTATACCAGTACTCGCCGACTGTGGACAAGTAGTTCGGCATGAGGACGTACTGACACAGTGACAGCACTGGACGTGCATACGCGCCTCCAGTGTACATCAATGACACATAGCTGATCATGAGCGGCGCGGGGAGGCGAGGCTTGTTGGACGCGCCTATATGCTTGAACATCACTCAGCAATCCCGACTCCGATCCCTCCGCGTCAGATCCGCATGTCACCATTATTCACCGGCGGTTCCGTCTGTATGACGGAGGTTAGTATGGAGATGCCATTGCCCAACGGAAATCGAACGTGGGTTGGATCATGTCAGATCGGCGGTGCCTGGGATCCAGGACTTCGTCGTACAAATGCTTCAAAGCCGGTAACTTAGACCAGGAACGCGATAAGTAGTCGCTCAAGCGCAGGTGAGTGTTCGTTGTCGCAACCCTTGAACATCGGTGTGACGCGAGCGACTCGTCTGCGAACAGCCTCTCAGCACTAGCATCTCAACGTCGACGTCGCATGTACTGGCATGTATGTACGCATCGGGGAATACGTCCTCCGAAGCCCAGCGATCGCGAGGTGTGAGGACTTTGAGCCCGCGTCCGCCATCCCGAGCTGGAAGGAACGTGTCAGTTTATACGGTAACGCAGCCGGCCATGTGTGCCACTGGCAGAGCGCTCCGACGTGAAACGGACGGACGACCGAGATATGATCACCCTCTCGGGATCGCGTGGTGCCAGGTGTCAGCAACTCGTGCTATGATGCAAGTCATGCAGGCCTCAAGTCAATATTGTTCGAATTCGGAGACTCGGCTTGGAATGAGAGCAAGTAACCATGCCTATGGTCCTGGATGGGGCTCACATCGAGGCTGGTGGCGTGGGTATGCTTGCACCTGTTTGACAAAGCCATCCAGACACTTACCATACAGAGAAATCCTACAGAACGCCATGCCCAGGCGCCCGCCCACACATGAGAGTCCAGCTTCCCCACTGGCATGTACCCTCAACACCTACTCTGCGCTGCAACATGCAGCTGGTAACTTGCTTCCGGCAGACCACGAACGCACCCCATCGTCCAACTCGTTCCACACATCAACCAATCAACCAACCAACCAAAAGTCAAAAATATCTTAGACTATGCTACAACACAGACGATGCGAGTTCTAACATGCATGAGTGCGTGGTATACAGTTCCTGCCACAATTTCTCTCCAAATCCAGAGACATAAAACAGAGGTAATCACAGACCCAGTACACGTGCTTTATGGACAGACGCTCGAAGCGCCGCGGATGCAACGTAACGATCGTGTCCCCTGGGGCGTTCATTCTCCCAATATGCTACACACCGTCAGCATCCGCAGGAACGATACCGAGTCAAATCATACTCACCCAACGACGCCCATCGCCACACACCCCAACAACAAGCTCACCAGCGCGAGCGTCTGGCGCGCGATGCTGCTCCTCCACAGGTGCGGGTCGAGCACGAAGTCGCCCGCAAGCATCTCCACGCATGCCGCGTAGATCAGCATCCCGGCCGACAGAGCGGACATCAGTCCACGAATGAGCGTCAGTTTCGCTGCGCAAAAACGTCAGCCTGAGCCTCGGGGAGAGAGGGGAGGATAAAAGGAAGGAGAGACGTCGAACTCACCGCCCTCGCTGCGGCCAGGTTCAAACACCGCGAGCCCAATGCCGATGCCGATAGGAGTCGTGACGGCGAAGGAAAGCGCGAGGATGGGCTTGAGCAAACTAAAGCCAGCGACATCTGCGGGTAGTAAGTAGTGAGACAGGTGTTGGGCAAGATTGGACGTCTGAAACGCACCTCGGGCGGCTGCAGCGGGGAGCGTCGCTATGCGAATCCCGAGCGACAGACCTTCGAAGAGCTGGTGGAAGATGATCGCCGTGACGAGCGATGCTACAGTACGAGTTAGCGCTTGCAACACATGACCAAATCCGTGGAGGCTTACTGAACTCTCCGCCGGAGGTGATGGCGAGCGTCAGGCCGATGACGAGGGAATGCAACATAATCCCGATCTCCAGCATCTGGGAGCCAACCAGAGTTCAGTACTGCCATTGTGTACAGGACAGAGCAGCGCCGACGCACCAAGATCCCAATGACCTGCCTCCGCATCCCCACCTTCGCATCCGGCCCATCCAGATCGCTCTCTTCCCCACTCCCACGCTCCGGGGACCACCTTTCCATGTCCATATGCACATGCCCGTGGCTATGCACATGGCGATGACCATGGTCATGGCCGTTCTGCGCATGCGGATGACCGTTGCCATGTACATGCTCAGGCCGCCCTGCCCCATTGTCGTGCGCCTTCCTCCCCGCACTCCCACTCCTAACCTCCTCATTATGCTCCTCCTCCCGGCCTTTACCCAGCCCAAACCAACCCTGCCAGGCTTTCGTGCTACCATGGTGCTCAGCATGCGAGCCCCGCTCTTCGTGTCGGTGGTGCCCGCCGGCAAAGATACTTTGGCTCGCCTCTGCAATGGTGCTCTGCCGCTTCCCGCCGTTCTTGCCCCGCGGAAAGGTGTGTGCGTACATCGAGGGCCGCGCGGCAGGGTGGGCTGCGGTGCCGTAGGCCGGGGCACTGTGGTCGCTAAGGGGCGTGGATTCATCGACGCTGAAGGGAACGCTTACGTCGGCCGACGACTCGGGCGGTGCGAGCGGGAGCGGCGCGTCAGCAACGTGTCCTTCAGTGACCGACGCTTCGGAGGAGAGGAGAACCGGTGATCTCGGCCGGCGCGGGGTGGGCGAGGACGTGGAAGGGGTATCGCATGGCGTGGGGGGTTCAGACGCGTATGACTGTAAGCGATCGACATAAGACGTCGAGATATCTAGGGTATCATTAACTCTGTGACGTGGGCGAGGAAGACGACGGCTTACATTCCACGAGGAAAATCAGGAGTAATGAGCCTAGGCTGTGCACGATTAGCCTCCGAGTTGCACCACATACGGCCTTCGGAGCACTTACACAATCATGCCCACCCATTTTGACACTGCCCATCTCTGGGTGACTGCGGGGCTGAGCAGCGCTTCATAGGCATCCTGCAGGAGGTGTCCAAAAGCAGTCGAGATGATGATGCCCGTCCCGAAGTGCTTTCCGATGAAAAACACGATGCCCGGGACGCGTACGCCGGGCAGTCTCTGGGAGAGGCTAGGGAAGGAAGATGCTATGGCAGAGGTCATTCAATACATAGGTCATTCAATACATAGGCAGACGCGGAACACGCACCAAATAAAGAGACCACGAAGATCCCGAGCATGAGCCATATCCGCGTCTCCACCCACGATGTCATTTCATCACTGGAGTCGTCCAGAGTCTTTCTATACAGCGTAAGTGGCATCTTCTCTAGCTGTCGCAGAGACGGCTGTGCTGCCAGCGCCGAGTCGTTTGCCATAAGTACTGGGAGCAGCATGCTAGAGTTGAAGTCGCGGTCGTCAGATAGTGGGAGAAGTACGAGGAAAAGAGGCCCACCTGCTGCAGATTATAATTGGTGGACAAGCGAGGGAAGATGACGGGCGACGCACAGCAAAGGTGAAGAACGGAGGAAAACAGCAGTCAAGTTGCTATGATGGTCGGAGCGGACACTGGGTGGTGTGGAGGCTGGGGCAGTCGCGAGTACCGCGCCGGTCGCCGCAGACGCTAGCCAATCCCCGCGCCCCATTCTGTAAGCGTCACCGCGACAGGCGCTCGCTCGCCGTCCTGCAGTCGATCGTCGAGGAGGAACTCTGCTGCAGGACGGGTTTGCCACGAAGGTGGAGGTCCGGGGTCAAGAAGGGAACGATCCTCGAGAGGGGAGGCGACGCCTTTTATACGCGAGCGGCAAGCAGGACACCTTTTGAGCTACGGCAGAAGCCGTGGACATGGTCGAGACGGTCATTGCCTGGTTTGGAAAGGAGGATACCTGACTGGGAAGTCGCGACTGGACCAGTGCGCACCAAGTCTGTCGCGCATCGACGCTGTCCGACGCTGACGCACCATCAAGACGAGCGACGCCGCCCTTTTATGCACAATGGACGACGGGTGCACACTGCTTTAAAGCTGAAAGTGATACAGCGTCTTGTAACCGGTGTAATATTTGGTCCGAATCAAGTCGGAATTCACTGGGATGTAACGTCGCCGGCTTACTTGTGTCTACACACTACTGCGTGTCCCGTCTAATACCCGAGACCAGACGCTCTCGCGGACACAACGACCGGGCCCTTCGAGACGACCATGTTCACGGACGTCCTGGTGAGCTACCTCTAGCGACCACGACGCCAACGGCAAATCGTACACCGTCACTTACACGTACACGAACTGGGAGGACTAGCCGCCCTACCTGTCTGACCGTCACTGTGCGTTTCGTTTCAGTAGGATGCTTGTGTGAGCGATAACGGACATGACGCGTGGTCTCGGCAGTCACCTACCCTGCATGAGCTGGGGAATGGGGTCTGTAGGCGACAAACGCTGTTCAAGGCGACGTATGTAAGTACAAGGCATTTGCTCGCCAATCCAGGATCAGTACTTACCGTCAGCCATTCATCATGTGCATGAAGTACCCTCCACCGCGTTGCTCGTCAAGACGGCGCGTCGACTAGCTGAGTCGGACAGCGTCGGACAGCGTCGGTCGAGAATGTGCGCCGGACTTGGGGGCTCCACTGTCGCGACTTCCCAGTCGGGCATCCTTTCCAAACCGGGCGATGACGGTCTCGGCCTTCCCCCTCACGTTGACAGCTTCTGCCGTAGCTCAGCGCTCAGCAGGTGTCCAGCTTGCGCCGCCCGCGTATAAAAGGCGTCGTCTCCCCTCTCGAGGATCGTTCCCTTCTTGACCCCGGACCTCCACCTTCGTGGCAAACCCGTCCTGCAGCAGAGTTCCTCCTCGACGATCGACTGCAGGACGGCGAGCGAGCGCCTGTCGCCGTGACGGGAACCGACCTCGGGCGGCGACGCGCATCCTCGCGGCAGATCGGCGCGATCAGGCACAGATCCCCCCTCCTCCCGCCACTCAACACACGGACCATGTTGATCGCCTACTTAGTGAGGAGGGCCAAGTACCTCAAACGCGTCTAAGGCCTGCAGTCAGTGTCTCCGAGGCTTTCTCCTCGCAAGGCGCCCAGTCGTTCCACTGAAGCTGCTGCCGCGTCCCAGAGGCGGAAGGCGGCTGCGCCAGACAGAGGCCGCTAGGCATGGTGGCGCGTCTTCCTTAAGGGGCAAGTCCGGTGGTTCTGTTTCCCACTCTCGCCCGAGAGCCTGGATGCCGGACGGGAGAATCGATGACGCCTCAATGCGGCACCTTCGATTGCCCAGCTTGAGAGAGGATTACGAGGCCTGCCCGTGCCGTGTATATAGGTCGCGTGCGAGAACGCAAGGCTTGTGGACCTTCGTACTTTAGTGTCAGACACGAAATTGCTACTACTCACTGGACATGGGGCTCTTCACTGAAGCGTATTACGTGTCCGTAATGGCCTGGAGGAGTTTCTTCCCGAACGGAAAGTTCAAGGCAGAGCATGTACCTGATCTCGCCGGGCGTGTTATAATTGTGACTGGTGCGTCCTTGTCTATTGGGTCGTTCTTGCGTCTTGACCACAGGGGACTGAGTTGTGTGGTGCAGGAGGAAATGTCGGGATAGGAAGAGAGACGATCAAGGTAATCGTGACTCGGCAAACCCGCTTGAGAATACCGAGGCTCAGCGCATTACCGTCATAACAGGTTCTACTCCAACGCAATGCAAGGGTCTATATGGCGTCGCGGAACAGGGACAAAGCCGAGGCGGCCATCAAGCGCCTCAAAGACGAGACCGGAAAGGACGCCATTTTCCTCGAGCTGGACCTGGGCAGCCTGGCGTCAGTCCGGAAGGCAGCGAGCGAGTTCTTGAGGTATGGCAGCCCACACACATGGCCGGGGCGGGCTTGTTGCTCACGCACATATGCTTCAGCAAGGAACCGGAGTTGCATGTCTTGTTCAACAATGCGTGCGTATTCCCCCCGTACTCTATGCCTCTGCCTCACAGGGATGATTGTCAGCGGAGTGATGGGTCCGCCTATCGACGAACTCACCGCGGAAGGCTTCGACCTCCAGTTTGGCACCAACGTTATCGGTCCGTGTTCTCTCCTCTCATCTGCCACATGCTCACATCCCCTCTCAGGTCACTTCCTCTTTACGGAGCTGCTCATGCCCGCGCTCCTCGCCGGTGCGCAGAGCTCGCCTGACCACCACGCACGCGTCATCACGACCTCCTCCTCCGGCGCGATGCTCGGCGGGATTGACCTCGACTCCGTCCGCGACGGTCCAGCCCGGCGCAGATATTCGAAGGAGTCACTGTATGGGCAGAGCAAGCTGGTGAGCTTTCACTTTCAGTGTCAGGGTAAGCGGGAATGTGGGCTGAGACACGCGGGGCGGTAGGGAAACGTGATCGTGGCGCGCGAGGTGGCGAAGCGGTATGGCGGGAAGGGGATCGTGTCGATCTCTCTGGACCCAGGTGCGCAACGTCCGTCGACCGACCCTGTCTCGCGGGCAGGGCTCGAGATCGTGCTGACTCTCGCTGCAGGGAACATCGAGACCGATCTCCAGCGGTACTACATCGGCTTGCCCGGTCTCGCGGGTGCTCTGACAAAGGTCATCGTACGTCCCCTCCTCCGTGTCCCTCAGTGACTCGTCTCTGACCGTGAGCGATGGTGACGAAACACTACGGATGGAACACGAATGCAACACACACACAACGAACTCCTGGTGCGACATACGGCCACGCACTGACAGGTCAAATTGATGCTCCACCCTGCGCCCTTCGGCGCGCTCACGCAGCTCTGGGCGGGCACGACGCCCGAGGCGATCGATCACAACGGCAAGGTGCGTCCGTGTGTCCGTATGTGCGCGCACTATGCTGACTGGCGCATGCACAGTACGCGGTGCCGACGGCACGGATCGCCCCCTGCAGGGCGGAGGCATACGACGACGAGTTGGGCCAGAAGGTGTGGTCTTTCTTGGAGGAGACTGTCAAGGAGGCGTAGGAGAGCCAGAAATTGTTATACCCGACCTAATCGACTGAGATTAGACGTGTCAGGCACGTTCAGACTCAGTCAATGTTCTGCTGATGCGCTCTGCATCGAGGCGTCCACAAATGTTTCATGGTTTCGCATACCCCGCATCGGCGATGCTTCTCCACACTCATACACGATCCTCGCCTCAGTTTTTTGTAAAGCAGCTGCACCATGCATAATGTGGCAGACGGTCCCACAACCATCATCTCGATCGGTTTGAAAAGTCTACGATGCCAGCAACGAGTTCTTGAACAATCCGCCCGCCGCGTGGAATGTCGTGGTACGCTTGAGTTTTCCTCTACTTAGCCGACGAGCGCTATATCTGAAGATCTGAAGACCTGCAAACCGGGAGTTGTGCATCAGTGGATAGTTACCCCGTGGTGATGATGCTGTTGTCCGAGTCTACTATACATCGCACATGTACATACTTATACTGTACTGCAGCGCTAAGTTACCAGCAATATGCAAGTACGTAATGGTACAGTTTAGGTACTATGTAGAGCTGTCGCGCATCACGTGTACACGTATAGGCACAGCGCGAGAGTATGGAGCTCGCGGCTTGCTCGCGGCCACCATTCCAAGGCTCTGTCCCAACCCTCTCTTGCGGTATATCTCGGCTCGGGGACTAGCCTCTGATTTCTGCTGGCAGCTACGTCCGTTTGTTCTCATCGACCAGGGCACTCGGAATCGGATCGCCACGCCTTCGGTGAAGTCTCTCCAGCGGTCATCTCAGCGCGACAAACTCGCGTCTCTCAATGTCCAACCCAAAGAGCCAACACTATTGGAGACAGCTGCGAGAGACCCTGACAGCAGGAAGATGGGGCGATGCATCTCCCGCGAAGACACCAAGCGGTGGTCCGCTGTCATGGCCTGAGCTCCTGCGCAAATTCAACAAACATTGTCCAGGACACTCGCACGCGGCAGAGCTCGCCTTGCAGACGCAGTCGTTGTCGCTCTTGCTGTCAGTGAAGGCGGTTGGTGCAGGCCTGGACGGCAACGAAGTGAGTGCTGCCAACCAGCTCGCTCTAGGCCAGGAATGCATGCTGCAGGAAGAAAGACTGGAGGAAGCTACGGCTGGGTACAATGCCCTGAAGAGCCTGGAGACTGCTAACTCTGATGTACGTCGCGTGTCTGCATCGTGTGTAGCGCCCACTCACGTATGTTCACTGAAGTCGATCAAGTTGGCGGTGGCGTACTACGCGTATGCTCTCAGAAGGCCCTCAGAGTGCCTTTCTGTTCTGGCGGAAGTGCAGAGTCTACTGGACGCGCACGACCGGGGACCCTCTACGAGAACGCGCAACTCCTCCCTCACCCTTCGGATACCTAATGGTGGGAATGACGGGTCTGTTTCCTCAGCGTGGACGGGAAGCAACATCTCAGCTGTCTCGCTCGCGTCCATTGCGGAGATCAGCGACGGTAGCACCTGGGCTGCCGCTGAGCGAATACGCAGCATCTGCTTACAAGGTAATCCCCTCGTCCTCCGCCTCACCTATGTTCTGACTGTCAGCAAGGCATGTCGCACGAATGCATCACGCCGGATGACCCGCAACAGGCCCTCGACACCTATTTGACTGCACTTTCCCTCGTCTCTGGTGCGATCGCCGACATCCCCCCTTACATGTCTGCCCAGCCCTCGTCGAACGGGTATGCGGGGACGACCTCTGAGGACACGACTTCGTTCGGGCGGTATCGTGAGCTCTGGCGGTGGGTCGAGCGGTTGCTCCGCCGTGCGATCATTCTCGCGTCGCGGTTGAGTGACGTGCACAAGCAGGGCGGCGATGCGTCAATCTGGACTCTCCTGGACAGGTACCACTCATGCAGTGCGCACTGGCCACCCACGTTCCGTCCTGCGCAGCGCTCGACCATCGCTGTCCTGCACCTCCGCGCGTTTGTCCTCCGTGCGCATGCGTCGCCCGCAGAAGCGGTCATCCCCACGTCCCGAGACGGCGCGGAGAAGCCGCACAGGTGGATCAGCGCTGCGCGCTCGGTGGTTCAGGAGTACCGTGCGATCCTGACTGCCAGCACGCAGTTCCCTAAGGCTGGCGAACGGAACGTCCAGGTCGAGGACCTAGTCGACCTCAGCGTCGCAGTGTGGGAGGCTGATGGAGCAGTGGGCGAGTACGCTGGCTGGGTAATCGATGTGTGTTCTTCCCTCTTCCCTGACACTGACACCGGAAACTAACTCCGTTGAGGCAGGTGTTATGGTGGGCGACCCGACTTACGTTCAACTCATACAAGGTGTACCGGCACATGTCGCGCCTACTGTACGTATCCGGCGATGCGGAGCTCGCGAAACGCACCCTCCGCTTGTACGTGCAGGTTGTCGGCAAGGCGCGCGAGACGCAAGGCGAAGCGGGTACAGTCCGCGGAGACGTCGACTCCGATACGGACCGGAACTGGGTGCAGGCCTGTGTGCAAGGTGCGAGGATGCTGTGCCGGCTGGCTTTAGCAGAGACAGACGGGCGGGCGGCACGGAGGGAGGCGAAGGAGGCGGGAACCCTGATTGACAGGGCAAAGGAGCGTCTGGATGCGAACGACAAGGAGCTCATGGGGAGTGTCCAGCTTGCGGAAGGCATTTGGCTGTCCGTCATGGCGCAAACAGGTATGCCGCCGCAGTTGCGCTCGTCAGCGTTCGGTAGCTCATCTTGTCTTGCGGACAGAACAGGATCCTCGAACGCGACAGACGCGCCTCTCGGATTCTCTGGCTCTGCTCGAAGCCGCAGCAGACACAGGTCCGACGCCTTCTGTTCACCATCACCTTGCCCTGGCCTACTCCCAACCAGGGCCGACGCTCGACTTGCAGAAAGCCATTTCGAGCGCGCGACTGGCCGTGGAAGGCGAGTCTAGCGAGATTAGGCACTGGCACCTACTCGGACTGCTGTTGACTGCCACTGGTGATTGGAGGGCCGCGCAAGGTGTCCTCGAGATAGGTGCCGGTGTTGGTGAGGTTGACTTAGCTGAGGATAGCTCTGGGACCGAGGACCGCACACAAGTCAATTCGGTGAATGGCGTGGTCGCGCACGATTACGCCGCGCAGGCTCCGAAAGTGAACGGAAACGGTAATGCAGATCCGAGCATGAATGGCGACACCCACGGGGACGCGGATGCAACTTCACGGCCACGGCTGACCTTACTGGATCGTGACGCTCAAAGCATACCTTCGTCAAGTACGCTGCTGCGTCCTTTCGGGGACAGACCCCCGGTATCTAGGCACGAAGCCTTCGAACATGCGTTACAACTGCGGATGTCTCAGCTAGCACTTGCTGAGTACGTCGAAGGGCCGGAGGGTGCAGGTGATCGATGGGTAGAGGTGTTTCATTGGTTCTCGGAAAGAAGGGACCTCGGAGTCGATGACAGTACGTTCCACTACAATCTCAGCTCCGTGGACGTTGACGATCCTCGTCATGTTCTTTAGGGCGGTTGTCGATCGACAGCAGAGCTGATGTCGAAAGTCGTTCTGCGGTGCCCTCCACTGAGAAGACTGCGGTAGCGCCCTCAAACGCTGGTCGCAGGTCTATGCATCTTCGAGCTTCCGTCGACTCGGAGAGGATCCCCATGCCAGACCCACCCATACCCATCACTGTCACCCCTGCCTCACCAGGCATTCCCCCGTCATCGACTGACGACCATAGTACCAACGAGGACTTCATCTACGAGAAGCGCTCGTCTTCGTTTGACGATCCTAACCGCGACATGTCAAGAGGCAAGAAGGTACGTGAGGCCGTCAAGCGGAACGTACACAAAGGGCAAGCGGGTATCACAAAGAACCTGAAGAAGATTGGGCACAATGTTGGCAAACATGGTGGTGCGCATCCGAAACGATCCAACTCCGCGCCTGGTGAGTACACTAATCGACTTTGATTGAGACTTTAGGTCTAACGGTCGCGAAAGATCTCCACGCTATGTTGGGCCATTCTCCGTACCAAGCGTCCTCTATACACCTCCGACAACACTATAGCATACATGCATCGCAACAAGATCTGTCAATAGCGGACTTGCCACCTCCGCCACCTCTACCTCCTCTTCCTCCATCTCAGTCTCCCGTCTCAACGCTCAGGAATCAGGGTGCTCGTGCTGCCCGAGACCGGCGATTGTTGAGCAACCTCTGGTTGATGTCCGCAGCAACCTTCCGCAGACTCGGTAAGATTGAGCAAGCGAAAGCGGCGATACAGGAAGCCGAAGTCAGGGATGAAAGTAATCCTGCTGTTTGGGTACAGGTGCGTGCCGTAGCTCCTTCTGTAGCCGACAAGTAATCATGTGCCATGTTAGCTTGGCTTGTACTTCATGGCCCTCAACAACCGACATCGCGCGATGAATGCCTTCCAGAAAGCGCTATTCATCGCACCCGACGACATATCCGCCACGATACACCTCTGTCGATTATACCTCACGCCATCATCTGCAAGCTCAACGTCGTCGCCAAAAGCTAGGCCAGAGCAACCGAGTCGGGACAATGTGGATCTCGCTGTTGGTCTCCTGTCTGATCTCACCCGAGGGCGGCGTGGGACGTACCCGAGGCTTGGTACTTCCTCGCGAAGCAATACGGGATGCAGGGTAGGAAAGACAGAGAGCGCGAGTGTCTTTGTTATGCCTTGACGCTCTCAGAATCGCGGGGCCTAAGGGGCCTTGGCGTTGCGATTGGTTGGTGCCTATGACGATTATTCTCTACCATACAACTACGCAGTCAAGTATACTAGATCTTCGTGCTACATCTAATTGGTAGATATCAAGCTCAGAGATAATGTCGGGAGTTGAGATCGACTACTAGCTGGTGCGCCCTCTGGCTCGGAGTGCTCTTGAGACTCAAACACGAATTGAAGAACACCTAGCTGAGATGTGACGTTTGGTGATCGTTTCCACAATGATGATGCATATTAAGTTGACACAGACATTCCGAACTGGTACGGAACCTGCTCTGGTCCAAGTTCACACTGCGTGATCCTCGACTCCGTAAGTGACTGTTACTCAAACAATGTCTTTGTCTCCGCACCCTCGCATCGGTATCGAGCAACAATACTAGTGGCAATCTACTGCCAACGCTACGACAGCTTTCCTAAGTGTGATTGAGGCACATCTAGAGGCATTCAATGACTTCTCGGTGCGGCGCCACCGCATCCTCAAACCCAGGCTGTTCGACACATGATACATCATCTATCACAAATCTAAGCTCTCGTGTCTCCTCGGAATACGAAGTAACAAAATCCGATTTGTTGACGCAAGTCAGACATGATAACAATAATCGCTGTGGCAACGGTATTGTGTTAGGCAGAGGGCCAAAACAACAACGTGTTGTATACAGGTCCAAGCAAGGTGGCGTTCAAAGACCTCATGTGTGGCCTTTCACGCCTTCTTTCCCACTACCGTCAAGCACACCCCCATCCTACAGATTTCCCCTGTCATCGACGAACCCCGAGATATGGCTTCACCCACGGATTCACCATATCCTACTACTCTGCGGTACCTAACGCTGGAGGGCAGCGCTATTCAGGTCGATCCTCTAACCGGCCCTAGTCTAAAGTTCGGTCAACACAATCGTTTCGTCAAACGGGCGTTACTCAACGCTAGTTTCATTGACGTCAAGAAACAGCATACCGTCGAGCAACTGTTCAACAGGATGATGCGCGAAATAGAGACCATCGGAATGGCAGCGAATTTCCTCTACTACGCACACGATGACTTCGAGAGACGACTTGGAAGGACGACCGTGGAAATGTTGCAGAATCAAAGGGACATGAGCGAAACAATGCGAGCTATAGAACCGATGATGGAACATCTTGCCCAGCAATTCGAGGGTCTCGAGTACGCCACTCCCGCACATTGCGTTCGCTCGATTTGTGCTGACCGACCATTGTCGCTACAGGCATAGAGTCCGAGCGGTTGAGAAGCAGCTAGCGCACCTGCGCAAGCCTGGCGTAGCCAAAGGTGTGCCAACCTCGTCGAAGCCTGCAGGCAAGACCGCGGGCCACGAACACGGGGCCGAGGTCACCACGGCCACGGCCACAGCCACCTCCTTGACGAGGGGAGAGAAACAAACGATACGGCGGTGCGGCGGGACTTCCTATGGAACCGACCATGCTAGAGAGAGGGTCTTCCCTGCGGTGGATGCAGAGATACGCACCGGTTTCCTGACCGAGATGCTTCAGGAAAGACATTCGCGTGAGGGAAGGCAACCTAGTAACTCCTCACGTGACGAAACCGAGGGAGAGGGAGAGGGTGTGAGCAGGAACGGAAGTGGGAAGGGGAAAGAGAAAGAGAAAGGTGAGGGTGAAGGGAAGACGAACAAAAAGTGGAAGAAAGGGCAGCAGAGCTACTGCCAGGCGAGACACGATTAGCCGAGGGGATCGTTCAGAGCATTCGTGTCTGTCAACGAGATCTCTGGACCCGCACCTTCGCGAATGATAGAATCTGCCAGGGCTTGGATTTCTTGGAGCACAACGAGGTGCTGTTCTCGAGGGGTTGGGACGTCGGAAGGGATAAGATAGTCGGCGACATGAAGCTCGCAAGTCGATCGATGGCTCACCTGACGTACGTACACCTGCCTATGCACGCTGTAAATCCTTACTCACAATGTGTTTTAGGCCACATCTAGTCAAGTGCGAAGCCGCCGCACACGAGGTGGAGGCGAAACTGCGTTCTGGAGGCCATGACGAAGTTGTGCCGCTGCTTCAAATTCAACTCGAGAAGCCGGTGGACGACATGACAGAACGGAGATGCGTGAGGTGCTGAAGTCTCTTCCCGTCACCATTGGCCTCGATTCGGCATTCCTGCAGGGGTATCATGGGCGAGACAATTGCGCTGACCCGGATGAGTACGACGAGGCCGCGGAGCACTACGACGATGTGGGAGAGGCGGAGGAAGACTATGACGATGTGGAAGAGGTGGAAGAAAGCGGAGAGGGAGATGAGGATCACGGGGAGGAAGAGGAGCCACTGCCACGGAAGGCAAGGGGAAGGCAAGGGAACCGCCTGCGAACGCTATGCCTCCGCCCATTGGTGTTCCCTACGCGCAGACTCGGACCGTTCGATTCGGAGAGACGTCGTTCAATGGCGGCGTAGGTCCGAGTTGGCCTGCGCCATCGCCCGCCAGGGCGGGGGCCGACATTGTTGCAGGACGGATTGGCGATACGGATGGGATGACTCCGCTTCAGCTCGGAGCCGCGGCAGGAAGTGCTTCCTCCAGCCAGACCACGCACCAGAGGCGAACAATTCCAGAGGACCCTCAGATCACGGTGCAGCCGCTATCCACCGCCGCTAGGAAACGCGCACGGTCTACAGAAGAGTCGGATTCCGCGAATGATGCGGACGTCCTGGAGACGTCCGCTCATGCCGATGGGCTTGCAAAGAAGAGGAAGCTGCAATGACGGTTATTGATATTCCAGTGTTTGTTGGGCTGAGGGTTAGTATTGGTCGACGAATCGAGTAGACTATGACCTGAAACCGTGATATATCACCATCTATAATTTCCTCGGCTCACAATGAATCGAATAAATGACGCATTTGGAATGTACCGGTCGTTCTGCATTGTGAGACGGACGTTCTTGTGTTCCACGCTGTCAGGTTCTGACAAGTCACCGCGGGTCAATGAAAGACCATCTATGCAGTAGAGAAGGGACGACTGTGCAAGGCTGTGTTCTGAGACTCCATCAACCTCGGAGGTCTGCAAGTCGATGGAATATTTAGCCCGGTCTATTGGAAACGCAGACATATGTTCAGTAAATTCGATCCAGAGAACTGGGCCGCGAGATACACGCACCAGGCAGGGCGTCCGCCGAACGCAGGGAATTAATCTCCAGAATATTTCAAAAATCTGACGTGCTTCCGAGCCTGACAATGATCCACGAGGCATCGCCACTGTTTCGGACTGCACGCCTTCATACCGTCGTATGTAGAAGCAGACGGAATCACGAATCAGCTTCGCATGGGAATGTGCCCACCGAACATCACCGGTCCCTGGCAGCACGGTGAATGGGTTTCGGAACCCTATCTTTCGGTGCTTCTGGTCTTCCCGACAACCATTGCCTCCGGCATTCCGAAATGAATTATGGAGATCCTCTTGTCCGTTGGGGATCTCTGCCGCCCACGGCATTCGGGTGCCGTCCTTGTGTAGCCCTGCAATATCATCATCAGATAAAGCATGAAAAAGGCGGAATAAAAATATAACTTCCATCGAGAAGCACGCCGGATGACCTGGACACCGCCTTACATTGTGCCTCGTATGGTAGTCATAGCACTAGACTACGGACAGTTCACCATCATGCCATGAAAATTTGGAGAACCGCGGGCGGGGACTTCTACGATGAGCCTGAGCAAGGGCGGCGTCGTTCGTTGTGGTCCGCGAACAAAGGCAGCAGCTCGCTTCAGGGACACGCGATGCACATTTCACAGGGGCCGAGTGACCTTCAGGTCAGCGAATCGCGCTGGGCAAGGGGAAGCAAGATTAGCATACGCGCATGAAACCCTATTGAAACGCACCGGTTGAGACTCGTTTAGCCACAGGGAGTATCTTCAGTGCGGGAGCGGACTGACGCGCGTCGACGGCTCTCTGCTTGCACTGGAATGAGTATCGTCTGTCGTGGCGAGAATTGAGCTTAAGCCATAATCGATTTGAAGTGCCGAAGCAACATCATACAAGGCGGTTGAGCAGCCAGATCATGTGCCTACGTACTCTCGAACTCCGTGACTGCCGAGCTACAACGCACAACCAAGCCACACGCCCCCTTCCTCCCGACGTCCCTGCCTAGGCCCGATCCTGCAAAATTCCGTTATAGCCACGAAGCACACACACGAGCTGACGACGCACCATTATCAGGCAACCTGCCTACTATCCCCTCTGCACGATCTCGAACCCATGGTACCTCCTCCACAGCACGTCCGCCACAAATGCGCTATACGTGCTCTGCTCCGTCCCGACGACCGCCCACGCCCGCCCCACGATCATCGCGTCCAGAAACGGGAGTACGAAGCCGCGCAGTCGCACGCCGTCCGCGCCGCTGACGAGCGCGTCGAGCGGCGCAGTCTGCGCGTGGAAGTCAGCGAGGAAGAACGTACACGGGAACGTGCGCGTGAAACGCGCGAGGAGCGGGTCGCCCCGCGGGAAGGCGATGTCGGTGGCAATGAACAGGGGGGTGTTGAGCAGAGTGAGGGCGGGCGAGGGGTGCGGCGTTCCTGGGCAGGCGAGCGAGACGTTGGTAGTGGGGCTGAGGGGAGGTAGAGGAGGGTGTGGGACGCGCAGGGCGGGGATGTCCAGGGGGATCCGTGGCGAGCTAGTGTCAGAGTAGTATCCCAAGAAGAGCCAGAGTCCAAACCATTCGCAGAACCAGAGCCCAGGCCAGAGTCCGCAGAGTCAGAGTCCCCACTAGCGAGCACCAGAGCTTCTCCAGCGCAGGGTGTCCTGGATGCTGAACCCCAGCGTGGTATGCACGAGCTTCCACCACGTCAGCCGCACGTTCTCCGCGCCGTTTCCCGGAAGAGGCCGTCGCCGAGGCGGACGTGCGCGCCGAGATACTGTCCGCCCAGAGCGGAGCGCACGTCCTCCGCGAGCGCGGCCAGGAGCGGGTTCGTCAGCGCCATCTTCTCGCGGACGCGCGCGCGGAGCTGGTAGCGCGCCGCGTCGCGTAGGTGCAGGCGCGAGGAGCCCATCAAAGTGCCGAGGAAGACGAGCCGTTCCGGGCGCAAGGCGAGCGTCGAGATCTGAACGGACTCGAGGTACTTGCGTGAGAGGGCGATGGCGCTGGAGCTGGGGCTTGGGCTGAAGTCGAGGAAGCTGTAGTGGTTCCGGGCGGTGTCCTTGAGGAGAAATGTATCGTTGCGTGAGATGTTCAACCGCTCCTCGAGCCAAGTATCAGTGAGGTTCCAGCAAGGCAAGAGGCGCTGCTCCTGCTTGATCTCAGACAGGTCGACGAGCCACTCCCAGGGCACGTATGTAAAGTCGTAGTAGTCCATGCACTCCGGCGGGATTTCCTGGCTCCCGTCCAGACGGAGCTCCTTGCAGTGCTCAAGACCTGCCTTCGTGGAGTTCGCGAGGACGTCGCGCAGCTGGTCAAAAGGGAGGTAGTACACTGGCTTCGTGCCGAGACGACAGGGGGGACAAGCAGAGTACGATTGAGCAGACGGGACAGCACAAGAGCATTTTCGAACGCGATACGCTGGTTATGGAAGCCACTATGGGGTAGATACGCGAGATACTTGTCCGCAGAGCTCGACGAAAGCACAGACGAAAGCGAAGACGACAGCGAGTCCGAATCCGAGTCCAAGCCAAGATCAAAATGGACGGCTTGCGTAGGCGGAGGCACATGCGGAAGCGCGTCAGATGCGTTGCCTAGAGCGGAGAGGGTCGCGAGGTCCCACCTAGTGGTGAACAGGTAGTAGGCCGCACCGAAGCAAGAGACCGTCGCCGAGACCAGGAAGATGACCAGCACGGCCATCTGTCTCTGGTACGCGGAGCGGGAGTTGTCCGACCCCCGCGACTGCAATTGGAGTGGCTGTATGCGCGTCTTGGACATGGTGCGTATGCGCGGCGCGCGAAGCCTGTAGGCACCCTTCTCGAGCGAGACCGACGGTGACGATTGAGCAAGGCGTGCACTGGTATTGCTATATGACATCGCTGTAGAGTACGAGATAAATAGGACTGTCGGTCGCGTAACATCCGGGCCCAAAACGTTCGCCCACTCACCGCGGCTCGTTAATAATATAGTGAAGCGGTCAGCTGACTCGGAGGCTTGAGGTTGTTCCCCCGCAACGATAGAGCAACACAGTCTCTCACAGGATATGAAGACGATGTTGAAGAAGAAAAAGAGCCGGCAGAGGGCCGTCAGTCTGAGTGGGTACGCAGCCGTGGTGGTCAGTCTGAGAATGCACCGGCGGTCGCTCGGTGGGGCCTGGAATCAACGAAGTCACATGACTCACTGGCCAGCGCGTCGCGACGCGTCCTTCCCGCGAGCTTCGAAGCCCGTCTGATGTCTCGTCCGGTGTGCAAGTCTATATGTATATGAGACGGAAATCTACTCCTCGTCAGAAGCAAGAATATAAGTCATAGTCCATGAAAGATGGAGCAACGGCGCGCCCGGTATCGACAACAACTAAAACGAACAAGTATTCTACCATGTACGCGTGCAGAGCAAACCCCCTCTAGATCTCATTCTATGATGTGGTCTAGGTGCTTACCACCACCGAATCTCCGTCCACACAAGCGGCAGGAACACCACGCACGCCGTCCAGAACTGTTCGAAACGCAGGTGGGTCAGCCACCAGTCAAGAAATACCGAGCAGACGGCTACTCACCACGCGGATGCACTTGACGAATAACATGGGGTACTCCTCGAAGCCCGGCTTGACGTAGACCGCCTTCTCGTCGACGACGATCCGCCGCGGGTGGGTGAACATCGCCCAGATGGCGTACAGAGCGACGGCGAAAAGTGACGCGCGAGCATGAGCGTCGATTGCTCGATGCTAGAAACGTGCCGTCAGTATACAACTGTGAGATGCGCGGGCGGGAACGTACCCGGCAAGGAGAGATACGGGGTCGCGGACGCAGTCACCGCCAAGCTCGAAGTACTTGAAGCAGCCCATCCGCAGAACCTCGAGGGCCTCGTCTACATAACGTCTCAGATCACCGCGTAACTCCAACACAAGGACACGCACCATCGGCTCCAAAAAGGTCATACAATGCTACACTGAGAATGTTGATAGTCGACGCGAACTGTTTCCGCCGCCAGTGCCACCGGTGCAGTACATGCGAGATCTCGCGCCAGTCACCGAGGTCGTCCACCTCGCGCAGGAGATCCTGCAGGACAACGACGTCGTTGAACGCAACGGTCATGCCGCCCCCTGTGAGCGGATGCCGCATGTTCCACGAGTCACCGACGAGGAAGACGCCCTCCTTCGTGCGCTGGCCCTGCTCGGCCGGCGCAAGGAATGTGTTGGGCATGCGTCGGATTCGGTCTTTTGAGAGCGCAGTGGAAACTGGGTCTTGGAGTGTGGTGGGGAGTTGTGGTACAATCTCGTCTAGGATTACTTGCTGCAGAGGGCGTTAGAAGGAAGTCTAGTGACAGCTAAACCCACATCGTTGGGCCCCGCACAAAAGTGCGTACAGGTGCGGGGTCGTCGGACGTTGGTATCCACTGTGCCGCTGGGCCCGACGATATGGTCTCAGCAGGAAGGATGCGTGAACTCACTTTGATATCAGAGGGAAGAGGGGTCTTGAGGTCAACGAGCATCCGTGTGTCGTGCCCCGCGATCTGGTAGAGAAGGACGGGCCCATGGCCCTTCACCAGGACGACCGTTCCGTGCTTCGGTATGGGGAGCTCCGCGTCCTCCAACACGATGCCGACGAAATGGCTCTTCGTGACGGGCTTCATGCCTGCGCCGTCCAAAACCGCATTCCGGAAGTTCGAGAAGCAGCCATCCGCGACGATCGTGAGGTCGGCCAGGAACGTCTCCTTCTGTGCCGCCTGCTCGCCGCCCTCGGCCCTCCGCGTCGCGCGCACGCCCAGCACGCGCCCGGTCGTCGGACACTCGACCAGCTCCGACGCCGTCGCCTCGACCGTCTCCACGCCCAACGCCGCCTGCGCCTTCTTGCGGAGCGACTGGATGAAGCGGCCGTGGTGGAAGCTGCGGCCCTCGTAGCCGTCCGGGTAGGGGATGTGCACGGGCTTGCCGTCGAGCACGACACAGTAGCCACGCACGGGGATAGCGTCGATGCCCTCGAGACAGGCGGCCATGCCGAGCCTGCGCAGCGCCTCGACGCCGCCCGGCTGGAGGAGCTCGCCGACGATGCGGTCCGGCTCCGCGAGCGAGCGTTCGAGGAGGCATATCCGGAGGGGCGCGGGACGCTTGAGGGTGGAGAGGGCCTGGGCGAGCGCGCAGCCTGCGATGCCGGCGCCGACGATGACCACGTCGTAGTGGTTGGAGGACATGCTGGACGACGAGCTTGCGAACTCCATGGCACGCCGGCAGCTTATGAGCGGGCAAGGAGAGTAGTCGAGAGCCGGCAGGGCGCGGGCTGGAGCGTTCAAGACAGTTCAAGTCAGACGGGCTTTTTCGTTGTCGGCCCACTTTGCAGCCACCACTAAAGCTCGTGATATCGCTATGCACCATGTTGGGAAGGTCTCGCACGACTTATGGCCGCCAGACGTCCAGCCATTGGCGAGACGAGATTATGCTTGACTCTGCAGGACACATAAATGGAGGTAGAAGGGGGTTAGACACGGCCTCGGTGCAGTGATCGCGAGATGTGATGCATAACACGGGAGACGCCAATCGACGCGCAGCGAGAAATACTTAAAAAGGTGCATCGCTCTCGATTGAATATTACCCATTGCCCACTGGCAGTGGGAAGGGAGAAGCATGAAATTCGTAACTGTCGAGGAGGAAAATAAAGAGGAGGAGGGTATTCGTTCGAAAGCAGCGCCTTAAGCACTGGTTGTTTCAATAGCAGTGCTTCAGACATTGAATTTGAAAATGGATCAACGTTGAAAATGAGTCTACGATAACACCCAACGATGGACTTTTCTTTATTGAAACTGAGTGTTTGACTACATGATTGTAATGGTTTCAACACCACTTTGTGGTGCGTACGAGCATTCGATCTCACTGTTCGTAACACGCAAATCCGATGTCGTGGTTCGTGAATGCCTACACCTCATGTAACAAATATATCGATCCATAGACATGTCTATGATTGTTCCATCCGACACCTACCTTTTCTTGTCGTGCTCTGGAATCCTTCCAGCTACATAACCCCTGTTACAGACCGAAGAAGCCGGCAAGTGAGCATTTCACCCTGTCTCCCTCGTCCCAGCCAGGCCTCCCACCAACCAATGCACCACCTGCTCCTGCTCACCTGCACTGCACTCAACCAATCGACAAATGAACGCCGTGTTAAGACTCGATACAGTGAGGTTAAATAAATATCTTCCCTCCGTGGCATCAGAGCACTCCGACCATGCCAATCACATAAGCCCAAGGGGCACCCCATGCGCAACCAGGTGGAACACAACATCCATCACGTTACATGCACTGGTCTCGAAGCCTTCACAGTACAGAGACAGCACCAAGGATGTGCTCCCTACTAGGCCTCTTGAGTATTGCAGAGGTCCAAGCAGCGTTGGCAGCGACTGAGATGGCTTGAGCAATGGGATGGACTCACACTCAGGTGTGAGGCGTGACCAAGGCGTGACTGATGCAATGTCTACTTTTGGTAGCCCGGCTGATGCCCGACAACCTTCCCACGGGATGGGCACATGCACCTTTTCGCGTACGCAACGCGCGCGCGAACCGGCCGGTATCCCTTGCGCAAGCCTTGTCAGTAGGCTCGTGACCAGCCGTTCAATTCGAACTCCGATGCGCGTTCGAAGAACGGCTGGTACAATTGGAAGCCGATTACGGGGGTCCCCAAGGCGCTGCCGGATTTGGTACCCCGTGTGAAAAGGGACTTAGAGATATTGGGCGCGTTCGCCTTCTGTCAATGGGTGGAGAACGACCATTGCCAATGTCTCATCTATCACATAGTTCGATATGCATACACTTTAACTCCCTGCGCAATTTGCTACAACATATGGCAACCCTTATGGACCACAATAAGCTGTACTACGAGAGCAAACCTCACCGCGGACGCGCCTCGGCGCGGGATGCAAACGATCCCCAGAACGATTCATAGGATGTGATCCCTGGTCCACCAGCGGAAGGCAGAGCTTCTACAGGCCGTGGATTGGGGTATGGCACCGAGCTGGTGGAGGCTGGGTTTTGCTGTGCGTCACCATCCTGCACTGTACACTTCCGTGCACGTTTCGTAGGCCTGCCAGGTCTACTCGACGTGTCGAAGTCGTCACCGCGATGATCTGGTGCTGGACTTCGGGTGTCATTCCCAAGCTCGGATGAGCCTTCACCGCTGATTTCGGCGCGACGTTTGTTCTGTTTAGGTCGGGTGTCGTGGACACCAGTTTGCACGTCGAGTGCGGCGAGCTGTTGCGCCGTACATTGGGCGTCCGCCGCCGCCGCGTCTTGCAATTGGCGCGCATCAACTGCGAGCTCCGAAGGCAGAGCGGGTGCCCCCTTGGTAGCCGGTGGCCCAGGAGCAGATGCCGGCGATACTCGGGGATGCTTGCCCTTCGATGGCTTCTTGGGCTTGGGTGTGAAGGTGATATCGAGTGTCGCGATGTGAGTGATTAATTCGGTGCCATACTTATCCCACCATATCCATGACGGCTTCAACATCGACACGAGGACATCGCGGGCCAAGTTGCCTGTCGTTGTGAGGCGGTCGACCATGGCGTCATCCAGAATGGCTGTCGAGTCGTACAGAGCGTATGCGTGGTCGCGCTCGTACACGTCGTCTCGCCACTGATACAGCGCCGATTGAGCCTCGACATCTTGGAGGCCACGGATGACACGCTTGGTCCGTGCGGTTTGGGTGCCGGGCCCAGGACGTGTACGATCAAGTAGTCCAGGATGACATATGTCGCAGCATGCCAGTGCACCGGTAGGCGCTAAATATGGATGTCAGTGACGAATTAGTGAGAGCGGACTGTACTTGACAGACCACTGAAGGGGCTTTCAAACGCATCTGCCCATACACGTCGACGACAAGTCGTACTCTGCACAAAGGCCAGGAGCCCTTCGTCAAGGGCATCTGGGTCCAAGCATGGTTGCTTGCTGGCTGGGACACCATCCTTACGAGACGTGCCGCCACGATTGATACCGTGTGCATCTGCATACTCTTTGTTTGCTTTCGCCTGTGTTGAAGTCTTCTTCTTCCTGCCTCTGATCACTGGCTTGCCCCTCCGCGCCGGTGCTTTGTTGGAACGTTGTGCAGGCAGTGCAGCATCCGAAAGTCGCGGAGCTTGGTTCAGACCATTTGATGATGGCTCGTCGAGAGTAAGATTGAGCGCATATGCGGAACGCTCCACGATGAGGATGGCAAGTCCTTCCCGACCACGACCACGCGCCGCCCGACCAGCACGTTGGATGAAGTTCGAGAAAGTTGCAGGGAGCTTCCATTGGACGACAATGTCTATATCCGGTATGTCACATCCCTGGCGGAGGTAGATGTCGGTGAGACTCAATCTTTGCAATCAGAGACAAACAGTTCAGGGATTGTGAACTCACCATTCCTGCGGCTTCAGTACACACAAGTACACGAACGGTTCCCTTTCGGAAAGCCTCCATGGCAGCCGTACGATAGTCAGCTGACAATGTCGCATTGAATGGACGAATAACGTCGGCTGACAAGGGCCCATTTGGATGGTCTGCAGTGCGCTTTTCGAGTTGGTTGGTCAGGTAGTCAATGATCTCTGTGCCCGTGTTGATATTATCGACATAGATCCATGTCTTCGGGATCTGATCAGGAGAGGTGATTGACTGTGGCAAGACGAAGTCGAGGTCCTCGTAGGTGTTTAGAGGGTGCTCTGCGGCGCGTACAACAAGGGCCACATTGGGACGACCGTTGCCCGCATTGAAGAAGCGACTGCCACCCTTAGGAAAGTGTAATTTGCTATGTATGTCTCGTCGCACGCGTGCTGTCAGCGTTGCTGTCACAGCGATGACAGGAACGCCGCGCGGAAGGAAGGCGCGGATGACACCAAGCGAAGCATACTTCTTACGGAAGTCTGCGCCCCAGTGCGAGACGCAATGAGCTTCGTCAATGACCATAGACAGTATGTGCTTCGTAAACTTCGAGTTCCGCAGTACCCGGTTGATGAATGTTCTCGACTGTAGCATTTCCGGGGACGCAAGGATGATTTGGTATTTGAGGGCAAGAATGTCCTGACAGGCACACATGCCATTAATCACCAAAAAGCAGAGAAAATATGGGGCTCGTACCCTGACGATTGTAGGTGAGCATGACCCATTCTGGCTGCTGACAGCGACTGCGTTCAGGTTGAATTGGTCCTTGAATGTTTTTACCTGTTGGCTGTCAACATAGATACTCGTGAACTGCCTAGGATGCTCACCATCTCGTCTTCGAGTGACAGAAGTGGCGAGACCATAATGGTAACCTTCGCTTCGTCGTGAGGCCATAGGTGTGCACCTGCAACTATAGCAGTCTTCCCTGCTCCTGTGGGTGCCTGGATGATCATGTCGACTCCTTCTAGCTGTGCCTGCACACCTGCAACTTGGAAAGGACGAGGCTCCCATTGGTACTTCTCCTCCATGAGACGGGTGAGCTTCTGGACATCGTTGTCATTCAGGATTGGCCGCTTATGCAGCGATATTTTCTCTTTTCGCAAAGTCCAGCGATGCTTTTTGATAGCTTTATGGCGAGGGATCATAGTGAACGATGGAGGTGCGAGGTGAGGATTTTAGTTGAATGTGTCAGGCGTGGAACTGCAGCAACACCGCGACAAGGTCGGGATCGACCACACAGATATATTTGTACTTGTCTACCACTTAAAACATTTGCTCTTGACTGCCTCGCACTGGCAGTACGACACACTGCAAACTCCTGAGTATGGATCTGTCAGACGAAGATGAGTATCCATTTGCACTACAAGACCTCTATATCATGTCACCCCTCCCTCCGTCTTCACCGCTCACTCCCATCGCGCTGTCGATCCAAGGCTCACCGTGCAGCTCGGGAATTGAGGCTGACTCGCAAGGCCTTCCATTTGAGACCGGAGAAGGACATTGTGCTGATGACCACCCCATTGAATCCGCAAACAGGACCCCTGAGGCTGCCATTGCAGTCGTGCCCACCCCAATCCCTCTTTCTCCTTCATTTCCTGCTGCCAATTCCCCACCACAAACTCCTGTTGCTCGCCAGCCCACTCCACCACTGTACCCGAGCAGCAATGGGCTAGACAAATCCACGCCCATCCGTGGGTCTCCTTCGACGAAGAAGAAGATTGTACGCGCGAAGGGCCAGAAGAAGCGAGCGAAAACGCTGCGGCGGCAGCGAGAGGAACAACACGAGCGTGCCCAGCAGCTTGCGACGGCGAACGCCAATTATCAAGCTGCAATCGCTGCACATGCAATGGAGCTCACCTTGGGAGATTCAAGCGATGAGGATGCGAGCGGAGGTCTCGCACAGGCTAGGGATGGGCCAGCTCCGAGTCCGCGCCCACGGGAAGATGTCCTCGAGGAGGTGCTTGCATTGCTCAAGAGCCATGGATTGACGTGGGGCGATCTCGTCCTATACGTCTCCGACCCGAGTTCTAAGAAGGGACTTGAGAAGTACAAGGGCATGTTCGATGTTCCAGGTCGCATCGAGCAAGTACTCACATATTGGACCTCGTCTCGGAACAGTCCAACCGGACGCCAAGCCTTATACACCTGGATCGTGAACTACGTCCGAAGACTTGTTACGCGCGAGGGCATCCGGGCAACCAAGGACGGTGTCCTACAGTCCTCGCGTATGCGCATGAGCGAGGCCTTTGTGACGAACTTCAGCCTGACGCAACTTCATGAACGACTCACCATGCTATGTCCCCTCATGGCAGAGCTATTACGGGAGTTTACGATGACCACACGGCAGACGAAGGCAGTCACGGTCGATTCTGCGGCACGAAACAACTTGGTACGAAGTCATCCGATTTCGATCCCTTAAGTGCTAGACTGACGCAGACACAATCTACGTGCAGCGTGTTGGCTCGGCCCTGATGACGCTGCTATCAGAGCGCAGTCAGAAGAATAGTTATGGAAGGCATATCGTTGGACTATACCTATATGCGTCCGGTGCTCAGCGACAGAACATCAGTGTCCTGTCGCAGATCGGCATTTGCAGCAGCTACACGACCATCGCAGGGACCTCAGCAGCCAAAACCCCACAACATTCCGTCGACTCTGTGGATTCATCAGGTAGCAGCAGCGACAGCGATACAGACTCTGCATCCGACCAGGGAGACGAGTCGGACTTGCCGGAGTCGCCGCAATCTCCGAGTCGAGCAAGTCAAGACGTCCTTGAGCTCCCAGAGGTGCAGGCTCCAGGACCAATAGAACAAAGCCAGGTCTCGCATGCCGAGAAGGACACGCTACCGAGAGCGCAGAACAACTTGCTGGACGATATTGATGAAGACGAACCTGACGAGGGAGGTGGCAAAGTATCCATTCGAGGCGCGGGACTCCTGCGGCGTCTGTCTGAAGTCTGCCGCAGCAGCGCTCGTACTCAGGCTCGTCTTCATGAGCTCGCCCACGTCTACGACAACATCAACTGGATCCTTCGCGCCGCTGAACAGATAATGGGGCGCAAGGATTCGATCGAGAATGGGACGTGCGCCACCGTTTTCCCGCTCTTTGAGGCACCCTGCGAGGATATGCGGACTACAGATTTGCTGCATGCCTTCGACACCGCACCCCCTCTCATACGCGACGACATCCTCCTCGATGCGAGCGAGACACAGCTCTTGTTCACGATGCTCGAACACAACATTCTCCGCATTATCACCTCTTATGGGGGCGAAGGTTTCAACCGTTTTCGTGTCAATGTCGAACGCACCTTGCCACGTACGGCCGAATGCATCGCGTTACACAAGACAGAGGTCTATCCGCTCCCAGCGATGAACATCGAGGAGGCGAGCGTGAAAGGCAATGCCGAGGTGCTAGAGGCAATCTTCAGTGAGCTCGGCCACGATCTTTCCTCTACAAAATTCACGGAGACGGTCAAGATCGTCTTCGGCGACCAGCTTTCTGTGGCCCGTGTCCGCGCTGTCACCAACAACCGCATGGGCCATGATACCTTCGTGAAATCGTTTCTATACACGACGTTTGCCCCAGGTCTCTTCCACTACCAGATGGCCGCTGCACATGGTCTCCTTGAGATGCACTGGGGCGATCCCAGTCTAGGGCCACTTGATCCGGCGAGCCTCTACTGGCACAATACCACCTTGGATCGCAAGCCCTTCGTCTTGAGCAACCGTCCACCATACCGCGTCGGGCGTGACCTCATTTTTCACTCGCTCTATGGGCGTATACTCCACTGCCTCGAATTGGTCTCATCATGCGACAGCCTAGACAACTACGCCGAGAGTGTGACTTTCGAAGACTTGCAACAGCATGTCAAGGAGATTGTGGCGCAGTTCGTGAATCCGGCTGTGGTCTCGAAGCTCCGTAGTGCTCGCTCGCGGGAATCAGCTCGCGCCAGCTCGGACGAGCCGCTTGCATTTACCCAGGGTGACATGGTCTTCGAGAATGCGTGCCTGTTTCTCCGAGATGCTCTCATCCTGCGAGAGTTCTGCGATTCGATCAAGGCCGGTGACTCGGGACGGCTCATCATCATCCTGAAGATATTAACTCTAAGCTACCGGGGCAGCGGTCGGACGAAGTATGCCCAGGAAACATTATATCTTGTACACAATCTCGTGCACTTATGGCCGAAGCCGTTGCGGTGCGCCTCCATAGTCTACCGTCACTGCTGTGATAACTAACGAGCATGCACAGTGACATCATCATCAAGAATTGGCTCGTCAACACGACAGGAAAGCCGAACCATTGGTACCCTGTTGACTTGTTGCAGGAACACAACATCTTCTGGACGAAGGTAAGCGTATTCCACACTGTCTATGCGCGTGAATTCTGACGCCCATACTTTGCTCAACAAGACGATATACAACGCCCAGGGTAGTGGGGCTTCGTGGGACTGGCTGGAGATGATATCTCCCTGCATCAACATCCTTCGCCAGCTCGTAACATCGATGAACGAGGCATTAGGATCGAAACAGGGGATGAAGCACGCCGCGCCGGATCTCACGCGCGACCTCGAGGAATTGCGACGCTCGCTCGCAGAAGGCAACGTGTACGTGGTACAGCCGGGACGTATTATTGATGGTGAGAAAGGTGTGGTGCCGAACGTAGTCGCTGTTGGTCTCTCACAGCTCGCTGGGCCGCTCAATGACTACAACAAACTGATGGCCAAGCTCAAGAAACGCCGTAGGAGATCATCGCCGCTCGTTGCGGGTGCTCCTGGACAAGCAACGGCGGCGACCTCCGAGTCGCATGATCGCTCGAGGGATCGTGTGCCGACCGCGGAACGGCTAGCGTCCGATCTGCCGAACGCACACTTGGAGTACGAGGCCTCGGGTGTACAGGAGGTGTCCGATGATGAGTACGACGAGGGCGGGGAGGAGATGACTGCCAGCGAGACTCTAGAGAGTTGGCTAGAGCCCGAGGAATTGTTTTCCCTAGACGAAGAGGATGATGTTGATCCTTATCTTGAGTAATAAAATATATTCACTCGGACGCTCGAGAGCGAGACGCATGAAGAGACCGCGATTCGAGGGCCTCAGTACCAGTACACTGCGATGCGCGCGATTTCTCTAAGTCCCTTTTCACACGGGGTACCAAATCCGGCAGCGCGTTGGGGACCCCCGTAAACGGCTTCCAATTGTCCCAGTCGTTAGAGTGCTGCTCGCCTCTTCAAACTCCGCCAAAGCGAGCACGTGCACTCTAACGTGACTGGTTTACGAGTCTACCTTGTCAGGCATCTTTCCTGGCGAATACAGACAGCGAATCACAGTACGTTCAATCGTTACTCACCAACATTATTACAAGGCTCGTTCTACCCCGTGTCAGTCGGGTTTATGCATCGGGCACCATCCTAATGGTCAAATTACGATGTTGGTTTCCGGCGCGTGACCTACCAAGAAGTGAGTGACTATATGCGTGGGCTAAATTACCTATGTGTGCCGTCCAGGTGTAAGTCGCGCGAGTCAAAGGGGACGCAAAAGGTCACATAAGATATAGCGAAGAACATGAACTGTAGTCTGTAGCTTACCGGACGTTGTGACAGCGAGCTTAGATGTCGACCTGGTCGCAGAATCACAGCAGGATAAAGCCCGCCGTGTACTAGAGCAAGCCTAAAGGTGCGTCAAAAATGCCGCCGCCACTACGACGGTGTCAGCGAGAGGGAATGGGAGAGAAGATTGAATAAAGTCGTGCGCGGCGTGAACGACTTCAACGACTTCGGAGCGACGCGCGTCGGACTTCCAAGATTGGAGTCGCGTCGGTCACGCTTCATCACGTGCAAAGCAAGTCAAGTGGAAGCGCTTGCGTCCCAAAGCGGAACTTACTATTGAAAATACATACTGTAAAGTCTGTAAGTATTTCAGAGACCGTCACTGTAACATGGAGGATGTAAATATGCAAGCAATCGAATCACATTTAGCACACGAGCTACTTAGTACGAGGCGCAGAGTTTGAGCATTCGGACATGAAGCTATTCGCCACCCTGAGGCTTGCGCACGCGCTCGCCCCTCAAGCACTCACGCACACGGCCGGATCCAATGAACTTCAACGTCATGGAACTTGCGCATATCACCCCCTTGGTAAGCCTTGGTCAAAGCCTTGGCACTCGAGGTTATGCACATGCTGTGACGAGGGATGCGGACGCAGAAGCGGCTCTTCCCGGAGTCTGAAGCCAGCGTGTGGCAGGAGAACGCATACTACTTACCAAGGTCCTTTCGCCGCCGCTCCCTATCGGACCTCCGCAATACCCTCTATCATAGCCGGTCGAACAGTCAGTGCGTGAGTACCGGCATCAGATATGTGCGGTCCAACTTACGGGATATGATGATGCATATTGGAGAAGGTAGAGGTCGACCGACGGCCGGCGCCTCAGTGATTCGCTGCATTCTCCGACCCAGCGAAACCTAGTCCGCGAAGAAGACGCGAACCATCGTGCCCCTCAATAGAAAGCAATCATGAACGCTTAGAGCCTCGCAGAGGAAGCGACGGAAGCCTCGCAGATGAATCAATGAAGCTCCGTAGCGATTGCAAATACGCGTACAGACTTGCAATGAAGACGCACATGCTTAAATGAACCTGGGAATCACCACTGTGGAAGAGAGGAAGAGCAGATGGCGTCCGCTGCTGTGCCGACGAGGTGGGGATCCCGGCCATGCCTGACATTCCCTGTCAGAGGCTGTCAGAGGCCACGCTAGCAGGCAGCGCCCACTTCACCATCCTGCTCCAGTCCACTTCCTGACCTGACGCCCAAGCGGAGGACGGTGGGCATCGCACCCCCGACTCCCGGGGTCATAATGCGTTCGAAGGCAGAAGGCTCCGCACGCGAGCTCTCCGCAGGGGCACATGTGGATGTGGTACTGCACTCGTAGAGTCGTTCGTGATACGCGAGTGCATGACTTCTTCACCATTCCCAGTGGACGCCCGGCCAGGCCAAATGCGCACTGTGTCGAATGAAGTTCAAATACAAATTCCATAGCCCCGTACCACGGAGACGAGACCACATGATGCTATCGCTCATGTAACGGGGCAGAAGATAATTTCGCAGGCTCGAAATGAGAGAGGTATAACGTACATTTTCGTCCTTCGAACTGTGGTGATGACTTGCGCGAATCGTGATAGCGCTGCCGCAAGACGTGGGCGGAGCAATACGAGCGCACGGGATTTGCATGGACACTAGGCCTACTTAGGGTACGCACATTCCACTTTTGAGTTCTCCACGGGGGGAAGCAAGGTACTCTGCGGGGGGAGTAAAGTACTGCGCGAGCTATTGCGCAGATACAGTAGCGCGTCATGCACTAGCGGGGAAGTAAACTCGTGAGCCAGGGTCTTCCATCGTTGCACCGTGAGTCGCAACGAGCGGGCGATCGCCCGCTTCTGCGCCCACGCTCGAATTGATTCAGTTGAACTCGGTCCACTCGGGCCATGGTGTACATCCGAGGTTCGCTCCGCATGGAACATCGCTTGTAGCAGCAGACCGCCATGCTGGGCGGCTGCCGGGGCGGGAGAAACGAAGTGACCGCTTGAAACGTCAGCAACGTATTGGGGAATCGAGGCACAACCACGCACCGAAATGGCGGGGAAAGTTGGCTCAGCGCATATGGGGCGTTGACACCGCTTAACGGGCCTGAGACTGCGCTGGAAGAGCTGGACCATTTCCAAGCGGACGCAGCGCGCTCAACATTTGTCTCAGATATCAGATGATCTTCTGTGCGACACACCTGGTGTCCGACCCTCATTGGGAATGCAGCCGCCTCGCAAATGTCCCGTGGATCGCGCGCTCATGCGCGTCTTTGTCCTGCGGTGCGCAGCAGCAGGCAGCAGCATGAGTTCACAAGGCGTTCTGCCGCGTGAGAGCGCAATATCTGGGGAGATGTAGTTTCTGATTAGGTTCCGGGAGAAAGGGAATGAAAGGAGTGAGTACTCACTCTCGTACAGCTGAAGTCATCATGGCCGCAGAACCGCACATCGGTCGCGTCATACGAACCGAGACCACATAATGAACGGTGTGGACTGTCGACTTACTCTATTGCGCGATGGCTATGTGGGGAGTTCAAGGACCAAATTGTTCCATGGTGGGACATCAGTACCGAGAGCAAGTTTGGCCTCGAGTTCCGGCTAAGTACGATGCTCACCGGCCGGGCCTACATAATGCTCGCCGCTAATATATCTTGTTGGATCTGTAACCCGAAAGGTAGGTTCTCTGATTCTCACTTGCATAGTTCGGGTTACCCTGAATTGACAATCGACAGATGAGCATTTCGTGACGAACGGTGAGGAGGAGGAGTTCAGTTGAATCAGTTCTTGTTGAAGTTGTTCACGTTCAGACGTAGGAGGTCACGTGCTAAGGGCTTCCCCACGCTGCAAGATGGCCGCGCCACAGCGTGGCGGAGAGTCGCTGGAGGAGTGCAGTATGCAGCTCTCTGCGGACGACCATCGCGTTCTAGTCTAGTTCTGCTGGGTTTCGGGACGTCGGGCACTCTATGGACGCCCAGCAAATGAAGCTGCGCCCACTGAACAGACGCGAGGACTCGAACGAAACGTCGTCAGCGACCAGCCTGAGCACAACCCGCCGCTGAGCGTGCGGCAAGTTCTCCGTAAGTCTGCGGGCATACAAATGAATTGAATGTTGAGGATCCTGTGAAGTAGAACTCGCGCGATCCATTGGATTCACTGCATCGGGGAGGAGTCCTAGTCCACTTGTTTGGTCACTGGGTTCATATCCTCTTCCGAGTCTGAGCTGCATTAGCGAGTGCGTCACGCCAGGCAGATACCTACTGCATTGAACTGATTGAACTGATTGACAATGCAGAACGTCAGCGGTTCTCTAACCACTGGGCTTCACAAGATCTCTCCGGGGGCTGCAGTTGGTCAAACAACTCGTCTCGCCTTCCAGCCTCTTTCTCCGCCCACATCGGCTCCTCCTTCGTTCCATACCAAAGCGGTCCACCCATGAGCGAGCCGGATACTGACAGTAGCCCGCCTCCGTACTCTCCCACGCCTCCTAGTTCAGTTACCCTCGCCCAACTACAACGCACAACCTCGACTCCGCAAATCCACCAGCATCCGAGTCGTCAAGTCCAGTATCGCTCACACCCGTCCTCTTCTGTTGCTCTCACTCCTCAACCCCTATCGTCCACCCTTTCCTCGCGTCCGCAAACCAACGTGTCTGGCGATGAAGCTGACGAGACATCAGCTTCAGAGGACGGCATGATATATGCCATCCCATCCAGCCTCGCAGCAAGCTTACGCTCGCGTTTGCTGGGGCGTCAAGACCCGGGACAGGACAGCGAGCAGCTCAGACCTATCACTACGGCTTCTGAAGTTGCTGGAACGACGGAGACGGAGACGGAGAGCGATTCTGTGAGTTTACTTCCAAGCTATCTGTGCACACTGAGCATTCATTCCACTTGTTGACCAGCCGCGCAACCTCCCAACCGCCCGAATCACACGTCCGGCCCTCCCAGCCTCCGCGCCTTTTGCGTGTCCCCCTGGGTCTTCGCGTCTCTGTTCGTCTTTTCTCGCCTGCTATCTATAGTTCCCGCTGTTTTCGGGACCATATGGAACATTTACCACATTAGATGGCCTCCTCCGAGCGATCTGGGTCCCAGCGCTCTTAGCTGGCGTGTCGATTACTTCATAAGCGTGTTATGGGTAAGTCTGATTGCGCTCTCCGAGATGTTCTGTATTCATGCTCGATGACTGGAGACCAGGCTATCCTCACCGGTTGGCAATGTCTACAACTAACGACGGGAGTGCTCAAGCGGTGGAGGGTCTACTACTCTCCCTTCGCAACCCTCATTCGCCTCTTCGCCCTGCAAGGTACGTCTCGCGTACCTTTCGTCGTGGCGCTGCTCAACCTCTCGTGTTGCGTAGCGATCTGCTGGCCTGCCACTCACCTCACCCTAAAACTGCTCAACCACGGACAGCGCCCGGCCCTCTGCTGGGCAGTCATCGGCACGACAACGTGCTATAGCCGGAGCATTCAGCTATGGGTGACGTCGAACATAGGCCCTGCTCCTGCCCCTCCTCCACGCCCCTCCCAGCCACCTTCGCCGTCGCCGCTCCGACGATCTCTTGTCGCCAGCGCGAGCGGCATGCGAGAAGAGTGGATCAAGTTGCGTCGGCGGCGCTGGGACTGGAACGAGGTCATCAGAAAATGCGTGCTGCCGGCCGGTGTTATTTATTTCGTGATGGCCTGGGCTGACATGCTGAGGAGGGAGTGGGAACTCTCGGTGTGCGCTCTCGATGGTTAACTCGTCTCATTCGGATGGATTCTGAAGGTAGATTCTGTGTAATTTATTCCCCGGTATGCGGAATTCTGTCCTCCTGCTCTTGAAAAATACAGAGCTGTATCAGTACATACTTGCGCCCTCTCCCGCAATGCCGTACATAGAACGCTGGACTTTGAGCAACAGGGCGCCGATCGCGCGGTAAGCTCATTAATCAATCTGAACCTCGGTGGCGTTATCGGTCATGTGCGTGCGGGCTCATACACATCCTCCGCCGTCATACTTAGTGCCGGCGGCACGTACAGTCGTTCGTAAAATCGCGCTACCGTTTATAATTCAGGACACGCCGCGTTGCCTTCACGCAAAAGCGGCGTCCTGGGGCTCCTCACGACAAGGCGCAGTCGACACGTTCCCCGAATTCTGGCGCCCCAAAGTCTGAAAGGGGCGGTTATTTGTATTAGACCTCTTGAGCATCGAGAGGTCGGTGGGGCGCCCGTGTGTCAGAGCCCAGCGAAGCCTCCTGGGCGCAGCGCAATCTCAGGCACCGACCATAATATCGGGGGCGGGAGGAGCTCTATCGGGAATTATGTATAGGTCTTGTCTATCTTCGGCGACGAATCTCCGACTCTGGCAAGGGAGCGAAGTTCTCGGACTGGACGCGGCGAATCCGCCACCGGGACACAAGAAGCAGTGGACTCTGGCACTAGACACAGCTCTCGGAAACGGCAGTACTAGGCACGCCAGAATGCGGCTGGGAGAGGGTATTCAGGCCAACGCATATAAGGAAAGTGCTGACCGCAGAGACGGGACTACGGTCATGCATTGGCAATGTCGCCCATGTCCAGGTCATGTCGAAGCTCAGCTGGTACCATGATCCGTTTCTAGTGACTGGGGCCGCCGATCTGCTTCTACGGTGGTCGCTACGCGGCTCTTTCGCCTGAGTTGGGGTTGGTACATATCCTACCAATCATTTTGCATCGAATGGTCAGGTCCTATGTTCTAGAAAGTTAAACGGTCGCATGAATCTGTGGAATATGCGGCGAGTTAAGTAGTGATTTGCACTTACTGCGGACACCAACGAGTTAATGGCGCCGTGGCGGCGGCCGAACATCATTGTGACGGGTGCAATTAGACACGGTACCGTGCCCCGAGACTCTCGTCTCCGAGTCGGGGCGGCGTGCGAAGTCGATTCCAAAAAGTAGTCTGTATAAGATAAAAAGAGCTACATTGAATCGCCGTTATGACAACGAGGCTAACTGGTGAGATGCGGCGGCGTTGCGGGAGGACAAACGACGCCATTGAACCTGCCTAAATCCGCCGACATCTCTTCTTATGGCGTACCGTGTCCCATTTGGCATACGGTGTGCTGGTGCATCATTGATGGAGGGTGATCTTCGAATCCTAGTAAGCAACAGTTTCAGGCCACACGGCGCCATCGGCGGGTCGCGGAGAACACGGCGTTGGGAAACTATGGACGCAGCACTGCATTTCAGTCGCGTACCAGGAGAAATGAAAAATGTGTTTGCGTACCAACTCACAATGCTCACTTGTGGCAATGCACCATAGGCGATTCGACTCGGCAAGCAAGCAAGCAACGCGGAACGAACAGTATCATTAGTGTAGTGTCATCGTCGACTCATCGGGGCCCGAGGGCCAGAATCTATTGCTTTGCATCCGAGCTGCTTACCGTCTTCTGCCTCCATATACGAGTAACTAGTTGCAGCAAAATGTACTGCCAGCGGTCGCGATATTGATCGTATCCGAGCAGTAGAATGAGATGATGCTCAACGTTGAAAAATGAGTTACTTCAACCTTGACAACAATCACGTGCCCGCAGAAGGGTGGTTGCGGCTCAGAGTCACTGGCAGTTGTGAACAAACTTGGATTCTGACTACCAGCTAGTTTTGCTCTCAGCTTGCCTTTTATGCGATTGATACACACTTTAGAGGGCGTGCCGTACGTGTTCGCAGCAAATAATTCATGAACGGGTCGGCAGGCGCTATGAACTTCAAGTTGTAGCACGTCTAAACCTCACCGCCACCCAAACAGCCTGCCGCGGCCAAGTGCCACCCGGGTGCCACTGGCACCTCATGCCAACGACGGGCAGATGCCAGGCTGTCCTCGTTTCCATGCTTGTCCTCTGTTCACAGATACATACGAGAAACAAGAACTTCAACCCTTGATGATCATTCAAGTTGATGAGTCTACCGTCTCGGCCGACTCCGAGCGCATCTCGAAACCCACGCTGCGGCTTCGTCGCGACTGCTCCCGAGTCCTCCGTATTGGAGTCCAGGGGGTACTCGGGAGACTACCACATAGGTAAGCTTCCCTACCTCCAGAACAAGGCTTGCACGATTTGGCTCCCCCTTCCCCAGTACCTTCCGAGTACTGAACTGCAGCGGGAGTGCCCGCTTGGTGCCTGCTTGTCGTGCAAGGTCTCTTGCTTCCCAGGTAAGTACGTTTTGCTTTGGGGTATGATGGTATTGAACACCCCAGTTCTTCGACGTAGAGAACGTTGTCTTGTCAGGATTGATGTGGCGCTAAGTACCGCGTTTCGGGTACATGCAACATGCCCCACAAGAGGAGTCTGTGCCTAGATAACAATGGATGTCGCCTCAAATGCGCCTTGGCAATCTCATTCGGGCCTACGCCGCCCTTTCGCTGCAAACCTTGTGGCTCCTTGTCTGCGTCCGTGGTCAATCGATCCGTGACGACACATTGAAACCTGGCTTTGAGTTTGCATTATCTCATGGGGCCTTAACGCATTTTTGCCACGTTGTTGGCATTACCCCTGCCCGCAGCTAGCGCCGAATACAGCGACTTGACTGCGTAATACTTGGAAGTCATTGCACACACGCACTGTGTCGGTCAATCCTAAAATAGTATCATTCGAGAAAGAAGCCGCAGCGAAGCAGCGTATCGGTGCAAGAACCCGTCGCCACGGAATTCTAGAATCCTGTTGTCACCAGGGAGGCGCGCGGCCGAGGGCCTCATTGAGCAATTGTAGTAAGTATGTGATCATCCGGTGAGAAGCGGTACCGGGGAAGTGGTGGTCTCACGGCCACGTTCATCATGCAATGCAGATATTTAATTGACAGTGTCTTCGCTGCCCCGCTGCGTTGGACAACCCTCCTTCTCGACACCTCAGTACGACCGAGTCATGGATGATCTACAAGCTTACGCTGAATCCGCTGAGTACGTCGTTCGTCTTGATTTTGCGACCACAGTTCTGACCGCGAGCAGCACAGGATCCAACACTACATACCATGGCCTCTTCAGCAACAGCATCCGAGGCCCGCACCAACGGAGCGTAGTATCGGAAGGTATTGCACTTTGGATGGGTCGTCTTCAACCTCCCTGACATGATATTGCACACAGGAGAGACGATATATCATTACCCGCAGTCACCAACTCCACACCCTGAGGAGATCTCGCGGCAATTCCTTCCACTTCTGTCCTACGACGAAAGCGTTCACGAGGCGCTTCCACCGTCTCTCTCTCATCCCGTCAGAGCTTTGATCATAAGCTACGCCCGCGCTATCGCATCCACGTCGCCGGCCTTAGTCATCACCCAGGAGGACATACACATTGCTAATTGCATTCAAGCTCGTATGGAGCAATCTGCTTCGACTGTGGATGGTATGCCTTTCGCTGACGTAGATGCGGAAGCATGGGCTATGGAAAATCCCTCCGTGAGCCTTGAAATCCCATGCTGGACGCTACCCTCACTCACGATTTCCCGAGCATAGCTGTCCCCTTCCCCTCAGTCTGCCGCAATTGACACTCCAACGATTCCAGACGGAACGGTCGCCTGCTTGTACGATGGGTGTGACGGGTACTTTCAGTCCCTAAAGAACGCCGACATCGAAACGCACCTCCGTTCGCGTCACTTCAGCGGATACTCAAGGGACGCCTGGATGGGAGCCGACGACGAAAAGGTTGTGTGCCGTTGGCCACATTGCACGCAGGACCGGCCAATATTGAAGCGTACCCTGACACATCATATCAAGGATGTGCACCTCCGGGAGCAGAGGGTTGCGTGTACCAATCCGGGATGCACGAAGTCCTATTCTCGCTACGACGCCATGGTGCGTCATGCCAAGAAGTGCGTTCTGGATCTTGCCATAGGATGAGAGGAAAGTATGTATGAGTGTAGTGCGTTGTCTCCGCTTTTCCGGGAGACCTAGGACTCACTTGGTGCTTGACAGGTCAAAGTCGTTGATTCTTCCTCTGTGTCCGTCTACCCTTCGCTTCACCAACCGTGAACTTTCACGGACGTTGTTCTCCGACATCTCTCCTCGCCCGCGGCCGAGTCGTGTCCTAAAAGTAAGGCAGTATATATTAATCAAAATGCATATAGAGCGATATAACACGACCGAGCGACGCGTCATTGTGATCTTGCATGGTGGATTGGACTCACGGTTCAAACTCTGAGGTGAGATCTGTAAATGATACCACGTACATCTTGTGAGAAAACACCTCGAGGAATAAGGTATGTCCTCTCTGCAGCTCGTCGTGGTGATGCGCCGGGTCGATTCTTGTGCAATGCAAGTGACCGGGGACCCGTAGCGGGAATCATACCGAAGAGGAGACCTGCCAGGTATCGCGGCAAGGGAAGCCCAGTGTGATGAAGCGCCGTCTCGCTGTTAGACTCAGGTAGTGAGCGTGAAGGCGTGCCGAGCCCAATGTCTGCATAGCAAGGTCGTCCACACAGCGTGAGGTTGAGAGCACTGCCACTGGCGCCATATCTTGCGGACAATAAAATTAGGTCCCACAGTGGGCGCGCACTAGTACATGCGACCACACTTACAGAATTCGTTGTCTCCAGTCCAGCTGCCCTAGTATATATGAGACCCTCGTTCTCACTACTACATGCAAGATAACCTATGCTTCACAGCGCTATAATCCATATTATGGGTCTTGCCGTTTTTTGACCTTCAAGTCCCCGACCGGAACAGCCCTAGAACATCCAGAGTTAGCGCCGTTCGAAACGCACCGTTTATCGAGGCCGGCGCGTCAAGCATATCGCCTGCCTCTGTTCCCCTCCACGGTGTTGCTCCTATCTAGTCGCCAGCCTGAGCAGACGACAGCCGACGGAGATTCTGAGGGTGTGCGAATGGATGAGCAGGGCATGGGCATATGACATGGTGCGTTCGCTCCGCGACTTGAAGGTTAATACTGAGTCAATTGACCCGGCGCCAGTCGGTCAGGCCGTCGGATCCGTATCATCCCTCAGATACCGCAAAAGCCTTGTATCTAGGTTGAAAGGCGAACTTGAAGACCCGGGAACAGCGGTGTTCATCGCACGAGCTAGCTGTGTCGGTATAATAGGCATTTGGGCCCTGGTCTTGGTTCGCAGATGCTCGGTACGTTCCTTCGTAAAAGGACGACACGAACGACTTGGTCTAACCTTTCGGATCGAATGAACGGTTGACGGGCGAGCGACGAGAATCGACGGAGGGCGCATGCTCCGGGAAGACGCAGCACGACAGAAGAGGGTGGAGGCTGATAGTGAAGGGGTGTGGCTTCTGCCAGTACATAACCTCGAACTCTGATTCAATCAATGACTCACCGAGTCGAGCAATATGACAATATAGGCTACGGCATAGCACCCGGCGGTGCTGACACAGACCGCCGCGAGGACAGTCCTGCCTATGCCAGCGTAGACCGACAGAAGCGGTCTCCGCGACTCGGACGCATTGCTGCGTGCTGACGATGTCATGGAATTAAACCAGGGAGTGAATGATAGGCCGGGTCACCGTAACGGTGCTATCCCCGCACTGGAGAAGGTCCGCGTCTGTACAAGTCATTTCAGTCTGCCAGTGTGGTAAGTAGGGTCATGTAGACGGCCATTTGCAGGTCATAGCGCCAACTTTTGTTGCGGAACTTGAGCGATAAGGTCAGGTGCCACAGTGGGCATGTAAAACACGCGGCCACATAGGCCCCTTGTCCTCGACGACCTGAGGCAGGACACTCTCTCTTGGCTCTGCGCGTAGTGAACAGTCCATGACCCGACAGCCCACCACCCCATGCCATAATGTACCACCCACTCAATCACTGGCCCCGAGAGCGGCAAGCCTAAGCGGAATCATCCAAGCCGGAGATTAGGATTCCTAGGCCCCTCCGTGCCTTCCTTCCCCACCCGAAGACTTGCGGACAACACACGCTCGGGAGTAGTCGATTTGCCCGAGAGCCAGACAGCGACCAAGAGGTGAAGGTATCGGACCAAATCGCCAAGTCGATCCGAGGCCTGTCGTCCCGTCATCGCCTGCTCTCGCCCACAGACTCACGTAAATCTTGTCAAACCGCACAGACAGGGCGGTTGCTGGATACGGAGAAGACGTAATCCATGGAGTACGTGGCATATTCCACGGCGCCTGGCGTATGTTGTGGTTTTTCTTTGCATGCCTACCAAAAACTCAACAAACAGATCAACTCGACGCCAGATGCCCTAGCTCCTTGTATGGCATTTCCAACAAACAGGTAGCTACCGGCGGAAGAAACGCTTCGGTTGGCTAAGGCGATCTGTTCGAGCTGCCAGTGGGGCACATTCGGAATTTACCAGCATCTGGTACGTGACCTCGTGCTCCCTAGAACTCTTCTGATCTCTCGAGGTTATAGACGTGGGCGACACGGTGTCGTCGTACTGCAGGATGGGAGCATGGCGAGGGACGACACAGGGATGTTGCGCCAGTGCTTCTAGTGGACACGGTGATACTGAAACGGGTGAAGAATGCTTCTAAAGTGGACCGATGAACTTACTTTGGCAGATGACCAACTTGTTCGAGGCCGTTATGTGAGCCGCGCGGATCATGGCCACATGATGCATCTGCAGTACAGACGAATCCGCATGAGCCTACACACGCCAAACGGAAATGAAACTTCCTCAACGTTCAACCTCAACCTCGTGCGATAGGGTTTACATAGCTATCTGTTCAAGGGCAGCTAAGCGAGTGACGGTCCTTTAATTCATCGACGTGAGTTCTGGTACTTCTATTCAGTCACATTCGTATCAGAACTGACCGCTACTATTGTATCAGTGCCTCCGGTAATTCGTTGCCCATGAGAGATGCGGCTTTAATGCGATGCTACGGTGCTTTCGGTACTGTCATGGCTTCCTTTCGACAGTGAGGTTTCAGTTAGTCGCATGCATCAGCAATACTGGAATCTACATTTGTGATTCCTGCCAGTGGAGGCGTACCTTGCAACACATGGATACTGGAATCTTCCGAGGAACGTCTCCATTGTGCGTGGTCCTGGCGTTCTTTGTCTTGCAGACTCATATGTCGCTATCGCGCCTCGCTGGCAGATGAGCCCTATTTGTTCCGCAATGACGCGCCGGTACTACAGAAGAGTCAACTGTGGGTAACTCCATACTGCGACTGGCAGGCCCAAATCGCCAGGGATGTCACAAAACATCGCTACCTTCTATGTAGGGGCCAAAATCAGCATCCGCGACGTTGACTCGAAGCGATCGAGGGGCGTACATCGATCACTGCAAATAACCAAATCACATATGCGAGATCTTCCGTCGAATCTCAATCGGCGGGCCTGCCATGGACGACTTTGCGGGTCATACCACCGCACCAGCAATTGTGTTCGCAACTTGCGAGGGCGAGGGCGGACCGCGCTCGGGAGCAACAACGCCGAACGTAGTAGGCCGTCCTCTTCGTATTGCACTCTGCAGCGGCCCCGATCTGTGCAAGTTGACGACTTCGAGCCGGCGGACTCGTGTTTGCCACATGACAAATATTTTGCATATCCGACGGTTGATGAATATTTATTCCCGAGCGCTAAATCAAGTCGACCATTTCCGGACTGGTGGACCCGATCTGTGGCCACACCATAAGCGCCTAATCCGCTTCTGCGGTGCGTCCAAGTCCGAGACCTCGGAGTCTGACTCGCTACCCCATGCTGTCTCTATACGGTTCGAAGGGATATACGTGTCCTCGCTTCCGGTCTCCAAGAAATGCACCAGTACGCTATGTACTGATAACCTGTCCATGTACTTACTGGTTCTGGCAGGATGTAGCCGACTCGCCATTCAACCTGTTCCAGGGGACATCTCTAGCTCTGCGTCATGCAAGTGAGCCACCACGCTAGAGCCAGCTGCAACGTGGCAGTCTCCGGTGCATCGACACTTCTTCGACCCGTAGTCTCGGAGGCGTGACGCTAGATGTACGACGCGCTGATAATGCCGGTTTGTTATTTAATTTAGTGTATTCGTCCGACTTGATTACAGAAGTCGCTCCCAGCTTACGCGAGGATCTCGTGGCGTCCGGTCGGCTTACGCAACATGACGGACCACTGGCCCCGCTCATTCGACTGACCACGAAGGGGTCTACTGCAGGCCCAGGTCTTAATACTACGGGAACGGCTCGCGCGAAAGTTACCGCTTACTCGAATCTGTCCGCGCTCGGATCTGAGGACGGATTCTTTTGGCCGCGCCGGATAGCCACGTCTTCTAGTAGGCAAGGTTGTGCACGTTGAGAGCATAGCCGGAAAAGAAGAAGTGTGGAGGCTGCATGCCGTGCGGCTCCGAGTTGACATGGGGACTGCGAACAACCAAAACGGCCACGATGCGCGCTGCACACAAGCCTTCCAGTGATCGCTCTAGGTAAGTCGAAGCACACTAGCATAAGGAATCACTGTCCGTGTCTCATGCGTATATGGACTACAGACAGGTTCATCGTCTCAACAGGGTACTAAGGGTTCTCTGAGTCTCGGAGGTTGGCAACAGGTTACAATCAAGACATCACGAAGTGTTGGTTGCGGGGCGACACAGCATGTTGCTTCGATGGGCCAACGATGGGCCGGTGATTTCATTCCGTTCCAAGTGAACCGAGGCGGCGGTTCGGAGTCGGGAACAGTAAATGAAATCTCGGAGAAGTCTCTAGCCTAGAGCTCCGGAGTCCGTACGGAGTCCGCATAATGCGCTGAGCGCTCAGGCCTCCAGTCAAGCCCTTGCCAAACGAACTTCGGACTAGGCGCTGCACCGAGAGCGCGGGTCTATGTCAAGTTTCCCGTTCTTTCAGGGTCACGGTCGATTGCAACATTGAGCTCGAATTTCAGAAGCGAGTCAGGCAAGGCACGATGGCCCCAACATTGGATATTGACGTTTGAACGGGGACTCGTGGCAGAAGCGCTAGAGGCTCGGGACCGTCCGTTGCCCAGCCAATGACATGTTCTCAGTGTCTGTCGGTTCCGCTTGTCCAGCCAATAGGACCCCGCTTTACCTCAGGTCAGAGCCTGTACAGCGCGTACCGCACAAAGCTGCGTACGTACTTGTTCACTGAACCGGGATACATCGCCAGAAATCCAACGGCAGGGCACCGATCGCACGACAAGGGGCCCGAAGGCTTTCTGGTCGCCAATCACGGGAAACCAGCACTTCGCTAGCGGGGATCATTGACTGACGGCGTTATCGGCCATGGGGGCGAACTTCCACATAGGATCTAGATCCGCCTTCGCCGCCGGCCCATCGGTCTCGATCCACAGTCTAGCATCTGCAGGGCTGAACGCGCCGCGGGGTTTCCCTGCGATGTGCTCTGCTCTTGTTCTGTACCCCAAGATTCAGGCGACGCGCGGCTCAGGCTTCTGGCACCCCAGGTGATTGCAAGAAGGAGGCATTTGTATTAGGCCTCCCAGAGGTCGGGAGGTCGGCCTGCGGATCTGTCAACACCTGTCAGAACCCGCCGGGATGACTGGCACGTACGTACCGAATACAGTTCGTGGACAGTAAACACCGCATTCGTGCTAACAACAGCGTATGATCATGGTGACAACAGCCGCGAGGACGATATCATGTCGTGAGCACTCGAAGCGGGGGACCCTACAAGGACCCTGAGGCCATTAAGAACCGGCTGCCCCAGAAGAGCCGCAAAAGAACACAACGATGAGGGGACTTGCCTAATGCGGGCACGGCAGGAGACAGTTCTAGCGGCGAACGACCACAAAATAGCTCGCCCATTGCCCTTACAGGCTCAGGTACGTACGAGACTTCGTCATCATCGTTCCTAGGATTGTTCTCGCTGAATATAATTTCGAAGGCCATCTGCTTCTGCGGCGGCGGCTGCGCTTCCTAATTGTAACTCGGATTCACGTCTCGTGCTGTATTTGGCAAGTTCAGAGTCCACTTGGAGTTCGATGCACGGATGAGCGCCCTGAAACGAGCAGTTGGCGTGTACAATCACCGCATTGCAATTGAGAGTCGCAACGACATCAACGTTTCAACGCGGCATCAACATGTCGATCGTTCAGCGCTCAGCGGCCGCCGAGTGAATTGAGAACCAATATGGTAATGGAGGAGGAGGATGGTGGCCCCTTGTACTCCAATGGTCTGAATATTGAGCGCTCGAGCGACGGGTGAGCTTGTCTGGCATATTGCCACAGCGACCAGGCTGAAACGGAGGACGGAGAAGCGGCAGACCCAGTTCTGCTCGCAACTCTGCCCCAGCCTGCAGGCTTATGTCCGCCGACTGGCACGAGTGGTTCGGCGGAGAGCTGCTGCCAGACAGGAACCGGGAATATCACAGCTAGTTTACTCTTGGACGATATATTCCCTGTTTTCGTACTGAGTGCATCAACGCCACCAAACTAGAGTTCCTGAGCTTACGCCAAGTATACGCGGCAAGAAGCAGACTGTGCCGGAGGAAGATGGCGTGTCCGAGTTAGCCATGCGGCCTACACTAGTAAGAAGACGCACCGTTGCGCACCGTCTTCCAACGGCGCCTAGTGAACACGGAGCCAAGTATCTTTGAATTGCACTCACTCCGAGGGGCCGAGTGGTCGTCGGCGGCCAGGGCTGCTTCTTTCCAGAACTGCAAAGTTGACAGGGTTCAGTGAACATATACGACACGATGACCTCGGAGGTCAAGTTGGATCACCGTGACCACGCTGGCCAACTCGCAATCATCTCCGGCGGCGGACCTTCGCATCTTGTGTGCGGGTTACGTTATTCCCAGACTATAACCAGTCTCCGATGTCCATGACAGCGTTGTGTTCGGCCCGTAGTGAAGTGAGTTAGTTATGTATCAGTCGAAAACGCACATGTAACGATGGTTCGAGTTAAAGGTTACTATATCGGGTCAGGATCTCAGCCACCCTACCTACTCGGCCCCACCGTTAGTATTGCTCTACTCCCTCTGGGGATTCCTGCAGAAGAAGTACCTACTAGATATCTATAGTCTTGAGCCACCTTCACATGTACTTACTGTGTGATTAGTAACCTAACTCGGCGCAGATCCTATTAGCCCGATATAGTAACCCAGTTAACCGATGAAATTAACTCGCGATACAGGTCGGTAGGTGGCTGTCTGAGTTCCGAAATCGTCTCGTGGCGCAACGGCCTACGTGCTAGTGGCTACCTTCTGCTGCCCCGCCGCCTCACTGGCGCCAGCGCAGCCTACTACCTGCGTGGCAAGCGAGCGCCCCGAAGGTCTGAAGCCTGACGGGCATCCTCTCCAGCGCGTAGTTGCCAAAAATAGGATACCACCACGGTCACCACGCTCCTGGTACGTGATGATCCTGTCTGCGAGCTGCGTTCCACGTATCTTTCGCCGCTGAGACCTTCAGACCTGGCTTAAACTGTTGATGGCCCACTGACCCTTCTTCGGCGGCCCAGGTGACTGAGGTCGTATATGTGGAACGTGATCGTTATCCTGGACCCTGGTAACACCCCAAAGACAGATGAAGGATGACCATATTAGTATTCTCTTGGCCGGGTGCGTGGCCGAGTCTCGAGCTCAACCTTCCAGTCTCAGGCAAGTAATTAGTGGTCAGATTTGTTAGCCTGGTGCTAACCACTTGGATTGGTCGTAGATCTTGGACCGCTGAGAGCATTTCGCTGTTCTGTGCGCACTGCGTAGAACATCATCCCACTCTGTGACTGATGTGGCGCCAGGCGCCGCGTTTCGGTCCATCTGCCTTCCTCAAGTGGTTGGTCCCGAGGCAGGGTTTAGATGTGCCTCGGCTGGACGTTCTCAGATTTGGATCTATTCCTCCGAACGTCGTTAATCTCGTGGCGCATTGACTCGGACGTCCAGACTGCGCGGAAGTCAGAGCATGCCGTGAGCAAGCGGTCGCCGCCGTAACATCGCGTGTCTTTCAGTTTACACGAAGCATCTTGCCATTCGTGTGGACTGACCTGTCTTTCTACTTTTGGGGTAAGTCTGGCGGGTGATCACGATCTCACCACGTTGTTTCGCATTACGTCCGCCAGCAAGAGGCCGCGTGTTCGAGCGCATCAGCGCACAATGCAAGTCTTGACAGGCACATTGCGGATGCTTGGCGTCGTACACATGCATCCGCCGGGAAGGAAGCAAAATTGGTGTGCTCGAGGGAGACGCAGAGGTGCTAGAAGGAGCCCTGAGAACCCGTGTACCTGGAACACTTCAATCGAACGCGAGGCGAAAGATGCGACTGCGCACAGATCCCGTTGTCATGGAATTCTAGAATTCTGCCGTCGGGGAAACGGGCGGCGGAGGACCTCATCGAACTATCGGGTAGGTAAGTGTGTGGTTCCAGTGAGAAGCGGCGCCGGAGCGGAGGACTCATGGCTGCCTTCGTTATGCAATTGCAGATATTGTGCGAGGAGTACATTTGCCCGGGTCGTTGGAGCGGGTTAGACGATAATCATCCCTCTTGACGTCCCGCAGCCACCTCAGGCGAGCAATGGCGTATTCGCAGACCCCTACCTCGAGACCGATGAGTAAGTCTCCGCGCACATCCTGGACTACGATCTTTGACGCGAGGAGTGCCAGGTCCGACGCGACATACGATGAGTTATTCAGACTGGCTCAACGGTATCTTACATCAGGTACGTAAAGTCAACCGTCTCAGTCGCTTGCTTTCTGAAGATGTGGCGGCAATGAACGCAGAAGAACCCGCACCATACTCGCAGTCGCCGACCCCACAGCCTGACAATCTCTCACAGCACTTCTCTCTGTCTTCTGTCCACGATGGACGCCTCCTCGATTCGGAGAGACTCCCGTCGTTCTTTCCTCATCATGTCAGGGCCCTTATCATGGATTACTGTGGTGCTATCACATCACCGTCGCCTCGCCTGGCACTCACGCAGGTCGATTTGCATATCATTTCCCTCATACAAGCCCGTATGCAGCAGCTGGATGGTGGCTTGGAGGGTTCGGCGTACAGCAATGCGCATCATCATGATGAAGCTGGGCAGGAGGCCATTGGATCCTCCGTGAGTCACAAAAAACGCGTCCGGACAGTTGACTCACGCATAGACTTCCGATGTACAGGTCTCCCCACCTCCTCATTCCACAACAATCGACTCCTCCGTGCCAACGACTCCGGAACCCGCGGTTAGGTGTCAGTACGATGGGTGTCGCGGTCATTTCGCGTCTTTGAGTCTTTCGGATATAGCGTCTCACCTACGCCAGTGTCATTTCGACGGATGCTCCAGAGATGCTTGGAAAGGAGCCGACGACGACACGCGCGTGGTGTGCCAGTGGCCTCACTGCAACCAGGACAGACCGCTGTTGAGGCGCACGCTTGCGAAGCACCTCAAGGACGTGCATCTCCGGGAGAATAGGATCGTATGTATTCACCCAGGATGCACAGACTCGTTCTCTCGTCGTGACGCTATGGTGCGCCACGCCAAAAAGTGCCCGCAAAGCCCTTCGCACGAACATGCCTGAGTGCAGTACGTCGTCTCTGTTTTACGTGGCGATCTGGTTTTGCTTACTAGTAGCTATCCGCCATAGCTCCCGGGCCTTTCTGCCTTCGCACATCTACCCTCCCGCTGGCCGACTTTGAGGATGTCGTGCAGCCGTGGCAGTTCTTGCAACAAAAGTCCGTAGTACCCGACCACGTCGTACACGAGAATAGACCAGTCGAAATGCACAGTGCCATTGCCAGAGCGTCGTGGTGACATGATTGAGCGACGCGTAGGCTTTGTTGTGCTCACGAGCGTCCCGAACTTGAAGCTCCGAGTCAAAATACTATCGGCGATACCAGTGGGATGTCAGTCTTGCACATCCTCAACGCATCCCCGCAGGCTTCCGTTGACGATAGAGCATGCCAACGGCCAAGTCATCTCCTAATAATTATTTGTGTGTGGGGGATCGTCCCTTTGCGATGGGAAAAGCTCATAAAAGGAAGTCAAGGGTCTCCGCGCTGTCGCGGCAAGGACGGTTCGCTCTTCTCAACATCGCGCACCATGTTGGTCCTCGGGAAAAGGGAACGTAGCGACGAATCAGTTGCCATCTGCCGGTGTAGCGAGTGTAGATTTTGACGGAAATAATACACAGACTGTGACGGCCGTGGGCAGGTCAGACTACCAGCGCCAGCCTATGTTGGCGAACGATAAGGTCAGGTGCCACTGGCATGCCGGTGGGCATGTACCACACGCGGCCACGGAGGCTTTCTCTCCTCGACGCCCTAAGACCCCCTCATATCTTGGCTTTGCGCGGAATCAGATTCATTGTCCCGGGACCGACGGTCCACTATCCCAAGTTACACTTTGCCATTCAATCCACCAATCCCGTGGTAATACAAGCATATACCACTGGCCGGGAGCGAGGTACCTTAGGCCCGTCAGCGTAGTCTTTTCCACTCGAAGAGTTGCGGGCGACTGCGAGCGAACCGCTTTCCGGGGAATCACCTTGCCTAGTATGGGGCCAGGGAACTAGACGTCGTCCAAGAAGCGAAACAATCGAACCGAATCGCCGCGACGATGCATAGAGTCCGAGGCCTGTGCTGTTGTCACCACCCGCTCCTGTCCATCATGATAGTCTCCCGCTGAGGTGGACAAGTGGCCATACAGGGAACTGCTCAAGAGAGCTGAGAAGTCCGGAAGATATGATGCACGGCGCGCGCAGCACGGTCGGCGGTGCCAAGTCGGTGAGTTTTGCATCTAGCGAAACGTCGTAAAGCACGGCCGGTCAACGCCAGATCACCAAACTCCCATATCACCGCTTGAAGGGTCAGGCATGTGGAGCGAACAGGAGATAAGCCGCTGCGGCGGTCAGGGCGACCTAGGGGAGTTGCCAGTGAGGCGTGGTCTAGGATTCGCAGCATCCTGTACGTGTCCTCGTCCTCGTGCTTCCTAGATCTGTTTTGATCTCTCGAGGCTGAAGGTGCGAGCCAGAGATAGCGTCGCCGTAATGAATCTATTGATAAATGGGAGCGTGCCAGTGCCAAGGATGGTGCAGGTTCGGACGTGCTTCTGGCGGCGGACGCAGTGAAGTGAGTGAAGGATGCTTCCGAATTGCGCCTTTGAACTTTATTGTAGCAGACGACCACCTGCTCGAAGACGTTATGTTAGTAGCGTGGACCATGGGCACATGTGCTGCTGCGCACACAGACGACTCCGCGTGAGCCTACATCCGGGATCACATACACGGCTCCTGCCAAGCGGAAATGAAAACCTTCCTCGCCCTCGTGCGATAGCCTTTAGCTTGCTATCTGCTCCGGGATGAGCTAAGCGATTGGTCGCTCTGCAATCTATCAACGTGAGCTGTTAGCCACCTATACAGTTGCGTTTGCATCTCCCAATCGATCACTACGTTCACCGGGACTTCCGGTGATACGTCGGATCTGAAACGCATGAACTTCAAGGATGTTCATGTCGCGCGAGAGGAGCGACGACATAACATTGTGAGTTCCGCACTGCAGCGCTGTTATCGTCCACGAGGCCGTGAGACGCTGAGGTTTTGAATAGGTTCTATACCCATGTATCAGTATCACTTGGTTCTGCCTTTATGGCTCCTAAAAGCCGACTTCGCTTGATAAATCCGTGACACAACAATCAACGGACGGATGAGTTCAGACACTTACATACGAGGGAGAATTGGTGCGTGCATCTGGTGTGATGCATGACATGCCAGTGCGGCCTCACCTGCCAGTGCGGTTGTCGTGCCTCCGTGAATAGACTAGTATTGCCCCCCTGTGGACGTACGTGAGACCCCTTGGCTGTAGATGGGTCTGCTGGTAAGCGGAGATCGTCAGAGACGGCGCGCAACATTGGCAACTTCCCGCAACTGCAGGAGGTCAACGAACAAGCACGAGACCAAATCAGCATCCACGACGGTGATTCAGGACGATCGACTCGGGGCGCACATCGATCAAACAACCGTGGTACACGGGATCGTCCGTCCAATCTTCAATTGGCCGTCGCTGGCGAAAAAGATCTGCCAATGGGTCACGCGACCGCCTCAGTAACTGTGGTAAGTTCACAACTTGCAATGCACGAACTGCGCGCAAGAGCATTATCGCAGTGCCAATCCCTCAGGTCTTTCTTTCTGTTGCACGACAGATCTGTGCGGGCGGATGGCAAGGTATGGCATTTGATCTCCAGCGTTTGCCGCTCGACCAATTCGGAGTCCGATCTGTGGCCACACTAATAGGCGCCCGCCACCGAGTTCCGACGGTGGGTCGCCATGCCTTCGAGTTCGGAGGAAATTCGGACTCGCGGCCTTGCTGTTGCTCTCACCATCGGTCTTAGATTGCGTCTCTGTAACGCTGGAGAAGGTGTGCTGGCCGGGGTCACGGCGTTCCGCAGGACGCGGATCGAAGATAAGTATTCAGACATTGAGGCCTGATTCAAGTTGAACGTTGAACTGTCAGCGCTTCAGCCTCTAACGGGAAATCATCTCGGGGTGCTAATCTTTACGCAAGCGAGAAATTGGATCTTTCCACCGTGGGCATCGTGGCTGAATTGACGGGTGCCTAGGCGTGCCTCTGGACGAAATGCAATCTGACGGCGAGCAACGATCCGGAGATGGCCTCAGGCTGCCGTCAGCGGCATTCCGGTCACCTTCGAGTCGGCACCTCAGGTAAGGACTGATCCCAAACTGTGATATCGTCGTGGCGTCAAGCGGTCCGACGACGCCTTGATTACAGAAGTCGCTCCGAGTCCCAGATCGCAATAGACTCGTGATTCATGGCGCCAAACACTGAGGTGGACAAGAACTGCCTCGTGCGAAAAATGCAGGTCCAAACCTTGACTCTACATGGAATCCCGCTACTTGTTCAGGCCCTCAAGCTTGACAATAGGATTTGGTACATCAGATAACCCTAGGCAAGCTCGTGCGAGGCTGAGAACGTAGCCAGAGAACTTGAAACAGAGGCGCAGAGGATAGAATGCGGAGTGGGGTAAGCTGCAAATTGCAAATTGCGGTCAACGCTCCGGGTGTCCAAAGCTGCCACGACGCGCTGCATATGGGCTCCCGAGTGGTCGTTATATGTATTGATCCAATGTATTGATCTGACGCACGCTGGCACAGGGATTCTCTGTACGTCTCTCAAGTGTAACTTCAGACAGTTTGATGATTCCACCGGAATATTAAGGGCCCTCAGGCTCTGAGTCTCGGTGAAAGTTGGTCGGCGGTCAATCTGAATCAGGACATCGCGAACACAAAGTGTTGGTTGCTGAGCGACAAATGACGGGAATCTTGGCCGGGGTGTCCATAGTGTGGTGTTTCGGTGCATATGCAACTTGAAGCTGCCAGTTGATTTCATTTGTTACGGGCGCTGGGACCGGCGTGCGCAGCCAATGAACGTGTCGGAGGAGGCTTCGGCGTCGGGTCAGGGTGCCCGAACTGTCGTTGGAACTGCGGTCGCGAACTGCCAGCAAGGCGAAAAGTCGCGCCGCTAGTGCAGTAGACCCTTAAGTAAGTGCGCCCTGCGCTCAGTCACGCTGGCGAAGCAGCTACTACACGCCCAATTGGTGTGACGTGAAAATACCTTACCGGGGCGGGTCATACGGACCTGAATCGCCGGACGGCGCCATATACTGTAGTCGGGTTTGCGCTCTGACCTGACTACGATCTGAGAGGTGACAAGCTAAGGCCTCACCAACATCCTGTGTAGAACAGTCCTCACAGATTGACACGAAGACAAGAACGAGCAATGTCAAGTCACAGGACAATAAGTGACTGAGATCTCTCGTGCGCAAATCTGAGCCAACTGACTGCACGGTGATAGCCACAGACCCACCGACCACAGCAGTAACGACGTTGCAGTCTTACTCCCCACGTTATTAATCCAAAGTGCTCCCGGTCATGAGTTATTGCACCAGCCTCTACCAATCGACACCCTGCCGCCTCTTCAGCAGTCAGCGCCCGAGCACAACGTATTGTCCGTTTCGGCTCCGCAAGCTAGGCCGAAACGAGTGTCAAGCTAGGCGAACGGCAATTGCTCTTTCGCATTGCTGCCGGACTCGGTTTTCTCTTTGACCATCACCTGCACCACTGTCGGTCGTCACCGACGCGCTGACCGCTTACTCGCCGCTCGCCTTAGAGACCATAATAGGTAGACCAGTACATCGTAGTCACTACTGGCAGTGATGTATCAATACAATCATGATAATTATCATGATTTTCTACGTAACCCAACTTGAACCAACCACGAGCTCGCGATTCGTTCTAACGAGGTGTTGGTTAAGGGCCATACAGATGTGCTGACTACCTGAATCAGACATCGCCATGACCCGAAGACAGAGGTGGCTAAGATGTCCTGTCCGAGTCTGACCCTCAGGCCGGTGACCTGAACAGTTCAGGTCTGCCTCAGAGGTGACTGAGGGGCCTCTCCCGGGATAGGCGTATTCTGCGCCTCCTCAGGCCTCAGGACTTGTGGGCGCCACGCTGGCCGCGTAGCATGCCCGGTCTCAGACTCTCAGGCGACCGAGGCCTCTCCCACAAATGGGCGTGTACATATCCATTTATGGAAATTATACACAACCACATTCAGTGGGTGGCGTGCAGTGAGCGCTTAGAATAGGCGACGCTCAGCGCGAGCTCAGCGGTATTAGTGTTCTTGGCTCAGACTCACCGGACGGTTGTGCTCCAATCTATTCGCTAGTGTCATACTATGGCTGCTATAGTTTCTGCCCATCTGAGCGCTCTGTCCCGAACAATCTGATGTGTTCAATGGCACTCACTGTCACTCGTACGGTCGCGCGACGAATCAAGAATCAAACAGCGACTAGTATATCGATACTCCGACGGCATGTCATCTATACACAAGGAGAGCAGTGGCTTGATGCGCACATCGAGATGTAACGTGCACTCAGAAGGTGAGCGCACCGACCAGGCCTCAGGCTGGTTCCAGATTGAGTAGGTCATTCGAGTTCAGACTCATGAGCTGGACTCTGACGACAGACATGCTACACAGAGATCCAGTGATCCTTCCAGAAACTGTCCGAGACCTACATCCTACCTAAAATCGCTGCCTGCCACAGCGATAGCATATCCGGGAGGTCGGCGTGTGCTCGCGAAGCCTTTGATGCCATGCAATCGCTGCCACGGTCACGAACACACCCAAAGTTCCCCTCGTCTTCGGTCTTAGCGGAGCCTGTGTACTTCAACCATCAATGATGTGCGTCAAGATGCAACGAATAATGTCCTCATTGCGTGATGGTGGGACTAACAACTCGGAGGGCACACTACCAGTGAAGAAGGGTCCGGGCCCAGCGCTTCATCGTTTCACATTCACGTCTTTCGATGAACATCGAGCCTCGGTCCCCTTAAACACTCGATCCTCGTTTCTGGGTCTTGCTTGCACTCCCGACGGCAATATAATGGAGGGAGTTTCTGCTCGCAGATATGGTAGTTCCAGACGCTTACACAGGTGAGCTATCATATAGGCAATCCTGATACATCAGCCTCTCCTGGGAATACCTGACATGGCGTAGGTAGTTGCTACGCTGCGTCCGCGCAAGAGCTCCGTTCCCTGAAGTGGCAGTGGAACTGGAGACCCGAAGAGAAGACTTGGTGGTCGGTGTCCGCAATCAACGGCAAGCCGAAAGGGATCCCGCCCTTGCGCCCGGTCCGGCGAATAATGATTCCAATGTTCACAGTGGATCGACAAACGTTCGTCTTGTCGGTTGTTACTCCGCCCGAGATGGCACCACGGCCGGCATTCATTATTCTCACTGACCGTGATAGTAATAGGTACATAACATCGGAGGGATATTCCGGTGCCCGGCGCCCTTCGTACACGAGGCCGCGAACCGCACTGCCATAAACGATAATGGACGACGCGAGAGAAGGACATAAACCCTATCTCACAGCGGATCTCACGGGCAAATATCTCCCTCATCTCCACCATTCCGCGACACGCATGCACGGCAAGCTGTAGGGTTCAATGAAGTACGGAAACATCGGTCTTAGTATTGAAGTACGTGTGACGCCCCACACGAAGAGGCTAGAAGCACGTTTGACGAAAGTCTGTCTAGTGCGTGGTTGTACAAATGTCCTTGGGGTCGTGGCAATTGAATGCGTCTGAGCCCACTCACGACCAATCGGACCAACCGCCGTCGATGGCCCGAAGAAGTGCTTCGTAGGCCTTGTCTGTGCTTCGTAGGACGCGTCTATGCAGGCAGCTGCACGACCAAATGCGTTTGACGTAATCAAGCAGTTCGACCTTCGCGGAATCTCACTCTGAGTAACCCACTACCCATTGCCGACAATTGAAATTTCCGGATCAAAGTGCACAGAGTGGGCATAACGGCACCAAATCTGAGGATCTAGATTTTCCATGTCCCTGTATCGCGCCCGCACCGATGTTCGGCGCGCAAAGTCGAAGGTCATTCTCTCGAAATATAAATCCCCCCTCAGCGATGATCTTTTCCAGGTGCCTCCTCGATTCACCTCCTATCAGCGTTCGTGGTGCTGCTGACAGGCGTGCTGCGTTCTCTCGCCCCCATTGCTTCGACTCCGACTCCTCGGTAGGCTTCATCCACAATGGACCCAAGCGGCGCCCCGCATATGCATGGGTACGTACTCCTACGACTCGTGGTACCTTTCCACTCACCACGAGGGCACAACCTGTCAGCGATGAGTTGCACCCTCTCTGGGGAGGGCCGCAATTTGTCCCCTTCCTACCCCATGGAGGCCACCATTCCCCCGACCCTGCCGGCTATCCGTGTCCCGACCTCTACTCTCAGCCTCAGGCTGGCCCGTCAACGGCTGGTCCATCGACTCTCGCTACAGGGTTCTACCTGGAATCGGCTGCGCATAGCCATGAAATCTACTGCCTCGAGAGGTTCCTCGCAGCCATGCGTATCGTTGCCGAGCATGAGCGGAGTCCATTGGCGCGGCAAATCCTCGACATGGTGGTCATGTATGACCGTTTGGATACGGAGGGGCGGCTGGGAATGGCCGCGCCCCAGGCAGGCTTTCTACTTCCATACATGTCCACCGAGGGAAGCATCGTGCGTCTTTATATCGCGTCCTCTCTGAATCCGTGCTGATAAAACACCTGGTCCATAGGACGACAGCCACTCCTCGGCCCCAGGCTCTGTGGGGTCATCCCAGCCTGAGGACGATGGGCCGCTGTGCAAATGGCGCAGCTGCGGCCGGTCCATCGGGACGACTGTGGCGAAGTCAAGAAGCACCTCGTAGAACACCATCTCCAAGACATCCCGGAGCCGCTCGACGCCTGGAAGACGTCCGACTGAAGGTAGCATGCCGCTGGCGCGACTGCGACACCGACCTGCTGCACCGCAGCCTATCGAAGCATATCTCAGGCACGCACCTCAAGTCGACGACCGTGATTTGCAGCGTTGATGGGTGCAACGAGAGGCTGTCAAGAGGCGATGCTTGAAGAGGCATGTGGAGATGAAGCACAGGGTTAATATATTGATATTGGTGAGTCTGGCATTTACTATCGTCGGAAGCTGTGTTTATTTGTGGGAGGGCAGACGCCCCAAGAGCGTTCCTCGTATCTCGGTGATATGAGGTTTGGCGCACAATACAAAGCATACCCCGCATCCACGACTAATATAGTACAGGATTTTCCCGCCGTTCCCTCCAGTTCGAATCCCCGGGATCTTCACAATTCACACTTTGCGTATCCAGTTATTGTAGCATTCGGTACAGTATACGAGACTCGGTAGTAATGTAGCAACTCATAATGTAGCCTTCCCGTTATCATCACCCGCCCATTCCCCACACGTTGCAGCCTATTCACGAACAACAAGCATCCCCGGTATACTTACGCTCCGGTCGACAGTCCGATCTGCCGCTTCCTCGCGAAGACTGATGGCATAGAAAGGGTCACAACGCAAAACTTAAGATCGATGCACAAACAAGAACGGGGCTCGTACATTCATATCGTCACGTCACCGCTCGCCCCTCCGCTCCTCCACCACCGCGTCCATCCACCTGAGCACCACCGCCTCCAGCATGTCCTCCCACGCGCCCTCCAGCCGCGCGACCATCGGGGCGTCAAACAAAATCGGCTCCTCATTCGTGTTGCTCGGGAACCTCACCTGCGACGCGGACGGAGAGGGAACCGGCGTCCCAGAATAAGAGGGCGTCACCGACCCCGGCGTCCTGGCGGCGTTGGGCCTCGCGGGCGACGTGATCGGAAGAAGATAGCGAAGCTTCAGGGCACTGCAGACGGCATGTCAGTATGCGGAACGTGGTGATCTGAGGACGTGGAGGCGCTTACGCTGCCCACAGGCGGAGGTTGTCCGTGCGTCTGAACGTCCACCCCCGCTTGCCCGCCTCTCCCTCCTGGCCGGCGCCAGGAGACTGTGCCTCGAGCATGACGATGTCGTGGATGGCGTCCTTGCTGACGAAGCCCCAGGGTTTCCGCGACTTGCGCACGCCTACGTTGTACGCGACGCAAAGCAACTGGCCAGACGAGAGCGATTCTAGTAGTGTGGAGCGGTTTGGCGGTGCGTGGGGGAGCTGAGGCAGGAGATTCACGGGAAGGAAAGCTACCAAGAGAGCGTGCAGACGGCCTGACGCGGGAAATCTGAGCACAGGCTACGAAGAGGCAGCAATAAACTCACCCAGAGGGTTGTCAGCGAATGTTGACCGTTTCGCCCACTCCGGCAGATCGTCGTCCTCCACTGCGTCCTCCTCCGTCAATGTCTCCATCTCTTCTGGCTCTTCCGTGACAACCATGTCCCGCATCGCGTCGAGCATCCCCGTAGAAACGACTCTGCGTGACGCCCGCTTCGACGCCGCGCTGCTGTTCATGAGACCTTCCACGGAGCTCGCCCTGCGACCTTCCCTCTGCCTGCGCTCCGCACGCTCCCGCTCTCGCGTCCACCCGCGCTTCCCGCCCTGCACGCCACCGAAGAGCACCTCATCCACGGCGTCGAGGTACCGCCCTACGACCGCGCGCTCGCGGGCCATATCAGCGAGGCGCATGTCCTGCCGGTAGAGCCAGCCGCCCCCGAGGACGAGCCGCTCGTCCCACCGATCGCGCTTCCCGAGCTCCTCGTCGCTCAAGTCGCGCGTCGACTCTTCGTCCTCCCACACCGGCACCGGCTTCCTGCTCCCGCCGACCTCGATGAAGGAGATGGAGACGGACGTGTCGCCGTCGTTGTCGAAGAAGTCTGGGGACGTCGCGCGGGTGCTGAGGTCGCTCTGCTCGGGCGATGAGGTCGATCCATGGTCGCTCTGCGCGTCATACGCGTCGTGCTCGAGCGGGAGGCGCGCGGACTCCTCGAGGTCCCGCAGCGCCGTGAGCACCTCGAGCGCGCCGCGTCGGATGCGCGTCAACTGGTCTGAGGCTGCGTCGGGCTGTGAGACGCGCCTCCGTGGTAGGGGCGCGCTCGGCAGGCTCTGTGGGCGGAAGTACGTCTGGAGCATCGGCGTGGGGGAGTCGTCTGGTAGCGATACGAGGTAGTTGCGCACGGACCGTACTGCACGCGTAGTTGTCTTGAGGAGATCAAGCACGTCGAGGTGTTCTCCGGACTTTCCGCCTGCTCCCAGGAGATTGGGATCTTGGTCTATGTGTATGCCTCCGTCCAGCTGCCACCCCGCCGCGACCGCACTCAGGTCTTCGATGACTCCTGGCCGGAGGCTCTCCGAGTCTGTTTCGAACGTCTTCACGTACGGCGGGAAGGATGGCTGGATGATCTGCGGGACGGCTGGGGACGGCGGGAGCTCGAAGTCGCGCACCTGCTGGGAGAAGGGGCGGATGTGGAGGGCGGACGGGCCGCCGATGGCGGGGACCATGCCGCTGTGCGGCTTGTTGAGAGGACTCGAAACGGCCGCAGGCCGCATCAGCGCACGCTCGCCTCGCCCGGGAACGCAGCACTCACTTGCTTTCCGCCGCGATGCCCGACTTTGTGAAGTAGTGCTGCAGGTGCTCGATGCTCCCCAGCGCCATCACGCTCTCCCGCTTCGCTGCGCTGCGGCTGAACGGCTTCTGGGGCTTGTTCGCGGACTTCATGTGTGGGTAGAAGGCGACCTGCCGCCGCGAGGGGGTGCGCGACTCCTCCTCGCCGGCGGAGCCTTCCGACTCGGGCGGTGGCGCGTCGGCCGGGAATTTGAAGGTGGGCGCGGTATTCATGGCGTGTGGTATCCGGTCGGGTATGTGATTAGTGCAGAGCAGGAGCGATCGTAGGCCATCAGCAAAGGAGAGCAGGACGCATCGCGGTAGACGAGTGCGGAGGTGATCGAACCATCCTCGTCCGATTTCGCGTGCCATCACAACTCCCACCCCGACCGCTCGGGTCATCTTTCCTCTGCTAGTCGCCAACCTAAGCGATCCTGCACCCTCGATGCACTGTGAGCGATGGTGATATCATTATAAGACTATGTAGATGTAAACAGGAAATCGCATAGCACGCGACACAGTCCGTGCAGTTTTGCTCGTCCCCGGGCAGCACCTCGCCTCGAGACATCGTAAACGTAACTACTACCCTCACATCATGCTCCGCGCAATCGAGTTCAGCTGCCCAGCCATCTCCGGGTAGTTCTTCATGAACTCGACCTGTGCCCTCGTCGCCTGTAAACTACCATCAGAATCGCCACACTACCCGCGTAGAAACTTGACTCACAAACTGGTACGTCAGCGCGTTCATGAGCTCCGGCTCGCTCCGCGCAAGGTCAGCTTGGCGTTCGAACATCTCCATCGCGACATCGATCTTGCCCTGCTGCAAGCTGAGCTGCGCCAGAGTCGCAACAGCAGCCTCGCACTCCGGGTCGACTCGCAGCGCTTCTTGGCAGCACCGCTCTGCCGCTCCGACGTCCTGCTTCCACTGGTACAATGCAAGACCCTTGTTCACTTGGGGCAGAACGTTGACAGGCGGCGGTCTGCGAGGCTCTCTGAGTGCGAAACAAGTGAACCGTATTCTCCAACTTACTTCGAGCGTTCGGTCTCAATCTCAATCGCACGGTCGAACTTGTCAACTGCTTCCGAGAACCGCTGCTGGTCGAGCAGCAACTCTCCGCTACAAAAGCTATCAGTAGTCATCACTAACCGGGAGTATCAATGCGGACTGACTAGTAGTTGTGCGGCTCGCTGCGATGTGGGAACGCCTTGAGCGTCCGCCGGAAGGTCGCCATGCTGTTCGCGAGGTTGTTCGCCTTGTACTGCGCCACCGCGAGCTGTATGTGACTGAACACAAACTGGTCGTCCAGCTGCGTCGACTTCGTGTAGTTCTGCGCCGCCTCCTCGAACTCGTTCATAATGAACAGAACTAGCAGCAACCACGCGTCTCCGTCAAACCGCAGCCGCCTCAGACGAATGGGCAACTTACCTTGCCCACGGTGGTAATATATGTCCGGATCGTCCGAAGTTGTGCTTAATCGCCTCCTCGAAGCAATCGAATGCCTTCTTGGGATCGCCCTGCTCCATATAGACGCTGGCGATCTTGACCCATGTTTGCGTCAGGGACGGCTGGAGGTCGATCGATGCGAGGAAGTCCTCCTTCGCGCCAGTCACGTCCGTCATCAGGAACCTGGCACCCACAAGGCAAGCAGCGGGAGAACGTCAGCCCGAAATGGGAGTGTGCATGCCGACGGACGCACTTGAACGTGCCGCGCAGGTTGAGCGCCTCGGCCTTGCCCTCGTCGAACGAGATGCTCTGCTCGATCGCCTCGTTGACGAGGCTGAGCGAGTGCGTGTAGTCACCAGCGGCGAGCGCCTGGAGGGACAAAAGGAGAGTTTGGTCGCCTTGCGAAGGGGTCTCGGGGAGGGTGGGCAGTTGACCTTTGAGAAAGATCAGCGCGTGAGCCTAAGATAGGTCACGAACTTGAACTCACGAGTACGGAAGGCTCCAAAGTACGCAGATACGAATGTATGTGAGGGAAGGCGCCGTTCACGACCCTGCGGCATCGCTCAGCGAGTCTTCAAGAGGTCCAGAGATAGACGTACCGCAATGATCTCTGAGGCTTTCTTACCCGACAGCTTCTTCAGCACCCGTTCGACAGACTGTGCTGCCGCCTCATTTTGGAACTTGTTTAGGATAGTCGCCGCGGTGTAGTCTGCCAGCGATAAGTCTAGCTCCCCTCACGCGCCATGGTCATCCGAACATACCCCGCAATGCCTCCTCACTCTTGTCCAGCGCCTCCAGAGCAGTTGCTCGACGGTTCAGGGCCTTGACGTAGCTAGCGTCGAGCTTGAGCGCCTCGTCACAGTCCGCAACGACCTTTTCGTATTCTGGAGGGCTCATGTTGATGTAACATGCCGCGCGGTTGCTGTAGAACACAGGCTCGGGCTTGGGGGTGACGACAATCGCTCGCGTGTACAAGTCAATGGCGGTACTGAACTGGCGGCTCGAGTACGCGGCATTGCCCCTCGCCTTCAAAGAGGCTGCTGCTTTTGACCGTTCCTGTAGCAGTGTGAAGATGAATGTGTACGTCCACAGACACTAAGAGACGCACCTCAGTGGACATGCGAGCGACGTCCTCAGCCGAGAGTATGACATCCTCTGGAGCACCGTCCGTCATGACCTCCCACCTCGGGCACAGCACTGCCAGCTCACCTTCCTCGGACACCTCCGCCTTCGGCGCACGCTCCTCGAGAATGGGCCCGTCCTTGTCCTTCGTCGTCTTGCGCTTCTTGCCCTTTTTCTTGTCCTTCTTGCGCTCACCCTTCTCCGAGTCCCCATCCGCTCCTGGCCCGCGTGACGTGGAAGCATAGTACGCAACACCGCCGATGGCGACGAGCGCGGCGGCAGTGCCGATGAGGACCGCCCGCCTGTTCTCGGAGACGAAAGACTGGACGCGCTCGACGACGCCCTGCGAGGACGTGGAGGAGGAAGACATGACGGAAGGACGGCGGCCTGGCTGCCGGGCGCGTGAGGGAATGCCATTTTCTGGTGACGGTCACATGTGATGCACTTTCCAAAAGGGGTGAAGACAGAGGTTAGGGTCTGAGCTGGCTGAGATCGCTGAGATCGAGGCCTCCGATCCTCGAATCTTGCCCGATCTTCCTTCCATCCTACTCCCATTGCCTTACTTGTCATTACCCATTCTCAGACTCTGCGCGACAATGGAGCCTACCACCGCCTTTGCCGCAAGCGGCGAGGATGCGATCACGCGGACGATTGACCTCGACGATGTTCTGGAGGAGCTCTCGCCTGAAGAACTCGAAGATTATTATGACATCGACCGCACAGTAGAACAAATATGCAAAGGTGATTACAAAAGGGTACACTCTACACATAAATCCGTGATATGCTTGACCAGGGGCTCATGGCTATACAGATAGCACTCCAGTTCCCTGATGAACTGCTGCGTGACTCCGTCCCCATATTTCGACGCTTGAAGGCTCGGCTCGGTGACGGACGAGAGCTATATGTTCTAGCCGATACATCTTATGGCAGGTATGTTGCTTGTTGTCCCAGTCAATTCATGGCTTTGAATTTACCTTCACCCAGTTGTTGTGTCGACGAAGTTGCCGCTCAGCACGTCGAGGCGGATGCAATGGTCCATTACGGACATGCATGCATGAGCCAGTGAGTAACCTCGTCAACCAAATTGTCGTCCCACATAAGAACGATGCTTTAAACAAGGACATCGCGCCTTCCGGTCATCTACGTATTCGGGAAGAAGCCGATCGATTCCGCGGATTGTATAGACAGCTTCGTGCAAGCGTTAGCAAGCTCAAGCTCAGAGCACACGAAGGGCGCATGTATGCTCCGACTCGATGTTGCATATGCTCACAGAGCAGGTGGACTAGACTTGTACCCGAAAATATGCTACGGACTCACGAATAACCTCCAGACGCGATTATGAATAAGCTTCGAGCGGCTCTCCCTGCACCAACCAAGATCCTCCAGTCGCCGATTCCGAGTATGACTTATCCGACGAAGCAGCCAAACAAGCTCGACCAGACGCCTCAGCAAGATTCAAACTCTGGGGAAAATGATTTCGAAGAAGCGTCCTCCGAGAATTGTGTCATCCTCTACGTCGGAGGGGAAAGCCTCAGTCTCACCAATCTGCTCATGACACACGCGTCTTGCCAGGTGAGCCTTTCAATCTCATCGTTCCGCACGAAGATCCGGCGCCTCAACCCAGCGCAGGTCTACTCCTATGATCCTCAGACAACAGCCACCCGTCTAGAATCCGCGCGCACAAACAGGCTTCTCATGCGTCGATACGCTACAGTCCAAAAGGCCAGAGATGCGGACGTCTTTGGCATCCTCATAGGAACGCTCGGTGTAGGTGAACACCCACATACCGCCTTTCCCCCAAATGTATCAACTCATCACCTACGATTCTTCAGCTTCCTACCTCCCACTGATCTCTCATCTACGAAAAATGCTGGCAAAAGCCCACAAGAAGAGCTACACGATCAGTGTAGGAAAGCTCAATCCTGCGAAACTCGCGAACTTCCTGGAGATCGAGTGTTTCGTGCTCGTCGCGTGTCCGGAGAACAGCTTGATCGAAGCCAAGGTCGGCCATACTCGCCCGCTCTCCCTGAGAGTTCGCTCACCGGAGAATGGTACAGGACTTCTTGCGCCCGATAGTGACTCCGTATGAACTGGAGGTGGCGCTCCGGGCGGAGCAGAGCTGGACAGGACGGTACGTCTTGGACTTCGACAGAGTGCTCGCGGAATACAGTGGACACGAGGAGGAAGGTGAGTCGAGTGATTTGTTCCATCTACGTACGCGATGCGAAGGCTTCCTCTCAGAAGACGCGTCGACTCGCGATGAGGAAGATTCCGATGAACCTGTGTTCTCACTCGTCACCGGGAAGTACCGATACGCAAAACGTTATGGTGGTACGTAGCGAAACTCTCGTTCAATAGTCTGCTCGCTCATGTCATGACTGCGACACAGCTTCAGCTCCCGCTGAAACCCCCTCAGGCGACTCCTCTGCAGTCGTTCTCCGAAATAAAGACAACTCAATTGCTGTCCTCGCAGACAGTGCAGCAGGTACGCTAGTCTAGTGGGTATCGTGTGAAGGCCAACTGTTGATCAATCATCTCAGGACAATTCCTGCAAACCCGTACATTCCAGGGCTTAGAAACGAGGATCGGCCAGGATGCGCCGAGTACGCTCGAGCAAGGCAGGAGTGGGATTGCGAAGGGCTACGCAGACGACCACCGGTCACAATGACAATGACAATGAACTCAGCATAATTGCATTGCACGAGCTGCGAATGCGAGGGTACATTGAAAAGCACATGGTACAGCGGGCCCAACTTATAGTACAAGTGGATCGGTCAACCATCGTATGCCAGTGGCACTGCTCCGCTAGCGTCGATCACTGTGCGTACACCAAGGTCATGATACAATGTCGACGGCTTCGATGTCAAGGATTACTCACCTAGGGCGAAGTCGCCATGCCGTGCACGGTCTTGACGTGTCTCTTCCAGCCGTCTCCCCTGCTCAAGACGGTGTCGCAGCCCGGCACGTCGCACCTCACCTCCGTCGTCTTGAGGTGAGACGTGCCGATGTGCTTCGCGACGCTGCGCTTCTTGAGAGTCCCGCGGTGTCGGCAGTCCCTCCACAGGCAGCGGATCCTTTCGTCTGAGTTCTCCCATTCCGTGCGGTCGTCCATGAAGTGATGGTCCAAGAGATGTTTGGTGATGCCGGCAGTCGTAGTGTCCCAAAGGATTTCACGACAGCTATCGAAACGACATGCTTTGCCGTCGCAAGCGAGCTCTTGTTCGTGGACGTTGGGGTTCTAAGTGAACAAATTATGAGTTCCGGCCTCTGAGCCAGTTGACTCGGACGTACAATATGGCCAACGTGAGCGCGAGTTAGATTATCTTCTCCACTTGGAAACATGCTCAACGAGTTTTCCCCCGTCGTGAATAGAGATGTTGACGGGTGTGCGAGCATGAATGTGTGAACATCGTGCAAAATACGGTCGGCTTGGGGTGGTAACGCCGTGGACGAGCAGACAATGTCGGTGAACTGCTCAAGAGCCCGACGACGATCGCAAGGGTCGAGGATTGGGAAGGTGGAGGCGGACAACGAAGTCGCCATGCTGGGATGCTGCTGCAGAGCATTCCCCGCAGGTGGTAAAACCTCAGGGGAATAATACGAGTATGTAGCGCCGTGTAGGTCGACAAATAAATTTTCACGGAACATGCTACGTCCAGTCATGGTGAGTGCGCCACTCCGAGCGGATGTTGGAGAAAAGTACACACTCGAAGTTGGTAGGAATACGGTCCATCTTGCTCTGGGTGTCTTGTGGCCCTCTTCCACGGCGGTCCTATGCTGGGTGTGGCACATAGCAGCGTTCGGCGTGATATATAACCACAGCGGGAGGGGGGAGTGTCTCGACGGAGGAGCCTGTTTTGCCGTGGCCATCGCCGCGTAGCCGCACGTCCGTAATGTGGGCGGCAATCTCCGTCGGGCTCAGTGGATGGCAGCGGCCGGTTCAGGTAATGATGCTTGTAGGAAAGAAGGGCAGTAGAAGACGCAATCGTCTCGCGCGTTGCCAGACATTTAGTGGCGGTACTTGCCGGCTTCAATCATGAATATTCTCCGAGCGCGGGTGGGAGCCGAGAACTCGCCGTATACACGGGAGAACTCGTTTGTAGGCCTGCTCGGGCCTAGGAAGCATATGTATTGACAGACGACTGATACAAGGGGAGCGGTTGTTGCCACACTTCGAGGGGAGACCGGTGAGCTCAGAGTCAAGACATTCGTGTATGATAGGGAGCCTGGCTGGATCTTTCCGATGCACTTGTGCCCGGACATTACCGAGTATAGGTGATGACCCTGACGCCGATGATGGTGGTGCTAAGGAGTGGAGGGCCACGTAGCGAATTAAACGCCGTGTCAGTTCACAGAGGGACGTCAAATTCCAGGAGCCACTCGCCTATGCATTGACGTGCATCTTAACAATTTCATCTGGAAAGAGCCGATTGCATTGTCATGCCCTGCTTAGACCCAGCAGATACGCGGGGCAATTGCCAATGCAGACGCTGTTTTGGAATAGGCGCACCGTGATAATAGAGTGGTCCAGTGTGCATCACACAATCGCATGTGAAGAGCACGGAACTACCCGCGACAATAGTGCGACTAACGCGCGCGGCGCTACTAATATAGTAGGTCGAACGGAAAGCGCTAGGAGAATATCTGGCGAACACGCAGCCAGTGGTAGACGTCATTCCACGGCGTGAACTGACAAAGGGGGCGGTTCATGAGTCAGCGCTTCAGCGGGGACAGTTACTTACTATGCGCTGCATGCATAGTTTGCTATGATAGTATGTCCGAGACCTGGCGCTGACTCGTGCAGACTCGGGACTGTATCAGCTTCTGCGTCGTTGTTGACATGTCGACAAATTCGCTCACCAATTGTGATTCGAGAGATCCGGGGGTTGGGACGGACCGAATCACTCACTCATATCCATGCATCTTAAGCTTGTAGTCACGGTAAAGATTGCCGTCCAAATTGTCGGTCCTGCAGCGCCTTTGATGCGTTCAGAGGTGTGAATACGCATCCATCAGGTACTGGCACTTCAACGAATTACACAAGCTTGAGTTGATTCAGTCAAGACAACGGGACAACAGTCAACAGATCTAGATGCAGTCGGCCTCGGTTCGTCATTCAATGGGCCCGTCAGATTGGGCATTACAGTTTAAATTTGTTCAAATCGGAGGAGCGCGCTATGTAACTTGACTCGGAACTTCATGTCATCGTCAGATGCTGCTGGGCGCTACCGCGCTCCCGGCCGATGACTAATGACCCACCCTCCTCCTCCTCCTCAAGTTGGATGTGCACGTGTTCTGCCACGCCGCCGAATTGGCCGATCTGCAAGTAAGTACTCACTTGATTCTGGCTCACACCTACTAGTAAAGCTGTATATCACTAGTACTGAATGAAGACAGTCGAACTTTGCGTCCCTCTCTCAAGCTTGGCCTGCAGATACTCAGTCAACGGAGTCGTGTTCCGGAAACTACGCGCTGAAGAGGACGCCCGTCATGTTCATCAACCGTGACCGCCGTGTATATTGGTCTCCACCGAGTCGTCAACGCTTCAGCCGGCACAGATCGGGACCGCTGTAGCCTAGCCTTATGCGAAGGAGACGACCTACGTTCGGCGCTGCAAAGTTGCTAAGTCCGTTGCTCCCAAGCGTGGTCCGCCCTCGTACTACTAAGAGGCTGCGACCACGGTTATTGATGCGGTAGCATGACCCACAGGCACCTCCGCCACGGGCCCGCCGATTGAGATTCGACAGAAGATCTCGTATGTATGCCTCGGTTGTTTGATCGACTCGGATGTGCGCCCCTCGATCGTTGAGAATCAACGTCCGAGTCGCGGATTGGCCCTGCGGCTAGTGCGTTCGGTAATGGTTGACACTCTGCATGGAGGGTAGCTTACGTTTGGCAGTGGCATCCCTGGCGACTTGGCTTGCCAGTTGCCAGTATAGAGTTACCCACGGCTTGCCCTTTTGTACAGAGTGTACTGGCACGACATCCAGTATCGGAGAAGGCAAGGTACGCCTACAGGAACCACAAACGTAGAACCCAGTATTGCTGATATATGTGATTAATCATATTGGTTCAGCAGTGTCTTGAAACCTCGTTGTCGGAAGGAAGTCATGGCAGTGCCGAAAGTCGCTGCGCCGCATCAAAGCCGCGCCTCTCACATTCAACGTATTACCGGAGGCTCTGATACGATGGTAGCGGTCAGTTCGGACACAAAGCGACTGAATAGGTGTACCAGAGCTCACGCCGATGAATTCTAGAACGTTCAGATAGCTGGTACTGAAACAGATAGCCAGGCAAAGCCTATCGGCGCACGAGGTTCAGGAAGTTTCATTTCCGTTCGATGGGTGTAGGCCCATGCATATTCGTCTTTGCTGCAGATGCACCATGTGGCCACGGTCCGCGCAGTACACATAACGACTCCAAATAAGTGGGTCATCTGCCTAAGTAAGTTCGATGGTCCACTTCAGAAGCATTCCCCCCCACTCCAGTATCACCGTGCCCACCAGAAGCAAGTTCCCTATGTTATCTCTCGTCATGCTCCCGTCCAGGAGTACGAGGACACGTAACACTGGCAGATGCTGGTAGCTTTCGAATGCGCACCACTGGCAGCTCGAACGGATCGCCTTAGTCAATCGAAGCGTTTCTTCCGCCGGTAGCTACCTGATCGTTGGAAAGGGTCATACAGGGAGCTAGGGCATCTGGCGTCGATCTGACCTGTTTGCTGAGACTCTGATAGGCATGGGAAATCCACTACATAAGTAGCCAGACGCCGCCGAACATGCCAAATACTCCATGGATTACGTCTTCTCTGTATCTAGAAACCGCCCTGTCTGTGCGGTTTCGCAAGGTTCGCGCGAGCTTGTAGATCAATCATCTCGGTCAACCGCAACTCTTCGGGTGGGAATTTGATCTAGTACGGAGGGGCGTAAGGGCCCCAAGCACCGGACAATAATGGTATTTCCGCTGCAGTGATCTGCACAGCTCAGGCAGGTTGCCGTTATTGACTACGCGAAGAGCCCGGCTGCATCGGGACGTTTGTCAGTTCACGTGCGAATGATTGAGGGGAGCCACTCTCACTGAGACTTATATTAGCGGGCATGTGAAGCGGCCGCTCGCCTACGAGTCTGGCTTGTCTTCCACTCTGTATTGATTCTGGCTCACACCTACTAATGCTGTATATCAGTAATTAGTACTGAAAGAAGACAGTCGGGAAAACTGTGCGAACCACATTTATGTGTTGGCAGACTTGCGCCTTTACTACTATGAGAAGTAAGTTGCGGTTGGCGTCGTGCGGCTGAAGGTGCTGACCAGGTCCTATTCACTGAATACACTGCCCTCGTTGCTGTCAATGAGATTGACACCAATGAGAGCCGCACGGTCTGTACAAAATGGTAGGTGTGAACGGCAGTCTGGTTCCGAGGCTCTACCCTAAACATGTCGCAAACCGCCAGTGGGTCATGCATCTCGATCCACATGACAATTATAGGAGAAGGTCCCTATGATGGAGACATTCATCAGCGAACGAGAGAGCTTGAAGAAGGGGAGATGCACAGTAGCAGCGAAGAAGGGTACGGCGGGTCGTTGCGGCTATCCGTGTATGTCCACGCCTGAGTGTATGCCTCTCCATATATGTTGTCCCACTATGTCGTAGAGGTGGCGATCGGGAAGCTGTACAACGTCTCGGTCAAAGTGGCTGTCGAGTAGGGCCCCGTGTAGGTCGGCGCGATGATCGAGATCGTCTCGGTGGTTGTCGGGGTGTAGAGGACCGGGCACGAGGGGTCAGAGGTAGCCTATCAAGGGGCACTCAGTTCGCCGTGGAGATCTGAGGGACGAGGACGTACTCGGGCCTGTGGCGCTGCAGACACACCGAGGACGGCCAGTCCAGCGAATGCCGTGAGCGCGAGCGCTAGCATATTCACGGTGGGTGATGTAAAGCTACGACGCAGTGTCACAGAGCCATCCTCATGTCTTATGCCTCACGGAAGGCCAGCGCGACTGACCTGGTTCGATGAACTAACGCACGGAGGAGGCAACCATGTATACCGAGATGTATTCAGTCGCGGGAACAATCCACGCGCACTCCCGAAGTGATTTGGGTTGCAAATGGAATGACATGAGAGATATGCTCCCAGTCTAGCAAATACGTATGAGTTGCCCGGACACAGGTCAACAGACTATGAATCAGGGGACACTGCATACCTCGGCACGACGCTCAGTCGTAGGATTCAACGAAGGTGAGAGCCAGCTCACGCCTGTTCGTAACAGTAAGTCAACGCAGCATAGCCGCGCACCTAGACTCTGACGAGCACAAATGCTATGCAATCCATTCTCCAGCTCACGCGTAGCTGGACTGCAAAACCACAGAAGCATTGGCTTGCACACCTGCCTATGAAATAGTGCACTGACTCTGAATTGGCGAGCAAATCGCCGACGCAACGTGCTATCAACTGTCAGATACCAGTATCGCCACAAAAACGCACTCGTGAGATTCAACGCCGTAATTTCAAGAGAGTGCCGCAGATTAGAGGTATCCTGACCTTGTGCACATCCGATGTGGGGTTATATGCGAACAGACGCCACCCGAGCGAACGGAGCAGTTGATGATCGATGATGGCTCCCTTCTTCATACAGTCGTTTGCATAATGGTTGTCGCTTCGCGTTGACCAGCATAGGTGGAGCCGAGGCTCCACGCCCCACGGCACACATCGGCGGAACGACCACAGCATCTGGGCCCCTCGTCCGAAATGTTCGGGATACCTGGTATCTTGCTGAATACCCTCCATATTCTGTGGCGAGGATGCAGGCTAGGTGTCCTGGGTTTCGTGGCCGGCGTTGAGAAGAGACTATCATTGGCTACCCCGCACACTCTGTGCAAACAACGGGATTGACCAGCTCCGGTGGTGTGTCGGGGCCAGCCAAAGAAGGCCAAACAAATTTCTCGTCGCGCGCATGCGACAACCATTATGCAAACGACTGTAACTCGTTGCTGTTCAGCTGCTCGCCAGCTGGCATGTGGAGGTGACTTGAAGGGGTCCGGACTCCGAGTTAGCTATAGCGACCTGATGGTGGTTTGGACGGGTTTACCCTATAAGCACCGGCATCGCGGAACCCTTGCGTTGTAGCGATGATATGTAGGTGAATAGAGCCTAGTGTCGGTACTTGAGTCGCGGTAAGTATTGGAGAGGTAACATCATGGTGGAGGGCTCACTTGAACGGTGTGTGTGACTACCAAATGAGTGAGGTGTCACCGAGGGATGACCGTGATGGATTGTCACGGACGCGCTTGTGGCGAATGTGGCGAATGTGGCGCACAAGTTCAATTTACGACGCCGACTTACTTGGATCCACCGGCTCACAACTTTGCGAACAAACTGCCCACGAACGCTGCTAGAATCTAGTAACTCGTTGCACCTTATATCTGGCCCTTACCGCTTGGAAGAAGCAGTCGATAGCCCGGCGGGCCTTTACATAGCTTCGCCCGCGACGCGCGTGTGACGTGCGCTCGGCGACATCAGCTAGTCCAGATCTGACCCCTGAGCCGTATGGCCGTCGCAGATACCTCAGTCTGCTAGCCTCGAGCGACGGTGAGTGCTCTGTTCTTTCTATTCTGCGGCCTAATTCACTAACTTTCCATGCTCGTAAGTGTACTATTGTGGCTGGAAGGGCCTCACGTGCGTCCCAGTCAGAGCCGGGAGTCCAGAGTGGATCGTGAAGAGTCATCACGCAGATTCTGAGAGATAAGAACGCCAAGATCAGCCATCCTTGTCATCGTCTTCCAACGAAGCAGCGCTGTCGGCCCGTGTCGCAGAAAACAAGGCCGTCGCGATGCTCGGAGAACCCATGATGATAGAGGGCACCGCCCACAGCGTGGTCCGTGCTTCTAGTAGGGCTTTGATTATCGATAAGGCAGCGAGAACAAACAGCTACCCAAATCGATCACAAGGGCTGAGCCCGAAATGGCGGACAATAGGTGCGGCTGACTGTTTGTCAGGACCAAATATGGACCCACACGGAGGCGTATAAGGACCCGAGGTGAACGCCACTTCGTCCCCATTCCCTCTTGCCCTCCGACCACCATGTCGGACGCGCCTCCAGTTTTCCACCACCCGCCACTCGGCCTTCGCACGTAGTCGCATTCCGTGGATGGGGGAAGTCGGCCTTGACTACGATGCGCCACACCCTGGCTTTGGGGCCGGCCCGGGGTCCAGAGCACCGGCAGCCTAGGTACGTTTACTTATCGATGCGCAAAGCACTTACTAACGTATTCTGCACTCTCCTGCCTTTTTCCCACCTGCCATTTGCGCGACGCCACACATCTCCGTGCGACCGCCTCTCAGACGAGCGAACACGTCTCTTGGTGCGTGCCAGTGGCTGTCCTAGGTGTCGACAACAAAGTAAGTCAATGTTGAATCTTGTCATGCAATCACGACTGACCGCGATGATAGATAGCGTCCATCAAGACGACGAGTGCATCTGTGTGCGCCAAGACTTCCATCAATATGTGTGCCTCAAGACTATGCGACTTATGACCAACCTATGCAACAACAAATCCCTTACGGGTTCAACGAATTATGCCAGACGACGGCCCAAAGTCCCGCAAGGGCACACCCGTACGTTGCACAATTGGTGATGGGACCGTCCAGTCTACCGTCGTCCGCACGATAGCGGCGACGTAGGCCCGGCTACTCGCGTCGTCGGTAGCTGGAAGCAGCTGTACTGCAGACGTGCACCAAGGGTCAGGAGTGTCGCGAATACGCGCCTCCGCAGGGACACGGTGCACGGACTCTGTACGGGGACCGTTCCGCCGTTGACTGGTCCGAGACCCGACGCGTCGTCGGTAGACCACGAGGCTAGCCAGTTGTGGCGTGCGGGTGGGACGACGTGGCCTAACGTAAGTGCTCAACGTCGTCTCTGACTTCCAGCTCGACTCACCGTCATTGTAGGCCACGTCTCGACGTCGAGGATCCAATTGGTCCGCGGCGAGCGCATCCAAATCCTCTACCGCCTATCGGGCACAAACCACCCCTGGTATGTCGTATTTGCGCGAACGGGTCCAGCCTCCGGTTTGAGGTGGTTCATGCTCTGGCATGGGCTTCCGGAGGCACCGTACCGACGACGCCGTGCATCAGCGGAGACGGGGCGTTACGCTCACTGTCAACGAGATTATGCCGGGTCATTACGTCGAACATGTACGGGGACGTCTTCGCCGCCGGTGCACGCCCGCTTCGTCGGACTACCGTTGCTGGCTAGCGCACGACCATACTGGGGAGGGGCGTCGCTCATCAAATCAGGTGAGCGGCGCTCCTGGCGAGGGTGCAATGTGAGTCTTTGTCGCGGAGAGGTCGTAGACGATTGCTAATTTTGGTCTCGCAGGATCGCCCGAGCGAAAACTCCGGAATTCCGGATCCAAATCCTCGATCGCCCCAATCGGGCGGAAGACATCCCTGGTACGTCGTTTGTGTGCGAAAGGGTCCAGCCTCTGGCGCGAGGTGGCCTGCCCATGCGGCGGGCTGCCGGAGGCACCGTACCGCCGACGTAGAGCACCGATGGCAGCACGGCAGATAGATTGCCTGCAGTGGGCTCGCCCGTCATCATGGTACGGGGACGTCCCTGCCGTCAGTGCACGCTCGCATCGTCGGGCTACTGCATCGTGCTAGCGCACAAACGTACCAGGAAGAGGGGCGTCGCTGCAAAAGACAGAAAAAATAACATGAGCGGCGCCCCTGGCAAGGGTGCAACGTAAGTGCTCGTCACGATCATCGCAGAGTGTCTCTGACGTTGTCGCAGGAACACCCGAGCCAAACCTCAAGCTGTAGATACGTTCATCATAACTTATACATCTCACCGCTACTCCCCTCCGACATTCGTGCCCCAGACGCGCTGTCACTCGAGCTCGCCGACAATGCGAGCGATCCGCCGTCGGAGGTTCCGGGTCCTCTCGAGCGTCCGGCGGCCCGGGGGTTTTTAGTGGGTATAGCAAGCGGACCAGAGCACCACCAACATCTCGACGACGACACATTGGTGCGATGACGGTCTTGAGTCCTACACTGTTCTCTCTCGCGAGAGTTCGTGCGTAATTGCATTTTCCCCCGGGAGGAAACGAGCGTCGCCTCGTTGTAGCCTGGTATCGGGCCCTCCAACCAAAAAAAAAAAAGAGGCTGAACGCGTCACAGAGTTCCTCTTGATGTGAGGCGGTGAGTATCCGTACCAAGCTTGTTAAGGATGAACTCACTCGGCCTGTCGCAGATGCCCTCCGGCGCCCGCGCTGAGGGCCCGGAGTGTGGTCTACGTGTACTCTTGCTCATCAACGCCCTCATCCTTACAGTGTACATCCTACCAGTACGTCTTCGCCGATATCGCAGGCTAGCCTAGTACTCGGTCACTGACACTCGCGCAGACGGACTTCGTGGTTGCAAGAGCATGGCGTCCCAGACATGGACATGTACGTCCTCCGAACCGTCGTTTCCACTGTGTCTTCTCTTCAGCACAGCTTACACTCCGCCGCAGCGCGACGACCGTCCTCCTCTCCCGTTCGGTCCTCAACCTGCGCGAGGCCGCGTTCGGCTCGCCGATGTCCAGAGCACGTCCCAGTCTCCGAGTCAGCTGTCCGACCTGCGTTCTCGGGGCTGTCGGAAGTCCTGCGACGGACGGAGCTGTAGAGGACTTGGCGGGACGCCTTTGAGATGCGGCCGCACGGGTGGCTCAGGACGTGTACCATCGTACTGTCGCGTCGTAGCAGTCCCTTGTACGCATCGATGCTGGTCTTCTGCAGATATCGTGTTGCTCACAGTGCGCAGGTACAGACGGCGACGTGTAGCATGCCGCAAGGGATGCTTACAGTCCGTTCGTACGCGGAGGCGCACCACCTCGAGTCGAGTCCATGTACTACTGCCAACTTACAAGAAAGACGAGGCTATATATCACGATCTACAGTCTACCAGTGCACGACTCGCGCACATCAGAACACATACATATTGCACCACCCTCCGCTCCTCTTCCTCATCACGGTATTGGACCTACCCGCCACGCATCACTCATGAACTTCAAGGGCCTCTTCCGGCGTAGGCCACTCCTTGCTCGCGCGCTCCGCGACCGGGCTCTCCGCCTCCGCCTCCTCCTCGTCGCTTCCCTTCTTCCCATTGACGAGCCCGTGCTTCGTCACGTCCGCGTACGAGGTCTCCTCCTGTTCCGGCGGCGGTGCGTTCTCGCCAATGTGCTGCAGCTCCACGTCCTTCCCGCGCTCACCAGGCCTCACGCTCCAGTACCCTGTCGCAGAGCGGTTCTGTGAGCGTCGGGTGTCAAAGGAGAGAGAAGAACGAGACGCACCGAGAGCGCCGCCGAACCACGCGCCTAGGACACACGCCCAGGTGCCGAGAAGGAGGAGGGCGAGGAGGAATGGGACGAGCAGAGGCGCGACGAAGGTGAGGAGGTCTTCGGGGTGGTAGAAGTCTTCTTGCGCGGCGATCACGTAGAGCGGCTTCCCCTCCGGTGACGCGTACGGGAGCTCGCGCAGCGTGACGTGCGTGATCAGCCTGTACCGATATCCTCCGTTCAGCACGCTGGTGGGTATCCGAGGAAGGACGAGGGTGCGCACCTGGACTCCGCGGAAGGCATAAACACGTTCCACCGGACGTGGAAGCGCTGCACAATCTCGGCGTATATCTCCTTCCGCGGCTCGTCGTACACGACCTTCTTCACCTGCACGTGCAGGTACGGGCTCAACACGCGGTACCACTGGTACACGCGCAGGATCGTCTCGCGGCTCGAGGAGGTCGCGATGCCGGTCGGTGTGAGCAGGCGAACAACAAAGACAGGGAGCTTGTTCAAGTATGGAAGAGAGAGGGGGTAGGAGTAGTGCACAGGCGAGGCCTGCGAAGGGGGAAAGACGGTGGGGGGCTTGCTGGAGGGGGTACGGAGCAGAGGGGGTGGCGGAAGGAGGCGTCGGGGGCGAAGTACCTGTAAAGTTAGACAGATAATTGGTGTCTAATCAGCCGTAGGGAGTGAAGTAAAGCAGAGGGATGCGTACCGGTAGATGGCGGCCCTTTGGATCTCCGGGTTGAGTGAAGCGGTGATGGCGAGGATTACATCCTCAATTTCCGCTGCTGGATTTTCCATGTTTCAACTTGATTAAGTTGTCAGAAATGTTACGCTGCGTAAGATACGGGTGAAGGAAGGAGAGTAGACGGAGGCGGAGGCAGGAGGCGGGCGTCGTGAGGAAGGTGAGAACGAGGTGACGTCACGCGTCGCAGCACCGGTGACGCGTATGTAAGCATGTGATTTCCCATTCCAGAACCACTCACATTTAAACTGAGAACGGAAAATCGCCACACCATGATAACCTCATTAACATAAGTAGGTGCACAGATAGCACGAATTAGATGCGAATGCGAAGAACAATGCCATGAGCAGCATTAATCGCCGGGTATGCTCGGTGCATACGCACCGTACGAAGGTTGCGCGACCACGTGACCGCATACGTCCAACCAGTGGCAGGACGCGCGCGCCGCGCCTGTAACGCTGAGGTTTACCGGAATCCAGACTCTGATGTATTCAGAAACTCAGAATCCTCGCATACAATGGCTAATAAAGGAAGATTCACTGCGGAGAGCTGCATTATATAACGAATAGCACCGCTCACGAGCTGCTAATTCAATGCTGAGTCCTACTAGTACTTACCGAGACGATGGTTCGTGACTAACGCGCAACATCCAACTTGAATATTTGGACCTCTTGAAGCCTTGAGACTGTGAAGGCCAGAACCTGGAGGAGCTGCGGCATCCATTCATCGCCCGGACGGGTGATCATTCTCTTACTGCAGAATAGTTACTTCTTTATCTGGCACCGTGCCTTTCTTTTCAGTCACCGATTGCTCGACTTCCAGCTGTCACGGTACTTCTCGCTCACCACCCTGCGTTGCTCACTCGCCACGCGTCACGTTTCGGTCTCGAACGTCGTTGTCCACCTACATGACTATAATGTGTCATTATCTGTTCCTTTTTCGCTCTCGATGTTCCAGAATTCTTCGCCCACCCCATATGTACTTATAGCGAGCCCGGCTGCTTGTTCCCTTGTCGTACCTTTCCCCTCAACGTCAACCTCCACGCATATTTTCTTGCTCGCGTCCGCTCCCGGCAGCTCCCTTGCTCTCGACCAGCAGGCCTCAAGGTTAGTGTCAAGCTCGTGCCTTACTAGTACTTCATATGCCGCATAGTCGGAAGTCTGAAATACGATTGATGCCGTGTTGCCCTTCTCAATGTCATTTCGCCCGCGGCCGATATGCTGCATGATCTGACAGGGTCGAACTCAAGTCGAACTGGGGCGACCTCCCGGGACACGGTCTCCGAGTCGGCGATCAAACCGCCAACAGAAGGCATCGGGCTGCCCATCTACGATCTGAGATAGCGGGAGCCAATCTCCACGCCAAGTCACGGCCCTCCTCAGGCTGTTGTCATGAGGCCGTTCAGTATGTAACTCACTTGCAGCCCGCACCAGCAATTGTACTGTCTGACACCCCCTTAGATCATTGAACAGTATGTCGACCACAACTGCGAGCAGCGTACTCTCACGCGCAAAGAGTCTCGCCACCTCCCGCCTGTTCTCATCGACCGCCACGACCGCAGGACCCTCAGCGCATCGCGCCCTCATATTCCGACAGCACGGCGCGCTCAATGAAGCCCTCTCCACCCAAACCTTCCGCGCCCTACCACCGCCGAGCCCAGGGCTCGTCAACGTACGCGTGCGGCTCGCGCCCGTGAACCCGAGCGACGTGAACGTCGTCGAGGGTGTCTATCCGAACAAGCCCACGCCAGAAACACTTCTCACCCCCGAGTCGCACGGTGATCAAGCGTTCAGCGTTACGGGCGGCGAGCCCGTGCAGGGTGCGTCCGAGGAGGGAGGAGTGTACGTTCCTGGGAACGAGGGCGTGGCGGAGGTCACGGCAGTGGGCGAGGGCGTGGGTGGGCTGAAGGTCGGGGACTGGGTTGTGTTCGCGAAGACGCAACCGGGGACATGGGCGAGTGCGCGGCAGGTGGGTGAGCGGGATGTGATCAGGGTGGACAAGGGCGCGGGCGAGGTCTCAGCGGCGATGTTGTCTGTGAGTGTGCGCAAGTCGCGTGCGATGGCCGGTGTGAGCTGAGGTGTTTGGATGCGTACAGGTGAACCCTACTACGGCGCTGTGTATGCTGCGAGACTTTGTGCAGCTCAAGGAGGGCGACTGGATCGTGCAGAATGGTGCGCCCGGCGCTAACTGTGTGGTATGGATCTGACGGGCTGCTCCACGTGCGGCGACATAGGTGCTAACAGCGCGGTGCGTTTCTCCCTAACATCCAATATCTAACGTCTATCCATGCCTGGTGAATTGTCATTCGTGCACAGGTCGGCCAGCTCGTCATCCAAATTGCGGCTCAAAAGGGCATCCGCACACTCAACTTCATCCGCAAGCGGTGCGTCCCTTCTCCAATCTGCGGCTCACACGTACTTACCGACTGGATCCAGACCAGAGCAGGATCTCAACGCACTTCAAGAACACCTCACCGCGCTCGGGGCGACACACACGCACACGTACGACGAGCTCACCGACCGAGCCTTCGTCGCGCACTACAAGGATCTCACCTCCCGCCAGCCGCCGCGCCTCCTCCTGAACTGCGTGTCGGGCCCGGAGACGACGGGGCTGCTCCGCCTGCTCGGGCGGGACGCGCAGCTGGTGTCGTACGGCGCGATGTCGAAGAAGCCGCTAGGGCTCCCGACGGGCGCGCTGATCTTCCGAGGGCTCGTCGCGCGGGGGTTCTGGATGAGCCGCTGGTATGAGGAGCATGCGCGGGAGGAGCGGGAGGCGCTGTTGCGGGAGCTCGTGGGGATGAAGGTGCGTGGAGGTGCGGGTGTCGTGGGTGGGCGGTGCTGATGACGCGGTGATGTGCAGTTGCGGGAGCCGAAGCATAGCGTATTTACGGTGCAGGGCGGGTGGAGCGACGAGGAGGCGGGGAAGAGGGTGAGGGAGGTGTTGGGCACCGCGGGTAGAGGTGCGGGCGGAGAGAAGGTGCTGTTGAGGGTTGAGGATCCGGTGGCCTGAGGGTATTTGACACGGGCCATGCGAAGGTGTGTGTACCTTTCCTTGGAACCAAGTGCGGATATGAAGTCTTAATGTTCCCTGTCGGTGGGTAACTTACGTGCTAAAAGGCTGAACTAGAGGTTTAACATAGTCTCTTTAGGACACAGACCCCTCGGAGCCCGGATTCGAGCGCTTTGGTCGGTTCAACGTGTATGATGACATCCGATTTCACTCTGTTGCGTTGAACACTACCGATGGCCACCAGCTCAAGGCACAGCATTGCCTGGACCACACAACGGAGCCAACGTGTGTATCAGTCTTCCTTCTACGATTCAACAAGTCCTCCGTGGTATTTATAGCACGTCGAGCTGTGGCTCGCTACACGAGTGTGGCCCAGGAAGCGTTGCGGCAGAAGATACCCCAGTGCGCGTAGACTGTCCGAATATAAACCGTGAGTCAATACAGTCCTTCTGGTCCTCGTTTCAGATTACCTCCTTCTGTGCATTCCACTCAACTCGTGGCGTGTGCCGCTGAGATCATGACGCGCCCGCTATATTACCCCCGGCCTGCCCATCACAGATAAGGGTGTCTCGTTCGTGCAGGGAAGTGTATGTGCGGTCGTCCTTGTGCGTTGTGGATTGTATGCCGGTCTCAGTGAGCGGAAGGGCGTGTGCTGCAGGTTGTAAGTTAGGTTGCGGCGATTTCATCAGTAATTTTGACATGCCGCCACCAACTGACGCTTAGACCACAGATTGAATTGCGAGCCACTGCAAGGATGCGAATGGACTTTCCTGAGCAAAGACCTAAGTGTCGTAGTCCCCCAAATTGCTATGGACTCCTCTGCACCCACGATGCATATAGAGGATCGCGGTTTGCTGGACGATATTCCCTCAGCGCAGCAGCCTACTACCCGAACATCTCTCCAGTCCCCAGTCCCCTCTCGCCATGTCCCTTACGGTCCTTGACGAAGCAATCACTGGCAGTGCGCAGCCGTACAACGCTGACTACCTGCATAGTATAGTAAAGCGGCTCGTCAATGGTGCACCAGTGATCGTCATCGCACAGGTGAATGTCGCTTGTTCGGACGGCTGTGATGATTGCTGATGCTGTGGTATGTGTACTAGAGCAACGACGGCATCGAGGCTGGCACGCGAACCGAGTCGCCAGATTCGCCCACTAACATACAGTCGATCCCCATCGAGCGAATGCTGCCCGGAGATGGCGTTCCCGGAGAAGAAATCAGGATAGTGAAGGAAGCTTCGGAGTCGATGAGTGCGCTCGAAGAGTGCAAAGAAGAGGTTGACCGATTAAAAGTCATGCTTGACGACCTGATGTGCGTTGTGCTCATTGTATCACTCCGTAGTTCATGAGCTGACCATAGTGTCACAGCAAACACGACTGGGAGCGAGAGAAGTTGCAGGGTCTCCTGGACGCGATGTCAACGGTGCAAAGAGAAACCAACACAGGGCTCGAACTGTCCAGGAAGATCACCAGGTCTCACATCTTGTTCTGCCACCAAATGGCGAGCACACAGTAATGCCGCAAAAGTCGAGGAAGACGGGCATGTCGCGCGAGACGCGGACGTCGTCGCCACAGGACAGAGCGTCCGCGAATCATTCTCCGAGTTCTGCCATCACATCGACGCCTTGCAGAGTGCGTTGCATGACGTAGCTGAGCAGATCGATAGTATACGAGAGAAGGGAAAACACTGGTTTCTTCATCTGCGCTGGCACATCGTATGGGCGAAGATACGGGAGTCCCTCCCCGAAATCCTGAGAGCGGTCGTGCAACTCATCTCCCACATCGGGAAGATCCTAGCCCTCGTTCACCCGGTCGCTAACGTCATCACTGCCCTTGCCGACGCTGTTCATGCACACCTCAGTAACACCAACGCTAAGAGCGCGCCACACGGTAAGTGGTGGACTCGTTCAAGTCACTGCGTATCAAGTCAATCTCGCTCATGCCGCTTTACAGGCGTGGAGGAGACTACCCACGAAGTACCCCATCACAATAAACAGCTACAATGAGATGAAGGAGATCCTGAATTTCATCCGCGAGAAGATGCCAATGCATGTCACGGAAGTACAAGACATGTTGAGGGACTGCTACACAAAGATGGAGCATCCGATGCTCAAAGTCGAAGATCAACTGGGTACGCATTACGTCCGCATGATGCCAGAGGACGCGGAGAGAGCAGCCGGCGTGTGGAGACAAATGGGAGACCGCCTGGACGAGGTGTTTAGATCCCACTGCCAGGAGACGTCGGGTGCGGATTCTCCTCGCTGCTAGTGCTCGGGCGGTGGTGGTTGCTACTGACGCTGAACCGGTAATGCAATCACGTTTGCATTACTGTCCTGCACCCGCAACACAAAGGGTTTTCCCATTTTAACCTGCTAGACTTAGTTTCATACATCTTGAGCACACCCTTAAATATTTCAAGGCCAGAAGGAGGGCGGGAACATGTCGTCTGCACGTCTGCAAATGAGCGACTGTGTTCGCCCGCCAAAACTGGCGCTGCAGAATAGGCGCTGAAATCGCACCTTTCGATTTTTCCAGGCTATACCGGCATATCAATGTATAGAATACCTGTAGTTAGCGCAAAAGGGTGTATACATGAAAGGCCTGTACTTACCGGTGACTGCTCGCTCATGTATGAGCGAGGCGCCGTCATGTATGAACGAGGCGCCGTCGGTCGCTACCCGATATAGCAGCGGCGCCGGGGTAGCCCGGTCCCTTCGCCCGCGGCGGGGCAGCACCACTGGCGCGCGATGCGAGCTGCCCGATATGGATGAACATCGGGGTCAGTGGCATCTGAGATCAGGTACATACGATCCCGCCCTGCCTGCTACGTGGCGTCAGTTTCGGCCATGCCGGGGAGCCCGCAACGAGCCGAGCGAGCGGTGAGCGCTTCCGCTTGCCGTTTGCGACCTCCACCAGCCTCCACTCCACCGTCCCACGTCGGTCACCGACGTTGTTAGAGAACAGCGCGCATGGCAACAGCGAGCATGCAGAGATTGGCCCTGCATGCAGATATAGCCGACGCTAGCAACGAGGTGAGTGCAGACACACACAGGAGCGAGCGAGCTGACCTTGTTTACAGGGCGGCGACGTGGAGTACAACGCGCGTGTCGACCGCGAGGGCGTAGGGCTTATGCCTCGCATGCAAACGCAGCCCACGGACGGATCACATGGACGCGAGGGCAGGCGAGCGAGCAGGCTGAGGGGCGGGTAGGCCGACTGGCGGGCAGGCCGACGGGCATGCAGGCCGACGGGCGGGCCGGCAGACGGACAAGCGAGCGGACGGGTGGGCAAGCGGATGGATAGGAGAGCGAGCAGACGGGAAAGTGAGTAGGCGACAGCACACGCCCACCGCGAGCGTGCTAGGCGAATGCCCAGCACGCAGACACAGCCGACGGATGCACACGCAGGCGGGAAAACGGGTTCATGGGCAGGCGAGCGGGCGGACGAGCGGGAGGGGCAGGCGGACGGGCAGGAGAGCAAACGGGCGGGAGAGCGAACGGGCGGGAGAGCGAACGGGCGGGAGGGCGGACGGGCGGGAGAGCGGACGGGCGGGAGAGCGGACGGGCGGACGGGCGGACGTGCGGACGGGCGGACGTGCGGACAAGTGGGCGAGCTGCGAGCAGGCAAGGAGATGAGCAAACAAGGAGACGAGTGGGTGGGCGAGTAGAAGAGAAGGTGAGCGGGAAAGTGGGTGGGTGGGCGAGTGAGAGGGCAGGCGGGCCAGAGGGAAAGCGAGCGAGAGGGAAAGCGAGTGAGAGGGAAAGCGGCGGGCGGGCCGTGGGCACAGAGTGCGGATGAGCATTACACGCACGGCGACCGCGAGCGTGCAGGGCGAATGCCCAGCACGCAAGCACGGCCGACGAACAGAAGGCGGGCGCGTGAGTGAACAGCGAGTGAGCGCGACGGTGGGCAGGGCCGGGGCACGCAACACACGCCAACCGTGAGTGCGCCAGGCGACTGCCCTACCGCCCCTGCACGTAGACACGGCCAAGATGTTAGTAAATAGAGACATTGTAATGGTAGTAATAACATGTTCTATGCATATACAGCAGCCATCGCGGCCAATCCACCCGAAGTAGACGATTCATGGCTCGCAACTCAGAGAACCACTACACTAGTGTAGAAAGACATCCCTACCGAATACAAGAACAGCTTTTGTGTTGTACTGCACCTCCATATTTGTATTCCTCCGGTATATGTAACTAGGCATGTATCTAGTCCCTATTGTAGCATAAAAGACATGCATACATAGTGCAAAAACGACCCGAACACGAGTCGGCGATATGTTGCAGCTCTCAGTGGGACCTTTAAACGTGTTCTGATTGGCCAGGAACAGCCCGACGACATCGGGGTTGCCCAATCTGGTGAGGCAACAAATAGACGCAAACGTTGGTTTTACGGGGGCGCCCACAAAGCTCACTCACTGCGTCCACAGCTCTACCTCTACCCACCCCAGACCAGCCCTTGGACTAGCAAAAACAGCGGCACATTGACCAGCACGAACGGCGCGTCCGCAGGTACAAATGGGCCATGTCAGCAGGGATGAATAGGGCCGTGTCAGTGGGTAGTACTACCAGTGGGTACGAACGGCGGCAGGTCAACAAACACGAATGGTGCGTCGGTGGGTACGAACGGCAGCACATCGATCAGTAGAGTCGCCGCGGGCTACACGGGCGGTGCCATGCGTGCCGCGATCATCGACGGCGTCGACTGCAGCTCGTACATCCCTTCCTCCTCTTCCCAAACATTGCCGCTAACATGTCGATTTGTCGCAAGGATGACCATCTCAGCCTCCATGGGAGGCTGCGTGCGTATTGCAGCTGGTTCCTCCAGAGCCTGCAAGCCATTGTACACGTCCGTGAGTCCGAGGTCGGCGGGCGCAGTGCGGATTCTGTCGAACATGGCCTGCGTCGGCGCGGGCTTGGTGGAGGTGAATGAGGCTTACCTGCCATCACAGCTGTGGTACGTAACGCTCGCCATCCAAAATCTCCAGCTCTTTGCCATCCCGCGCACGGAGTCGCTCGCCTGCGCAAGCGCGACCTGACCTCTGCACGGCTCTATAGTATATACGTTCTTCACAAGCCCATGACTGCTGCACGACCTCACCAACATGCACACCCTCGTGCTCACCACGGGTATGCTCGGCTGCAGGACACCGCAGATTCTTGAGAGTGTCGTGGATGTCGTGGAGGAGCGCAAGCGTGGGACGGAGCATATGGAGGATGTTGAGCTTGCGGGGATGCTCGCGAGGGATTTTTTTGGTGCCCATCCTGGAGCACAGCACACTGTACATCATTGATACTTATACTAATATATATTGTTTCTACTATTGCGCTGTTTGTTAGGGTGTGACGAATTGTCAGGGCCTGAAACATACCAAACTGTAATCGGGAGGGCTGCCGCTTTATGACTCGCCTTCGCACAACACTGGAATTAGTAAATAGCATTGCAAAGAACAAAAGTTAATCTAGTGTTTGTCACAGAGCGCAACATACAGCGTGTATGTCATGGAGCACGACATACACACTATATACGGCACCATGCCTAGCCCTAGAACATGTCAGATCTCACTGATCGTACATCACGATCGTTTTCGCCCGATGGCGCGAAGAGCGCGCGACAGCACCTATTTTGGGTAGGCGGCGGCGGCGGCGCCGCGAGCTGTCCCCAGCACCGGGTGACCTAAGCTGTCCCCAAAGGGCAGCTGCCTCTTTGGGTAGTGAGCACGGCGCCTCGCTTATACATGAGCGAGTGGCGGCTCATGTATGAGGAGCAGCCCCCGGTAAGTACAGGCCTTTCATGTATACACAGGCCCCCGGCAACTACCCTTGATCTTTGTCCGCGTCAAGGGCCCCGATTTGCCCTTGTCCACCCAATGTTTTCGCGGTCACTCACCCAATATCGGACAAGGTTGGTCACCCTGTCACGTCACGTGCCGTTTGTCACGCGTATCTGTCACGTTATTTTCGCCTCTCGTCTGTGAACCCAGGCGCACCGAAAACTTGCATCCCTACACTGTTTTGAGCAGTGCAAATGCACGGTCTATACGCAGAGATCATTGTAATGCACCTATGATAGTAAATAGTACATGAGAATCCAGAATATGACAGCCACTTCAGTGCCTCGTTCCGTCTCCCTTCAATATGCTCTGCACAGTCGAACTCGTTAGCAGATGCCATGGGTCACTGGACTGCTGTGTACGGAATGTCTTGCGTCGCGTGGGTCCAACTAATGTGCTGGTTCCGAGGTTGTAGAGAACATGAGACGGACGAGCATAGGTGTGGAGCTGACCCTCTGTGCTGTCAATATGACAAGAAAAATGGGTGACAGGCCTAGTAGCAGAACCATCATCGTCTTCGCTCTCGAATTCGGAATCCCCGTCATGCTTCTACGTGTGAATAGTCGTCAGCAAGCTTGTAGGGACACCTAAGTAGTAAACCTACATTCTCCAATGGAAGAAAACATCGCAACGAGAGGCCGGAGAGCCGACTGCTACTGTCCGCAGAAGCAATTGAACCATGACGGCTACCGACCTTCTTGTAGATATCCAAGACCTCCCCTATGTATGTTCGTTGTGGGTTTCGAACGACCACGAAGCAACCAGGCCGTAGCGGGTTGATCTGACTGATATTCTTGCTTTGTATGTTCGGGACATCTAGGTACAAGTCGACAGTGTACGGTTTAGCAAGCTAGCAATACTTATTCAATAGCTGTTGACGCTTACCGTTTTGCTTCTGTTGTGCAATGACTTGGATCCGCTTACTCTGCGTCGCGTACCGATGCTCGCGCGTGGTCTTCTCCTTGGGAATTTCACCGTGCAACGTTTGAACAATGCGTACGCGATGCGAGGCTTCCTTCACCGACATTTTCTTGTTATCATCTCTTGATTGTCGCTGAGTCACCTTGCCAGACATGACACCGTCGAGCTTGCTCAAGGAGTATTTCGGGTCAAGACAAACCACCCGTTCCGACTTGACTGCGGTGCCCGACTGATGTTGCTCACGACAACGAATCATCATGGGAATCGAGATCTTCCCATCCTTGTCAAGTATCGCACTCGCCGTCTTCGAGTTGTCATGCGCCGGGGCAGGCACATCATCTGGGCGCACAGGTAAGCTGATCTTCGGTGGCCGTTTGGAATCGACCGATGAAGCATCGCCACGATCCAGCTCGGCTACAGATGCATCATAGTCCTCGCAAAGGGCGGCGTACCGCGCACAGTGCTGTACAGCATCTTTAAGCTGGACAGCCATGGTTAGCTGACCAGCAGCCTGTGGCGCGGCATCACCAATGACATCGTCGGCGTCATTGTCCCAATCATCATGTAGGTCCTCCTCGAGGTCGGATTCCCAGTCAGAGTCGTTGCCATCACCTGAAGCCTTGCCCTTGCGGGACGATGAGCTCATTTCGCCAACAGAGCCTGGCAGAGTCCAAGGGCGCTTCGGAATCTTCATGTGGAGGAGCTGTTTCGCAATTTGCGATGCCTCTTTCCCAGCAAGTTCCACCAGCACGTTCAGTTCCGCAGTCGAGAGCTTCACATGACTATTGGCCAGCTCTTCGGGAGATAGTGGTGTGTTGTCGAAATCGAAAATGTAACCAGCACGGGCCTCGCGTTCAGGTTTTGGTTGTGACTTCATCTTCCGTGTGAGGAGGATCTTCTGTCGGAGCATGACATGTTTGACAAGCTTGAGAAGTTCGGCATAGGTGAAGTTCGGGAGCATGCGGCGAGCGAGGCCGAAGAAGTGTTCGAGGAAGTCAGTGCCCAGTAGCCAAGGACAGAAGGGCTCGTCTGGGTAGTACTGTGCGTAGGCAAGGACCAGCAGAATCAGTGTGTCGCAGAGGCGATTAAAGATCTTGAAACTGGCGGGGGAGATGAAAGAACGCGCTGTCGAATACAGGTCCGGGTAGTGTCGTTCGAGCAGCAAGACGTGCGCCCGCCATATATGCAGGAAAGAACGTGCACGCAGTGCTGCCAGAATGCGATCCTTGACTGACATCCGGCGACATAGCCAAGCATCGAATAGGTCCCCTACAATAAACAACCATAAGAGACGCACACAGAACACTGCGAATAACCTCATACATACCAAGAACATATAGGTAGACAAACAGGCCGAGAAACTCCTCCTTGATATATTGCGTGTTCTCGTCGCCCTTGTAGGTCATAGCTGTCAGGGCAACATTATGGAAGAGTCGCCGGGCTGCACCATCGTCTTGTTTGTCGACATTCTTGATGTCGCTCCGTTGAAGCCCAGAGCCACCACCTTCATAGAGTTGAACGAGTGTTCGATTGACGAGATAGCCTTTCCCGAGACTCGCTGTGTGCGTCCCGTGTTGTGGTTGATTGCGTGCCGTTTTCCGTCCATGGCTGGGATCTTGAACAGAGATCAGCGGGCCTGTGTCCTTGAAAACCGGAGCCCGCAAGGATAGGCCGTACAGGGTGTACTCGTATGCTAACGGGGTTTGCTCGGATGCAGTAGAGTCCATCATCGCTTGCGCACTAAGCTCGGTTGCAGCGCCATCCGCAGCGCATACGATGACCGACATTTTCAGTTGAGCAGCCATCTGGATGAGGCGTGTCTGGATTTTATGGATCTCTTGTGCCGAGTCGGACCCAGATGTTGCCATCAGTGCAACAACCATTGGTGGTACCTGTGGTAGAGCAATCTAATTTCGTGTGAGCGGCTGCTACTGGCTCGAAGTCAATGAGCTGTACATGTTTACCTTGATCATGATAGCCCTTGTTTGAGTTGCATATGCCTTCTTATCCTTGATGTTCTTGATGACATCGTCTATGTCGTCTGCGTCGTCAACTGTACATTCCGCGAGGGGCAGAACAGAGCCCAGAATGTGGCTGCCATAGTCATTCGAGTAGCTGAGGCGTGCTCGGACCTTGGTGCAGTCGCTCCCAACAGCCACAGGCCCATGGTACCCGAACGTATCCTGAAAGCGTTTAACACGTGCAACATTCTCGAATTCAAGTTCGCCAGATTGAAGGACATCCGCAGAATTCTTGACGTAGTACCTAATATGATTGGATTGTCGAGTCAGCGAATTCTGCCTTAGACCTAGGATCACCACTCTTACCGGGTGGCTCGCAATGAAGGGAAACCAAGTTCCTGAGCGAGGATACTGTACTGTTGAGCAGAGTTTCCACCGTACGAGCGCATCAGAGTGAAGAACTGCCAGAGATCGGCCCCATACCGCATGCCATGAAGGAGCTTCTTTGCATCTGGATGTGATTCACGCCTTGCGCGGTCACTCAAGACTCGACAGATATCTGTGAAGGTGTCGTACTTATCCAACTTGCCCTCCGATGCTTGCTGATACAATTGCAGGAAACATCCCACTTTATCGTTCTTCTCAAGGGAAGCAAGCATACCGCGGACCACCGGATCTGAGAGGCGTGACTGCAGATCGCGCGCATCGGTACTTGTCAGCGTCTTCGGTGTGTGCTTGTCGTGGCGGGCACGCTTGGCTTCGCGCTCAGCTTCCGGCAGCTGGGCTTCACGTTCGGCCTGGCAACACGACGTGTTAAGGAAGAATCATATACCAGAGGCAAATACTCAACTCGGCGCACAGCATGTCTAAGCGATTCATCCTTGTCGACACTCTCGCACTGGTCGCAAATACCACTTGCATTCACAGTGTTGCCTTCGCATGCTCTAGAGCGAATACTCCGATCGTTGAAGTCGACAATCCACCGCGCAAAGCCTTGCAGCTGATGGTCAAGACGCTTGTGCTCTGCAGATGTCCAATCCTTCTCTTTCACTTGCACGTTGCCATCCGACGGGCACTCCAGCTTGACCTTGCGTTCCCCGGGGTACTTGTAGGGGAATAGCTGTCGTACGATCCGTGACCGCTGGGCGAATGAAATCCCGCCGAGACTCCTCGTAGACGTACTGAGCAGGTAGTGCGTGTATTCCTCTCCGCGTAGCCGCTGGCAGACAACACGTTTGCGTGTAAGCTCTGAGACCACGCCACCTATCGCAGATCCTGGACGAGCGCTCGCCATAAGTGCAGTGCTACGCTCGCCTTTTGTCATTGGATTGAAGAATGAAGTAATGGCTTTATTCTGGATGAAACGAACTGAGCATATTATACTTATTCATAGAAGTGTTGTACATACCGCGTTTACGGCCGTCATCTCGTATCGCACGCGAAGACGATCGGCCTTGCCAGTGTCGGTGGCGAGTACTACCAGTTGAGACTCAGTTTTCTGTCTCTGGCCACCGAAAAAGCTTGTAATCGCCTGAGTACCTGCCGCCTTAGAGACGTTCAGTTAGACTTCGCCGACTCAAACCTATATTCTGTCAATACATACCGGTGTTGTCGTCTTCTTTGATATTACCGCCCGACGGATCTTGCTCTTGCCCGTAATTTGCTCGCATTCTAGTTTGTGCTGGGCCCAGTTCCCCAGCACATACTTCCGTTTCTTGTCAAGCTTGCGCTCCTTCCTGCATCCGGCGCAGACAACCGTGTGGAAGTCAAAGCGCAGGACCCATTCGTCATCCTCCAGTACCTTTCTGCGCTCCTCTACTGACAGTTTTGGGCCTCGTGCTGCTTGTTTCCGTCGCTTCGATTGGTGCTCTCTGTCCGTGCTGTCGCCATCCGAGTCCTCGATGTCTGTCTCGTCGTGTTGAACACTCCTAGTAGCCTTCGGTGGAGCGATAGCAGGCGGATCCAACGCTTTCTTTCGGTCACACGCAGATCGTTCAGCACCGTCGTGTTTGCTGGATATGGTGAGATCAGGAGTCTCGTGACTCTCGTCCGAGTCTCGGTTCTGCTCGTCTGATTGATGAGGATGGCCGGTCTCAGCGGAGGTGCGCTCTGACGCATCTGGAGTCGAATCAATGGGTCGCTTTCTCTTGCGGACGTAGGGCTCCATGACACTGGATCGAGTCAGTGTTTTGAACATAAACCGGACGGATAATTAGCCACGCACCGAAGACTTAATAGGGCATTGAAAGCACGAGTTCGAGCTTCCTCTTTAGACGTCTCACCGAGATGATAACTTGGCCCATCAGTCTGAGCGAAGTCGAGCATCGCCAGCAGTGTAAAATGGCCACAAGACCAGGAGTCCATTTGGCGCTGTAGCTCGTCAGGGGAGACTACAGCAAAGCTCGACCATTCTGTGCTACTCCACTGCACACTAGGACGCCCGACTGCTTGTAGAATGCTGTCGAGTGTTGTCAAGAGTAGCTGTGGTAGTGGTTGTGGGTAAGCACCTGCCATACAAGCGGCATCCGAGTCGGGCACGTACCGGTTCAGCCCAGTGCTGTGAATCACATTCGGGCAGGCTATCATAGATCCCGAGCTGGTGGCTTGAGAAGTCAACCCACCCGAGTACCCAGTGCGCCGGGTCGCCACCACACAGGGGTATGGCCCAACGATTTCTCGCGGTCAACACCGGCAGGCCACCCTATTCGAGATGTCAGACCATAGATGCATTGGTTTCGATTTAGACACCGCACCGCTGCCAGTACATGCTCCTCAACAGACCCGTGAAACGCGTCGCTTCGTACTTGCCCGCTAACAATCGAGGGCAGCCACGAAGACAGGAAGCAAGTGTCTTGTCTGGAGGATGGTGCTAGATCTTGCAGCCACGCGCCGAATGCATTCAGTGTTGTCCCGGGCACCTTTTGCTGCTTCCCTGAGAGAAGAGGCTCGATATCCTGGCTGTAGACTTGTATTCCGCGTACTTCTCGAATACTGGAGTCGAGATGTTCAGTCATTGTGGGCCGCGATACTACGATCTGTCGAGGCGTCACGGTGTCGAAACCCGAGGTTTATTTAATGCTGACTACTGGTGGCCCGAGCCAATAGCTCCGTGAGCCACAGACCTGAGGCCACCCGCAGTCAACGCTAGGCCTTTTGGGGCGCACAATGTGTTTCATGAGGCAGTGGCGCGCCGGCTAAGCATTGACAACATTGAACGTTAACGTTGAGTAGCGCGACACGCGTCGTGCTAAGTACATCGGTAATCTAATCAGCAGCCCCGGCAAGCGCCCGCCGGGTCGCCACTCCGTGGCCTTCGGCCACCCTATATCCGGACAGAGATCGTGACCTCCACAGCCTCCGCCACCCAATAACGGACAAAGTTCGGGCCCCTCCGGGGCCCCTCCGCCACCCAAAATCCGGACAAAGATCAAGGGTAGTTGCCGGGGGCCTGTATACACCCTTTTGCGCTAACTACAGGTATTCTATACATAGGCCTGCCAGCACCTGGTGGATTTTTCCTGAGGTGCACAGAGCAGGTAGCTCTTAATGTGTACGAGAGAATAGTAAGACAGCATGTGGCGACATGATGCACAATTTTTGGTGCGCACACGGAGGAAGAAACCCGCCAGTTTGCATTATTGTACCGTTTGCATTACCGGTTCAGCGTCAGTAGGTGAGTAACCGGTCTGTCGAGTCAAATGCATGTCTCAATAGGTCACAGTACTGCAGACTCGCCATGCATTATCCTTCACCACACGACAAATTCTGTCCATGAAAGTATCTTATATGAGAATTTGATGGCATAGGTCTTCTTGTTAACGCGTCAAGGACATGAATCTATGATACGCAGAACGTTTCGCAGTTTGATATATGTGGTTCTCAGTAGCATGCGTATGAAGGCCCGTCTCGGACAAAACCCCAACGCGCTACTGAGCAAGCAAAGGGGGCACAAGGGAGCGCTCGGGGGCACAAGGGATCCCTCAAGATCACTAGAGCTCACAGCTGGATGGATGGGCTCCGTCGTGGATGGAAGGGCTCCGTCGTGGATGGAAGGGCCCCGTCGTGGATGGATGGGCTCCGTCGGGCGCACTCGTGCTTCCAAGGGTCAGCGACCGATCACGTCTCCCCACGCAGAATCCCACGTTTACCTACGGTATCTTGTCCGTTCTCAAATGCTCACATCCCATCCCATCGCGTCACTTCCCTACCTTGCACCCCGTTCCACTCGGAATCCCTAGCTTTCTCAAGTGAACCTGCGAAAAACTTCTATCCCCGTCCCTTCACGTCCCTTCGCGTCCCCTCGTGTCCTCTCTCGTTCCAGCCCTTCACTCACGTCAGTACATAGTCTCCAACACCGTATTTTGTCCAAGATGGGGTTTTGTCCAAGGCCTCCAGCCTCAGTCTACGACCATAGCTGTGTACACTCAGCTACCAGCCAATCCGGCGCCTTCGAATAAGGTATGTATGGAGGTTGCCGAACTGTCCAGATCTAAGTTAGTATTACAAGATCGATCGCAGCAGGTGCACCATGACCGCGGCGTCGACGTCTCCATCCTATCTATGTACCTCTGGCGATGAACCCAAATACGACGGCTGGCGCTACGAACTCCGCACCGATGGTCGATGACGAGCCTCGCAGTGGCGAGTCTGGCAACGAGCCGCAAGAGCCGCACTGCAGCCACGGTGACAAGAAGCTACAGGAATGGCAGTAAGTCGCCTTTACCGTGCTCCGACTCGGAATCATGTGCGTGTACTGATCTAATACCATAGCTCCTAGCTCGAGCAATGTGGATCCATGTCATGGTCTGCGGTCCATTAGCAGGAAAGAGGGTCAACGAGTGTGGATGGGTCACAAAGCAGTGAATGCAGCCCTCGACAAAGTGAGTTGCGACCGCCTACCACTGCTCTCGACCGCGTTTCCCTGGCTCGCCCACAGCCCGTAAGCTTGCGATAGGTACGCGCGTCCTGTTGCGTCCACGGTCCACCTCCCGAGACTCGAGTGTGCCCGGAGCATGTGGCGCAATGTCCCCCCCTGAAAATCATCTGCCAGCGCCGTCTGCCAGCGCCATCGACACCCAGCTGTCATGCCCACTCGCATCTTGTCTCGCCACTCAACCGCCTCACCTTCCTCTCCCTCCTTGCTTCTCGCCTCTCCTCTGGCCCACCTGGTACCCATTCAAATTGCCGTGGACGACGCGCAACCCACGCAGACGACAGCCACACACGTGAACTGCGGCCACCCCCAGTGTGCAGGTAGAGTGCCCCGCCCCATGCATGTTCGTGATGTGTCGCACCTTCCCGTTTGCATCGCCAAGCTGACCCTTGAAATACACAGGCGCCCCGAACGAGCAACACCCGCACCTGCCGCATCGCTTGCCCACCCGCTGGCCACTCCACTGCAGTCACATACCTGCAGAGCTGAGAGATCGCCAGGACATTTGCATGGCAGGCATTGAGCAAAGCGCAATGACGCCGACCTCAGCCTGAGCTCGCATGGCCCAATATGGACGGCCCGACGAGCTAGAGCCCGGCGAGCCAGATTAGACAAGTGCGGGGGCTCACGAGCACGAGCTCACGGAGCAAGTACCGCGCGAGCGAAATCCACGAGCGCGGACCCGGTGCTATGTCGACCACCACCCCGAGCTTTGCCGCGCGTCCGTTGACGTCACTACCGAAGCTCCTGCCCGCGCAGCGTACCCAAATGCGCCCACGAGCCTCGACACGGTGGGCACGCCGGAGTAAACATACTCCACCTCGACGAGCCCCGCGTCGTCTGCATCGCCGTCGACACCACCAGGATTCATCGACCCCGCCAACATCCGCATCGCTTTGCACACCACACAGGACGCCCCTCGCCATCGAGCAAGAATCTGTCGCTGCAGTTGTGCTGCCGCTGATGCAGGGGCAAACCAGCAGGTTGTTGTCAACCACCTTCGACTCTTTTCCGCGAAGGGCTCGCTGACATATCCGCTACCTCTTGACTGACCGCGTCTCTACGACGAAGAAGGCGAAGGGGCAGGACTGGTATGTCCACGCGATGCTGTGCATGCGGTAGGGCCATCGTGCATGCTGCGATCTCTCGGCCAGTCTGCAAAGCCAAACCACGTCTGAAAATGCTTATGAACACCCTTCCGCGACGCCTGGTAGGTGTACGAGCTCGAGCGCACCCGCACTATCTAGCCCATCAAAGGCAAGTGCGCTGGTGTTGATGGCTTTGAAGGTGCGTGCTTTCTCCCTCTCATCTTTGGTACATCCTGTGCGGACGACTTGATGTTGGTGACCGTTTCGTAGTTACTGTTCTGCTATCCGCAGTCCGCCTCAAACGCTGCCCGTGTCCGTTCTCGTACACCTCTCATCATCACGCACATCTCATGTATTGTGGCTACAGTACTTGTGTCATGTACATGTCTACATACACTTGTTATTAATCCCTTCTCCGATCACGACCCTGCAGACCGAGATCAGGACCGACATCATCTCACCCGAGTCCCGACTGGCAGCGGATGGACTAGCAGGTAGGCGGTGGAACATGCAGACGAGCGAATGGCTGGACAGACAAATCAGCAGGCAGATGGGTGAACTGACGGGGGAATGCGCGACTTGGTGGATGTGTGAGTGAGTGGACACAACGAGCTGTACTATATCGGGTCACGATCTCGGCCACCTTAGCATACAACAAGCCCTCCTCACTCTGTATGGGCCATAATGACCTGGATTCTTCTGAGGAGGTATGTTAAAAGACCTCAGGAATATGAGAAAAATATGAGAAGAAATATACAATCATTGAGTCGAGCTCAGTAGCTAAAATTCTGGTCGAGAGTAGGGTGAGCCACACTGCTTACCAGAAATAGGTATCATCGCAAAGGGTGATTTTTCCTGCACACAGATCTCAGCGTATTGGCTTCAAATTTTGTACAGGCATTACAAGGATGCATTGAGACATGCTACAATTTATTTCATAGCTATAGAAGGGGTGGTTGTTGAATGAGGCTCGCGTGACCGACTACCTAGGCTGTCCGAGATCGTGACCCGATATAGTAAGTTTGTTGATTTGCCTGCTCACTTTGGCACTAGGAATAGCTGAGGCGAGTGGTAGGCACGTACCTTTGGAATCAAGCCTTCGTGCTCGCCTTGCATGTAAGGACAAACGGAACAACGCACACTGTATGACAGGTACTGCATGCAGAACTTGTCGCAAGGGTCGTCTATGTCAGGGTGAACTCACATCACGCCGGGCGGGCATAATGAGAGAGAGATGGACGACGAGGGTCGCTAGACTGAGTGCCAATGATCCTAGCAGTTCCCTGCCAGTGGCCAGTCCGTTTCAGAGGGCGAAAACAACTGTAATTGTGAGGATGAAGGCTTACTTGCGTGGGCGGACTGTCCACGCTGTCCGATACATGTTGAGTAGCGGGTCACGCTGTCGTCCGACGCAAAGACGACAACAGAGAGGCGCGAGAAAGCCGGGTGATGTGCTGGACAGTGGAAATTCAATTGCGGGACTCAGGGGTCAGGTAAGATAGATGCATTTTGATGAGTGTGTAATGCACATGGTGGTGTACGACATAGCCCAAACGCAGTGGTCGCGTTGGGAGTGTTAGTTCGGCAGATAGGACATACCTGTTCGGAAGAAGACCAACACTTGGCGGGCGCATTTTGTCTCGTCCAGCGACACCACGCGTTCGTCGGGAGAACGACGTGTCAATGGACAGTCAATGGGGCGGTGGAAAAACCGGGCGGACGGGAAACCGTTGACGAGCGAGTGAACAGGCGAGCGAACGGACGGGCGGGCGAGCGCATGGGCAAGCCCGACGCACGCAATGCCGGAGGAGCATCCAGGACCTGCAAAAGATACGTCAGCAGGGCAACACGCATACGGACAATGTTCGCGGGAGCAGACATAGGAGGGTGCTGACCGGGTGCAGTCCTCCTCCCCACTTGCCCTCTGAGGCTCCTTGTCTGTTCTTGCCGTCCGTTCTCTTAAATATCTGGCCCACTCGTCCGCAGTTCCACGATCCTTGGTACACACGTGTGCGGATGCACTTAACGCATGGCTTCTGTGCAGTGTTGGCACGTCGAGGCCCGAGGGTCGTCTGGCGGGTTGTCTGGAAGGTCACATGGCCGAGCAGGCTGCAGGGGCGGGGACGGCGTATCCACGCTGGTCGTTGTGCTCAGGAGTGCATTGCAGTGAAGCTGCGAGCGTCGTCGTCACGACAGTAATACCTGGATGCATTTGGGAGCTTGGCCATGTTTTGTCGGATGTTGGTTCCAACTTCCAAGCCTGAGCGCGGCAAGCAGGGTGCCAGGCAAGTCCTGCAAGCGAGGCGGATTGCGGGTGTACATACATGGCAGGTGTGCACGGCGAGCGCTGAGGAGCGCGATGGGGTGCGATGGTATGTGGACAGACCTGGACAGACACAGATGAAGAACAGCGAAGTAAGTTATGCTGAACCGCGCGAGTTGCGCTGACCAAGCCTTCCATAATCGGAAGGTCAGGCCTGGTGAGGACCTGAAGTGAAGTGAAGTGAAGTGGAATGACGTGACGTGAAGCGGAACGAAGTGAAGTGGCGTGAGGTGAAGTGAAGCGACACGAGAGGGACACTCGTGCTCACGATAAATAGCACGGGATATGATAGGAAATGGAATGATTCCGTATGAATCTGTGTGAGTGGTGGGACATAGCAAGATTAAAGTCCAACTTAGCCTGAAGTGCACTACTGGGAAGTGTGAAGACAAGACAGGCTTATAGATGAAGAGGCGGGAAGAGACGGGTGGCGATGGGACATGAAGTGACGCGAAGTGACAAGCATACATGAGATCCGGCGTGATACCGCATGATCTCAAGTTATCTCGGATTATCTGTACCATTTCCGAATGATCGCTTGGTTTCCGGTGCGAAACGACGAGCTCATGAATGATTCCAAGGATTCCGAAGGATAGTATAGGATAGTATACATTTCCTGCACGTTCACTTATGATCTCATGTGATTCTTTCAGATACCTCGGGAACGCTCGGTCGAGGCGCTGTAGAGTATGTACATAGGCCAAACATAGGCTGTCGACATTGGGTTTTGTCCGGCATGGGCCTTCATACATGCGCGAGTTGGCTTTCACCCGAGGAAGTGCCACGTCCGCTCCGCGCCGATATCGTTGTTGCTTCCCGGAACCCGGAAGGAAGCCCGTCAACTGGTCTGCTTGATCGGCTTCTGTTCAACGTATTCGCGCACAAACGACATGGTGTGCGCAGTGCGGTATTGCCGCAAGTTACTGCCAGTTTCCTCTATCCGTACTGTATATGAAACATTCAGGAAATGCCGTTGCTCTGCGCGGAAAATCATACGCATTAGTGACATGAAATTCGACGACTGGTGTGAGTACGTCCGTTCATATCCATAGTTATACCTCAATCAGTCTCCATAGATACAAGTCATCAGCCAGACGGAAGGGAAGGTAAATGTCACAAGAATGCATCTAGAGGAGAACTATGGGTGTATCTTGAGTCGTCATTCATGCCACTTCCTCGATGGCCACGAGCAGTGACCTATCAGTGACGGCAGTGGAGGAGTCTCTTTGGATCGGAGGCGACTCGAAAGAGCCGGCAAGCCCAGACCACGCAGGAGCAGGTGAACGGCGGGCCACCTCCTCAGCCGTGTCTGAGCCAGCAACTAACTCAATACTCATTTCAACCAAGCCTTCCCCGTCTTCCATCCCCTGCCCAGCGTCGCTATCTGTGACCGAGTTCCCGAGTGGCCCAAGGGCGCGCGCGAAGCGTAGATCGGACCAGTGGGATGTCTGCGACGTGTTTGGACCCGAGAACGTTGGATCTGGGGGAGCAAGGACAGCTTCGCGCAGGCTGAGGAATAGGCGAGAGAGCAAGACAGTCGTCGCGCTGTCGCAACGGGAGACTGATGAATAAGTAGCGAAATGGGGAGAGGCGAAAGACGTACACGTCGGAGAGCAATGCCATGTTGTTGCCTGCCACAAAGCTCGCCTAAAAGAGTAAGTGAGCTCGGTGACAGGGCACTGACAGGGATCCGTGACAATGTTCCGTGTAACTGCAGTGGGGAAAGACGTACTGGCGAGATGTACAGTGCGAGGACGAGTGCGTTCATGAGCAAAAGTGCACTATCTCAAGGGGTGAGCGTACGTTTCAGTGAACGAATGAACACTGAGCACACAAGAAGTACAGCGTCCCTGACAGATGATGTAATAATGAGACGATAGCATCGAAACAATCATGAAATGCACGTACCACCCCGTAGCAAGCGCTTTGTTATAGATATGTTGATGTTGTGTCCGTGAGCGAGCCGCCTGATCCCACCGGTGGCTTGCCACGTAGCCAAAAGGACCATCGCGTCCGACAGCATGACGCTGACACGTATAGTGATCTCAACTTGACAGGTCCATTGTTACATGACCAGTCCAATGCATCAAAAGACGAAGAACGTACTCCTATACAAATACAATGAGTATCCGAGACTGCCTCCAGGGAACAAATGGACGGAAACGCACTTGCGCATCAAGGGCAAGCTTAATCTCCAGTTGACCGCACAGCGGAAAGGATAGGCAGTAGGAAGCGTGTAGACAGTGGAAAGATTGAGCTTTGACGCGAACCTCAGTCATTGTTGATGTCTTGTTACGTACTATGATGGACGTACAACATTCGCCGCGACCGGAACAAGCGAGACAGCCATGACAATGGCGGGAAAACGGTATCTTCTACCGTTAATTGCGAACACGCGCAGGGCAGACACAGCTAGAGGAGGTTCAGCCTATGTTGTTGCGATGCAGCGGCGATCCGACACTACAGTGACTTACCTCCCAAAACGAAATATAGAAAGCAGACATTGACACCTGCTGCAATATATAGAATGTAGTAGCTGAAGGAAGGTAGATGAGCCCTTTGAGCTTCGACTGTGCCGTGACCCGTCCTCAAGTTCCAGAAACTCGCCTCTGATACAGTATCATGTTAGCCACCATATGTTGAGCCGTGTAGAAGAGATCTCACTTACTTCACATGTGTGCGGAGACGGAATGAATGCCATGTCGAGCACCAATAACAAGACCGTGAATAGATGCATAGAGGCGAAGAGAACGGGTATGACAACGCCTATCTTTTTACGGTGCCATATGAGCTCGATCTCTTTCCCGACGGTGAGCATTCGATCATATGTGTAGACGGCTGAGCGTATCGTGTCAACCACACAGTCAGTATGCGAGCAAGAGTCGACAGCACTTACCCGCACAGGCAACCAGAATGCGATCATCAGCGAGGCTAAATAGAGGAGGCGTTGAGTAGTCTGAGAATATCAGGATAGACACTGGCAGGAACACCTACCGATGGGATGGTTCTTCGGCAGAGGCTGACATGTATCAATCCAATGGATTTCTCTCGACGCCGTTATGCAGAGGGTTCTGTTCTCTGAAATCTCGCAACAGGACAATTTATAGCGCGACTCAGAGACGGCCATGAACCGAACAGTATGGTCAGTGCGGAGGACGTAGAGGGATGTTGAATGTCAGACAGACCACGGTGGGCCACGGTGCCTTCATCTCGCAAAGGCATTACGTAGCCTTGACAGGTGAGCTGTGCAGGAGGTTCTCATCGATAGTAACGCCATTAAGGCCTAACTCCGTAAGCCTTGTACATTCCCCTAGCACAACTGCTGCACGGTTCATTGAGTAGACTTCAAACACACTGCATGAGAACCGCACATTCTGGCCACCAAGCCGTGATCGCGTGATTCATCAGTCAGAAGGCTTGAACTGAGCATAATTATTAATTCCTCAAGACGCATGCATTTATCTTGGCAACTTACGACATGCCGCAGATTTCAATTCGGTCACTCCGCCAGATCAGTGCAGTGGTATGTTCATCAATGTAGTTGAGGAGCACCGCTGGTAGCCCCGAGGGGCAGCAACACGTGCATCAACACTTTAGCACTGGCGCAATCTTCAGTTGAACGGTGCTGGCATCAATACGAGGACGGAGTCTGAGAAAGTGAGAGACATGTCAAACACACCTCCATGTAGCAATCTTCGCGAGATATGGCGAGATCTGCCTGCTTCGACAAGTCTATGCGGGTACCAGGCAACGACCCCACTGACATCTGCGGTTGTGGAGCGTGAGCGTGAACCGCATGGTACCCACGGATAGTCTCCCCATGACTCACCATGTACGCTCTGTCGAACATAAGCACACAGCATGCTATCAAGCCGTCTGCGTCTTCCACTGGCTCAACGGCCGCGTGTATCATTCTGGGAATTGACTTACAAATTAGGCTCCTGCCCTTACGGTTTGTTCAGCTGATCAGTGGTTCTCCAGTGCCCGCGCGCGGAAGCTCCTGCAAGCTCGTGTCGACGAGTGGCCTCGTAACGTTATACATCAGTTAGCTCCGTAAAAAAGACAGATCTACCTACCTCAATATGGCAATCGTAATTGACTGCCTGCTTGTGGACACACAGCTCGCGCGGAACAGGATATTACGGTGTCAGTCGTAGGTAAATGCGGCTCTGTGAGCAGGCCGCATGCGCGACAGCGCGCCCTGCTCTGCTGGGACGTCGCCAGGAGAGCTAAACACGATGATGCGCATGGGGCTACCCATCGAGCGCCTGTCGATACCCCGATGTCTTCAATTTGAAGGCAGAGCACTGTACTATGGCCGTGAAAAGAAACCAGGCAGAGCTTCAGCCTTCACTGAGCAGTGTGGTACTCACTGAGAGGCCAATCTTGTTGTCTCGAAGACCGTCGGTGGCGTGCACGTGTCGAGACCAGAGAGCGGCGGACATCCTTGATGCATCCGCGAGTCGCAGGTAGGGTCTGCGTACTAATGATCCCTCTGCCTCGTCGGAAGTCTTTGCGCTGGCGGAGGCAGGGGGCGGAAAGTTGGAGACGCCAGCGACGCGTCCAGAAGTCAGACGCCCGATCTACGCGTGGTTATGTAAGCATGTGGCGGATGCGGTAAGTGCGTCCGTACAGTAAGTAATATAGTACTTATCTCCGGTAAGAATTCTACTTTCTCTGTCCTCCAACCAATCCCACGACTCTTGTCGAGCCTACCAGGGTTTCCGTTGATACTAAGTATCAACAACGCGCAAGCCCACGATCTTCATCTTCAATGCCCACCCGGATACCATGTGCCTCGGTTGTAGGCAATGAGAGCCTTTGGTGTCCCCACGCTGAGGGTGGCCCTTCGTGTACGCGACTTGCTCAACAGGCGTCGCGAGTGTCAGTGTTTAATTCTAATTCTTAGTGCGCCGCGTCAGCGTCAGCCACAGACGCGTCCGTGACAGATCACGGTCATGTGTGAGTGACATGCTCAGATCTTCCTGTCACATGTACCCGGGCCCTTGCCGCATGTCTGCCAGGACCTCCTCCTCCTCGCTGAATTCGCCATCATAGCAAATCCTGCACGAGATTTTAAGAATCTATCGTATCCTTTCAGGCCACAACATCCCTTTCGTAGCGCAGGTAAATCAGTACCAATGACAGTCGACGATCATTCCCTCCTTCGCTAATCGCCTAAACGGTATCTTCTGAACATTGATGTATGTGCTCGAATCAGTGTCTACAGACGAAGCGGCATATTCACATATTCTCTTGGTCACTCAATTGTACAGTGATCGGGGCATTGGACACACAAGGCATAACTTGATGTGACGATATCATCATGACAAAAAGACATGAGAGTCACGACTGTTGAAGTACGCTATTTCTCAACACCTCTTTTCATGATCATTGATACGAATGTTCCCTGATTCCTTACTTGTGTCTCGAGCATCAGGTCCGCGGCGTAGTCTGGGTGATGCGGAACCACTCACGGACAACATGATTCGCGACTACCACACCCTCTTCACGAGGCATGCGGGGGCTTCTGCTTTGCAGAGGAACCGGAGGACTTGGCTTTCGCGTTCTGCTTGGGCGACTTCGCTCCCCTGACCCCCTTCGTATCTGACCCCATCCCCCAGCCATACGACGCCGACAGCGTACCGAACGCTGCCTCAAAGTTCTTCGGCTGTGTCGCTGGCTTGGGAGCGATTGTATTGCCCGCCTTCGTCGAGGATTCCGGTTGCGCGGTATCCGGGTTGTGGTGAATCTACGAGAGACTCGGCTTAGCGGCATCCACAACGGAGACCCGAGACCTTCAAGTTCTCGCCCACCTTTGGTATCAAAGTCGTCGTCGAGCTGGTTGGGGTGGTTTCCTCCACCCCAGACAAGGGAAGTATGACTGTGGATGCGGCGGGCGAGTTCATGTTCTGTGGAATGACGAGGCCAGTACAGCAATGCCGTGGACTAGTAGGCAAGTACGTGGTCCAGATTGCTCCTGTGGTCTCTCCTGCCTACGTATATATAGGATTTTTGTATCCTCAATAAGGTGTAGGACTGGCTATGCTTCCTTTGACTGCGCTCAAGAAGCACTCTTGCTCTGCGGCTCTGAACCCGGTGGATCCGGCTTGGTGAATGAGCAGTCGATTAACCATATATGGCAACGGACCTTCCCGATTTGGTACCCTTGGGTTGGAGGTACAGCGGACAGAAGGCCAGGGGCAGTGCCGAGCGAGCTCACAGGCCACCGCAGCTCATTGAAGATGACACACACAGACTGCGGTGAGTCGACATGAGTACTACATAGCGTGGTACAGTATCTCACCAGTCCGCGGTTGATACTTTGCGGCGCAGCCGGTGGGATGATGTCGGGTGCGAACAAGAGACACTACAGAGTCATCCAAGCGGTAGAATGTTAGATGTGTTGCCTGTGTGTCAAAAAGCTCCCGGCTGACGACTTTGTCATCCTTAGCCAGGCTTCATACGCCATGCCCGTACTCCGAGTCATTGATTGAACACATAACTTAGTTCTCGTTCGCCGGTCGGAAACGATGGAGTCAACCACACGAAGGAATTTCCACACTCGAGCCATGGTGCGGAGATGATAAGCATTTCCTCGTTCTGATATGTACTGCGGCCGCGGCCGTAGGGCAGATAAGCCAAGGGAAAGGTGCGCATGGCTCCTTCCCATAGATGACAGCTTGGGCTGACTCGTTCGATTTAGGTACATGGAAATATTGTCAATGATGTGTTAGTTTATAAGCGCATTAGGTTAAGGGCTAAGTGTATGAAGACCGAATTACTTATGGAGAAGCTACGTTCGCTCCCGAAGCCTCCCCAAGTTCTCTCAGCTCGAAGTCGGAGTCAACCACTTCCTGCGGCGCGTCCGAGTCATCCTTGTCCAACTCCGGCTCGTTGTCCGGTCCGTCATCGATCGAGTTCCCAAGGGGCCCAAGGACCTGCGAGAAGTGCAGGTCAGACACGTGTGACGTACTCGAGGTCATTGATGGCGCCAGGGCCGCCTCGCGGAGGTTGAGGAACAGCCGCGAAAGAAGGATGGTCGTCGCGCTGACGTGTCCAAACCGTTGAGTTGCGATATACTATGCATGGGCCTAGGGCAAGATGACGCACACATCTGACAGCATCGCGACGTTGCTGCCTGCAAAGCTTATCTGCGACTCGTCAGTCGGTAACTGGGCCAAATAGCCTTGCCGTTCAGACGACGTACGGGTGAGACGTTCAATGCCAGGACGAGGAAGTTCATGAGTAAAAGTGCCCTGCAAGACGTATCAGTGTGGTGAAATTTGAAGTTCTCACTGAGCGAACGCACAGGAAATATAGGGTTCCTTTTCGATATCATGAGCTGAAACTGTATCATGTACAACTAGGAAGAGCATACCGTCCCGGAGCAAGAGTCTGGTCATCGAAATGTCGATGTCAACCCCTCTCGCGAGCTTCCGGACTCCGCCAGTGACCTTCCACGTTGCTAGGAGCACCACAGCGTCGGCCAACATTGCACTGACGCGCGCAGCGATCTCGACTGGAGCAAGTACGCATGTCATGAGTCGATACGCAGCTCAGGTATCGGAAGACATACGTCTGACGAATGTCGGTCAGTTGCAACGAAGACGCTGAGCGGGACGCGGTACGGCGAGACAGACATACTTGTACAGCAAAGGCGTGATAGCACCCCGAGTAACCACACAATTACGGGGAGGAGGGGCGGGGGTCACACCAACGGTCGACAGGTTTAACTTGTCCGGCAGCCTCAGTATGTCATGCTTGGATCGTCCCCTGATCCGATGGACGTACGATGTTCGTTGCAAACGGTACAAGCGAGAAGATCATCACCACCGCAGGGAGTCCGTACTTCCTGCCATTGATCGCAAATATGCGCAAGGCGGAGGCAGCTCGAGACGACTTAGTTCATATTCGACGAGGATTCGATTGCGCTCACCTCCCCAGATGAGATACAAGAAACATACGTTGATCGCTCCGGAAATGTAGAGGATGTAGTAGCTAGGAAAGATGTTGTCAGTCGCTATAGACGACTGAATTGGTATAATACAGACATCTGGGATAGTATCAGTCCATGCGCGCTGCTCAAAGAACGAGTGTTGTCACTTACTTCACAAGACGAGAGCGGAAGTATCAGACTGATATTGATCGACAGGAGCAAGGTCGTGGACAGATGCATAGATACGAAGAGGACCGGTATGACGAGACCGATTCTTTCGCGGCGCCATATCAGTTTGACCTCCGTCGCGGCGGTTAGCATCCGATCGTAGGCATAGACAGCTGTACATTATGCGTTCAGCGGGACGTGACGGCAAAGGCTCAAGCTCCGATAACTCACCTGCACTAGCGATGAGCAGACGGTTGTAGGCGATACTGAACAGTGTATCAGTGTCGCCGAAGATGACCTGGAGCGATACAAATGCACGCTTACCGATGCAATAGCTCGGTCAAGGAAGAAGTCGTCATGGGTCTTGTTGATGAACGCTTTCAACAGCCGTAGAACGTTCTGCAGGGTAGTGCTGCAGGACAACCACTGCCGCTCGAATAATCAATTTATAAGTATAGGCCCGCATCTGCGTGTAAATCTGCAAAACACAGCATGGCTAGCACGGGCAGTATCGGATTCATTATCACTTCGCGCCCATATTGCATGGCAGCGGATGAGGCCAGATTCCTTAATGGAATGGAAGAAATCTTGATAGTGGCGAGCTCTGTCATAGTCGATAGCGCGTCTAGTCGACGATAGTCGGGGTACTCTGTGGCCTTCCAGGGTGTAGAATAACAGCGCTGTTAGCAATATAATTGGAAAGTAGAAGGAAGATACACCTCTGTATATTCACCAACTTGCGCTTAGAAGCTTGAGACGATCGACGGATCACAACTTCCAGGCACATGGTCTGTATGTATACTGTCGGAGTGGACACACTGTCAACTTTACGAGCATAAAATTACGAAATCAGAGCATTACGCACATGCCATCTCAGGGTATCAGACACTCTAGAATTCATGATAGGCGTTGTTCCGAGCATGTCCTGGGATCTGAGTGGCAGCCACTGACAGCGCTCACTGGCAGCCACCTCCGGGAGGTACATACCTGTTTCAATGGAGGGCGGTGATTTCATTAGACAACGAGTGTTGTATTAACAGATAGAAACTCACTGTGTACCTTGTGTAGCGCCCATAGGACACTGGCCGGAGGGCCACATCATCCGGCGAGCGACTCGAGCCTCCCGTCGAGGTCGAGAGAGGACTGCGGCCAGTTCAGTTTTGATTCCCAAGGAAGAATGTCTCCTATTCTGGCATAACCACCACACATGCAATACGTATGGTCTAGCTCTCCTGGATGTATAAAAAATTGCGGTGCATTGGTTAAGATGGTGGTCGAGGAGGCGGAGTGAGGCTTACCGGGGAGGAGTACGTCAGTAAGCGCCCGCGGACTACTTTCCTCCTCCCATCATGTCCTCCTCGCGTTCGACGACAATCTCCCTTCCTGCCTCTGAAGATGGAGATGAGCCTCAGCAACCTGGGATTCTCCGCGATGCAACCTTCGCTCGCCGCGTAGTATCGCCCTACTCCCCTGCGCAAGTGAATGCGTACCTCGACAAAATTGGCTGGTCGCCCGGATCGGCGGCAGGGCACCGCAGCTCCCACTTCGAGCCAAACGCCGCAAATCTTCGCAGACTGATGTACTTGCACCTACTAGCATTCCCGCAGGACACCTCCGCGCTGCACTAGTGAGTGTCGAACACGTCACTCACGGTATGGTTATGGCTCTGGCGATCAGTGCCCTCCTTGTGATTTTGGCAGTGGTTGACCCGACTCCTGGCGACCTAGTACGCGGGACCACCACATGCCGGTGACGCCTCAAGAGATGTACGAAAGCATGGTCGTCAGCAAACATGGCAGCTACTGTTTTGGGCAGAACGGGCTGCTGCTTGGCATGTTGCGAGGACTAGGCTACCGGTAAGTTACGCGTTCAGTCGACTTGTACACGTTCTACCACACCGAAGCCCTGTCTTATTCATATCTATAACGTCTGTGATCCATGGTGCAGCGCGTACGCAGCCGCAGGGCGTGTCCTTCTTCCTCCTTCCCCTCCATCTCCGCACTCCGCGACGCTCGTGTACTCTGCACCGCACCACCTCGTCCTTCTCGTCCAGCCGCACGACGCGTCAGGTCCTCACGGCAACATGACCTACATGGTCGACGTAGGCTTCGGAGGGACAGGACCCGTGCGTCCAATCCTACTCGCGGACGGCAGCTCAGGTCTGAAGCAACGCACACCAGAGGATGGAGATCATAACGACCCGGACGGGGAAAGCACAGCCACTGGCGGTTGGATATGGGGCACGTACCCGCCTGAGCGGCATCGTCTCGTTCGTGGCGCATTGCCCGACAGCAGCCTTGGTGCGTCGCGATCACCAACTAGTCCGACTGCCTACGCTGAAACTCATAGGGTAGAGACGCACGGAGGCTCGGGTCGCGCCCCTGTCCATGATTGGCACCTCCAGGTCTCGCATGCGTCCGCTCATCCGTCGAACACCTCCGACACCTCTTCGTCGGCGGAGAAGTCGGAGTGGACCACGCTGTACTCCTTCGCGGAGGCGGAGTTCTTCCAGGCGGACATCGACGCGGCGAGCTTTGCGGTAAGCCGCATGCCAGGCTCGTTCTTTCTTACCACCATCATCTGCACACGGCGCTTTCTCGTGGTACTGCAGTCCGCAGAAGACGAGGAAGAGCTGCGGCTACGCGACAAACACGCCTTACCGACATCAATCAACTCTGCTGAGGGTCTAGACCTGGGAGATGTTGGTCCAGGGCCGTTCGTTGGTAAGTGGAACCTCGAGGGCGCGAGGGCGACGAAGAGGATCGGACGCGAAGTCGTGGAGGAGAAGAGGTTCGTGACGGAAAGTGACAGGGTGGAGATCCTGAGGGATGTCTTTGGTGTAGGTGTTAGGCCGGAGGACGAGCAGTGGATCGTCGGATGGCCCTCGGCGTTGCCGTCGGACCCAACGTGATGAATATTTGTCTCCGCGCCTTTAGCTCGTCGCTCTCAGTACGCATCAGTACTTGAAACACACGATGCCTCTGCGAATCCCAGACCCTTGGCGGCAGATCTTCTGCTAACTCAGCTTTGCTCCCAACCGCATGTCCTGGATGATGGGAAAGCGAGAAGACATGGCTACGCACCCCAAGGTCGTCGCTGTCAGCGTGCCTTCGCTGTCGTGAGTAAGCCATCTTACTATCCAGCGCCTCGCCCCCATGATGACGGTGCGATGAGTGGTCTTTAAATTGCTTCTTCGGCCATCCGCGGTCATGATTACTGACAGGAATCAATGCCTTCTACAGGGCCAGCTTCACGTAACTCAACGTTTGTCGCTGACGCCGTATCTCGCACCAATTGATACTGGGCCATATGTAGAAGACGCCTGGCAGGTGAGCCGCATTCCATTACCTGGCGTTAATGTTGGGGGTACGACGTAAACGCCTCCGACTGCTACACGTCCGCCCTCAACAAGGTCGTGTTCAGGGTCTGCCTACGGTGTCATCCGGGGATTTGCTAGTAGTCTACGCTCCCGCGAAACTTTGGCATGATATAATAATCGACCTGAAGTGACGCATCATATAGTTGCTGTCAGATATATCAAGCTTTCTCTGCGGCCTGGACAGAGGTCCATGCTCACAGATGAGCCTTCCAGGGACATGTAGCGGCACCTGCGCTGCCAGTTAAGGGCGAGCTGTGGCGGTCCAAGACATCTTGTGAGTCGAATCTGTCTCTTCATCTTCCATTCCTCGACTTCAAATCTGTCAAAGCCGAGAGCGCTTAAGCATGTGTGGATGCTCATCGGATTCGGATTGTTTCTCTGGCCATGCGGCCTCCGCGATGTTGGATGGGCTGCTCCATGCGTAGTAGTTTCGGTGGTAACAGTCTGAACCATACAGCTCAGCGCTGCTGATCTACAAAGGGGCAACAGTACTTCTATCCTATAAGCTTCGGCAGTCTTGATGTGTCTCGCGGATTCTGTGGCGACCCTGTATTGATCAATCGTTTAGCATACAGACACGGCTTATGATCAACCCCGTGTGTACGGTCCACAGACCGCAGAGCCTCTGCCAAAGCCTGTCGAGTCGCCGATCAACATCTGGCGATGAAGGTTTCAGGTGAGTCGCTAACATTAGTGACTGCAGGACACCGGTGCATAGCCATGGTCATATGAGTTCATGATCTGCGCCTGCCTGGTTATGGGTGTTGAAAAGTAGCCTCGTCATTCACATGCTAGACATGCAAAACACCGTGACGAAAGCGACGCCAGTGAAGGTCTGTCCGTGGGGTTTACACGTGCGTTGTCGGGCTAACGCCGTCTGTGGATGTTTCACTCGCTATCTAAACTGTTCAGCGTCACGATGTCTCCACGACGGATTCCATTTGGCGTAGGCCACACGATCACTTGGTGCTATCGATTCGTGGTCGATACTCTTCATCTGGTATGCACTATGTAGCGGCGCTGCCGTTATCTCAATATATTGGCCACTGAATCACGTATCAGTTTTCTGCTGTAGTAGACGAAGACCCTGGATTGGCGAACCAGCGGATGGTATCTTTTGGCCTGTCGGACGGAAGTATCACTCCATTTTTCAGTACATCACTTGAGTGCCTCGCTGGGAACAGGTGCACTTCCTATCGAAAAGCCTCCGCGGATCATTCTGAGGTGATGTTCCTTGCTTTAAGATACCAAGCTCTGCGCCGTGGCAGCAGATTCCTAACCTGGGGCGGCTTAACTCGGTTGAATGGCTCCGCACACTGTTCAACCACGCGTCTCAAACGATTGGTGGTTTACTTCTTGTGGACCTTTCTTTCAATCAGAGCCACAACTATGTGAGAAGGTTCGCATTGTGTTGGCTTGGAGTCAGATTCTGACGGTGCGCTGCAGCCTTGCAACCAGTGCTGTCAAGGCCACAGCCTGTGAAGGAAGATAGGGCCAGTGGACTCGGCGCCATCCAGGACGGCATAAAAGCTTTGGTCGGGGCTATGTATCAAGCAACACTCTTGGGCAATTCGTCTACCTGCGCGGAAACTACACAGAAATGTCGTCAGCCAATGTCGCAGCAAACGCGTCGTATGAGTTAGTCAATCTCGCGCACATGGGAGCTATTTCTGATCATTGCTGGCTTCATAACAGCATGCTCGTCAATTATGTCTTCTATGCGACTGCTGGTAAGGAACAGTCCTTCTGTAGAGCTACTTCTACTGATCAGATGTCCTCAGCTCTTTACTTGTACGATAGGATCATCAGCATCGGACAAGAGGTTGACTGTATATGGCGACGCCGAAATACCAGGATCATTGTACCGGCCCTCTACGTCATGATGCATTCTTGTGCAATGCTATACCTCCTCCTGAACCCATTGCAGGACATTCCAAACTGTCAGGTGAGCCAATGACTGGCATGCCCAGGCAGGTCGGATGAAATAACGACCTTTTGCGCGTTCTATCCGTTCACAGAGGTATGTACACAACCTGATAGGTAGCCTGAGACTTGTTCCGAGACGGCTGTGCTTGCAGCTACTTGGCTTTTTCAATACTACAGATGGTCACCATCTGTCTCATGTATGCAGTATTCGGAGGTGTGTTTCAAGACTGAACCTTCGGGCTCCTCTGAGCTGAAATGTCTTACATTCACAGCGATTGCAAGTCTCCGTGTATATACAATCAACGGGAGAAGCTGGAAATTGCCAATCGTAGTGATGTTACTTGGACTTACGCCCGTGGCTACCAACATAGTATGACATCGGAGATATACGTTGACAGCTACTGATGATATGCCTAGTATTGCGCTGCTCGCTGGAGAATGACCGTTTTCCCGCCTTTCAACGGCTGTACCCTCGCGGTCGCTTGGTCTGTCGCTACCGGACGCTGGTGAGTTTTTTATATCAAACTTTGCATCATGCTCGTGTCCAAGGCCGAGTAACGTCATGCAGGTGTGAGTGAACCGAGCCTCAGGAGCGATGAGAAGACTGATTGTCAACAGCGGAAATCCTTACGCGATCGAGCATCGTTGTAGCCGACGCTCTAGTGTTTCTGGCGACATGGCGCTCTGCTCGTGGAAACAATGGGTTGCGACAAGAGGATCATTTCTGTTAAAGTTACAAGTTCTCAGTCGCGTCCTCGTGGTACTCGACTCGATTGCTACTGTACCTGTTAAAGTTACAAGTTCTAATACTACAGTTTCAGCATCTTCGGACTAGAAATACAGTAGGGAATGAGCTTACCTCAGTCGCGTCCTCGTGGTACTCGACTGAGGTAGCTGGTGTCTACGCGCGCCCGTTACAGTCCGTTCGTCCATCACGTGTCCGTGTCGTCACAAGCGCCGCGTCACGGTCCCTCCTCAACACTCCCCCGGGGCCGCGACGCGCATGTAAAGTAGGTGCTTAAGTAAAGTAGGTAAAGTAAGAGCCTTCGTGAAAATGTCTGCAGGGTTGTCTGCCCCAGGTATGTGAATAATCTTCAACTGCTTACCCCGGATGGCCTCCCGCAACCAATGGTAACGGATGTGCAAGTGTCGCACTCGCGAAAAGTTGGCGGAACGAGTCGCCAAGCTCTCCCCTCCAGCGCTGTCCATCCGGATGACCACAGGTCGCTCTATCGGAACGTAGATCTCGTCCATGAAGTTGGCGACCCACACTCCCGTCTGACCTGCGTGCACAGCGGCGATATACTCAGCTTCGGTAGTCGACAAAGTGACAACCTCCTGGCGACGCGAGCTCCATGAGACCGGCCCTCCAGCCATCATGACTACGTGTCCGTGGGTCGAACGTCCTGTGTCCAAGCAGTCGCCTTGCGACGCGTCTGAGTAAACTGTGGGCTGCAGACCCGATGCGTGGTTGCCGTCGTATGTGATCCCATGGTCTAAAGTGCCTTTGATGTAGCGGAGGACACGCTTGAGTGCGCGCCAATGCTCATAGCCCGGGTTCGCCATGAAGCGACTAAGCAGCTGAACAGGGTAAGCGAGGTCGGGTCGAGTCGCGACCGCTAGGTACATGATCGCGCCCAGGGCCTCGCGGTAGGGGATTTTCTCCATCTCCTCTCGCTGCTCGGCGGTCACCGGCTCAGCTGTTTTGGACAACTTGCTTCCTGGCTCGAGCGGTGTACGAACCGGGTTGGACTCCTTCATCCCGAACCTGTCAAGCACTCGTTCGGCATATGCTCGCTGGGACAGGCGCATCGTCTTCTGTGCCCGGTCTCGCTCGATCAGGACGCCTAACATATACTTGAACTCACCTCCCCCGCTGAGCCGGTACCGCACAGCGAGTTCGGATCGTACAGTCGCCAGACCGGCTGCGGTGTCTCCGGCTTCCCCGATGTCGTCTGTGTATGTCGCCGTGATCGCTAGTCCATCGTCATCGAACCTCGCCCGTACGCACTCGTCCGCCCGCGATCGCGAGAAGCCTAGCTCCTGGTACGTCTCATCGAGATGTTTCCACCAGTCGTTACCTGCCTGCATGCATCCATACAGCCCACGTACCATCCTGCAGACGTGCGTTGGGAATTCCTTCGACACGTACCCTGCAGGTTGCTCCATATAGATAGCCTCCTCCGGGGACGCATTCAGGTACGCCTTCTCGACGTCATCCTGTGCCATCTCCATGTCCCTGACCACGGCCGTCGCACAGACCAGTCGCAAGGATTCGAACCGCACGACAGAGGCGTGCGTCTCGAAGTAGTCGACCCCGGGTATTTGCTGGAAACCTTTCGCCACCAACCGAGCCTTCGGTTTCCACTTCCCGTCGGCCTCTTCGTCGCCAGCGAACTTACGAGCATACACCCATTTGTTCCCTATGACGTTCATGTCTGGGGTGCGAGGTACGAGTTCCCAGGCGCCGATCTTCGCTAGTCCGCTGATCTCGCTATCCATCGAGGGCGTCCATATTTCCGGCTGCTGCTTTGCCTCCTTATACGTCTCTGGTGTCCGCCCGCCACGATACCATTTGACGCCATCGTCCTGGCCAGCCGAGACTGCTTCGGTGAACATCGCCAGGTATGCGCCTTCGGGACTCTGGTTACGACTCTTCTCCCCCGGTTCATCGTCAGCCCACGGCTCCCCCTTGCTCCGTGCTTCGGCCTCGCGTGCGTCCGACTCGTGCGATTCTCGGAGCTTTTGACTCGGCACAGTGGCCCTCCCAGATCGACGGGGTGCGACCACTTCCCTCGGTGCCTCAATAGGTGCGCTCTCGTCCTCTGGTGCAAGTTCAGGTTCGGGCTTCTCGACTTGGAGCGCCTCGCCAGCCTCGTCCACCGACTCGGGAGCTGGCTGCTCCGCCGCTTCGACCGACACTGTAGTGGGTGCGTCCTGGATCAACGTCCGGTGTCCCGGCCCCTCTTCGAAGATGACGTCCCTGCTCCGGATGATACGTCCGGTTGCCGGGTCCCATAGGCGGTAGTTGGCGTTCTCGGTGTAACCGACCATGATGCACTTGATAGACTTCGGGTCCAACTTGGTACGGGTCTCGTCCGGTACCTTCGCCCATGCGGTAGACCCGAACGCTCGCAGGTGCGCAACGTTTGGCACGCGTCCGAACCAGGCCTCGTAAGGTGTCCGTCCACCCTGTCGAGCCGACGCTGTCAGGTTCTTCACGTAGGTCGCAGTCTTGTAGGCCTCGCCCCACAACCCCACTGGCAAGCCCGCGTCGAACAGCATCGACCTAGCGTGGTCCCCCAAGGTACGGTGTCCCCGCTCTGCTACTCCGTCCTGCTGAGGCGTGTACGGGGTTGTTGTCTCGTGGATGATCCCGTGCTCTCGGGTGAACGCCGCCCAGAGTGCGTTGTCGAATTCGTGTCCGTTGTCAGTGCGATGCGACGGATTTTCTTGTTCGTTTGCAGCTCTGCCATCGTTTTGAAGCTGCTGAACGAGTCGAGGGTTTCCCTCGCTTCTTTGGTTTGTAGTAGGTCAAGGGCTTCGAAGGAGGACTTGCCGTCGTGGAGGGTCATGCTGTGGTAGGCACCGCCGAACGACGCCTCGCGTGCGCGCCCGGTCAAGTCGATATAGATACGTTCACATATGTCCTCTTCGATGCTCGACGACGTGAAAGGCATGCGAGGGTGCTTGCCTTTGATGCAGTCCTCACACTTCCCTTGAGGCATCCCACCGACAATCGCCATTCCTTCAACAGCGCCAGACCTCGCCATCTCCATCACCGTACGCTCGCTTGCGTGTCCAAGGCGGCGGTGCCAGGTATGAACGTCGGCAGCCTTCGCGTTCGTCAACGACGCTAAGGCGCGTGGGGAATCTCCTGCGCCCTGGTTTGGGATCGCCTTCCCGTCGACTCGAGTCAGGGCGACTTCGTAGAGGTTGTTGGTCGTCATCCTTCCAACGAGGATTGGTTCACCACCATCCTGCCCGACTATCCGCATCTCTCCACCCTTGATCTGAATGTTGCATCCTCCTGCGTCGATCCGGGACAGGGAGATGAGATTCGCAGCTAAGTCTGGTACGTGGAGGGCGTTTCGGAAGTTACAATGGACCGGCGTCCATCGATGATCATCTCTGCGTGGACGCAGCCAACCCCGATTATTGTGAAGTCTGCGCCTCGTTTTGCGCTATTTCCGGAGTGTGGTGTCAAGGGTAGATACTCGGAAAAGGAGGCTCGGTCCGTGAAGTAGTGGTGGCTGGCGCCTGAGTCGAGGTATGCCCGTATCATGCCATCGGACGAATCGAGCTGTGCAGGAGTGATGGTTGCCATGAAGACATTGTAGTTCAGTACAGCGTTCGGCGTAGCTGTAGTGACGTTGGCAGCAGGTGCGTTCGGAGTGGGATGAGCCAGGTCGGCAGGCGATCCTTTCTTCGGTCGTGGCTGTGACCTCCAGGTCGCCGGTTGCTGCCCCGCCATGCCTCCGCCCTCGCAAAAACAGCGCTCCTTTGAGTGCCCCTTCCATAGGCACCAATCACATATCATAATCGCTTTCGCGGCCGTCATGAACGCGGACGTTTGAGGCTCGCCCTGTCCAGTCGTTTGCGTAACCCCGAGTGGGTTCTGCGGTTGTCCGGTTCGCAACATCTCGTTGTCGTGGACGGCGAGAATAGTGAGGATAACGTCTTCAGGGTCGGATTTCGTGAGCAGCCCAGCAGTGATATGGTTATAGACATCGCCCATCGACTGACAGATTATGATCGCGAAGCGGTGGTCGGTGAGGGGTGAGGCCATCTCGTTACACGCCTTGCGACGACGGCGGAGTTCTTCGAAATGAGCATGGATGTCTGAGCCGGGGACGTACTTGCACTTCTTCAGGTACTCCTCGGCATTCATAACCGCCAGCTCGCTCCGTCTCTCCTTTATCGCCAGTAAAGCCGTCCAGAACTCGTACGCCGTAAGACCGAAGGGTTCGACCCCACAGATAGATAGGTCCATGTTGAGCGTGCAGGTTGCCTTCGCGTGCAAGTCGTTCTTGTTCCATTTGGCAAGCTCGGTCACTTCGGCTGGGGTGGGCGTGGCGCCGGCAGGCTCAGGCGCGGTCGTCTTTCCGAGCAGATGGCCTAGCTTTCCCTGCAGTTCGACGATAGTGAGGATTTTGCTCTTCCATTGCACCCAGTTGGTGCGATTTAGGTGGAAGTTCTCAGGGAGGATGATTACTTTATCCTTGTCGTCCGACATCGTGGGTATATGCGTTTTTCGGTGACTATATGCGCGTGAAAACGGTGGTTTTGCCGTGGAATAGTCGAAAGCGGGTGGTTGTGCCCTTAAAGCGTCGTCGGTTTGTACGAGGAAGCGATCAGAAAGACGAGACGGGGCTCATAACCTGTTAAAGTTACAAGTTCTCAGTCGCGTCCTCGTGGTACTCGACTCGATTGCTACTGTACCTGTTAAAGTTACAAGTTCTAATACTACAGTTTCAGCATCTTCGGACTAGAAATACAGTAGGGAATGAGCTTACCTCAGTCGCGTCCTCGTGGTACTCGACTGAGGTAGCTGGTGTCTACGCGCGCCCGTTACAGTCCGTTCGTCCATCACGTGTCCGTGTCGTCACAAGCGCCGCGTCACGGTCCCTCCTCAACAATTTCATAGTCAGACCACGGTTATCAAGTTTGCTTCTGAGGGATGGTAAGTGGTCATTGTTGTTACGTACTGTGCGTTCACCAGTCTCATGATTCTTCAAGGTGCGCTGCAATTCGGGTACGAACCTTTCACCATCTAGTGATACTGATGTACAACTAAGCCTCTCTATCACTGCAGGGCTCTGTTCGTGTTCAACTTAGTCATCGGAATCTTTCTTGTCAAATCGGTGTGTAAATGGTAGACCTTTGCACAACAGAGTCCAGCTAACTTATTCCAGAGCGGCTTCCTGGGCACGAACTTCATCATCCTCGAAGATGTGTAGGTCGTATTAATTTTGCGCATGTGATGTCTGTCTGTGCTGATCACCATCCGCATGTCTGAAGGGTCACAATCATTTTGCTGTCTCGTCTGCTATTTCATCTGCGCGAGACCCGACCACAAGGACCATTTTCAAGCACCTCTGAGTCCCAGTCGTCTCGCTCGACCTTCAGGGATGCGTTCAAGCAGATCAACGCTATGCTGCATGAACTTGAAGCGGCGGAGCCTTCGAATGATGACCAAGAAATACGTGACAATGTCGACGACCGCATGGATGACAACCCCGAAGTCTTACAAGACGATAGTGACATCGAGCTTTCCACGGCATGCACCATTGGCAGCGAGTCGCCCGATCCTCGTCACGGTCACCTCGATCAGGGCGTAGAATTGGACTCGGAAACATATAACTCGGCGCGCACCTAGTTACTGTTTGTATACAGCCTCGATCTGTTGACGAGCCTGAGTATACTTACTTACTCGACACGATACTATCTTGCCGCAACTAGTCTCTTTGTTACGATTGCGTTCGACTCCCAGATATATTCTGGGATCCCTAGTACTTACCGTCCCTAGTTATCTTGAAGTCCACTGGCCGCAGTGGCAGTTAACTAAACATATGAACTTGCCTGTTTGGGAAACCGTTGTATGTAACTAAGTACTTACCGGAAAGGGAGTGCTTGTTCCTCCATGTCTCCCGCTCTCCGACTCTGTTCATCATATAGATCTCGCGCAGTCTCGCGAACTCCTCTTTGGCTTTCTCCCAGGATGTATTCGCACCAGGATTCTGTACCCAGACCAAAGACGATGTCGCACGACATCACCGTGACTTTCCTCGGAACAGCCAGCGGCGGCGGACCGACCGAAACGCGCAATTGTTCAAGTCTCGTCGTGGATGCGCTCGGGAACCAGTCATTATGGAGTGCGTAATGATACAAAGACTCTACTCTGAGCATTCCAGGACGGGTGGTTAAGCAAATCATTCGCTAGTGGTGGATTGCGCGGAGGGTACCGTCAGGCAAGTGTTGCAACAGCCCTTCCGCGGCGGAGAACGTATCAGGCTCAGCACATTGACGAAAGTGTTCATCACACACATGCATGGTGAGTTCTCCTTGCTGCGCGACGTGTCGTCTTGTGTGCAATGTTCGACCAGTGGTCGCACTACTGGTCAAGACTGTCTCGGAAGACCGCTTTCAAGTTCCAGTTCCTTGTGTTTCAAACCACATGTCTGGACACTATGCACACAGTCCGTTTCTTTGACGGGCCTGGTCTTTTCTGGCTTGAAGCGTTCTTGAAATCTCGCTCTCGGCATTGCAGCGAACTACCTCCTGTGGCGCCCCTCTTCATCGCACGCGTTTACTTCGGCGATGGAGGCTCGTGGTTCATTTACTGTCTCTCGGGTTGTGCATTACACGGAGAGGCATGTTTGTCCTTGAGGAGCTTACAGAAGTTGACACGCAACTCATGTCATCATCCTATACCCATGTTTGGCCCGCTATTCTTTCGTGATGTAAGCCTCTAGACAGCATGCAGCGAGACATTCCAACGCAGTCGGCCGTCAGATGGTCCCAACAAAGTTTCTCTGTTTTGCTAGATTGGCCCTGTCCTCACCCACGATGATCGACGAGATCAGCCTTTCCTCGCGTCTGCGCGACACTCGCACGTTGTTGGACTCATTACCAGGTTCCCAATGGACATTTGCTAACGTCCTTTGTCACCCAAAGCCGACCACACAGCAGGAATCCTCACGCTGCTCCGTAACACGCTCGGTATCCCGAAAGCCAGGGCGCGCTCTCGCTCACCTCGTGCGACGGAGCTATCATCAACGCTCGTGTCGTCCATTAAGGAGGAGCCACTGGTAGCTTCGCTATCTACCCAAGACCCAGTGCCTTCACACATCGCCGAGGAACCTCGACATGTCCCCGAAGTCCGAACAGACCCGCCCCGCATCGAGATCTTCGGCCCTCGCGGGTTGCGACGGTTCCTGCGGCTGCAGATGCTCCTCACGCACACAAACTCCCAGGAACGTTACGCCGTGCACGAGCTTCTCACCGCTGATCAAGCACCCTCCTGCCCTGGCGACATCGCTCAGCAGTCCGACCCCGGTGCGAGCGAAGAGGAACAGTTAGCGGAGAACGAAGCACCCGGCCAGGACATCCGGTGCGACTCGCACGGCTACTGGCGAGGAATAGTCGTCAAACACGTAGGCTCCAGCTCGGGCTGGGTGGACTCGTCGTCCGACCAGAAGGGCGCCGGAAGAGTGATCGTCGATGCGGGCCCAATCGACCACCGCGATCCTTGCATTGGCTACGTGATCCGTGAGGTCCCTCACCTGCCTGGGCCTCCTGCCCTGCAGATGCCGATCCCCGTCCCGCGCAAGCTCGTCATTCTCGGCGACACGTTCAATGCCGATTCGCTCGTGCCACTTATTGACCCGCCTTCCCCTGACAACGCCGCTGCTGTGGCCAGTGGCAGTGCGATGCGACCGATCGAGGTCGACATGGACGTCGATATGGACGTACCGCCCGGTGACGCGTTGGCCGGTATTGAAAATGCGACTGTGGTGCCTGACGTGCAGAAGCTTATTGCACGGACACCTGTATCCTTACTCATCCACGAGGCTACTGATGCGTACATACCGCCGTCGGTGGATCCGCAGGGAAAGACCGGTCGCAACAGAACCGTGAGATGCCTCCTCTATGAGACAGACACTAATTCTGATTATGCACCCATTTTGCAGGCCGAGAGTGTGAATGCCAAGACGCTTGACAGGGGACATAGCACTCCCGCCATGGCGGGCGAGTTCGCACGGAAGATCGGTGCAGAGCGCCTCGTTCTCAATCACATAGGTGCTCGGTCAGTATCGATATATGTTCTTTGTTAAAAGGTTATGTTCTGATGCTGCTACAGCTTCCCTGCACCTCCCGCTCCGGTTCGTACGCCATGGGAGAGGTTCCAACTCGCATGCATGCGTGAGATCGAAAGACAGGCACACGCAACTTGGAGGCCCCCCAACACGCGTCCTCCCACTTATGTGACTGCGGCGTACGACTATTACAGGATTACCATCCCGCCCAACAGGTTGCCGCGCACTCCCGAGGACGAACAGGACGAGCAACGAGTAGAGCGGGACGTGTCACACCGTGAGACGCACAAAGAACGACACGAAGGACGATTCGACCGGGGAGGAGGCTCTCACACAGGGAGACAAACGGATCGACGATATGACGGCCATACTGAACCTGGATCTGGTCACGGTGGTCGGCCCTTTGACCCGAACAGCAGGGAGCTTCCTCCGCGGCCCGAGGCATCCCGATTTGCTCGTCATGAACTAGCCCACCAAACACGGGAGACGGTTGTCCTCACTAATGGTGTGGACTACGACTTTCCTCATGTGCCTTTCGTTCAAAGAACCGCTGTCGGGCGCAACGATGAAGGTCCTAGTGCACGGATGAATGAAAACGGCAAACGCGATCGTACCGCCAGCTCGGGAGATAGTACTCGTGCCCAGCCTGATGAGAGTCGTGGAAGGGGTTGGCGTGGTCGCGGCCGGGGTACAAGGGCTATACACTCTCAGGCGAGGGGAGATTATCGAGGTGAGCACGGTGAACATAGAGGAGAGTACAAACGAGGTCGCAGGTAGGAGGCTGGCATGGGTTGTCCCCCTCCAGATACCGTCGTTGTGGCGATGGGCTGTGTATATAATGGTGGAATAGTGTACGATAACCCTCATTCGTCGACGACAGAAATTCGCTGGTCAATGATTCTGAGAATGGGTATAAGCAGCCCTCCTTCATTGACCGATGATACAAGCATCTATTGTACAACTCCCAGACACAACGTTAACTAGAACGTTCACAATCCGATGAGGCTACGTGTTCATGCCATGACGTTCTCTACTCTCTGCTCAGCCACTTTCTCCCTATCCTCCACAATCACCTCCGCCGCCTTTTCATCCGTATCAGATGCGCTACTACTGGGAATAGCGGCTTCCTCCACTGCACCGCAGCCAATTGCCCTAGTGCGCCTCTCTGCCCTGGCCCGCTGCACAGCGGCATCTGCTCTCGGCACAGCACTCCACTGGATGGCGCTCGTCCAGCTTCCTTTAACGGCTTCGACCTCGCTCGACGTCTCGCTCCGCTCAGCGCGGAACATATCGTCGATCGACTCGAGCGGGATGCCGGACGTCTCGGGGTAGCACGCCCAGACGATCGCGGCGATGACGAGGTTGAATACCGCGAAGATGATGTACGTTCGCCACTTGATGTTGTCCAGCGCAGGCGGGGTTATCTCGACGACCTGTCCGGGAAAAGCCGTTCAGTCCACGTCTCGCGGGAGAGCTATCCGTCATGACTGCGTACCAGGAAGTTGCCGAGGAAGTCGGCTGCAGCGGCGAGTGCAGCACCCTTTGCGCGGATCTTGAGAGGCAGGATCTCAGCGGGGTAGACCCACACGGTCCCCATCCATCCTGTACGGTCGCATGCTCAGAATTGAGTATCGCTGCCGGTCATGGACAAACGTACCCCAGGTGAAGAATCCCTCGTACAAGAACACGAAGAACACTGCCGCGATGCTCGCACTTGGGGTGTCGACTGCGACACAGATGGCCTCAAGGACGAGCACGACCGCCTGGCCTACAGCGAAGATGAGCCACAGCTTGCGGCGTCCGACGCGGTCGATCGTGTACCACTGTCACCGCGGATGCGGATGAGATGAGACATATGGCCGGACAGGTGCCAAGGCGAGACCCACCGTAACGAAAGACGCGATGATGTACCACACTTGCAGCCAGCACCCGAGGAAGAGCGCCATTTGCTGCGACATACCCAGACTGGACTCGAAGAGCGTTGGGGCGTAGTACGTCACGATATTGATACCTGCATGGCATCAGCAAGTGAGCAGGTAGGACAGACCTCCGTGCCGGTGGGACACATACCCGTCAGCTGCTGCATGAACTGAATCCCGAGAGCGAGGTAGAACCGCCTGTTCGCGGAGATGCCGCCGCTCTTGAACAGGTCGCCCCAAGTACCCTCCTCCTTGCTCTCCAGCTCGAGCGCATCTAAAATCTCCTGTGCCTCCTTAACCACGATCTCGTGGTCGGTGGGTAAATTCCTCAGCCTCGCCAGGACCTATGTCTCCTTCGATCACTAGGCTTCTTCCCACCGAGCGAGTGCGACTCACCTCAATACCTCTCGCGGGGCTAGCCTCATGCCGCATCAGCCATCGAGGTGTCTCGGGCATGAACATCGTCACGAAAATAACATATATCGCGAAGACGCATTGGAACAGCAGCGGGAAGCGCCACTGCACTTGTCCGTCGTAGAAGAAGAACGCGTAGTTGATCCAGTACGCGATCATCAGCCCGAAAAGCATCGAAGACATCTGGCAGCATAGCTGCCACCCGCGATGCTCCGGCAGCGTCACTTCGCTCTGGTACACGGGCGTCACTGCAAGCACAGAAGCCAGATACGTGAGCGAGATTTCGCCGACATTAGTGGGACGGTGGGACGCACCGGAAGTAATGTATCCGACGCCTTCGTGGCGGTGGGTAAGTCTTGGCAAGCGGGGAAGGCACAGTCGCACGACGCTCACCTATCCCGGTCAGAATCCTGGCGACTATCATCTGGATCCTTTCGACGCAGCTACCCATCAGGATGGTCCCAGCGAGCAATATCGTCGCGCCGATGATGAGCGTCCTCTTCCGCCCGAGCGGCTCGGTCGTGAACGCCGCCGCAATCGCGCCGACGATCGCGCCAATGTCGTAGAGCGCGGTGATCGTGCTGACCATGATCGTGCTGGGGTTGCCCATCTGGTCGAGCCAGTACTTGGAGACGACAACGCCGGACATGACGCCCTGGTCATAGCCGAAGAGGCAGAAGCCGGTCGAGCAGACCGAGGTGAGCATCGCGACGAGCGCGGTCCCGCGCAGGCCGTTCACGCCCAGCTTCGTCGGTAGAATTGTCATGTTGCTACTCGACGTCCGACGAGTATTTGCAACAGAGAAGTCTTCAGAGCCGCAGCGATGTCGAGGAACGGACCGTGAGCTTAGCGGAGGTTCTCCGGCTGCTATGCTTGCTTTATATATGAGCGAAGCTCGGGACGACATGCGTGAGGTCGCGTTGACGCGGTAACATGGTCATGTGCGAAAGTGCGGATACCCGTCAAACAGCAATGAGACGATGGTACGGCCGCTCGGGACGGTCACGTCTCACAGGATTCGAGGAGCGATCTAACGCATATAGCATTCTGGCGAATTTGTGGGGTTACGCGGAGGTCCCGTGGGTAGACTTAGTGACTTACGATTGACTTACGAACACGCGTATCGTATCATGTCGCGGGCGCCGGTAGATGGACACGCAAAGCCGTGCCTGGAAGGAAGTGAGTCGTCGAAGTACCAACTAATGAAGAACAATGAGACGCACACACTTCATAACCTCGCTGTCACCGCATTCGAAGAGGTTGATAGCACGATGCCGGTAGCTTAAGCGAAGAAAGAACAGGGTTACCAAATTAGTCCATAGGAGATCATGCTGCCCGAGTAATGTGACTTACACGTTTGGAGCACGAACCGCCCGCGTGAAACTTGAGAACGATCTCTTCCTAAGTTGTCACAGGATAGACGCAAATGACATGATGTATGAAGATCGTCAGGTACTTCATATACGTCAACAAACGCGGTTGGGTAAGGCACACTACTCGATGCAAAGATCGACGTGCGGCCTGCGAGTCTGGGACCGCTCTGCCCGCGGCATGCGATAAGGACGAAGTCAACGGCGTGGCTTGCGACGGTGATCTCTGTATGTGGGTAAAGAACGGCTTCATATTTGTCCGGATGTCGTCTGCAGACGCCGTGCGGGTTACCAGAGGAGGAGGAGGAGGAGGAGGAGGAGGAGGAGGGGATTCCATTTAGTCACGATCGCGCGCCGTAGGGCTCGCCACGCGTGACAGCGCTCTCTATTTACATGACAGCCCCCGTACTCCATAGACCCTTGTACTGTGGTGCGATGTGTTCTCTTTCTACACTATGTATCGAGGCATGTCAGCTGTGGCTACCCTCCCCATGGCCGGTGACAAATTATGGCTCATGTGAGGCTGTGCTCAACGGGTACATGCGCGTGAGTTGTACACATTAGAAGGGCTACACTCACCATACTATGTATGCACTATACACCAGGAACGAAGAAGCCAGGACTGGTCACATACACGCGATATGTAGGCTCAAAAATCTGTGTGATTCGCGACACTCACTGCTATTTGTTGCTCGCCCCTATGAACGTCATTGAACAAGAATTTAACGGTACATAAAATGATTGATACCTGCGGGGGATATGCTCCGCCTTCATGAAGAGGTGAGCGGAGGAGGCAAGACCGTGACGGACGTGGCGGGCCGGCTGTAGTGCGCGCGATGAGATCGGCACGGATCAATGTCGTGGGATGGATCACTCGGGACCGAGTCGACTCTGCAAACCACTCGAGCGTTCAATCGCTTTCAAATGCTCACGTTCAGCAGCTTCAGCTTCTATTGATTTACTGACCGATGTATTCCCAGACTTGAGCAGTCACAATCCCACCAACTGGATACAGCTCTGAGACAGTGAGACAGCCCTTCGTCGTAATGGACAGCGCACAATTTCACGCAGCGGTACATATTACTGGATCTGAGTTTGAGTCTCGCACCGGCTCAGGCTGACGAGTAGTGGTCCTTCAGGTGTATCACGTCGTTCGACAGATACCTCCACAGCACGTAACATCCTACGGTAAGCAAAGCCAAATTAGCTCTCTGATACGGCACCGCTCATTCTACCTTCCAGGACACGTCGCGAAGCTCATCGGCATGCCCCGCCACTCACGACATGTCGGACAAGGTACGCTTCTAAGTTATCACCGCCCCCACCTTCCCGAACACACCATGATCCGCACCGCGCTGAATTCGGTCTGCCAGCCCTGAAGTTCGTCTCGCCCGACGTACAGCCCCCCATCCCCTGGTACCGCGTCATCTCGTCTTCCGGCGTGATCTCCTCGCGCGGGCCCGGCACGAGCGGCGCGGACGTGCAGCGCCAGGAGCTCGAGGCTGAGGGCATCGAGGTCAGCGTCGGGCGCGTGGGCGACCTGCGTGTCGACATGAAGCGGTACGGGTGGTTCCCTGCGCCGGGAACCGTCGATACGGGGGTAGACTTAGACGAGGGTGAGGCTGATGCTGGCGGGACAGCTTCTGAAGACGACGACGATCAGCCTGAAGAACAAGAATGAATAGGTCTTGTGACCCGAGTGTCTTGGTTTTATGTGACGTCTCGCCTCCTGTGTATTGTGCTTTTCCCAAAATTGAACAGATCATGGTAGTCCTATCAGTGCTTGTACTGGGCACGCGAGTCTTTGCTACTCTTACGAACGAGAACAACGCGGACAATGCGCCGTCCAGCAATATATACATGTCAAACGATCCAACGACCTATCCACTGGCCAGTTTATGTCACCGGCGAGCGTCACGACGATATGCAGAGCCTGCAGACTTCAGGTTGTTGCTCAAGTCGAAGTGAGAACGTTAGGAAACCACGACACCGTGATGCATGGTTATTGACCGACGACTCATGAACGACTGCCGACGTTCAAATGTACAACACGGGTGGCACATGAGGCTTTCACATTAAGTACTACTCATGAGATAGATCAATGGTCCGAGGAACATGCTAAGTCTGATGTCAAAGGCAACGAGATGGTGACATGTCAGTGACCGCAACTTGCGGTCTACAAACTGATAACGGTCCGATGAGAGACTGCGAACAGCCCTCACGCCGACGACGTGGCTTGTGGAGGCACGGCAGCGCTCGATGACTCGGCGAAAGTGAGGCTCTGTTTAGAGGGGTCAAGTCAGACATCCATTAGAAAGCTGCCAGCGACATTGAGACACGTACCACGATCACTGCGTCGCCGTACGTTTGAATGAAACGGAACGTGTCGTCGGTCAGGACGATCGCGTCTTGGACGACCATTATCGTGGGCGCAGAGGAGGCTATTAACCCAGACATGTCAGCCACGCGTCGCGGACCCAGCGCGAAGACCAGGACGTACTGCCGTCAGTGTTCACCCAATGCGCGGTGAACGCGCCCGTGGTCGGGTCGACCGACCAGATCGCACTTTCATAGTCCTTAGCCGTGCCCGACGCAGCTGAGAACGAGTTAGCGCCTCTCTGCGGGGGCGCGCCCGCAGCCGCTGTATTTTCCGATGCATCGTCAGCGAGGTATCGGGGCAAATCCAGAGCAGAGATCACTCACACTCCTGGGTACCACCGAGGTACACGTAATTCGGCGAGTTGGAAGCCAAGTTGTCCGAGGAGCTTGAGAACCCGACGATGCCACCAAGGTACGGGTAGGTCGAGAGGCCGTTCTGGAGCAGGGAGACGTGCGTCAGATGCTCATCAACAGACTACGTGAGATTATATGGAAACGCACAAGAGTCTTGAAGTTTATCGGGCCGTAACTAACGGCACCGTCGCACTCCTGGTACTGCACCTGGAGGGCCTCCGACGCGTCGGTCGTCACCGAGTACTCGCCGAAGCTGTTCGTCTCGGAAGACACGTAACCGTTGTACGACCCACCGGTCAGCTCGAGTACACCGGTGTGAGCCGTGCACGTCGGCGTCGGAGTGGGACTGGTGCTCGTGGCGGTATCAGTGCTGGTCGTGGTATCGGTACTGGTAGTAGTGGGAGTGTCGGTGCTGGTGGCGGTGTCCGTGCTGGTAGGGGTATCCGTGCTGGTAGTGGTGTCCGTGCCGGTAGGGGTGTCGGTGCTAGTACTGGTAGTGGTAGGTGTCAACGAAGGTCCACCACGGCCCGCCAGGCGCCGACCTGCACAAATACCCGGACTGTCAGGGCATGAACATATGCGACATTCAGAAACGCACTGGAGCGGAGCTGAGGGCGCGCGGGATTGAGACCACGCGCAAGACGCTGGGCGTTAGTCAGTGTGCGAGGCGTATGTGCCAGACGCTTGACATGGACGTTCGTCGGATTGAACGTGAGCTTCTCGTCGCGCAACGAGTTGGAGCGCGCAACATGTGCGGCCACGCCGGTAGCGAAGAACGCCACGAGGAGCGCGAGGAAGACGGAGCGCATATTTTCAGGAGCGTATAGGCTATAAAGAGTGACGAATTCGAGTCTTGAGCGAGAGGATGGCTTGCACGGTGAAGCCTGGGCAGACAAAGAGGAAAAGAAGGCCCCAGCGCGACCCCGACGCGCACGGGCACTTTAAAGCGGAAAACAGCGTCCGAGGTACATGTTGCGTCGAGACCGTCTATCAGGCAGTGGATCCGGGGATGGGTGCCTGGGACCCGCATTTAATTAAGCGCGGCGTGCCTTCAAGTTCAGGTCGAACAAGTAGCGCTGCAAATGGGCCTTGGTTTCGTTTTCTCGCAGCGACGCACTAGCATGGTTTTTCTTCCCCAGAGGACCTGCCCCGTGCTGCGTCCCACTGCAAGCGTCCCGTCGATGGACATACGGAGGGGGGCATCCAAAGCGAGCGCTAAATGCACTTGCCTGAAAAAGAAAGATACGCTGATGCGCCATGGTAGCTCCCGCCAAGATCCCGCCAGGGCGCGCAGTCGGGTGCAATAACCAGCCAATGAAATCTCGGAGTTGGATCTCAGCGATGAAATAAAAATGGGGAAAGTTTAGGGACATACCACCATGGGCTTGGCATGAGCGGCCAATGTGGACAGCAGCAATACCCTGAGAACTGCGAAAATCACTTTCTCAGACTGACAGAATTAAGGCGGCGTTGCTTTCGCGTCTTAGTCAACATTCAGTCGTTCTACCACGTCATGATCAGCTAGCACGAAAACACCCGTTTCTGGCCAGCGTGACTACTATGGTGACTCCTCAGCGCTCAGCGCTCAGCTTCCACTCTGTCAATGATAATATTGCTTAGTACGCACCACGTCGCTGATAAAGCTCGGCTTCAGACTGTACGAACAAACCTCCTCGAGTTAAGGCCGCATACCGTTTGCGCCCACTTCGGAGGGCAACTACGCGTGGGTCTAGTAGGCGTCCAAGGGGGAGTTGGACGCATTCGAGACATAGTGATTTGCATTGGGAACAATCTCCACCAGTTGCCACCAGTCGCGAGGAAGTAAAATAGTTGTGGTTGTGCAGGCTTGCGCAGCGGCAAAGTTGTTGGCAACTTGGCACAGACACTGTCGGAGGCAGAATGCCAACACGTGTCGTTACCACGCCACAGACGCGTCCAAGTTGGACGCGTCTCACTGGTCGTGTTCTCAGTCGCGTTCTACTCTGTTCTCAGGCTCCTGCGTGGGTACCACGAACATCCATGACGATGACGTTCAGTGGCTCCCAAGTTGTATGCAAAACTCGTTTAGAGCAATCGTACTGCAAACGACGAACGCATCATCCACGCAGGTCTTGCCAGCCTAAGGGTCGGACGCCGGCTCATCTTTTGCTTCGTAATATAACTTAATTTACTTGTCGCGTGCCACCGTTTCTCATGAACAGCTCCTATGGTTTTCTCAATCAACATTGATAACCGTATTCATGCGAGCCCAAATAGTACAGCTAGCTCCAGAACTCAAGCTTGTACAAAGGTAAATGCCACAACGCTGCTCGACCCGTATTCCGCCTCGAAAGCGGCCGCATCGCCGGAGAGCAACAAGAAGTCCTCCGGTTCGTAGTACACGACGCTCGTCGCGGGCGTACCGCGGTCGGTGTTGACCCACTGTGCGGTCACCGCGCCGTCTGCACTGTTCACGCGCCAGATGGCGCTCTCGACGTCCTCCTGGCGGCCCGTCGCAAAGGTGAAGGAGTTGGCGGCGGATTCGGGAGGCGAGCGGGGCGCGGCTGGCAAATGCATGTGGTCAGCGCTTCAGGTTCGTGGACAATTGAAACAAAGAAACTCACTGGGAGTGACCCCCCGAAGTAGGCGTAGTTGGTCGAGCCGGGATCGAGGTTCGGGGCCGTGTTCGCAAAGCCAGTGATACCGCCGAAGAAAGTGAAGTCGGCGATACCGTTCTGAGAAGCCGATGCGGCCAGGTGAGTGGAAGCGATAGCTCGGATGGGTCAAACGAGTCTCACCAGGGTGACCAGATCTACAGGCAAGTCGTTCCCGCAGTCAGCGTACTGCACCTGCAGTGCATCTCCGGCGTCCGTGGTGATGCCGTACTCCCCGAACTCGTTGGGCACCCGCGACACAACGGTTCCCAGTGGGACGCCAGTGCCAGTGACGAGGAGCGTACCCGTTCTGGTGGTGCATCCGGGGTTGGGGTTTGGAGCAGCAGACGCGCGCGCGGCGAGGCTTCGAGCTGATCAAGAGGGGTCAGTAAAGGTGTCACAAATCCCGACAATGATCATACCAGAACGATAGAAGTTGGGCCGGTTGGGCGAGAGTCCCCGCTTCAGCCGCTGGGCATTCGTCATCGGCACGACAGGAGCCATTTTCATGGTCTTCAGGGAGACGTCCAGGGGGTTCAACAAGTGGCCTCCTCTGCTCGAACTGTCGGAGCGGCGAGACAATGTGCGGCTGGGAGCCGGGACTTGGCTAGCTTGAGGCAGCGCGGAGGCAGCGCTGGCGAGCATGACCGGCCCCGAGAGGAGGGCGAGGAGGATGGCGAAGGCAGTGGTACGCATTATGGAGGTGTTTGGAGAGGGTATTGGTTGTAACGAGTGTGGGTGTGGTGTCCGCGTGAGCTGGCCCGGAAGAGTCTTGAGGAGGACGGTGACGGCGAAGAAGAGAGAGATGGAGGCTGTTGTCCAGGATCTGCGCCATTTTTATGGACTGGGATGTGGCTGACATCGCGGCTGCGACGAGGATGGAGGTCAGCCCTGGTCAGCCTCTCCCTACATCTACGCACACTTGCCCAATTGGGCCAACACGCCAGATTACGATCGGATCGTCTTGGATCTGCAGATCTAGGACGCGCTCGACCTTTAGACCCCCTTTGATTGGATGGCCATGCATGCATTCGATGATGTATGAGACGGTCATGTGAACTGACGAGCGAGAGAGCAGTGCAGGCAGCGAACGAACCCCTAAGGTAAGAGGGAGGGAGTTGGAAGACGAGGGCTCGAGGGCGGATGATGAGGACGAGGACGAAGCGGAGCAGCAGACATCACCGGCTTCTTCGAGTTGGGCTTGTGTCTCGCCCGCGTCGAGGTCTATCACGGACGTTGTCGCGGATATCCGCGTCACCCGGGTCCTGGAGGCGACTATAGTAGAGTAGAGGAACGCACCAGGCCCATCGCAGAGGTGCGAGGGCCCTTTCAGGTGAGTGCTAATCCATGTCTAGTCACTGCACGATCAGTGCAAGTACATTGACTTGAAGCCTCCCCTCAGACAGCTTTACTAGCTCTCCGCTTGGGCCTCTCTTCAGCAATGCGCCCAAGAGACGATTGAGCCAGCCTCTGCGACGGCTCGTGCACGAGCGCGTCGGCGGCCGCCCGGGTTGTCTTGACAGCACAGGCCCGAGGTTGCCACGCTCGCGAGGGCGAGAGCTTGACGGAACTCGTTGGTAGCGCGGTCCCGTGGTTCGCGCTCGTGTCGCGGTGGGCCGCGGGCGCGCATTTGCATGGAGAGGATCTTTAGAATGCACGTGTGTGGCGACCGCAAGTAGAAGGCCAGTCGGATGTCTCAGGAACGGGATTGTGGTGGGCGGTGGAGGAACGCGAGTTTCTGAGACGTACGGTAGGGGTGGAGGCGACTATGCAGTCACGGTCACGGGATGCGGCACATCGCAATGAGTGCCTTAGCCTATCCAGAGCTGCGTGTGAGAGTGGTCGGAGTGAGTCTAGCTAGGTGGACGGATGGGTCGGGAATGGTCATGCTAATAGTATAGCGCTGAATCTACTCGACAGCATGCTGATGTGCTCCGAGGCATTGTATTCTTTTTTATGTACGACGACATGCGGCGTAGCGGCATACATAGTACTGGAAGATGGTCAGACAATAATAGCAGTACCATGACTCCGCCCATCTCCATGCTGTACTTGAATTTATGTAGACCAATCCTCCCGCCGGTCCCTCCGAGCCCATGTGAAGTACTATCGCCTTACACAAGGGTCGCCAATTTGCCTTCAAGTCAACTTCGAGTTCTCATGTTACAGACAATTTGTGATCGACACCATGAGTCGAGCTTTTATGTTGTAGCACAAAAGGGCTTGCGATGACATTGAACTTGAGGCCCACCATGTCATGAAGGGTCGAGGAAAGAAATGAACGGAGGCAACTGGAGGCGATCGGTCACACCGGAGACATGGGCTAGGATGAGGTCATCTCAAATTTGACCCAAACACGTGCCTATATCGAGCCAATGGGACGTGATTTTGTATGGCCGGAAACCCGAGCATAAATTCAAGATTTATGTTGCAATATGGGCTTGTCTTATTATCAATGGCCCAAATGAAGCTTATGCGCCGGTCTGAAATTGGTCAACTGAATTGACTTTCCGCTTTAGGGCTATCAAAGATCCTGAATTTGGGGCAAAGAATTTCGGCCGTCCCGAGAGCGCATCGTATATGTTGGATTTGGTTCCGCATATGCGGCGACCTCAAACTACGTCCCATTGGCTCGATGTAGGAATGAGTTTGAGGCGAATTTAGGGCGACCTCGATCTGGCCCGTGTCTCCGGTGTCAGAGCCGCTTGCAGTGGTCGCTTATCGGGCGAGGATCTCAGCCACCCTCTCAACGTTTTCCATCACACCGTCGCACAAATTCAACGGCACAAGCAACGTTGCTTTCCTGCGACCCCCGACTATCATGAAGTGTCAATTCTGTAAGTCCAGCTTAAGAATAAATCATGTCGGACTGTTTGACCGAGTAGCTTCACCTGGCCAATATCAGCCAATATCCATAACTGCCAGTGGAAATGAACCGGCAGTGCCCCAGGCTGGAGTCCGAAGACCGGGGCCGACAAGAGGGACAAGCGGGACAAGAGCATCCATAATCGCATGTTGGCAACGTGGCCGCAATGTACACCCACGGGTTCTGAGTCTAGGTCTTGGGAAAGAGGTGAGCTCGATGTTTTAATCGGTCATACACCGTGAATATATCACTTCAACCAATAGAAATGGCAGGCATGTCATAGCTAATGACCATCCGGCCATGGTTTCCGCCCACTGACAGGGCCCCCGGTTAGAGGCGAAGATGGCATCCTGATCCTCAAATGTCAAGTTTGGGCCTTCGTGTTGGGATCCCGTCAGACGACGTTCGGTTCTTAGTCTGAATGAGATCAGACCTCTGGGCATACTGCGGTACGTTGTTCGGACTTCATGTCAGGCATAATTTCTGCAGACATCCATGGGATGGAGGGGTCAGACCCCTAATTACACGGCACCACTTGTGTTGTCTCGTCTATCACCAAGTAAGGTGCTCAGGGGGCGGCGGCATCCGAGGTGTGGCTAGATAGATCATAGCGCGAAGCCAGACATCGGGCCAGGCATGCGAAGAGAGCTGATACATCTATGAAGTAGTGGCCGATAAACGTATGTTCAGTACAAGCTCGGTGCTACCAGTGGCACGGAGCTCGCGAGCGCCCGGGTCAGGCCTTCCTACATTTGTGCGGACGGTTCACCAGCTCACTCCAGAAAGCCCAAACTTGCCCGGATGAGGATAAATAACTAAGGGTCTTCCATGCAGATTGGAGCGTGACTGCGGAATAGGTGCGGGAACTTATATGTGAACTCCTGCCATGCTTCGAATTCCCACCGATGGGCCGTGTATTAGTCGACCGCGCTGGCAGTGCTTGGGCAGTGCGAGTAACGTATGCTTGTAACCATGGACGGCTCGCTGGTCGCCTCCCTCCTCGCTGGCCTCGTCGGCCTCTACGTCCTTGCGGACTATGTCTGGCCCAGTAAACACAGCGTAAGCTTCCTTATCACTCTCGCTTCGTCAACATGTTTGCTGACCTATCCCACTCCCCTACTACTGTATCTGTGCTATGGACATTCTATCGACCGACTCGACCTGTGCGACATTCAATGCCTGCGTAGCTCGCCCATATTCCGACAGTGGGTGGTCCGTCCTTCCCGATTTTGTCCTCCCTCGGTGCATTTCGCTACCTATTCCATGCCCCGGAAGTGCTGGAGGAAGGTTATGTCAAGGCGAGTTTCCCCGCATATTTGCGCGCGTTGTTGCGGTATCGAGTCAAGCCATGCGCGCTGCGAACCCATCTATGTGCAAAGGGGAGGCTATTGATGGCGCTCCTGCTTTGACGCCACTTTCACGCGCGCATCGTTTATCTCGTCATGACGGCAATGTGCTGACTCTGTGCTTCACCGCAGCATAAGGACGGTTTCTTCAAGCATGCAGAGATCGGCCGGATGCGCTGGAATGTCGTCGTTTGCTCTCCCGAGCACATAGACGAGTTGCGCAAAGCGGCTGATGACCAACTCTCATTCCAAGAGGCAACAAACGAGGTGAGTATTACCAGAACCTCTCTACATTCGTATTAAATTAGTATGCACCCGCCCGTAGTCGCTACAGGTGGATTATACGCTCGGCCCCAGTGTTCACCTCAACCCGTACCACATCCCGATCGTTCGCTCGAATTTGACGCGCGCTCTGGGTGGGCTCTTCCCGGCGCTTCGTGACGAAATCGACCACTCGTTCAAGACTGCAATCCCTGACGCAGAAGGCACGTAAATATACAGTTTGTATGTCTAGGTTCTTTCATTGAATGTAATGGCTATCTCAGATTGGACCAAGGTCAATGTGTACGGGTCGGTCATGGATATCGTGTGCCGGACCAGCAACAGGCTATTCGTTGGGCTTCCTCTGTGTACGTTCATTCGCTAGAACCGCAAGCATTCTTGAACAATACAGATCCTATCTGACTTCCAATCTCTTTGCAGGTCGCAACGAAGACTATTGCGCACTCAACAAGAAGTTCACTATCGACGTGTTTACAGGAGCCCGTATCATAAATCTGTTCCCGAATTTTCTCAAGCCGTAAGATTGCCCTGCGCATCATTGAATTGAGCAAACCATTAATTTCTCGCTGTCATAGGATCGCAGGACGTCTATTCACCAACGTCCCGAAGAGCATCCGCCGCGGCGAGAAGCATCTTGCCCCCATCATTGAGGAACGCTTCAAGCACGAGCAAGGTGACGAATGGGAAGGCAAGCCGGTACGATCTCTTCGCTTCCGTTCATGAGACCAGTTCCTGAGTTCACGCAGAATGACATGCTTCAATGGCTCATCGATGCAGCCGAAGGCGAAGAGCGCAGTATTCGCGCTCTGGTGCTGCGCATGCTTACAGTGAACATCGCCGCGATCCATACATCCTCCATCGTACGTCAGGAAGGGCTCTTGATGGTCCTTCGTCTTCCATATTGAACATTTTGCCAGTCATTCACTCAAGCCCTTTTGATGCTCTCAGCGGATCCGGGATATCTGCCTGCTCTGCGCGAAGAAGTCGAGGCAATCGTGCGCGAAGAGGGCTGGACGAAGGGCGCCATGAACAAGATGCGTCGTGTGGACAGCTTCTTGAAAGAGACACAGCGTTTTCTGGGCCTGGGCGCAAGTGAGCGTCATCATACTCTTCCGAGTAACCTTTGACTTACCGTTCGACTTTCCTCCGCTCTATCTCGTAGAGTCCATGGCACGGAAGGCACTGCAAGACTTCTACTTCTCGGACGGCACATACATTCCCGCTGGGACGATCATTTCCGCGCCTTCGCACAGTCTCCACCACGATGGCCACTTCTACGACAACCCGGGTGTGTTTAACCCGTTCCGCTTCGCTCGCATGCGGGACGACGACGGTGAAGGCACGAGGCACCAGATGGTTGCGACGAGTACAGACTACGTCCCGTTCGGCCACGGGCGGCATGCATGGTGCGTTCAATCCTCCTACTCAACTGCTGAACGAATCGTTGATACTATGTGCTTGTAGCCCTGGCAGGTTCTTCGCCGCGAACGAGCTGAAAGCTATGCTGGCGCACTTCGTCGTAACGTACGATGTAAAGTCAGAACGCGCGAGCGACGCGCCTATCGGACGCTGGTTCGGGGCGTCGCTGGTGCCTGACCGCAGTGCAGAGGTGCTGGTTCGCAAGCGACAGAACTGAGGGTGTACTCCTTCTGGGATGCTCCGTCATTTATATTGATGGCTTTGAATAGACGTGAACTTCTTCTGCCTGTGCCGCCACACAATTATAGCCATGGATTGTTCATTCACTTGGACTCAGATTCCACACCGGTGTACTTCATGCCTATCATGTAGGCTCGCGATGTGTGGTCATTCGATGATTCTTTCTGTAGGCGTATATAACCACATCATGACTGTATGTTCAGTTCACTGCCGGACCCTGAAGTACGCCTCACTTCAACTTCAAGTTCTAGCCTGAGTCGAGAAGTTTTGAACACTGTGTCTCGTTCGGCTGACAACGCAGACGTGTAAACGTGTCAGCGAGTGACTGACATCTGACCTCATTGTCAAAGGGGTCGGCAAGCGCCTATCGCATGCTGGTAGCACTTCGCCTCTCATTAGACCTCATCGCGCCTGACGGTTTGATGTCGATGCCAGTGGCAGAGGTTGAATTGCGGAATCATTAGTACATCACACGCGCATACGGTACAGTTTGTAACCCTGACTCCTAGTAGTCACTACAGTGTTAGGGTACCCGACGCCAGCCTGACCAGCCTGGCATTCTCAAGCTCTCCTAGCAGGGCGGAGACGTCTTGCCGATCTTCCGTCATTCTGTAGCCTGCTAGCTTTAGGTGAGGGAACAGTCGGTCGATTGTCCTCGCTAAGCGTACGGGCTCTTCGATTTCGACGTCGCTCAAGGAGAGCTCCTCCATTCCATGGTTCAGGTCAGGGTAGGGATCTATGTCGGAAGCGAGCGAGAGATGGGCGTAGCTCAGATCAATCCGGAGGAGAGTGGGACAGGCGTGAGCTAGCTCAGCGATGCCTTGCAACGATGGCGCCGTGACAGCATTGGGATCCTCCAGAGACCTCGCGTTGGACCACTGCCAGTGTAAGTGCAGTTCCTCTAGATGCGGCCACGCTGCACCCATCGCACGCAGGTCGTCGTCACCCACTGGCTTCGTTTGAGAGCAACGGAATTTCCGCAGACCTTTCATGGCGAAAAAGGGCTCCGCGGTTGCAAGAATCGGTTCAGCAATGGCGAAGTGGGAGTCATCGATGATGAATGTGTCGAAGGTCGCGGTGCAACTGCTGAGACATGTCCCGATACAATCGCGGGTCTCATTGGAAGACCAGTAGTCTTCGATGTATAAACCGCCTGTGAGCTCGAGAGATCGTAGCCTCGGAGGTGAGATCAACCGGAGTAGGTCCGTCCCTTGGTTTCGATGTCCGACCATGAGATGCGTCAATGCCTGAAATCCTTGACACTGGTCTGTTGGCTGATAACCAGCCACTGCGCTGGGTAATGCGACCTGCGTGAGGTGTCGCAGTGACCCGATCGTTTGGAGAACGGTCCATTCTAGGATGTACGGTGTGCCGGAGATATCCAGAGTGCGCAATCGCTTGAAGTCGCCGAACGACGAGAGAAGCAGCGTGGTTTTGCATCGTGGGATTTCGAGTTTCTCGAGGGTGGATGATAGCGTCAGGATTTTCGAGGCGACTCTCTCTGCAGCAACTTTTAGCTCGGGGTCTGTTGTGAATTGCGGTCCTCCCAGTGTATGGATAACAGCGATGGCACCAAGAGCGGACTGAACACATACGCGGACGCCGTCGTGAGACAACGGAGAGACCGCAGATGAGGCATGAACCCTCGGCCGAATGTCTCTTCGAGGATGGTAATGACGGTCGGATGGGTGAGATGCCCCGGAGGTCAAGGGCCCACACAAAACGAGCGTAATGAACAAATCGTTCGCGGTCTCGGGCGGATATATCACCAACAATAGTCTAAGAAATGATTTGTTGAATAAACAGATACGACTGAGAAGCAAAATCAGATGGGCTCTCACCCATTGAGGTCTCGCTGTGCGATCGAGCTCGTCATAACTTGAGTCGGGGGTATAGCTTGGTAGACCGATAAGATAGACAAGAGCGGTTTCAGCGATGGCAGGTATCTCCATAACAAGGTCATTGCAGGTTTCGAGAGGGAATTGCAGGTGCGGGCGCATCGGGCGAGTGTCTGCATGGTATCGTTGTCCTGATATTCGCCTTCGGCTCTCGACAGGCAATGTCGCATGATGTGGTAAGTGATGTCGATGTTGTACAACGCAGAACCTTGAGGGGAATCTTCACTGGCCATGATGGTCAGCAACAAGTTGTGGAGGACGGGGAGGATCGCAACTCGGAATCCCAGCCGGGTGGTATTCGTGGCGGACTCCTAAGGCCGTACTACTTATCACTGCCATCAGAACAGTGAAGCAGGTGACCACAGAACAAGACTTCACTTCTGCGCAAGTGAGACACATCTGGAACTTGTCACCGCTTGAGCGATGCGTATCGAAGGCTGTGCGGCGTAGGCCGACCTAGGCCGACAGCCCAAACTACTTGAAGTAGCCATAAACTGCAAAGTTCGGTGCTCTTTGCCAGCCTTCTAGTCTCGTAAGTTTCCATCATGATCGGATACATCAGTCGGGTATCATTGGGCGTACACTGTACACGTTCGGTATCTCCCAAATGGCACTCCGAACACAACTCGGCGAGGACAGCAAGGAGGATCGTTACGAGATTTCGCTAATGCTGACTTTTTGATCAAGCTCCGGAAAGATGAAAGCGTCAGACTCTTGGCAAACTGTTCTGCTCGACACTCAGCCAGTTATTTGAGTCATCAAACCTCCTGCTCGTATACATCCCAGTCATTGTCGTTGTACTCATCTCCTTTCTCACTTGCTTCTTCCTCAACGTCTTCCTCGCCAACGGCGTCTTCATCTTCCTCGGGTTCCGCGCCAACAATACTCTTCGCTTGTCGCGGACCACTACTGGTCGAGCGCGACCGTGTCGGAGGCATGCCGACGCCACCGCCACCAGCCTCTTCCACAATGAGCATGCCCTCCCCGTCGCTCTTGTCGTCCATCACATATAGCGGATCGTCTTTGTCGTCCGGCCCCGGCGTCGCAGGCAACTTGGGAACGGCGCCGCCGTCCGTGAAGAGGTCCTTCAGCGCGTCGTAGTTGATCCGCTTACTGTAGCGCGGATTCTTCTTGATGAGATTCCGCACAGACTCTGCCGCGGTGCTCCCGTGAGGCGTCGACGAATCGTGGGGCTTGTTCGTCTTGCGTTTCTGTCAAAATAGACATTGTATGAGTGCCACCCAATGTCAACAGGGCCAAATATCCCATGGGGAACAGCGGAAAAGCGGTTGCACCAGCCGGGATACGAACCTTGCGACTTTTCTTCTCCTTGGCCTCGTCACTACCTTGCTGCTCTTGTTTTGCTGTGCGAGTACCATTCAGCGATCGCGTGCATAAGGTTTCACTGTTATTGAAACAGTGTCAACCAACATCCACTGACCTGCAATCGCCTCCAAATAATCCTTGTTCATCTCCACCCAGACTCGCTCTTTGACCCTGACCTCTTCCTCGGTGAGAATGAACCGATCCAACTCATCCTCGTCCAGTCCGAGTAGCTCGTCGTCTCCGGTGAACTCAGCTTGCCTCCGCTGTTCTGCCTCGTCGAGAGCGGAGTTGAGGACGGTCCCTTGTGCATTCTTAAGGAAGTCGGCGACTTCTTCTGCGACTGCCGCATCAACTGTCTCCTCCAGTGGTGACGGTGAAGGGGGTTCAGCGATCGATTTGTCTGAGGGAAGCTCCGATGATGCTAAATCCGACGACGGCAAGTCCAACGGTGGCGAGTCAGTTGGCGGCAAGTCCGTTGGTGGCACGTCCGTTGGTGGTACATCCGTTAGTGGCAAATCCGATGGTGATACGGTGCCTGCTGATCCAGAGGGAGCCTGAGTCTCGAGTAAAGCCGGATCTATGTTGGAGTCCGGGCCCTCCACATCTTCTGGGAGGAACAGGGGGGGTTGCGGCGGTTGCTGGGAAGGGCCAGGGATAGGTGCATTGGCCGGGTGCGAAGGATGAGAGAAGGGAACGAAGTGCGGTCCAGGGAATTGTGCCTGCGAAGGATCAACGTACGACGGTGGAGGGCCATCAGTGAAATGCAGTTGTGTAGGGTCTCCGAAGATGCCCTGCTGCAGGAGACTGGGATCGAACTGGTGGAAGGGTAGGGGTGCGAACTCCGCCGGCTGAGGTTCGTTCTCGACGTCCTCTTCGTCCGTATCTTCACCGCGCTTCCTCTTCTTTTTCTTCTTCCCCTTCCCCTTGCCTTTTCTCTTCACCTTCTCCTCCGTCTGGGTATCTCCGCCCTCCCGCTCTTCTCTCTCCTTCTCCTCCTTCTCCTTCCCCTTCGTGAACGCAGGCGGGTCCATCTCCTCTTCGAGCCAAACACTCCGAAAGTCCTGCAACGTCAGTGCGCCACTCGGCGTCTTGCGGAACTCCTCTAAGCGCTTCTTCAGCGTCGTATCCGCGATCTTGACGACCTGCACGATTTCCGCGACGCTGCGCCTGAAGTTGTTCATACGCGCAGCGAGCAGGAGACATGCTCCGCAGATGCCCGCCGGGCGCCGTCCGCGTGTCATCCAGTCTCGGTCGAAGCGCTGCACGAGGCGCACGGCATCCATAGCGACTTGGTGTGTTTCGTCACCGAACTCGAGCAGCGCAGCAAAGCGGGAGATGTAGTGAGAAGGATCGACGAGGGGAAGGCGGAGGTTAAGCGTCTGTACCAGCTGTAGATATGTATGGCCCAGTTCGAAGACGTTGACCTATAGGAGGTGAATCTAGGGTGGGTGTCGTATCAAAGCAACCTCAGCGTACCTGTAGCAGGTCGGAGAAGTCGATGAGCATGTAATTCCGCGTCTCCTTCTGCCTGCAGGCAACATAGAGACAGACGGCGACGACGTTCAGGCTCTTGCGTCCCTTGGTGAACTTATGTTCCACGGCTAGTGTGTAAAGCCGTGTCGCTGCAAGCGCGACGACCTCTGACAAGCGCAGCGCATTGGCTACCTGTTGAATTTTCCGGCTCGCTGTAGTGAGCAGGATGAGCTTTGGGGCTGTTCTGAGCCCATGCTCTCGTCTAACAACTGGGACGTACCGTTGGCGATGGTTTGCTCTCTACTTTCACTGCTTCCCCTGTTGCCAAATGGCCCTCCCATTCGTGCGCGTGCTATGTATTTAGTAATATGCGTCAGACCTGCACCTAGCGTACGAAGGGTTGAACGACGCACTAGCTCCTTGGGCGACATAGCTGCCTTGTACCATCGCTGCACCGTTACTCGTCTCACCGAACGTCACCTGGAGGAGGTCGGTGTACATGAGGCGTCGCAGAGCGAGAATTCTGAGCATGCGCTTACCTCGCTGACGATGGTGTTCTCCTCCACGACTGTTCCACATTGTACACAAAATCCATTTCCCGCCGCAGCGTCATACTCGATCACAGTTCCACCACAATCTGTGCATACAGTCTGAGTCCACGCGCAGTCGCCCGTTGTATTGATGAATATTGAACTCAGCGGGATAACGCAAGTAGCTCACCATTGCTAGGCTACACAATACGGCCAGGCCCCGCGTTCAGCAGATGAAATAAATTAGACAATCTAGAAGAGACGCAGATTAGAGTCATCGACGGACAGGTCGACTGGTACTTTTGGCAGTATGTCGCTAGACAAAAGATTCAGTCATCACTCACAATTTGAACGGCTTATTTGCCGGCCTTGTGGCTTATGGATTGAACAACAAGTCGCAAGATCTGAGTCGAGGAGCCTGAGGAAAGGATGAGCGCAGCCACAATTCCGTTTCGGCTATCTCCGATTGAAATATCACGTGGACTCCCAACACGATTCCGGGGACCGGGACGCACATATACTGTAGCAATCTAGCGTTACATACGGTCAGTCTGTATACGTCGCAACTAACAATCGTGACATACGATATATCGACAGTGAACTGGACGAAACCCAGTAGCAGAATTAGTTCTCCGGACGATGGTACGAGAGGATGTCCACCGTTGCTACAGCCCGGAGTCTCTCTGGCAGGTGTAGTACTGAAAAGGTTGGACATTCATCGGACAATACAAGTTGTGCGCTACCACACTTTCTTCAGTGACTACTGACTGACCCACTCGCGATCCTTCATAGGACACAGATCTGGGTGTCCAAATAGTCCCTAAATACTCACCAACCCTTCCTGTTGCAGCTGCCGGGCGCATCCCCCTCATACTTACGGTATTAAGGATTATCTCCATCCAAAAGTCACTGCGCCTTTTGGACCAATCAGACGAGACTCTCGGCGCGCGGCTCCTTGCACAGCACTGGTATCCCGCAGACATACTAAACCGCAAGCTGGAAATCGCCGTGGCATTCGGTCGGGGGGAGGGGGTGGGCACCTCTCGAGGGCACTTACACCAGAGGGCGAGAACTTCAGGTCTTGTCGCTTCTTACTTCCACCGAATAGGTCGTCGCTTCCAGTTGCTCCGCGAAGCGTTGCGGAGCTACAAGAGGCTGCCAGCGGCGAACAGGTTATTGAACCGCTCGTGCGCTACGCTGCGAAGGGCTGAAGCATGCCCGGTACGTGCTATCGAGAAGAGGGTGCAGTCAGGGCGTGAAGCCGTTTTTAAAGCAGACCTTTTACGTGCAACAGGCGCGTCTGCCAGTGACCAACGAGTAGTCGCAGTGACACGAGTAGGCCTCAGAGTCTCCAGGCTAGTCACTACACTGCCCATAGAATCTTGAAAAAGTACTCGGCTGATGCGGTCATTCTCACGAAATCGTTCCTCCTGCCACTGCATACTGAAGGCGAGGCTCGCCTACCTCGAAGAAAGCCTTAGAAGACCGTCCTCTCCCCCACTCAAAGAGGTCTTCTTTAGGGTCTGCCTAGGGGAGACTACGAAGAAAGTGAGTTCGCTGTCCACACAACTCTGTCGCTCAACAGCTCACGTGACCGCGTCAGGCCCATCATCGAATGCATGAGCATTTCCTAGGACCTACACACTCTTTTGACGTTGATAATACCGTATTCTACCCGCTGTCTCGAGCTCGCATCGCACTTCTCCATTCTCATCGGCATGCTCGCCTACGCCGCGCGCCACGCGCTGGGCGTCCCTGCCCGAGGCACACGCGCGGGTAACGCAAGCGCGGAACGACCACGTACTGATGACGCCGCTGTTAGAATTCTCCGTGTTACGAACGGCGTGATTTAACGGCGAGGGAAGGCGGCTCGTGAGCATTGCGGCGACATCGGAGAAGGCGCTGAGCGAGATGGGCGTGGTGTATACCATGCACGGATGAGGGCCCAGGTGGGTCTCGGAGTCAGATGGACTTCATACTTAGCTGCAATCTCTGACATACACTCTCCCAGCTTCCCGGTTTGGGGCCTCAGGCCTCATAAAGGAACCTTATCAAAGCGCGACTCGCAACACACGGCATTGTCACAGATTCCGGAGGGGTATGTCGATCTCGGGTCGAGCAGCCCGGATGGCCGAGCCCCGCACTCGTTACATACGCAACTCCTCTCCTTCCATCTCTCTGAAAGATCGAAGCTTTGGAAAGCATCATCCGGATTGTCAACGGATTGTGGTACATACAGGTACATACATGGTTTCGGTTTCGGCTGCGTTTGCATGCCTAGGCCCACTATGTACCTCGCTCACCGTATTCTTCGGCGTCGCTGACTACATAACGATAAGTGAGGTCGAAGCGCACTCAGGCGCGCGCTAGGGCATCGCTTGGGCATCGCACCCGTCCTTCAATATTTCAATGACAGGATCTCGGCAACCTACTTGCATGATGCCCGGCGCACCGATATATAACCGGGAACAAACCCGGTGTCTCACACTTCCGGATCCCCCACATTTCTTCTCCCCTTCGACATGGCACCCCGTGCAAGAAACCCGAGATCGCTGGGAGAGGTGACCGAACTGATCGCGATCATCCTCTCCTTCCTCGACAACCGTTCTCTTGCGCGATCCGCACGCGTCAGCAGAAAGTGGTCAGAGATCGCGCTCGACATACTGTGGCGCGAGGTAGATGATCTACACCGGCTATTCAGCACGCTCTGCCCGTTTGCGAAGCCAATGAAGAAGATGGGCGAGGGAGGGCGTATGTTGCAGTCATTCGTTAGTATCTACTCCGAGGAAGGCCCGCCGATCCTGACCATGGCTTCTTCAGAAATATAAACGTAATATCTCGAAACAGGACTGGCAACGGTTCGCTCGCTACTCGACGCGCGTGCGCCGTCTCGTTTTCAATGAACGCTCTCCGAAGTATCGGACGAAGGTCATTGACAACTCGGTGTTCTTCCTCACCTCACAAACGCGTCCCCTAGCCGGGATCCTTCCGAACCTTCAGACGTTCGTCTGGCATGTCCATAACCCGGACACGCAGCTCCAGTCGATGAGCCTTATGCACGAGTGCATACGAGCATTCGACGTGCAGATCCTTCCCCGAGGTAGCCATTCGACCCAGGAAATCGACTTCATATGGCAGATCGGTGCGCGGATGCCGAACCTCACCCATCTGACACTGCGCCGTCGAGGGCCCGTCCGAGAGCTCGAGAAAGATATCTGTCGCCTTGTAAAGGACTTGCCAAAGTTGCAAAGAGTCGACATTCCATTGTGCGGCTCGACCAACAGCATCATGGAGGAGTGTCGCGCTTGAAGGACCTACAAGAGATCGCCCTCACAGGGCCAGACGAAGGCGGCATGGGAGATTCGACGGATGTCGTGGGCTTCTCTCCTGCGCTGCAGGACGGCGCTTTCCCTGTTCTTCGGCGGCTGAGCTTCAGTGCCCTTTTACCGGCCGCGACAGAATTCATCGAGTCCCATTCTTCCCTCCCAAGCTCACTCGACTCTACGTGCATGCCACCGATGTCGCCAGTCCCGATCTGCTCCAGACCTTCTTCTCCGTCGTTGTGAGACGGTGCCCTAGATTGGTCGAACTCACCGTCGACTTCATCATATGCCCGACTGTCCCTCTCACCGTCCCAGCCCCTGACATGGATGCGCGCCCGAGTATCGCCACCTTCCGACCTCTCTTCGCCTGCAGACGCATAACGTCCTTCGAGTTTCGATGGGACTACCCCCTTCACTTGCAGGACGACGACATGGAGGAATTTTCCCTCGCATGGCCAGGGCTAGAACATCTCATGCTCAACAGCGAGGCCGTCATCGAGTTCACATCCTCCGCACTGACACTGGGAGCTCTCGTTCCCTTCGCGAATCACTGCCCCCGCCTGCGCCATCTCGGCCTCTACCTCAACGCCGACGCTCCACCTTCCAGGATGGTCGACCAGCCGTTCAGATCGCTCCAAAAGCTGTCCGTCGGCGCCTCAAGTATCACCGCCGCGGATGCCGTCGCCTTGTTCCTCAGCCAGCTCTGCTCACCGATCTGCCAGATCGTGTCGGGGCTGCGTTGGCCAGATGCGTATGGCCTCGCGCTGGATAACGCCGGGATCTTTGACGAACGGCGCACGATGATCTGTGATTTTGGGTCCGGTGGAACGAGGTCGCGAAGGTTCTCCCAGTGGTCATCAAGGCGCGCAGGGAAGAGAGGGGCCGTGTTGCTTTTCTCCAGCGCGAGACTGGCTAGGAGATAGTCAAGATGCCGATGAAGGCAGGTGCTCGCGTGTTGGGGCCACGTTGCATGCCTACCCTGGCATGTTTGAATACACTTGTTACTATCACCACAAGGAACGATCTGTCGTGTACAGTGACTCGGATGCTAGTAGCCTCTTCGACAGAACCCTTGGCAACTTTGTCTGGTGTAAGATGTGTTCATTTTAGGATGTAGAGTCTGCTCATCTGTCGGTGATTTGCAGGTGTCGGAGCAAGAAGCGGTGGACCTGTGCATACCCGCTCACCAACGCCGCAAGCAGATGAGATCAACCACCACTCGCAGTTCTGCTACGAGACGTTCGTGGGATTCACCGTGCATTTCGAACAAATGATCATCCTGTGGACCAAATCGAAACAACCATGAGGTGCCAAGGATTGCGGTCGCTAGTAGAAATCCGTGGAGGACACCAACGGCGATGGCCGGCAATGGATGTGGTCGAGGGCGATTCGCACGAGTGGAATGAACCCTTGATGACCGGTCACCAGCCCTGCTTGGGTCCTGCACGACATCAATCGAGGACAAATCGATGCTTGAGTGCTGCATTGGACTACCTTCCAGGACATGGCAATGGAGCAGAAGCAATGCCCGGATCTTGTGTCGAAGCGCAACCAAGAGTAAGTAGCGAAGGAGACGTACATAGCCATTCCCGTCTTCCCCATGATACCACCACAGCAGACCCAATAAGATAAACCAGTTATCCACGCACATTGGTAGTACAGTATAGATCGTTTCATTTCTTCCGTTTGCGATGCTCCACGCTGTCAACTCGCCGGTGCAACATCCACTGATATGGCAGCACCACACCCGAAGCCGTCGCCAAGCATCTGGGACCTTCGCGCCTCAGTTCATATCTTGCAGTGATTTCGATAGATACATGCTCACGGTTAAGATCTCTTCGCCGCCGTCTTCGGCATCCGCGGTGGCAGGTTCTGTTGGTAGAAGTGCTTCATCATAAGCTCAGTGTGCGTGATTGTCAGATTGAATAACGGCTGGGTCGCATTCTATCGAACCCTCCGTCAACAGTGCACCGGCATGACGAGCATGGGAGAAAGCTCACCACACGGTTCGCAGAGCCTCCGACGTACTTGTCCGCCCCTTCGTCCTCCAACCAGCACAGCGCGTCAAGATACGACTCCTCACGCAGGGTGTCCAAACGACCTCGTTCGTCCACCGAGCCGGCGACAACTGCGTCCGGTGAACTAAGACACCGCAAGGCAGACGAATGGTGGCACATACCGGTCATCTTACGTGCCGCGTCTGCGCCCCAGCTTCGGAGAAGATCATCTCTCCGAGAGTGATCGGGAGCAACGCGGTGTTGTGCCGCTGAGAGACCGGCGAGGCAGTACAGAGTGTGGTACGAATCCGGGTGTCTGGCAGATGGCGTCAGCAACAGTAGCGTTCGATCCGGGGACCCAGGACTGCACGGTCGGACTGCGGGAGATACGAGGAGATCGAGCTTACTTTGGCGGCTTGTCTCTCAGTCCGCCGGCTGGGTGCTGTCCGGCGAACAAAACGTATTCCTGGAGCGCCTCCCGATTGAATAGTGCGTCTGCAGGCGGTTGAGATCAGTCGTTCCGGCCACAGCGCAACCACACGCGGGATAAGCCCGGCCATCATACACGACGACGGGGAATCCCGCGTAGGTCGGACGATGTACTCACTCACCGTCTATGTCGAGCCATTCATGGTCTGCCGTTGACGTTGGGCGATTTTCCGCCTCGGGTGCCGTCTCCTTCGATGGTTCGGGCGCGCCCGAGCCTAACAGGCCGTCCACGAGCGGGAAGCAGCCGCCCACCCACCAACTGTAGCATCCGTCCACGAGTTTGTTCGTCCGGCCCTTGAATCCTCCTAGTTCGATGCCAGTGCCCTGCATGTGCGTAAGCCAACGAAGAAGAGCACGGAGGTTGATCGTTGGCGGGATGCGGTCGACTGGGGCAGGGGCATCGGCAGACGGTGACTTGTAATAGATTCGGACATAGGGCTGCAGGAACACCCAGGAAGCTAGTGCGCAAAACGTATACCCGCCATGAGCTTCGCCCAAGACCGGACGAGGCGCTGTTGGATCGTAGCCATCTGTGAAATGCGGACGTCAGCGATGGTCAGCGATGTAGCATAGCCCTGCTCCGTACCGCTGCTGAATGCCCAGTCTGGGAAAGAAGCGTTACCGAAGCCACCCTCATATGTTTGACAACTCGCGATGAACTCGGGAACACCCTCGAGCAGCTCGGGGGTTAGCAGATTGAGGAGCGTCGCGACAGCAAGGAGACAATACAGTCCTCTGCATCGCAGACTGTATGAGCAAGACCAACACCTGGCTTCAGTGAAGGCGCACACCTGACGTCCACCTCTCCGTGGTGGCTCACCAGGAAGGACCCATCGGGCTGCTTCACTGACATGAAGAATTCGTACATCTTCTTCCTGAGCTTGCGAAGTTACTTCTGGGACGTACCCGACAGACACAACGACATACCTGTCAATGCTCTCCCAACCGCCGCCTGGACCAGGCTCTCCAACGACCGCAAGCGCAGTCACAGCGGCATAGGTTGCGAGGAGATGCGCAGCCTGTCCAGGACCTCCGCCAAACCCTCCCGACTCGTGCTGCATGGCAAGCAGCTTCTCGCGCGCCCTATCCAGTGGATTGTGAGTGATGCGATCCACGGCGATGTAACGGACGAGGCTTACTTCCTCTTCGTCTCTCCATCTATCCCCACACCAAGACAGCTGAACGCTTGGAACGTCCAGTGCATTAACCATGCCTGGCTCGCGTCCTGGCCTGTGTAGCGTTGCGGGAAGCCTTGTCGCAGATTCCGCAGGAGGTACTGCATATGGATGTTCCGCTGAAGAACGGCAGGTGCATTCTGGCTAGTTGCTGGATTCGCTGAAGCTAGAGATTGAGGAAGATGGGCCAAGAGTGTTTCTTCGGTATCCTGTTGGAGAAAGGACGTAGCAGTTGGGTAGCCATCCGTGGGTGTAGGTCGCAAGTCTCGAGCAGACGCCATTACGAGTCAAATCAAACACTCGCTCGAAGTAACAGATCAAGAACGGGTCAACGACCGGGCTGAGATGTTAATTGTCCAAGCCAGACAGGAAATATTCGTGAATTGAGATTGGAGGTAAAGAGGAGAGTTAACATTCATGCAATATTCATGGTGCACCAGAAGTTGGAAAAGGTGACAACTTCAACTCAAGCGCTGCGTGTCCCGATACAGCATCGATGCTCTTCTGATATTCCTACTGTCTACCGATACATTTTCGTATGATTCATCTACAGAGCAATACACTTCACGTATACATCGACATAGGTGACATTTTGTTTTTGAGTGGCTGCTTGTCGATCGGACTTACAACACCCGCTCAGTCAGACCAAGCCCCTCTTCTTCGACCTTGGCCCGGAGGATGTTGCAAACCTCTGGGCTGTACGGCGCATGGACTCCCGGCGTGTTGAGTGCACCGTCAAGGACTAGCTGTACAGCGATACCGCAGGGAACGCCGACGTAGAGTGCCATGGCAGAGTGGCCAGTAGGGTCGCCGTACGCCTCCAGCGTGGACGTGATGGTCTCCTGTACGCACGATGTTAACACACAGGAAGCACTGGGATCTGCCATGCTTTGACGTACCTGCTTGCCATCTGGGTACTCAACCACGAACTTGTGCTGGAGCATCACGAAGTCCCGCTCGCCCTCCTCGAACTTCATGAGGTTCTCCATGCGCGCGCAGAGCGTGTCGAGCAGGTTGCCATCGCGCGGCTTCACCTTCTCCGTTGAGAACAGACCCAGCCACTTCAAGCCAGAGATGATGCGGTGGCTCTCCGATGCATCAGGGAACGCACACAGCTCCTTGACCTTCGCGATGAGTGTGCTGAACCGCCGTCAGCCACAAACATACAGACAACCACTATGACAACTCACCCCTCGCTGGCATCGCTCGCGCCGATCGCCTTCTGCATGACCTCCGCCCAAGTGAGATTCTCCGAGAGCCATTCCTTCGTCTCGGGATTCAGCCAACCCAGCGCGACAAACGCCTTAACGAACTCAGGGAAGCCCTGGTAGCGCAGGGTTCCCCGCACGACCGTCTGCGCCTCCGGGATCTGGTAGAACTCGCGGAACGGCACCGAGTTGCGGTTTGGGTACGCGACGAACGCGTACGGCGGCGAGATGTAGTACGGCTTTGCCGTTGCCATCAAATCCTTGCCGTCCACGCTGACCTCCTTGCCTTCCGCGACGAATGACGCCGAGTTGAGCAGCGCGAGGAGCGCACCGCGGGCGGACCACGAGAACTTGTACCCGAGCGGGTTGCCCGACGCCTCGGGGGCGGGAAGGCCACCGCAGTACGAGTAGAACTCTTTCACCTTGCCGCCCTTGGCGTGCACTTCGTCGATCACCTTCACCGCGTACAGGTGGTCCACACCCGGGTCGAGCCCAATCTCGTTGAAGACCACGATGCCCGCCTCCTTCGCAGCCGCGTCCAGCTCGCGCATCGCCGGGCTCACGTAGCTCGTCGTCACGACGTGCGTCTTGCCCTTGATCGCAGCCTTGATGACTGCAGCGTGGTGTGTGTAGGGAATGAGCGAGATGACGAGGTCGTGCTCCGCGACGGCCTTCTCGAGTGCCTCGGTGTTGCTCGCATCGAGGGCGATGGCGGATGTGTTCTGGAGGTCAGCAGCAAGACCCTGGGCGGTCGCGAGCGTCCTGCAAGCTAGACAACCATGAGCAATATGCCCCCAAACAGAAGGCTGAGGCGCGACCCACCAATCGTCAAGCTGTTCTCGGGCTCCCGGACAACGTACTCCGCTGCGGGACGCGCGACCATACCGCTTCCAAGCAGGAGCACCTTCTTGCGAGGTTTGCCGCTGTCTGCCTTGCCCAGCTTAGGTGCGACGTCCTTGCCCTCCTCCAAAAGAGCACGGGCGAACTCGGGCAAGACAAAGGCGGCCTTGTGCACCTCGGCGTTGTAGTACCGGGTAGACTTGACTGCACGCACCGGCTCGCGTACATTGCGATTGGCCGCTTTCGAGCAGACGACGAAGCCAATCTGACCAGATGGGTAGGTGGGTATCGTCGTGAACGCATACTCCGCGACGGGGAACAGTCCGCGCGTCGTCTTGCGGAGATCTTGGATGAGCGGGAGGTGCAGCCACAAGCACTCGCCCTGGGTAGAGATGTGTCCACCCTCAGTGAGCGCGTTGTGCAGAAGCTGGAAGTACGGCTTCTGGAAGAGGGACGCGGCGGGACCGACAGGGTCGGAGGAGTCGGTGATAATCACATCGTAGGTGGAGGTGTTCTCCTCGAGGAATTTGAACCCGTCGCCGACGTGCACCGTCACTCGCGGATCAGAAAGGAGCGAAGACATATGCGGCAGGAATTGCTTGGAGACTCGGATGACAGCCTGTGCGACGATAAAGATAGGCTGTTGTACGGATACATACAAACAAACCATACCTCGTCAATGTCACAGAGCACGACATGCTCGACTATGTCGTGCTTCAGAACCTCTCGGACTACGCCGCCGTCGCCACCACCGATGACCAAGACCTTCTTAGGGCTCGGGTGACTAGCCAACGGTAAATGGGCGATCATCTCCTGGTAGCTGCACAAAGATCAGGGTCGATCTAACCACTGTTCGGGGGTGGACTTACGAGAACTCGTCGCGCTCAGTGCACTGAATGGCACCATCCAACACGAGTACGTTTCCGTACGTCTCAGACTCGAAAACGAGCACATCCTGGTACAGAGACTTTTCGATGTGGAGAATTTTCTTGACCTTCAATGTCATCGCCTGGCCCGGCCATTGCGAAGAGATCTCCCGGAACCAACCGTCTGAGCATGGTCAGCTTAGCTCAACCATAAGTAAAGGACAACAGTGCGCACCTTTGATCGAGCGGTGCGTAAGAGGTGCCATGGGTAGTGGAGGCGCGAGTAAGAGAGGTCTGAGGAGAAACTCAAGTGGACTTGCCTATGCATCTTGATTTGACTCGACAGATCTCGATCACATCTTACAGTACTTATACCGATTAGATAGGCGCTCATCGTAGCGACTTACCGTCGCAAGTGCCACTGCCGATAGAAAAAAAAACAAGTTGGTGATCGTCAATAGACAGCGGGGAGGTGAATAGAAAGGAGACAACCAGATAACATTTTTCGAGGCAGACGCAAAACTTAAAGGAACTCGTACAAAGGGGCAACAAAGGGGGGTGTTGGTCATGTGACCGTGGCAGCGGCCGCTGCCAGGTCGAATTCATCTCGTTCTCGGCCACCGTGAGGGATCCAAGACTTCTACATTCATATCCATGTTCAACGTCCTTTGTAGCGGCACCGTCAATACCTACGTGGCTGGGAAAGCTTCCGACAACTAGGACGGTACTACAAGGTACGCACAGCTGACTAGCACTCGGACTAGTTCACTCAGCTCGCCACAGATCACATTACAGGGGCCACTATGTCCGCAGGTTATGAATCAACAATGCAGCGTGTCCTGGATATTCCAGAGATTGTGGAGATCATCTTCAGCTTTCTGGACAAGAAGGACAACATCAATAATGCATGCGTCTGTAGAAAGTGGTCCGACATCGCAGCGGACTCCGTATGGAGGAATATCGACGACATTACTCAGCTATTGCGCCTCCTCGCCCCTTTGGACACGCCACCGGCCGTCCATCCACTCCAATACTACGTGAGTGCCACCTAGACTTCTGTCTACGTGTGATCTAACCATCCTTCTAGACATTCACTCGAATGCTGAACGCGGAAGACTGGCGACGCTTCGAGCGACACGCGCGCCGCGTACGGAAGCTCTCGTACGTGAGGGCACCCAATGATCTCAATTCCCCATATCTCGGTGGCCGTGTCCTCGACGAGATCGCCCGTTCGCGGACATCCATCAACATACTTCCCAACCTCGCGTCTTTAGAGTGGTGCAGCGACGAGACTCGGCATTCTCTCGTCTTCATGGGCCCGAGCGTCAAGCGCTTCTCCGTGTACCTGCATGAGAGCACGGACTATTCCCTCTCGGACCATTTCAAGGACGTCTCTGCTCGGATGCCATCTCTTACGCACCTCGACTTTGCATTCGACTTTGCTGTACGCGACATCGAGGCAGACCTCATCACGCTCATTGGCGAGCTGCCACACTTGAAGCAGCTGACACTCCCCTCGTACAGTTTCACTTCAAGGATCGTGGAAGCTCTGTCTTTGCTGCCCAAACTCGAAACAATCCAGTTTGAGTTCTGGGAACGACAAGGAAGAGGCGATCCTACTGACATCGCTGTGTTCTCACCGACATTGCGCGAGGAAGCCTTCCCGGCTCTATGGGATGTAAACCTCAGCGCGCATCTCCCGGACATGACACGGTTCATCACGAGCCCTCACGCACCTGCCCACCTCACTTCCCTCTACGTTCATCTACCCTCGGCGGCATCGCCGTCCGCCATCAACGAGTACCTCACTGCCGTGGCTGAAAACTGCCAGTTGCTGGAGAGACTCTACATGGATCTCTTCGTCCCACCCTTGCCTGGAGTGCCCCACCAGCCAGTCTACGCCGAGTCACTATCATGGGGCGACCTCCGTCCGCTGCTCCTCTGCAAGCATCTCAGGGTCTTTGAGCTGACATGGACGTTGCCAGTCCTCATGCAGCAGGATGACGTAGAGGAGCTAGCGTCGAGCTGGCCTTCTCTGCGGATCCTCCAGCTCAACTGCCTGCCGAACCCCGTCTTCCCGCTCCCCCCGCCCGAGCTCACGCTTCGCGCGCTGATGCCCTTCGCAACACATTGTCCCGAGCTCGAGGAGCTCGGCCTTGACGTCGATACCAACGCGGCGGAGCTCGCGTTCACCGCGCACGACGCTGCGGCGGCGGCGCCGCCACCCTTCCGCAAACTCAAGCGCCTGTGCTTCGGGCTGTCGCCGATTGCGGAGCCGGGCCCCGTCGCGCTGTTCCTCAGCCGGATGTGTGCGCTCGGGTGCGAGATTGCGGCGGGCCCGCGCGTGCCCGACGGGTTCAACGTCGTCTTCTCTGACTGGACGCTCGAGCTGCTGGACCGGTGGACGGAGGTGGGGAAGGTGCTCCCGCTGCTCGTTCGTTTGCGGATGGAGGAGCGGGCGCGGAGGCAGGAGCTGGAGAGGGAGGTGGAGGACCTGAGGATGCGATGTAATGTCCTCGTGGAGCGGGCCACGTTACCGGAGGGCGCGCTCAATGCAGACGGCTCGTGCTTGGTGCTATAATTGTGGGTGTGTTTATGGGAGCTGTGTAGTATGCTCTTGCGCTGTCTTGGTTCGTACGCTCACAAGGTTCTTTGATCAGGTCCACGCTATTGTATTGCTTACTGTACTACATCCCACTCTTGACTTGTACTGTACTGTGAACATCGCTGGCAGTCTGAGTGGCTGGCGGTGCCTATATTTGCCCTTCCATGGCCGACAGGGAATTGCTCCTCGCATTCTGTTCGTCGAATGAACTGTTGGGATATGGTGAGTTGCTGTCCTGGAGAACCGTGGTCTGCTCTTGCGACTATATTTGAAAGTACGCGTTTGTGGCGCGGATTCACGTGACTACGTCGTACAAGACTTTCTTCTTGCAGAAGGGCGCCTTCTAATCGTAGCGGCGCAAGCGCCGATCCCCGACTCCTGCATGGCACAGCTACTCAGCCTGCCACAGCAGCACCATAGTATATTATGTGTGTATTGTAATATTGTACCATCGGAATGGTATGGAGACTCAATTGGAAGCCCTCACGCCCGCGGCGGCTTCGCCGCCCGGGCGTCTCGGGCTTCCACGAGTCTGAGCTAAGTACACGGTGAACTTACTTACCATAATACATAAGCACTACAGTGCATGCGAGGGCTCCCAACGTAATAGAGGCCCTCTTGCCTTTGGGAGGAGTTATTTGGTGGTCAAAGATCCAGACGTCCAGACGCAGCCAGATGCGCGGTCGGATCCAACTGCCTCGAGCTGCCTCGTAAGACACTCGAGCATTGCTGCGATACCGCTTATGGGAATTGTAAGTCACGTGTTTTCCACGGAGGGAGCGGCATCGCCGGCTGCGAACGACTTATGGTCGACAAAGCCCTCCTCTCCCTCCGGTCGGAGTCGGGGATTCTGTCGGCCTGTGGTACTTACTCTGTGAGTTTCGTCTACTCTTCGAAGCTCATTTAATTTGCTTCTTACCAGTTGTCACCTCCCATCTGACTTCTATTTCTATGTCAGTTCAGAACCTCTCAATTTGAATGATGTGAGTATCCAGACTGACCCTCAACCCCCCATACGCGACGAAGACTCACCCTTCTTGTATGGATCATTTTAAATTGAACATGTATCTCTCGCTACGTGGGAATTCGTGTGGAGGGAGAGCTAGCTAATCAATTTCAAGGCTTCCAAACGTGAAGAGTTTGTCACAGTTGCCATTCACGAGCACCAAGGACATGACGTCACGCGTTCGTCAGTCCGTGAACGTTGGCCACTCCGTCGCGCTCGCGGGCGAGGTATAAAGCTATAGCTGTCGCCGCAACTCAGATACAAATCCCCGCTACAATTGTCCGCAATGCCGAAGACAACGCTCGGCAATACGCCGACGACGCTCATCCGCCTCCGCACTGCCGTCCAGCAGTACCCGTGGGGCAAGCAGGGCTCGGCCTCCCTTGCCGCTCGTCTCGCCAAGAACAGCGTCGGTCCTGACTTTTCCATCGACGAGAGCAAGACGTATGCAGAGGTACGCGTCCCACCTCCCCTCACCGATCAATGTCGACCACTAGTACTCATCGCACGTAGATCTGGATGGGCACCCATCCGAACGGGCCCTCACACCTCTACGATGCACCCGACACGTCCCTCCACTCCATAGTCGCCTCCAATCCCGCCGTGAATCTCCCACCCTCCTCCACCGCTCAGACCCAATCCAAAGTTCCCGTGCCCGCAACTTCCTCCGATTCGCCTACTGCAGGCGGCGGCGGCACGCACATTCCTTTCCTGTTCAAGATCCTGTCTATCCAAAAGGCACTGCCTCTCCAGGCCCACCCCGACAAGGACCTCGGCGCGCGGCTCCGCTCCCAACACCCCGACCTCGCTCCGGACGCGAACCACAAGCCTGAGATTGCTGTGGCAATCGGAGCACCGCTCGAGGATGCGCGCGAGGGCGAGAGCTTTACGGGTTTTGTGGGATTCCGACCCCTCGAGGACGTCGCTGCGAGCCTGAGGAACGTGCATGAGCTGCGGCAGGCTGTCGGAGACGAGCAGGCTGTTGACGCGTTCGTGCGCGAGCCGAACCGCGAGGGGCTGAAGCGTGTCTGGGGAGCGTTGCTGAAGAAAGGGCCGAGCGGGGAGGTCAAGCCGTTCGTGGAGAAACTGGCCGAACGTGTGCAAGGGGGAGGCACGGACGGACTGACGGAGGAGCAGGCGTGGCTAGTGAACAAGTAAGGGGTGCCTTCCAGTCGTTCTTCAGGCTCATGGATATCGTGCTGTCTACAGAGTCTCACAACAGTACCCGGGCGACGCAGGTGTGTTCGCGACAACATTTTTCATGAACTTCGCGAAGCTTCGTAAGGGTGAAGCGCTCTGGATCGGCGCAGACGAGGTACATGCCTACCTTGAAGGAGGTGAGTCCCTTGCACAACCACGCCCTTGCGTGAGCTCACGTGACCGCGTCAGACATCATCGAATGCATGGCCATCTCCGACAATGTTCTCAACGCCGCCTTCTCGCCACCCTCTGAGCTCGCGGCACAGATCCCCATATTCGTCGACATGCTCACCTACACCGCGCGCCCCGCGGGGCACTGGGCGCTCCCGCCCAAGGCGTATGCGCGGGGAACGCACGGGCGCACGACCGCGTACGACCCGCCGCTGGAAGAGTTCGCCGTGCTACGGACAGTGCTGGGGAACAGAGAAGGGAGGGAGGTGCTGAAAGTGCGCGGACCGCTTGTGGGGATTGTGACGAAGGGTGCGGTGGCGGTGAGTAGCGGTGGGGAGGATATGGTGCTTGACGAGGGAGGCGTGGTGTATGTCGTGCATGGGGGAGCGGGCGAGCGCGAGGTGGGGATTGAGCTGAAGGAGGCAGGTGTGAATGGGGAAGGCGAGGTCTGGTGGGCGGTGTGTGAGTAGAGGATTTGAATGCGTCAGAGAGTTGATGTTCATAGAAGTATTGCCATTGGGAGATGGGCAGCTGGTGGCTATCTTGGGCAGCTGACTGCTGGTTATTGACCAATTAATCATAACTGCAGTTGTGCGTATTAGTTTTGTCAACAATTGTCTCATCCTGAACATTGAACTCAACAAAGTGTTCTAGTGGCTGAGCTGGTTGTGGGTCACGGTCACCTGCTCCGCGGTAGCGGCGCTTAGTACGCTGAGCAGCCACAGTTCAAGTACTTACTTACACGATTCGACCTACGACAACGAGTGGCACCTCGAACATGTCTGCCCCCACCATGTCCGATTGCCAGATCACTCCACAACACTCGGTGCTGTACAACATCGACATAACGTACCACATCATGCAATGCCTTGCCCCAGAAACCGAGTCGTTCTCCAAGGTCATTCCGAGTCCACGCGAGAACTTGGGTACACTCGCACAATGCGCCCGCACCTGCAAATCCCTCGCCGAACCTGCAACGGCCTTACTATGGAGATCCCTGCCATCGCTGATACCGCTTCTGTCTATCCTGTCTGGCTTTCATAGCATACGTGTGGACGGCGAGGAGCAGCATAAAGCCATGATACATATTTCCGAACCAAAACTGTGCTGGGTACGATCTCCAAATTGCGATGCCCATGTCCAATTCATTAACTCTCTTCCACCAGACTATCAGCGGGAATATCTCCGATTCAGATCGCGAGCGATTCATGCACTACGCTCGGTTCGTGTGGGCTCTCAGTATCGGGAGTGACCACATCCATCGATCCGTCATGACTATCCTAGTGGTCAACTTTGGCAGGGAATTTCTGCCACGGCTGCGATCTGTCAACTGCCATTCGACGGCTTGTGCACATGTGCTCCTTCCCTTCCTGACGCCTTCGCTCACGTCCCTATACTGGGAAGACCGCAACTCCAATGGCGACGCCAAGCTGGCAGTATTCTCTGAAAAAATCGCATCGCAAATCTCGACGTTAGCCCCCTTTCTCGAGGAGCTCAATGTCCCTCGATGCAACAACACGTCGGTCTTCTTTTCGTTTGGCAAGTTTGAACGATTGCGCTCCCTGGACATTTCGGGCACGCCACGAGTCCTTGGATGGACCGTGCTTCAAGCGATCGGATCCCTCGAGTACCTCACCAGAGTTTCAATACCCAGTGCGGTCATTGGCTTCCAGCCTGGCGACCATTGTCGAGGATTTCAGGCGTTGACAGATCTCACCGTCGCGCACCGCATCCAGGGAACACAGCTACTGCGGTTGATTACCCCTCCGAAGCTTCGACGTCTCAACTTCAGAGGTGGCCTGAGCCTCACCGACTTCTGGACTACAAAAGAGATCCGCGAAGGGGTTGAAGTGTGCCTCAGCAAATGCGCGGGGACATTTGAAAGCTTCGTCATCGACGAGTTCGAACCTCGCACCGTGGAACCGCTGCTCGCGACCGCAATGTGCTTTTTCCACATGAAGAATTTACGGACGTTCTACTGTTCTCGAGGGATGAAGACGATGTCCTTGACCAACGATGGTCTTCGTGCGATGGGCAGGGCGTGGCCATGTCTGGAGGAGCTGGTGGTAGACTGGTCAACTGCAAATCGCTTGGATCCGGACGATCACGTCCCGTCGTTACAGGGCGTTATCGACCTTGCTCACGCATGTCCCAGACTTAAACGAATCAGCCTAAGCTTCGTGCGTCTGGTGCTGGCTCCAAGAGAGGATCCATATCCCGAATTAGTACACGGGTTGGAGGAGTTGTCCCTGAGCAAGGCCATTGTCCGGGAGCCGGTAAACATAGCGAGGGTGATCGACCGGATGTTCCCCCGCGTAAAGCTGGACCCCGAGCAGCTGCAACCTGGGGAGAAGATTTCCGACCTGTTTCGTGTGCTTCACCTTGAGAAGCGGGCTAGGCTGGCTGGCGAATCTTGAAGCTCTTGTCATGGATTCACACCAATTACATACCTTGAACTGTATCTAATGCACATGTCACGCACTGACGAAGTAAGTATTTGAATAGAAATCGAATGTTGGACGCAGCAGGCTTGAACGCGTCTGTGGCTGATGGGACTTCGGCATTCTCGGCATTGGCTGAGCAGCAAATCGGCATAGATGCCGACATGCAATCCCTGCCCTCGACGCGTCTTGGACGCGCCTGTCCCTTCTATCTTTCTCTACGCTACCCATAAGGGCACAGTCTGCCTTTTTGGCACTCAAATACCAACCATGTCTAGATATGCGACACGCACCCTTCGTTCTACACTACAAGTGTCGCCGGACGAAGACATCAAGCCGTTGACGACCAAACATCTACACCTCTCTAAGGAACACCGAGCGGAACTGGAGGAGATATGGGCGAAGGATACGAGGACACCTTCCCTTGAATCTCGTAGAGCCTGGGCGGAGGTGCGGAACATCGAGCCTTCCAACGTGCATAACTGGTTTCCCCGCAAGCGATTGCGAACCATACAGCTGGGCCTGCCAGTGTCGGAAGGTTCCTACGAGCTGCGATCAACAGTCAGCACGAAGTTCGGCACGGCCTCATCCTCAACTGCTTCCACTCGAATAAAGCGAGAACGTTCGCCTTCCCCTCTTCTCTCTCGGCCAGTGAAGAAGCGGCGAAAGACAATCATCTCTGTGACGACACAGTTAGCATCTCACTCGGGGTCGCGGGCGAAGAGTACATCGCTGTTGAAAACGGAGGGCATATCTGCACCCCTTCCTGTCAGACACACCCGAAAACACGCCACGAATCCCCATCCAGCCTGCATGACCTGTATAAGGACGCATACAGTCACCTTCTCGGACGATCTACCGCCTTCCTCCCCTCCCCCAAGTTCTCCTTCAGCTGTGCCCGCACTCACCTTTTCTTCCGACCCTTCTTCCTCGGACGCTGGCCTGGAGAGCCCTCTGACGCCCATCGCTTCAGATGGCGAAGAGGCGGAGGTCGAGGACTACCTCGTTGCGCATCCCACGACGACGGATCCAATGCGCATACATCCACCCCCTCGCAGGCTTGTCCCCCGATCAATCACGCAATCTGCGAAAATGGACGCATATATGCGTCCCGATGGCATGCAAGAGCCTCAGGGACCCGGGACTGTAGCGAACGATCAGGAGATCCTCTCGTTCAGCCCGAGCCCAAGTCCGGAACCTGAAGTCACGTCTGTCCGAGTCCCTGCTACCGCACCCCTGCCGCGTCGAAACAAGAAGCGAGTCAGGTTCTCCGAACAGACTCTGACGTTCCTTGTCGATCCCTTCCGTTCTGATCACCGCTTCTCGTTCGACGCTGACTCGACAGCAGAAGATGCTGGTTCGCGTGCTGAGGTGCTTTCGTCGCCGTACTCTGTATTCGCTCTGGTGCCTGCTTCACCGGTGCACCCTGCTGCTGCTGCGTCTACAGAACCCCCTGCTTTGGCCTCTGAATCTAATGCTGTCACCGACAAGCCCGTTGCTGCCACGTCTGAGCCTATTGCTGTCGCATCTGGCTCCGCTGCTGCTACCTCTGTATCAGCTTTCTCGACGCGCCCTTCTGCTGTCTCGAACTCTACGTCAGGCTCCATACCTACGACGATTGTTCCTTCAACGTCCGACTCCATCACTACGACGTCTGGTCCTTCGTCAGCTTCCCACACCATTTTATCGGCTCCTCGCAATACCTCTCCACCGTCTGCTTCCGCCGCCGCTCTGAATGCGCCTGCTTCTTTCGCCACTCTGGATGTACTTGCTTTCTCTTCTCTGGTCGCCGCGCCCGACGCTCCTACCCGCGCTGAATCGTCTCCAGCTGACTCTGACGCTCTCCACTCTGCTAGTCCTACTCTGCGTGCTCGATCTCTGTACACTGCAGCTCCTGCTCCTGTGACGACTGATGCGCCGACGCTTTGCTCCACTGCATCTACGGGTGATCAAAGACCTCAGACCCTGAAATCTGTGCCGTTGAGGCTGTCTCCGTCTCGGTTCTCCAGACCCCTCGCTCTTCCAGATTTCGCCGAGGTATCTCCTCGACCGCCGTCGCAAGGGGCGGATGTTCTGCCGTACAAACACTCTGCGGTTGCTTTGCGAGAAGAAGAGGAAGAGGAAGAGATGTGCGCGGTCAAGCAAGAGGAGGAAGAGGCCCCGGACGGACCTGGTATCGGTGAGTTGGTTATACATTTAATGCATACGGTGCGAGGTACAGATGCCGTTGACAGGTCCTGTCGCGAAAATGGCGCCGTCTGTATTCCAGCTTTGTCTCGATAGTTCGGCAGGGTGTGCGCCCGCAGAAGACCCAGTTGGTGAGTCATGGGTCTACATCTGTCCTCGTAAACCAGGGGCATATCCGCTTCGGGGTTGGTTGTTGACTTGCGGTAGATTCTGCGGTGCGAACAGGTGACACGGCCCAGACATTGATCGTACGACCGAAGGAAGAAGAGGACATGGAGATGATCATGGATGATGGTGAGCAGCCCGACTGTCCTCTTCTGTAAGCAGTTGGGTGCATCCTGAACGATTCATACTCTATGTCCGACGTCGTACAGCAACACTCCCAATAAGCAACCATCGCACGAACGTGTCCCGGCTTGTCAACGAGATACGTGATGGTCGGTGCTGCCATTTGATGTCGAACCACATCTAATTATACTACGTGCGGCTCGCAGAACCTCCGGTGATCGCTTGCCTCCAACCAGCAGTCGAGTCCTTGTCGCTCGTAGACTCAGACGATGAAGGTGCGTCACGCTTACCTGTGGTGTCTCGTCCGTCGTCCGTCGTCCGTCGGTGTCTCTGACCACGCTGGCATATTTTACACTGATGTTGAACATTCATCAGAACCACTTGCGCTGGTAATCGCTCGACAAAGGCTTGTCAAGGTGGAACACATGGAGGCAGTTGTGCGGAAAACGGGCAAGGGAAAGAAGAAGCAAGACACCGCACAGAAAACGCCACGACGAAAGGCAAAAATAGAGAAGGCGGGAACAAAAGCCAAGGCAACTGTGAAGTCCGAAGGAAACCGCAAGGCTATGCTAGATGCAGAGGTAGCTCAGACGGAGGCGATCGGTATGTCATCTGCATGCCCGCGACATTTAGTGGTTCTATCGATTCTGGCCGCAGTATCTGACTTTGTGAGGATAGACACGGGGTCGAATCGGACCGTCACATCTGGTCAGTGCCTCGCTTGTAATTGAAGACGTCATATCCTTCACCTCAGTAGGCCTTGGCGAGACTGCCACACTCCCAAGACCGGTCCGAAAGAAACGTGTCAGGAAGGTTCATGTGAAGTCCGAGGCCGAACAGGATGCTACCGCACTCCCCAACGATAGCGGACAATCCCACACTGCCCCAGCCGAGTCGGGAAGGGTTCGAGTGAAGACCGAGCCGTCTTCTGCAAGTGACCCGCTCAAGGCACAGACCAAATCCGGCCGACGAAAACGCGGTAATGCCAAGAAGGCAGCGTCAGGTGCGCCGGAGGTCTCGGCGAAGTCGAAAGCTGGTGCCAGAAAGCATCTGTCTGCGAACGACGGGGGAAGATCTGAGCCTGCCGTACAGCCTCCATGTAACGACGAGAATGACACGCCCATCATGTTCAGGACTGTTCATTGGCCACCGCCCTATGTCCTGGCGGCCAGTTCAGGCGCATCGCTGGGTAGCATGAATCAACTCTTCTCTAGCGGTGTCCAATGGATAGAGGACGAGTTTGATTCTATGGAGCTGAGTGCTTTCTGCTGGATGAACCCGGTACGTATAAGTACCGGTTGTGAGCTCCGCAATCGCTGATAACACATCACAACAGCTGACAGATAATTGCGGCACTGAATATGGTCAGTGAAATGTTTCCCTCGAGCTGATACATACAGCCTTCATGTTCAACGGGTGATTGTTCCACTGGATCAAACGGGACTGAACGTTTGGATAGGGATCTCCGAAGACCTCGCGGCGTACTCTGATTGGACCATACATCCGTTCGCTCATCTGTACGTCGACGTCGGCTTGCCGGCGTTTTTGCAAAGTGCATACGCAGTCCATGAGAACTGGATCGAGGCTAACCATGGTATCAATCACGCTCCTGGCTTGTCACAATGAAGTCGGCATGTACAATTAGCATTCTGTTCTAGCTATGAATAACAGTAGTCGTTGCCAAGCACACTGTCCTTCATATTGATCTGGCTCATACATGAGTACATAATACCTCACATCGCATGCAATGTTCCCCGGGGACTGAGTGATACCGTCGTGATTGCGCCGTGGACAGCTTGTCGCTTCGCTAGGTCCTGAGAAAATGCGGTTTCATGCGGTCCTCAACGGACCCCTCCTGTCGTTTGACTGGACAATGCGAAGGTCGCCTCTTCTCCAATTGATCGGGTTTGCACATTCTCGGGATCGACAGGTCTGTTCAAAATTGGGTCGGTCAGATTCTGGTATGCCTCCAGCGGTACAATACACCGACTTAGCGTGGGATGTTGCTGCATCCATCACTGCAGCCTGAAATTCGCCCAGAGGCGCAGAGTATTTTGAATCCAGGTCCGGTGAGTCCTCGTCTCTGATACGTCGGCGTTCATTGAGCCTGGCCAGGTTCTCATTAGTATGTCCGTCATAAACAATGCTGCTCGACCTACACTATGAGCACCGCGTTGATATTGACTTTGAAACCTCTTCGTGAACAGACGATCTGGATCGATAAAAGCATGCTTACTCGTGCTTGAAGGGAAATAAAACAGGTTGCTCATCGTGTCTCCGAGCCAGTGGCCATCCCAATTGTACTGCCGGAGTTCCATATCTGAATAGGGTATCGGTCGACATGGCAATTGACTTACTAAGACCACCTCGAGTAGCTGCAAAACACTGTCGAAGTAGGTGGGTCAGCATATCAGGACCACGCAGCGGGCTGGTGTACCGCTGATGAGAACAGTGATAGCATGAGTCAGACACTCACAAGATGAAAAGGCCACGGTTGACGACAAATGTGATGAGCCTTCCAATCATGTTGTCCGTACTGTTAGACTCAGGGCGTTATGTCAACAATTTTTGCATGACTGGTGACGATACATACGTCTTGAATCCGCTTTTCGCGCCACGAAGAATGAAGATCAATGACAAACTAATGTAAACATTGGTCGCCAAATCCGTGACCGATTGCAAGCGAGAAGGCACCTACGCAACATGAGAAAAATGGCGTTGATCACAACAAATAGGTAAATGATCTCACGAGAAGATGGGCATGTATCGAAGTCTCATTTCCTCCGGTACTTGCCATCTGAGCGAGGTTGCTGTGACACAGGCGTCGCGACAAAGTGAGGCGGTGGTCCGGACGATCGGCGAGATTCTACTTACGTCTCATACACGAAAGCTATGAGTTTCTCTTTCAGCGTGGTCAAAGATGTGTCGGTTCTCGAAAAGCTCACTAAAGGTGGCAGCTACAGGATTAGGTCATCAGGTAGGTCCTTTCGCTTAGATGGACTAGAATCACACACCAAGAGCTATCACAGTCAATGCGACCTGGAGAATCAATATGAGCGGGAGTTGCGCTTCCTGAGAATGCACGCACAGCTATCGCCGTGAGTGGGACACGTAGCCAGGCTCTCTGCGATACTGCGCACGTATAAGTAGAATGTCGAGAAGTGAGGGGAGTACTCACAGATCCAGATATTACGGATGTAAAACCTGAGGTTGACGTCAGTGTACGGTATACTATTATGAACATCGGAGCCTTAGCAATACCATTGCACGCATACAACTGCGAGAGCCTAGACGATGTCAATCAAACCTCACACGTTGCATCTCTGTTGACCCGCACTGACCGAGAAGACCCAAACCTAATGTAACTTGATCAGCTTCACGTCACTAGTGCAAAGAGGCGGGCTGACCATGTAGTCACTATCAAGTCGCACCGAGATGGCGGACAATTTCAGTGGCAAGCCCAAGCTAATGCCAGCTCGAGGGCGCACCTCGGTGTCCAGATCTCAGCCGCAAGTATGTTGCCACGATTGGTCACAACACGGGACCAAAAGGCCTACCCTTTGGCATCAGTAGATATCACAGAGTCGGTTGGAAAGCATACATTGCAGAGAGCAATTTCTTTGACAAGATCTAGTGCACTGTCAAAGTGACTATCAAGACTGGTGATTCAGAGGTTTACTCGTGCCGACGCACAGCAAGAGTAAAACCTATAAGACCTGTCAGTCTTGTATGCATGTACTGGTATATGTTTTAGGCACACTCACGAAACTTTTCACCGGGAGTTTGTCCTTGGAGTAGTTTTGGAAATAGTAAAATATTTGAGCAACAGTGCCACCGAAGAACCTGCCATTCATGCGTGTAAGCTAGAATTCAATAGGCAAATCAACGTGCACAGACATCCACGAGAATAACATTCCAATGCATGTCGTACTGTAAGCATTTGCGAAGGCTTGAGATGGTGAAGTCGGCATTACTGATATTGACAGTGATCTCTGAAGGGGCAGTCGTCTGCCAGCTAGTCCCTTCGGGTGCCAGTACTTATTGAAGTCACGCTGAACCTTGAAGTGAGAGCGAAGGGGGCGACAATGCAGTGCGAAACGCTCTCCCAACAGCCTGCGGGATCTCTCGTCTTGAACCTTACGTCCCAACATCAGAACCTAGTACAACGCCACCGTACCATTGGCCACTGTGCTGTGTCGGGGGGTTTGCGATATGCACTCATCAGTCAGTCATGTCGCCGGTGACTGAACTTTGCAGAGTCAATGCTGATACGTCACTTTAAATATGCCACCTGACTGCCGATTGTGGTCAGCTGCGACTTCGTTCGTACAGCATTGCACGGCAAAAGATAGAGTTCCTGCAGGACGTTTAGCATCGCGCGCGATGGTTGGAACTATCGCACCATCTCGTCGTCTTTGCAGACTGCACTGGCAGACGCCGAACACCGATCATATGCATCGCCCACTGTGGTCTGCGATTGATCGAGACGATTGAATGGTTTGACGATCAAGAATTTCCAATCCGCGGAAGTGGTTGACTTCCGAGATGCGGCGTTCCCATGTGGCTCAGTGACTGAACCGGCGGGAACTTCAGTTCAGACTCCAGACTCCAGAGGTCCCGAGTCTCTAGCTCAATCGATAGGATCATCAGTTTTCATACTGCTGTGTATGATGTATGTCCACTGACGAGCAACTCACCAACTAGTTTCAAGGTCGTCCAGAGTAAGTACAATAGCGTACCGTTCCATCGAAGTGACGACCTAGTTTGTCTATACCAAGATCCTTTACATGGCACGGCGCTAGTGTGGGGGTTGTGTCGAATCTAGACGGACACCCTAGAGCGCGCGAGGATCTGGCTGTCCCAGCTGTTCAAGTAGACGACTGCATCCAGATGAAACCAGACGACGATCGACAGATCCGTGGAGCCCTCTTGAGTTGAAACCTCAAGGTGTCCGAACATAGCCGGGAAGCACACCAGCTGAGAGTAACTTGTAGGCCAGTTTGAGCTCGCAAGCGCGAAGGGAGCGTCGGGTGCACTTGGCTGCACCGCAATGACTACAAATGAGTCACTAACTGTAAAGAAACAATGCAATCAGACATTAAGCTTCAAGCTACAAGGCCGATGGCATTTGAGAGGCATGAGGCATTCACATACCTACAGTACAACGTGCGCTCTCCTCCTCTCCGACTTGTGGACGGTATGCGGGAGACCAACCGGACATTTATGAGTGATACCTCTTCGGTGCTGCCTCACTTGCGCACATCACGAGAAGATACTCACCAAGCCAGTAAAAATATAATGATCGAGACGAGCCGGGGGGTATCAGGCTTACTATCAGCACTCGAGGAAGGCGGTCAAGCATGATAACAGGCGAATCTAAATTGGGGGAAGACAATGTCCAATGTTACGCAAAAACCTCTATGGAACGACGAAGGAGACCTCTATGGACGTCACGCAAATAATGCAGGTGCTGTATATCTATATGGATCAATGTACATTAGGCATGGTGATGACATGAAGTGGATGTGGTGTGGTCCAATCTTCTTTTGTACACATGAAGGGCATCGTAGTAGAAGAAAGAGCATGACAGATGAGACTGACTTAGGCAAAGCAGCCAGCTTTGGTATATGTATAGCGATCCGAGAGGGGGTGATGATGAGGACGAGACATGCAGGGAGTTTTACACAGCGCAAGAAACGAGGCAGGACGGACATTCGTCATAGACTGAATATTCCGCCTGCTCTGCGACGAGATTTGACGGGGTGGACGAGGATGAGGGAGACACCGAGACCGACGGTGAGGCCGATGGAAACCGAGACGAGTTGCAGAGCAGTGTAGAATCCCGAAAGATACGACTCGCTTGACGAGGATCCATCAGTCTCCGCCGTGACGAAGGTGAACAGGCCACCGTTGGCCAAACCAGACGGTAGTTGGAACAGGATACCCGTGATCTGCATATAAAGGGTGAGACATGCTCAGCACGCAGGAACAAGACGAGTGACTAACCATGACGACAAACGCGTTACCGTTGAAGAACCGGCCGTACATGTTGGCGACGAAGCCGACGGCAGCACCACCGACAGCGGCCGGGATGTCGTTCTGATTCGGGAACTTTAGGCCGGTGAAGTGATTGCACACCCAACCAATGCAGGAGACAACCACAAGGAGGTACTAATGAATAAACGTATGAGTGTTGAGACTCTCGGAGCAACGAGTTCACGTACGGTTTCCTTCCGGTACAAGGGCGCATGGTTCCGCAAGCTCAAAAAGAACGAGTAGGCAGGCACAGTCAAGAACGCTGCGGGGCATCATCTGTCAGTATGCATACATTGTCTACCACGAACAGGCCTGAACTCACCCCACCAGACGGACGGTGTCCGCTGCCACCAAGGCCCCGAAGGATCATGGCTGCTTTGACAGGACAGGTCATCAGTCCCCGCGAGCGTGTGGTGTGTCAGCTTCGAGTAGACCGTCGCGCCAATCGATAGACCGAATCCTAGGAACAGCGAGTAGATGATAGAGAAACAGACTCGCACAGCTCCGGAAACGATGTTGCGTGACGCCAGCTCCAGACTACCACACAAAATGATGAAGCCCTACAGCCGCATTAGCGCTGGTGCATCGAAAGCAGAGCAATCGAGACATACGGGAAGGATGAGCACGATGGAAGCCGAACCGACTGCCGTATAACAGACATGGTGACCGTGAGTGTCCGCTAATGCGGCAGCGATAAAACTGAAGAGCAAGCAGACCATGATCCTGCAAAAACACGTTGAGCGTCATCCGACCCACAAAACGAAAACACCCACTCGAAGACGTTTGAATACAACTCATTACGAGCGGCGAAGACTTGGATGACGATGAGGAGGCAGCCGAGCGGGAAGGAGATGAGAGAGTCGACGAAGGAGCCATTGAAAGAGACACTGCAGATAGAAGCGGAGCAGAAACCACCGATGAGGATGAGCTGCCAGAACTTGTACAGCTGCGGCTTGCGCATGAGGTCATCGAGGGCGATCGACGCGTCCTTGACGGAGATGTCGTCGTGGATGACCTTCCAGTAAAGCGCATACGCATCCTGAAGCTTGCCGATATCGAGCGCACTGGCTTGGCGGATGAACTTGATGTTGCTCGTGCTCGTTGTAGCATCGTCGAACGAGATAAGCATCACGTCCGGCAGGTACATGCAACTAAGCTGGATGTCGAGGACCTTGCCGGTCGCTTGGATCTGCGCCTGCAGCCTATGCGTTGGCCCGCCGAACATCATCATGGCCCTTGCGAGCTTCAGAATAAATTCCTGCCGCTGCACGATCTCCGCCACATGCCGTGTGATCTGGCAAACACACGAACAGCGTCAGCACGGTGGGAGTCTTGCCTGAGATGACGATACATACGTAAATCTCTGCCTTCTTTCGTTTCCGTCTCTCGCGTTTCACTCGCTCAGCCTCTTTCTCTCGTTCGCGCATCTTTATCTTTTCCTTGTCCATGTAGTCTGCATCCTCGCTGGTCGGCGTGCCAGGCGTACTGGGAGTGTTCGCCCTGCTCCATCCGTGCTTCGGTAGGTCTTTTAGCACACCGGTCCACTTGGTCCTGCCCTTCGTGGACGCCGGCGATTCCTCCTCCCATGGGTTGAGCGGAAGGGACGTGGTCCGGAGGTGCGAGGCATGGTCCGGCGGCGTGTCTCCCATGCCGTGCGTCATCGTCTCGAAATGCATGCTACGAGGACGCGAGAGCTCCTGCCCCGACATCTCTGACTTCACCTTCGGCACGTTGCTCTCGTAAGAGTACCTAGAGAGGTGGTACCCTGGCCGCTTAACGCTTGGCTGGAGCGTGCTGCTCTGCGGGGCAGCGACGCCCGACACATTGCCTGTGCTGGCAATGAGCGCACCGAAGACCCCACCCGCATTCCTAGCCTGCACTGGGCGAGAGTCCGACCACGGCTTCGGGACGCGGAGCGTTGGCATGTTGACCGATACGGACGAGCTGTTCGCCGACCCTGCCCAGCGTGGTGTCGTCCCGCGCTCGCGCGACATTGCCCTTGACGGCGAGCGAGACTCGTCAAAGGACGAGCGCGTGGAGACGCTGCCGACCGTCTGGGACGCCGCGTCCGCATTGTCGTATAGCGCAAGGAGGGCCGAGAGCACACCACCACCGCGGGGCATAGTGGACATGTGCGAACTCTCCGCGCTCTTCTCGACGTCCGACTCTGACGAACCCTCGGGACGGAAGAAGCTCCACCGATGCTTGCTGCCACTGCCGCTCTTCTTGTGTCCGTGACTCTTGCGCTTGCGCACCTCATTGCCTTCGACTGAGCTTTTGCGCCCCCGCGCGTCGACGTCCTCTGATCGCCGTCCGAAGTGCGGTACGCGGGGGATATGCACGGCACCGAACATCCCACGACGATGGGCATTGATGACTTGCTGTGCTTGCTGTACAGAGTGTCGCTCCGTCCCTGCGCCGGGCAGTCCTGCTGTTTCGCTCGGATCGATGAACTGCTCGCCCGGGACCCGGTGCGACGGGGGTGTGTACTGATCCGGCGTCGTCTCATCCGTCGAGGTCGACTCACGCGTGAGTGTGGTGTCGAGCCGTTCCAGCCGTGCGAGGCTCGCAGGCGATTCCGACCGATGCCGCTCAAGCGCGCTTGCGAGCTCTTGGAAGGCCGATGGCTGCGGGTACGATCGATGTCAGTGTCCGAAAACGGAAGGTGCCCATCGGAAGCTGTGAAAGAGAAAGCCAAAGCCTGGCAGATGATGGGACTAACGCCTCGGTCCCGCCACTCCGCGCAAATCACACCTGGATGTGCCAAGTGCGGTCTGACTTAGGCACGACGCGACCTAGGAGGCGGCTCCACAGCCACCGCCGCCTAGCGCCCCACTCGACAGGTTGCGGTACATACGACAGCGAAGTCAGCTGAGAGACACCTTCATCGACGTATATAGACGTGCTCAAGAGGAGCTGAAGCCCCTTGAATACTCGCGCCTCTTGGCACCGCTGCTGCATTGTATCCGCCGTGTCGCGACGCGCTGCATTGACCAAACCCGGGGTGCGGCCCAACATCTTCGCAGCTGGCCCGGAGCCTCGGTTTCCCTCATGTCCCGGACGCGGAAACACATGCAGGGGATGGGATAGGACGGTAATTTTTGCTCGCGACGGATACTGCGCGCGTCGAGAAGACGTAAAACAAGCACCGCCTACAACGTCCGCGCTCCCATCGAGCTCCTTGATGTGTCGCAGGATAGCACGGTGCGCACGCATCAAGACATGGACATGGCGACAAGATAAGGTGGTCGCGGCGCGATGCGGTGGCCGAGGCCCGAGGGGCCCAGCACGACGGATCACGGAAGGAAAATTGACGATGAAGTGAGTACTCACGTCAAGCCCATGCTCGTCCAGCGCGCGCGGCGACAGGTTCGGGTCGGCCGCGTCGCGTTCGTCCGTCCACTGGACCTTGCGAGGGGTCTTTGTCCCATTCGACCTGCGCGTGCCTCCAGGTGGCCGGTTATCGTTCGGGTCGATGGGTAGCGGGGAAGGAATCGGTGGGGGGCTCCCGGTTGGACTGCCGGAGTCCATAAGGGTGGTGAGCGTCGTCGTCGAGGGCTGGGAACTTGGGATGTTGGAGAGCTGGAGGATGCTCTCTATTGATGGTGGTACATGGTGAGGCATGGCAGTAGGATGTGAGTATGATACTGAGGGAGAAGAGAAAGAGAGAAAGGAGGAAAGAGGGAAGAGGGAAGAAAGCGGAAAGGAGAGGGGGAGAGCGGATGCAGGAGTGGTCTATGAAGGGAGCGGAAGAGAGAGCGGGAAGAAAAGATAGTGGTGGAGAGACCGAGCGGTGGCACTCACAGAGGCTGCTGGCGGTGAGATAGGAGACCGGTCTAGACGCGACTGTCTGGTTCAAAGGCGGGGGCTTTGTGCTACAAACACTGCGAAGTGTCGCGGGGGCGTCGAAGCGACGGAAGCGCGGTCACGGTGGCGGTCGAGTATCAAAGCGGAAAGGAAGCGTGCGCAGTCCGGGGCGAAACAATCGATTGTTGCTTGGACCGTCGGAGGCGTGGTCAGAGAGTATCGTTACAAGCAGGACGGGGCTCCACGGGGGTCCAGAGCGGCTGCTCGCTGCTGGCGGCGTAGTTTTGAGCGGATGAGAATCCGACTGGGCGCCGACTCCAGCCATGATCCCGACTGCTCAGGGCGAGGGTGCCCGCGCGCCGACTGCCGAGCTGTCTTCGTTGGAGCAAATCCAGCCACTTTCGGGCGTCTTGACGTCAAGGGCCAATCGGGATCTCCGGCCCGCCACTGGCGATGCAGATCGAGGCGGGCAAAGATTTTTTGAGACGGCGGTGCTGCGCTGACCAGCCTGACCTCGGCCTTCTCGTACGCTCGGCTTCAGCGACCCCTCTGCGATGGTAGGCCCCTGGATAGCGTACACATCGCTGCTGACAGTATTCTTCAGTCCTGGGGCACACTCTCTAATCGTGATAAAGCTTGCCTGACATGCACTCCACACCACGCCGGGGCATCACCTCCGTGAATGCATGCGGCCGTTTGGATCGGTGCTTCCCGGTCGACAAAACTTGGCTTGCATGGATCGTGACTGGTTTCTCCGGTGGCATATGACAACCAGCACCCCCTGGAGATTCAAAACGGCGCTGATGCTTGACACGCCTGGCGCCTCGATATGGCCGCTCGAAATACACCGCACCAGATGCCCCTCGTTCCCGCTGCCTTTCTCCACTTACCTCGCTTCTATTACGAGCTACTACCGCGCAAAGATGCCGCCCTCCGGCCTTGAGGCCTATAATGATGACGCTCCGTGGTTTCTGGTTCGCGATTCACAGCGCATACCCACAGGGAGTAATGACATTGAGCGGCGCAACATCTACTGTCCTCCATCCTTCGCGTGGGCATCGGGGGCCGGAATCCGCAACTGTGATGGACAGAGATGGGGCTGAGTGGTGGAATATGTCGAGAGAATTGTTAGTCGCGAACAGCGCTGGTACGTCTGTCAATTACGTTTGCCACGTCTGGTCCCACTCCTGCTGCGCACTGGAGCTGTAGATTCCATGTCCACTTCGCCCGTCCTTGGAGTAGGCTTCCAGGTTGTAATGAAGTTGGCTGCCTTCCCTCTTCCGAGTCGGCTCCCTGCCAAACTAACACCAAGCAGCCCCGAATTGCGCTCCATCTTTGGTAGCATCGCTAACGCACATTGTCGGCGGAACCGCACTCGGCAAGCAAATGCCGTCAGTCCAAGATAGCACTGCGACGGTCATATGTGTTAGCTCGTTCACGCGACCGCCGATTCAACTCAGTGACTACTGGCCTTCCATTCCCTAGCCTGCTGCTCGCTCGCAGTCGACAGCCGACCGGCGGCCATTCTCCTCGCACGTGTTGCTTCATCCTCAGGCTCACCACATCGTCTCCGGGTCGACCTCTTCGCGCTTCGCCCACCCACCTGCTCCCTCCACTCCCGGCTTCTACGGCTTCTCGTCTTCGCAATAGACTTCGTGGCGTCGCGCGACACGCTGCGGCGTGGCGCCGGCGGGTGTATTGCAATTTGGCGCGGTCGGGACAGGTGAGCCTTGTGCGCCAAGGCGTGCATGACCCGTACGTCTCGCTCCCGCGAATTCGATTAATGGCATTTGCGACGATGAAGGTGACTTCGCGGGCGATCCCACGTGCGCCATCCGCCGCGGCCATCGCGTCCTATTCTTGGATGGTCCCCGATAGTTGCGAAGCCCGTCCAGAGACTGAGCGGGGTTCCTAATATGACGAGGAGTGGAGCGGCGCACCGTATGTCTACATCATGCCCGCGTGAGCGTGTCAGCCGGTTTTTCTGTTCTGCTGCCACTGGACGACTGCGCAGTTTGGTTCTATTCATTGCGTACGATCTTCTGTGTTCTGTGTTCGCTTCTCTGGCTCTTCTCTTGATTCGTCTGGCGCGGAATGAGACCTTGTCTATCATCGATCCATCATCGCGCTGTATGAACGCCTGCAGCCTTGCCTTGCTGGACTTATCTGGCATATCCCATGCGGCATGGAAGAGATTCGCAAGGCGATTGCTGCAAAGCGCCGCGGCGTATGAACTGTATTCATGTTGCCATGACGCCATCACGAAGAATCTCATGAAGAAGATCTGGTATGAGATGCGGAAATAGGCTTGAGTACCGATGCGTGTTTCAAGCATGTCTCGCTCGCGCTCACCTTGCGTGCGCTCACCCTTGCAACTCGCGCGGACTCAACGGTGCGTCTATGTTCGAATGTCCTATCTCATAGCTGCTATTGAAGGTCTGAGCTTCGGCCGTTGTTCAGCGAGCGTACCTCGGAGCTCGCTCACGAAGTCTCCCTCGTGTCTGCCACCCACCAGTTGCACGTCGTCGAGTAGTCAATACGGCAACTCTTCCCTTGATTAGAGCATGCAAGTGCGATCTCTCCCGCAGTATAGCGCGCTCGAGAACCCTGCGCCCGGATTACGGTTATGGCTATACCGAAGCCATAAACGTGATCCAACCGCTTGACGCGAGCAAGCGCGAGCCTTCTTGTCAGCGGGGAGCCACTGTTCGTTGGGCGAAGCCGGTTTCCCCCTGCCGCTCGGTGTGTCAAGGTCTTCGTATTCCTCCTGCGTAGCCACTTGCCTGTATGGTACGACCATCTGCCACAGAGTTCACGCGCATACAATTTCTCTTCCCACGTCTCTTGCCAGGCCGGTGAGATTCTTCAAGTCCTCGACATGCGTTCGCCACTTCTCTGCCATCCCAAGTCGCGCCTTTTCAGCTTGCTCCACGCATCCTGCACGCCGATGGTGCTTCGCAGAATTGAGAATTCAGTCGCGAGAATCTGGACATGCTGGGATGACTTGTGCATGGTGTTCAGACACGTAAAATTTACGCGCGGTATGCTTCGGACAGCGTACAACGACCAGACCAGTCCACGATTTCTGCGGGTCGGTCGGGGACGATGTAGCTTCTGCATGGACATGAAGCAGATCGACGTCACGATTGAGTACAGGCGAACTAATGCGTGCACTGCCTCGCCCAGTGCATTCACGGTGAGATTTTGCTCTGAATTGAGTAGTAGTGTCGGGGGACCATCGGTGTACTGCTGGAATGGGCATATGCATATGGGTATGGCCGCATATACCCGCATATATGCTGCGAAACCGTGTCTGTATGACGAACCGTACGCACCTTGTGCCAAAAATAATGCGAATCCGGAACAGTGGCGAAGACATTCGTGCTGACGGCCTTGCACCAATAGAGGAAGGGAACGCCTCCAGCAGTGCCGCAGAGAGGCTCGGATGATCGCATAGGCTCGGGACGGTGGTGCAGCTCGTAACGAGGAAAGAAGGAAGTCGGTGGTCTGCGTATGGGATGGTCTTTATATACGGTCAGAGGCAGATAGTGCGGAGAACGAATTATGACAGTTTTCAGACAGAGCAGTGGCTGGAGTGCAAGGAGATGCATTGAGACTGCTAAAATGGGCAAGCATCACTCCAAATACGGCAAGAGAGGATGTGGCTGACAGGATGATGACGTCGTCGTTGCACTGTCGTTGCATGATGAAGCGGTCGATCGGCGGATTCACGTGGGATCTCGATCACCCTCTGGTGATCATTTTCCAAAGTGGAAAGAGCTGTGATCCGAGTCGTTGCCAAGTGTTCGTCGTTCGATGAGTGGATTTTCCTCTCCCGTACTTAGAGGTACTGTAACTTAGTACTTAGTACTGTGCTTACACTTCTTAGTGTCGTAGCACCAGAAGCGACCTTGCCCTAGCGCGTAACAAACGAACTCGTCCATGCAAAGCATTCGAAATATGTGACTCTCTTGACTCACGGAAGCGCGAGCACTGGCAAGGGCCATCCTGCAATAACCAGCCGGAAACGAAGTGTCGTACGCCATGGTAACCATACACCCTCAGCAGAAAATCATTTTGAAGTCAATGACTTCTTCGGGCAGGTACTGCAATGCTGTTCCAAGCCCCGTGGATGCGCGATGCCAGTAGCTTCAAGATCGTCTTTCAAAGGATACATCATGGATCGTGTACCACACAGACGGCTCACTTGATTGCATCGACTCGGATGGCTCGCGATGGCCTACTTAATATATCCCGAGGACGGGTCTGAAAGGCCGGTCTACCAGTCAGAGCAAACTCAGAAACGCAGACCCGCGAGACCCACATATGCCTCCTCAGCTGTGCTTGAGAGTAATGCACTGGTAAGTGATGTTAACATATCGGATATTAGTCTTCGAATCTTTTTGAACCCGTCCAAGGTGGGGTTAAATCTACTCGATGGCCAACGCAGCAACAGTTGGTGGCAAGGAGCAAAGTGTCAGTTGCCAGAGCTGAAGCATCACAGCCTTCATCCGAGTCGCGGACACATCGGCCTCGCCGGTCTCGCTGCTTCGCTGACGCATACTCTCATGAATAAGCTGCTTCGTACCAAATGCCTTACAAATACACAACTAAGCACCTCCAAGCACATGCTAAACAGCACAGGCGCGAGAACCAAACGGTGTAATGGCTGTGACGCTCATAAGTATCTCCACTTCAACAGCGCGGACTCCGAGAAACCCGGAAATCGCAAGAGCAATCCGATGCCGTCGTACTGTACCTACATGGCGTGCCTATATAAATTGAGTCCGAACGGAGGAAGCTACGACTTTCTATCACTCTCTCGCATCATGGCCATTCGTCTGGGATTCGTCGGACTCTCCTCTCAAGGTTGGGCGTCATCGATGCTCGCGCCGCCGCTCCTGCAGGCACCGCTGAAGTCTACATACACGCTCGCGGCCGTCTCGACCACCAATGCCAACTCTGCTGCTGCGAGCGCAGAGAAGTACTCCGAATTGGCGAAACACCCTGTGAAGCCATATCATGGGTCGACCGCTACGATCGCGGCGGATCCTGAGCTCGACTTCATCGCCGTGGCGGTCAAGGCACCGGAACACAAGACGGCAGTCACGCCCATCATCGAGGCGGGGAAGAATTTCTTCATCGAATGGCCCGCGGGCAAGAATCTGCAGGAAACTACGGAGATGGCGGAGGCAGCGAGGAGGAAGGGTCTGAGGACTCTGGTCGGCACGCAATGCAGGCAGAGCCCCACGGTTCAGAAGGTGACATCATGCTGGTCACGTAAGTACGAGACACAACTGAACAGTTTCGTCCACCTAGATCAAGGAAATTGCAGAATCCGGACAAATAGGACGCATCCTGTCTTCGAGCATTGTGAGTCCCCCGCCCTGGCCCGCCAAGAACCGCATTTGAACACGACTCGCTTCAGATTGCACGCTCACCGAACCCTCCGCCGTACATCTGGGGCCCCAAGATCTCCGAGGGCACGACATTCACCGCGGACGCAGAGCAAGACACGACGCTCTTGGACATCGTAGGAGGCCACTTCCTCGAAGGCTTCACCCACGCGCTCGGGCCCTTCACCTCCGTGACCTCGACCCTCGCAGTCCAGTACCCCACCGCAGAGGTCGTCGACGCATCTGGCAACCCCACCGGCAAGACAATCCCGCAGACGGGCGCGAACCAAGTCGCCTTCACGGGCACGCTCGCGAGCGGCGCGGTCGCGAGCATCCACTGGCGCGGTGGTGTGAGTGCTGAGGGTGGCAAGGCAGGCTCGCCGTTCGTGTGGGTCATCGACGGCGAGAAGGGGTCGATCCGGGTCGAGAACGACGTCCCTGCGGGAGCATACATCCACATATACGAGCCGGACCTGTACTTGAACGAAGAGAAGGTGGAGGTGTCACAGGACGGGCAGACGAACACGGGCAGGGCGTGGGCGGAGTATGCGAAGGGCGACGCGGGTAACTTCCCCACTCTTGAGGACGCAGTCAAGTTGAAGCAACTGCTTGAGGCGATCAAGACGAGTGCGCGGGACGGGAAGAGAGTGGATCTATAATACACTGTACAACAGCCTGGATACCTCGTAGGAACGTACAGTGCGGCTGCAACGCAGCCATTCATTGGTCAGCTGGACGGCGAGTACGTTGCGCGGCTGTCCAAGACACGAGAACGAGGACCAGTAGGCTCGACACCCAAGCCCTCAATGTGGATGTCAACGGCGTCTTCGGCATAGTTTCGACCTGGGCAGCTGCGTCGATCAGTTTCGTGAAGTCAACGTTAGAACCGCCATGTTGAGGCTCTGAGGCAGTGCCAACGGAAGCGTTTGGTAGTTCCCAGTCCATCGTGAGGGGAGAAGGATCAACGAATGTGTCTGCGATCTCTGGCGTGGGCGGCTCCTCTGATCGGCCTTCTGGATCTTCAGCATCCGTTGTAGCACCTTCAAGCGCAGGTGCACAATCTCCGCCTGAGCAACACCACCGAAGAAGTCAGTCACAAGTGTGTTGTCCAGTGAACGGGAGAAAAGGTCCGAGCGGACACCGGGGTGTGAGTCGAGCTTCTTTGGATCGAACGTGTTGAACTACAACGGATCTAGTGAGCTCGTGGAGGTCAATATACATTGACCACGCGTACCAGATCCTGCATAGAAGCTTGACTGGTCTTATTGATGCCTTCCATGAACTGGAGCACGTAGTGCGTGAACTTGTCGATGACAGCGACTCCGATGTCATAATCGTTCTCGTGCTACACGGAAAACGTATTAGTGCACCATCGAGCTTACAGAGCGGATCATACGCACAGAATATGAATTCTCATGAATCTCTGAGGACCCTGTCGCCAGAATGTTTGGAGAGTAGAACTTCGTAAACATAGTGTTGGCTTGACAAGTATCAATCATGAAGAATATCTCGTTATACCTGCGCAACAGCGTTCATTGGGACCGTAGTATAGCACGCAGAGAAAAGAGCATACCGCTTCTTTTGCCACATTTGTTCAAATGCATCGGCAATGTCGAAGGCGCTGATTTCCTCATTGTCCTGGAACTTCAGGAACTCATTCCCGCCATGACCGGTCATATACACGAAGATGTTCGAGCGGTCGTCGGTCAGAAGACGCTTCGATCTGGGAACAGAGCTGTCCATCCGGCCTAGGTTGGTCAATGAGAGGTCGTTTTCACATCCCAAGTCGTACGCACCTGTCAGGACCCTCAAGAAGTTCTCCACAGTCACCTCATACCCACGATAGTCCACCTCAATGTTGTCTCCATATAGATCCAAATGTCGTCCAGGATTCGCATACACGCAGCCAGCGAATTTATTGCGTACATTGCATGCTGCATCGTCCGCAAGCATGAGGATGATGTTCGAGTCTGGGATGCCGAGCCGCTTCACAGTGCGATACATCCCCAACGCATTCGCCATTGCTGATCACCTAGCCTAGTCAGCGGAATTCGTTGCAGATTGCGCGTATACTCACTCGGTAGTTGAACCAATATCGTGACGAGCACACTAAGACGGCCCAGTTATTGGTATGCGCCGAGCCACGGGTTGCATGTTTCTCGAAGAACTGCTGCACGGGAGCCTTCAGATCCGGCTGACCTGCAACGCCAGCTGTGATCCATAGAGTCGAAAGAAATGCAAGGATGGATTTATGGGCTATCATGGTCTTCACGGGGGCCGGTACCAGTGTCAGCGGCTACGGACTCAGCGGATGTCGCTGCTCCCAGTGCCCCAGCCGAATGCCAATGGCACGAATTGCTATTTGCAGACCTTGAGAACAGTGCTTTCTTCACGAGATGAAAAGACTAGGAGAACGTTGGGAGAAGGTGAGCACCGGCAGTGGTTGCTGCTACTGAGGATCCGGACTCGGAGCCACCGAATCTAGTACTTGGCACTTAGCGCCGGCCTAATTGTCAGGTCACCGCAGGATAAGTATATGGACAACTAGAGTGCGGACATGTCGTGGTTATTCATGAGCCATGTCATTGGTATATACTGACAAGACACAAGGGAAGTAAAGAGAGAAATAGAGAGAGAAAACGAAGACAGCAATAACGGTAGATACAGGAATTACACGGCTAGTGAGAGACATAGCAACTGCTAACATACGATGATACTGGTACAGTGCATGACAGTGCGAAGACGGAGACAATAATGCGAGCAGGACAGTCAAGGGATACAAGACTAACGAGCAGAACAAGACGACGCGTATAGATCACCGAAAGTCTCGAAAAGCAGCGGCCGCTTTACGATGTGCTTGTCGCAGCTGCAGTTCTCTTGCCCGGCGCTCTCCTACTCGCTGGTTGATGGTGTTCATGAGGTCAGTGCGCCGTAGTGGTTCTGAGAAATGAGATACACCCGGGTCAGATATGTCTTCGTTGAAAACAACTAGCAGACGTACTGGTGATGTGGTCATCCATTCCCGCTTGCAGGCATCGTTCCCTGTCACCAATCACTGTAGCAGAGGTATATATGGTCACTATCCAGCCTAGTCAAAGTTGAGAAGAAGACGCACTGGCATGAGCAGTTAAAGCGATGATAGGCACAGGATCCAGCCCATGTGCCGTCTCGTACGCGCGGATCAACTCAGTCGCCTCCATACCGCCCATGAATGGCATCGACACGTCCATCTAATAGTCACGTCCCTCAATCGCGCAATATTATTAACATACAATGTGGAAACGCACCAGGATGATGTCGAACGGCGCATTCCTCTGAATACGCATCTTGAAAGCATCCACAGCCAGCTGGCCGTTCTCGGCGATCTCAACACGGTGGCCGTACTTCTCAAGGATCTTGACTGCCAGCTTCTGGTTGACAAGGTTGTCCTCGGCGATGAGGATGTCGAATGGTACGTCGTTCGCAGCCACGACTGGTGTGACCGTATTTGACTCTAGAGCTGCAATGAGAGCGGATGCGAGGTCCTGGGCAGTGACCGGTGTTGTCACTTGCGACGAGATGCTGTTGTCGAGACACCATTTTACTGCTACTAGTCAGCCCAGGGAACATCACATTGCACAGCACAACACGTACAGTTCAGGCGTGGTGTTGATTGAGGCGTCAGCAGCACGATCGGGATATACCGGAGATGCTCGTGCTCTCGTAGGCGCTCCGTCTAACAAGGAGTTGAAGCATTAACAGAACAGCAAGAATGAGACGATGGACATACCACTTCAAGGCCGTCTACGATGACCGTGTCGATGGTCGGGGTCTTGTCCTTATCCTTGACGTCGGCGACATCGTGGATGACGAGGGGAACAAGACCCAGCTCCATGATCCGTTGCACAACGCCAGTCTGATCGTGCAGGGTGTCGACGAAGAGAATACGACGCTGGTAGTAGGGCTGCATCTTGACGATGGTGCCCTCCATTGACATGGGACTGATTTGTGATGTGATCGTAAAGAAGAACTTCGAGCCTGTGTTGACCTCCGACTCAACCCACATGTTACCTTGCATGAGAGTGACAAGTCGCTTCGAGATGGATAAGCCGAGACCAGTGCCACCATACTCCTGCAGACATGCCGAAGTCAGCGTGCGAGCAACGCGCAATGAAAGAACAAACGTACTCTTGTCGTCGAACCATCAGCCTGGCAGAAGGTGTCGAAGATCATGGTCAACTTGTCCTTCGCAATACCAATTCCAGTATCGGAGACGCAGAACTCCAGGGTGACGCATTGGTCGTCAAGAGCGAGCAACCGGCAGCTGAGAGCGACGTGACCCTTGAACGCGGCTCTCGACGGCGTGAACTTGATTGCATTCCAACGAGGTTAGTGATGACCTGGCGTAGACGCAAGGAATCTCCGATGAGTTGGTCAGGAATCTCGGGGTCGACATCGTAGGTGAGATCAAGCTGGTTCTGAGAAGCTCGGACAACCAAGGTCTTGAGAATGCCAAAGACGGTCTGTCGCAACGAGTACGACACTTGCTCCATGGTCATACGACCCGCCTCGACTGTAGCGGAGTGATCAGAGTGATGCTCTCGGCGATGACAGTACAAAAATACATACTCTTCGAGATATCCAAGATGTCGTCAATGATGAGTAATAACGAGCGAGCCAAGCTGTGAACTAAGAGCAAACTCTCGCGCTGCGACCTGTCCAGATCGCTGTCGAGTGTCAACTCCGTCATACCAATGATACCGTTCATGGGCGTCCTACGAGCACTTGTGAGCAAGACCAAAACCGTTATGCACGAAGCCACCCACCTGATCTCGTGCGACATGTTGGCCAAGAACTCCGACTTACTCCTGTTCGCAAGTTCGGCGGCCTCCCTTGCGGCGGTGTTCTTCTGGATACTGTCACGCAAGTTGAAGACCATCTGGTTGATCTGCGTCTTCAAGGAATCCATCTCTCCACTGGCCTCGACGGTGATGAACCGACTGAAGTCGCCATCCATGGCCGCAGCTGAGATCTGCGCGAAACCACGCACTTGCGTTGTCAAGTTGCTCGCCATGGTGTTGACGGACATCCTGCATACGTTGATCTTAGCATCAAGCGGCAAAGCGATGGGAAGAAGACGTACGTAATATCCTGCCAGATACCCTCTACGTTGCCGACCTCAGCCTGTCCACCAAGCTTACCCTCGGTTCCGACCTCTCGAGCGACCTTCTTGACTTCGGCAGCGAAGATGGCCAATTGGTCAATCATAGAGTTGATCGTGTTCACCAAGTCAAGCATTTCTCCGGAAACCGAAACACCAGTGACCTTGCGGACCAAGTCACCGCGAGCGACAGCTCTCTGCAGGGCGATGAGCATAGGTAACGTGAAAGAGTCTGTCTTCACGTACCGTCGCCACTGCGATGGTCCGCACTTGTAAAGTCAAGTTGGCAGCCATAACGTTGACATTGTCCGTCAGATCCTGTACGTTGTAGCGCTCATCATCAGCCACCACGCTGTCTCACTCGCAACGCCAATGCAAACCTTCCAAACACCGCCAACGCCGGGCACGCGCGCCTGACCGCCCAGTTTACCCTCCGTCCCGACTTCCTTGGCGACACGAGTGACCTCGTCGGCGAACACACTGAGGCTCTCAGTCATGCCGTTGACGGTCTTCTTCAAGTCAAGCATCTCTCCGCGCACATCAACCGTGATCCGCTTCGTCAAATCACCACCAGCGACGGCTTTCGTCACCTCGGCGATCGATCGCACTTGATTCGTCAGGTTCATGGCCATTAAGTTGACATTGTCCGACAAGACCTGCAAATGCATCAGCAGCATTCATGCATCAAAGGGCAAGCTGACGCACCTTCCACATGCCTTGGACGTCCGGCACGTATGCTTGACCGCCCATCATACCTTCGGTACCGACCTCCAGGGACACACGCGTGACCTCACTTGCCAACACTGAGAGACGGGCAACCATCTGGTTGACAGTTGTCTTCAAATCTAACATCTCTCCCTGGACATCGACATTGACTGTCCGACTGAGATCACCATTCGCGACGGCCTTCGTGACCTCCGAGATCGACCGCACTTGGTCCGTCAAATTCGTGGCCATTTTCTGCACAAGCCCCTATCAGTTTTTTCTTTCTTGTGCCAGAACATGAGAACTCACGTTGACATTGCGAGTCAATCAGCCCATGTACCCTGCACACCCTCGACCTTCGCCTGGCCACCCAAATACCCTGCGTCCGACCTCCAGCGCGACACGCGTGACTTCCGATGCAAAAGCGCTCAGCTGGTCCACCATGGAGTTCACGGTCTGCTTCAGCGTCAACATCTCTCCTCGACCTCAATCTCGATCTTCTGCGTCAAGTCTCCCTTTGCGACAGCGGTCGTCACCACTGCGATCGACCGCACTTGATCGTCAAACTTGAACACATTCGATTGACCTATGAACGATGTGATGATTAAAGCGCAATGCGATGAAGGGACGTACGTTTCGTGTAATCCAGCCATACACCCTCAACATCCGGAACATGCGCCTGACCACCCAACTTTCCCTGCGAACCGACCTCCAACGTAACCCGCGTGACTTCCTTGCTAATGTCCTTAACCTGAGCACCATGCCGTTGACCGTGTTTTTCAATTCCAAATTTCACCGCGTGCGTCGACGTCGATTTGCTTCGACAAGTCTCCCATGCGACTGCCTTTGTGACCTTTGCGATAGACCGTACCTGGCTTGTCAATTTGCCGCGAGTTTGTTTACGACGCCAGTGAGCTCTCGCCATGTACCTTCGACATCGAGCACTAATGCCTGACCGCCGAGCTTGCCTTCGGTTCCGACTTCTGACTGACACGGGTTACCTCGGATGCGAATGCGCTCAATTGGTCGACCTGGGGACAGAGCAGTTAGCGCCTGCGCTAAGGCCTCGAATGGTAAGAGGTCAATCTGCGATGACGCGATGCTCAACGTTGTACAACGAGTCATGCCGTTGATTGCTCTCGCCTATGCAAGACACTCGAGGCATACTGATATGCTATCCGGAGCAGAACTCCCTCGACATTTCGTCCCGACAAGGGCTGTGCGTCCTCCCTGATCACTCCGGCCTCATGACATCATTGATGTCCACCAGACAGACATCTCGCGGTGCGAGCATCATGTTGGGAAGGTCACTCCCTCCAAAGTTGCCAGATCCGGGGGCAGGGAGTGGGAGAATGCGAACGATAGACCACGGATGACACTCACCATTGCATTGATGACTTCCTTGAGCTGAACCATGACCACGCCCTGCACGGGCACCGTAATCTTCTGAGACAAGTCGCCGCGTGCGACAGCGTTACAGACCCGCGCGACGTCCTGCACCTGAGCCTTGAGCAGCTTGAGCTCCTCGACAGCGCTCATGCCGCTCTCGAATGCGGCCGCAGCGAGCGGCCCGATCGGGACGACCAGCGGCGAGCTGAGCTGGGGCGCGTTCACGTCGAAGTTCGTGTACAGGTTCTTGCCGCAGTGCGGGCAGTGTGCGCTCTCCGCGGTCGACGTCGGCGGCGCGGACTGCGGCCCGATCTGCTTCACCTTGAACGTCCTCGGGTTGTCGAGCGGGTTCACGACGTCCTTGAGCGAGATGCTCATCGGCGACGGCGTCCGCCGCAGGCCGTTGCGCCCGCGTGGCGGCTGCGCCTGGGGCGTCGTCTCGCTCTCGTCCGCGTCCGCGTCGAACATCTCGACGTCCTTATCGACGTGCTGCGGGTGGTGGCCGTTGTCGTCCATCGTGCTCGGGATGCTCTCCACGGAGCTGCTGGGCGTGCCGACGAAGAACGGCGACGTCGACGTCGCCGTCTGGCTCGTCGAGCTGTTGGCCTCGGCGCCGTCGCTCCGGGAGCTCGACGAGCTTGCGCTGCTCACAGGAGGGCTGTCGCCGACGCTGCGGCGTTTCTTGGACTCTGGGCCGCAGCTCTCGGACGCCTTGATGGCTGCGAGGGCCTCCTCGGCGGTGTACATGCGGCGGGCGACCGCGGTGAGAGAGCGGAGGATGCTGTCGGTCTGCCAGTCGGAGGGGCCTTCATACTTGGGCACGGGGAGGGACGAGGGGCCGAGCTCGTAGACGGAGAGCGCGGCGACGAGATACTGGAAGAAGGGGTGCCCAACGGGCGTACGATGGTCGGCGATTGGTGCCATCGTCGCCATCGTCGTTGACAGTGAGCAACGAGTAGTTGGCGGAGGCGGGAAAGGGACGCTCGAGCTCATTTCCGACACGCGTTTGCAAGCACCCGCAAATATGTAAACCCTAGTTTTGCACCGGCGCTCGCTTGTCGGCACGCCTTTGCCCGCAACAAAGTTAATCTCGCCGGACCCTTCTTTACCAGGTGCGTTGGCTATGACAGGCCCCGGGCGACTCCCCCAGAGGTAAGTCCCGGTGGACCCCCCAAATCGGCCCCAAAAATGCAATATTCTGGCCCACGAAAATGCTATGGCGGACAAGGATTGTCACGTGGTGACGTCGTCGTAACGCATGTCACGCCGCCCATCACGCATTTTTTCGCCCCATTCAGAACACCTAGTAGCATACATCGCAGGCGTTTTATCTCGTTTTATACATAGTACGTAGGTAGAATAACATTGTAGTACTCGCGGGTCGTAGAGTACGTATGGTCTTAGTAATAAATTCATCTACTTCCTAGGCCTCTATGCCTTCTTCTGAGCCGGTGCCTTCTTGCTGCCTTCGCCCTTCAAAATGCTCTGGACCGCCTTCGTGTTGAGATGCTGCCATTGAAGCTCTGCTTCACGGCGCAGCCGCCTATGGCCCGGTGGACCCGTGAGCATGCTCAAGCCGAAGTGGTAGACAACATCTTGCATCCGTGCATGAGTATGTAGGTACCCTTCATACTTGCGCCGTTCATCCACACATGAGAACACCGGTGGCGGCGGTGGTTCATCTGGATCGGCCTCGTCATAATATTCATCATCCGAGTCGTCCTGCATAAGGATCAGCTTTTAAGTATACTATATTTCGTGCACGGACGACGTACCACAGCATCAGTATGGTTACACTGAAGATACACCCCAAGCGAGAGGTAGGTAACCCCTTTCCCATCGGTGGACTCGGTGATTGATGCGTAACGGCCGCTCACCTTCTTGAGGATATCGAGGACTTCTCCAACATAGGTGCGGTCGCTGCTATTCTTCACGAGCACTGTCGAGTTGATCTGGAGAGGATTGGTTGCACTGATGTTGCGAGCGAGGACATTCGGTACGACTGCCACCAGAACCACTCTAATGTCAGGAGCATCTGTCGAGATTAATTGGAGTACACGTACCTGTCACAGGAACCCTCTGTGAGACGCCCTTCAACACCTCCGTCCAACGCATTGTTCGTGACGAAGTTGTCCGAGGTAGGCCCCCATGAAGTTGCTGAAGCACGCGCACCCGGTGGGATGCCTCCTTGGCCGAGAGTCCACGACTCGGAGTCTTTGTACGTGCCGGTGGCTTGTTTGAAGGTTCGCTCCCAGGTGTTTTCTGGAGCTGTTCGGCATCCCGGAATCGCCGAAGTGCCCAATCATCACTCAAACCGACTGAGCTGTTGGCCCGGCGGGACGAGGTGTTGGTGTTGCACTGCCACCCTTCACGGCAGTGGCTTCAAACTTCGAGTCGACCTTCACAACGCGTTGTGAGCGGACCTCTGTGCCTTCTTGATGCCGAGTTCGTAGCGCAAGAAGAGAGGCGATTGAGACATCGCGTTTCTGTGAGACAAACTCACTCTGCAAGATGGGTGGCCGTCCAGCTTCTTGAGTCTCGGGCTTATGCGCGCCACCGTCGCGGCTGACCTTCCGGCCCACGGAACGCTGAACAGACGCCTTTCCAGAGGCGTCTTGGACTTCTGGTACCTTCGGCTCGGATGCGCTGAACTCCTCCTTCGTTGACTCGAGGTCCTCCGACAGGGCAACCAATCGGCCGACTTCATGTGCAGCGATCTTCGTGCGCTCACTGAGAGATGCAGTTTCGAGCACTCGGTGATCGTCTTCAACATCCTCGTCATCGGACAAGTCCTCCAGGTCTTCATCTTCAAGCTCTTCATCTGACTCTACGTCCGAGTCCATGGCGCCATCGTTCTCGTCTTCAGCTTCATCATCGCAACTCTTCGTAGCCTTCCGCTTCTTCGCCTTGACCGTGTCATGGATCGACGCTAGTGTCCAGGGATAGCTCTGAACTCGCATCTTCAAAATGCTTGCGCATAACGCACTCGCTTCGCTTGCCGCCAGTTCAACAAGGGCATTCACTTCGTGCCTTGTTAGCTGGACTCGCGCGGCCAAGAGTTCTGCTTTGGTCAGAGGTGTGTTATCGTAGTCCAGTATGTAGCCTGTACGTGCATTTCGTTCCTTCGTAGTCTTGCCATCCTTGTGGGCTAGCACACAGCGTTGGCGCAATGTGATGTGTTTGACGAGCTTAAGCAGTTCGGGATAGGTGAAGTTAGGTGCCAGAGAACGCGCGGTGCCAAAGAAATGTTCCAAGAGGTTGGTCCCGAGCAACCAAGGGCAGAAAGCCTGGTCCGGATAATGTTCAGCGTATATAAGAGCGATCAAACCAGTGTATCGCATAGCCGATTGAGGATTTTGAAGCTCGCCGCCGAGATGAAGGATCGCTGCGTTGAATAAAGGTCGGGGTAGTGTTTGGACAACGACTTGATGTGCGTCCACCATGTGTGAAGGAAGAAACGTGCACGGAATGCAGAGAGAACGCGTTCACGCACGGGCATTCGGCGGTTGAGCCATGCATCAAACAGCAGACCTATGCGCGAGAATCAATGAGGGAGGAATGTTTGGTGAGCCTGGGAGTGGGACATACCTAGCACGGAGAGAAAGACGTGCAGGCCGATGAACTCGTTCTTGATGTGCATCTCTGTCGTCTTGCCTGGGACCTCATAGGTTGTTGCTTTGAGAGCAACTGCGTGGAACATTCGGCGGGCAGCACCATCATCTTGCTTGTCGACGTTCTGCACATCACTCAGGACGAGTCCAGAGCCGGGTACTTCGTTAAGGGCGACAAGTGTGCGGTAAACAAGATGCCCTTGGCCAAGACTTGCGGTATGCGTCCCATGTTGTGGCTGGTTTCGTGCGGTCTTACGGGCATGTTCCGGGTCCTGAATTGAGACAACAGGGCCGGTGATGCTGAAGACAGGTGCCTTCAGCAAAACACCATATGCTGGGTACTCATAAGAGAATGGAGGAAGAGAGGACGCCTTCGTATCCATCATCACCTGCGCATTCAGTTCGGAAGCGGCGCCATCCGCGGCGAAGCTAACAACTCGCATGTTTACGCGTGCCGCCATGTCCAGGATCTGGCAATGGTAGGCGTGTATTTGCTTGGCGTCATCTGAACCATCCGTAGGGAGAAGGGCGATGACGAGTGGCGGAACCTCTGGAAGAGGGACCTGTAGGAAGGTGTTCATCGTGTGAGTGCAACACGGGCAGAGTGAAACTGTACTAATGCTCACCTTGATCATCATTACTCTCGTTTGCTTCGCGTATGCATTCTCGTCTTGTATACGCTTCACGACGCGGTCAATATCTTTGGCGTCATGGACCGTGCATTCATCCAGGGGTAGGGTCGAGCCCAGGACATGTCCGCCGAAGTCCGTTGAGTACATGACTCGTGGACGCACCTTGGTACAATCGCCAGACACAGCGACGGGGCCGGAGTACTTAATCGAGTCCAAGAAGCGCTTGACGCGAACGATGTTGTCGAAGTGCAGATCAGGATTCTGGAGACAGTCGTCCGATTTCGCGACAAGCTCCCTGCGATGACATTTCAATGCTGATGTTTGAAGTCGCTTATAGGAGGTGATGGTGATACATACCTGATTGTCCGAGGATTCGGTAGAGGGATGTGCTCTCCGAGGATTGAGTAATTTTGAGCCGAGAACTGGCCACGTCCACGCATCAAGAATGAGAACTGTAGGTATGGAACCGAGTACCGAATGCCATGCTTGAGCTTCTTGTTATCCGACGACTCTCGGCGTGCCTTGTCGACCAGAACCTTACATATTTCCTCGAAAAGCTCATGTTTGATCAACTTCCCTTCCCTCGCATACTGGTACAGCTGCAGGTAGCAGCGGAAGGGATCATTTTCCCGCATAGCCGTCCAGAGTGAGAAGAGCAAGGGGTCTTGCATCTGTCGATGAACATCGCGGACTTCTGGCCTCTTGAGCGTGGATGGGGTATACTTCTCGCGCGCAGCATCTTTAGCACGCCTCTCATTCTCAGGTAAGTGTTGCTCCTTGTCTTTCTGCATTTCCAGTCAGATAATCGAATCCTGTATTAGTATGACACGCAAGACGTACCCGATGCATGGCCTTACGGAAGCCCGGATCTGTCGGCACCCGTTCGCATGCATCGCAGATGCCTGACGCCTTCGACGTGCGTAGTTCGCATCGCGCTGAACGAATGGTCCTGGCATTGAAGTCGACAATCCACCGGGCATGGGATCGCAGTGCGTCATCGAGTTTTCGTTGTTCTGCTGCTGACCACTTAGCCTCCAGAGTTTCCGCATTACCATCAGGGGGAACCTCAATCTTGACGGTCGGGGGTGCTGGACCTCCCCTCTTCAGTGTCGCAAACGGTTTGTATGGGAACAATTGACGCGCTTCTTGAGCGCGCTTCTCGATGCCTACCCCGCCGAGTGATCGAGTCTGGGTTGTAGCGATGTAATACTCATACTCCGCGCCCTGTAAGTGCTGGCATGCGGCCTCGTTTTGCTCTGGAATGGGTTCAGCTCGTTTGTGGTCCTTTTCATTCTTGCGACTCGGGGATACATCGCTTGCAGGATATGGCTTCGGGATGTCGACGGATGGTGTAGCTGAAGAGAATATGTTTGCAATTGATGGGGTCTAGCACGTCGGGTGAGTCAGTATCGAGACCCGTTCACATTCAACGGTGAACCCACCACTAGACGTGTCTTGCGCTCTCTGTCAGTAGGGTGAGTTGCCGGTGCGTCTTGGGTACTCGCTTCCTTCGACTGTGATGCGTGAGTGCTGGGACGTGTTGTAGTAGCACCAAAGAAGCTGGCAATTGACGCCGCCCCAGTAACCTAGAGAATGTTGTGTTCAATAGAGAGTACCGCAGATGAGATCATGACGTACTGGCACGGACTGCTTGTCCTTCGTTTGACCACTGCGAACTGTTTGCTTCCCAGTAATTTGCAGACAGACCCGCTTGTGCTGAGTCCAGTTGGCCTCGACATACGCGCGCTTCGCATGGAGCTTGTACCATTTCCTGCACGCCCGGCACAGCACCCGGTTTGGCTCGACCTTGAGAGCCCATTCGTCGCTCTCGAGCCTCTGCCTCCTCTGTGTCACTGAGAGCTTCGGGCCACGGCGTTTCCCAGCAGCAGAGGCCCGCTTCGACAATATCTTGTCATCGTCTGTGTCGTAATCTTCGTCTGAGCTGCAAGCCGATCCCGCAGGTGAGCTTGGCGGCGATCGAATTTTGACGATGGCCACGGCAGGCGATTGCGCAGGCGGCTTCTTGTTGCGATCCTCGTCGAGTGCATTGGCATTGTCGGACGTCTGAGTTTGAGGTGCGGTCGAACTGCCGATGGTCAACTTAGGCCGCTTCGGTGACGGCGGTACTACCGAGTGTTCCGTAGCTGTCGACTCTGCTTTTCGACGCTTGCGTAGCTGGTACACACTGGATGGTATGTCAGACGTCGGAAACATTGAATGCACAGCTTGGAAATCACTTACGGTAGTTGTAGCAATTGCTGCAGAACACTATGTTTCACGGCGAGCAATGTATCACTCCCATGTACGTACACATCCAAGCCCGGATTCGCGTGCTCTTGCATTGCTAGCAGCACGAAAAGGCCGCATGACCATGAGTCCGACTGTTGATACAGCGGGGGCGGCGCGTGAACTATGAATTGCCACTCGTTGTTCGTCCAGTCTGGACATGGGTTCGCGATGGCCTTGAGAATACTGTTGCAGGTTCTGTTCAGAAGCTGCGAAGATATTAATAACATTAACCCCCAGTGTCGCAAGAGCAAGTACTCACCGGTTCTGCCCATCCTCTCGACTGAAGTGCAGGCATACTATCATATATGCCATGGCGGCGGCTCGAAAAATCGATCCACCCGAGTACCCAGTGTGCCGGGTCGCCACCGCATAGAGGGATAGCCCAACGAGGCCGATCTTTGATGACCTCTGGCCCTCCCTAGTAGCATATCCAACTGTCAGTGTTGACATCAGAGACGGAGCGAGTAGACGTACTGCTGCTGATAGATGTTCTTCGAGAGTCCCCAAGATCGTCTTGCTGGAAGCAGGCTGCGTAGCGAGGACAGGAATGAGAGATGACAGGAAACAGAAGTCCTTCCGAAGCCTCTCGGACTGGTCTTGAAGCACCGCGCCATATGCGTTGATTGTTCCTCCTGGGATCTTCTGTGTCGATGTCGGGAGGAGTGGTTCCAAGTCCTGTTTAGAAAGCTGAATATTGCGGATGTACCGCAATCCATAGTCGGACAGTGCGTCCGAGTCCTCCATGTCGAGGACGCCGGCTCCGGCCACACAATGTGGACGAGGGGTAATAGGGGTAATTGTACATACTATTGGATCTATTCACCCTAAATACAATACTCAGAGTGTGGCTCACCGGCATCAACCTAAGAGCCGTGGCCACCAGTGGCGCGTAGAGTAGTCTAAACGAATTCGGTCGTCGAGGTGTGTGGTTGAGGTGTGCCAAGAGGCAGCCACAGCCACTCAGATCGCGCTATCGAAAGGCAATCTGGGACAAGGATACGGGCGCTTACGGCCGTCCGCCCTCCGGAAAAAGGCTATCGGAGACAAGGATCGGCCCGGTTCGAGGGCCAAAAAAATGCAACCTCGGGACTTACCTCTGGGGGAGTCGCCCGGGGCCTGCTATGACGCTGAATGTCTTGCAATGTTCCACAATCTCGTTGCACGGGCTGCGAGTGGGGAGACAAGGCACTGGTCATTTACTTTTGGAATTTGTGGCACGTTAAACTAAACTAAGATAAAGTAACTTGACCTGCTGAGGATAAGTTCCAAAACAGGCAATCGTCGAATCTCTGCTCCCGCCAGATCGGCGCTGGTCTCACCGTCAAGTTATGTCGGCTCTGCCGTCGCCAGCAACTTGGCTACTATGCATCCGAAGTTGAAGACTCGCGAGTGTAGGGGATTTGCCAAGATTGATTTCACAAGAATTCTTGCTGGCCAAGGCGCGGTACGGCCACAAAAACCGATCAAGTTGTCATGGTGCAATGTGTCGAGACTCCTCGAGAGTAGAATGTCCCTATTGTTCTGGCCGTGGAAGGTAAGTGCGGTTCATTATCTGTTCTTGCATGACGAGACGTTTTTGACGACCGCTTGCTGTTCAGATTGAATCTGGATTCGGAAGTTCTCTACGCTTCACTGCCAGTAAAGCTGTGCCGGGATGACAGCCCGATTCAACTGAACACATCGTATGGGAGAACGTAAGTACGCGACATGCTTTGTCATTCTGTCGCTGTGCCGCGCATAGACAATCTAGAGCTGCATGAGCACTGTGACGGTACGGGACTCTACGACCCAGCGATCTTTGTCCCTTCAGAATATAGCGGCGCCAGCTTGATAAGCGATATCGCGCCCACAGTCCTCCTGAGTCAGCAGCACGCTCCAGCACGACCCGTCCTCACCCCTCCACCCATACGCCCATGTAATCGCCCACCGTGAGGTACGCAGACTGCCGTAAAGTGCACCGTATAATATGCTCACTTACTGTATCTTCCCATCGCAGCCAGCGAACTCCTAACATGAGGATCGCCGCCTGGACAACGTGGCTGTCAGCTCCCCGCGCACGGAGGCTATCGGTGATCATTTTCTAGAGCCAACGTCCCGACGCACTAGGCTCACTGAATCTCCGCTTCACGGCTGTTGCTTCACAGTTCATTCTGGCCACACTCCTGCATGCCACACTCCTCCCAGAAAGCGTGTTGTGGGAGCTGATAACCTCGCTGCCGTTCAGCAAGGGCGGCGGGACCTGTAACGCGGTGTCTATCAACACTTCGACTGTGAGCGTAGCGAAAATTGCTTGACGTTCTTTCAGGTTTGCACAGCGTGTCAATCATGGCACGATCGAATGAGCTCGAGTCGCTCTCTGCTCGCAAAGTGTGAGCATCACCCAGGTATGAATTTCATTCTGTCTGCCTGCCTGCGCTATCAGTACTGCTGACACATTGAAGACGAATTCAGCCGCTTCTAATGAACGTGTTTTGCTTCTACAGAAGCCTAACTGCCAGCAGCGGACAACCTCACCCTGCTAGTCTCTGCTTGGCCTTTGCTGTTCCTCCAGGGAGCCAATCGGACACATGGCGTGGCGAGATGTCCCATTTATGATTATCTGTCTGCTGCCCTAGAGAGCCTCTATGGTATGCATTGGATAAAGAGCGGAGCTCGTTGAATTGGGACCGTACAAGCACCGAGTATTGAGTGGTCACGCGAGCACATAAGAAACCCAGCAATGGCGACATCCACCTACTCAAATCGGGAAGCCTTGGATGAAGTGAGGATTATGATGATGTGACCCTATGTAGGTGAGTGAACTCGAAATATCGATTCTCCTATTACACAATGGATATTTGTTGATGTGTGGTTCTGAATAGCTCGTGACTGTATTATTTCAGTGGTGGTTCACCGAACAATTAGGGCGCGACGAGCAAAATTTTATGTACGCGCGTGGTCGAGTTTTCGAGCCCGGATGAATTCTGTGTAGTGGGTGAGCCTCGTGTGAATGTCTTCTCATGTCGTTTCGAACTCCTAAGGTCTGCGTGTATTCGTAGGCAGACCTAGATACTACTTGCCTTGTTTTCCTACCGCCGTGAATGGTCTGCGATGTGCAGGGACTTTTGATCACAGGTGTGCTCAGTATTCATCGCTCGTATGGTCCCCTAGTGGGAATCTGCACAGCTTCGATAGTTAATCTTCAGAAACTGGCCATGGCATTCCTAAACGGAGATTTGGCTCTCGACACCAAGATTAGCTCGCTACGAAGGTCAACGTTCAACCGGGAAACCTTTTACCGATTACTACTAATAGCTACGTCCTCCCCCCGTCAAAACGGATTTATGGTCTGCCTGCTCACGGAAGACTAACAAACGGCAGAACCAAGACATTCATTGGGTGCCATACGGTACAGCATTTCTCTCCGTCCTCTGTTCTGAACAAATTCTGAACAAATGTTTAGCGACGATCGCGAAGCCAGCCTCTCCCGCTCAGATGTGCAGCACCAAATTCAAGGCTGAGCGCTGAGCGCTGAGCCCTGATTGCGGGCGCTTACTACATGCCCATCATTGATTCTGCTGGATGGTCCTCAGGCCTCAGGGTCCTCGTAAGCATCCCGTCTTAAGCCCACTACAAACCCCATGATCCGTCATGCCACCTCTCAAGATTCTTCTCGGAGTCCCGTAATCGCACGAGAGGGAATAATAATGACTGGAAGTCGCTTCACAGCCACGCGCGGAGTTCCCGACGCGTCGGCTTCACCGTCACATCGCGCGGTGCTAACTTGAAGTGCTAGCGCTGCCTACTTGTCCTTGGGGAGAGACAGACTGCGAGGAGGCAAGCCACGACTGTCGTTCGAGCTCATCGATCACCGACTATATGCTGCACAAAGCCGGCTTGCTAGTACAGATGGCGCGGCGTTTTCCTCGGCTCTGTAGATGTACTTAGACTCATATAAGTAGCGGATATCTCGAAATCTCCGTCGATCGAAGAAACCTTGACCATTTCGTGATGCAGGGTACGTCCTTCCTCGCATTATGTTGCATCGCCATGATAATTTTCGTGCGTCACAGCCTCAGGGTGCCCGGCATGCGGCGTTCCTAGACCCGGGATGAACTTCCGTAGCTGGGCCCCCGCATCTATATCTGCGTATATACGCAGCAAATTGAGGTATTCTCAGCGTTGTGGGATTGCGGACAGCCGCAGGGAGGCAAATGCGGTATTTATTCGCCTCAGATATGATGACTGCTCGAAGATTCTTCTCGCCCCTGAGGCTCACTGCACGACCTCTCAGAAACTATGCGGGCACTTGCTACACCATCGGTGTGGCTTATAGCTGTCTTGACGAGGTCTGCCGCCGTTGCTGCTGTCACGTCGAGTTCGACTGCCCCAGTCATAGCGCTCCAGTACGGCTCGTTTCGAGGTAGTACTTCGGGAAACATCACGTCCTTCCTTGGCATTCCATACGCACAAGCACCGTGAGTTGTGTCGCACAGAGACCAATCAATTTGACTCAATGCATTTCTCTCTGAAGGATAGGTGATCTCCGCTTTGCGCTGCCACAGCCACCGCAACCGTTTGAGGGCGTGTACGACGCGACTTCATATGGAGCCGCTTGTTATCAGCAAGCAAACAACCCGCCGGCCCTCGACTCTTCGCTGCCATTCAATCTCTCCAGTGGGACACCGTTAGCCAACGAATCCGAAGACTGTATGCATTTTTCGCAGCTCCAGGATGAGACTGATCCGGTAGTATAGGTCTCTTCATCAACGTCCTCAAACCCGCAAGCGCAGCACCCGGAGACAACCTTCCTGTACTATTCGTCAGTTTCAATTTTCTGAGCCTCATTTATTCCTCCAGCATCTCACTCCTTTGAGCCCAGTGGATTTATGGCGGCGGGTTTGAACAAGGCGACTCTTCGCTCAGCACAGGCAATGAGATTGTCGAGCGCTCGCTCGTACTCGGCGAACACATCATATTCGTGTCCGTCAACTACCGTCTCAATGGTAGGCGTTAAGCTCGGTCAAAATTGAAGCCAAGCTCATCTGATCGACTTGTCAATTGGCAGCATTCGGATTTCTAGCAAGCGAGGAGGTCCTCCAGGCCGGACTGACGAATATTGGATTGCGTGATCGTGAGTGGATAGATGTACCGTTCTGCGTGGTGTCAACAATATCTCCGAGAGCAGAGCGCTATGGAATGCAGTGGGTGAACCAATACATATCGGCATTTGGTGGTGATCCTAGCAAGGTCACAATGTGAGTTAGTAATGCATCTCGGTTGACTTTCTTGCGTTCCGATTGTGTCTCATACATGGTACACAGATGGGGCGAGAGTGCTGGCGCATTCTCCGTTGGGTTTCAACTCGTCATCAACAACGGCGATCCCGAAGGGCTTTTCCGAGCAGCGGTCATGGTACGCTTCTTCGGTCACCGACCCGCATTTGCGTAACACTGCAGCCGTTATTCATCATCTTCCCCTTCTACTGACGTCAGGAGAGTGGCTCGCCCTATGCTCTACGCAACGTGTCCGCGGGCCAGCCATACTATGACTTCCTGGTCGATTACACGGGATGTGTAAGCCAGGCGGACACGCTCGCGTGTCTCCGTCAGGCGCCTGCAGAGCAGATTTTGGCCGCTGTCAATATGACCCCGAATAGCCGCGACTACACGGAACACAACCTCGCATGGCAACCGCGTCTCGATGGGGACTTACTTGTGCAGAATCCGCAGCGTTCAGTGTTGATGGGCCAGTATGCAAAGGTGAGACTGCCCGGTGTGTTGCCTTGCATGATTTTAGATTGAGACCTAGTACGGGGCAGGTACCAATCATCTCAGGAGACTGCGATGACGAAGGAACACTATTCTCGCTGGGGAATATCAATATCACGTTCGTACTCAAACTTCATGCCTGAATTTGGCCTCTTGCTCACATGTTCACGCCCAGTACCGACGAAGAATTCTTAAACTATATCGGCACTGAGTGAATCTACTTGATCAGAGAACCCGAAGACTCTGCTCAAATGATTATCTCAGATACTTGCCAGATGCTTCTCCCATTGAATTGCTCGCTGTGGGAGTGGCATACCCGCAGGATCCGATACTCGTATGTTCGGGCTCAGCCGAGGCTGCTTCCGTGAGAGCCTCACAACACTTCTCATAGGGATCACCTTTCGATACTGGCAATGCGAATGAATTAACGTGAGTCAAAGACCTTCCGATCATCTACCTTGGGTTTCATGTTGCTTGGACAGCCCTCAGTTCAAGCGGATGGCGGCTTTCACGGGAGACTGGCAGTTCGAGTCGCCTCGCAGGCTAGTCCTCGAGACAATGTCGCGTACACAAGATGCGTGGGCATATTGTACGCCTCTCGAACCGTCCACGTTTCGTCGCCTGCTGATCTGTTGTACAGTGTTCAGGCGTGGCAAATCGAGGGCCTACCTGGGAGCTTATCACTCCTCGGATCTCTCCGAGTTCTTCAGCGACGTTGATTACATAGGAATGGATGCATTGGGTACGTCTATTCTTGTCCTGCTCGTCATGAGTAGCATACTCACGCTATTGTGGTCGCAGTCAACTTCGCGACGAATCTCGACCCGAATGCTGCTCCAGGCCTCGCACCGAATATCAGCTACCTTTCTGGAGTGAACTGGGAACAGTGGGGATCCAATCCTGCCGCGCCGCCACTTCTCACCTTCCAAGATCCCACCCCTTCCATTAACTTCACTGCGGACACGTTCCGTGACGGGCCCACTGCACTTCTTGCCACCCTGGCTCTCCAGATGCCCTGATTTACTACACCATGACAGATAGAGTCGTCCGACAAAAGTGATTCGTCTTTCTGAGAAATTTATGGTGTGCGTGATGGTGGAGAGGAGCACTGTACTCAAGGATCATCTCTCGACAAGGACACAGTGTTGCGGTGTATGAGTTTCGCTCGTACTGAGTCTACGATCATGCACAAAACGGGGCCGACTTAGCATAGTGATAATTCAAGCTCGTAAGGCCTACCAATGGGAATTGCCAGCAGTCCAGATAACACCCGCTGAACACGGAAGTGACACCCTGACATACATACTATAATGTCACGATCCTGAACGGATCTGAGCCTCCAGCCTCCAGGCCTGCCAGGACGGCCTGCCGGACAGCGCCCAAGTAGTCGCCAAGACGCCTGCCGTCCTGGCTGACGAAGTCTTCAGTCAACTTGTGGCGAGAGTCCGCGACGATGTTTGCGAGCAACAAGGCGTGCTTGAGGTTTCTGATCGGATGCATGAGCCAACTTTTGACAATGATGCATGAGGATAGGTACTAACTCAGGTACTTTTGATCTCGACGCCACCAACAACGCGTGTAGGCGGATGATCAGTTCAGGGATGTAGATCTGGCGTATACGAACGAGCTCTCTCCTGCGCCGGTCGACTACAGGAGATGTATCAGTGTACTGTCACATCGTGTGAGACTCGACGACTCACTTGCTGTTCTTTCTGCATCAATGATGAGCCAATCGTTGGTTAACAGTTTAGTGACTTGTTCTCGAGCCTGTCGCAACAGGAGCTTCAAGGCATACCAGTTAGCACTCATATTCAGCGCAGTGAGCGTGATATTGCTCACCTTGTAGTCATCGAGCCATGCCGCCCGCGTCTCTCTGTTCATGCTCGGTGATTCCAGCGCCTGGCACTCAACCACACGCGCCAATGATTCCCACACGACAAAGAATTGTCGATAGTGTAAATGCTCCGTCGCAAACTCCTCAGGTTCACGTATCGATGACAGATCAGCAGGGAGCATCTCGAGTAGCACCTTCGCCACCTGGACGCGGCCACAACCTATGCATAACACTTAGCCTTTGGAAGGTGATCACAGTCAAGAAGGTATGTTCACCGAGGAAATATCGCAGGATAACATTCGCCTGTTCGAGCGCGATAGAATATGTGGATTCCATGAAGGTGGTCCATTCGATGGAACGGAGGAGCAACAGCTCCAGTTCGGAGGCAGGTGGTTGCATCCCGATGATGGACGGTAGAGGGCCCTTCGCTGGTGGCAGTTCCTTTGGTCCAGCAGGATTCTCAGCATCATCAATAGGGATACACCATTGCATAACCATACCTGGAACGCCTTCTCAATTGTTCGCTCCGCTGTAGCGATCGCGACCCGCTGCATATCGAGCCCATGATCCCGTGCACGAGTTAATGCGAGTCGGCGCTCTGCTGTGTCAGCAGAGAGCTCGAGAGACGTCAAGAACATTGCGTAGCGCTCGATGGCATTGTCTCCCAGTGCGCCCGCGTACATCGCAATCAACTCACGCTGCCCTGCTGCCTATTGGAGCTGTCTCAGTCAAGCGCATTTGCCATTTACGGAGACATGTGAATGACGCACCTCAAGAACCTGCAAGTATGCCTCCAGGATGACCTGGGTGGCTAGCGGTGGTACGTCAATGTCGATCATTTGGAAGTACAAACACAGATGTGCGAAGAATCGGGTCATCGAGGCATACCTACACGTGTAACATGTTAGGCAGGGACAATACCCTTATGTGCCAGACGTACTGTGGAGTTGAGGTGTCATACTCTCCTTGCTGCAAACTGCTCGCGAATGCTTGCAAAAGCTGATCCGTCCGGTCCAAGATGATATGCAGCTGGGAAACGTGGAACGGGTCATTTGCATCGGGCCTGGCAATCGTGCAAGGTCAGCATTCATCCTGGATGTCACCAGGCTAGAAACATACCCCTCCTCCACCGCAACACTACTCAATGATTCCAACGCACTCAAGACCTCCTTCTCCCAATCCTCCTCCTCCGTCTCCATCCTACTTCCCCCATCAACTTCCTCGACATCCTCTTCGGGCACTGGTGCCTCTACGCCAGCCACTCCGCCCTCCCAGAAGCTTTCGCTCGCAAGGCCGGCAAGGCCAACCGCCAATCGTTCCTCGCATGCTATCGATACAACAGCCCACAACTGGTCAGACCACGTCCTGCACGATGCCTTCAGCGGGGCCGATGTCTGTGGTGACGGTGCTAGCGCAGCGTAAAGCGCACGCTCTGTGGGTGACAGGTTTTGCTGGAGAGCGGCGTTAGGTTCGTGAGAGGGAGTCGTTGCGACGTTGCGGGGGCGACTTACGTTCAGCGCTGCCCGCGTGCACGTCGTCTTCCAGAGTTTCCTCCGCAAGTTACCCCGCCACCCTTCGTCGACGTCCATCTCGTCCTCGGCTTCTTCATCACGCGGTGCGCTGGCTTAGTGCAGCGGCAGAGTCGTCAGCTTCAGAGACTTAGAATCTAGAGAACGCCCCACCGATAGCCTTCCACCGTAGGAGCAGTGCGCCGTTAATACTGGCAGCCCGCCACGGTTGCTCCGCTCGCCTACACAGATCTATGGCATCGTCGAGTTTCCCTGCGCGTACGAGGGTGAAGAGAGCTTGCAAAAGGAGTCTTTCGTAGTTCTGAATGCACAATGAGAAGACGATAGCGTCATAGACTGTATCAGTGGCCGCACAACGGAAAAGAACATCTGAACCAACTTACTGCATCGTCAACCGCCAATGCCTTCGCCTGTTCCCCTCTGTTCACCGCATCAGGATCCATTTCCGAGACGATACCACCAGCTGCGCCACCCGTGCGAAGGTTCTGCTTCACGACGTGGTTCGTGAATCGCCAGTAGCCGTTGGTCGCGCCAGGGTCTAATGGCGGGACTGCGGAAGCTGCGTCGTGAAGCCATTCTCGGACGACCACGAGTGCGGAGAGGAGAGGCGAAGCGTTCATTATGGATTGTGCAAGGGTTGCTGGCGGTGTGTAGGGATTTGACGCGAGGAGGGAGCGGGGGTCGGGATATTCGGGTGGCGCCGTCTTGCGTAGACTTCGGGGCACGTAAGACTGTGCATTCTCAGAACTTGACACGTAGTGAAAATGCACTCACGGCATTATAGCCTGCAGTAGTGCCCACGTCTCGCTCTCCAGCCTCAAGCTCTCAATTTCCGCAAGTGAGACATCGGCAGGGCCTCGATCCTCCAAGTCTGCCAGTCTAGAATATATTACATCAGTTCCCGTCATATACGAGTGTATGAGCCAATAGATACACACTGTTCTAGGCACAATTGTCTCAACCGAGGCGCAAATCCGGCACGGGGATCTAGTAGGGTTTTGAGGTCGTCGTTTGACTGGCTTACGGATAGAACCTGCGCGCAAGACGCGTACAGAGACTCAGACATTTTCCGTAGCCCAAACGAGTAGCAGGCCTGGTTGTTGGGAGAAGGAGAGCACTGTAGGGCTCGAGCGTTGAAAGCAGGCTAAGATTTCGAGAACAAGGCTGAGTTGAAGGTGCGATGATTGCTCGACCGAGCGCGTAGACGGTCACGTGGCAGGCGCGTTTGTGGCAAACTGTCGGCGCCCAATCAGCCAACTTCCCTCCTGCGTGAATCTTGTCCAGCCTGAGTTACCGTTATGATCATTCACTCATCGAGTTGCTCAATGGATACTTTTTAGACCGTTGTGACACGTTGGAGAAGTGTATCCAAAAGCTGCCCTACACTAGAAGTGGATTCTGCGTTATCAAGAACGCAGTGGGGGTAAGCACCTGGTTACGTTGCCTGACATATGCTAAGTGCAGCATTCACAATCATCAACCGGTTCTGGAGCTATGAGCCTTTCCATTTCGGACTGAAGCTGTGAGTACTGCCTGGAATTATACTTGCGTTCCTGCAATGCTATGACGTTACCAGGTCGCAAAGGCTGACGCGTTGACGGAAGACAGACGGGACGTACGGCACTCCTTCAGCTTGCGTTTTCAACTCCGAAGAAGTACTCTCTCATTGAATTGTCACACGTCGTCTTTCTCCTACCACACTCTAGAAATCCACCATAGCGGTATCATGAAGACCCGCGTACAGTTGTTCTGGCCAAAGGATCGCCGCTCATGGCCCCGGCTTGCTATGCATTGACGTGACGATCTGCGCCTTTGGTCTGATGTTACGCATAACCCGGCAAGTGCAGTGGGAAGATGGTCCAGGGTGCACTCCCCACTTCAGGATAGATTATGGCGATTCTCTTCTGTCAACGATAGTCTGTGTCTTCTGCTTTTATCGCGGAGGTCTAACATCTCAGGAATCGCTTCTGCACGAGTGGACCGCGTGCTAACGGCGCACAATTCGGCCTCATTAGCTTCAGAAGAAAAGCTAGCAGGAATATCACGAAGGCGAGGCAAGTGCAAAGGTCCTCAGGCTGTATTGCTCAGAGTCCAACTCAATTGTAGTCGGTTTTGCCAGCGAGACAGGGGCCACCAGTGCTCATCAGTGCTCCTGTACCATGGCACGGTCAGTCGTACCCACTCTCCCCTGGCTTGGGCAGCGTCATATTACCAGTTCCATGCAATGCTCACCACTTACCTACATCTAGCCGGTCTAGTGCGTGTCGCTACCGTGACAGCGCGTCCTGTGGACCTGCGCGCCGCGCGGGCCGGTGCAAGGCGTAACACCGCTGCACCGCATTTCAATTTCGCGCCCTGCCACTCGGTAAGTACATTGCGGAGTAAGTTTGCTTCCCAGCTCACTCTCTCAAACAACTTGGGTAATGCGATAGCCCTTACGTACGTACGTTTTCGTGCCATGCGCAAGAGAATTATGACTAAAAATTGAGGACCGCGTTCTCACCCGGGTTCACACTGTTCTTGGTACCCTGAGCTGTACCGAAAGAGCATCTCTTTGGCGAGCACTTTCTACATTCAGCTACCTCAATGCCATACAGGGCAGACATACATAGGCATTACGCGGCTTCACCCATCGTGATCGCGCGGACGTCCCTGCCGCGAAATGAATGGTTCCTAATTGATCTGACTACTTCACGGCTTCATACCTTCAAAGCGTCAGCTGAACGCGGATGCGGCGGCAGGCGCGCATCTCCCGATCGGTGCAGAAACCGAGAGCACCGAACGGATCACAAGTTGCGCACCCTACACGATTTGTATGGAGTGCTCGGATGACCGGACCGTCTGTACGAGTGCTTGTGTAGTACTAGGTGAGTACTATCGGTGATGTAGAAGAGCTCCGCGCCTGCTCGCTGACCTTGAGAGCTTCAATTAGTTGTATGACAGATCTACCTCCTAATGTAGGATTGTAGAGCAAGTCGGACGAGGTACTCATTCGCGCGAGCTTTCATACAACAGTCTGCCCCCGAGTCGACGACGTCTCGACCTGTCAAAACTCTCAGCGAAGCCGTTGCAGAACGCGGATCTTGCATCATTAACCTATGACACACCATTGCTATACGCTCTATGACGGTTCCGTGCGATTCGAAGCGTTCATTTCCCTCGGCTGAAGACATGAAGAAGAGATCAATAGGTCGAGTGGAAGCCGGCGGGCCTCCGGGGAGTGCGAACGCGTTGATACGACGAATCTCCGCTTCTTGCTACTTCACGGTGCGCGCCACGCAAGTCATTTGCGACGAGGAGATCATGAAGAGGAGCTATGCTAGCAGAGAACAAGCCTTTTGAGCTTGCAAGACGTGCTGCGCGTACCCCGCACCGACCCCGCACTCGTGGCCGTGATCGACGCGGGGCAACCGCCAAATGGCGCAGGACGATTGTGGGGGCGGGGGCGGACCGCCCGGGCCGGAGCGTTTCAGGCACTCTGCGTCTGACTTCCCCAGGATCTCGATTACAATGGGCACAGGCGCCCGCTAGTGCGGTCGGGAAAAGGGTTATAAGCCCCGCACGGAGGCATCGACCCCAGGCCTTCCTGCAGTCCCCTCTTTGCGCACCGAGAGTCTCCCTGCAGACACTTGTGCTCCGTCAAGATGAATCCAGAGAGACAGGGCGTGTTCCAAAACATCCGGGTCTACTGTGCGCGCTTTCCACCCTTTCAAACCTCAAGTTTCTGACTCACTTCGTCGATCAGGGCTCGCGTTCATTGTGTACTGGGGCATCGTCCTCTTCGGTTATGATACGTGAGTCATATTTTTAGTGTCTAGCCAAACCTTGAAATTAACGTCTGAATGTACTCTAGTGGTGTCGGAGGTGGTGTCGTCTCGCAGACCTATTTCCAGACGTACTTCGGCCTCGTGAATAACGATGGCTCGATCAACAAGGCCAAGGCGGACGATGTCTCTTCCAATGTAGTGTCCGTTCTGCAGGCTGGTGCCTTCTTCGGTGCCTTGGGAAGTGCCCCCATCTCCTGTAGGTAAATGTACTTTGCGCGGTCAACTAGTATTGCTCACGCCAAATTTCACTAGCTGCAATTGGACGGAAATTCACTCTCCTGATTTTCACCATTGTCTTCGCGGTTGGTGCTGTATGTGGTTCACATCCGACCTCACCTGTCAATATACTCATAGGCCTATCTCCAGATCCTCCAAACCATTGCCGGCGGGTCGCGGGGTCTCGGTTACATTTATGGCGGTCGAGTTGTTGCTGGTGTTGGCATCGGAGCCATCTCAGCCGTCGCGCCTGCCTTCGTCTCTGAGTGCTGCCCCAAGGAAGTGCGTGGCCGTATCACTGGGTTCTTCCAGATCATGGTCGCCGTTGGTGTCATGCTCTCCTACTTCATCAACCGTACGTTCGCCACCTTCCTGACCTGGAACCGGTTTGCTCATTCACACGGTCGCAGTTGGTATCAGCCTTCACATCAGTAGCGGTCCCGCGATTTGGCGCATTCCCTTTGGCTTCCAGCTGGTTCCAGCTGGCATCATGGCCTTCGGCTTGCTTACGGTCAAGGAGTCGCCCCGTTGGCTGGCGTCCAAGGGTCGTGACGCCGAGGCTCTGAAGAACATCGCGTACCTCCGTCGCCTCAGCCCTGACCACCCGATCGTCCGCGAGGAGATGGCTGAGATTGAGGCCGCTATCCAGGAGGAGCGTGCCGCACGGAACGGTCTCGGGCTCCGCGAGGCGATTTTTGGCAAGGGCAACCTCATCCGGTTTGTCATCGCCATCGTCATCTTCATCCTTCAACAATGGAGCGGCCAGAACTCCGTCAACTACTACGCACCGCAGATCTTCGAGTCGGTGAGTTTCGACGGTCCAGCCTAAGTCATTGCTGGCGGCGCGCTGACACTACCTCGGATATAGATCGGCTATACCGGCACTTCTGAGTCGCTGCTCGCGTCAGGAATCTACGGTATTGTCAAGGTTGTCGCGACCACCATCTTCGTGTTCTTCCTCGCGGATTCTCTCGGCCGTAAGCGATCGCTGTTCATCTCGTCGGTGGGCATGGGCGTTATGTTCTTCATTATCGGCGCCCTTCTCAAGACGCACCCACCGAATCCTGATGCGGCAACCCCGGCTCCTTCGTCGAAGGCTATGGCCGCGATGCTCTACATTTATGTCTGCTTCTATTCGCTGGGCTGGGGCCCCTTGCCGTAAGCCCTATCACCGTCACTGGCACGGCGACCTAACAGCTGCTAATACGTGTTTGTAGTTGGGTCTACGTCGCAGATATCTTCCCAACGCGGACACGGCACTACGGTCTCGCCACGGCGTCTGCATCTCAGTGGCTTTTCAACTTTGTGCTCTCCAAGGTGACGCCGTCCATGGTCACCGCTCTGGGCTTCAAGCTCTTCCTCATGTTCGCCGCAATAAACATCGGCGGCATGGCGACATTCGCTGCGTGCGTTCTGCTAGCTCTCCAAAACGCGACGTCAGACTGACTCCTGACATCTGTTACATAGGCTCATCCCCGAGACAAAAGGCCGGTCACTGGAGGAAATGGATATCATTTTCGGCTCCGTGCAGGCCGAAAAGCGGCAAGCCGACATCCTCAAGCAGGAGCGCGGTACGTATCCCTGTTCTGATCCCTTGTACCACGGGAAGCTCACGCCCATGCCTTGTCAGCGCTGGACCACGAGGTCAACGAGACGCATTCCGTGCGGTCCGACCTAGAGAAGTCGTGAGCCGGCGAGAGTCCGTTTGTGTGCGACAAGGGCGTCGCTCTGTAGTGATTCTCGGCACCCATGTCCTTGGTCTACTATTGCCAGTGTACGAGTATCGATGCCTTTGTCACGGCCCTCAGTTCATGCTCGACGACCTGTGTTGTTTGATGAGTATCTTATTAGTAGCCTATCTCCGTCCTGGAATATGTTGTATCATTAGTGAATCCATTATACACCAGCGCAAAGCCGGACTGGATGAAATTTTGGAGCAAAATGACGCGAGTGCGAGCATGATCTATCTACTGACAAACTTGTGGAAGGTAGAATTGCTTGAGATGCGCTCGCGTGCTTTGCTTCCCTGGTGTCGGACCTCGGTTGATGATCGTCTACTCGCGCGTCTGCGCCGGTAGTAGGTGAATAAATGGAAAACACACCTCTTGCTCTTCCGAAGCTCCTCCTCTACTACTAGTACTACTTAGGTACTACTACGACTCGCGTCAAGCGACCTTCCGAGTCCAACTGGTCTAATCCTGGCTTTGTTACCTGCAGCCTGGATCAGCGCTGTTCCTATCCTCTGACACGAAGCCGTCAAGCCGAAGCCACTGTCGGATCACGCAGGATCACGCGTGATGGGGAGGCTGAGGAGGGGGTCCATTTAGGGGAGACGCGCGCTGATAGGCTTGGTATGTGCTGCACCTCATAGTCATCCGAATTCAACTCGTTTCTCGTTTCACCAGGGACTCAATGGACTTTACTGATGACCGTGAGTGCCATGAATTTACCTTGCACTGTCTGCTACCATCCCGAGATGCAGTAGAAACGGAGGGGAGGGAGGGAAAACGTCACCGATACCTCCCTAGGAGTCGGCTGGCCGGCGGCGTCTGAAGATATTGAGCGCAGCTCATCACTGACAGGGATTGAAATGTTGACATATATAAGCCTCCAGCACAGCGTTCCCTAGATAACCCGCGACTCAGTCGTCTGTCCAACGAACGATGCCACCCATCCACTCCTCGGCACGGGTTTATTCCCTTCCCTTTGTTTTGAGAACCTACGACTTCTGGGTCCTATACATCACGAATAACTGGATCTGGCGTTGCTCAACGCGGACCGTCCTCCTGCCATTTTACCAGAAACACATCGGGGAGAGCGCGCACCTTGACGTTGGGGTCGGTACGGGGTACCTGCCTGCGAACTCGATCGAGCGGCTCGCAAAGACGAAGAACGTCACTCTACTCGATCTGAACCCGGACACGCTCGAGGCGTCCGAGGCGCGTATTCGTGGCGCGGGATACAAGGGCGTCATAGACAAGGTGAACCAGAGCGCCTTCGATCCCCTCCCCCAGTCACTTCGCGAGAAGTTTGACTCGATATCGACCTTCTACATGCTACACTGCCTCCCCGGGAGCTTCCCACTCAAAGCAAGCAGTGTGGTTGCGAACCTCGCGGCCGGGCTTACTCCTGGCGGTGTCCTATACGGCTCCACGGTGCTTGGAAAGGGCGTACAGCACAATTGGGCTGGTAGGATATTGATGCGGCTCTACAACAGAGCAGGGACGTTCTCGAACTACGATGACGGGGTGGAGGATCTGGAGAACGCGTTGAAGGAACATTTTGAGGACGTTGAGGTGACACAGCTGGGCGTCGTGGCCTTGTTCGTGGCGAGGAGGCCGAGAAGCATCTGAATAATCTCCTTTGTGAGTCTGACGTACTGCTCAGCATTCGTATTTGGTTGATTTGCTTACATGGCATGCCAGTATATATACTATGATCGCTACGATGCAATAACACTGCTGTTTTATCACCTTGAATGAGAGTCGATAATTAATTGGCCTGGGTTGACAGCAGTTTTGCGGCCTGCCTCCTTGCCCCTCTGTTGCTAAGACTTGACTCTTTACCCCGAAGTGCCTCACTCAGAGTATGCGCCTGGGAGCATATGATAATACAGTCACTTGCGGGGTCCGTGCAGTGCTGCAGCAGGCTTGGCAGTGGGATACACGACCAAAGTTGGCTGGCAAAATACACACGATGATGAACTCAGGCGTCGTGGTCCGTTGAGAGAACTCAGAGTGGCTTCTAGCTCGTGAGTTACCAGTCGGACCTAGGCCCCAGCGGCAGACCCTAGACAGCCCTAGACACGACCTCGTCGCCAGTGAGTTGAGGAGAGCGGCAGTCGGGACCAAGCTGGACCAAGTCGGGACCGCGACGCGACAGTCATGTGATACCTCATCTAACCGGAGCGCGGCACACGCCGCAGGCAGCCCTGTTTGTCGCTCTGCGCCATCTCTGTTCTTACTTACCATCTTCCATCTTCACTGCAACAGCCATGGGTATCTTAGCATGGATGTCCACCAACTCTGCGCTGTTGCGAATCTACGACTTTTTGGCTCTAGGCGTCTTCAATTTCTGGGTATGGCGCTGCCCGACAGGCTCTATTCTCCTCCCATTCTTCAACAAACACATCGGCGAAGGCGCGCACCTAGATGTCGCCGTAGGAACAGGGTACTATCCCGCGACGTCCGTGCATCGGTTATCCAAGTGCAAGAACGTCGCCCTCCTCGATACGAACCCGAGGGCGCTGGACGTAGCCGCTGCCCGGTTGCGCGCGGCCGGATACAAGGGGGCGATCGAGAAAGTGCACCACAGCGTCTTTGAGTCGCTGCCTAACTCGCTGCGCGGAAAGTTCGACTCCATCTCGATCTTCTACACGTTGAACCGCCTGCCAGGCTCGTTCCCGCCTAAAGCCAGCCATGTGTTCGCCGTGTTGTCCGCCGGACTCGCGCCCGATGGCGTCTTGTACGGCGCCACGATCCTTGGGAAGACTGCAGACCATACATTGTTGAGCCGTGCTCTATTGTGGCTATACAACAGGAGGGGATGGTTCGGCAACAAGGTGGATAGCGTGGAGAATCTCGAGAAGGCTTTGAGGGGTATGTTTGAAGAGGTCCAAGTACGGGTGGTCGGTGTCGTTGCTCTCTTTGAGGCGCGGAGGCCCATACCGCGATAGTACATTGTAGAGTCGAGTTGTGAGTCGTTCCAGCTTGCTTCGTTGTCCCACTGGTGCTCACATTGTGCGTTCAAGAACTTCGCATTGTCTGTGACGACCAGAAGAATGCTCAGAGGCACCTACTATCTTAACCTCTACTCGGCACAGCATCTAATATAGTGCCGATGTCTCGAAGATGTTCAATGGGTTTGATATACCCTGGCAGTTATACGGCGTTGCAGATCCAGAGTGTCGGCTTCATACGACGCACGAGTTTCGCAGGCGATCTTTTGGGAACGTGGTCATGAAGCATGCACCCTTACTTAATGTCGTCCGAAGACGTGGCGGCGCATCTATCCCTGTGCCGAATACAATAGATGGGTAATGTCATCATCGACCGAGGTGCTGGGTCCGACATGCAAGGTGAGCTCAACCAATGCGATGATCTCACCGTTGCGAGCGCCTGTTGTAAGCTTGAATATGTCGTAAGTTATGTCCATCAACGACCCACTAATATCCTGATCCATTTGGCTCACGCGATGCCCGCGGCCTCAACCTTTGGCATACTTTGTTTGTATTCCTTCTTTGTGTTCTACCTCTGACTGAGTGTCACAGGAGCTGATTACAACCATGCAGCTGCTCACGATGCATCCCTATCACAATCAGGCGATGGTTGGTCTCATACCGGCGAGTGCGAACTGAAACCTGCCTTGCAAATACTGCCGAACTCGATGGCGATCGACGATCCACTGCTTATATAACCTCTGTACCACCGGCACCCCGGGGCGATGAACGCAGGCATACGCACGAGACTCACTGCATTCGTGCTGCATCCCCGTCGGTGAGTCGACAGATTACTTCCTGGTCCTTTCTTCTCCGACACTCTTTGGCAGGCGATCGGCAGATGCCATCCCGCCACTGTCAATGTAGCAATCTGGTTTCCCGATCGTCTCCCTGCTTCCCTGTTTCCTTCTAGATATCCTCCTGTGTAGGTCCGATCCGCGAAGCTCCTTGGCACGACATTGACCAAGTGGGTCCCTCGATGCGATCGTTGGAGGTCCGCGATGTGCCACGCGTGCTCGTGGCTCGCTGTCACAGTTCGATACTGCATGATGAGTCGCGCATGCGCTAGTAGGAGCACTGATCGTCATTCCGTCGATAAGTCGCTGACGGCGCGTTTGTTTCGACAACAGAAAGGGGGTGTCGGGTCTACATTGTCTGATGTTGCCTGTTCTACAGGTGGCTTCTATTTGCTCATGCGCCAAGATATCAGAAGGACTGCTCAACAATTGTGGATCATTGTCCGCAATTTAACTTGTGCCATTCTGCTCAGAACGCCGCCTTCACTGCCTTTCTCGGTCGGTCCGTTAGACGCCCTCGCAATGAGGCAGATTCGCGTTCCGGCTGGAGTGCAATAGGGAATTGTGGCGTTCCGCGGGTGCACTGTCGGTATGTGATGGTGCCACAGAGAACACTACACACTGAATAAACTGATAAGTTCGATTGAACAGGCAGGCGACTTGCTACGTGACCTGACATGGAAGTACTTCGGGGCCCCATCTGCGATTGCTCTCGTTCGTACTATTTGCAGCCATGGTCAGGCGGATACGTATGCTCGAGCTGATAGGTCGGGGCCATGTTCGATGGATTGACTTCTGCCAACGGACACCCTTTGGGAAGTCAGATGGCTGGCAATAGGCAGCGTACCGTGGTGCAGGCTTCGGGAGTAGAGTGGATCACTACCAGCCGGGCTGGGCCTCTGAGACCTCAAGCGTGCTGGTGACGGCCGCAAGGACTCGACCATATAAACCGACCTTCAGCACGATTACTATCTTCTCGGATAGACCTACCTGTCTCTTCCCACCTAGTAGGGATGTCTGCGATCGAGGAGAAAGTCGACGACTTGAAGATCCAGTCGATCGAGACTTCGGTGCTGATATATGAAGGCGAACCCGAGGCACAGATCCGTCGCCGCGTGCTACGAAAGCTGGATGTACGCTTATTGCCCGTCGCGACGGTGCTGTATCTGTTGGCATATCTGTGAGTCCGCTCGTTGTTCATCGCACAATTATTCAATGATTGGAATCGACGTGCCAGAGACCGCACAAATGTTGGTTAGTGGCGCAGATTTCTCTGTCTTATCCGATGGTTGTACCAACGCGAATGCTTTTCTATAGGGAACGCGAAGATAGCAGGAATGACAACGGACCTAGGACTGACTGGAGTACAATTCAACCTCATCAGCGCATTGTTCTATGTGCGTCTTCAATAGCATCAGCCATCGCCAATAGTCATCTTACCTCCAAGACAGATTCCGTACTGCTCGCTCGAAGTGCCGGCGTGAGTTTTCAATCATTTTTATGCGCTGAGCGATATCCAATGACGGTCTAGCAATATGGGTCTGAAGTATTTCAGACCCTCTCGATGGAGTAAGCGCACGACCAGACATGCGCTGAAAATGCACTGACTGTAAAAGGGCATAGTTCCATTCATCATGACTTGCTGGGGCATCGTAGTAGTTTGCACGGCTTTCGTGAAGAACTTCACGGGTCTACTGGTGTATGTCCACTGAAACTCCCTTGCTCCTCGCTCATCTGTGGTATTAGCATCCGATTGTTCCTTGGTGCCGCAGAGGTAAGCTACGAAGTGAACATGTTCGCTGGGAGAGCTGACACGTTCTGCCAGAGTGGGCTTTGGCCGGGCCTATCGTTTTGGTTGGCGCTTTGGTATCCGCGAGAAGCGCAAGCGCAGCGTCTCGCTATTTACGTTGCCGCGACTAATCTTTCTGGTGAGCGTTTCTCGAAGGACCTCTCACTCTGTATTGAATATGTGCAGGGGCGTTTGGCGCACTTCTCGCGTATGCGATAGAGAAGATGAATGGGTAAGCTCGAAGCGAGATTGGGTGAACTGGTCTGATCCATGCCGTAAGTATTGGAGGTCTGGCTGGATGGTCGTGGATTGTAAGTATCAGAAAGTCCAGCTCCCGCCGCCGTACGCACTAACAACACTTCACTTCTGGTAAAGTTCCTTCTAGAAGGACTAGGTGGGAGCTGAGAACTCATCTTAGTATAAGCCACTCACAAGCAGACAGTAACCATCATAATCGCGCTTAGCTCAGCACTTGTTATGCAAGACGTGCGTAGCACCTACACAGCTGGCTTCAGTGCTACTCATCACCGTCTTAGTTCCCCGAGACATCGACCTTCCTCGCTCCGGAAGAAAAGACGTGGCTGATGGATGCCCTAAAGAAAGATACCGTGAGCTCGTCAAAGGAGCTAAAACAAAAGTTCTTGTGGCAAGCTCTCCGCGACCCTCATGCGTACCTGTTCGCTGCGATCAACTTCTTGTGCGTCTGGATTTTGCCACTGTCCGAAAACGTGTACTCAATCACATGTCAGTATCGTCGTACCGCTCGCGTCATTTGCGGTTTTCCTACCGACGATCATCGTCGGCCTGGGCTACTCGTCCGTGCACGCTCAATTGCTCTCAGTACCTCCCAATATAATCGGCAGCCTACTCACTATCGTTGCTGGTGTGGCCTCCGACAAGGCCGGGGCCCGTGGACCGTTCATATTCATATCCGCCCTTCTCTCTCTCACGGGCTACGCTATTTTGTTTGCCACGGATATCCCCATTGTGGGATACATTGGTACTCTCATTGCTTCCTGCGGTCTCACCCCGTCCTCTCTATGTACACTCGCTTGGACAGCGGGCAACGCAGGGGGAGACGTCAAGCGGGGTGTCATGATCGCTATCATGGGGACTTTGGGTAACTCTGGAGCGTAAGTGTGTATCCCTTTGCACGACCGTCCTTTCACTCAGGGCACCGCTTCCTAGCATTGTCTCGTCATTCATCTATCGGTCAGAAGATAGCCCTAGGTACCATCCGGGACACGCTACCAATATTGCGTGTACGTGCATTACGTGAGTGCCTGCTGCGGTAGCAGCTACATTTACTCACCTGCTCCATCGGGTGCAGTGCGACCCTGAGCATCATAGGAATGCTAGAGTATGCTCGACTCAATAAAAAGAAGCGACAGCGGTGCGAGAAGGAAGGCATAGGCCTGGACAGAGCCGACGAGTTTAGTGAACTAGGAGATGGCTCGCCGCTCTACAGGTACGTGCCCCAGATCTGCGTGGCGCGCAGCAGGACTGAGAAGATATGCACAGGTATACACTCTGACGCTTGCAGCGTGCTGCATCGAGACTAGGTTCTTGCAAATCGTTTCGGTGTGACAGCCTATCATTGACAGATCAACCACATAGTATGGAGCAGTAGTCGTCCTTATGCAACCCATTCAGCGAATGTATGACTTGTGAAGCGATGGCAGACACTGATAAGCCGCACGCGCCACCGACCGACATGCAACATTTCCCGCTTGCTGCCCGGACGAAGAGATATACATATACGGTATGGTATACGACCTTCAAACGCCCTCCGGTTCAATTCCATGCGGTACCGGTACTGCGCCTCCATATACAGCCCTGATCGCAAACGCCACTGCCACTGATAGGTGCTAGTTAGCCTACCTGCAGGCAGGGCGACCCGGACCACACTCATATCTGTGCTGATTAGCAGTTCGCTGTCACGCTCCTGCTCATCAATCATGAGGATACTGACCGGCCGCATAACCCGCACATAACATACTCGCTTCGCCTGTGTGGCTTACTCAGTGCGCCCATCGCGACCGCGAGATACGAGCTATCCATATGCGGGCATGTCAAAGGTATTCTATCATGACGGCAACATGAGGCGGAAGTAGCTCCCGCATCATCCGCTGGGGCGAACGTCCTTCCGCCGTGTCCGGACTTGGGTAAAGGCTCGCTTCCAAGTCGCGCATCAAGTCTCGGGCATGCCTTGGTACGCATCCCGATGGAGTTCCACACGCTAGTATGCAGTACGCGAATGACCGTGGTCCGGCGAGTACTTTACGTCCTACAAGTCCTACGCGATCGATGCCGCATCCCGGGCTCACCGGTATGTCGGCGGATTCGGGATGCGAAAGCAAGATTGTTTACCACTTGTCAGAATCTGATCAGTGCATCGTACCCGAACCCGTAGGCGCTTAGTACGCTCCGATCGTGAAGACAGCCCTGAGACGAATCTGGTCCGAGTCGGTCTTCTACGAGATCGGTATGACGCCGACGCAGGTATGACAGTCTATACTGCTTAGTGCTCATAGAAGGTGGCAGAAAGAGGCGAGTCTGACCAGTTGTGCGCTGTCGCTCTTGCTGTGACAAGCAAGAGGTCCACAGATCACAAGGTTACTGGCAACTGCACACTCACAATTCTTCGGCGCAACGAACCTGTCCAGAACGGCGATATGTTGAAGCGGAGGCGTGCGTTATTCTTGTCGGGCGAACATCGCATTGTGTACGTTAGCGCCGTAGTGCCGGTGTACTATCATGGCCGTTCGGTCTAGGTAGGAAAGTAGGGTGCAACACGTTACCATGGAAGCCCTCTGAGGATAGTCCCCATGTCCCCATCCGTCCAGCAGCGCACGGTGGGAGCGTTGTCAGGGACAACCCGACCCGCGGGATGTTTGGTACACCGCGAAGCTATGATGGGTCCGAAGTCAGATGTTCTAACACAACGCAACCAGCAAAACCTCCCGAGCTCGCGACGGATACGGCGCGGCGTACTGTCCAAATATCGCACGACGGCACAACAGAGGGGGACGGGAAGGCACCGATGAACAGAACACTGTATGAGCACAGGGTAAGACAGGAACGGTTTACCAGGATGTGGCCCGCTTTTTCTTTCTCGCGTAGCTTCTTTCCATGACGGTTAATTCCTGCGGGAAAACCTCGGCGATGTGTTTTCAAGAAGCAGCGAACATCGAGTGTCGACCGGCCACGAAGTGCAACAATGAATGATAGCACCGAGTCGATGTCGCGAAGAGGCCACAGACCGGAACCGTGAATGGAAACCGGCCGCCATGTCTATGCGTGATACCACCTAGCGGAGAAATGTCGACTGGTGAGTGCAATTCGGGAGTAGTGTGCCGCATGAACAGGGCCTGATGATGGCAGGCCTGTTACTTCAGACAGATCCGGGAGGAGGGTGATGAAGGTGCGTGAACGATGAGGCATACAGTATCTGCGTGGTTGACAGACGGGAGACGAGATGTGTCCTAGGACTGCCGCGGACGTAGATCTGTTAGGAACAGGCAGTCGATCAATGGTCAAGATTGTCGGTCAGGTATGGTCAACTCATACTACTCCTAGGTCGTGTCTCAGATTCATTGCTCACCAGATCACTATCCGACTACATGCAGTAGGGGGCCCATCGGAGTAGTTGGCAGGGCATTGTTTCAGACATTGTTGCGTACAATGTGCAATGCGTCCCGTGGTGGTCATATCTATGGCCGACGTCCTACTGTGTCTCGGAGGGGAAGCTATAAGTGTATTACTTGTGACAGCAGCTGCATCACCATCATGATGCATGTGCCACGAACGCGCTGAGATGAGACGCCTACTCCCGAGTTACTCATCACATCGGAAGGCTCAAAGCAAATCCAACACAAAAATAACAAGCACGGGGTTCAAGCAAGGGGCGGCAGATCGGCAGATCGGGTACACAATGCCTAGGGGGGAGGGTGGGTGGTCGGTCCCCGGAGGGGCGGTATCGAAATTTCCTACAAAAGCGGTGAAAAAAGCGGCAACCCTCCCCTATGAGGCAGGTGAGGTCAGGTGCCGAGTCGGACCGAGGTCTGCCGAGGGTTCAGATCGCATCGCACTACACCGCTAGCGGCAATCGAGTCCGTGTTCGAGCCCGCTACGTTGCTCCTATCCATAGAGTGCGGGTACGCACACGTCTCGCGACTCAATGAATATATTTCACTCGCTAAACTCGACCGCATTCAATTGCATCCGACCGTTCAGAGTGAGGCTGGCCACAGTGCGACCGCGCCTACTATGGCTGAAACCAAGCCACACCGGCCCCACAGCACTAGTCTACAATAGGTAGTGAGCCACAAACCGCAGCACGGCGTTGAGACGTCGTGGCCACGGTGCGGGCCACGACGTCTCTGTACTCTGCATCAACTGTCGAGCTACTACTATGGCGAACTTGGATTCACTCGAGACCGCCTCATTGGACTCACATATCCGTGTCATTCGAGCTATTCAATTTACCTCGCAAGACCTCAGGCCTCTATTACCAACCACGCAGCAGAAAGTCCCGGGAACGACGATCAATGTATACGGCGCCTTCCTGCAGGACTATACAACCTCTGAAAACCCCGACTTCTGTGTATTCTCTTCATGGATACCTGCAATCGTCGGCGGAACGCAGCGCGAAGGACCTTCGGCGGGTACGTTCGAGGGCCATATGCAAGCTGCAGTACGTTTTCAGTGTCATCACACAAACATCAATAATTGAAAGGCATACAGGGCGGCAAGGAAACCATACGTGCAAGAGGGCGATGGGCTGTCCCAATGTGCAGTGGAGTGCCCTCACACTGGGTGCTCGGTTCTGTAGACTTCGGTCAACAGTCTGCTGTCATCTACGACAGTATGCCAGACTCAGATTCAGTCTCATGGGCTAAACCAGTGAGTAGGCTGAGGGCCTCGCTTGTGCACTGAAAGTGACTGACACCGTACCTGCAGCTACTGTTCACGGTCGTGAATAGAATACTTCAATACATCAACCGTGCGACGTTCCTGTCAGTCGACGACACTTGGAGCTTTCGTGTCATTTCCCCGCCGATGCGGCGCCAGCAATCGGACGGATGGTCTTGCGGAGTCTTCGTCCTATTAGCTCTGCACGACTTCGTTCATCAGGACTCTTCATACCAACAAGGGCAAGAGATCTTACTTATCTCGAAGCAGAGAGCTCTTGAGAGCCTCATGCAATTGCCGTATGTTGTCGCACCTATGAGACTGAGTGCTTCACTCACAATGTTGCTGATAGCATTCTCGAGCATCAGAACACTCACCGTCAACGCGGCCGAACTTCAGCAGCCGTCCTTTGTGGGTCTGAGTGGGAGGAACTCGAAGCAGGTAGTACCATCGTGGCGGATTTGTCCGCTACCAGGCGAGACTCTCCTTTCGGAAATGACTCCGACCGTTCCGCGTCGCTTCGGGTTGCTGGAGCTGCCAGTGATGGCGAGAGTATGCGTACTACCCCAGAGACTTCTGAAGTTGCCGAACCCATGGTCACACGTTCTCTGTCTCCTCGAGAGCTTGAAGATGCAGACACACTGTTCAAAACGGACAAGGGATATGTGGTTGCTGAGTCGTCGGCACCTGCTGATCCCAACTCAATACCAAGCCTGGAAAGTTCAAATGCAAGCACACCAGCTTCCGACGTACCACAGCTACCAGGAGAAGAAGAAACCGGTCCTGATGGTGTGTACTGGGAACATCCAGTACCTGGAAAGTCGAACAGTACGTGGACCCGCTACAAGCGGTGTACCCTCTGCAAGACTGCGGTCAATCTAGGACATGGCACCACACTTCACGCCTACAACGCGCATCTGAACAGCGCTTCATGTCGTGCTACTGCCGCGAAGCAGGAGAAGCAACACGCTCAACGCAGTCTGTTAGACATGTTTCAACGTCCGACCAAAACAAAGCAAGACGTTCCTACCGGGTCCGGGTCCACATCCGTTCAGCATACACCACAACCGAGCTTGAGGGCCACTGCGACATCCGGCGAATCGAGTCATGCTGCTCAGGCCAGGCCTGATGACTCGGAGTGCGAGATTGCGGCGATGTACAGAGAACGTACTATCTGTCCTGGGAGCCGTCTTCAGTGGCCGTCGCCTATCGAGAGGATGTATCCCTTTCACTTACATGCCTTCAATCACCTGCCATACATGCTGGAATACTGGGACCACCAGAACGGAACGGTCTACATCCGCAGTCGATCTTGCCACCGCGTCCCAAAAGCTTCCGGACAGCCATGCACGGAGTGCGCAAGCTTGAACGAAAGTTCAGTTGTTGCGAATATGCGCGAGCGCGCCAAGGAGGCCATTCCGACGAAACTGAACTGGCGGTATTACAACTTCGATCAGCTGGCAGATGCAATGGACCGGAAGAACGAGCAACAAAATGAGATGAAGCTGCAGGTATGTGACTTGATGATAGTACTTAGCTTCACTTCGATGTTGTCTGACCTCTCTTGTCTTTGTTAGAATCTGAATCTCGTACGTCAGTACGAGAGAACAACGGTCCGCTTGTCCGACTATGAACGTTTTAAGGCACTGATTGCCAGCGGGGACGTCGAGGGCACAGACCGCCTTGTCCGTGTCGCCATCAAGAACCATCGCAGCATCTCAGAGATATGCAACCGCATGATCCGTGCGACACTGGGACTGTACAACGTCAAGAGCTTCACACGGAAGCACTATGACCTCATGCGTCTGACTGGCGCTCTCGGTGGACCCAAGCTGCAGTTTGCAGTGGCCGATGCCCTTCAGCTCCCAGGAATCTCAACGACGCGTGCACACTCACTAGTGCTGCTCATTGAGGCATGCCTCGGCTTCCCCATCCTTGCCGAGTTCTTGCACAATCTCGGGGCTCTCGACAGTGCAGGTGTCTTGTGGGAAAGCAGTTCCAATGGGTCTCGTCAACGGCGACGTGGGTTCCAGATAATGGTCGACGAGCTTGCCCTCGAAGAGCGACCACGTTATGACAGTCGGCGTGATGCAGTCCTCGGAATGGCTCGTGAGACATCACATGAAGTCGATCTCAGTGTTCTCACCTTGGAGAACCTAGAAGCTGCAGCCGATGCGCTTGAAGACGGGTCTATGGCTGTTGCAAAGGAAGCGACTATGATGGGCCTTGCTGCATTTGGACACGATGACTACACTGTGTTCCCCATCATGATATCTGGGACGAACAAAACTGAGCGCGACGTCAAGCAAGCCGAATGGATTAAACTTGCCATTGATGCTTGGGAAAACGGGAAGCCCGCGCCGGACTCGAAGCAGACGTACGAGGAGCGCTACGGTGAACTCTGGTGTGTAGGTTCTGATGGTGACGCCACACGCCGCAGGGCTCTTCATCGTGTCTTGATGGCCGAGAGACTGTCTGCAAACACTATGAGCGCACTGTACCGGCTCCTCTCGCCCCTTCACCGTATGAACCTGCAATGCGGAAGTAAAGGGCGCACGATGACAATAGACTATAAACATAAGTTTAAGAGTGAGTGCTTCCCATCTCGTATCACTCAGTGATAGCTGAACTGACCGTCACCACGTCACCATGCTAGACTTTGCGACCCTTCTCCGTGGCGCTGCAGGTGTCCTCGTTGCAGACTACCATGTAACGCCAACACTACTCAGGCAGAAATTCACGGCTGTCCTGGGATACAAGGACTCGAAGCTTACCTCGCTCTTCGATCACAAAGATCACCAAAATGTTCCGGTCGCTGTTGCGTTGCTCCAATCGCTCAAGAGCCTTGCGAAAGCAGACAACTTTGCCAGAGAAGCTGAGAATCGTCCGCTCGTTTTGCTTGGGATGTTTGCGGGCTACCTTGTCGAACCATTCATAACACCAACCTTGTCATTGTCAGAACAATTGACGAAGCTCTCAGCAGCTGCGCACTTACTCTGCCTGCTCTATCGGCGTAACCGGACTGCGTTCTGCCCCGGGCAGTGGTACTATGATGTCCAGACTTTCATCAAGAATATATTCTGGACGACGGCCAGGATGAAGCTCCTTTGTCCTGGAGATCGCTACTACATAACTCAAGATGGCACCGATCGTCTCGAGGGGAACTTTGGGACATACCGGGACATGTACAGCTCACACAATGTCGATATTCTCCAGCTGTCACAGCGTGCTGCAACTGCGGCTGACATCTGCCAGATCTTCGCACAGCATCCGTCCTGGAACCGAGGACATCGCCGCCTACGTCTTGAAGGTGCCGAGGGTGTGGACCACACAAACCCGAAGTCATGGAAGGGCGATGTACGGGTGGAGCTAGTTAGCCTGCAAACCGTATGGAACACTGGTCTGCGGGAGGTTATGAAGTTGTTGAACCAAACAAAAATTGACCTAGGACAATTGCCGGATGATATTGATCTCCTCCGGCCGTTCGGGAAGGACTACGTTGGACTCAACGAAGATTTTGACTTGGATGCTCCAGCTCTCCATGCTGGAAACCTGGAACACCCTAGTGACGAACCGTCAGGACCCAAGCCACACGACCTCCCGCATGCAAATGAGGATACCTGTCGCGTCGAGCTTGATGACTTGCTCCCGGAAGTTGGTGACCGCGACCTAGACACAGCTCGCAAATGCGACAAGCAGTGGCTCAATGTCGACGGTGTTGATGTTCACAAGTCCGCGGCCGTCCGTTACTTCCTCGCCACCATTGATGGGCGCAAATCGTCAGACCGACTGGCTCGAGTGCAAGGTGTCAAGAAGATACGTACATTCTCGCGCGCACCACCACCTCCCGAAGATGACTCCGACTCCATCGTTGGTGATCGCTTTGTCATGGGCGAGTTTGTCGCTACCTTCATCCGTATCCGGAATACAGCTGCGCTGGCGATCCTCCGTGTCAGCGACCTGAAGATGGCTAATGGTACATCGGTGGAGTCTGTAGCGATGCGCGAGATCAGCAACCCGACGACAAACATTCACTTTGTAGGACAAGTGCTCACCTTGACTCAAGAGGACGCGAGTACTTGGATCTGGACGGGCGAGTTTGAATCCTTCAATGCCATCGATGGCGGCGATGCTGCAAACACGTCGGCGTCAAGAAAGTCGACCCTTATTGAGCTATCTGCTCAGGTCACTCAGGCGGTCAAGGCCACCTTAGCACCGCAACTATCCGATCCGACGTGCTTCGTTTGGAAATTCAAGTCTGGCTCACTTTCCTCGCTCACGGAATTAATGTGGGCTCGTGTCAAGGAGAACCAACACTTGATACCAGTGCGGACACCTACCCCAACTTTCCCATTGCGCGCATCCGGTGGCGGTGAGTATATCTTCACGAGCGAAGAAGGGACAGCGGCCCTAGAGATGGGGCCACAACAAGGATGTGCCAATTGCTTCTGCTGCGACGCAGAGGTCAGTCTGAAGAAGATGCGAGACCACATTGGTACGCACATACTCGCGAAGATGCTCTCACTACCGGATCCGAGCCCAAAGAAGCTCAAAATGCAGGTGAGCAATCATCGAAATCTCTACCATTGAAGTCTTGCTCAATGTGCCATTATGTGATTCATGAAGGTCGGCAAATCACCATGCGGCTTCTGCGGCCGGACAGGAACCTGCAAAATAGGTCTCCGAAAAACGAGGAATGCTCTTCGAGCCGAGTCAGACTGTCGCCTCTTCAGTCAGTTCAACATCGCCTCGGCAGCGGTCTCAACCAAATCGGGTCCAAGCACAAATCGCCCTGTGATATGCAAGATCTGTGAAGCGAACCGCCCGCCACAGCGGGGCAATAATATTGACGACGACATCGTATTCTGGTCATACAATATGCAGGAACACTTAGCAGCAAAGCACCCGGATGCTCCGATTTCTGCCAAAGACGACATCTCGGACTCCGTGTCACGCAATGAACGCATCTACTGTGGACTGGAAAAAGGTAAGCCCGACGCGAAAGAGAAAGGCGACTCGGAGGCGAAGGAGACGGCTGGGAAGGAGACGGCGGGGAAGGAGACGGCGGGGCAGTCCAGTGGGAAGGGGAAAGGGAAGAAACGAATTGCAGAGCCGGCAGACGTGAGGCCAAAGAAGAAGGGGAGGAAAGAGTAGTGTAGTCGTGTCCGCGGCCGCCGGCGAGCTCAGAGGTTTGCGGTTGCAGCTTTTTTGACGAATATATGCACTTTTTTCTGCGAAATGGGGGTAGGGGGGTGGTCTCGAGCTTTCGGCGACTTTTACAAATAAAAATTACCGGGGGTGGGGGGGTGGTGGGGCCTGGATGGCGGATTTCCTGAAAAACCTGGCATTGTGTACGAAAATTAAATACCTGCCGCCCCTTGGGTTCAAGGACTCAAGTTTTCAGGTATAATCCCGGCAGAAGCACATGGCAGCCGCTGCGAGTTGATGCCCAGCAACGTGGAGACGTGCGAAGGGGTGCGCAGACTGCACCTCATAGGTTTTCCTACTGCAGAGTTGAAGCGTTGTCTCTGGGCGCGAGGAAAACAATGTAGCTCACCAAAGCACATAGGACCAAGACGGTCCAGGACCATTTGTGACATGAGAGGGCGGAGACGATCCGCGGGGGGCGATGGCCAGGTCCGATCTCTTTTGATCCGCAGCCACCGATCAGTGGCTGCAAAATGACAGTCCGATAGCGGCGATCAAATCGACCTCGCGAAATGAACTGGCCATATTTAGCAGGCGCAGTCAACTCCTCCACCGCCGCGAGGCTCACATCGGCTCCTCGCACGCGGACTGCACGGTGACATGCGTGAATACGTCCGGGCACTGTGTCTCGAAGGCCACCAATATGGAACCGCTAAAATACCCTATATCAAATGACAAAGTACGTGGGTGTTTTGACCGTGGTACGGGGATAACGCTTGCCACACTCTGCAGTATCACGGCAGCTGAGTTTCTGTCGTTGAGGGCGAAGTTACACCGCGGGAACAACTGCTGAAACTTGGCTGGAACAAAAGCGGCATTGCTTCGGAGCCTAGCATGGTCGAGTCCGCCCTAAGAGCGCCTGTGCATCTCTGATCAGGACTTGGACATGCTCCCGGCGCGCCTGCAATTTGCATAGCCTCATTCGCTGGAACCCGTTGCACACCGTGAGTCGCGTTGCAATACGATGTCCATCATCAGGCGTGCGCGTGAGGACGCATCACTCTGGCATCAGCAACCAAGTCAGGGTTTCCTCTTCTGCTTCTCTTCGAATTCTGGCGCGTCTCGAACCGCCCACCTACACTTGGTTGTGAGAGACCAACTTCGCTCCCGGCCGATTGCCTCATATCTATTTCACGGTCCCGTCTCCAGCGTTCGGCGCACCTCTCCTTGCCACCATGACTGGAGTCAACATCCATCTCGACGGGAGCATTGGCTGCTTCTTCGCTGGTATTCTCTTCTCGGGCATGTATGTAGAACAGCGGAGTGATGAGGCTGACGTGGGTACTGAGACGATTGCGCGCGCAGATTGTACGGATGCACCTGTGCGCAGGTTCTGTATTACATCAAGGAATACCCAAGGGACTCGAAAGTACTGAAGCTTTTGGTACGTAACATACAATTGCCATGCAAACCTGATGTCTGATGATTTCTGATCTACAGGTCGCTTTTGTATGGTCGGTGGAGGCACACGTTACTGTTGTGAGCGGAACGCTGATTGCTTCGAATCGGACTGCAGGGCGCTGGATACGGCGACCACGATAGCGAATAGCCAGGTATGTCGTAGTAATATGGTTCCTATCTCGACGACGCTCACAAGGTGACAGGTTCTCTGGTACTACACGGTTTCCAACCACCAGAATCCAGTAGCACTTGAATACGCGCCCCGGTAAGTTTGCCTTTCTACGCCTGCTTCGTTTGCACATGTGCTAGAATACAGTATGCGTACAGGTCTTTCAGGGTAAGCGCACACTTATCGCACGAGGTTGCTCGCTGAACGTGTCTGCCTGCAGGCCCAATACAGTCTTTCGGTATGTTCTCATGTCAGATGCAGAAGGATCTCCGCTAAGACCTTGGCAGGCGATCTCTGTGTTCGTAGTACAATGGTGAGAGTCGTCGAGGCGGTCTTCGTCAGGATGCATCACTGATCGCGATACATCATCCCAGCCACTACTTGTCCACTATCTGGCGCAGTCAGTTACTTCTCTTCGCGAAGGGCACCTAGACATGTGCTCATGATCCCCTTCTCAGTGTTGACCGAAAAGTGGTATCGGCTCCCTATGTTGTCAATGGCTGTTTTAATATCTGTTATTTCTTTGGGTATGTCCTTGCTTCCCGAGACTGCGACTCGAACTGATCACCTTGTACCCAGCTTGTGGCCTTGGTCAGTTCCTGCTTTTCATCAACGCACCGCGCGTCGCTGAACGTCAACTAACTCATCGTCGCAGCCGATGTGTATATCACGTGCGTGTCGTGAATATTCCGATCGTATCTTGACTTACGCCTGTTACAGTACCTCAGATAATTTTGTCCCCATTGCCTTCGCCCGGGTCAAGGTCGGTGACCATGTTTTCTGACCCGCATCATGAAACCCTGAAACACGTCGCGCGCGGGCAGATTCCTGCCTATTTGCAAACCATCGCGGCTTGCATTACGGACGTCTTCATCACTGTCTCGTTGTGCTGGATATTGCGCGGCAAGCGGACGGGGCTTGCTCAGTGAGCGCTCCCACTTCGGCGCGTGTACGGGCTTCGCTTGCTTACTATCGGTGTCAGGTCGGAGAGCCGGATCTGGTGGTTGACGTTCTCAATGGTCAATCGAGGCGTCTTAACGGCGTAAGTTTGATGTTGTCGCTCATTCCGACGAGACGGATCGCTTACGATGAAACGACAGTGTACTACAGATCGTAGTACTTGTAACTGTGCGTAATGGTTCAATCTTGTTTAGCAATGTACCGCGTTTGACGGAGCGTCTTCTCTGCAGTATGCCGCCTTGGAGAACAGTAACGTTCTTCTATGGCTGGTCTTCCACTTCCCTGGCACGCAGAGTTAGTCGTTGTTTTGTCTCTGTCAGTTGTCTTGGTCCTGACGTCGAATGGCTCCCAAGTCTACACGAACTCGTTGCTCGCTGTCCTGAACGTCAGGCACTTCGTGCTTGAGAGCAAACGAACAAAGTTTCCATCTCTCAAGTCGGCTATACCGCTGTCAAAGGTCAAGCGCACTGCAGCCGCGTACGTCAGTTCACTCTATTAGCTCCACTTGTGCTGATCTCCGGCCAACATCCACCGTGGACACCTGACAGTCCTGAGTATGGGGGCGGTAGCGGCAGTTACAGCAGCCAGCAGCAGCAATCTGTTCTGCCCACGGTCATCACCATCTCAACTGACGTCGTCCGCGACGGCGAGGTGCAGATAGAGAGGAACGCCGCCGCCGGCTACGTAAAGTCGACGGCCTGGTGAGCATCTAGCGGAACGGGCTTCACGGTGCTAGCATAAACTCCTCGCCGGCGAGGTTCCTGGCCTCCGCCCCTTCGCTTGACGAAGTCCTCTAGACAGCATATGGGAAAGGGCAGGTTTACGAGAGGGGAGCTAGTAGATGACGGGACCGCGGGCGTTCCGTCCGCAAGGCGGCACCGGTGCCTGGAAATCAGCGATCCGACTGCGAGGCCCGAGATCTGTCACCTACCAAAAGTTGTACTGTTATCCCCACCCGGTTCCCACCAATCCCCACTGGGTAATTAAGATCGTCCCGAGTCCGTGTCATATGGGTAGCTGGTGTGGAGTGTGAACGAGCTGTGCATTTGTCTTTCCGAGTTCAATACATGTGGCGACACTACTAGGAGGCGGCCCTGTGCCAATCACTGCAAGAGAAAAGAAACACACAATGCTTGCCTCATGTCAGTCTAGGATGAAGATTGGGGCTGCAGAAAATTTGTGGGAAGCCGCCAAAGGGAAGGAAGCATCGTGTGGACATTGAGCTACAGCTTCTTGCGGCGAACAATCTTCGACGATTGGAACTCGAGCGGTCGCGGTAGCAATGATTCATGAGTTAGCCACACGGCGCGATGGCGATGCCTCTGTTCAACTTGAACGTTTGAACGCTAACACGTAGCATTCCTTTAGACAGCATCAGTCTGCGATATGAGCCAAGTTACTGCCAAGAACGCTGCGAGGAGGAGCAGTTACTCGGCCAGTGATCCCGACTGCTTACGGAGATTAACGCAGTGTGATCGATTATCATCGCACACAAAGGGTCTCGTAATTATCCCGATAGGCCGGATTGTCGCGTGTCGCGTTAGCCATATATGGTTCGCCGATCGTGGCGCAGTGAGTAGTGGCAAGCCGTCATTCTCCTCCGTTCCTGCACGTCTTCTCGCAAGTCTTCTCGCTCTCTAACTTCTAGGGCTGCTTTTATCGAAGACCTAACATACAGCTGCCTACGTGTATCAGACGTGGCTCGCAACCTATCCGCCTAACTTCTGTAATGCCCGCGTTGCCCACCCCGACCAGCCACGAGGCTCTGCGACCTGACATCAAACACGTTTACCAGCTGCGTCCTGGTGTCGATGCATCATATGAGGAAAAGCGGGAATGCAAGTACTATGCCCCTGGGGACTAAGGATGCCCGAGAAGAGTTCGATGGAATAACATGAGGCCTATCATAGCTTGCAGTCGACCCCAAAGCCAGCCCAAAGCCTTGCATTCAGGCCCATATCGGGGCACGAGCACCCGGCTGAATATGGGCCCTTCACGGTTCCGTCTCGTGGCCCAAGCCGCAGAACAGATCCGACAGCATGTCGCAAGCCGTCCAACAGATCCGACAGCACGTCGTGGAGCCCCAGTCTCTGACAGGATCGAGCTCTGCTGCCGCCCGTGGCTCGTTTGTGATCTTTCTCTGGATATGTTCTAGTCCTCACCTAGAGTCACATGCGAACAAGCCTCGGCACAATCCCAATATCTCCCATTCACTTCCGGACTTCCCTTCGACAAGATTGACCGCTCGGAACGGTTGATGGGCCCGCGCGGCAATGCCGCACTAGAGATGGATCTGTGGCATCTTAGGCAGACTTCTCAGAATTATGTGTGCAGATTCGGCTGCCTCGCTACAGCATAGCCTGCCGTCACACCCGCGGGGTAATCAACAGCGCGTTCGGCCACAGCGCGCAGAACATGCTGATCGACCTGGGCCCAAGCAAACTCCCGCGGGTGGTGTCCGAAGGACCTGACGGCAAGATCAAGATCATGATTCGTTTCGAATTCCTCGACCTATCTAGACATAGCAGCAAACGTGCAACTCCACGATATAAGGCTCGTTCAGGCCGGGACTCATGCCTTCAGTCCCGAATTGGCCCTGTCCGCCATGTCTCCGGACGTCCCCTTTCCTATTGCCCTGGTATGTTCGTAACGTCGCGTGTGACCCGTTGGTGCTGACTTTACCTTCAGTGCGGCATTGCTGCAGAACTGCCAAGCGGTAGCTGGAGCTCGACCAATTTAGATCACAAGTCGTTCTTCGAGTTCCTCTTGTCCGGTGGGGAGGCCTACGAGAAAGTCCCCATCGAACGTTTCAACGTCCACACGTGAGTTGAACTACACTGTCTTCCTTTGGCGTAATCCTCATTACCTCTGCAGGATTAAAGGGTCTGGAACCGGCCAAGTCGTCACGGACACCGGCGCCTTCCTCAAGGACATCGGTCTCTTCGACCATGTAGAATTCGGAATCACTAGCAAGGATGCGCGTTTGATGCCTCTAGGCACGCGCAAGTTGATCGAAACGACGTTCCTAGCACTCCTAGACTCCGGCATCGACTATAGAGGCCGGAACGTCGGATGCTACATGTCGGGAGTCGACCAAGATATGTTTTCTGTATCGGGCCATGTGAGTTCCCGTCTATCTCGAGGCGTCGATCAGTGCTGAGACGTGTGTTTGCCACTCAGGATGACGCCGAGGTTCGAGGCTCTTTTGCCTGGGGTCCAGCGATGGTAGCGAACCGTGTCTCGTATCATCTCGACCTTCGCGGGCCGTCCCTTGCGCTCGACACCGCGTGCAGTTCGACTCTGTATACTACGCACCTTGCGGTGCAAGCCCTGCGCAACGGCGAATGTGATGCAGCCGTTGTCGGAGGTGCGCAGATCAACCACAGGTTCTCCGAGTGGGTCCTCTACTCCCAAGGTGGAGTTCTGTCTCCGGACGGCAAGTGCAAGCCGTTCGATGCATCCGCGAACGGGTGAGTCGTCAGATACCTCACACTGCTCAATTACTGACTGTCGATACTCAGCTTCGGTCGTGGCGAAGGTGTAGTCTCTATTGTACTCAAGCCTCTTGACGCCGCCCTGCGCGACAATGACAAGATCTATGCTACTGTATGTACCCGCGAATGACTGAGCCATATAGTTTGCTGATTGCACCCTAGATCCTAGGCACTGGCGTCAATTCATCGGGCTCGCTCGCGCCCGTGAACGCCCCGGTGGCAGCCGCTCAACAAGATACGATGGTCCGTGCTTTCCGAATGGCGAATCGCTCGCCTAAGGAAGTCGACTTCATTGAATTGCACGCGACGGGCACTGCTATGGGCGACCCGACTGAAGCCAACTGGGTCGGCGCTCAGTTCAAGCGCGACGACGAGCTTGTGATAGGCTCTGTCAAGGGTAACGTTGGGTGCGTGCCTGCTCACACGGTTTTGGAGACTTGTGACTGATGATAGTGATAGACATCTCGAGATAACGGCGTTTCTCGCCTCGCTGAGCAAAGTGGCCTCTATCCTCGAGACGCGTCGAATTCCCCCAACTGTCAACTTCAAGAATCCGAATCAGAAGATTCGCTGGCAGGAGTATGGATTCCGAGTCCCCGTGGAGACAGAGCCCCTCAAGTCCCGGGCGCCGTCGGGGCGACCCCTGATTGCCATGACAAGCTCGGGCATTGGCGGTGCGAACGGTCACGCAGTCGTAGAGGGTGCTCCAGCACGCGCAGAGGTCCCTTCGTCTTTCTGGTGCGGAGAAGCGCCCGCTCTGCTGGTTGCTGCCGGTCTCTCTCCTCGTTCCGCTGCTGCGTTGGGCGATTCTTTGAAGGGGCTTAGTAGCGATGCAAGCCACCACGCCGTCTCGCGTGCGCTGGGACGTCGTGCTCGCTCCATGACCTGGCGTTCGTACGCAGTTGCTTCCAATGGACAGGTGTCGCGCTTCAGCGAACCACTCCTTGGACCGAAGACTACTGGATCTCTCGTCTTCGTCTTCTCCGGACAGGGTCCCCAGCACTGGAACAGTAAGTCCCCCCTCGTCTGCACAACTATTCATGCTGACATGCAGCGTAGTGGGACGTGACCTATACAAGACCTCCGCGGTCTTCCGCGATACGGTGAACGAGCTTGACCAAGTCTATCTCTCGGCGACCGGTCAGAGCCTCATCAACGATGTCGGACTCTTCGCAGACACTTCCATCAACAGCGACACGCTCGGTGCCATTTGGCCCATCGCTATCACTCTTCCCTCGCTCACTGTGCTCCAGCTAGCCCTGGTCGACACGCTCGCTGCTCTTGGGGTTCGACCAGACGCCTCGCTCGGCCACTCCGCTGGTGAGGTTGCCCTTCTTTACGCCAGTGGTGCGGGACCGAAGGCTCTCGCTCTCGAGCTCGCCATCGCCCGTGGCAAGGCCATGTCTCTGCTCGAGAAGGAGGACGGCACGATGGCTGCCCTGGCTTGTTCACCGGAGCAGGCGGAGCCGATCATCGCAGAAGTGCTCGCAGAGCTCGGTCCGGGTGTGCTCGAGATCGGGTGCTACAACTCTCCCGACGCAGTTACGCTTTCCGGTGCAACCGGTCATATCGACAAGGCGGTGGAGAAAGCTAAGAAAGCTGGCATGTTCGCCACGAGACTTCGCACGCGCATCCCGGTTCACTCAGGAATGATGGACCTTTGCGAGGAGGACTACAAGCGCCGCGTGGGAGAGATCTTTCCCAAGTACGAAGTGACGTTGCCTACTGTCGAGACGTACTCCACGTTGAACGGCCAGCAGTGGACCGACGTGTTCACCGCAGAGTACTTCTGGGACAACACGCGCGGACCTGTGCAGTTTACCAGCGCTATGGAGTCGCTTCTCCAAAAGCACACGAACGCAACGTTCGTCGAGTTGGGGCCACATCCCGTGCTTGTTAGCTATATCTCTGCGATGGCGGGCACGAACTCGCTTGTTACATGCCCGGTGCGTCGACCGAAGTCCTCGGAGGCTCCAGCGGGTGTCGAAGTCCAGACCTTCATGGATTCGTTGGGGAAGCTTGTGGTAGCAGGGCACCACGTCGACTTCGACGCCTTGTGCGGTATCGTCGACCTTCCTGGTAAGGACATTCCCACATTCCCGTTCGCTAGCAAGGAAGTTCCGTACTACGCATCGACGTTTGAGGTGGCGCGACAACACCAGCGGAGAAATGGTCCTCTGAACTACTCTCAGCTGCGCGTCAATACCAAGACGCACCCCGAGCTTGCAGAACATGTGATCAAGGACGAGCCCATCATGCCCGCCGCAGGCTACCTCGAAATGGTGAGTTTTCATGCGTCCTCTAGGGTTAGCTTCGCTGACAGGAGTCCAGGCGCTGGAATTTGGTGCGAAGAAGCTGTGGGACGTGGAGTTCATGTCGATCCTGTCGTTGTCGTCTGAGAAGCCAACGCCGGTGGACATTCGACAGGACGGCAATCGGTGGAGTGTGCACAGTGCAACAGCCACGGAGTTTACCAAGACTTGGCCGCCGAACGTACGCTGTGCTTCATATCACAGCTGTGATTTACTCACTCTTGACCCTAGTACAACCGTATTCACGCGAAAGGCTGTCTCGCGAAGAGCGATGACGACTACGAAACCTTGCCCCCTGTGAATATCGCGGAGATCCGCGAGCGCATGAAGCCGATCGAGATGAAAGGTGTGGCGTCCATTTCTTATGCAGTGAAAGACTTAATTTGCTCATACGGCCCTCTGAAGCATTCTACAACGGGTTCTCGTTCGCGCAATATGGTCCGACCTATCAACGGATCATTTCGAGCGGACGCGGGTACGACGAGCAAGGGCGAGAGGAGATACTCGTGGAGGTCCGCGGCGCTGAAAGCGACCTGGGAGAGTGAGTCTTGCATGCTGATGTCGAAAACACTCTACTCAACTTTCCGCATTAGCATTTCCAACTACATTCTTCACCCCGCCATCCTGGATTCAGCGCTCCACATCCTGGTTCACCCCGCCATCACGGGTAACAGGGACAAAGGCCGATACTACCTTCCTGCGAAAATCGGCACGCTCGCAGTCCATGATATTTTGCTGCAGAAACCGTTCCCCGCAAAGATCTTCACGCACGCGACGTTCGTCAAGTGGACGCCTGGTGAGTACAAATGCTCCAATCTCCATGGCATGATTTAATTCCTGCCCAGAATCGTTGGTGTACGACTTCACTGTCGTCACGGAGGCGGGCGAGCGGCTCTGCACCATCACTGACCTCGAAGTTGCTTTGCACGGCAAGACGGCAAAAGTGATCGAAGCCCGCTACGAGCTCGTGCTCCAACCGACGGAAATTCGGGTCAAGCGCGTCGACGCTGCTGCAGCCCAATCTCGGGGACGAACGAGTCCCGCCAGCGATGCATCGTCAGATTCAGGCTACGCCACGGTCGATGGAGAGAAAGGTGCTGCTGACCCCAACGTACGCATCGTCGAGTACGTCAGGGGCCGTGAGCTCGAGCTCCAGCGCTTCTTCGCTGAAGTAGACCCTCTCGCACCACTTTCCCTTTGGTTCGTTGCCACCAATGGCCTGGACGGAGATGCTTCGCTTGGCTTCAGTCGTTCGATCCGCAGGGAGTACCGCTCCTGGAATGTTCATGGCGCCGTCTTCGATGCTTCGTGGACTCTAGAAGAGAGGAAGGCCGCCGTTCATCAACTTGCAGCCGATCCGAATTGCGAGGACGAACTCTCCGTGGACACAGATGGCATCGTATCGGCCCCGCGGATCGTAGAATCTGCTCCGCCAGCAGACAAGACCACCTTCCAAACTGATGAGCCCTGGACGTACGAAGCAGGTGCTTTCAAGCAGATCTCCACCCCTCATGTACCCGAGGATCACGTACTCGTCAACGTTACCGGTGTCGCGCAGAAATATGGCGATGCGTGGGCTTTCGTCGGAAGAGTAGAAGGCAGGGAATCTCCTGTCGCCGGGTTGACATTTGGAGAGCTCTCGAATGTCACCGTCGTGCATGTTGGCAGCCTGGTGGACTTCACCCCTCTAGACGGTCTCGTTCCTCAATTCTTCGCTAACGCAGTTGCCGGTGCAGCTATCGGACCCGCAGCTTTCGCTGAACCCTCTCGTCTCGGGAAGTCGACAGTTGTCGTCACACATGCCGATTCAGCTTTGGGCAGCGAGCTCCTGGCCGTTTACGACCGCATAGGCGTGCAAGCAGCTGCGTTACCAGCCGCAGCGAGTCTTTCGGAAATACGGGCTGTCCTGTCTCAGCACCCGAAGTACGTTGTCTCCGGGTCGGATGGATCGCACGGGAACGTCCTTCTCGATGATCTTCTTCGCCATCCCCGGTACAAGATCTTTGCTTGGGATGACTCATACCATGGGCTGAGAACGCTTTTGGCTGATGACCCGTGGTCAGTAGGCGATATCCTACGGTCGGCCCTAAACAGGCAGCCCGACTTTTCGGAGCTTGTCCGCCAGCCACTCGACCTAGTCGAGGCGCTTCCGGAGGAGGTCCCAATCGCCACCGACCTGTTCAATGCAAAGAAGGCATACCTGCTCATCGGTGGAATCGGCAGTCTTGGCTTGCAAATCGCGCTTTGGATGTACGAGGTAAGGCGTACATGAAGTATGTCATGCAGGAACGTGGACTGACTTTCTTTGAAGCAAGGAGCACGGTGCATCGTTCTGACATCCCGTTCGGGACGTGAGTCGCTTACCCGAAAGGCTGAGTTCATATCCTTGCGACTGCTCTCGTACCTTGAGTCGCTCCCGGATCTCACGTTACTGGTGGAAGCCGTTGATGCGACGTCTCCGTTCGCCATGCGTGCTCTCCTGTCTAGCCTTGATCTACCTCTGGGCGGATGCATGATTTTGAGCGCTGCCATGGTTGACAGGACATTTGCGATGCAGACCCATGAATCATTCGAGGCGTCCGTGGAAGCCAAGATCGGCGTTTTCCATGTACTTGAAGACGTTCTCGATGGCAAGGAAGGCATGGAGAAGCTAGAATTCGTGGTCGCAACGTCGAGCGTATGCGGTTTGTTCGGGAATGCCGGTCAAACGAACTATGCATGGTGAGGCTGCATGATCATGTGGTTCTGGTTTTCGGCTAACCGAATTCGAAAGCGCCAATACAGGATTGACCGGTTTGACGAGCAAGTACTCGACCGCTTGCACAGTGGTTGCACCTTTCATCGTTGACACTGGGCTGCACGTCTCTATCTCCACGAGCGACATTGTGTACTGGACCCGCTTCAAGCATCTTCATAGCTGGGGCATGACAGGTTGGGGTACGTACTACATTATCCTCAAATTTTCCTCGCAACTGACGTCCATATCCTTACAGAACTCTGCGAATATATTGGCGATGCTATTAAGAAAGTACGCTCCGGATCTGGGAGACGTGCCTGGCAATACATCCCCGCTTTCGACTGGTCGACCGTGCAGAAGAACCTTGGCCGCTCCCCTCTCTACGACCATCTTGTCCCTACTTCCGAGGTTGACGCCGTTCAGGAGAACGGCGCAGACGCTTCTATTGCCTCGATCATCTGTCGTGTCCTCGATATCGCGCCGGGCGACCTGAACGCGGATGTGCCGTTGACGTCGTACGGGCTCGACTCTCTCAGCGCTGCGGCACTGTCGCATGCGCTTCGGGAGGTCGTAGCCGTGTCTCAAATTCAATTGCTTGCCGATGTTACCGTGGCAGTTCTGGAGAAACGGCGAGAGGAGGCACTGGCTAGCGGCTCTGGTGAAGATCTTACGAGTGGGCAGGAGCAGATGGGCCCTAAGGAGAAGGAGATGGTGGCCATGCTGGAGCGTTACGGCAAAGACTTGCCCGTGCGAGAACCCATCAACGGTGAGACGGACGGGAAGAAGGTGGTCCTCGTCACAGGATCGACTGGTAGCGTTGGAGCGCATCTGCTCGTACGCCTGCTGCGTAGCTCCCAGTGCGAGAAGGTCTACACCCTCGTGCGGAAGGGTGCATATGGCCAGACTGCGAAGGCTAGGCAGAAGACGGCACTCGAATCACGAGGTCTTGACATCGGTGTCGTCGAGATGGACACGTTGGCCGTGCTGGAGGGTGATCTTCTTGCTTACCAGCTCGGCGTGGGTGCAGAGATGTACTCGGAGCTCACGCAAACCGTCACACATGTGATCCACCTAGGTAATTATCCTGACATGCTTCTATGAAGATATGCTGACGAAGGCCCTGTGCAGCCTGGCCAATCGACTTTGGTACTCCCCTCGCTAACTTTGAGTCTGCCATTGCTGGACTGCGGAAGCTGCTCGACTTCTCAACTGCCGCCCGTGCGCAGTCTCGTATGCGACTGCTCTTTGCCAGCACAGCAGGCATCTTCCGAAGTGCGTATCATAGACATCGTATCTAATATGCTAATCCGTTAACATGTCATATGATCTAGGGTACATCTCCAAGGATCCCATCGCTGAAGACCTCGTCGACAACCCGTCCGTCGCCATCGGGTCGGGCTATAGCGAGTCGAAGTGGGTTGCAGAGCAGCTTCTGAAGAGGGCGGCTGAGCGGAACATCTGCAACCCGTCGATCGTACGCCTCGGTCAGCTCAGTGGTGGCGCAAATGGTGCATGGCGCACGACTGAATGGATACCCTCCATGATCTCCACGAGCCTTGCGCTTGGCTGTCTCCCCGATGGTTCTGGCGACGCAACGTGGATACCAGTTGACACCTCCGCTGCTGCCATGGTAGACTTCCTCGATACTCCTGCCCGCGTCCTGCATGTGCAGCACCCTCGTCCCGTCTCTTGGTCTGCCGCTATGCACCACTTCTCTTCCGCTCTCAACCTACCCATCGCACCATACACCGAGTGGTACTCGCGTCTGGAGTCGGGCCTCTCATTCACGTCGGATCCGGCCTCGACCCAATATCTTGAACGTGGTCTGCGTTTGCTCGAGTTCTTCCGTCTGCCGCTTCTCCTCGAGGACAGCAACCCCCGACCGGATGTCATGAACACGCTGGTACACGGTATGGATATCAAGAATGCTCTTGAGGCGTCCGTCACGCTGCAGGATCCGGAGTTGCCTGGGATTGATCGCGAGGACGTGGATCGCTGGATCGGGTACTGGCGTAGCATTGGATATCTGCCGGGCAACTGAGTCGCTTCATCGCCGTCGAATGTGTGTATATTATTATCCGTCGGCTGTTGTGTTAATAGACTGTACGACATGACATGACTAGTTCTGTGCTGCCGCTGTGTTCGTCGTATACTTGTAGTAGTGTCGTACGCAAATCGCTATCGATGAATGTTATTTGTTTGTTCATCAGTGCGATGCGTTTGCGTGGGTGACGTGAACATCGGTATGATAGCCCTGATCCTCTCGCGTCTTAAGGGACATTGCACGGTGCGATTCATAGAAATCTGGAGATGGCTGCGACCCGTGCGGTTCGCGCGTGTGCGGTTTCCCCTACGCTAGGTATGGTCCACAGTGGCACTCCACACTGCAGATCTAGTATGCACTGCTCCCGCTGACATTTGTCCACTGTTTCGAGAAATGCGTAAATACGGGCACGATGTCGTATAAGATAGTTCAAAACACCATCAGGGGTAAGTCTTGGGCGTCGTGAGAGTTGTGCGGTTTTGAAAGTGCCAGTGATACATAGTGTGGTCTCGGTGTGATGAAACTGCTAGAGTCCATCTCAAGGTGATGCGACACTGGCAGGTCTCGGGTATCCATCTATCTTGAAATATGAGGGTCACTCCTTGGGATAGCTCTCCGACGTGCTGTGTAGCCTATGTGACATAAATGGCCCCTGGCCGTCTGTGGAAGGCGCTCCATACCGACTGCCCCCTTTCCGATCAGTATTTTCAGGACAGGCAGACTGACGCATCGCAATGGTCCTCCCTTTTCTGCCTGTCAAGCTCAGCTTGAACATCAAGGTGAATCATAGGCACCACACGACGGTAACGCGACGGATCGCTGCCCCTCAAGCCGCTCATCATTCCTCGCATTCCTCGCACTCTTCGTCTACGACGAAGCCGCATTCGGTACATAAGCTTTGTGCCTACCCTTTTGGTGATTGCCGCTGACACCAAGTATTCTATCCCAGGAGCATGCGAAGAAGGCTGTCAAGGCCGCACCTGAGAGGAAGTCAGATGATACTCCGGTGCGTTACGAGCGGAGCTCTCGACACGTACATGCGGTAAGGTTGTTCGAGAGCCGTTGAACATTGTTTACAGGCGAAGAAGTCAAGCCATTCGCATGATGGCCACCACCACCATTCGTCGTCATCTAGCTCCAAGCCAGCCGCCAAGAAGACGTCAAGTCACAAACACTAGCCCACGTTATGAGGCGCAGCGTAGTCTGAGTTCAGGTTTATGTCGAACAGCTCACGTACATTCATGACAGTCAGTCTGATTGGTCAAACGAGAATCCATTGTACAACAGCTTACTATACTGTGCTATCATTCGAGTTGAACATGCAGGCTAACCTATACGAGAAGACTAGTCGTGCGCGATCTTGACCACCCTATGGAGTTGAACATCATGAGTATGGAAGTAAGCCAGAAAGCCGAGGACATCGGTGATGAGGACGTACAGCTTGCCATTGTTCTCACCTCTGAAGAGCATGTTGATTGCCATCGGAACTTCTTCAATGCCTTCGAGGATATGGTACTTGGATTTCAAGGCACCCTGGGCAACCTTCTCCGCGAGGTATGCTCTGGCGTCTGCAAAACGGTGCCCTTGGTCTATGCTGAGATTCATCACGGAAATATCAGTTCGTGCAATTGGTACAATATACACGATGACCGTAACGTACAGACTGAAACCTTCCACTCTAGCTCGGTGGAAGAAGACGTGCGAGAAGTTCTTGAAAGGCACTGCTTCGCTGGCTGAAGGGTGGTCAGGAAGGTGCAAGCTCGATCAGCCTGTGCTTGTAGACTTACTGTACGAAGAGATGGAACCTGATGCGAGGGTCATTCAGTGTGAGCAAACCGCGCCACAGTACTCGACAATAGGCATTAAGCCACTCACCGCACAAGACCACCCTTGCATGCATGTTCAGCCTCGTGAGCGCGAAGTCCAGAATCTCGCCTCCGACGTTGTCGAAGAACACGTCAATCTTGCCGAACTCGCGAACGAAATCCTCACGGAAGGTGGGACTCTTATAGTTTAGCGCCTTCACAACGCCGACATCCTCTTCGAGATACTTGCACTTCTCGGCAGAGCCGACGGTCCCGTATACCTTCGCCCCTTTGTCCTTCCCCAGCTGGCAGACAAGGGAACCAACGGCGCCTGCGGCACCCGAGACGACGAGGGTCTCGCCCGCTTTGATCTGGCCTATGTCAAAGAGGCCCTTCATGAGGCTTGCAGTGAGTACCAATGGGTAACTCGGACGCAATGGACTTACTATGTACGCAGTGATGCCTAAGTCGATTGGAGTGAGTCCCGGAGATGACTCAAATCGATGAGACGAAGCATACCTGGATGTCCCAAGGGACCAATGAAATCAAGTAGCTGTGATCGCTCTGAGAGACTGTCAATGAGCGGCGCGACAGCTGGTGAGCTGACGGCATCCAACTCAGTGGGGACTACGCACTCTATTTTGGTCAGCGTGCTTGCTTTCACTGTGTTATACTCGGTGACGCCTAATCAGGGCAACAGTACAGTCCCAATCAATGACCTTATCCCGGCCAGTATAGGTGCCGCATTTCACTCACCAACCGTTCCGCTGACGTGGTCGCCTACTGAGAAGCCGCTGTTCTCGCCAGCCTCGATTACCGTGGCAAGGCCGATGCCTCTCATAGTTTGACCGACTTGCACCGGAGCAGTATAGTTGAACTCGTTGTCCCCATCATTGATCCACAGCCGCATCGCAGGGTCAAGCGAGAGATAGTCAATCCTGACGACGACTTCATCTGCACCCGGCTTCAGGTCAAAAGGTACCTCTTCGGCACGGAAGGTCTTCACATCGATTAGACCCTTGGTTGGTTGAGCGTAGACAATGCGAGTGTAGGATTGCGGCGACACTGGCATCGTGTGACAGAAGCGATTCAAGTGGGTGAGTAATGCAGGTTGGAGGTCAAGGAATCACGCAGCGTTGATGTTCAGCCCACTGGCATATACACCCCTTTATATACACCCCAGCTGACCCACATCATTGACCTAGATAGAGCGCATGTATGACCACTCGAGATCATCAAGCTACCAGCCAGCCATACAGTGGCGCTGAGCTGTCACACACAACTGACGTCGGTTGGTCTACAGCCTGAGTATTCTCGCCGTCAACTCGCTGATAAAAATGATGCTAAAATGAGAAGATCTTGGTAAGTGAAGAACACGTAACACAACCAGTCAATGGCAACAGACACTCACTTTGTCTATTATACTGAGCTTGACGTCGACACTGACTGAGTAATGCAGGTCGGACTCGGAGTGGTGGTGGGGGCTCCTGATGAAGCATATTTGGTATTATTTATCATAGGTGGCTGCATGTCCAGACCACCGTGACGATTTTCCGACATCCCATAATCGCACTTCCATCGAAGTACTTAATACCTTAACTGCTGTATGTATGTGAAGGTGTGAGGACGTTACGGCGACGCGTTGTTCCTCATAGAAAACTGGTGATCGGGCCAGTGGATGGACAAAAACACGCTTGGCGGCACTTCTCAAGTTCGGACACCAAGAACATGCTACAGCCTGGAACAGAGAGCGAGTGACCGCGAGAGTAACTCGCTAGAGCTATGAAGGTGGTGTGGCGAAGATGGGCGAGACGCGCTACTTGAAGTTCATTGATCAACTTGAAGTGTGCCACAGACGCGACAGCTAGATCACGTGGGCGTTATAAGGCTGCTCGTGATGCCAGAAATTATCATCAGTTGTATGTACGTACAACCTTGGTACAACCAGAGCAGAGCATCTTCTTTCCTTGAAGATTTGGTTGGGCTTTGTGACAGCCCCAGGACAGCCCAAGAAAATTGAATATCTGCGCGAGTGAGCGCCACATTAAAGCGTCAATGTAAGTACGCACGACATCAACGAATTGAAACACCGCTAGTGATCCTCTGGAAGTTACTTGCCATATCATTTCACTCTGTGCCCCGAACTTGAGAACGTAAGTATCCAACAGTGTCTGGTAACTCTTTGTTCGCAACGGACAACAGTTCAAGGTCAGGTCTCGACAGATGGAATCGGATGGGGAACGTGTGCGCAAGCGTCAAAAGTGCTCAGATCGCAACTCGGACAACGTGGCCTCTGGCTTGCCCGCAACCTCAATGACAACAGACGCGCCACTGGCAATGAAAAGTACCCTCAAGGGCCGACGAAGATACAATGCAGACATTGCGGACATGGAGAAACATCGCAACAGTGTTTTGAGCGCGGTACATTGAGAGTTGCAGGTACGTTATGAGACTGCTCGATGTGATTCGGACTTCAACGTCGCGCAACGCGTCGTGTCGCAGACTTTCGACGTGGAGACGAAGACAGCACGTTTGAATGTCGTATTGTGGGCTCGGACCAGCGAGTAATGGCGGCCTTGAACTTCTTCATCTCTGGTGAGCGCGATAGCCCTCAAGTGGCGTCACGCATGGGCAGCGAATTCACGCGTCTGCCACCTAGACACGTCCGACTACCCGGAGAACCACACGTTCTTCTGCCATTCATCCGACGAGAATGTCCCTGATGTCGTCGCGCAAGCGATTGAAGCTCTGCACGAGGAGCAGTCGCGTGCCATCGAGGACATGCTAGAGAGGCTACTGACCGTGCTCGCGAAGAAGCTTGCGGGCGACGTAGACACGGATGAAGAGATGGAGGAAGACGACTTCGACTACGATGGACACTCGGACGACGGACTAGATCTCGACATCGTCGACAAGGAGAAGATCGACTACCGCCTGCTACAAACGTCTGTCTCGGGCTTTCCTACAACTTTGATACATGCACTGATGAGGCTGCAGCCATTTCAACGAGGTGGTGGCCTACGGATACCGCCCAGGCTTCATACCGTTCGGAGTCGACGACTTTGTGCTCTCAGTCTCTATCCCGATCATCAGGCTTGCGCGGGACATCCCCGCCCGTGCCCTGATGGCCTGGGACAGACGGCTGCTCTCGCGAACGCAGCATCTGACGTTGCTGGTGACAGGTTTGCGTGGCACATACCCCGTGCTACAGGCCGACGGCACAGTGCGCTCGGATGCGGCCATGCGTGGCATCTCTCCGCAATTCAGGATCGGACTCACGCCGATCTACAAGCCGCAGAAGGAGCATGTGGCGGCGGTCGTGCGCGTGTTTGGGTTGAAGGAGCAGCCGTCTGACGCGCCGCCCGCCAAGGAGCTCTTCGACGAGCCCTTGTCGGATGACGAAGGAGACATAGCACTGCCCTCGGATGAAGAGCCAGCAGTCGAGGAATCCACCTTCCAGCCGTTCAGCTTGAGCGCCTCGCTAGAGACTCTGTTGAACCAGCGTTTCTTGCGTGTCGTCCAGCTAAGGCTGGAGCATGAGCTCGGCTGGGCCGGAGCGGAAATACTGGCATGGGAGGCCGAGAAGCTTCAGAAGAAGCCTGTCGACATCCTAAAGAGTATGAGGAAGGTAAGTGTCCGTGCGTTGGTCCATGGCTATGCTGAGGATTTGTCCTACATTACTTGGCTCAGCAAATACGGCAAGCCGATGAGAAGGAAGCGGAGCTTGCCAGTAGCTACAACTTGCCACCTGATCCTCTCCTAGGCAATGAGCGCTCCGCTCCGCTGAATCTTCCCTTGCTGGCTTTCTGTTACTTGCTACGACGGTTGACAGTAGGTTTGCACGTTGTGATTAAATATCCTGATATCTGAGCGTTCACAGTTGTGTCCTCGCTACTGCGTCGTGTGCCACGAAGAGCTCAAGACAGGGTATGAATCTCTCAAGCCGTATGTCTGCGACACAGGACTCTGCACATACCAATATTACAACCTCAACCTCGGCCCCACGTTGGAGGTAAGTGTACGGCTGCGCGATGCCGTTGCTCGCTGATTATCTCTCCGAAGTATGAAATCTGCGAGAATACAGACATCGTGGACCTCCTTGTCTCTATCACATACATTGCCGCGAAAGAGTCGTCCACAGAAGGTCCCTTCCCTATCGGCATGGGTCTTCGTGTGCCACACATGCCGGGGGTAACCGTGCCCATGGACGAAGAAAAGCTCTGTGACTTTGATCAGCTGACTCCGCTCCAAGTACGTTTCGTGCACGTTCAGTGGTGCGGAGAGCGAGATCATGCTAATCCGTACAAGATGTGTAAATCTGTCGTTGAACTGTTCAAGTCGCTGCCTTCCGTGCGTGTTCCCGCTTTATGGTGATTCATATCACTAATGTCGGGACTAGATTGCGTCCATGAAGAAGCATCTGGAGAAGCCGGTCGTCATTGGAAGATCCAAGCCCAAGCTTAGGGACGTGGCTCCCACTGTACCCATTGCCGCATGGTTGCTTCTTCGATGGTGAGTTTGTGAACGAGATCAGTCTTATCGGTAACCAACGAGGAGTGGCATAGGTGTGTTGGATCCTGTATGGCTCACTTGGAAGAATTGCGCTCGCAAGAGGACCGTATCACCAACATAGGTATTAGTTTCACTGTGTTGAATCATCATATCCATTCCTCACGTATTCATAGATCCTTCCTGGAGGCAGTTCCGCTTCAGTGTAGGTGCCCCTGACGCCGAGGCCAAATTTCAAAGCGCCCTGGCAGAAGTGCAGCAGACCGATGCCAACTCTGTAAAATATCCTTCACTCTATGTGTGTCCATACAAACTGGGACACCAACTATTGCTGACGACGACCTCCTGTTAGGCGTTCCATGGATCCCCGTTGAAAAATTGGCACTCAGTACGTGATGATGGCTTCCACTGTCGAACAAGCTAAAATGCTCGTAGATCATTCGGCATGGATTGTGGTTCAAGACAGTTGCTCACGGAAGAGCTTACGGAGACGGTGGGTTATCAAAATAATGAATATAATAGCTCATATCGACACGAAGGACAGGTGTCTATTTCGCGAAGGATGGCACGGTCTCGCAAGGTTACTCAGCTCGGGCGCAGACTGGTTGGAAGAGCAGCTCACTCAACATACAATCATGCGTTGCTCTCGCTCAAATCGTCAACATGCCCTCGCGATTCGTGAGCACGAACCCTTATCTGGTGGTTGCGAACACGAATTGGATCATCTGGTAAGCCCGCGCCGACGCCCATACCTAAATTTTGATGCTTGATACTCGTACAGCCGATACCTTCTCGTCCATTCCGCCAATCCAGATGCCGCAGCAGAAGAGCGATCTACCGAACTCAGCATTCCGTATGTCGAGTTAGATCCCGCCAATCGGTTGACGATGGCCACTAGAGAGGTGCAAGTCCCGGAACCTTCCTACAGGCTCGAGAAGCTTCTGTCTGCACGACGTGATGAATACCTCGAGGTCGACTATGACGCGGACGACATGACTGTTTTCAAGAACGGCGAGACCATCTCCCAATCACCAACGAACGCGCTGCAGGGGGCAACAGATGAAAGCGATTGGGTCCATGATCCTGTCTGGGTGAACGCTAGCATCGAGAACGTACTGCCTCCCCCTTCGGAGTCCAGTCTGCAAGCAACGATGGCGGTGCAGAGAGAGCTAAAGGCGATGCTGAAGGAACAAGAACAAGCGAAGACAATGAGAGAGCTCGGGTGGCATTTGCCGACAGAATTCATAGGAGATAATTTGTACCAATGGATCGTGGAGTTCATTCCTTCGACAAGGACCTTGCGATAGCCAAGGATATGGAAGCCCGGTGAGTACTAGCACTCGTAGATCACGGTTGCACGACTGAAAGGATGATTCAGAAACGTCACTTCTCTTGTCTTCGAGATCCGATTTCCCCACACGTTCCCCCATAGCCCGCCGTTCTTTCGTATCTTAAAGCCGCGACTTCTGCCCTTTATCTTGGCAAGCGAGGTTAGTTTTGATCTGTGTATTCGTCTGACCAAATCTCTAGGGCGGTGGAGGACATGTAACGGGTGGTAAGTGTATCCTCACCTTGTCTTAGGATTCCATCAGACAGTCTTCTAGGTGGTTCTATGTGCATGGATCTACTGACGGCCGATGGTGAGCTGTGTCTAAGGTTATGGACGCCGTCTCGCTGACGCTTCTATGTGAGGCTGGCTGCCAAGCTACAGGTTCGTATTCGTAATCGTCTGTATTGCCCATGCAACTCAAAGCTGGCGAGCAGCATTTCGGCTATCTTGCTACAGATCAAACTAGCTATATCAAACGTGGAGCCTCGTCCCGCCCGACTTGCGCAGAATTGGGACGTGTGCGTAATGCCTGGTCGACAGCTTTATGTTCATCTAATGACCGTTCGTCGTGTCAGACCTTACGGAATGCAAGAAGCGTTAGACGGCTACAAAAGAGCAGCAAATACTCATGGATGGACGGTAATGGTCGTTACACGCTCCGCAAAACATCGCTAATCGGTGTGCAGATCCCGCGAGGGTTGGAGAAACTCGCACGTTGACTTGAGGGGTGCTGGCAGCCAGAGTGAACTTCACCGGACATTCATCATACACATCATTTCGCGCAACGTCTGCTTCCATTTCATAGTTGCTACATTTATGAGCATTCAGCATAGTACCGGTCACAACGTACAAAGATGTACAAGATATTACGCAACAATACGAGATCCCTGGCATACGAAGCACTGCTACTACAGAGCCATTGTATTTCTAGATGTAGATGGGCAACGTCGGGTTAAGGCCAATCCAATCGGCACCTTCCACGAAGTCCTTCTGGTCGATCAAGAAATCCTGCGGTACATATTCGTGAATGACAAGTACCATCGGCATCAAGTGTGACTCACTATTGGACACTCAACAAGAGCCCCTCTGACTTTCGAGACGCGGTCTTTGACGCGGTCAGCGAGATATCGGGCACGACATGACCGGGGAGGACCGTCGGCACGTAGCGCTAGCCATGATGTTAATGCACTGATGCCCACCCACATGGCTGCAAATGCCTACCGAGTATGCATCCCAGTCTCGGACGAGATTCGTCGGAACAGGCCGGAATACCTCCGTGAAGATGTCACGGTTGTTCTTTGCGGTACGGTTCCAGAGGTCGACAGTCTCATCCGCGAGAGGATCAGCTACCACTTGTCCTCATCGTCACCGGTTTCATCGTCATTCGGGTGAGGTGCCGGGCGCATGAAAGACGTAACGTGCTCCTGTTGCCCCGTGCAGAGCTGTGGCGCCATAAGACCGAGGTGCTCTGTGCCAGAGCTTAGTGGTCGGCCAATGAAAACACTGTTTCACTGTACCTCTGTAAAGCTTCCTGCGAAGCGTGGCGGCAAAGCGAGTCGCCATGTATGGTCGCCCATCCATAGTCGTCTCGATCATGTCTTCGTCTTCGACCACCAGGGCGATCTCAGAATCGCCATCACCCTGAGGGTACTATTTAGCACGTGTCCACAACTAAATGTATCTACCATACCTTCTGACTGCGATCGTTGATGTTAGCGGAGCCCATCTGGCCATATATGAGTTTAGGACGAACACCAAAGAGTTGCACAGAATACGCACGATGACCCGCCGATCGTCCACAATCATCAACTTCGAGTGGATGTATAGCAACTCAGATACATAGGCAGCCTTCTCCTCATCGGGAGTACCCAGCCATCCCTCCTCCTTCAAGTCCGTGCGGTCATGCATCATGTGCTGCACAACATTATCTGAGATATCACCGCCCCCTCGGAGACGGATGGCGGTATCGTGCCATCGGTCAACAATGTCCTTCGCCTCCTCGTACGACTGAGGCAGTTGGTATGTCTCCGTCTTGAGCTCGGGCTTGCCACCGGACGCAGTGATCTCCTCGGCCAATTTGCCTGTAGGGAGAACGACGGTGGTCTCCTTCGGTGCATTATGTTCTTCATCTCTCCCTACCCACATGCGAGCTAAGGCTGTCATGGCTTGGTGGAACGTGATGCCGCTCTGCTGTTCCAGAGCCTTCAAGAAGGTCTCTACAGAAGCATGGCACTCAGAAATCCATCGATGCAGCAACGGTCAATGTGCACAAACCATACGGAGCATTGATACGGTCGTATGCACGCAGGTGATAGAAACGAATATAATCCGTACTGACCGTCTTGTGAGCAGTTATCATGGCAAGATTAGCAGCGACTCACGGTTCGTATCCAGCTTTGCGAATCTCCTCATAGATGCTGTGACCACCACGGTTCATGGTACGGTATTGCGCGGCCATGATTGTCCTGACAGAAGTTTCATCCTTCACTGAGCACGGTTGCGACTCGTGGTAAGTTTGGAGTTATTGCAATACAGTGCGGATGCTTACCTTGCCCCGCGAATCCAGGAACCTCTGGGATGACGATCACAACCTTCAGACGACAAGATTCATAAGCAAAGGACAGTCATTGGGCATCCGACAAGCATGCCGACCTTGAATTTCTGGCCGTCCCGTGCGGCCTGGAGGATACGGTCGACGAGGGCCTTAGCGATCAGATTCTTGACAGGGCCATCCTCTTGGGTGTTCGAGATGCTACGGGAATATTCGTCATGAGGACCCTTGGAGGCGCGAGAAAATCAATACGTACAAGAACTGGTTCTCTGGAGGCCCTTTCATTCAGCGATTTCCGAAGTCAAAGTCAGCCAAGACCACTCACCGATGTAGATGTGATGGCTAGCCTCCATGATCAACTGACGATCTGCACAGCCGTCCGTCAACACACTCCCCAATTCAGGCAAGGATCGACCCACAAGCATTCTGAATGCTGTGCTCCGTAAGCACGCCGTGGCTCCAGTCGCTAACACTGCGGACTGCCTGCACCGTGCTTGAACCGTTTGGCGGGCGAGGGTATAGCAGCGGGTCGTCCAGTATATCAGTCTCGTTTCTGAGATGATGCCCGTGGAAGCGCTGGCGGAATCGGTGGCCCATGCTGTGCCAAGCTTCGCGGTACGGGTGGCCTATGGAGGATCAGTAACAGAATTGGAGGCTACTGAGGAAGGAACGCACGCGCGACGGCTTCGTCGGGAGCCTCATCGATGTCGTGGGGCAGCGCAAGCCAGTCGTAGCGGCTACAAGAGGGAAGTTAGCTTAGCGAAAGAGGAAGCTCCTCTCCGGGCACCCACGTATCCTGGCTGTACTGTTTTGCATACAAACGTCATCTTGAGTTTAAGAACCAATAGAACATAACGAACCTTGCGTTTCTTGACTTCGTTCCAACGCTCGACAAAGTGCTGCACCAGGTCCAGCACCGATGGACCGCACAGGGTCATATGGACCTATGCCATGCCTCGTTAACCACGCACAATGTCAATGACTTTTGAATCAGGAGCGCACATCATGCCACGGCATCCTAGCCGTCTCGATGATACTAAGGCCGTTGCTGACGTAGTTCTGGACGTCCTTGAAGTCCAGCACACGTGCGTTGTTGTAGTCCTGGCCGGCAAAGAGCGTGCGCGTAAAGTCCGTCGGGTGCACGTCTGCAAGCGGGTGCGTGTGCGTGTCCCAGCGCCCAAAACAAATGTCCAACCCTCCGACGCAAGCGCGGTGGTTGTCGACGATTACGAGCTGCCGGACTAGTTAGAAGAGATGAGGCGCATCCCGCAACTACGTTACGGACCTTCTCATGGTGCGACCAGAACTCGACGTCGTCTGCAGGACTGTCAATTTGCGTGTAGTGAGCACACGGAGATCGACATACCCTTGCTGCCGATGTGGTCCGGGTGGCGCATGCACGCGATGTTCGGATGCAAGTCCTCGAGAGCGTGCTGCAAATGCACATGTCAAACGGAGTCATGCTTGCAAGCTTGCAACGCGACGCACCTTGGTGTGAGAAGAGCTCATGGACATGGTCTGAGTGACCTCCTTGTACACCACGACGTAGATTTTCACGCCCTCCTCCGCCTTGCGCTTCAACAGACGATCCAGACGCCATTCTTGATTGTGAGCCGGCGGTCGGCGCAGGTACAACTCTGGGGTGAGCCACCAGTCCTGGGTCACACAATCATTGGGTGTGCCGACCTAGCTGATGTGAAGAGGGCACGTACGAGGATGAAGATGCACTCTCTCGCGCTGTCCAGTATCTCGGAGAGCGCGTACATATAATCATGGCCGTCGATGTGCCTGCAGGGCTCCTTCAGCGACCGTTCCCCTCGGCATCGGATCCCACAGCAGCGTGATACGTTACCATTTGACAAAGTTGGCATGCCGTTTGTCTGCGAAGGACTGGAAACGATGGCCGTCGTTGATCTCCTGACGAAGCGCGTCAACACGCTGCTCCTCGGGCGAGTCGTGCCTGCCTGAATGAGATCACGATGATCGGCGCTGCAGATCGACGAGCGAATGCAGGCTACGCACGGTTCGGGGTCAGAAAGCCTGCGATCGATGTCGGATCGTCAGCGACTGCACGACGTATAATGTCTATGTGCACGCACCTTCGACGGTCGCCCGGGCATGGTCAAGCCCCTTATCGAGCTTCTGAAATTCATGATCGACGGCGTGCTTGATGTTCTGAAACAAGTGCGACATCCTGAGCGCAGCGTTGTGGTGAGAGCGATGATAGAGGGCTGTCTTCAAGCAACGAGATGTCCTGGTATCACATAAAGGAGTGGGCGCGCGATTCAATCACGCTGCCCAGCCTGGAGCGAAGAATCGGGTCGACGGCGACGGCGACGGCAAGAGATGGTCGCGCTGCGCCTTCGGCAACCGCCGTCAGATGTGATCGTATATTTCCTTGGCCGCCAAGTCCATTCTCTAGCGGCAGATGCAGTCGGCGCATGCGCAGTGGTACAGGGAAGAGCATAGGAGACAAATCTTGAGGAAATTGGCAGGACACGGTGGTGGTGTAAGGATGGTATATGACAGTGGAACGCCGACATCAGCTCGGACTAATCCGCCACAGTGTAGGGCCACGTGGGAGAGCGAATTGTGGGCAAAGTGTCGATATTCATTGGCATGCTGCGAGGTATGCGAGGTATGGCAATGTGATTAATATACGTTGAATGAAGAGCGACGGACATACGAGTGTGGATAGTAGTACCAGGACATCTCGTGCTGATCTACAACATGTCGACAATTGTCAACCTGGAGGGAAGAGCGCCGCGTTCTTGGCGGCTAGTAGGCTAGGGCCGGGGGAGTCTCAAATTGAGACGATTTTGAGGTAGTGAAACGTTCACTTGTCATGCAGCACCCAAAACACAAAGTGGGTCACTGGTGAAACTGCCACATAGTGAGTTTGTCGCTTCGACACTCGTAGCGACACGCTATACTTACCATGGTTCCTCGACCTCTCATCTAGTGCGTATGACAAGTCAACATCGCCTTAATGTATGCGCCTGTGACTTGCAGTCGAAGTCGTTCACGTCGAGACATCGACCGGGATGTTGCTGAAAGTCGGTTTTGACGAACATGTCTTGCATGAGATGCATACTATATGCGAGTCTCGCCAACAGCGAGACAAGCGGTGTACCTTTGAGCGCCAGCGGGTCCTTGAGTGATGTAGAGGATAGGTTATGGTCATGGTGCGGAAAGAAAGGGCATTGACACTCCGACGTGGCGCCCAGCCGAAGGGCACGAAATCATACGGGAGTGAGTTTCATGAGTGCATGCGAATTCTCGCTAGCATCAGCAGTAACTTACAAGGGATAAAACTCAGACCAAGTCAAGTTACCGGTATAAACCACTTCAACCATATAGAAGCCCGACTTCGGACGCTGCGCCTGAACTAAGTAAACAGTAGACGTACTTAGTTCAATGCGGGTGGATTTGAGGGCTTTAACAGTATTAGATACTGAGTCTGTATTAACCAAATTAGCTTTTAGGACGTATGTGTGTTCGCAACAGCCTTCATTTTACTGAAACAATGGGACAAACGCTACGCAGCTATTGCCCGCGGCGCGCACCGTGGACGCGTCTGTGCCACTCACGTGACCGTGTCAGAGCGCGAGCCGCTGCCGCGACGTTCGTTGTCTGAGTCTCACCTTCAAGTTGCTCAGCACTCGATGTCCATGTTGTCGCCTCCTTGCTGTCAAATACTTCTGTGCTTCAAGGTGACTGCTTTTGAAATATAGCTGTTGCCTGGCGACTCATGTAGGCCGGCCTAGCCACTGTCACCGTGACGGTCTGTGGTGCCACTGCTGGCAGCGGTGGACACTTAGTACTTAACCCGCGTAGGGACTCGGGTGGGAAGTTGGAACCTCGTTTCCTGCTCGGTTCGCGGTAGTTCTGCATCGGATGACGCCTGAAAACTGGTCAACTATAACCAGACGCGGGACTCGGTACTTTGCTCTTCCAGTTCGACTGGGCTTTCTGGGAGCGTACCTTCCGACCTATGGTACCCAGAATGTTTGATGTCAAAGTGGCACCTGTCTCTGCATATATTTATGTGCATGCTGCGGCCTGTGCTCAATGGACCTTCTCTGATGGACCTTCTTCATCTTCTAGGATATCTGCATGACGGAACGAGGCAGCTTCTACCATGACCCGGGCATCTTCGATGAGTTGCAGGCTAGGCACAAAACGCGCCTTGACACTTGTAGCTTTCCCATAGTCTCAAGGGTTCGAATCGTTGAAATGCATCAATTCGTTCCATGTCGCATCCGTGCCTTCGTCCTACCCCGTTCCTCACCAAGCGCTCCGGGACGGCTTATTACTATGCTACTCCATTGTCCGACACGCTAGCTCGTCGCTCGCATCTCACCTTTCCTCACAAGCAAAGGGCCCACTCAATACGGGATGGCGGAGGATAGGAACGATACCATCGGGGCCTTGCTCATCGCGACGCTCATCACCGCCGTGTAAGTCCTTGCATCTCCGCGCTGCGCGGCCCGGGGTATTGCTATTCATTCCCGAATGCCGTAACACTGAGTGAATGAACTGCAGAGGGTATGGAGTAACGTCCATGCAAACGTACCAATGGTACCGAGCGTTTCCTCACGACCCGCGGATCATACGATGGGTTGTGAGTCGACCTTCGCGTGAAGCCATAGCAAACGCTGATTGCTGTCTCCGGATTTGAACGTCATCCAGGTGTCGTCTGTATGGTGAGTGCCAGTCTGCGAATTTCAAAGCAAAACCAGAGGTGCAGAGTCTGATTTTGGTCTGATTACTACCTGCAGTGTGCTCGATACGCTCCACATCATACTCATCATGCACATGATCTACTACTACCTTGTTACGAATTATGACAACCCAGACGCATTGGCAGAGTCCGTGTGGTAAGCTGATTCTGACGGTGGACGGGACCTGTTTTGCTGACGTCCGACGTCCGACCCATGCACAGGAGCTGGGATGTGAGTTATGACCAACGTTCCGTTTGGCACTGCGGAAGAATTAATCTATACCAAAGCTTAGCGTCCTGGTCACGGTGGGACAATAGCTTTCTCTAAGTCCAATTGCTGAGGCTGTCTTTGACTCTGTCAGGCTCTTATAACATGCGTTGTCCACGGGTGGGTTGCTTTAACACATCTTCTGTGTTCATCCACTCACAGCACCTCGAGCGTAGGTTCTACGCCCGGCGTGTATATATACGTGCGTACTGATTAATTCTCACATGAACGGCGGGCTGTTTCGACTTACTCGCGGATGCAGTGGGTCATCGGCGTTGGCCTCTCGTCGTCATCATCGTACGCATGCCGCTCGATGCTGAGAACTGCGCGTTGATGCGACATACTGACTTCATGACAACAGGGAGTCTTGTCCTCGGTCAGACTAGGTGTGTCTGCCGCTTTCGTGTACGTTTCTACGATTTGACAGCCCGTTCTGTCACTGGCCAGTATTTGGATGTGGTATGCAACTCCATTACATCACCATGGTACTGTTACACTCATGCATCTTCCTCTCTGCAGTCGTCACAGCTCGCATGTGAGCGTTGATTTTACTGCCGCTCTGTCTGGTCATTTGAATAGTACATACCAATCCGCAGGTTGATCATCCGCACGTTCGCTGGCCTCCCGCACCAGATTGCTGTAAGTCCCGTCTTATCCAGCTTCTGATCTCTACTCAGTCTAGACGTAATGCGCGGCGTTCACCAAATGTGGCGGACGATACTTCATTGGCAGGCTCTCGTTGCAACAGGTATGGGTGCGGGGACGCTCGCCGACTGGATCATCACCGTGTCACTTGTCGTCTTGTTGAGGCGGAAGAAGACGAATTTCAATCAGTGAGTGCTTGTCATCGCCTCGAACGAGACCCTTACGAGTTGTGGATGTTGTAGCAAGTGAGTAGGGTATATTGTACGGCGTTCACGGATGTAGCTGAGTCGTGGGCACGCATACAGAACGGATAGCGTACGTGGCGTGCTCACTACGTGTGCACCTAATTAAAGTGCTGATGGACGGATGGACGCCATAGCTCATCGACAAGCTAACGTATTGGACGGTGAACAACGGACTTCTCACAAGGTGAGCAATGAAGTCCTCGTGCCCAGCGTCTTGTTCACAGAAACATGCCTGTAGTGTAGTGGGCCTCGCTGTAATCATCACCGTACGTTTTCACGCGCAGATCGTTTGTAAGATACATCATCGGGATCCATCTTCTCAGTTCGTGACCATGCCATACAACATGATCTACATGGCGCTGCATCCGCTGCTTAGCAAACGTACGTCCCACTCATCCTGCTTCTACGTCAGTCTCACTCATTCTGTGCTTCCACTTGCAGTCTACGCCAACTCCCTCTTAGCGACGTAAATGCCCCTCTCACCGTCTCCTTCATTACCCCGACGATCTTACCGGGTACACACAGCCTGAACTTCAGAAGCATCCACCGCGACGAAGTCAGTCGCGACGTCGATGCGGCTAATGACGCGGGCAAGTTCCAAGTAGGAATGGGACATGTTCGCTCGCGATCGACGACGGTGTGCTCGTGCAGAGGGGGCCCGGATCTCGAATCGTCTCCGACAGACACGAAGGCAGGTTCGGGGAAGGACGATGAGGTGGGTGGGACGCTGCTTCGAATCCGTGAGATGCGTGGCGCTGATGCGGGGCGGTGATTTCTACAGCAGCACGCGGCGAAGGAAGGGACGAGGACCACTGTTCGGTCTGTGCGGGTGGAATCATACGAGGGCAAGGTAGGTTTAAAACTCTCCAGTGGCGCAGAAAGCCTTCTGATGTCTGTTCCTCAGGCCGACAGCAATGAAAGCGTGTCCCAGACGGCGAGTGAAGTGTAGATGAAGGGCATAGCAGACGGGGTACACATACGCTAGTAAGCAACACAGGCGGCACCCAACCACAGGAGCAGTAAGGAGGACCAGAAATCAGACTTGTACTTAGTAATGATGCTCCCTGAAAAGCAAACATATCAGAAATGGCCGCGCAAGACGTCTCACAGGCCATGAAGCTTGATGCATACCTGCGAAGCTGCAGTTTGTCGTTCATTTGTCTGTCACAGCTACTACCACACAGTAGCAGCCTGAGTAAATTGGCATGACCGAGTCGGAAGGACTGCTTTACAAAGCAATCCCAGGCACCAGGCCCTAGGTGCGGGCAGGAGGAGCCGGCAGGAGGGTCCAAATGGGCTAAGACCAGGGCCAAGTACGGCTGTTTCCTCCGTGCCACAAGCCGCAAGACACTGCCACTGCCGCTGCCCGTCAGAGAACCGACAAAATTGAACGCATATTTCGCAACTAGTACGAACAAGCGTTAAATTCACTGATAAGCTGAGGAGGAGCATCGTCGAGCGTTTAATGGGGGAAAATAAAATTGAATTCGGGAGGTGTAAAGGATTCAGGCCGGAAACATGACATATCTGCTGCCGTGGCTACGTGGAGAACGTGTAACGAACGGGCAGAAGAAACCGCATGAGAGTCACACACCGTTGCAATTGAATCACAGCTTCGTGAGGCTGTTACTCGGCGCTGCACGCATTGTCGATTCACTGCTATTTGACACGCGGTGTCAAGCGCGGTATGCACAGACTCAGGATGTTCCGAAGTAGCCAAGCTATGCATTGAATTATGACGAACGCTTCGTGTGAGATGGCTTACTCACCGGAGCCGAGGCAGAACAAGAGCCGAAGAGAGGCATGGCTGGCTGCGACGCCCGTCGCCGTGGAACAGCGTGTTGTTCAACACCTTTGAGGCCTTGAGCTTGCGGCCCATGGCATAACGCAGACGCGAGGTAGGCAGTGCAAGCGCTGTTGTCTGTAATCAAATGAGAGCCAGAGCTATGCCAGGCCTGCGCGTCCGGGCTGTTTACCCCCGGCAAGCACTGCACTGTGCGCTCAGGGGCCTTCAGGGGCTTTGAAGGGGTCTAGTTCATGGTGAGCACAATATGCTCCACATCGACCAGCGAGCCCAACGACTCTGTCGGTGAAGTGGTTCATCGAATTGTGACGGTGTCGACGAGGAGGAGGACAAGGGAGAAGAATTGCCAATAATGGCTGCTGAGTCAGCATCCCGACGCCCCAAATCGGCACTTGCGGTGCGCAGCAGACTCGAGCTCGTTGCAGCGGGCTGGTGGGTAAATCTCACCTTTCCTCCTCCCATTATCTTCCTCCTGCGCTCCTTCGCTTGTATATTTATCTGACCGCCGAGCGATACCCATCGACTCCCCAGAACACCACCCGCGGCCCAGAGCCTAGAGACGAAGCTACGACAGCGATGACGAACTCAACACTTTGCCCGTCCGACAACACCGCAGTTGTCCAGCAGGATAGTTTTTGGAGCAGCAGTGGCATCAATTGGGATGCCCACCGCATAGGGTGGATCATAGCGGGGTGCTGTGCCTGCGTGGTACGTCTATTCTTGGATCGTTGCCTCGGCTAGGACATGCTGACATTTGGCGGCGGCAGTCTGTTCTGCTCACCCTTTTCAATGTATTGCAACATGCGCGGTGAGCTTTTTCGATGATCCTACTGCTCCTGGAACTGAAGGTGGCGACGCAGGCATTACACCAACCCCGCAGAACAAAGACAAATGTACGTACCTGTTTCCCTTCAACTTGTTCCGGAAAGCTCTCGTAGTTCGTGCACACATCCGTTCCTGCACTGGAGACGACTTGCCCATCCGGGTAGCCTGGGTCGAGCGGCATCGGGGGCCCACAGCCCGGAATAGGAGACGCAACCTCCTCCGGAGAGGTCGCCTGTAGATGGCTCTTCTCTGTTTGCCTAACGTTACAGCACGTTCTCTCCCCCGCTTTATCCATTGATCTGAGCGGCACGAGCAAGGAAGCTGACTTCCGTGCGATGGTTTTGCTACTAATTTTGACACTGCTTTCCATTCTAACGGAGAGTGCCAGACGGACGCTCTCCAGTGCTCAATGGGCCAAGGGTGCTCATCGTTATAGAATAATATTGATCCGGTTGCTCTGTTGACGGGGTTCACGCACCTCTGTCACAATTACGCTTCCCGAGACTGATTGGTGCCCTCATTGACGCAGATGTCTAACTTTTTCTTCTTTAGCATACGAGTACTGTACATGCCAGCCGTTTACGCTGTGATCTCATTTTCTCCTACCGCTTCTTCCGAAGTTATACCTACTATTCCCTTATCGAATCCGGTATGTCCTACGCCGTTCGGATGGTCCATAGCACTCACCATACTGCCCACAGCATATGAGGTGCGCTAGTTGTATTGACATGTGAAACGTCTGTTGTCTAAATCGGCCGTAGTCGGTCACCCTCAGTGCATTCCTGTAAGTTCGACGTATGTATGTCGCTGTGTGGGAACCACTCACTGCATGACCAGCCTCTTGCTGATCGAATTTGTTGCCGCGACGGCAGCTGGGCACAATGTTGACAATGCCATCGCTCGCAAGGACAAGAACAAACTGCCGTTCCCGGTTCGTGCCTAACCCGACCTGTCATTGCACGAGAAACTGAACTCTCTTCTAGTTCTGCTTCTGGAGATACAGACCAACAAAGGTACTTCTGACCGCGTCCGCTGCAACAATTATAGTCTGACGCGTCAGCATAGGCGTACTTTATGTACACGCTGAAGGTACGACGGAGTGAGCATGATTGTGATGTTTTGTCTGACCGTCTTGCAGTGGTCCGTTCTGCAATATGTATCATCCGGCCAGCCATCTCCATCGCCGGTATCATCTGCCAGGCGTATGGCGTCCTCTGCGAGTCTGGGCCTTGGAGCTTCAAAACAGCCAACTCATATTTGAAGTCATTGACGGTGTCAGTATAACGTACGTCCAAAGTTCAGTCGGCTGACTGTTCTCACAACATGCTAACGCGGATGCCTCGCAGAATCGCGCTTTATGGGCTGATCATCTTCTATGCACTTACCAAGGACGAGCTGAAAGGCCGACGACCGCTGGCGAAGTTCCTCTCCATCAAGCTGATCGTCATGTTCACGTTCTACCAGGGTTGGTCGTACGTAGCTATCAGTTGTCTGCTCGCCAGACTCTCACGCCGTCATCCGTCAGTTCGATGCGTTGGAGGGTCGCGTTATCCATGGTGGGCGCTCTTGACATCTTACTCACAGCGTAATTGAACACGCTATGCAGCTACGGAGTACTGGACTGAGACGAACATCGCCAACGGCTTGAATGCCCTTGCGACTTGTATTGAGGTCTGCAGAAAGCTGTATCATGTCGGGCTCAATCGCTGACGTTATGCGTTCAGATGGTGTTCTTCTCAGCCTTCATGATCTGGGCGTTTTCGCATCAGAGTACAGGCCGATGGCGTCACGACAGGCATAGGACGCCCGCTCTGGGACAGCATCAACTACAGTACGTTCACATCCATCCATAGCATCTTACGCTGCCTGACAGACCACGTCCAGTGGACTTCGCCATCGAGATTGCTGGTTCAGTCAAGTTCTTCATCGACTACGTACTCCGCAAGCCGTACACGCGCGGACCCCGGTAACCGTCACGGAGCTCGATGGGAAGACACGGACGAAGATGAACCTGGGCGAGGCGTTCGGCGTCGGCGGACCTCAGTACACGGCGTACGCTCCGAGTGAGTCAGCAACTGGCATGCGTCCCCGGATGAGCTACGACGAGAATATCAGGCTTGCGCCATACACATACGTGAGCCCCAATCCAAATCTGCACCCGTCGGGCGAAGACACGGCCGGGGCGAACATGAGCCCGGCGTCGAGCAGAGGGTCGTTGGATGGGTACCAGGAGCCGAGACAAATGGCCAGACGGCGAAGCAGTACCCGCCGCTGTGAGAGAGGTTTTAGACTGCTCGCTTTGCTTCCTTCGCTGTAATGCCTTCTGTTTTTGTTTGGTCTATAGCTGGTGGACCGACTCCATCTTGTCTCGCTCATACGTCGATATCTAGTGCTTCCTGCGGACATCGTCTTCTCGGCTGCCTGTAAAATCTGTCATTGTCTTGGTATAAACTAATGCACGCGAAATGCTGCTACTTAGGGCGCAATCCGGTGGATGGCGAGGGGGCCTGCGTTTCGGCCTTTGACCAGGCACTGTTCGATTTTGCTGCCTGCAAGCCATGTAAGTAAGCGAAGTAGTAATGGGCTAACTGATCTAACAGCGGTTTACTGACTGATGCTTACCCCGGTTACGATACCGGGTAACGGAGCTACTGATCTCGTAATCGCACGTGATTGAAGTTGTTAGCCGCCAAGCTCTGGCCGCCAAGCTCGTCGCGGCCGACCTTCCTGTTCTCGACGACGACGACGGAGCCGCTGCTCGCCCACTCCCTCCTTTCACTTCACGTTCTCTACTTTACGCTCCTTCAACCGTGAATCCAACGGATGGCAAACGGTCACGACAAAATTCGTAGCGGGCACGCCGTTGCCCCGCACGGACATCGTAAACGCGACTGTGAGTTGACCTAGTTACTTCTGAGGGTATATTTTGTTAGCAGGGCTGTCCATCTACCAAGGCGGTAGTTGGGGGCGTGGCTACGGCGCTATGCCGTCGAAGTACGGCAGGTAATGCTGTGAGGGCGACGCTTGGACTTGGCAGTCAGAGGAAAGGGGACAAGCCCAAGTCGCGCATTGTCTCAATCAGATGGTAGAGAGGCATGCGTCGATTGTCTACTCTTCGTGAAGTAGGAGAGGGTCGCGTGTGGAAAACCGATGATTCCCATGCTCGTAGTATGATTCCCCTTGTGTCGTGAATCCCTTAAGGGGAGGCTGACATTCATTGGTCCGTCGCGTTCAAGTCCAAGGCGGTGCCCATCATCTTGATGTTCTGGAGTCTTTCGTGCTGAGCTGATTTCGACATACAGCGTGCGCTACCGGCGGGTTCTACAAATCTCCAAGTGCAGCGGCCGTGGTCGACTCATCGGAGCCACTTCAAATCAGCTGGGACACGTCCTGCTTGGATACAACTGCTGTCGATATTTATCTGTTCGCACCCCTCGCTCCCACCCCACGGATCCACATCTGGCAAAACGTCGATTATGCGTACGGACGCTACAATGCCACCCTCCAGCCGGCTTGGTGGAACTCCACCAAATCTGTGAGCCTGCAGCTCGAGATCATCGAGTCGGGCATGCCGACCTTCATGGCCACCCTTCCCATTGGCCCCATGTGGAACGCTACGTACGGCGGAAATCAGGATGCGTCTACTAGCAGTGACACCGCCTCTGGATCCATCGCCGAGAGCGTCAATAACGTCCCGAAACAGGGCTTGTCAAAGGGCAAGGTCGCTGCAGCGGTAATCATGACGCTACTTGCCGTTGCCGGTATCGTTGCAGGCGTGTATATCTGGCGCAGTCGCAAGCGTGGACAGCATAAGCGGAAGCGGTTCAGCGTCGCGGTGGACAAGCGTATGTCGACGATATCTACAGATTGGAAGTCGGTTACCACTGCGGGTGCGACACATGCCATCCGGAATAGCGTATACAGCGGAGACCGGACCTCGTCGATTGACGGTGGACAGCCGGAGTTGGATCTCCCTCGTTGCGCCTACAAACTACGGAGGAGGAACTATCCCCACCTGCTATGGCGCAAATGCGCCCCGGCTTCCGTGCAAGTTTATACAGTGCAGCCGATCGCCAGTCGCGCGTGTCCCGGGTGTCGTTCGCGCCAGAGACACGTCCGACCTCGGATTACCGCCGCACGCGCGCATTCCATACCGGTCACCTTCCCCCGCTCCCGGATTCTATGATGTCACCTGCAGAATTGTCGCCAACGCAGACCATCGGGCCATTCAGTCTCAGCCTTGAAGACGTCCATGCCCATATGTGGGGACAAGATGAGACACAGCCAAGCTTCGGTACCTTCGCCCCGCTCTATCCAGTAAGTTATGCTCTCCAAACATCGTTGTGCGGTGTTGACACTTCGCGTTCAGGTTCTTCGCCTACCGTCGATAACTTTGTCATCCCTGCTACAATGAAGATGCCCGAGCCTGAGTTGCCGACCCCGCCTGCGCCCGTTCTCCAGGCTCCTTCGGCTCCTCAATCGCCTATCCTTGGCGCAATGCCGATGCCGTCTATTCCTGGCAGCACCATGTCGCCGGATGATATGCTTCGCGCGTATGCCGAACGTTCCTTCCGCTCACCGCCGCCTACTTCCGCCACTCCACCACCTCTCAATGGCAATGGCATGCGACAGCTCTATTCGGAGAACCCGACCACGGTCGATTCTTTTGGACTTGTGTCCAAGCCCACGCCGCCTGCCCCCGCATCGCTGTATCCCGACTTGCCTCCACAGGGCCAGGGCGTTAATGACGACGACGCTCCGAGGGGTAGCTTTGCGGTTTCGGAGGAGAGTCGATATGGCGTTGAGAACGCTGAACACGGTTCCGCTATGTAAACAAGACACGGCTGCCTCCCGACCCGCGCCACCTCTCTCTTCTAGCCAGTCCTCCACGCAATCCGTTTATCGTCCCGTCCACTGAGCGCTTGATCGTGCTACTACTGGCCAACTCAGTCTGTACGATATTGGCGTTGTCACTGAGGGGTTTGTCCCCTCAATTTCTCTCGGCGTATCTCGTATCATTGATCTGTCAGTACTCTACTCTTGCCACATAGCTTCGCGTAAATCCCGGCTGCAGCCTGATTACTCGATTGCTGTTGCCGCTTTTTCTCTTCCCGTCACCTTACCGTGTTCGACTTACGATCGCCTTCCCCGCGCTGCCATACACGCGAACGGGGTGGCGTGTTTCAGCGTCATACCCTTTCTCCTTATATCCTACTTACATCAGCCCGCCCTCGCGCGACGCCGTACATTCACTCTTTGCGGCTTGCCGCAAAACTACTGACCACGGTGTGGCTCGGGTTGTAGGGCACCGGTTGCCTTCCCCTTCTGTACGTTCCTCGCTTGGGTCTTCTGAGCCGTTGTAGATTTCTTGTAATGTGATTTGGATATGTATCGCACCTGTCTGGTGGTGCGCTTTGACCGCAAGCCTTCGAGCGTCAGCTGGCCTTCAAGTCCAGGCTTTGACTGGGAATGATGGCGCAAAGTATCTAACTTGTCATTGCAGCGAAGACGGAACGCGCGTGTCGGGGTAAGGCATTCCTCTTCACAGACCTCCAGTTCGTTGACAAGTAGTTTAGTGGCCATGGCATGCTTAAGGCTTGGTAAGTCCGTCGTCTCGATTTGTTCCCAGCTGCCCCCTAGTCTCTCATGCTGAACAATGATCAGTTGGTGTCTGCAATGTGCGCCATTCGGAGCTTTCGGCTCACCAGCGGAAAGACACCACTTACACTCGTTGACTTATCCCAGTAAGTCACGTCTTCGGCTCCTCTCTACAACTAAGGATGTCTTGCTTGTTGACCGCAAGTTCGCAGCAAGCCAGTGTCATTAAGAGGATTGAAGCCTTGCAATAAATCCGCACGTGCAAAATGGCTAGCGCTGCGTGCACGGTCTTGAAGAGCTCGAGAGGTCGGGGAGTGTTCGAACGAACTTGATCTATTGCTTGGGTCCGTGGAGACGGCGAATCGAGAGTTGCAAGTCCAACAGACCACGGCAATTAGCCTGAGGATCACAGCAACTCTGGAACTGAACGCATGGCTGCGTCGACAACCTCGGCCTGCTCGAGCTTTGAAATCGTATAGGATAGGTGAGTAATTCCGAACTTCATGTCGGTATCAGTCCAGGCTAGCACCTGATGTACGGTGTCGTAGATGGATACGATGATGGGTACAAGGTGCGTCGGATCTCCGTGCCATGCCGGGTCCATAAGAGGTAGGACTCAATGTACGTCGTTGATCCTAGCCGCTGAGAAAGGCAATGAAAGCGGAACAGGAAGATGATGTCGGCGGGGAAACCTGGAAGCAAAACACATCGTCGCTAGGAGCAGTAGTCAAAGATGCGATGACGACCAATGTGGGACAATCCTTGATGCAGGGTTTAGCGCGACATTCAGAAGACCCGCATTTGTTATGCAGATATCTGTGCGATGCGGACTCACACTCGGACAGGTGCGCTAGTACAGGTTGTCTGATATCATGCTTGTCATGCTGATCTAGATGTTTCTCCGTTAGCTATGCCACGGCTCCAGATGGTGACTAGGTTCATGGCCTATTGAATGTGTGTTATTGCTCGTGGGCAACCGATGTATTGACCGCCAGTGTGATGAGTCAACAATGGTCACCTTGGTGTGCTTCTCATGCGCAGGATGCTTCATCAAATCCTCTATCCCCGCTTTGCAAGCTATGCCTTTCCTCGAAGCCTTGATCGTATGATGCACGTGCTCTACTAGTAGGTCGCGCGTCTTTGCACCCCCGGGGTACGCCACAGTATGAAATGTACCGTCGGCCAGGTTTCACTTATCAGGCGGAGGTCGTTTACGCACAGCACGAGCTGTTCATCATGTCCTATCCCATTGCTTACCCAGTGAATGTGGATGTCTTCGTAGTAGGTGGTGGGCCGACCTCTCTGGTCACTACTTTCCTGCTGCTGAAAAGTGGGATACGTGTACTCGCTGTAGGTCAGTGCGTTGGTGCGTCAGCGATCGCTTTTCGAATACCTCTGATAGACCGTTTCAGAACAGAACGACTATGCACAACAGGCAATGTACGGCCGCGCGGGCATACTCCACTCAAGGACTCTCGAGCTTCTAGACATGATTGGGATTTATGAGCGCATAGCAGATATCGGATTCGCCATCAGGTAAGTTTCTTCTGGTGCTTACTGGTTTCCTGGTCTGAGGATGTATTAGAGAAGGCGCGACATATAAAGACGGCCGAGAGGTTGGGGCGCGGGGGTGGAACTTTATGTTCGACGCCGTGAAGGGAAGGACGTTCTTCGACTTCAGGTGTGGTGCCACGTCTATACCAAGGCCTCTGTCTGTAACTGACATGTGATGCGTCATGAGTTTGAGCATCAGGCAAAGACACGTAGAAGGCGCTCTCAGAGACGCTGTACAAGATTTGGACAAAACTGCCATCCGCGCGCCCGTCGTGTTTGTTGACTACGCTGTCGATACAAGCAAACCTATCCCGTATGCGTTACATCCGCGATACTCTCGGGCAGTCAAAAGTGCGCTGGTGAGTTGGCACTCATTGACATTTCGCCCCGGCCTAACATCGCTCAGCAAATACCTCGTAGGAGCAGACGGAGGACACTCGTCAGTTCGCCGTCTGGCAGGCATTGGATTTCCTGGTACGAATTCTGGACAGCGCTGGGTTCGTATGGATGCCGTGGTCGAGACCGACATGCCGTACCCTCGCCGAGGTGTCTCATTCGAATCCAAGGAGTACGGCAACGTCCTGTGGAATCCGTCCGACAACGGTCGTACGCGCGTCGGGTTCGTGTGCCCTGACAGGTTATTTGGCTCCGATGGCGACCACCTACCGCAGAGATGCTGATGGAGGAGGCGAAGAGAGCTGTTCAACCTTTCACACTCGAGTTCGTTGAACTTGATTGGTGGACGATATACTCTATTGGCCAACGCGTTGCCGAGCGGTATAGGACTGGACCTATCTTACTGGCTGGGGATGCCGCCCACACCCACTCATCTGGTGCAGGCCAGGTCTGTTGTTTCTACTATTTGAGATCTGTCTGCAAACCGCTGATAGGCACGTCAAAAGGGAATGAACACCGGCATACATGACGCGACCAACCTGGCCTGGAAACTGATCGGCGTGCTCAAGGGACAATTCACGATATGTCCTGGATACGTACGAAAAGAACGTCGCGCCTCGCACAGCACCTCATCGACTCGACAGAGAGATGGCCACACTCATTTCTGGGCCATTGCGAGCCACTACAACGCCCCGCCTGACGCAGACCCAACGTGTATCTTGAACACCATCTGCGAGCGAACGCGGCATTTACAGTCGGGCTGGGCATCTCCTACGCCGAGAACTTACTGAACCAACGACGCCTTTCGGGTTCTCCGACATCTCATGTCGTTTAGTTGGCCATCGTGCACCGGATGCAGCTGTCGCTCGACGAACGTAACACTTACCCGAGACTGCACGAGTTCTCCCTATATCGGGCGATTCTGGATCTCGTCTTTGCAGGGGATTACGGCAGACTCCACTCGGCCGAGGTTGCAAACAGGGTGCGCGGGTATCTATCGCGAGTTAAGCGACAGTGGATTCTCCACTCTCATTCGTCAATGCACTCGCTCCGGTCTTCGAGTTCTTGACCATCGTTCGGGGAACCGGAGCAAGACAATGCAGCGAGACTCTGGAGAACAGCCGCTTGGGAAGACCGTTTCTGACGAGGATGGGAAATGTTATGAGGTTTACAACTTGCAGCCAAGGTCAGGGGGCATAGTTGTGGTTCGTCCTGATGGAATAGTAGGCCTGGAAGCTACCCTGGATGGCTATGGAGTCCTGGATAGTTACTTCGCACAGGTAGTGCGCGCTGCAGGGCCACCACACCGGCATCCCCTATACACTTCTGGTAGCTCAGGATGGACACTCGGCGAAGTCTCTATTGACGGTGGGCACGGTGAAGAGGGACTGAGAAGATGGATCGGTGCGAAATTATAGAGCGTGCGCGATTCCCGGCGACTTACTCGGTAATGCACAACTGTCGCACGAAGACTTTTACTTAACTTGACAATGCTAGAAGACGTTCGCACGGTGCTTGCTTGCTCAATTACAGGCTGACAACTTCTGGTCAATACAACGCTATAGCAACAACTCCGTATGCTGCGTTTAGATTTGACATGGTCGCTTTGTTGTCTGTGTGTCGTCAGCATGCATATGTCGACCGGCGAGCCGGCGTCACACGCCAAAGTCCACCGACGTTGATCGTTTCGCCTCGGCATGCTCTGCGCTAAATGTTAGCATTCAAGTTTGAAAGCATTTTAATCTGATTAGTAACCGGATCTAGGTGCATGTCGCTTGACAGCCTGTGGGGGTATCACTCGACCTAAATGCGTTCACCGCTACTGGATCTCAAATCGTGAGTGATCCATATAGTTGCAGCTATTCAACCTCATCAGCGTCTGATCACAGCTGGCTCGTGCACATGCAGAAGCCCTATAAGCTATAACTTATCAGGTGGACCGGTTATGCTCCCACGCAGAGACTTCACGGCTCTAGGCGCTCTCTTCAAGGCCGGTCCCCGTTCCACCCCCCTCCACTGAAATATAAACAACTGCCCGGATCTACTGATCTCGGCGACGGCATATAAGTATGCGTGCGCATGGCTACGTCAGTCGAGAATACAACACTTGTTTGGCGCAACGCATCAGGCACATGTACCTGGACACGAGCCTCTGACACGATCTCGAACGGGGACAATCCGGAGATGAGATTGCCAAAAGTGTGTGTAATGACATTGGCTGACCGTCGGCCTCATGCCAGTGTCTACTTCAAGGTCCAAGGTGGCGGAACGTCCGGGTACTTATCTTGCCATTCGTTCTGTCGTATAGCTCGCTGCGGCCCCTACCCAAGTCAAGCTGTTTTACCATCAAGCGCGCGAAGACCCAAGATGCCCATCTCTATGCAGAAAGCCGAGCTCGTCGGCGTCCTCGTCGAGTCTATCACTTATGGTGAGTGGCTGATTGGTCTTGAGTGTATACATAGTACTAAGTCTACATAGGTGCATATGCTGTCATCCTGACACTCTGTATCCATGCTTTGTACAGGCGTCGGGGAAATTGGCAGGCAAATTGGAAAATTGGCGGAGCACCTGCGGCGAGTTCCCAAGGCGAAATCAGCGCGGGGCACCGTTCACGTATCGGTCTTGCCTTATGGGCGGCGATTCTCTGGGTTCTAATATCTGCTGTAAGTGCACAACTCCTCGAGTTCCTATAGGCAAATCTCATCATGATACTACGATGCAGCACTTGGTTGTTGACTGGGCCCGTGTCATCACTGCGTTCACCGGAGACGAGTCTAACCCGGAGGGGGCGGCTGAATATTATGCTCAACTAACATCAGCTGGCAGTGTCTTCAAGACGTCCGTCTACACAGCCGTGACAATTGCCTCAGACGCGTTCATTGTGAGCAGTAACGAATTGCCAGTGGACTATCTGTGGATGCTCAGTTACTCTCAACGGCATAGGTTTATCGAACCTTCATAGTATGGAACTGCAGTCTTCTGCTGACGGCCCTACCGCTCTTGCTTTTCCTGCGGACAGTGGTACGTTCTTTCGTTTTGCTCATTCGCTTGTCGACACTGAAGTCTAAACCAGCAATGGGAATCACGGCATGCTACACTCTGAGCAAGTTGAATGCGGATGCCGTGTTCTATGCCAAACTGCTATCATCGCGTACGCAGGCATTCTACTCGTTGACAGTCAGCGTGAATGTCATCTGCACATGTGCGATCAGAGTATCCTTATCATGTCTCGCCGAAGCTGAATAAGCCTCGTAGTGCTCATCTCGTACCGCGTCCGGCAAATTCAGAAGTCCGTTAGAACCTCAAGTACGCACGATCTGAGGACTAGGTCCATGTTATCACAACTAGTCGTAGTTGCCGTTGAATCTTGTAGGTTTTCACGCAGTCGCTGGGTTCTAGTCCTCATTTCGCATAGGTGCTGCCTATTCTGCGTTCTTGTTCGTCATGATCGGAACCTACGCGCTGACTCGCCGGCAATGTTCATCATACTGGACATGGTAAGCACACAACACGAGGGCAGATACTGCAGCTAAAGTACTGTTCCGTCCAGACCGCACCTATTATTGTATGTTCCATAACTCTAAACCCGCGTTGTTATACTGACCACGCTCGACACATAGGGCATCGTCTTCTCATCGGTCATCCTCCGTGTTAGCAAGGGTATCAGTATCGGTGACGGTAATTCCGACTTGGAGCTCGCTGCTCTTGCTAGCATGGACCCAAGACGTCTTGGAGATGATGCTGCCGCCGAACCCAGTGTGACTCCGAGCCACGCAAAGAGCAGGAGCATCGACAAGTCTTCCTTCAAGTCTGGCACGACCGACGTTTGATGAATGAAATTAGTTGTGATACGGTCATGACTACGTTACACCGGCGACGAGTGTACTACTGCTGTAGTAGTGACTGATGGGTTCGGCACGTAGTTCACGATCGTGATGTTTTCGTTTTGATGACTGTGATATGGTCTCCGCTTTGTGCCCCCAACCAGATGCTTATAACGATCCTGTTCGCTTTTGTAAAGGTCCACGGCAAGCAATGGGGGTCTCAAATCCAGCCCGACCGTTTCAATGATCAACTCGAAGTGCGTACTACTCAGCAGTCGCGGCAGCGAGAAATGATCAGTGACTGGTCGGCTCGAACTGGTTACTATGGACGTGACAACACGACAGCCCCCAGAAATGGTCCCCGATCCGGATGTAGGCCAGAACTCTCATCGATAGATATCCCAATGAGCTAGAGAACCGTATAATACAATCCCGTAATCACCAACAACACGAAAGTGCGAGGACGACAATGCAAGTGTTGCTACTGCTTGTCTCCGCAGACACTGCTTACGCTTTGCTCTTCAGCGGTGACCACGAGAGGCAGCTCAGGCTTCATCCCATCCATGCCTACAGTCGGGTAGCGCACAGTGGCGAGGTTCCATACAATATCTTTGCCAGCAGTAGAGAAGCTGAAGGCGTCGAGCAGCACAGAGAGCATCGCCTCTGCATGCATGTGTTAGTGAGCTATGAGTCGGGCGAGAGCGACGACGTACTAAGCTCCATCTCAGCAAACTTCAGCCCGCTGCGCCACTAGTCAATGAGCTGCCAAAGAGTGAAGGTTCGAGGAACGTACATGCATGTTCTGTTCCCTCCGACAAACGTCATCCTACAGTGAACCGTTAGCATCACTCCCTGGACAATTGCGTCCGCAGAGACTCACAGCGACGCGTAAACCCCTGGGATGTGTGCTGCGACCAAGCTACTGGGCGGTGGCGCAACCCAGCGTTCCGGCTTCCACTCCGCAGCGTCTTCACCCCACACGGCCGGGTTCACGTTCGACGCCAGGACCCCTATGAAGACCATGGTTCCTTTGGGAATGACGATCTCTTTCATGAGTCGACCGTCCTTTCCCACGATCGGCGACGATACTGGCGCCACGACGTCTTTGCAGAGCCTGGTGAGGTAAGTAAGCACTACATAAGCGAGGAGATTGGAAAGCAACGCACTGGCGAGAGACTTGCGTGGCCGGTGGGTTCCTTGGTGATCGAGTTGAGTGAACGGATAGGCATGCAAAGGGAACTGAATGAGACATACAAGCGAAGGGTCTCCTTCACGACAGCGTCGACATAGGGCAGCTTCATGAGCTCCTCGTAGGACAAGTCACCACCCGTCCGAGCATCTGCAATCTCCTGCCGCAGCTTGTCCTGCACGTCGGGACGCTCCGCTAGATATTGCAGGATCTGCGCGAGCGTGATCCCGCTGGTGTCTGACCCAGCGAGCACGAACGACCTAAGACAAGTCGGTCCGGATAGCACGGCGCTGATGAAGCATCCACTCACGCCACTTGCCCGAGAATCTCCTCGTCGGTAAGCTTATCCTCCTCCGCAGCCTGGTCATTCGCCTGACTGGCCATCGTCAGCACACCCGCAGCCTAGATCGCGCAGCGACGGCACTCACGCAGACACGTCATCAGGTCCCTCCCTTCGCCCTCTTGGCCGGCGAGTATCCCGTCTCCCTGCTTCAGCAGCCTCCTCCGCGTGTCCAGGATCTCCCTCGACTTCCGGTCGAGCGTGTCTACGACTCTGAGGAGGTCGCGCGCGGCCTTCCATGGGCGGGACACGAGTTCGGCGAGGCGACGCCGGAAGCCGCGTGGGCCGAGCTTCATGAAGAGCGGCGTAAGCTGGCGTACGAACCCGATCTGTTGCATCGCCGGGCTGTCATGCACATGAATGAGTGCGCATGCGTTTCGCAAGGCACGATAGGACGCACAAGAGCTCTTTCAGAGCGCGCGCGAAGTCGTTGCTTGGGTTCTCTACGAACGAGTCGAAGGAGTAGCCGAGGCCCGCTTGACCCATAACCTCTAGCGCGCCGCGGTTCGTCCACTGCAAGATGTCGAGCTCTTTGGCGCCGCTTCGAAGCTGCTTCTGCATTGCGTCTTGGAGCTGCGATGTAAAGCGGATGTCAGCTTTCAACATCGCGAGTACTGACAAGTTTGGCCTGCCTGATGAATGACGCTGTAGAACAACGGGAGCATTCCCTTGAGGTTGCGAGGAGAGAATACGGGGTTGAGAGTCTTGCGTTGCCGGCGGTGGTGGTCTCCTGCGTAGCGTGTCGTTTGCCAGCCAGCACCACTGTCAAGACGTGATGTCGTACCTCTAGAACTCATTAGACCAGGGCCAAGAAGAAGGCGATATGTCCTGAGGTAGTGATGAGAATCTCGACCAGAGTCGAATGCGAATAAACATACGCCGCAATGAAGCTTGATTGCTCAATGGCAGTCGCGTCCGATAGCAAGAGGTGATTCAGAGTCGCTGGATCGTAGATATAGAGGCACGGTGCCTGCGACAACAGTGTCAGTGGAACGTACGATGGCACTGGATAGTGACCTACCCCAAACACTGCGTGTACTTTCGCGACAGATCCATACTTTGCCCATAGCCGCTTGTGAAAGTCCCAACCTTGTCGGTGGTACAACTGGCCATAGTTCCCTGGGAAACGAGTATTAGTCGTCTGAAAAGTTCAAATGGTACGAAGACGACTCACCAGCAGCGAAGGACTCGGGAGGAGGGCCACGTATGTTATCAAGTGGCGACGACGCAAAGCGCGCCTTCAGGACACGCCACAGGATCCAAGACCCAATGCAGAGCGCGACTGCTTGAGATACCGACAGCGAGACATACGCCATCTCGAAAGCACGTCCGAATCTGAGTAGCTCTTGAGGACGTCTTTTGTATTGTTTCCTCGAGCTATCCACCTGCCGTAGTTCCCTTAGTCCGAGATTACGGTTCAGTCCACGCAGCTATGTAGTAGAAGCATCATATGATGAAGCTGCTGCGAGCGGCCAGGCCGGCCACCATTTACTGACAGTTACTTACATTGGGCGGCAAAGCTTTGGCAGCGGCTCCCATACGGGAGCATACGGGTCGCACGTTAGCCAGCTATTTATGAGAAACGCCTCCCGCGTGGCGAGCCCTACGGCGCGCGATCATGGCTAAATGGAATCCCCTCCTCCTCCTCCTCCTCCTCCCAGTCACAATCATCTTGGTCAGCAACAAGAGCGTCACTCTGCTCTCTCAGATAAGTTACCCAGGTCCTGGGTCTCGGCTTGACCTGCATGATGCATGCAATCTTCAGGCTGTTTGCGGCGACGATGTCCGTAGTTCCACGTCGGAAGTGACATACATAGACTGCATGCGAGTGGGTATTCGCAGCACGGAGAATGATGGTGATGATCATATCATTTCGAAGATATAGGACCTCGAAGTACGCTTGTGTGAACCGCGAGGATGATGGAAGGAGTCTGGATGGGTGAGTGTAATCGAGTGACTGAAAAGTAAGTACATACGCGCGTCAAAGTCCGAGTCGGGCGCCTCCGTGACGGTCGTCTAGATGATGATCTCCTCATCACGTCGATGTCTTCGTATGGACTCTTACTGACACTACCACCTGGGTTCCACGTACAATACGATTCAACACGTCCCTTACATGAACTAATGGTGCTTGTTCCTTTCATTTCTCTACTACTACCTCACGCAAATGAACGGAGCTAGCTGACATCACCTGATAGTTAACGTCGATCCTGGGCGATGAACGTCTGTAGCATGCTTCGAGTTCTTGCCCACCGAATAGAGGAGCATACTATGGACGCTCAGGAGAAAGGTACGAGAAACCCAGAGATCGATGGACCAATTCTAGCTGTAAAACATGGTCTTGTCTCACAACGAACCCGAACCCGGTCTATAGCTATCCCAGATGGTTAGTCCTGGTAGGCGAAAGTGAAAGCGGTGAGTAGAAAGGTTCTAAGAAGGAGTCGCGAGCGTTCCGAAGGTGAGACATAATTTATCTTGGTTACACATAGTGGCTCACGTCACACAGGGCGATCGTACCATGCATTACTAGTACTTATCCCTGACGAAGACAAGTGGCAGGGTACCCACTGTGTGCGCAACTTTCGCCCTGCTGACAAGGCTCCAAAATTGTCTATACCACCCACGCGCTCGTCCGTATCCGTCGCTCAGTGGTCCGACGCTGTGTGGTGTGGGTTGATTATGTCCGTTGAATGTACATCGTACACATTCTGACACACTTCCATCGCCGAGACGCTGTTTTGCATCCTCGGGGCTGCTTAGGGGCTGCATCGCCCCGTGTTCAAGGCCAATCACTAATATCCGTTGCTGACCGAAAAAATGTACTCACAGGTTTGACTAAGGCTGGTTGGCCCCGATATACGACATTAGCGCCTTTGGTTCAGGAGCGAGCTATTCAACGTACAGTAAATCCTCAACGAGCCCGGGACCCTTCACGTGTCTTAAAACTCTCCCGCTACTGAGACACGTAGACAGCGAACTCGCGGCCGGGCTCACAACGGGTATGTACGTTCCTACGCCAGCTTCTGCAAAGGCTTCTTTCTTGGACATCGCGGGAAAACTAGCCTGCTGTGCGTGTCCAGTGACTTGGATGTAGACAATCCCGTCGACAATTCGCGCCGCCGTGATGGCGTCAAGCACTTGGCAAATCAGAGGTGCTCTTGTCAAGTCAGTCTGACAGCCTTCTGCAACTGGGAGCTTGTCACTGTCAAGAGCGCGCATCGAGAGGTGGTTCTCCTTCTACCAGCCACGCCCGTACCTCAGTAGAATCCCAATTGAGTGGGTTCTGGGCTTCGCGGATCGATGGAGTGAGCTCCCGAAGTAGTATTGATGCGCCGAATGACAGGAAAACAATGGGAGACAGATCACTGACACTGGGCATTGCCGTGTTGACGGAATATATGGATGGACATTGACCTACATACGACGTCCTTTTCTCACTCAAGTCATGTAGGCTAACGCGCATGTGCGCCCCGACCTATCGTTCGTCCACGCGCCGAAGCTTTGCGCCCTGTCAAGGGTGCGTTTCCGAATCGGAGTCCTTCTGTCCGTCCACTGCTGCACAGGTCGGCCGCGTCAATTGGTGCGCGCAGGAAGTGTACCAGAATAGATGAGCGTAGCGCTCTTGTCTATCATTCGACCAGATGATGATGTCGGAGGTTCGGAGGTTAGGAGGTCCGCTGAGCAGCCCCACACACCCTGCTGTAATCCCGTTCGAACACGGAACATTGGCGCATCTTCCGAGCGATCGCAACATACCACTGCCAGTTTATGCTGATGAGTCGCTACGCCGGTTGTTGAGCGACGACCTACCATTGATGCTTCAGAGTCAATCACAACTTGCGCATGTCAAGAGCATACTAGGCAGCAGCATCATGGTGCGATTTGGACGTCTCTTCAATGGGAAGACCTAAGGTGACTCCAAGCACATGAGAACACATCGCCGGAAGTGCACTAGCACGGGCGTGTACACTGTCCCACTATATTTTTTCAGACGCCACTCACAACGGACAACTTCCAAAAATGTGCTACTGGCCGCTGCAATCGCATACTTACCTGCCTGCTGACATCGAAATGACAAACGATATCTTACATCTCTGTCAAAGTGGGTTCGACTCAGGTCGCTGACTGATGGAAAGGTAGCGGCGCCGTGGCGACGTCGACGCGGGGATCGGGATCCTCTTTTCGACGGGATCGGACAGTATGTACAGAGAAGACTGGCAAGACGTACGACGCGTTTGCTATGTGTCGGAGATGGCCCCTCAGGAGCTGCTGTCTCCTTCCCACAGAGAACATCGAAATCTCACGTCATGCAAGCTTTGTTCGTTGTGCAGAAGATCGATGCTATGTAGTTACCGTTAGGCCGGAATGATAAGCACAGCCAACACACTGTCCTGGATGGAAGGCTATAGATTTGCGAACAGTTCGGACGGTCGCCGCTGCCATGTTCTCAACCCAAGAAACATTGACCGTCAGAAGTATCTTTCAGCGCTCGTCCGTGGCCCGGAACGCGCAAGAATCTCTTTATTTTACCTCTCGGAGGAACGCGATCGCAAAGCAAGCCACAGCGTAACGGAGCACCAAATCAGACGGCATTTTATTCGTGTCGACATACAGGCCAGCCCAGTTTCCAGTAATCAACGGACCGAGCCTGATTAACCGCTCTAAACCCACCCTCGGAGGAGTCCCCCGCTCCTAGTATATCACAGTGTAAATGTACATTCCAGGGTCTGTGCCACGGACCGCGAGGCGCACGTCCGCCAGCGGAGTCTACTTCGCGATTCCGAAGTCTTCGACATGAGACTGGCGGTCCGTGTGAGAGGATATGCGTACGAGTGCCTGAGCTAGGGGTACTCTACCTTGTCCGTGGAGAGGTTCACCATCGCGATGTTTGGGTTGTCGATGTACGACTCCTGCGCGATGTTCACCTGGATCGGCCTGCGCCCTCCCGAGCTTGAGTGGTTGTTCGCGGACGGGATCGTGATGGTGCCGTCGATGTGCTTGCGCAGCGAGTTCCGGTTGTTCAGCAGCACGAGCAGGGAGTTGCTGTACGCCTTCGGAAGGATGGATGCAGGCGTCAGGTAGTACGTCGTGTCCCTGATGATGAGGTACATGCAGAGCTGCACGATGGCCATGGTAGCTAGCCGTCGGAATGTCGGAATGAAAATCAGATCGCCTGAGATTGGGGACATGGCTACGAACTTACCGGTTGCAAGACCCGTCTCGACCACTACTTGAACGAGCTTGTTGACCATACTGTCCGTACGTTGGATACCACTCCGGCGTCTCGTCAGCTGGACGCCGCGACGTTAGCTTAACGTCTCCATCCTGAAGGTCAGTTCTGTCGAACACCCACATAGAACACCATGATCACAGTAATCGTAATGTCACAAGCCGCGCTCCCTGCTATCCAGACCTGAATCCGAGGTGAGCGGTCGAGTGCGCAGTCGAAGAGATAGGACTACTCACCGCTACTGCCTTGGCCTCGAAGGGAATGGTTGCCGATGTAGTCTGGTAGACAAAACACGCCACACCCTCAGCAATCCCGCCGCCGCACTGCAGTAACGAGAGCTGTAGCCGATAATTAAGGCACTTGATCGGCTTCTCGACGATCGGCCATGTTACGTACCGCAACAATGACGATTGGGAGGTACTTCGAACTGCTCAAGATGTAGATCCGCCACGCATAGAAACATTGCGTGATGCTAGCGACTGCGGGACGTCGGTGAACGAAGTGAATGCTGGAAGCGACCGACGTACTGATCGCGGACTGTATTGGTAGCTCGAACCCAACGAGATATGGCTTCAAGAGGCCCGTCATATTTCCGAAGCTCACTGCCAGTTGGTGGAAGACATCGTGCGTAAGCAAGACCGTCTGGAGCACCTCGAAAAGGTACATGAACCAGACGACCGATCGGATGAACGTGTTGTCCTTGTACTTCGCTTGGTGGTACATGTCTATTCAGAGGCAACGCGGAAGGTTATGACGAAGTAACCTTGATGCAGACGAACCAAGAAACTTACACATCTGCACGGAGAGCACGCCGAAGAAGAACCAATTCAGCTGGGACCCTAGGAGCTTTGGGCAGCAACATTGGGATCCGACGAGAAGACACGAGCGGGCTCCATTCAGCGTAATTCACTTGCCATTACACCAGCACTTACGATAGGTCCTGCGCTTCATCGCGAAGGACGAGAGAATCAGTACGCGGGGCCACATATTTGGACGTCGATTACTCACATCTCCTGGATATTGGCGGGTATGTCGCAGTCTGCCATCGGATACGTCGCTTGGTGCTGTCGGGCGTCAACCGCGACGGTCGCTCCTTAAGTCTTGGAATGGCGTCCTGGCACGGCGCCGCATCCAAGCCGCATGTTATGCCTGACAGAGTGACACTGCTTGAGAAGGCAGGCTGGAAGATTGATACCGCCAGCTCCCGCGTCACCGCATCCCTGGATACTGGGCGCCTTGTGCCGCAATGTCAATTCATTCCCAATCAGCCGGGGAACCGCCTTTTACGGTGTACGCCGGTCTTTATCGGCTCCCCGGATTTCAACCGCCCGTCCCTTGGCAAGCAGCCTGTTTCTGAGATCCTCGCATTGCAACAATTGGGGTCGTATTCGGGATTGGGAGCGAAATCGCTGCCAAACCATTGCTTGCACTGTGACCCAACTGCGACCTGCTAACGTTGTGCGGCGGTCTGCAGTGATCTGATCCCTCAGCAGAGAAAAACTCCCAGGGATGCATGTGGCCTCGGCCCCGCTTACCTGCTTCTCTGATCGTAGAAAAGAATGCCTCCCAGTAGTTTCCTAATTGGTTATACAGACATTACCTATTCGGAGACTCTGTCTTTCCGGCCTGATCGCAAAAGCCTCCGAGACTCAGCCACAGCGACACCGTGCCGTTTGTCCTCGCCACATCGAGCGCAGAGCAAACGTCGCGCAGGTGCGCAGGGCACTTGTACTGTATATGGCAGTGGGACCAGCGCGGGTGGCGAGCGCGGATAACGCTGTATCGGGCAGAGATCTCGGCCCGTCACCCCATTAGGCCACAGTGGCCGCCACACTCGATCACTCGGCTAACCCCGGGCCAACCTCGGGCTAGCCCGCCCGATGTACCTGAATATGATTAACGGGCGGTAATTCAATTGATATCATTAACTCAGTGGTTGCAGCCCGTTGCCTACCAACGCGTCGCACGTACTTGATGGTATATCTGCGCGACGACATGTGTGCGTGCAGTAGAACGGGTGTCTTGTGGTTCACTGAGTGCAGATCAAGTGCATTCACAGCTCGTTGCCGTGGTCGTGGATGGTCAATATATCTTGCGCAATGACAGCTTCTAGATGGTGGTTGAGGGGTGTGCTGCGCACTGGCTGCGCATGTTTCAGACACGTCCCGCCGAACTTGGCCCAAATGCAGATCAGACTCGGGCTCGTCATTCTTCAGCCGCCTCAGGGTCCATGGAGATCCCTCTGCTAAGCACGCATGAATTTAAGTGACTTACCTTCCCGCCAGGCAACGGAAGGTACGAACCAGTAGCCTAACTCTGCCTACTAGATACACAGTCATGTTTCACTGGGCAACGCTGCAACTTACGTATCAACCACCCGCCTGGCTGGTGTACCGAGGCAGCGAGGAGAGGACTTTTCGCGCTAATCAGGGCCACCTTCGTTAATATTATTAATTCACTTCATTTCGCCTACTAGAAGAAGATGCCAGATACAGCGCAGAGATCTGATCCGTATTATGGATAAACACTTTGAAGAAGTGCACAACAGCGAAATGGACAGCACGGGACCCGCATACGTCGCCTCGAGCTGATTGAGACAGGCAGCAGCAGCAATAGCCGCGGCCTAAGGCCGGTCGGTCGTCTACACACCCCCAAATTTGCTCATGACCCACCTCGGAATCCTGCTGGCGTTCCCGCAACCGGTCGGTACGTGGTTCTCATCATACACCTGGGGTGGGCCCATCGAGATCGGCACGTCACCGGCTTTGAGTTTGAAGCCGTATTTGGTGGCGAACTACCCTTGGGGGCGCTTCCCAGGGTATGGTAGGGCGCGAACCAGAAGCCACTATCGGGCTGCATGAGGCGGATTGCAATATAAGGCGACAGGTCCGCCTCCCAGACCTCAGCATCAACCATGGCTTCCTCCGTACCCTTCACTGGTCTCTTCATCGACGGGCAGCTGCGCCCGGCCAGCGACAAAGGCTTCTACGAGGTCCACAACCCGTACACTCGTCAGGTCGTCGGTCATGCCGCCGCCGCCACCCAGAAGGATTGCCGGGATGCTGTGGAGGTCGCTGCGCGTGCCTTCAAGACCTGGGAGAACTCGCCGTACTCTACCCGCCGCGACATCTTCCTCAAGGCCTCCGAGCTGCTGAGCACCGACAAGTGGAAGAAGCGCGCGACCGAGGCGCTCCAGGAGGAGGTCTCCGCGACGGACTTCATGATCATCTTCAACTTCTTCTTGTCGACCAACGGCCTCCGCGTCGACGCCGGCGCCATCGATCAGCTCAAGGGTGAGAGCTTCGCGTCCATCCTGCCCGGCGGCCAGGTCAGCACCCAGCGACGTGCCATGGGTGTCATGTGAGTATCGCTTCATCTTTCGCACGTACACCGAACTGAATGCGCCTGTAATAGCTACGCCATCTCCCCTTGGAACGTCCCCCTCGCGCTTACCATCCGCGCCTTCGCCGTCCCCATCATCTGCGGCAACACCGTCGTTCTGAAGACGTCCGAATCCAGCCCGCGATCGCAGACGCTCCTCGCCGAGCTCCTGCATGAAGTATGTTCCTAAGCGCCCTGTATCGATTTGCTTCCGTTAACGCGAAATCTTTCAGGCCGGTCTGCCGAACGGTGTCCTGAACATCATCTCCACGCGGAGAGTCGACTCTCCCCCCAGATCGGCGGAGATCATTGCACACCCTGCTGTGCGCAAAATCAACGTGAGGCACAGCGCAATAACTATACCCGTTCCCGGTACTTACGGGATGGTGCCTGTGCGCAGTTCACTGGCAGCTCGGTCGTCGCGAAGCTGCTCGCTGCTGAGGCTGCGAAATGGCTCAAGCCCTGCGTCTTCGAGCTCGGCGGCAAGGCGCCTGTCGTCGTGAGTGCGAACGCCGATGAGCTCTGCGCGGACGCTGACGCGCATCCTGCAGGTCCTCGAGGACGCCGACATCGACCGCGCGGCGCGTGCGATCACCTCGTCTGCGCTCATGAACTCCGGCCAGATCTGCATGTCGACGGAGCGCGTCATCGTCATGCGCAAGGTCGCCCCGGCGCTGACGGATGCGCTCAAGAAGCACTTCTCGTCGCTCAAGGCGGGCGGCCCGGGCTCCCCGCTCTCCGCGCTGTTCACCGAGGCGTCTGCCCAGCGGTTCATGGGCCTGCTGGATGATGCTCTCAAGAGCGGTGCGAAGCTTCTGCACGGAGACAACGCCCGCGAAGGCAGTGTTATCCAGCCCCACATCGTCACCGATGTCACCTCCGACATGCGGATCTGGAACGAGGAGTCGTTCGCCCCGAGTGAGTGCCCTAGAGGCCATCAGTCTGCTCGACGCTGATAGGTTGGTAGACGTCATCGTCCACGCTGTCGACACCGTCGACGAGGCCATCGAATACGCGAACAAGTCCGACTACTCGCTCATGGCGGCTGTCTGGACGAAGGACGTGTACAACGCCTACGAAACTGCGGGGCGCATCCACTCCGGTAGGCTTTTGGCTGATTGACAATGAATTAGTATCTGAATGACTGGTTAACACAGGTACTGTCAACATCAACGGTCCGACCATCCACACCGAAATGGGCTTTGCTGGCAGCGGCGTCGGGAGCTTGAGGGGTCTCGGGTAGGTTTCTGTTGTTGACCATCTCGAGCTCTGGCTGATGATCCGTTTCTTCAGTGGTGATTCTGGATACGGTCACTTCGGCGTGGAGGACTTCACATACGTCCGTGTCGTCACGCTGCACCCGAAGGAGAACACGCAGTACCCGATCATTGGATGAGAAAGTAGAACATGCGCAGGTCGCTTCATGTATAGTACGGATTCACGTCATGTAGGAATTGCAAGTAGTGCTTCATCAACGTCAGTCACTCGTACACGGCACAGCATCGAGAACGTGGACTTGGTTGGAGGGTACATACCTGAGTACTACCATGGTAGTGCCTTCTGTGCTCCGCGCGAGTAAAAATGCTTGTGAGGTACTGATGCAACGAGAGAAGGCATGAATCGCGATGGGCCATGTATAGTTGCAATCGTCTCAAAGATGAGCTTGAGGTGGCAGGTTGCCAGAGGTTGGTCCAGAGCAGAGACGACTCGTCCCATTGTTCCAGCCAAAGTAGTTTCCATTCTCTTCCAGTCGAGGATGCACAGCATAAAGAACCTTCGCCCACACTGTTAGGCTACGACCACTCGCCGAGGTTAGGCCGTCGTCGTCGTCCGCAAAAGACGGAGAGAAGATTAAAACAGTCGTGATCCTGTCACGGTGTGACACACTCACGTGATAAGACCTCAGTATGGTTCGGAATCGGTACAGGACAGACAACTTCAAGTTGCAAGGTTTTCGGTTTGTCAAAAGAATCATAGGAAATTGTCCTTCACCGCACCCAGGGTATAAATGAGCTTCCTCAAATTGACGATGTCCTAGACCATGACCTTACCGCTCAACGCTCTTAAGCGCCGGCACCCTGGCTCCTAGTTCGTCAGTGAACATCTCCAATACTTATGGAACAGACTCCAAATTGAATAAAGCATCCGCAGTTGTTGACGCAGTACTTCGAATGTAGTAGGAACATAATGCCCGCACCGTCCATCTCGATTGCGGGGGAGGCCGATATAGACGGTCTACCGCTACGAACCGGCCGACGCGTGCTTCTCACCGAAGCCCGAATGCATGCACGGAAGCTGACTCAGTGACTGCAGGCAGGCACGGTTGAACCTCGAGGCCGCCGACCCGCCTTTTTCCCGACAGGCGACATATGTACCCTTGCGTAGCGTTGTCCGATTCTGTACAAGCTTCACCCGTGCCCATGGACAGCTGTGCGGACGAGCATGTTGGAACATGCGTTTAGGCACGAGCTCGCAAGCTCGGCCGAGATAGTTCCTGAATGAAGATAAGGGAGGTCAGGGTATATAAACCGTAGTTTTCGATGTACCTACCTCACGCGATTGCCCTTCGGGCATCGTCCGCGCCCGGGACACTCGCGCCCGTCGACCGTCGTTCCGCTTGTTCTCACACAATCGCGTCAGCCCACCTGGGGGTTTACTACCAGAAGGCTCTGGGGGCAGCTGAAAGCCCGCCGCTCGCTGCGTTGCCGTACCTCGCGCGCATGCTGTCACTCGCCGATGCTCTGCTGGCCGTCGCTGTGCCGCAGACCGTGACTCCCGCCGTCGCCGTTGACCCACCTGCCTAGACGAGGCTGAAGTCGTCAACCCGCCGTTGAACGCCACACGCGCGCCACTGCCGCCGCACGTCGTACGATCGACCCGTCGAACCGAACCGCCCGGGATGGGGTTGAAGCCATCCACTGCGATTGTCAAACCACCACTGCCGAACCGTTGTCTTGCCCACCGCTGAGGGTACCGTCGTCGAACCGCCGAACTGTTGAACTGTCGAACCGCCCGCCGAGGGTACCGAACCGCCTGCCGAGGGCACCGCCGAACCGTCTGTCGAGGACACCGTTGATCGAACCGCCGCCGTTGCTGGAGATGTTGAAGAGTTGCCGGATTTGGACGAGGATCGCGCCGCCGTACGTGTACGCCTTACCTTCGCACCTAAGGGTCACCCGTCGGAGCTCGCATGAGCATGGACTATCGGCCGGATGTCGGAGTGTTGGAATGGGTGTCGGAGCTGGATGACTGCGCCGAGAGGATGAGGATTTGAGTTTGGGGGAGTGCCGGATATTGAACTGCGGGGAGTGCATACGACGCGCTCGCTTGCTTCGCTCGGGGGAGTGTGTTGGAACATGCGTTTAGGCACGAGCTCGCAAGCTCGGCCGAGATAGTTCCTGAATGAAGATAAGGGAGGTCAGGGTATATAAACCGTAGTTTTCGATGTACCTACCTCACGCGATTGCCCTTCGGGCATCGTCCGCGCCCGGGACACTCGCGCCCGTCGACCGTCGTTCCGCTTGTTCTCACAGAGCATTCAGCGCTCAGCCTTTGATCGATCGTTGAAGGACGGTGACCCATGCCCGCACATGGGGTCAACTACGGGCATGCAGCTCGTCAGCCAGATGACGATTGCGTTTGTGGTATCGCGCTCTGCCCACCCGTCCGCCAAAGACTGCAGACCGTAGCAGGCATCGTGTGGGGAAACGGCCGTAGGACTCCGGGTCATTGTCACTCACGACATCACTTTGACGTGGATTGGGAACCCACCTATCCCTTGCGTAACTGCTATATCCACATCCTATCTGAAGGTCGAGTTTATGATGCCGCGACCGACTGCGCAGGATCGCGACGTACCACAAGTTTGACTGGGGTGCTCACCTTGGTGATGATTTATTGTCACGCGGCAGATGGCCACTGGCATAGTCCAGTTGCACTCGCATCCGGGAAACATTGCAAAGAACGGGGATGTGCACATAAGGCAACCGTTACTCGTCTTGAGACCAATACGTGAGCTGACTCAGGTATCGACACGTCAATCAAAGACTCGCTGAACGAGCTGACACCTCCGGTGGTCATCGAGCAATCTATGACGAACGGCATACAAAGAGTCGAGGGGCGTATGCTCACTCTCTGTTCCAGCACGCCCATCAGTATGTCACCCGCAGAGATGTCCGCGACGTACGCTCGAATAACGCCTGTAGCGCGAAGAAAAGCTCGGGATGGTCTTAAATGCGAACACCTTGACCGCATCTCGCACCGAACAGCGGATATTTCCACGGACGTGAACTGTTTTCTTCGCGTCAACCTACAGCTGATCAAAACCGGAGAGTATCACCAACCGAGCCACAGCAGCGCATGTTGGTGCGACTTCCCCAGCTGGGCTCTCGCTGTAGGTATTACCGAGGACACGTAACCAGAGCCTCGTTTCAGCAGCCGGCGGCGACTGTGTGCCCCCGGAGATAGATGACGGCACCGCAGCGGACAGCCAGTATAAGATGAGCGAAGAGACAACTGTCTGGTCTATCAGTACCTTCTCCACATAGTAACAGATTCTCCACATTGCCTACATGGATTCCCCGCGGCAGCCCGAAGTCTGGTTCATTACTGGTCTGTAGATCAGATCGTGTCTCGTGTGGCTCCAGATGTTGCTCACATTTCACATGGTACATCTCAAGGGACGTCGTCGGGTCTCGGCGAATGTCTCGTACAGTCAGTACTGGCTCGCGAAGACTACTTTATCGCGACGGTGCGGCAGGTGGAGAAGTTCAAGTTGACGGACGTGGACCGCACTCGGCTGCACGTTCTGCGACTCGATGTGACGGATTTCGAAGAAAACATCTCGAAGGCCGTGTCTGAAGGGGTAGCGAAGTGGGGGAGAATCGACGTCCTGGTCAACAACGCGGGAATAATTCCGAAGTGCCTGTCAGAGGAAGGAGGGTAAGTCATTGCGGATGGTTCGAAGACATGTTGATGCTAACGGGACATGCTTGTGCGTGGCTCTCGTAGATCAAAAGCAGCTATGGAGACTTTCCAAACCAACTTCTTCGGCCAAATCAACGTCACCAATGCCGTACTGCCGTACATGCGAGAGCGCAAGTCGGGAACAATCGTCAACATGGGCAGTCGCTCAGCGTGGATCGACTTACCAGTGTGTTGCATTTTCTCCTTCAAGTTGTGACGTCGTGTCCCCTTACTCGTAACGGTGCTTCAGAACTTTGTCTGGTACTGCTCGTCAAAAGCAGCACTGCATGGTAAGATGAGCGCGTATAGGGGCCTCCTTGCGAGCCACTCACTGATGTTGACATTGACAGCGTACACCACGACCCTAGCAAACGAAATGGCTGGATTTGGCATCCGCGCCATGGTCGCTATACCAGGCGGCTTCCAAACCCCGACCACAATCAACGGACCGAGCCTAGCAAAAAAGGCTATACCCGACTACGACGAGATGCGCCAGAATGCACATAGGATTGCCCAGCAGAGCTGGGATCAGTGGAAAGGTGTCGGCGACCCCGCCAGGGCAATGGAACTTTTGGTGGACGTCCTCAAGGGAGAGGGGAGAGCGAAGGGCCGGGATGCTCCGGTATTGCTTTTCGTCGGGCAGGGTACGTACAATCGCGGCAGGGCGTACTGCAAGAACCTCATGGAGACGATGGACGCATGGGAGGATATCGCCAGGGACCTTGATCTGGAGGAGAGCAGCTGAAGTATCTGCAAAATGATTGGAACGTAACATGCTATTCGCAGTGAGTTTGCTTAAGAAATCGGTAGACGACTGGCGACTCAGCAATATTGTATCCATGCTAGAACATACGCCCAGCCCAACTCATGGGGCGGTAGAGCTTCCATGATGCATATCGGAAGGGGCATGACAGCTAGTTGCAGAACATTAGGCGCAGATGAACGCGCGCGACATATGATGACAAATAGGCGCTATCCACACGAAGACGTCGGTTTACCCACCTCACCACACCTCGCACCACCATGTTTTTGTGTTGCATCGATTGTCCCTGCAGCAGCCGTCATGAGAGGCATGTCTTGCGACTCGCTGAACACGATCCCGTGGACGCCTTGCAGGAGTACCGGCCAGTGCCCGCAGACAATTGAACGTGTATCTGCCCCCTACACCCAGGTCTACGACGTCTGTCGGACTCGTCCATTGTAGCTGACTGCAAGTGGCGGTGTAGGGGAGGCATTGTTACATTGTTACTACTCTCGATGTAATATACATTAATACGGTGTCCGAGGAGCGTGACCGCGTCGCTATTGCTCGGTACAGGTGCTAGTGCAGACGACCGTGAAGCCGCAAAAACATGATGGTGCAGAAGTATCGTATGTCGCGCGCGTTCGTCTGCGCCTACATAATGTTCTGCAACTAGCTGGAATGAACGTTGTCTCTCAAACGACAACAGACAATGGCACTGTGGACTTGAGCTAAGTAGTATCCCCTTAAGGCTTAGATTCGTAAGAGTGAGAGAGTATGTCGGGATGGTTGTTAGTGCAAAGCTGCTTTGTCGGACTGAACATGTCCTTTCCTATTTTGGTAATTCCCGCCTTGCCCTGAAGTCAGCTGTGTTTGCCCACTCACCACAATCATTTGCCTATGACTCGACTGCTGCTTCTGTCTAGTGCACAACGTGCGTGCTTGATATCTTACCTCCTCCTCTACGATTTCCATTGCTCAAAGGAAATGCAGCACCATGCTTGTCGCCCAAGCTACGACAACTAGAAGTGTCCAGCCCAAGACTCTTTCATCAGGAAAAATGCCCTGTCTCGGAAAGCCCTTACAAACACTTCTCACGGCTTTCAGAGCAGAAAAGCACCTCCAAGCGCCAAGAGCGGCTCATACACAAGTGCCCTAATCTGAAGCCTTCAAAGTAACCCAAACCCTTTTCAGCTGTTTAAAAGCTACCCTCCCTTGTTAACATTCTCTTCACATTGGTTTCAATTTTATGGGTTCGCCGTCCATTTAATCAATAATGCTGCTTTCAATCACTTTGAAATTGCTCTGAACCGTTTTCTTTGGTCCTTTAATAATGCTTTTAGGCTACTTGGAAGGTGTTGCAAGGCTTCCCAGAGCCCTCTCAATTCCTCAGTATTTTCTCAACCGTGATTCACAATAAAATCTGGGCCGTTGAATACATTGCAAAAGATGATACAGATGGGGCATACAAACAACACATGACAGGCAGACGTACATCCAGCAGCTGATGGTAGAGACGAGAGGTATTGTGCTACTGGAGGTGATGGGACAACAGCGGGCGGTGACCGGACGTAAGGAATGGGGAGCCTGTGCGCATGCACCAGAGAAATACAACACAGAAAACAATACGTATCGTACATCCCCGTTGGAGACTGCTCAATAGCGATGTTCGTTACGCTCTGGAAGCGGTCTTCTTCTCCCAGTTCGCGTTGAACATGTCGTCGTCCTCATCGTCTTCAGCGGGGCTCCCGTCGCCAGCGTCACTGTCGTCGACACGCAATCCTGCGAGCGCACTGACAGCGTAATTTATGGTCAGCAAGAATTGAGAGCACACAAGATCATGTTACCGTATATAGTTGTTCAGCGTGGAGTCCATGGACTTGACGAAGGCAATGACCCCGGCATGCTTCTCGCGATCGCCTGTGCTGGCGAGCCGCCTGAACTTGTCGATCCGAGCCTGGAAGCGGTCGTGCCTGGGACTCTCAAGTTAGCTGGGTGTGTTATAGCCGGTGTTGACTTACTCGACAGCGTAGTGCCTCTCGTCGAAATTGATGGTCTGTCCCCTTGCCGCCTCTTCAAGCGCAACAAGTATCTGGCCATCATAAAAATCAACTGAGGGGTCATCTAGTCAAAGAGGATACGTAGACTCACCGCACTGCACGAAAGTGCAATCATGTTGCTGGATAGTGGTTTGCCGAGGTCAAACTGCGCCTGGTTCTCCTTACGCATTCCCTCGGGGTTTGCTCCAAGCCACCACTGACGGGCCATGAGCTCCGCCAGGGTCTCGCTGTGGAAGGGCATGTCGAAGTTGACTTCCCAGGTCTTGTCCCGAGGTCAGATGTCAGTTATGACCACGTTGTAGGATATCAACTATATACGTACCACGGGGTCAAGGTCGGGGTCAGGCATTTCGAGGTTGCCGTGGTGGAAAGCGTCCTTCTCCTTGAGCCATTTGATGCGGGCCTCTGTCGCCTTGGCCAGCTTCTCAGCCCTGTCTGCGGCGTTGAGCCTCTTACCGTCACGGCCCCGGTCGGACACCTTCACGTGCAAGAAATCCTTCTCAACCACATGTTTTGCTTTCTGCTTGATTTCTTGACGGTACTGCGAGGAGACCTTGAAGACCTGATGCCCAGCAACATCGCGGTCAGACGCGTACAACAGCAACTGGACGCCATACCTTGTAAGCCAAGTCATGGTGCAGCTTCGGATTGCTCCACAACCGATCAAATGCGGCCTTGAATTCCTCCGTCTGGAACACCTTGTACTTGTCGCGAGTCCTCTGGATTACCAACTCAGGACCAGCAGTCCTCCCCATTTCACCATTCTTCGCGCGCGGCCAAGCATTCTCCAGCGCGAGGTACAGCCGGAACTCTTGCTGAGCGGTGTAAATGAAGCTCTTGATGATCTCGGACCCGAATGGGTCCTCGTCCTCGCCGGCTGCTTGAGGAGAACTCTGGCGGGCCTTTCCCTTGCCCTTGCCCTTGCCCTTCGCCGCACGCTTCTTCGGCCCAGTCAGGTCCTCAGACTTGACGATGATCTGGACACCTAGTTAGCTTATTTGAAGATGTGTAAATGCTGCTCACCTCGTCGTCGTCGACCTCCTCTTCAGCCCCGGACTTCTCCAGCTCGTCAACCTCATGCTCATCATCATCTTCGCCTTCAGCATCGGCGTCCGATTGACGGTATTCGTCCTCCTCTACATCAGTCGGTTCGCCGGGGGAGAACCGTGACCTCGCCTTGCGCTTCGACTGAGAGGCTCTGGAGGCTGCACTCTCCTTGCCCTTGGACTGCGAAGGCCTGGCTGCCGCGCTCTCCTTGCGTCGAGGAGCTGGCTCAGACTTATCCTCTAGCTAACTTGTTAGTACTGCGTCTCCTCTCAGACGGTGCTGACTTGCCGTCTGAGTCCCTGATCTCGCTCTCCTCGACCTCGCCACCCTGCCCATTGTCTGGGCTGCTCTCCTCCGAGCTCTCCAATACGCGCCGCGCTGCCTTCCCAGCATTTCCGCCTATCCATGTAACCTGTGATGTTAGTTTTCTGATTTGAGCACAACAGTCACTTACGGAGACGTGCAGCAAGGTCCTTCTCCTCCTCAGTAGCTCCAGAGGCTACGTTCTTGCGTGCAGATGCTGCGGACGGAGCCGGCACTTCGAAGGCCATCACACTCAGTATCTGCATGAGAATTGGACATCACGTACCCGACGCAGTGCTGTCATCGTTGGCATCTGTTGCGGTCCGTGCCAGTGTACTCTGTGCCTTGACCTTCTTGCTGGGCGGTTCCTGATCAGCTTCGGCGTTGTCATCCTCGCTGAGCTGAGTGGCGTTCCGCTTGGATCCTGTGGCAGCTTTCACGGTTTTCTGTAAAATATCGAAAAGAAAAAATGGTGATTGCCACGTACCACTTTTCCCTGCTGCCCTCTTAGGCTTAGGGCTGGTCACTGCCTCAGTGCGCACTTCAGGGCCTTCCTCTTCCACTGCAACCTCCGAATCATCGTCCTCTTCCATCATCACCGCCTTCTTCGCTTGGATACCTACAGTGCACCGGATGAGTTGCTACTGAGAATCGGTAACATGCCCAACTAATGACTCACTGTTTCTACGCTCTATCTGGTTGGACTCCTCGGTCCCCCGTCTCATCTCCGCCACGATTTTTCGAGCCTTCATCGCGATCTCCTTCTCGCTAGCGTTCGGCATCCCCTTCCGCACGAGCTCCTTCGATTCCTTGAGTGCGCTGGCATAGCTTTGCTGAGGAGGCGCAGAAGCCTGCGTCGAAGCGGGTTTGCTGGAGGACCCTTTCGACGCACGAGCGCGTGTCGACGCCGAAGCTCCGGTCGCCTTCTTCTTGGTAGCTGAAGTTTTGGCAGCTGCGGTCGCTCGAGTCTGCGGAGACATGATTGTAAGAGAACGAAGAGCAGGGGAGAGACGAACTGCGATAGTTGAAAACTGCTAGCCGCGAGATTGACGGACCATGTGCATAGTCTTCTCGGAGTTGCGGAGTGCGCGGCACGGAGTCAGAGAACCCGGAGCAGTTTATCCGCAGATGGACGGTTGATGACAGGAGTTGAATAGTTGGCGAAGTGAGAAGGAACAACAAATGAGAACGGAGAACAATGGACCGTTTGACGGAAGACCAGACGTTGGCCGGGGAGGAGCGGTTTGACAGCTCGGCAGTCATGACAGCGCCAGAATAGGGTAGCATTATAAAAAAGATTAAAGAATACATTATACATTCATTGATGCTCGTAAACTAATGGAAGTGTTGATTCGTTTCCCAGCCGTTGCGCCCACTGTTCGTCCACTTATCAATCTCCTTGTCTGTGTGAAGAACTATAGAAGCGCTGTGTAGCTCGGGAGTGGGATACCCCCGGGCGCGATGATGTTCAAGGGGTGGGGTGATCCGTTGCTTCGGGGTAGAGGTGACATGGGTGGATCGGAATATACTATGAGAGTGGAGGGGAGACGTGCCGGGGAGTGATCTCACAACGATGCCTCAGGCTCGCTGACCTCGTCCTCGGTTCTCCAAGCCTCACAAATCCCTCTGTTTCCGACTCGTTCCTGGGACTCTGTCCTGCCTCGATCTTGACTTCGTTCCGAAGGTGTCTTACTCTCGCTCTGCAGTCACTACGCTTGCTGAGTTCATTCCGCGGTCGCCTCGTTCTCGTTCCGTGGTCGCCCTCCTTGTTCCGCAGGTTCCTGTGCTCGTTCCGCGAGCTCCTAAGCTAGCCCTGCTGATCCTCGTACTCGTTCCGCAAGCTCCTACGCTCATTCCGCGAGCTCCTATGCTCGTTCCGCGAGTTCCTATGCTCGTTCCGCGAGCTCCTGAGCAAGTCCTGCTGATCCTTATACTCGTTCCGCGGGTCCTATGCTCGTTCCGCGAGGTCCTAGGCTCGTTCTGCAAATCCCTGTACTCGTTCCGCGAGTCCTTGTCCCCGATTACGTGGCGCTGCGTTCGTCCGAAAGATTCTTGATGGCCCGAGTAGATCACTGATGACCAACTCGGGGAGATGCCCTCAGCTCCAGAAATGTGATAAGAATGGGCGCGAGCCAGGCTCGCAGCCGTAGATTCGGAGTGGGGGAGAACTAAGGTATGTACCTGTCTTCGTGGCACTGTATGCCACGAAAGCTGACTAAGAGTATCTACTTGCTATATATGGTAAGTAATGCAAGATCGCACGAAGTCCATCAAGTACAGTAAGTTATAAGGTATCGGAGGGAACAATGAGAGCTCCCTGAGTGCTCGGAGGGGACAGTGATACTGTAAGAGCTCAGAATGAGGAATACACGTACTGTCCGGACCTATGTGGGGGGCACTCCCCACATCTCCCCCTTACTCGAATTGTGACCGTCCCCGGTCACCTACTCCCGCAACAACACTGCCTAACCGAGAGCGATCCACTGCGACATGAATGACGCGAGTCCATCCGCTCGATCATCTTCTACGCCGCGTCCTCGAGTCGCGCCGAAACCGCGCGTGCGATGTTCGTCCCGGTCGACCCAGCCACAGTCCCGGTTCGTCTCAGCAATCACCTCTGTGGCATATGGCAAGTACTTGAAGATCCAATGCCCGTTCTCGTCCAGATGGCCGCATCTGACTAGTTCATTGTTGCAGGCCTCTTCTGGCACGTTGGGCTTAGCTGACTCCAGAAGTAAGCAGTCGCCGAAGAGTCCAGATCCTTCTGCGTCGATTGCAGTGCCGAGCTGACCACCAGGTCCAGCTTCTCTCTGCACCTCCCCCATACTTGGATCCATGCTCGACGGTCGCTCTCGTTCTGCTGGGCTTCGCATGGTGTGACCTCGAGCTGTCTCCAACCTGCGCACGAACCCACCGCGCAGCCGCTGGTCTGCCTCCGCGACTGCCTTCTTCGCTTTATCGCGTGGAAGAGACTCGATGATCCACTGTCCACAGTCGTCGAGGTGGCAACAGCTAACCAGCTCGTTGTCCTGCTCTTCCTCCGGGATGCTGAGCTCGGTTGACTCCACAAGTAGGCACTCCGAGTCTTGTCGTCCCCGTTCTTCCGCGTCAATCACGCCGACCGACTGACCACTAGGTCTAGTTCCTCTCCGACCCCTCTCCGTACTCGAATCTGTGCCTTGCAGTCGCCCCCGTTTCGCTGGGCTTTGCGTCGTGTGCCCTCGAGTCCCACCTAACCTGCGCATGAACCCCCGCGTAGCCGCTGATCGGCCTCTGCAACCGCATTCTTTGCCTTATCGCGTGGAAGGAACTCGACAAGCCACTGCCCATTCTCGTCAAGGTGGCAACAGCTCACCAGTTTGTCATTCCGCACTCCCTCCGGGATGTTGAGCTCAACGACCTGCACGAGCAGGCACCCTCCGAATCCCGGTTCCCCTGCGTCAGTCGCACTGCCTGGCTCTGGCTGACCACCCGGTCCAGCTCCTCTCCGAGGATCCCCTCTACTCGGCTCCTTACTCTGTGGCCGGTCTCGGTTCGCAGGGCTGCGCGCGCTGAGGTCTCCGAGGTCAGCGACAGACCCGCGCTCTCTCAGCGTCAACTGCTCGTCGCTTTGCCTGTCTGAGATCGCTCCTCGGAGTTGCACGCGCTCGTGTACAAGGTATTGCGCCAGCCATTTGCTCCGCTCGGTATCCTCGTCAACGGTGCGTATGCCGTCCTCTGGGATCCATTTGTCTGCCTGCTCAACTTCGCGCAGGGCGGCCTCGGCTTCGATTCGCGGAATGTACCCCCATAACCGCCGCCCATCCTCCGCAATGTGCCAGCACGCCACCAGATCGTCCTCAGGTGTCGGCTCCTCCCCGTCGAACTCGCCAAAGTCTCCAAGTAGCCACGTCTCAGGCTCCACGGGCCCATCTTCACTCGCGCTACTCTCGGGCTTGAGGGTGCCCACTCCGACATTAAGACCACCGGCGTCCGCGCTCCCTTGTCTTCCCAGCCATAACTCAACCGGTGCGTTCAGTTCACGGTCCGCAGCCTCGCGTCCGCAGCCTTGATCCCCTTTTCTCGGCTTAGAGCTCGCGCCCTCGCTGATCTCACTGCCCGTGTGTCCGAGCCTGCCTGTCGCGTGTCCTCGCCAAGGTACGTTCGCTGAGTCCGCGAGCAGTACGGTTTCCTGGCTGATCTCGACCAACCCTGTCTGTAGCGCCACATCGTGTTCGCCCTCCACCCCGTACCTGCTCGTCCGTTCGCGCCTGGAGTGCATGGCGTCCTTTGGCCCGCTCGGCGACCCTTCCACTGCAGCTATCCGTCTCATCCCCCTCCATGTCTCGCCACGGCCGGTACGTTCGTCAGCCCGCTCCTCCATATTCGGCTCGGCACTCGTGCCCTGGTACGTCTTGCTGCCTGCATGCCCCCAGCTACGGCTGCTGCATTGTTGCCACGGTACGTCCGCGCGGCCCAGTAAGGATCCGCTCTGATGCTGGCTTATCTCGACCAGGTTGACCTCCGAAACGGCCTCGAAATTGCCGTCCTGTGCTCGCCTGCCCATTCCCTCACACTTTGCACGTTCGTTCTCTCCTGGCTCGCGCGGTACTGTCCTTGCTCGGTCCCGTCGTCTCGTTGGCTCCCGCGTCTCGCTTTGTCGCGCGTGTTCATCTGCTAACTCGGGCTCCCCACTACTCAGCTGGAAGCTCGCGAGCTGGTTCACGTCACCGTGAGCTCGTACATGCCCCTCTCCCGCTTCGACGAATCCTGCTTGAGGTCCCAGCTCTTGCCCGTCCGATTCCGCGATAGCCTGCGCATCATCCCTCGCCACCGTTACGTGTCGTCCCCTTGGTGTGTCCGGTGAGCCCACCAGTCCTTCGGCTACCTTGGTCCCGAACGAGTTCACCTGTAGAACTGTCGCCCCATCCCCGTCATGCGCGCACTTGCCCTTTCTCTCGCGCCCGACACGTCCGCTCTCTCCCGATATGCGTGCTGACGGCTCGGCTGCACCCTGCGACTCTGCCGCTCTGAATATCGCGGCCTGGTCCGTGTCTTCCTGTGTTTGCGTCAACTCGTCCGCCGCGGAGCGGTCCAGAGGTACGTCTATGCGGTCCATGCGAGCCCCGGTTAACTCGTCCACCTCGACCAGAGCAACACAATCACCGTCCTGCGTGTACTCCGCCATTCTCTCCCATTCGACACGTCCGCTCTCTCCTGGCTTCTGCACGCGATCCCGTGGTCTCACTACCTCCCTTGTCTCGCTACGCTCCGCGTGTTCATCGGCTAGCTCAGCCTCCCCATTACTCGGCAGCAAGCTCGCGCCCTGGTCCATCTCCCCGTGCGCCCGTGCAAGCCCGTCCGCTATCAATGGTTCCCAGGGTCTGTCGCTTTCTTGCCCAATCTGTCCCTCTTCGCGTTGCCTTTGCAGGGATGTTCCTGAGTTAGCTAGCCCCCTTGACGGTAGGATATCGCAATGATCGATACGCTCGCGAGTCATCACCCCCGTACTCAGCTCCAAGCTTGCGCCCCAGCACTGCACACTCCCCTCGTAGGCATTTCCCCTCGCGACGTCCTCGGAGTCGTCTCGTCCCTGCTCACGCTCCTTGCGTAGACCATCCTCCGCGCGCCTCTCGACTTCGTCTCGCTGCCGCACGATGTCCCTAGATGCGTACCCTGACACGTCACGGCCTGTCGCTTCCACGTCCGCCTCGACTCGGCCACTGGTCCCCCTCCCGCTCGGTAAGTGCCGCTCGTCGCCATCGGATCGTCCAACCACGGTGCCCGCCCTTCCCTCGTCTAGACTCGTTGCTGGCTCCCCGTCCTGATGTAGGTGGTCTTCCTCCTCGGACTCGGCTTGGTCGTCCCACGGTTCCAGCCCTTCAAGTTGTAACTCGTGGGCACTCGCGTCGGCATCGAAGTCGTCGCCTAGCTCGCCACCGCTCGCCGCTTCCGAGAGGACCGACCCCGACCATCCGCCTTCCGATACCTGCGCCTTGTTTGTTGAATCCCCATGGTCCTGGCTTTGGTTGCTGTCGACACCGATGTGGGGGTCTACCACTGCTACACGGCGCCGGACGTATCCGTTCTTCGCATGTATGCCGGCCCGCTGCATCCTTGACTCGCCTGACCTCGCCTCGTCGCACGCCGATGGTATTCCCGGTTTGACTCGAAGTACCATAGTCCCCACCGCATCGCCGCACTCGGTGTCCCGGTGAACCGACTCCGCGTCCCCCTTAATCGGTCCGAGACCTCGCCACTCGTTATCCTCGCCACCGGGTAAACCGACGCTTCCCTCCGCAACGACCTCGGGCTCAACTCCTACACACAGCCTGCGGTCTCCCTTCTTCCGTCTGCGCCGCGCTTGATCGATCCGCTCATTCTCCGTGGCCCTGGTTCGGTCTTCTACATCACTCGTGACGCCACTGACTTCCGTCCTCCGTAGACTCTGATACTCGCTAGCCTCGGTCCTCCCATTCTCCGGTCCCCAGGCCTCGTACCGTGCCGCGGATCGCCAAGCCGCGGTCGGTCCCACCGAGCACCCCACAACGCAAATCCCAATCACTATAGAGAGACGCCAGAAGACGCGCACCACGCCCATGACCCGGGAGGCCACCGTCCCGCTAACGACCCATCCAGACCATAGCTCAGCCACGCCAGGAGTCGTCACGCCAAGGTTCTTGTTCAGCCACGAATACCTGTCGATTTTCTCCCCGACCTCACCGCGCTTGTCCTCGAGGATCCTGAATCTCGTCTCCGGAAGCTCCGATATGTATATTGAGCTGTCCGTCGTACCGACCCTCCTGGCATGCCCGTTCTCGTCCTTGATATGCGCGGTCCATCTGTGCGCACTCGTCTGGTCTGCGCCCTGTCGCTGTACATCTGGGTGGTAGATTACTCCAGCTTCTCGTCTTGTGGACTCCGTGGACTCTTCTGTCTCCCCTCGTTCCCTCCGGCCAGGCATGACCTCGAAGCTCCAGCGAGTTCGCTCGATGCTTGCACTCGACACGGTTCGACTGTCCGTCTTCTCGCTCCTGTCCTCTGTCCTCTGATCTCCCCGGTTCCCTCTGTGCTGAGTACCTCGCTCGCCTAGCCACACGTCCGCCCAATCCGCGTCCGCGCGCCCTCGGTCTTGAGAGTCGCTCGCAGTTCCTTCCGCGACGTGGTTACAGGCAATCGCGGTGAGTCTCGCACTTCGCCGCGTAAATCCTCCCATTGACCTGTGTCCGGACGTCCGCGTTCCTTCCGCTCGCTCCTCCCGTACCTCCCGTGGGCCGACTGAGTCCGCAACCTCCATCCCTGAGCTCGCCCGTGCCGTACCCGCAACTGCTCGGCTGTCCTCGCTCTCGCTCCCATACTCGTGTCCCGTCTGGCTAGACAGAACTTGCTGGCTCGCCGTGGCTTCCAAATGCGCGTGCCCTGACTCTCCCGTGGGCATGATGGATCTGCTCGTCCGTTTGTCGTAGGTAGCCCCGTAATAGATGCTCTTCCCTTCGGCCCTCCGCGTAACTCGAGCTTGAATCCCTGTATGCGCGTCCTCGATACGTCCCATCATGTCCCGCTGTACCTCTGAGTGCCAGTTGCCCTCGCTCCTCCGCTGGCCCTGGTCACTCACAGCCGGCCTTAACTCCGCGTCATGTCGACCCTCTCCCACTTCCGATCCTTGTGGACGCCAGCTCCCTTGCCCTCCTCCTTGGATCGCGTCGGAAGGGATGTTGTCCCCAATGAAGCCTCCCGTACGCGTACCGTCTCCTTCCGCGCGAATACGATGGCCCAGGCCCGCGAGAACAACGGTCCCGCGAGCCAGCGACTGGTGGTGAGGGCGTTGTCGGGGTTTCCAGCTTCTGTCGACACTCGTCCGAACCTTGACGTTCCTTCCGCGTCCTGCTGCCTTGCCTCCGAGCTACCATTCCGCCCTGCAATGCTCCGTCTCACCGTTCTCCTAAACTCGTCCTGTTCCCTCCGTAACGCGCCGTACTCGAAGCTCATCCATTCCGTGTCCGTCGCTAAACTCTCGGTGCTATCCCTCCCATTTCCGCATGCTGTTCGTTCCGATGCAACGCACTGGTGTGAGTCGCGATCCCAGCTCGCCTGCCTCGTCGATTCTTGCGTTGCCAGTGGGACAGGTCCGTGAGTGAGCGTTCCCTCCGACGACGAGTTTGCGATCGCCGGGTCCGTCGGCGGACACTTGAGTAGATGCATGTCGATCCGCCGACCTGCTGTGTCGCGTTCGTTCAGTCGCGAGTCTTCCGGTAACTCACTTGTGCCGAGACTCGCCCGTCTCTCGCCCTCTCAGGTTGACCTCGCTCGTCTGCGCGATGCTCCGAGAACGCGTGGGTACTCGACGCACCACGGAATCGCTGGCTACGAGCGTTCGCTTCACGTCGATCTGGGTCTACTGGGTCTTGAACCTCACGCGCCGTTTCCTTCGAGCCCGATCTTGCCATGGGGTGACCGTGGACCGCCGCTAGGGTTCTCGCGCACTTCCAGAGGAAAACATGCCCAAAAGGGCGACTAGTATTGACGAGACGCGGGAGTGGAGAGAATGTACGTGCCGACTCAGCGACCTGAGCGACCAGCGACGCGCCAGTAGGCTGTGCAGACCGTGGTTCCGGCGCTTGGGCGATCATCCCTCGCCTGAGTCCTCTCTCCACCGACTCTCCCTGTAACTGCTTGCGGTCTTCGCTCCGGATCTTGTCGTACTTCCTCTCGTCCATCGCGACCCTGGTTCCTCGTTGAACCCTCGCCAGGTCAGCATGCTCCCATTCGCAGTCGTGTCCATCCTCGCCCCGTTGCCCGCCCGGAAGTGGCGCGCCCTCAACTCCGAGCTCAGATGCGCTCGTCGCGTGCTCCTGCACATGCAAGACAGTTTTCGCGGAGGGAGATGAACGTCCGGGGTACGCATAATCGGTGGAGGAGATCCCATAGGTGAGCGTAATCTCTGTTGCTCGAATAACGACCCGTCTGAACGCCTGTGCTTGTCGCTTCTGCTGCTTGCGCGTATCAAGCTCTTCCGCCGTCACGCTATCCCGCCCTACGGTATCTTGCCAGATGTCGGACGCGTGCGTCGCCTCCGTCTGCATGCATAGTGTGCCTCGTGGAGTTGATATGAGGCTTGAGTCGACTCGCGAGGAGGGTGGATAGCTTGTCATGGGACTTCTGCCGGTACGTCTGTCCTTTAGCGCTGTTATCGCGACCCGCCTAGTTGCCCGTAACATCTGTTCAGCTCGCTGGTACAGCCGCGGCCAGTCGTTTCCGGTTTTGAAGACTCGTCTTGCCGCCGCCAGGAACTCGCCGACCTCCTTCTGTTCCTTACTGCACGCGCTAATGGCTGCGCTTGAAGCCTCACCGCCCGCCATCCTCTTCTCGTCACTGCCTAGCTCGCCGTCGAAATCCCGGCCTTGCGCAATGCCCGTCGTAGCTAGGTCCATGCATGCAAACCCCGCCCGCCGTGAGTTTCTCGCCCGTGGTCTTGGCTCGTCTCGCTCGCTCGACGCCCCGCCTGGGCCGCGTCCAGGAGCCCCCATTCTCTCGTCGTCCTCTCGTTCGATGTCGCTTACATTCGAGTACTCATAGGTCCGCACATGGTCGACTAGGTACGGCACATCCGTTCCTCCTCGATCTCCTCGCGTCGGACCCAGTACCTCGCTGAACGGGCTCCTGTGTCGGCGACCGACCACTGCAAGACACGCGTCGCTCCCAGCGATTTCACCGGTGAGTCTAACCTCCGTAATCACTTCTCGCGCCCGTCCTGATGCTCGCGTTTCAGTTCCCGTTCCCTCCTCCGGCCGTGAGTAATCGTCTTCGACCGTGAGGACTCGTCTCGGCGCCGCCAGCAGATTCCCGACCTCTTCCTCTATCTCCGCGCCGTGGTGGTGCGTCTTGTACTCACGGTGGTCGATTGTGTACGTCTCAGTCGCGGTCTGCACCTTGGCTAATGGCGCCTGCTCGCTCGCCTCCCGTGCGTGCCCCTCTTGCTTGCGCAAATCCTCGCCTCCGATGCTGGCGTCACTCGTTGGCCCTGATCCCTGGATCCTCTGCTCGCGTGCTCGGTTACTCGCTGGACTCCAGGTCCTGCAGGTCCGACGCTCGCTCCGGCTCTTGTAGCTCGCAGTTTTCAGCATCCCGAGGCTGATCGTCGCTCGACAGGCTCCGCCCTCCGAAGTCGCTCGCTCATCTCCCTTCGTGACGCACTCGTACAGGCCCAACAAGCTCGACGGATATACTGATTCTAGCGGAGCACATTGCTCGTCCCGCCATCCACTCGTCGCTATGGGGCTCTGACTTCGTTCGGATCCGCCCGCCGGGTGCGTCTTCTCTTGCTCCTGGCTCGTGGTACTGATGCCTAGTTCTGAAGGTGCTGATTCGCTTAACCACTTCTGTAAGCTGGCGGGTCCCCTTCCCATGCACATGTCGACTCCGGGCTGGGACATTGTTCCCGTTATACGTGACGTGTTGCAGAAGGATTCGTCGAGTAGGGGCAAACCACCGCCTGTCGTAGCCATAGACATCTGTGTCATAGAGCTCGCATTACCCACATACAGCTCCCAGCCACTTCGTCTATTCATCGCGTGTCGCCCCCGCGAACCGGCACTTCCTCCTCTGCGCGTGCCTTCGAATCCGAGCACTTGCTCGTGGGTGCTTAAACTGTCGCTGCTAGTGTTCGTCCCGGGTCTCGTCGGCGTGGTCAGGCCCTCATACTGGGTAGCTCCGTCATGTTTCCTCGCCGTGAGACTTGCTACTCCACTCCAGAAGTTGCGAAGTGCGAGTGAGCTGCCTCGGTGAACATGCGAGCGTACGGTGACGTGGGTGTCCGGGTCGACTGTCCTGCTAGTACCGCGAGAAGCGTCCTCGGCTACTACGAAATCGCTGCCCGTACGCACAAGAACTCGCTCCTGTATGCGTGTCGTCGTCTCCCGTCTCTGTCCGTCCGCGGCAATGCTCGCGCATGTGGCTGGTCGAGTCTCGTGGACGCCGTGGTTCCGTATCTGCATGGATTGGGCGATAGTGTCGCTTGCGACGAGTGTGTGCATCGCGAGATGGTCGTCCCATGCATGTGCCGTAACTGGCTCGGAGTTCACGGTCGCGCGTCCCGTAGCTTGCTCGTAGGTCTGGGTTGTAGATGCTGAGGCCATGAAGAGGCGGTCGAGTGCGTACGTGCCGTCGTCTCCAAGACAGCCAGTCGCCGACTCCGTGATAGACCTGAACCGTTCCGTCGCGCCGGTCAATCTCGCAACTACATCCGCTTCGCGCATTGGCGTCGATTCCGCATGCACCGTAATGGTGGACTGATGATGGAGGGTATAGCAGATGTCGACTCGCCTGTGCACAGTCGCGGTAGTGACTCTGGCCGTGTCTTGATCGAACGCGAGCCCTCGTTCTGTATGTGACGTACTCGTAGTGGATGGGAAGTGAATGGATTGGATTGTGGGTGCTTGCCTGTGCTGTGAACGCGATGACGCGAAGCCGTAGGCGGAGCGGAAGAAGCACGAATATGGTACCACCCCTCGCGGTGGGCTCCAGTTGTGTAGCTCGGGAGTGGGATACCCCCGGGCGCGATGATGTTCGAGGGGTGGGGTGATCCGTTGCTTCGGGGGTAGAGGTGACATGGGTGGATCGGAATATACTATGAGAGTGGAGGGGAGACGTGCCGGGGAGTGATCTCACAACGATGCCTCAGGCTCGCTGACCTCGTCCTCGGTTCTCCAAGCCTCACAAATCCCTCTGTTTCCGACTCGTTCCTGGGACTCTGTCCTGCCTCGATCTTGACTTCGTTCCGAAGGTGTCTTACTCTCGCTCTGCAGTCACTACGCTTGCTGAGTTCATTCCGCGGTCGCCTCGTTCTCGTTCCGTGGTCGCCCTCCTTGTTCCGCAGGTTCCTGTGCTCGTTCCGCGAGCTCCTAAGCTAGCCCTGCTGATCCTCGTACTCGTTCCGCAAGCTCCTACGCTCGTTCCGCGAGCTCCTATGCTCGTTCCGCGAGTTCCTATGCTCGTTCCGCGAGCTCCTGAGCAAGTCCTGCTGATCCTTATACTCGTTCCGCGGGTCCTATGCTCGTTCCGCGAGGTCCTAGGCTCGTTCTGCAAATCCCTGTACTCGTTCCGCGAGTCCTTGTCCCCGATTACGTGGCGCTGCGTTCGTCCGAAAGATTCTTGATGGCCCGAGTAGATCACTGATGACCAACTCGGGGAGATGCCCTCAGCTCCAGAAATGTGATAAGAATGGGCGCGAGCCAGGCTCGCAGCCGTAGATTCGGAGTGGGGGAGAACTAAGGTATGTACCTGTCTTCGTGGCACTGTATGCCACGAAAGCTGACTAAGAGTATCTACTTGCTATATATGGTAAGTAATGCAAGATCGCACGAAGTCCATCAAGTACAGTAAGTTATAAGGTATCGGAGGGAACAATGAGAGCTCCCTGAGTGCTCGGAGGGGACAGTGATACTGTAAGAGCTCAGAATGAGGAATACACGTACTGTCCGGACCTATGTGGGGGGCACTCCCCACAGCGCGCTGGCCAGTAAAGTGAAGATTATAATGAGTAACACGCGACGATGAGAATGCCGCAAAGTCCCCATTGCTAAGAGGTAGGACTAGGCCGGGTTCATACAAACACAACTCTCCGCCCTCGTAATCCCCGACCGCCAGGACAACGCACATGGATTTATCCTGATGGTCCCTGTGAGCAAGAGTCGCTACGTTCAAATTGATGACGAGTGACAAGAAGGGATGCACGGCCGAACATGCATTTCCCGGCAGCACTTCGGCGTCCATTTGAAGGCCTGCATAGCTCTCTGGTAAGACCTTTTGGATCTGTGACCGGGATTGACTATATGTTATGAGCAATAGAAGCTATGGTCTCACCTGCTGACCCATGTACTCGAAAACTTCTGCGAATATTGTTTGTACGTTCGCGTAGATATCTTGATATTTGCGCATATCACTTGAGGTGTAAGGGAGCAGCTGACCGTAGTTCATTCGAGTGTTATCAGCCTTCCCGACGACGTAGGGATGCACGTCAGGTGGGGCTTCATGACCCTGTTGAAAGTGTGATTAGCAACATAATGAAACTGACTACGTACTGCACTTACTCTCATGCCGTGTCTGTTATACCATGAGAAATGCAATGCGGGGAAGCAATATTCTTCGCCCGTCGCATCTGAGCTCATGTCCTCAAGACTGAGTCTCTGCTGATCGAGACACGCAAGCAGGTTGGCCTTGAGTGTTGCGCGAAGACTGTCTGGCATGTTTGAAAACACGCAGGCAATTAGCTCCCCATTGACGTCCTTGATTTGAAGCGGTTCTCTATGCCATGGTCAGTTGATATCTGATCACCGAGGTATGGTTACTTACTTTAGAATATGCGGGCGTACCCTGACATACCGCGTGCTGCACACGCGTCGACCGTTTCTAAATTGTTCAGACAACTTGACGTGTCCAAAGTTCACGCGTTAGCTTCGAGCTATTGTTGTCACATGAATGTTCAACATTACCTGTTCTTCAAGTTCCTCAATGCTGTCGGGTTCGCGAGCCGTACAGGCTTCAGATCGCCGGGACTCCGTCCACGAATACGCCTCAGAGGCAGGAACAGGAATTTTTCGGTGCTCGTCGAGTTGCAGGTCAAAGGTGGTGGTCACTGAGATTCCCGTGGATAATGCAGGTTTGCCGGCTGTCTCGCCTTCAATGTTCACGACACCTGTTGTGTAACATTCGTCGTCGTCGTCCAACGCAGTGCAGGGAGACAGGGGATCGGAGTGATCGTCGTTTGCGGTGCACAGTAGTTGCTGACTGGCCCGCGTCAGGTGGAATTCAGTCTGATGGTCTACGGGCTGCAGGCATGGCAGCCAAGCCTCAGCGTTCCTCTCGACAGCTTCAAACGTGCTATGCAAGGTATTATGTGCAAATTTTAATAGACTATGACGAAAGTACGTACTTCATACTCAGCGCTCCGAAGACGCGATCAGATTGGCCGAGATCGGAGCAAAGTATGTAGTCCGAATCGACGTTGATATCCTCGAGAAGGCTCCTCGAGAACAAGGTGTCGAAACGGAGAGATACAAGGTGACGGATACGGGCGATGGTCGGAATGATACGTTCTGTGATCAGTTGACCGCACGTTGTAGCTAGTGAGAGACAGCAGTATTAGCATTGATCAGGAATGTTTTCCCAGTGAAGAAACTCACAGACATCTGGGCATCGCAGCACATTTGCCAATTGCCACGCGAAATCATCGACAGATTTTTCAAGGTCGAGCCGCAACTGAGCACAGGCAATGATTATCAATATATACACGGATCCTTTGGAAAACACGTCATCCATAATCCATATGAAAACCATGAGGAACGTACCGCCCGCGGCGACAGCTGCAAATTTACTGCCTGACTTGACCCAATGCCGAAAGGTACGCTGGCTTGGCGCATCTTGCATACCCTCCACATGTCTTCGCCAGATTTCTGCGTTGCTGTTGATGTCGTCTCGACGCTTCAAACTGTGTATGCAGTTTAGCGTTCTCGAACATTGATTAGGAGCGATACAAAGTGCTTACACAGTGCACTTGCACACCAGCTGTATGTAGTGGATCATCAGTAGAAAATTCATGGTGAGGTCACGCTTCCCAGCAAGACCGCATCTCTGCATTATAGAGGACAGAGAATCGTCAGCAAATCCGGCTCCAAGAATATCGTTGCTCCTGATGGAGCTCAGTATCCCGTCTACGTTGGCGTCCACATCATGCATGGCGGTACCTAGTTGCGCTATAAATGCACTTATCACCGGAGTTACTTGCGCAGCGGGCGTGCGGAGATTGACCCATCGCCTACTGGGGGCGGCCTGTGCTCCGGTTCGACACTTCCAATATGCTACGTCCGCTCTTCTTCCACTCGAAGAACTGGTCTTTTTCCTCGATGATCGACGTGTGCTCCGGTTGTCCTGGGATGGCACCGTACCTGAAGAGGAGGTCGGAGTTCAGTATGTGAACCCAACCACAGTTGAATTAGGCGGTACTCACCGTCCGGGAGGCTTGAATGCTCCTGTGAGGTGGCGACGGCACCTGGAGCAAGTGGTGCCGCCTGAGTCTCAGCGGTCGTGTTGCAAGCATCAACAGCCATATCGCTCATATCCATGCTGCTCTCTGCTGTACGGTAAGTATGCAGATACAACAACCACAACCTGTGCCTCACCATCAGGGCATACGGGTGACTGGATGTCCCCATCAGAGCCAGCGATGCCCAGCTCTCTCGTAACGGCATTGCCTTGAGCAGTGTTGCGGTCAGTGTACGTGATAATGCCTGAGCATGTGGTGAGTCCAAATACTTCAGCTGAAGACTGGATACGCACCTTCCGGCTCGATTGGCGCGCTGATAGATGGTAAAGGAAACTCAACTACGCAATCCTGAAGACGAGAACGAGTGGTTTGAAGGGATGTTGGTAGCGTCGGAAAGCTCATAAGAAGTGCTAGCAAGTCCGAAATTTCTGTTTGTGATAAGGATATGAGCACGTCGCGGTCGTCAGAGCTGCCAGCGTCCATGGTAAAGTGAGAAGTGTTAAGCGCTGAAGCTCTCGGGCCCGAGAAGTCTCAGAAAGCTCTCTGAACGGTTTTATGGAGCATTCCCAAGCGCATCAGGAAGAGAGTAGAGTACACAGATATTGAACGTATTTCACTAGATGTCCTTGGCGTACGATACTACTCACAGTGGCGCCCGCCCTCTTACTTTCGCCCGGCCCGTTTACCCTGCGCCTTCGCATTCCCCGCCCCCTTCACTTTTGTATTCGTGCTCGTATTCGCACTCGCCTTGGCCGTGTGCCTGGGCCGAACGCGTTTTCCCTGGGCCTTGGCCTGCTCCTTGTTCCTGGCGTGCTTCTCCTTCATTTGCTCTTCCAAGACGGCCTTGCGCATGCGCTTGCGGCATCCCGACAGAGCGTACGACAAGGCGTTCGCGGGGAGGCGGTCGGTAAACACGTCGAAAGCGGAGGAGAAGTTGTGCTGCATGTGCAGCACCATGTCGGCGGCGGGGGTCCCCGGGTCAAGACTCGGCAAGGTCGTCGAGTAACCCTGTAGGTCCTCTTTGGCGATAGTCAAGAGGACCTTATTGCCGGGTTCCTTGATACCGCGAAAGCGGTGTAAAGCGGCCCTTTGTTGAACATCGCCCTCCCGGTCGTTCACAGCGGCCAGAAGGTTGTACATGAGCACGAACAACCTAGATAGGTGCTCTTTGATGCGACGCACGGCATCGGGTGGGCTGAGTTGTGGGCTCACGATGGGCATCAGGTCGGTGGACTCCTTGTCCAGACGAATCTCCTGCCGGCTTACATGGTTAGTACTGTAGCATAGATTATGATTTACTTACCATGAATACAAACTCCGTGAGGATCCTCGTGAGATCCCACTGCTCATCCACGGCCTGGCGAAACTTGTGATACTCCAGGGGCATCAGGAAAAACCCATTTCCCTTAATCACACTTTGGCAATCTTTAACCGGCTTTTCCTCTCATCTCATAGATTTATGTCATCGGGATGCGTCAGATGTTTCATGAAGTACCCTGAAGACTTCTGAAATTGCCTTCAAGCATTATACAATCTTAAGACCTTACTTTTAAGATGTCTGAAGTATCTATGATGCCCCATTGAGAGCCGTTGAAGAAGTATGTACTGCTACCTATCTAAATGCTCTAGCTTAACGTACTTTGCCGATCAGATGGTGCAGAGGTAAGAGTTAGTCCGGGTGCTTCGCAGAGTACACCAGCAGAGGTGCACTGCTTCGTAGCATCCACACGTCGTGCCATCAGTAGTACTGCTTGACGTACCCAATGCTTGGAGTGCGGTTGATGTTTGAAATGCGCCCGCTGTACTCGAGGGTACATGGCGCACGGACGAGGTCCTGTCCCTGTGCGTACATCGGGCGGCATTGATTGCAGGATGAACATCGCGATATTGAGGTGGACGTGAGATGTCCGAGGTCAGCGTCGTCGAACACGACATCAGCTTCGTTATCGAGTACGATGAGGTCAGTACCTTGCTCGGCAACTCGCCCGGTCGACGTGAATTCACACGAGGTCGAGTCCTCGTACATGCAGCCGGTATCAGACATGTAAGGGCTCGACATAGCCATGCCGAGGTCGAACCGCGAGTCTTCGCCATCGCGGCGGCGTCCACTGGACGCCGAGACCTTGCTGGTCCGTGCGTCACAACTGCGCCTGCTGACGCGGGCACAGGGAGCGGAGGCGGGCATGCAGGGACGTCCGGTGAGGTCGTACCTGCAGTTCTCGAGCCTTCGTGCTCGTTTTCTCTGCTCGCCTCACGTCCTTCCTCCTCCCTTCTCCTCTTCCCCTTCTTGATCTCCTCGCAGCCTCCTTGTTCGACGTTCCCTGCGTTCTGCGCAGTCTTCTCGCTCGGAGCTGGACTTGAACGCGCGTCGTTCAAGTCCTGGGTCGTGCTGCTGCACAAGTCCAGTACCCCGTTCTTGACGTCAGGGAGGCACACGAGGAACTCGTTGTTCGTAGTGTGGCCTTCCGACGCGGGTGTTGCGACTGGTGACGTACGTACCGGGTGCACCCTCGTGGTCGTGGGGTACACCTCGGTCGCATGTAAGGGGTCGGATGACACGCCGGGTACATCCTTGAGTACGCCGTAGCTCGACGTACCCACTGTGCGGCGACTTGTAGAACGACGGTATGTAGTCGAAGTCGAAGTGGGAGACATGTCGGTCGTGCTGGATGGCACACCGAACACGTCGTGCGTCGTAACGCCGCTGAGCTCGTAAACTAGCGCGTCGCATGGATTCAGCACCTCATGAGGTTCTCTGACAGTGAATACAATGATCTCGTTGATCGCTGCATCGACTGCAGGTGCTGACGGTGGATGCGTATGCATCGAAACGGAAACTTGAGGGGTCGCGGCAAACACACTTGAGGGTGCGTCGCGCGCGTCCCGGGATTCGGCTGCGTGTACGTCGGGCGGTGGGCTCGACGTACGCATAGCGCGAGGCGGTGTCGAAAGAGAAACGGACGACCCGATAGAACTGGCATGTTCTCCGGGTGCGTCACTACGCCAAGTAGGGGCGTGCTGGACGGCGGCCAGCACAGACGGGCGTGCGTCGCGCGCATCCAGAAAGAAGGCACCGGAGGATACATCGAGCGACGAGCTCGACGTATCTGCCGCGTGCGGTGGTAGAGAAACAGGAGGCGGCCTGGTAGAGCTCGAAGGCCCTCCAGACGCGCCGTCTCACAAAGTGGGAGCAGCAGGTACGATGGGCCTGCTGCTACACCGGCCTAGCACCCCGTTCTTGGCGACGGAGAGGCACGCAACGAACTCATTGGTCATTGCGTTGCCTTCCGACGCGGGCGCTGCGGCTGGTGACGTGCGTACTGGGTCCACGGTCGTGAAGTGCACCACGGAACCTTCGCTCGCGCATGGGAGGTCGGCGAGCGCGCCGGGTACGTTGGCGAGTACACCGGACGCGGATTCGATCTCGTTGATAGCGTGTACATCGAGCGATAAGCTCGACATACCCTCTGTGCGGCGGGTTGCTGAAGGACGGGGCACGTCAGACATGCAGCGGTGCATGTCCGACGTGCTACCGTGCGTAGCTGCGGGTACGACCATGAGGTCGTCCCGGAAGACGGAAGGGCCGTCTTCGTGGCCAGCAGAACGCACGACGGACTTCTTGTTCATCGTTACGCCTGCTGCTGCGGCAGATGGCGATGAAACGGGCACGTCGGACGCGCAGCTGCGTGCGTCCGACGTGGTACCGTCCAAGGCAGTTGGTACGACGTGGGAGTCGTCCCGAGAGGCGGAAGTGCCAATGTCGTGGCCAGCAGAGCGCACGACAAGCTTCGCGTTCGTCGATACGCCTGCTGGCGCAGGCACTGGAAGCGGAGGCGGCGAAGCAGAGACGTCCGGTGAGGGCGTACCAGTGGTTGTCGAGCCTTCGTGCTCGTTTCTTCTGCTCGCCCCGCGCCCTCCCCTCTCCTCTCTCTTCCTCTCCTCCTTGACCTCCCTCTGCTCTCCTGGCTCCGTGTTCTCGGGGCTCGGCGCGGTTCTATTGCTCGGTGGTGGACTTGCACGCGCGTCGTGCGAGTCCTGGGCCGCGCGGCCTTGTTGCGCGTTGCTTGGGTCGCAAGGATCCGGGTAGAAGTCGCCAGAGTCGAGAGATGAGGCGAGAGGATGGAAAGCAGGGTTCGCAGGCGGAAGTTGATGGCCTGGGGAAGAAGGGGATGGCGGTCTTGCATTGCCTGCAAGGTCGTCTTCTCGCGCTGCTAACTGAACCAGCAGCAGTTCAGCTGGCCAGACGCGGACGCGCGCGTTCCTGCCCGTTGGGACAGAACATGCGCCTTGATACGCGTTCTGGCGGTCGAGACGGGTGCCCGGAGGGAGGTCGTCGGCGAGATGGTGGCGGTCGAGAGCAGAGCGTTGGGCGCTAGCTCTCTGAGCGCCCGCCGACGACGCGGGCTTGCAACGCTCAACACTTTTGGTGTCGAGCGCGTCGCCGGTCGTGTCGAGCGCGTCCTTGCTCACGTCGAGCGCGTCGCTCGACTTGTTTTTAGTATATTTGAGTCGCAGCTCATTTCTGAGCGGGCGACGCGGGTTACCGGCGGGTGACTGCGAGTTCCGGCTTGTTCGGAGTCGGTTGGTGTTCCGCTGGGCGATCTTGCGATCAAGATCGAGATCTGAACGCCTTTGCATCCACTGGCAGTAGTGCCGCAACGTAGGTGTTCTGCACGAACAACAACCTCCCGCAAACTTCGCATCTGGTTCGCAAACCCTTCAACTTTCTTGTACATCCCTCTCATCTATAATTGTCACCCAAAGAATGTCAGCCCAGACCCGCCGTCAACCCGACGATGACGAGGTCCAATACCTCGGATTCCAGCGCGTCGACGTAGAGAAGAGCGAGGTCCACCGGACGATGCTCGAGGAAGACGGTCTGGTCTTTTGCGGGTTCCACAACACGCAGGACTATTCCGGTCGTTCACCGCCGCCACATATCAAGCAAACACGGGCACCGGTGGTGATTGATCTCGTCTCTTCGGATGACGAAGACAGCTCGGAGCTTGCCGTGTTGACCGCGGCGGGCAGTTCGTCTTCTTCGGGCGCCCGGAGCACTAGAACCAGCAAGCGTTTGGCTGTTAAGGTGAGTGCGTGGCTTCTCTATCACGGACACCACCATTCAAGCGATCGTCATACTCTACCAGAAAATCGGCAATACTCCCAAGGGGGCCCTCGCTCACCAGCCCCCTTCTCCGTCCTCGCGGTCTACCCTCGGCAAACGCGGCAGACGGTCCACTTTTAAAGAGTCCACGATCCCCACCGTGAACAAACAACAACGCAAGGACGCGATGCGCCAGAAGACACGGCGACAGCGATCGCGCAACCAGCCCGCTGAACGCTCGGCCTCGCCCTCGACCACAGTGTTATGAACGCTGGTCGGCGGGTGCGAACATACTTAGGTGCTTAGGTGACCAGACATGTATGCATGACCAAAATTTGTATATGATCCATATACACGACCTAGTACTGCTACAGTTGTCCGTTCGTCGGCTGCGTTTGCACGCAGGGCATTTGCCCTGTGTGCTCGCCGTCGGCGTGTGGACACACCCTGTCCCCGCCTGCCTGCTCGCCTGCCCCCGCTCTTCTGCTAATTCACCCACCTGCTCGTCCACCGCTGTCTGCCCTCTCTCCTGCCGTCCCCTTGCCTACGCACCCTGGTTGGTTGGTAATCCCGTTTATCGTCATTTGAGGGCGAAGCCCTATGTAGACTCGGACTATATACATGTACTATACTACTTGGGTTTGATGCGAGGGTGCCTAGCTAATCATTGGCTCGGTACACCTACGGAGAGGCGACTTCGCCGGTTGGGATGGATTGGGTTATAGCATATGTACAGTAGTTCGATTAGTTCGTGTTGTAGAGTCCATTTACTATGTATAGTGTCCGTGTGCAAATCGCTACAGTGGGGTATTAAGGATGCGCGTGGGATAGGAGATCGTCGTCACTCATCGTCCTCGGTGTTTGGTAAGTCAAGTCCTCCGAAGGTGTGGTCGAAACGGCCGGTGGCGTGTATATAGCGGAAAAGCGGTCGGATGGTGTCGGCTTGCGAGAGTAAGTGCCTGAGAGATCGTACTCGGCTTCCGATTTTGCGTCGTAGCCATGCGCGTTGTGGAGCGTATTCCGTGCACTCGAGGAAGAAGTGTCGGACGGTCTCTCGGTGGGCTCGGCATGCGGGACAGCGCGCTGTGTCGGATCGGCGGATGCGATGGAGGTGGTAGTTGAGCGGTGCGTGTCCGGTTCGGAGCTGAATGAGGAGGCTGGCATGTCGACGAGGGAGGGGTGCGACGAGCTTACTGAACCTCTTCGACGGCATTTCAGGGTCTATGCGTGCAAGGGCTTCGAAACGGGGCGACTCCTTCCACCGTTGGACGGCTGCGGCTTTGATCTGCTCAAGGAGGTGCCTACGGATCGCGGAGATGCTCGATGGGAGGGCGGAGCGAAGGAGTGCGGTGATTTCGTCAGGTGGGCTGCTCGCACCTCTCGCTGCTTTCTTAGCTTCCTGGTCTGCGCACCCTACGCACCCTTCCGCTGGCCCACCCGTCCGCTTGCAATCCCGCTGACCCGCCCGGTCCCCCGCCTGCGTGCGTGCGTGCGTCCTCGTCCGCTGACCGTGTCTGCGCACTGGGCATTCACCCACCGCGCTCGTGGTCGGCGTGTGGTGTGCCCTGCTGTAAGGCCGTCTGCCGGTCTGCCCACTCGCCCGCTTGTCGTCTCATCAGCTCGTCCGCTCAACTGTTTGCTCGTTCACTCACCTGCTCGCCCTGCCGCTCACTGGCCCGTTTGTGCGCCCGGTCGTTCGCCTTCAAGTTCACACCCACCCGGTCGCCCGTGTGCCCCGTCACCTTCTCGCCCGCCTACCAGCTTACTTGCGGCGCGCGCAACGCACCTTCGTGAGCTGTATCTACTTGCTGGGCATCAATCCATGCACGGGCAGCGCGCACTCGTACGCAAGCAGGTCGTGCGCATCCAGCGCATTGATGAGCTCTGGCATACAGGTGGCGAGGCATTGCCAAGGCTCGTCGGCCTTCGCCCACCACCACAGGCCCTTCAATGCGAAGTCAGCGAGCCTATTTGCGAACGATGCAGAGATGGACTTACTTTAATCAACTGCAAAGCGATGCCGCGGGTCGTACCGCTAGAAGGGCGACAAGTCGACGGCCGATAAGAAAAGATTTCAAAAAAGGGCACCAGTCAGTAGATGGGGAAGTGGACTGTTGAGCAGGATTGTAGAGGAGCGGCTGAGGGCAAGCAGGGGAGAAGGCAGGTGAGCGAGGTAGCAGAGGTGGTCCGCAGTTGTTGATGAGGACCGAAGTGTGAAGCGCCCATTTCGGAGAATGCCGACAGCGATCGACTTAAGGTGGTGATGGTTCTCAAGTGGTATGAAGTACGGAAATGCGTTCTGAAGAAACATGAAGCGTTGGTATTGCGTTGTGACCGTTCATTCAATGAGAGCTGTTAAGAGACCAGACACTTGTGTGAGATTGGCGGTCACAACTGTTGCTCAGTACTATTCAATGTAAGTAATCTACCATAGCGTCTGGTACGCGTACTTAGATGCCCAATTGTTAAGCCAGAATTTAGTAGCCTTATCCAGTACAGTATACGTATCCCAGTCGTCCGGTAAGCTCTCGCGATTCGTGGTAGTACGTGTAGATCCAGGGGGACATGGAACGAGTTGACACGATTGACGGATGACCGACAGAGGAATAATCCCGCCAACGGGATGCCCATTGGCGCGAAGGGGAGGTTTGTGAATAGGATACATCATATGTATGGGATCGGCTTGCGTAGGTAACTTAGAGTACCATTCTACGTACGCGAGTGGCCCCTGGCTAGCCCATTCGGATGGAGCTTGTAGCGGCCTGAGGGTTCGAGGATCCCTGATGTTTTGAGGGAGTTTGAATATGACTTTGATGCGTCCGATGCGTGTACCTGTAGAGTCGGAGCAATTACGTTAATTCGCTATGAGATGTGTAGAGAGCATGTGTACCTTGCAGCCCAGTAGCTTCAGCGTCGTCCTCCTGCAGCACAACCACAGTATCGAAACGCGCAGGTTGTTTAGCTATGGCGGGCCTTGCCTTCACTGCGTCGGTCTCCTGTGTGTCGTCGGTCAAGGGTTCGGGCGTAAACTTGAAGCCATGGAAGACATCGAGGCGTTGGAACGGCATATGGTTGATGGCGTTGTTGAGCTGTGAGGAGGCTAGAGGTCGTCCATTCTTCAGCGTGTAGATATACTGTGCGAGGGTGTCGATGAAGCCGGGTGCATGGTGTTTGTCGACGATGGTCGGGAGAGCCTGGAGGGGTGCAGAGGGGTGCTTCGCCAATTTAATTCGACCGTTATGACGTGAGCCTGATACGCTGTCTTGATCTGGATTGTCTACGTCGTCCGCATGACGAACGGAGACATCATCTCTTCGTTCGCGGCCAGTACTCCTGAGCCAGCGGTGGATGGTTGAGCTGAGCACGACCATCTTCTCCTGTCGTGCCAGCCAACGCACCATCTGCGGACGCGCATCGCGATGGTTTGATGCCCTCCACCCTTTCTTCGCGTAGTCGATGTGGAGGCGTTCAAACGCCTCCGTGTTGTAGTTATCCGTAGTGCCTAGTAGTCGGATTGCGTCAACGTAGTGAAGTAATGAATGGAATTTCGGAATATTAAGATGATCGCGCACTCCGAGATCGACAAGAATGGTCTTGTTGCTGTGGAAGGTCTTGAGGGCGTCTTCCATGTACTGGAGCGTCGTGTCGTCGTGAGTGGTGTATTGCGCGAGGTAAATAAAGTCTAGAATAGACCTGAAAGCGAGGATTGCTTTCTTCGGTATCTTGCCGACCAGACAGGCAAGCAGTATGCGAGCCATGTGCTTACGCTCGGTCCCCGAGACCTGGGACAGGGAGGAAATTCCGTTCTTGAAGTGGCGGGTACTGAATGCGGGCGGAAGGCAGCGGATGTGCCGGTCAAGCTCGCGCTCGTCGACGAGTTCCGTGCACCATTCGATGATGTGTTTAAGAACACCCTGGTACAGCTGATGGAGTACATCAGGGGTTATGCAGGAGTGTATGTCGGTATACGGTAGATCGCGCCAGAAGGGACGTACGACGTAGCCGGAAACGTTAAGGTCTTGACAGGCTCGAGTGTACGCGTTCGAGCTTGTCTGCCCCTGGGTTTTCTCACTGGCGAGGCGGAGCACGTCCAAGGTCCAGAGGGAAGTACGGGGCGTACCTGCGGCTGCGGATTCAAGCAGCTGCTCCGGGACCTGGCACTTGGGGCAAGTGCCGGACTTGGCACAAGTTACCAAGCATTGCTCCGGATAATCCGCGACGTAGGCGGCAAGAATTGGGTGCACTCGTCGAACCTCTCCGTTGGCCGAGGTCACGTCGATGCCTTCTTTTCCGGCCTGGACAAGCGGCTCCAAGATCGCCCGAACAGAGGCGTGGAACAGTTGCTGCACCAGCGCGCGTTGCTTGCGCTGCGTGATACCCTCCGAGCCGACTTTGTCGACTGATAGGTATCCGATAAGTATGCAGGCATTTTCCGATGGCTTGCGCCTCAGAGATCGAGGAATATTACCGAGGGTCATGTACACCGGATATGCTGCCTTGTTTCCGGAGAACTGCGTTAACTGTGTTTTGTCTGTAGCTATAATGACCGGCGCGACAGCTGCGCCTGCAGGTAAGAGACTCTACACTTGATTCAGAAAATATATGCGTTCTACTGATGCGGCAGTACTCACCTGCACAGCGTGCCACCAACGCCCGGTCCACATCTCGTTGTAGAGCCGGTGCTTCCTGGATGCATCTGAGAAAATCCGCCGCGGTCGGTACACGATTTGATCAGCGTGTTCCGGGTTGCCTAGCAAGGTACGTATTGCTTGTATGATATCCCGGAACTGGAGAAGATGCCTCTCCTTCGGACGGTCCTTGAACGAGAGGATCTGCTCCTTCCATTCCGCTCTCTCAGGAAGTGAGTCGACACGCTGGAGAAGAGCTCGGCTGTTATGATACGACAACCCGAGTTTCTCTTGCAACTGAGGTGTGTCAGCAGATATTACTAAGATACTGAAGGCACTCACACCGGGGATTTCCAACGCTCTATCAATGGAACCGAGGGTCAGGCCTTCTTGTATTGCCCACGACGCAAATCGCCAATCCATCTCGGACTCGAATGGCTTCCAAGGGTTCTCCGACTGTTCAGCAGTGCGTTCACGGTCTGGGTCTTCTTCTGCATCCTCGCCAACGCGCCTGTGCTCTGCACGCTCAGCAAATACTCCACCAGCTGTAATTACGGTTAGAACTGTGCCCACTGCCAGGAACAACACTACGACGTACCTGAGGATCCTCCCTCTCTATGCTCAAGCCACTTCCTTCGCACTTCTGCGTTGACGTGAGTCACTTTCCCCGCTTCTTCATCCTCATCCACCACTCGCTCATCCTCATTGTCATCAAGCGACAGAGCGGTTCTTCTGGTGCTGGTCGATCTAGTTGAGGGCCCTGCCATGTCCTCGCCGTTGCCATCGCCTCCTGGATCGCCTGGCGGCTCGGGAGGTGTGCAGACCTCGATGAAATCATATAGTGAGGCAAGTTCACTGTCTTCATCCTCGTCTTCCAGGTCCTGGATTTCTTCTTGTTCCCGCGGATGACTTGGACCGTCGGTAGAATCATGTTGGTCCGTTCTACTCGACATTTCAGTGAGTGAGTATATATATACCTTGTTGAATTGACGGAGTTCCTGAGGCAATGTTATGGACTTACCGTGCGTGTTCAAATGTTGCGCCATCATCTAATATTTCCTGGCGATCCTTGACCTTGAAGATCTCTTTCAGTTTACCCTTTTTATACCAAGCGCATTTTTTGCTCATGGTCTGGTGCGCTGAGAGGCCTTGGGTCGTCCGGAACGTCTCATGACAGGCCCCGCACGTATCGCCGAGGAGCTCCTCAATGGTGCGCTTTCTCCTCACCATATCTATTCCGGATATTTCTTTTAGTTCTCAAAGTACAAGCATAGAAATGAACACGCACTGGAATGCGGACTGGAGGTAAGAGACGAGGGAGGGGTTGAAAATCCTCGCAAAAAAGCAAGGTCCCTGAATATGTCAACTTCACATGTCCTTACGTTACGTTGGCAGATTTGGACGCGCCAAATAAGCGCGTTGGACGTTGCGTTTCGCTTCCAACATCCATCTCAAGTTGAAATCCGTACCGTACCTTTTTCCTTCTTGTTCTTCAGCTGACTACATTCACTTGACGTAGGTCACATACATTGGGCTGAGTACGCGTAGTTGGGCACTCTCAACAGCCCGCGTTTCGTGTTTTGTACGGAGGTAAGTACGGACTTCATCACTTTTACTTATCATCCGTCATTACGGTACGCGCTTTGATGAAACATTGCCCCTGCGAGTAACGGCGTGTGGCGTGTGCAACGCCATTGCCTCCGGCGTTGCGCACAACCCACGCCACAGGCCAGCGTGCCGGGTCGGCACAGGGGCGCGCGTACCTCGGATTAACGGACGCGGTGGGTCGGGACTTTGGGCTGGCGAAGCGTCGTCATGAGGTGGGAGGTGGCCTATGAGAGATCGATTAGCCCACCTTAGGTCCGTGCAGTGAGAAAACACTACCAAGAGTGGCTTGGAAGGTGTGGGCCGGGGCAGAGAATGGGACACGTAGGCGGTGCACCTAGGCATCGTCACTTGACTACACATGCCGTTGACTAAGACTGGTGCCGTGTCAGGTTCTCGAGTTCTTCATAGTCCCTGCCCTGTGAGGCACTGTCACGAACGGTAATGTCTCCTACCTCTATAGTGCGCTCAACCACTCGATCCACCAGTCGCTCACCGAGTACTGGTGCTCCCCAGCCTCGCATCAAAGGCAGAGCGAAGGGGGATCGCATCTACTCGAACTATCAGCGCGGAAGCCCTGTAGGTAAGCCTTTGATTATTATTTCAGTCGTAATTCGATGACATTGAGACGTCAATCAACCAGCTCGATCCAGTTACAAAGACAACGAGAGCCAGAGGGCAGACAGCGCCAAGAAACCCATCGCCGCACAGGGAGGTGAGTTACTTACATCGCCCATAATCAGTTCCCGAGTGTTTGCTATCGTTCCGCATAGCAGAGGTTAAAAAACACTCTTAATTTGTAGCAACGACAGATCAAACCCTTCGGACTGACAACGAGGAGGCGTACCCCCTCGTCATCCGGAAGGCTTTCGGAGACCATCACCTCGATCTTCCAGACAACATCGGCGACATCGTAAGTCTCTGTCAGCGTCTTAGCTATACCTATAAGTAATATCTTCGGCTTTCAGACCACCGCAAACTTCACCGAGGAAGACTGGAAGAACTTGCAGGAATATCTGGAGAGTCACGACGATCTCAATAGGTTCGAGTGAGTATTCTTCTCCGCAAGCTTTATGTAGCCGTACTAATACTTGAGAACTCAGCTTTGAGTATGATAGAGACGGAAACATATTAACTATCATGTCGCCAACAAACCTCCACGACCGTCTCGTAGCGCTGCTTAGGTCGATGATCAGCAGGGGGTGGTTCAAGAAGTATGCTCCGCCGGACTGGGTTGCAAAAGCACTCGCCATGTTGATCGACCATGCGGAGTATGCGTCCGTGCGGGGCAAAGGAGGTGGGAAGAAAGTAGCGGATGTGGTGGAGACAATCAAAGTGGGGCGTCAACTGCTCGTCACGTCGATCAATGAAACCGCGAAGTCTCAAGACCTTTACGATCGCAATGGAAAGGATGGAGCGCTGTCAAAGGTATGTAAGAATGGGCATTCGAGGTTATGTACTGTATTTGCTGACATTGCTTGTGTAGCTCCTGGCCGTGGTGGAGCGTTTCATCAAAAACAACGGCGGGGATGGGGGTCAAGACGATGGCGGGAATGATAGTGAGGGCGATGACGGCGACGGCGGGGATGTGGATGAGCGCGAAGGCGAGGATGAGGGTGCGGACGAGGATGCCGATCAAAAGCAACGGCCGCAACTCGTCGCGATCACCTGCTTTAATATCGAAGAAATCCAGCCGGGTCATGGCCCTACAACGAAATGGAAGGCTCCGTCGCAGGACGCTTACCACCTCTCCGAGCTACATGTCGACCACAAGCGATACGAACAATTGGCCACGCAGAACTCAGGGTTGATCCCGGGTGCCGGCCCATGGCTTGCGGAGAAAGACGCAGTATTCTTCGGGGCGGTACGCGTTTGGTGGTTTTATATCCCCATTGAGGAGCTGCAGACGTTCCGGGACGGCGTCGCCCAGCAATGGGACATGAGGGTCTGGGTGGCAAAAGGCTTCGCCATTGTAAGTTTTAATTCTACGCAGCGTTAAGCTCACTGATCGTTTTCTAGCCTATCCTACCGACCTACAACGAGACGGAACAACGCCAGGTCGACGCATTGATGGACAAGGTACGAATCGGGGCGAGGAAGAAGCTAGTTCTTCTCGCGAAGCTCATGTCGCACGGGAACAACAAGGAAGTCCTCGCGCGTGCGCTCCAGCAAGCCCCAGGAGAGGAGGAGCGACAAGCGATGCACGAACAATTGCTGAAGTACTTCGACGACCTGGTCGAACCTGACACGGATCCCTTGGGGGAAGACGCCGACACCTTCGTGCCCGAGGTCTTACAAGAGATCTTGGCCGGTAGCGAGGGCACGGCTGGGGACCGCCTGTGCGCCAACACTTCGGTCCATGGTCAAGAAGTCAGCGTTCTGCAAGGCAGTACCAGCGGTACTCCCCTGGAGCTCGATTCCACCAAAGACTCACGCGCAGGCTTAATGAGCCTCGAGAAATACGTCAAGAAGCGCAAGCGTTCGAGTCGCGGTGGCTCCGAAGATGAGCAAGCGAACGAGCGTGCTCGCGACGGGCCGAGTCGCGAGCAGAGTCGCGAGCAGAGTCGCGAGCAGAGTCGCGAACAGAGTCGCGAGCAAAGCCGCGCGCAAAGTCGCGAGCAGAGTGCACTTCGCGGGCAGGGTGCATCTCGAGGGCCGAGTGCATCTCGCGGACGGCTGAGAGGAGGGTGACATGACGGTGAGACATAATCTCATCATTGCCCGTGTACGATACCGTGAGTAGTCCTTATACTGTACGATACGAGTTGTGTGTTGTGTCGCTGTTCTTGTCGCTGTGTCTATCGCTGTCTATCGTCTATCGCTGTCTATCGCTGTGTCTATCGCTCTGTCCATTGCTCTGTCCGTGGCTCTCACTTCTAGTGTTTGTTTTTTGTCTATTAGCTGTCAGGTCCCGAGTCTCGCAGTCTGTGTCCGCGGCCCAAGTCACCCTACGTTCCTCTGTCGCCAACTTACATAGAATGAGATCGATTTCGGCCGATTAGTATACCAACTTACGTCGATCTCACCACGCTAAGTCAACGCGTTTGGCTCAGTATACATAGCCTTATAAGCCACGCCGCCCAACAGCTAAACGCGCGATGCGGACGCAATCCCGTGACGGCGGCTGTGCACTTGCAAGGCCAGGCATGCATCATCCCGCTAACTTAAGTTCGTGAAGGTCGTTCAGCTACACACACTCCGCTGCCCCAGCAACGCCCCCACTGGCACATCAGGAAAAACACTTGGGGCGCCCAACAGATTGGGAAAACCTTCAACCCGTTGGGACACATTCCGATGTATTGAAACAGATCGAGAGTTGTTGCGAGCCTTTGTAACTTCTTGAAGCAGCTTTCGCTGTCTGTATAGCAATGATAAGTGGTTTTACCATCTGGTTTGAGGTTTAAAATGTTTCCGCTGCTGGTGCACTATAAAGCGCTTTGGCCAACCAAGTTCAATCATTTATCAAATCAAGTTCAAGCATTGAACATCTCATGCGTCAATGGCAAGTAATACACCGTTATATACAATCAGAACGGTCCACTACTTCAAGTCGTCATCGTCAATTTTGACCGTTCAAAAATCTATGCTCTGTCTACGCTGAAGCGGTCCTCCCTCCCAAGTTCCACAGCTGCTCCCCAGCCTATTCATCATCGGCAGCATCCTCCTCTGTCACGGTCTCTGTTCCTGCCCATTTGACCACGCATCCATCCTCTCCAACTTGCGGCCGCACTGCCCGCAATGTCGGCGTCGCCGCAGGAGTCCAGGCCGCCTCGATGTACTTGCGGGGCTTCGGAAGGCGCACCGGCCAGATCCATTCAATCCCCGTGAAGTCGTGCATCATGGAGCACATGGGGGCCCTCTTCTGGTCTCCAATCGCATAGGAGTGGCAGAATGGGGTGAATTGGACCTCGGACTCCCTGAGAACGGGGACGCTCTGGAGAGGGAGTTGCCGGCGGATGGGAAACCCCTTGATGATGTGGTCAGGCACGAATGTCTGCATCTTGGGTTCGTAGAGGTCGAATGCTGTCTCCCTGTTGACCAGCTCAAATGCCTGCGACAAGACGGGCTGCTCATACGGTCCGGGAATCTCCAACTCCATCCCCATCTGGTCAACAATCCCAATAAGGGGTACTGGAACCGGGTCACACCCGTCCTGTACGATATGCCGAACGTGTCTATCAGGAACGGAGCGAGCTTTCAAAGACATCTGAGACGCACCGATACAAACATCAGCCCCTCAACCAACACTGCTTTCGGCGGGTGCATCATCCCCCGGGCTTAGCCTTTGGATTCAGCAGACGACGGATCGCTCTGCCATCACTGTAGAACTCGGGAACAACACCCATGAACACCCATCCCCCAAACTTGGCAGGAGGCCTGCGCAGTGCTGCGGCGCGGCCCAACATGTCAGCGACGCGGTCTGGATTGATCTGACTGGCGCTGAGCCGCATAGGGCACCGGTTCATAAGACACTGGATGGAGAAGCATTAAGCACAACGCCACTACGATACCAGTTCAGAAGCACTCACGTAGTCATAGTACTCCGCAAAGTTCTGCTTCTCCAGGCAGACCACCGTAACATGGAAAGTGTTAGGGGCCATTGGGCACGGTGCCGCAAACTTGCACTCCCTCTCGAATCCATATTCCATGAATTTGCCCATGATCTTGAAAAGACGGGCATCGGTGATAGGCGAGGCAGGCATAGGGAGATGGAATTGCAGTGAGGAAGTGTTGAGGCGTGTTGGAAGAGGTCTGAGAGCGTTGTTAACACGTCTCAATCAAAGGTGATGGATTATAAGCAAGTTCTCACCTCCAAGCGCCCAAGCCACACATAGCGCCCGGCCACTTCTCAGGCTCCCAGAAGAGCGTTGACTTCGCTCTGAGTTGGTGCTTTAGTTCAATTTCGCAATTCTGAGGGGCTGCCATCTCATGATAGTATCACTTTCCACGAAGACCATGTAGTAGAGTATTCAAATACAATCAATGAAATAAGACGTTACAGAATTACAGTTTTGACCCCATGAATCGCACCTCTCCTGTTCCTACGTCCCTGTCCCGCTCAGGCGATAATGATGGGGTTCTCCGCATCCAAGCCCTTCTTATTGAGCTCCTCCCAGCGCACCTCCTTGCCCTCGCCTACCCGTCGCAGCTGACACCCGGCCTCTCCAGGCCCAGGACGCACTGCCACCAGACCCTTGGGATCAGGCATCTGCACCACGCTCCACTCTGCCTCCAGATATTCGCGACGTTTTGCAAGTCCCACTGGCCAGATCCAGTCCAGCTCGATGAAGTTGCGCTTCATCGAGCACAGCGGCGGCATGTCCTCTGCTCCAGCTGCGAAGTTGATCACCAACAGCGTCATCGCAACGCTGGAGAGCTTCAGCACCAGGACGCTGGTGAGAGGCAGGGGGAGACGAATGCAGAACGACTCCTCTGTTTTTGACACTTTGAACGTTTGCAGAGACGGTTCGTAGGGGTCGAGGACGGGGATGGGAAGGCGGCCTGATTTCGGTGGCCTTTTGAACGGGTTCAGACCCGGGAGGAGCTGCAAGAGGAGGGGTTGATGATACGGCCCTCGTATAGTCACTTCCGACTTCGTACTGTTGATCTCCCCTAAGAGAGGGACAGAGACCGGAAAATAATCCTCCTGTTGTCACGCACACATGTTTGTAAGTAGTGCATGAAGATTAGAAGAAATATGACACGCACATGAACGTAAATCAGGGCCTCCACCAGCGCTGTTCTCCCCTCCGCCCACGCGCTGCTTGGGGAGAACAGGGACAAAGCACGCTTTCCCCTGTTGCTCTCCTTCCAGAACTCGCGCACCATCCCCATGTATACCCATCCTCCGAACCTCGGACCGCCTTTGAGTGCCTTCGCGCGCTCGAGCATGAAAGCTCTCTCCTTTTCGGACGACTGGACGCGACTGGGTTTCATGGGGCAACGAGAGATGTCGGACAATAAGCACTGAAACATCATCACGTCAGACGGAAGTTGTGTTGATGAGTAGTTTGAACTGGTACTCACATAGTCGAAGAGCAAGCCAAAGTGTTGTTCCTCCAAGCACACCACAGTGACGTGGTCAATGGCGGGGCACACCTTGCAGTCTTGCGACCGTGTACAGGCTAACTCGAATCCAGGTCCATGCTCACCGAGTATGGCGATGAGGTTTCGGTCAACAGGAATGGGGGTGGACATAGCGTGATGGAGGTTGAGTTGAGAGATGTCTGAGAGTGGCGTAAAGGCCTATGAGCGAACGCCTACCCTTAAGCGCCGATATCGCCGGCCACTCATAGGAGATTGTTAAGCTCATGGGTCCTCAGAAATCGTAAAATATGAGAAGCCTGGCATCAATAGCAAGTAATACACCGTAATATACATTCAGAACTGTCCACTACTTCCAGTCGTCATCGCACAAATCTACGCTCTATCTATGCTGAAGCGGCCCTCCCTCCCTTCCGCCGCCGTCCTCACAACACAGCCCACTTCCCCCACTCGCGCCCGCTCTGCCCCTATGCCCATCGGAGCCTCTCTCGTCACCACGGCCCATTTAGCCTCCATGATCTCGCGACGCTTCCCCAGGCCTACAGGCCAGATCCAATTCAGCTCGATGAAGTTATACTTCATCGAGCACATCGGATGAACGGGCTGTTCCCCCGTGGCGTAGTTCTGGGAATACAGCGTAAGCCGCACCGTCGAATCTTTGAGGACGAGGATGTTGTCCAGGGGGAGGGGGAGGCGGATCGGAAACGTCTGGTGCAGACGCGACGGCTCAAACGTCTGCGTCGACGCGTTGTAACGGTCGAAGGTCGTTACTCGTGGCTCGAGCATCTCAGCGTACGTTGGGAACTCCCGTGGCTTGAATGCGTTCAGCTTCGGGAACATTTGAGCGAGCATCGGTTGCTCAGACGGTCCCGGTATCACGATCTCCGAGCCCGTCGCGTTGACCTCGCCGATGAGCGGAACAGAGACAGGCGTATAGCCGTTCTGTACACGGTGTTCAGTGAGCGCGCCAACATCAGTGAGGGTTACCACGTACCTGAACGTAAACCATTGCCTCAACCAGCGCCGTCCTCCCTTGCGCCGATGCGGTACTCTCCGGCCACATATCTATCAGAGGCCGCGGACACATGACGCCGTAGAAGTCGTAGATCGCGCCCATAAGAACCCACCCGCCAAACCTGGGAGGGCTACCCAACTTGTACGCGTATTCCATCATTGAGCCTAGGTCTTCCTCGCTCGCCTGGATTTTGCTGGGCTTCATGCGGCACCCAGTCAAGTCGAACATCGGACACTGAGTGACGAACGCGTTGGAGACAAGCATCAGTAGCACATCATGAGACTGCGGGCGTAGCACTCACGTAGTCAAATAACCACCCAAAGCGCTCCCTCTCGAGGCAGACAACCGTGACATGGTCGATCACCCGACATATCTTGCAAGATCGGGAATGCATGCAAGCGTCTTCAAAAGTAGGTAGTCCGGTCTGAGCGATGATGTTGACGAGCCGGTCGTCGATGCGGGATGCGGTAGACATAGCGGTGCAAGAAGATTGGAAGGAGATGGGTGTTGGTTTGACAGATCTGAAGGTCGACGCAAGACGTTTGGACGGAAGATGATCATAAGCGCCCACCGCCGCGCGCTGCGGCTGATCAGGTTCCATGGCTCGCTCAACAGCAGAGACCCTTCTACAAGTCGTGCTGGCGTACATAGATAGCAAACCGAAGCATTTCTCCGGTTACACGTAGAGAGATACATGAGTAGAATACAATTTTACGCGCTACAAGTAATCACAACCGTATGAAATTCGCAACGAAGTCAGCCTTAGTACTAGTACCCGTCTGAATCCAGCTCCCACAGCCGTTCCTCCCCTTCAGAATCGTCGTCTACGCCGAGGTCCACGCCCTCCTCGTCCTTCTCCTCGCTAGCCGCACGCTCCTCCCTTGGCTCCACCGCCAGTTTCACCACGCAGCCAGGTTCGCCGAGCTGTGGTCGCACAGCTACGGTGACCAACGGATACGGCCAGGGGAACACGTTCCACGCGGCTTCCATGTATGTGCGCGGCTCCTGGAGGCCCACAGGCCAGATAAAGTCCAGCCCGATGAAGCCGTACTTCAACGAGCACATGGGGTCGATGGCGCGCCGGCCCCTCGCGTAGTCGAGGACGTGCTCCGTTTGCTCGACCGTGGCGTCCCTGAACACGGGGATGTCGCGTAGGGGGAGTTGCAATCGAACGGGGAAGGTAGGGCTCATTTTCGAAGGTACGAACGTCTGCCAGGCCGGGTTGTAGAGGTCGAAGACGGGCCATGGCTTGCGGGTCGCTCGTACGCCCTTGTAGCGGTTGAGAAGCGGAATCGCCTGCGCTAGCACAGGCTGCACGGCGGGCCCGGGGATCTCGAGCTCCATCCCCGTGGAGTCTATCACCCCGATGAGGGGGATGGGGACCGGATCTTCGGCGTCCTGTAGGCCGTTCAAATAGATATATCAGTAGTCAGTTACACGCTTAGAAGAGGCTCTTACGCACCGTCACAAAGAATAACGTTTCTACCAGAACCGTACGCCCGCGCCTTAGTACGCCTGAGCCCGGCCTCTGCTCCAGCAACTGGCGCAGCTGCGCGGACTCCGGTCCAGGTGCGTACAGCTCCGGAACGGCCCCCATCAATACCCACCCGCCGAACTTCACAGGCGGGTCGCGGAGGAGGTCAGCGCGTTCTCGCATGCGATCGAGGTTTGCTTGCTCGGCCTGGACGCGGCACCTCCCCACGGCGCAACCGAAGCCGTTGTGCATAAGACACTGAAAAGAGCGTATCAGAGAAGGCGTTACACGGGGGAGACTACTCACATATTCAAAAATCACCCCCAGACCCTCCCTCTCGAGGCAGACGACGGCGACATGGTCGATCTTGAGGCCGAGCTTGCAGCGTCGCGTGAACTGCGACACTTGTTGTACCGTTACGCCCAGAGTCTCCTTCACGATGTTGAGCAGACGATTGTCGACGGAGGTAGGCATAGTGAGATGTGCAGAGATCAGTTTTTAGTGGTTGAACGCGGTTGAGGATCGCAGGAATGTGTTTGACGCGACTTTCGCCCTTAGGCGCTGAGAGCTGGCTTCCAGTTCGCACGGGCGCTCCGCAATAATGGGGAAGCGCCTGGGTTCGCAAGACGGTATCGTATTAGCTCACACAAATTGATAGAATCTAGACGGAACATTGTAAATGGCGTGAACAGTACGAACTTCTCTCGACGGAATCTAAGTACAATCTGGAGACGTAGGAGTAAGAAATCATAGCTCAGCTAATGGTACAACACCGCACCATGCACGCCCCGTTCTCCAGCCTCCACAGTCCCAGCTTCAACGTACGGAATCTCTCTGCCGTCCGCAGTGACCTCCCAAATTTCAATCTCCTGGACGCGCGGTTCCTGATGCCGATGTCTTCGTCCGGCGCGTTGTCGCCGCCTGCGCTACCCTTGGGCACCCCGCCATCCTCAGCAGCGGGCCAATCCTCGGATATGAACGCAGCGACTGAGTAGCCGGGCTCGCCAAAGCGTGCGCACTTCGCTACCTCGCCGTACCACGGCTCTATCCCCACGCGCCATGCGGTCGTGACGTACTCGCGCGGATGAGGAAGTCCTCGCGGCCATTGAACTTCAGCTCCATGAAGCTGGCCTTCATGGAGCACATGGGCTTGAGCGGCTTTGTGCCGCGCGAGTACTTCTCGGCGAATGCGGCGGTCGTGACGGAGCTGATTTTGAATACGGGTACAAACTCGAGGGGAAGGGGAAGACGGAACGGCACGTCGAGCGGGTGACGGATGACGGGGACGAACGTCTGCGTCTTGACGTTGAAAAAATCGAATTGTATTCTTCCCCCGCGCGGAATGCCCCTCCATCTATTGAGGGAGGGGAAAATTTGAGCCGTTAGCGGCTGGTCGAAGGAGATCTCGATTTCCTGCGTGTCGTCGCGGATCTGCCATACAAGAGGAAGGCACATGGGGATGTGGGCCTCCTGGTAGGCAGCTCCTGGTATAAGTATAATGGCGAGTTGTTCAGAAGCCCGAGTACTCACCTCGAAGAATATGAACGTTTCCAGCGCAACGTTCCGCCCCTGTCCCCGGAAGTAAGGGGGCACATCCACGCCCCGGTGGCTCTCCAAAATGGAGCCCAGCAGTATCCACCCTCCCAACTTTGGAGGAGGTTCCAGGCGCGTACCAGGGCGAGTAGCTCCTCCAGCAGCTCCCGAGGGCCCTGCTCCTTGCTGGGTTAGCCGGACACATAGATGTGTTGTAGATAGTGCACTGTCCCAATGAATGGTCATGAAATTGTATGAGTAAGGATAGAACTGAGGGATGCTCACGTAGTCGAAAAGCCTCCCAAAGTTCTCTTCTGAATCCTCCAAACAAACCACCGTGACGTGGCGGGTCTCCCGCCGCTCGGAACATATTCGTGACGCATGCGCAGCAATTCCGAATTGTGGTAGAGCCGGCCATAGGAGCTGAAGAACGCGTTGGTCGAAGCAAGCCATGTAGACGGAGTCTAAGTCAGCCGTAAAGAGGTTTGAAGCAAGTCGTCTTCCGCGCAAGCGCTCAAGTAATAACAAGACGAAAGGCTCTCCATTTGTTCAGTTGGAACGCGGAGAGAGCAAGATGGTATATATTGCTACCACAAGTTTGATAGGCATACATCCCAGTCCAGTTGTTTACATAAAACCGCTTTGCCTCTCTAGATATTCTGTGAAGTCCACTGGTCCGGAACGGTGCCACTTGGGCCGTCCAGGAACGACGGCGTAAGTTGGCAGGACTGTCGTATTTGGGAGACAGGGACTATTTCCCCTGGGGCAGCCCGTCCGTCCGTAGGGGTGGCTTACTGACAGAATACATGAGGTGCCTTGGATCCGCTGCAGCAGAGAACCTGGTGTACCATTCACGTAGCATAGGGCTCATCAGGCCACCACGGCGGAGACGGTGGGGCCCCTGGCCTATCAGGCAGAACTCTCGGGAGCTTGAAGACGACCTTGACTCTCCCGCTCTTGTACCTGTGTCTTGTCAGCCAGTGCCTGCAGTAATTGAGTGTCCTGTTGCTTACCTCTCACTCCAGTGGATTCTGCCTCGTTGTTCTCCAGAATAATCGCGGTGTCAAACCGCTCCTTCTTCCTTTCTGAGCAGAGCCAGGAATGCCTTAATGAGATCTACTTCATCTTGTCGTCAGACAAAGAGCATGGCTTGAACTTGATTGATGGAATACGTCGAGTCGATCGAACGGTAGAACCGTCTGACTCAGTTCTTGCCGAGTGAGTCGCAGCTCCCGGGGCTGAAGGTCGTTGACGAAGAGTGCGAGTGCAGTGGTAAAGCCTGGGCGCCATGGAGCTCCTGGATGCGAACAAGATGCTGCTGAGGCGCGGCGCGTACTTCGCGATTCGGATGTTACGGTCGGCATCCGAGACTCTTCTGGACGGGCTTCACGCTCTTCCAACTCGTCGACACGGCTTTCCCTATCCGCCTCATCGTCCTCCAGCTCCTCAGTGGCCTGACGCTCGTTTTGAAAGACCTCGTATAGCATCATCTTCTCTCGTCTCGATATCCACCTCGTCATCTGCGGGAATTCGTCCCGGTGGTTCGATGCCCGCCAGGCGTCCTTGGCAAGGTCGATATGAAGACGCTCGAACATCTCAGTATTATAATTGTCTGTTGTTCCGAAGAGGCGGATAGAGTCGACGTAGTGGAGTAGGGAGTGAAACTTGGGGATATTGAGATGCTCGCGAATCCCTAATTTCACCAAGATGTTCTTGTGTTCGTGAAACATCTTGAGGGCATCGCTCAAATACCCTAGAGTGTCGTCATCGTGAGTTGGGTACTGGGCGAGGTAGATGAAGTCGAGTAGAGAGCGGAAGCAGATGAGGAGGGACTTAGGGATTTTGCCAATGAGACAACCGAGGAGAATACGAGCCATACCCTTGCGTTCGGTGCCCGTTATTTGTGACAGTGAAGAGATCCCATGCTTGAAGTGTCGAACCCCGAACGCCGGCGGCATAGAGCGGATTCGCCTGTCAAGTTCCTTCGGACCGAGTAGATCTTGGCACCAGGTAACTAGATGTTTGAAGACGCCTTGGTACAGTTGATGGAGGACGTCCGGTGTGATGGAGAGGTGGATATCGGTGTAGGGCAAGTCTGCCCAAAACGGCTTCTTCACCCCACCCGCGACGTTCTGTTGCATACACAGGGCTTCGCAGGCTGCGTCGCTGAGCCCTTGGTTGGAGGCCTCCAGGATGATACTCTCCGTCATTTCAGACGTGCGAGGCTCAGCCGCAACAGGTTCCGCGAGTTTGTCGGCCGGACACTGGCACTTGGGACAGGTTCCGTACTTGGAGCATGCCACAAGACATTGCTCAGGGTAGTCCGCAACATAGGCCACTAGGATGGGATAAACGCGCCGTACAGCACCGTCCCCTCCGGTGACTTCAATCCCATCCACGCCTGCGCGGACCAGAGGCTTGAGAATGATACTCATAGCCTCATGGAAGAGCCTCTGCGACCTCGCCTTGCGTTCCCTCTTGGTCATCTTGTCCCCAACTACCTTGGAGACAGGGAGGTATCCGAGCAAGATACATGCGTGTTGTGATGGTTTGCGGCGAATAGAACGTGGGATGTTACCAAGAGTAAGATAAACGGGATATGCGGTCTTGTTTCCCGAGAACTGCGTAAGCTGGGTCTTGTCCGTAGAGATGATCACAGGGGCGAGGGCCGCTCCTTCAGGTAGTAGTTTCTGCAACACAACGTGTGGGTCAGTAGCTCTTCCAATAACCCATTGACCTGTTGATCATACGTGCCTGCACTGAGTTCCACCACAGCCCCGTCCACATCTCAGTGTAGATTCTCTTCTGCTTTGAACGATCGGAGAACACGTGTCTTGGCCGGTATACAATATGTTTGGCGTAAGTAGGATTACCGAGGAGGGCCTTGATGGCCTGCAAGATGTCACGGTAGCGTACAAGGTGAATCTCGTCCGGTCGATCGGGAAAGCTCAACGAAGCTGTCTTCCACGCAGCCCTGTCCGGGATATCGTCAACCTTCAGCAAAAGCTCCCGTACGTCCTTGAAGGTCAGTCCCAGCTTTTCTACAACCTATAGACAGCCTTTCAGAATAGAAGTGCACAGATATGACGCAGCGGAGACTTACTCCTGGTATTGAGAGAAATCTGTTAATAGACTTCTGCCCTACGTCCTCACGAACAACCCACATGGCCACCCTCCAGTCCAGCTCTGAGGCAAAAGGCTTCCACACCTCGCTCCTATCCCTCCCTCTCGGCCTGCCATCCTCGCTGTCCACCTCCATTTGGTCCGCGTCCGATGTGTCGTCTTCTAGATCGTCCGCGAAGAATGCTTTCCATGTCTGTACAATGGTGGCGTCCATTCGGATGACCTTTCCCGCAAGAGAGTCCTCTTCTTCAACCCTGTCGTCCTCATCGTCGTCCAATGCTGGAGCTTGAACGACTCGCGGATCGGGCGGAACAGCTGGGTGCGTAGAGGACGAAGCCTGGTTCTCATCCTGTGTTGCGGGTTGTGTTCCCGCGTCAGGTAGAACAAACCTGAACAGGTCTCTGTTCTCCAACGCGTCCCAGATATTCTCCTGCGGGTCGACCTCCATGTCTTCGGCACTGGACAGAGCCTGTTCCTCAACCATTTGCTCCTCAACGTTCGGAAGATTGGACCAGAGGTCCTTATTCTTGCCCTTCCTATACCACAGGCAAGACTTCGCTGTCGATAGGTGAGCCATTAAGCCCTGTGACGTATCAAATTCTCGGTCACAGGCTGGACACGTCCGTTCATCAGGGTCACTGAGAGGAACGAAGGGTGCTCGTCTTGACCTCATGATGCGAACACTGCTTTCAAGTTGGACTGATGGACTGGTGAGGTTCCGTTGGCTACACACAAAAAAACAATTCACCTAAAGTTCAAACCAGTTCGAAGTTGATGATGCGTCCCGACGAGCTACAGAGCGCTTCCAATCAGAGCGTGAGCGCATCATATCGCCTAAGATCCCTTCAATTCCCCACGACGCGACGCCCGCCTGGACACTGACCTCCTCGTCTCTGCGCAATCCTCGCCGTAGAATGGTAGCAGCTGAAGGCTCTGACTAGATCAAAGCAAATAGAATACGCCTTCCAATTGCCGTGGTAACTGCACACTACAGGATGGTCATGACAGGGAGCGCGGTAGTAAGTACAGCTGCTGTCCTCCCCGCCTTCTAACGGTTGCCACCTATCTCACAGCAAGCTCATTGAGGGTACATCAGGTGCGGTCATCTGCATTCTCAACCGTGCTCACTCACCAACCGTACATGCTTTCTGAAGAGGACATGTTGGCCGAATGCTTGAGTGGTGTGTAGGAATTGCCTTATATGGTGTTTGCAACGCATGGCAAACATCCTTTTCCTCACTCTGGACGATACTGGGTGAGTAGGTACACCTCAAATCTGTTCAGGGGCACTGAGGTAAGTGATATCTTCGATATTTGAGCATATTTGAGCAGTACGTGCCCAGCAGTGAGTTCGCGGCCCAGTGAGAGAAGGAACTGAGTTGCAACAAGCTTAAGTCGGTGGTTAGCGCCGACAACATGGGATTGCGTCTGTTATTCCAAAGCTGTTCCCATGCACGTCGCCCTTCTCTCCATCGACGCAGCCTTGTCCGACTAGGTTGTCGACCGTAAACTCTCCATGCAGGGACGATCAAGCTTGGAAAGTAACTCTGACAGCGGGTCCGCGCCCGGCTCAGACGACTACGGCTCTGGGCGCAGTATACCTGGTTCCGACTCAGACTACACTGAGCCTGGCACACCCGTCGATCTTCACCATCCCGTCGAGGTGGCCCTCTACTCGCCCAGCCGCTCTTTGGACGAGGACCAAGGGTATGCCGTGACTCTCCCAAAATCTATATCTCGCGAGGACTACTCCCGGCGCTCCCTGGCGATCTCTCCCTCCTCTGGTCCCACTTCCGCCGACATAATGCCTCAATTTCTCAAACTCATCAGGAGCCCAGACCTTTGCGAAGGAGACGAATACCGGCTTTCCAAATACTTCACTCAGATTCGGAACCTTCAGCTGGAGTGGCAGAATGCCGGTTGCGAAGGCTGGGTGACGAAGGTAACGTTACTAGTAGGCTATGATGCGGCCGTCATGTAACATCATTGTCAGGACATTACAGACGGTATGAATGAGCAGCTGTATGAGCTCATGCAGAAGAAGGTGGATGCTACGTGGGAGTGGGAGTTGGGCGAGGGAGAGTACCGGCGTTGGTTGCTGTTCATACGATGTATAAGGTGAGCAGCGATACGTAATGTGAATATGAGATGAGTACCTGACTATCTCTAGAATGGACTTCTGGCCTAAGCAGGGTAAAGCCGTCGTCATTGCGCCGACCTTCCAAGAGGACATGGCGTACTCTATGACAAAGCGCTTCGGCAACGCGTTCAAAGAGAGCGATCTCAACCCCATTCAGTCTGCGTTGACCATACCGTCCGACATGGTTGTGAAAGCCCCGGACGTGCACTTCAGCTTCAGGTACAACGCTGTGCTCAAGGAACCCCGTAGCAACGCGGCGTCAACGCCCTTCTTCTGTGTAGTTGCTCAGAGCTCCGAAGAGTTCCTGTATGAAACCAAGAAGGTACGTCCCGTACATTTGTACTACTTCTGGTTTTGTCTTAAAGCCTGGAATAGCTGGCGTGGGTCGTGGAGTCTAACGCCCTCTGCGGGCTGCAAGGATTTCTTGTTGCCCTTGTCGCCGAGGTCGACGAGATCACCACCCCTGACAAGCTGTACTTCCCCAACGCTTTACGCCTGCTAATACTCCATCTCAACACCATCAACAAGGCCAGCAACCTGAATATTCGTTATCCCAAAGGTCCTCCGCCCCAGATGGTGTGTTGCACGGCATACTACGAACGTGAGCTGTTTCCTGCTTTCGTGGAGCAAGCGAGATCCGCCACCTCTGTGACGGACTGGTCCAACAGCGACCGCTTCATGGTAAGTGTTCATACCGCTGTCTCTCACTAAACTGACAATATCGATTACTTGGCAGTGGTTGACGTCCATGCGCAATGGACCGAGCGTCTTCCCACCGGATCGATGGACGATATTCGCGCAATGTGTCCGCTCAATCGTCGACGGCTATGCCGCTGAAGCGCGGACGACCGCCTCACCCAGCTCCACCTATCCAAAGCGCACCGTAACGGATGAGGAGTACCGTACGGCGCTCCTCCGCATCCTCCCGCAATCCCTCGCGAGCGACCTGCAACAGGTCGTGTTCCAGGTTTTGGAGGGGATCGTGTCAGTCAGGGCGGGCAAGCGCAGGGTCACACGGCTTGTGGCGGCGAGTCCTTACAAGACTGAGGGGCTGTCCAGGTACGACGTCATAGTGTAGTATGTATATGCACTGGAACTACTTCAACGATGATATGATACCCGTGTCTGCTTTATGCCTCTGGCCAGAGAATGCCACCCCAAGAGCGCCCGAGTGGGACGCTGAGTCCCGCGTTAAGTCCGAAGTCCCTTCTCTGTGAGAAGAGAAGGACATGCGGACTTGCACTGCGTGCAGCGCGTGCAGCACTGGGCGGATTGTCCGCCTCTCCTTCACGCCCGCGATGGCGGTAGGCGATGTTCACATCGGTGTCCAGCACCTCGCTCACAGATTCATTGATCTGTGCTCCCAGGACTGCGCATCTCTGGCGGGCATGACAGAGCCCACCACCACCAACGATGAGCTCTCTGTTGGCGGTTTCCGGCCAGACTGTGTGGTCAGACTCATGGTGGGCCTACACCCCGCCAAGGGCCTCTATGTGGAGGTTCACTCCTCGGAGAGCATGGCCCATGGAGTCAACAAGGTGAGCCGCCATCGGAACTGAGCCACCTTGCCCACTGATTGTTGAGCAGCTGGTAGAGGAATGCGACGCCGGCGCCCATGCCGTTCTTGGGACCATCTTCTTCGCTGCATCGGAGGGCCAAATGAAGAAGCCTGAGCCTGAGGTGCTGAGGCAGTGGAAGGAGCAGGCGGGCAACCAGGACAAAAGGGACCCCTCTTCCTGGGGCCTCTGGGGCTTCATGGGGACTGAAGGGACTGGCAGCAGCGCCGCCACATGGCATCTGCATAGGGCACGGGAGGTTCAGGCGTTGAGGAAGGTCAACAGGGAGCATACCACGCCCCACATCAGTTTCAATCGACATGCGATCGTAGGAGCTCTCAGCGGGTACGCCATCTTCATCCCATCGGCGTTGTACAACGCGCTACGACAACGCCCTCCATACCCTGGATGCGAGAAGTGGACAGCGAGGGAACTCAAGCTTTACTTTGGGCACATGGTGAGTGCCCCCTCTCCATCTAGACTGAGCTGAACTGACGTTCAGCAGGCCATCACGCCAAACGGCGAAAGCCTCGACTTCGAAAAATGCTCTGGGAAGGCCAGGGCGTTTTTCTACAACGTCTTCAAAGGTTACCTGGCCGCGGCTAGGTACAACATAACCATCATGTCCCAGGAGTTGAGCCTCCTCAACTCCATCGACGACCTCGACGACCTCGACGACCTCGATGACCTACAAGACGACCTCAGCGCCTCTGACAGACGTCGAATCAACGTCCTACTGGGCGAGGTCAACGATTTCGCGGCCTTCAACGACGATGAATCTGATACGGACGATCGAGGGCGGTTCGAAGACAGCCAATTGTACAACAGGCTGGGGGCTGACGGCCTGCAGCGGCTATCCGCGGACTGGTCGAAAAGCATGGTGTACTTTGCTCAGTCTCTCGCTCAAGCTCGACTCAGACAGTGGTTTGGATGGCCATAGATGTAGCTGTACGTATTTGTAGCATGAAATGTATTGCTTGTAACGTGTTCCAAACGTGTTCCAACTCATACTGCCCTCGGACATCGGCGCCTAATAACTTCTACGTCGTCCGTCATGACTCCCACACTACAACACATTCTGAAGCTCTCCGAAGAAGAGAGTCAGGCGCTTCAATTGCTCTTGACGAAGTACGAAGACTTTCACTCTGCTCTGCCTGCTGTGCGGGATAGACTTCAATTGATCAGCGATGCCTTGAAGGGCGATGGGGGGAGATACCCAACGGTGAGTGCAATTGACTCAGGTGCTGTACGTAGTAGTCTGACAACATATTGCAGGCAATCCGAACTCAGATGGCCATGAAGAACCCAGTCTGCGTCGTTCAAAACGCTGCCAGAACTCCAAGAAGTCGACGCATCACCGGGTCTCTCAGACCGCAAAGCTTGACAAGCAACCCCCCAAACCTGGGAGAAGAGCAGACAGAGGAGTGCTACCTCCACCGCACTGCAAGAGCGGCTCCTCAGTTAAGAAATGGGTGAGGCGTCGAGACCCGTTCAACCAGTCAACACCAGCCATCGGAGCGTTCTTTGCCCGTCTCTCTGCATCCATCGACTTAGCCTCAGACCGCAGCCGCTCTCAGCTATCATCCGTGCGGGCGCTGCTAGAACAAGGAGACGATGGAACCGGATTCCTGGACAACACTCTTGAATCGATTGTTCAAAGATGTACGCGAATTACAACCGCTGACCAATGTGTCAGTTTCCTCGTCATTGTGCATTACATGCAGTTGGTCTGCAAAACCTCTAAGTCAGTGAAACATATTTGGTCATTGCGTCTATTAATCTGAAGTTGCTTGGATAGCATAAGACGCGCAAGCAATCTGAGCGTATGCCAGGTGTATGAGAAGCACATCAGCGGTCACCCTTCCTCGCCAAGCCAGCGAACATTCTGTCACTGGAACGAGATTGGAAGCAGATTCTCGGCGATCGCAACAGGGGGTAGGTTGCTCGTATATGTCCTTAATGTTGCAGTAAACAAGCAATATGGCTTATGCGCCCTCTCTGGCAGGATCTATCTACGCTGTCCTGCTGGTTATTCTAGCCGATCTGCGTAAAGACGTCATACAATCCGTTGGTGACTTTGCTTGGACGGTCGCCAACGTTCTACGTGATCCCGACCCTAGTAAGTACTAACTCACTCCGGCGCAGCTCACCTCACACTAGTCTGCAGATACTGCGGCAGGTAGTATAGTCATTCAGCGTATCATCCCGGCTATAGACCGCGTGCGAGCGCAGCTACCTCTGCAATTCGACGCACTGTACTCTCCTCCCATGCTGGTAGAACTTGGCGTGGCATTGGACACGCTTGATTGCTCCAATCTTGAGCACTCCGATAAATTGTTCGGCTCCCTAATACTCAAGTGAGCGTCCACAGACCTTTTGAACTTTGTGCTCTGCTAATTATACGTGGTGTGCTAGTAACTTTACTTCCGTGGATAGAAACCTGGAAATATGGGCAGCTTGCCTGCTTCCCAATCCCGATCCGGCCAGCGATGCGGTTCCGCTCACCCGGGCCAGTCAAAATCTCTTCCGTCGAAATGGCGACGTTGAGGGCGCGATTGATCCCCCCTCTCCCTTGTCCGATGTGTACGAAGATGAGGACGAGATCCTCGCTGAACAGTCCGATGTTGAGATGACGAATCACAACATACCAGGCATATGCGTTGTAATGAAGGACTTCGATCTCAGCCTCGATGTGCATCGTGCGTACCCGGTGCCCAATCTACCTGAAGAAGCCTTCACTTGGACGGAGACTCAGCGTTTGCTGGCTGCAGCAGCGCTGAAACCAGAAACGCCCGCGGCATTGCAGGCCCTGGTATGTTCCCTTCGTTTGATCATACAACAGTGTACGCTCCTTCTCACCTGTAGCAACTGGTCTGTAGCTGTCACCGGCTGCTCCAGAAGGCCCCAGTGGACGGAAAGTCAAGGAATATGTTGCCATCAAGCCTGACCTGGCATCGTGAGTAGTTCCTCAACTATCAACTGCGTCTATCTCACCCTTTGAAAGGGGTCCCATTCGAATCGAGGATAGTAGAGGATCTCTCGTCGCATGCGTGTTCAACAACATGCCGCAAGAGATCCGCGAGATGCTCACTGTAAACTTGCTCGCTTGTTTTGAAGACCAGGCGGAGAATCTCAAAGAAACGTGCTCCTCATCGGAGGGAAGAGGTTTCAGCTTCGCGGCACTTCATTTCGCCTGGTATAACCGGCACGGGACAAGGGTCAGTGAATCCGTTTAACGTTCTACTGTTGGTATGTACTTCGTGCTGAGAATGGGCTATCACAGGGACACGATGTTCCGGTCGACGCACACCCCATACTCATTGAGAAAGACGACAACACTCGAACGAACTACGGTCAAATGCTTCCCTACCCGTCACAAGACACCGGTAAATACAAAGACATCTACAATAATCTGCAATCCGTCTTCCAAAAATTGTTTGAATGGATGGCAGAGCAGGTACGTCTCTCTATCTACCCACTGAACTGAGTGGCTGAAATATATACAGCTCAAGGACTCGCTTTGCTTGGAATATGACGACCTACGCATGGACGCGGAGGTATTACCGGGAATGCCAGTTCTCTGGTCCATCCCTTCCTGTCACTCGTCGTCAACCTGAATGTGGCCACTCTGGCTCACAGAGACAAGCAGGATAAATCACTCTGTGTGTCTTGGCGGTGGAGAGTTTGAGGAGGCGAGCTGTGTCTGTACGAGCCCGGCCTGGCCCTTCCTCTTCGAAATGGCGATTTCGTCGCATTTCCTTCATCGCGCGTTACTCATTTTAACCTCCACTTTACTGGGCGTCGCGCCTCCATCGTTCTGCACACGGACAAAGAGATAGACAGGTGGACAAAGGAAGGCCGTAACGGCTGGGCCGGCAACGCACATTTTCGGTAGCCTTAGCGCCCTGTACGTACGTTATGTTCCTCGGATGTACCTTGACTACCTACCCTGCAATAGAACCACGTCACCTTGAACTTTAACTATGTTGTGGAACGCTGCCCTCATGCTCTACCTCTACCCATAGCTCTTTGAATCGCTTGAGACCATAACCTCTTCGTCGGTCCTTCGGAGGGTGCGGACCTCAGTTCCGCGCATCTCCGCATCTCCGTTTTAGAAGCTCAAGGTCTTCTGTTATCGGCGAAACTTTGAAGGTAGACTTTCAACCTCTATTTCATCGTCTGCTCACTCTTTTCACGCTCATCATCTCACAACATGGGTCCCCGCAACACCCGCTCATCCGCAGCCGCGAACAAGGTCAAGACCCCGGTGGCGAGCAAGGCAAGACCCCGGCGGCGAGAAGTCTGCTGGTGCCGGGGTGGCAACCAAGTCTTCGTCCAGCAAAGCAGATTCCGGAGCTGATGCTGTACCGTGCTGAGCTATGCAGCTCGGCTCAAGGCTATGAAGGAGTCGCTGCGATCCCTATTGCCCAACCTGACAGCGCAAGAGCTGGACGCAATGGCTCGGTCGAACCTAGCCAAGGGATCAAAGGGGATCTCTGGGAGAAGGAGCATCAGGATGGTACGTCCCCTACATTACTTTCTCACAGTACACAATGGACACAGACATGCAGATGTCAAGCCAAGAGCAAGGCGATGATGGAACAGGAGGGGACGATGACGATGCCATTGCTGAGGAAGAGTCGAAGGCTGGGGGTCTGACGAGGATGAGCTAGTGATACCGTCGAAGAGCAAAGGGAAGAATCCAAGTAAGTAAAATCAGTTCAAGTGGCGAGGGATGGTCTGAGGCTGCTCCAGGGTCACCGGGCAAGTCCACACCCATTACCACGCCGCGTAAGAGGAAAAAATGTCCTTCTTCTTCGACACGAGGACAGCGATGGCGAATCTGGGTCAGAGAAGCCGAGAAGAAGAAGACCAGGACTCAACGCAGGATCAGTCGGCGGAACAGGCAACAGCAGCGGGTGAGTTTGTCAGATAAGTTTCAGGATTGCGCATGCGCTGGTAAGAATCATTCATAAGAGCTATCAACAGGTAACAAACGTAAGATCGTGGAGGTCGATTAGTTCTCGCCGAAACGCAGGCTCCGAAGGACGAGATGATCTGGCTGCGCACCTTGGTGAGAGAGCATACATCAGCACCGTAGCCTAACATTTTTCAGGCTCGAGGACTGCGAAGGCGAAGAAGAAAGCCGCTCCCATCGTTCTTGACAGCAAGATGAGGATGAGCTGGAGACCAGCGACAAGGAGGGGGTCCCAGAGGAAGGAGACACGCTCGTCGAAGGCTGAAGGTGAGTACACACATTCCGGAGAAGGTACTCCATATGGTCACAGGTTCAGAGACGTTTACAGGCAAACATGTGGCAAAGGGCAACTCCAGCAGGAGAGAGCCATCTCCCATGGACGTGGATGACTCACAGGACGGGAAGGCTCTTCGTACAAGGGCTCGACGGGATGGCGAGGACGAGGATGAGAGCGCGGACCAGTTGTTGTCGAAAGACGAGGAAGCTCCGAACGAGGTAAGCCATCTCCGCCAGTTGAACTGTGGGCTGAAGCTTTCTCGGTCAGATGATTGTGAAGATGGAGGAAGAGTCCGAGTCGAAGGGCAGAAGAGGAGGCAACCACGGAAGAAGGCCGACTCGAAGAAGTCCGATGCGGGCAAGAATGAGCCTACCGCTGGCGCGTATGAGAAGCTCATGGAGGACGTCGACGTCCGCAGCTTCTGGGGAAAGCCCAACAAGAGCTTAGGGTGTACCTTGCTCTGGAGAACGCTTGGCCTCGTATGAAGAAAGGCGTCTCCGAGAAGCATGCGGCGACTGCCGACATCGTTGAGCGGCTCATAACGAGCAATGTCAGGTACCAGAGGGAGGACTTCCAGAAGAAGTTCGAGCCCAATGGGCCTTCCAGAAGACAAAGAACAAGATCATCGCATACGTACGTGTTAGCTCCCCTCATCATTCAGTACTAACCATATTCACGTTTTCCAGGTGAACAAGGCTGCACCCCAGCTTCGGCAGGAGCTCAAGCAGAAGGCGAAGCGCGTGGTGGAGAAAGAGTTCTTGTCTATCAGGCTGCCCGAGGTTGGGGACGATGGTAAACCGGTGGATGCTGTCGAGCGCAACCAGAAGGTGAAGAAAGCCCGGGAGAATCGCATCAAGTTCTTGAAAGACAACAACACCTTTCACTACGGGCAGCTTGTGCTACCGGATCCCGAGGTTGACCCATCGGTAAGTCTTCGATCTTGAGCTCGCGGTGTGCTGCTAACTGACGCCACTCAGCTGTGGGAGGAGCCAGACCTGGACATGCCGTTCCATGGTCTGTGCGTGGCCGAGGTCATCGCTAACCAATGGTTCCGCGGACAGAACCCGGACGTGTTTCGCCCGGCGTGCAAAGAACGGTTTGACCTTGACGGTGCGTTGAAGATCATCCCAAGCAACATGATTGCCCTGGCGTGCAGTGCGGTGAGTAATTATGCCTACTGATGTGCCATTAACAAGCTTGACGATCCGAATGTCAGATTCTCGTGGCCTTGGACGAGTGGATGAACGACAACAACACGGTGGAATTCCAGGAGAAGGTGTACGCCCCAGCGTAGGCCACATATTACAGTCATCTCACAGGATAGTTCTGACACTCAATAGGTACGATCGCCTGCTGTCTGGCGTGGAGATGATCCGTCGGTTGGCCAATCCGAACAACAAGGACTATGACGAGGGCTGGGAAAACCTCTCGGAGTCCCTGAACGCCAGTCTGTCCAAGAACATCAGGTAGGCGGCTGACTTTATTTGATTACATTTCTAACAATTGTTCAGGGTGTTCGCTGGGCTTCGGGTGGATTCGCAGAGTGGGCAAGGCGACGAGAAGTCCAATGCGGACCTAGACCCTCTCATCAACGCTGGGAAGGTGAAGGCGAGGTGGCGGTCGAGGGGTGGTGCTCCCGACAACGCTCAGGCTGGGCCGTCCAATGCTGCGTCCAAGGATAAGGCCTAGGTGCGTGGGTTATCTCATCAGTAGGTTGCAAGACTGAGCTATCCACAGGGCTCTGATGTTGGAGGGTTGCTTGTAAGATACTGTCTTTCCCCTCTCTCCTCATCTTTGCTGGCATCGTCTTTGCTGGCGTCATCCTCACGCGTATCATCTCCGCTGGCGTTATTGTTCCTGTTGTTGTACCGCTCTCCGCTGCCCTCCAATGATATCCAGCCCCCTCATGTTGTATCCATGTCCACCGCATTCACATACCCGTCGTGTAGGATTGCCGCTGTGTACCGTCGCCCATCACGCCCATGTACGAAATCGATATATTTATGACAGCTAATTCATGAATGTGCGTTATCCGGGCGGGTAAATAAATTGAGGAATAACAACCCTGAGGGAACAGCGGCCCTGAAACCGTGTGCTTTGAATCAAATGAGAGAGAACAAGAAAGTCATTAAACATATTTTTGCTATTCTCTGAAGACATTTCAATCATACCAAACTCAAATGTTCCCCGTGGAGAGCGCTGCTATGGATGTATTCATAGTAAGGACCAAACAACAACAACCTGATTCAAGCAAACAAGGCAATCTTGCAACTGGTTTGATAAATTTCTGACACCTTTAAACAGGGGTACTTGTATTGAGTCGTGTTTGAGCGGTTTGGTCGCTTCAAACCGGTTTGGCTATCTTCAAATCAATTCTAAGAGCTCCGGCCCTGCGGGCGGTTTTTCCTGATGCAGGTATCGAGGGATCTCTCAGGGCATGCAGCGAGTAGATACACCTTTCCCGCACGAGTACACCGCCACGAACCAAGTCGCGCCTCCGCCCCGCATCGCACCCACACGCGCACCTGCGGCGGCACCTGCGAACGGCCACGCAGCTGCGCTCACTCCTTTCCTCCAGGTTGCCCAACCTCCTCCTCCTCCTGGCCCTGCCGCCGCGACGAACGCAATGACGCGCACGCCTCCGGGCGGCTGGCACGTCGTCCAAGGAGATGACCCCTTCTGGCGTCTCCGTGGCATGAGGCCTGAGCAGATCGAGGCTTGGCGCCGCGATGCGCGCCCGGCTGTCCTGGTACAAGTCTTCGAGCACGGTGCCGGCGACCCTGGAGCTTGGACCCGCATCGTAGATATCCGCGACGCAATCCGAATTCGGATCCCTGACGCTACCCGAACATCGAGGTGATCGCCGCACTCCCCATGCCCGGGAACTTCCGCGCTAACGCCGAGCCGTTCTGGCATATCGTCTTCGGTCTCACCAACACGCAGATCGAGGAGTTGATCGCTGCCCGATGCGTCTCCACGACGAGGATTACAATCGGCACCGAACGCTGGGGCAACGCTGCGCCACAACTCTTCGCCATCTTCCGCAACATCGAGCGTTTCATCATCGTCACGCCGGAGGGCATTGCGACCGTCATCCGCGGCGGCTTCGAGACCTTCGACATGGCAACCAGCATCCAGCGCATCATCCAGAACGACATACTCGCCGGAGGACGCTGGCGCAACTTCAGCGTGCAGGAAGCTTACCTCCTGCTCCTCGAATCCATCTCCGTCCGTATCATGCTCCGTCAGCGCCTGGGAGGCGTCCTCGAACCTATCGCAGCGATCTATTGCGAACCGCCCACGGATGATCCCGCCGACTGGCTGACTTTCCGCAACATCGCGCGCACCCACCCCTACGGCAACGCTCTCGCTGGCGCACCGGAGCTCTTCCTGGACCGACTCTGGTGCAACCTGTGCCATTCCGTCGACCACCCGACCGGTATGTGCCCGTACCCGGACGCCCAGGGCTGGAACGGTCCAAGGGACAACCATGCGCAGCGCGGTCGCGGAAACGGACGCGGCCGCGGCCGCGGCTGCGGAAACGGTGGTAACGGAGACGCTGGCCGCGGTGGCAGAGGCGGACGTGGTGGTAACAATGGACACAACGTGTAGATCGTAGTAGCTATACTGCTGAACTGTACCCCACGACTCGTAACATGAATGCATCACAATCTTGACGTCGCGATACTTCGACCGAACACCCTGCGACCCTCTGAACTCTCTCTAAAAACTTTCTCTATTCTCTTCACTATCTCCTTCACCCCCTATTACTCCACTAGACTAACCCGCCCAGACCAAGCGAGACGTCAGAGCGCCCAAATACACTGACCGTACGCGGGACAGGAAAGCCTCTGACATCGCGAAGTGTCTCCTCACTTTCCCCACAGATATGGGCACTAACTAAACTTGCCCAGCCGAGAGGCTTAAGCAAAAACGACGGCCCAGCTGTCGCTGCGATTGCATGTTTCCTGCGGCGTCCAGGAGCGACGCCTTGCGCCTCGCGGATCGTTGTAGCGAGTGCGCCGATACGCAACGGCTCCACACTACATAACACCAAATAACACGGACGTTCAAACGGCAACCGGTTCAATGCCTCCCAACACCAGATGGGCTGGCACTCCCTCGCTGGTGCCAACCCACAGGATGGTGTCGCGGAGTTCGGAAGCGAGGCCGGCCAAGCGACTCATACGAGCGTGCAGGCCTGCTCAACACAGGTCGGTGCCGACCGCACCGACACGGGCCACCATACCCGAAGCGGAGAAGCCGCACAGACTCATCCAGAAATGGAACCACCGCCGAGTACAGGAAACGAGGCACCGAAAGGGAAGAAATACCCGAGCCACGCTGGCGGTAGGATCCCAGAACATCTGCGGAAGGGGCACCCTAGCCAGCGGTGCAGCCGCGAACAAATGGAACACAGTGAATCAGATCATGCGCCTCGAAAAACTGGGCATCCTAGCTGTCCAAGAGACGCATCTGTCAAATGAGTGGGTAGACAACCTCCACGACATGTATGGTAGACGTCTCAGAATATATAACTCCGCTGATCCGGAAACAACCAATGCGAAAGGAGTAGCCTTCGTACTCAACAGAGAAATAGTGGACACAGCGCAAGTCGAGACAACCGAAGTGATCCAGGACGTGCGCTACATATGAAGATAAGATGGCATGCGGATAGATTCCTTACACTGCTCAACGTATACGCGCCGAATGCGACAAATGAAAACGCGAGCTTCTGGCCCACCCTCTCGTCTAAGATACGGTCCCTCCGCCTTAAGAAACCGGATATAATGCTAGGCGACTTCAACATGGTCGAAGAGAACATCGACCGTGTACCAGTCCACAGCGACCCACCAACCACTGTAGAAGCACTACAAACACTCATAGATAACTATAACCTCAGAGACGGATGGCGAATGACCGAGCCCACAAGTAAAGCGTACACATTCCCCCAACGGGGACACACATCACGGTCCAGGCTCGACAGGATCTACGTAACTGACGAACTACTGAACGCCTCCTCAACGTGGTCAATCAAGACGACTGGCATCCCCACAGACCACAAACTGGTCACAGCGTCCATAAGCGCCCTCACAGCACCGACGATTGGGAAAGGCCGGTGGATAATGCCCCTGAACCTGCTACATGACCCCACCTTCCTTGAGGAAGTAAGCACACTGGCGAACGCCTCCAAAAGGAGGCCGAGACGCACGCTGAACGCCGAATGCGTAGGGCAGACTGTAACCCCCAACTATCCCTAAAATCCTTCAAAGACTCTGTCAAACATATAGCCCAAGAACGCATGAAGAAACGGGCCCCCAAGTTGGACGCCGCGATCAGGAAACTGAATGAGCAAATCACGCTCACCCAGAACCTCCCCACCTTCGAACACAGCATCCACCTACAACAGGAAACAGGGATACTACAAGACCGTTTGCACGAACTGGTACGGAAGCGACACGCCGGGATCAAAGCCTCCACCACCGCGAACTACGCGCTGCATGGCGAGACTATCAGCAAATACTGGTCCAGTATCAATAAAGAGCGGAAGCCCAGAGACCTCCTCTTCGCGCTACAGAACCCCCTCAACGCGACCGAACCCATGGCCACCCGCTCAGACAAAATGGCCAAATTGGCGCGAGACTACCACGAGGCCCTACAGGAGGTAGGAACTACCCCAGTGAATAACCCGGAACGCCAAAGCGCGGCACGCAAAGTCCTGCAGGCGGTATCAGCGAGAATGCTCGACGAACATAAAGGAGCACTCACCGACCTCACCACGGCCAGAGAAGTCAGCGAAGCCCTCCGTAGCTCTCAAACGGGCAAAGCCGCCGGCCTGGACGGACTCCCTTACGAGTTCTGGACAGCAATGAAGACTACGCCAAAAGAAATAGCAAGGACGACTCACCCCCTGCTTTTGACTGTATTCAATTCCTAGCCCTGGCTTTTGGTGACATAGACACATACGGCGTATGCCCTGGCCTGCACTTCAC